GAAAGTAGCACGCAAGCGCTAGGTCAGAGCCACGGCGTCATTATGCTATGTTATGGTCAAAAGAAAGTTAAATATCTGTTGAAAATTTTCGCGCTCAGTGCGCCACCTCCTCCTTCGAGGCCCATCCCTCTGGGTGGGTTAAAATTGCTGTACTGGGCTTGAGTTACGGCTAACCCCCATACAGGCTAACCCCCTCCTTCGAGGCCCATCCCTCTGGGTGGATTAAAATTGCTGTGCTGTTCGCACTCAGTGTGCCACCTACAGCCTACTGTCAACTATTCATAAGAGGCTTGAGCCACATGAACATGGGTGTTCATTGTATTCAAGATACAATACAGGCTAACCCCCTTCTTCGAGGCCCATCCCTCTGGGTGGGTTAAAATTGCTGTGCTGGACTTACATGTACGATCTCAAGTTGCGTCAGCAGCCAGATAAGATGCAATCCCCCCTGCTCCGAGTCCCCATCCCTCTGGCTGGGGTAAGGCTAGATTTATATAAAGGCCAAAAAAGGCTTGATGCGGGGTTTGTAGGCGTTCGGCCCTGCACTTGGCCGTACCTTCCCATCTAGGTTACCCCCCCTCCTCCGAGTCCCTATCCGTCTGGGTGGGTTAAAATTGAAGTGAGTTTTGACCTTGCCAGTCGCTTCACCTTTTCTCCCCTGTAGATTTGACCCTTGCGTAGCGTAGGCAAGAACGGCCGATTAGACAGAAAGTGGAAGGTATTATTCATACTTACCGTGCAGTAAATACCTGTAGGACACACTGGTTCTATACTGTAATTCTAACCCTCACGAAGAAGAAAGAAAACCTGGAAAATAGGACGCTTTCTGCTGATCAGCTTTTTGAAATTTGCAGAACTAGAAGTATCATATCATTCCGACTCATATTATCTACGTATTTTCTCTCTCGTAGAGATAAGAAGCTGGATAGGTTTACTATCTGGTTAGGTGAATAGTAACTATGCAGCTTTCTAGTATGTAGCCTCAGCTGTCCTAAAGGGTCGTCTACTCTCGAACCTAATACAATATAGTTGCCCTATTCCTACTAGAATAAGTAGCGAGGAATTGTTACAAGACTGAACCCGATTTCTGATCGTTTTCTCTATAATACTACTAGGCGTATATAAAAGGAGTTGTAACTGATAATAATCTATTATCTCACTGTAGATGCTTTCTAGGGACCAACGTACCTTCTTCGTGATAAATACAAATTATGTCATATGGACGCCCTTTATTAACACTAATATAATAAACTATGTTCTGTTAATCTTCAATTATAAAACTAAACCGGACTGGTAGAAGATCACGATTATAAAGGTTAAGTAGGCAAGGAATGAAGTGGAATGATTGGTTCGCAACATGCCTACCTTTGTACAGAACATCGCCCTGATTCCAAACCCCCATAAGCACTAGGCCGCTCGCTCACTTAACTTCGGGTAAACCGAGGTAAGAACCCAGATGGGCGTCACGTCAAGTTGGACAATATGGGCCCTGTGGGCCATGTGGGTCCTATACTTGCCACTATCGCCACCTAGAACGGCGACCATCCCCACATACCTCTATTACGAGAAATGTGGCGAGGATAGAACATTCCCTACTTATCTATATGCTTCTACAACTTGTCTGAATTAATCAGCAAGTCTACCATTCATTGACTATATAAGAACCCTTTTGTTTCCATACATAGACCCTCGAAGAGAGGACCAGAGTTAGCTACAATACATACAGGTTAGGCATATGTGCCCTCCTTTTGCTCCTTCAACGGGAACATAAAATCCAAGTCGTCACTGCAGAAGGAGTAAACCTGTATTCCGATTTTTCGAGTTAAAATACTCTAAGTAAACGTGGTTTGCGTCGGAATCCAAGTACTAAGGGCTGTACTAGTACTAGTACTATGAAGGTGCGTGAGGGACCAATCCCAAGTTGGCCCCGAGGGATCCCTAAATACTGCAAGGCGTGCCTGCTGCCTCATACCCCTCCACACCTGAGGCTACAATTTCCCACAGTTTGTGCGCTCCACACGGTACCCTATTGGCGCTGTATAGTGTACGATGCACAAGGTATTGGGTTGTGGGCAAAATGGTCTTGTATTGAAAGTGTCATGATCTCTGGAGAGTCCTGAGAGAAGTAAATGGCGGCCATAAGGGCCTTATATAGACAGAAATGACTGATGTCTGTCCCACAGCCAGGACTTGTGTGGTTCAATGGGTAGAGGTCATATTGACCCATACTTCGTACGGTTTGCGGCTTTACTTTTCTCCTTGACTTGGCAGTCTTGATGGAGTAGCCTTGAAGGTCCAACACAAGGCCAAACAAGACGAATGGACGCATATGCCACCACCCGACACGTTGTGGCGCTTTTTTACACTTTCCTGCTGGACGTGATATACTCCATTATCGTCTCGGAGAAATCCCTTGAAGACGGGAAGAAAATATTAGCATGCCGATTTAATGAGCACCCATTGTAACATATCTTCAGTTCGAGACCATATCAGGGGGCGGTTTCCGATCAGAACCCTATTCGCAGATTAATCAGACCATCGAAAAGTCGGGCCAAGACATAGGACCTCATGAAATCTACCGCGGGCTTTTCCATCTAGACATCCGCATAGGTACATAGAATATCAAATTGTACCTGTGGGGCCAAATCTTGGCAATCGGCCTGAAGACCTCAATTCAAATAATATGGCCCTCAAGGTCACATTTGCAGTCTATTTGACCATAAGTAGTCCCCTTCGTAGACTTATCAAGCAGTCGTTTATTCATCCATTTCTGACATAGGAGGCAAAGCATAACTGTTCAGAGGCTAGTATTACTGATTCCTCTTCATCCTCACTGCTAGCCATATTGTCTCCATCCCAAAGAGGTACATCCAAGTACCTTTTTGAGAAGACAAATGTCTCTGGTAAAATGCTCAACATGAGCGTCCTAACACATTTCCTACCGTCCCACAAGCTGCTACTAATTTTAGATGCCATTACTTCACTTAACGGCCTCTAATTTCTCTTTACTTTGGCTTTCATACAGAAGTCTCTAAAAAAGAGTGCGAATAAGCAGGCTTGGTCGATAAGAATGTGATCCATAATGGACAAGAGATGGTTATTTAGGACAGTGGGCAGTGGTGGTTATATTTCACCCATAAAAGAAGGGGCTGGCGATTCACGATGCGATTGGGTGATCCTTAGTAAAGAGTAAATTGACATCGAAACACATAACATCACCCACAGGTCAATGCCCCACACGGGTCTTTGCCCAACTTTTCACGACCTCCCAACCTTTAATCTTAGATAGATCAACAACAACCCGTATTCATCCAAGAAATTAATCAGAATTCTTTTCATTGTCTGTTTCTACATCTGCCTGACAAGTTCGCGCATTATGTCCAGTTCCTCCGCAAATGCCACAGCGCCTAGCACCCGTTGCCCTCCTCCTTGTAGGACGACTACTTTCACCCTCTTCCTCACTTTCCAAACCCGTATCACCCCTAATAGCCCGTAGAACTTGTGCATCTTCTATATTAAGTGGCCCACCATACTGGATTTGCTTGTTTTTGGTTCTGCGACGTTTGCTTAGCACATGGTTAGTCTCATGAAGCTCTTCGTTCTCGCGACGCAAGATAACATTCTCTTGCATCATTGCATGCGTAGCCTTTGCAATCGAGTCAATTGAATGAAGAATATGCGTCGGAGAGCTGTCTTGATGCCTCTGAACGCTATTCTTAATCAACGTTGACTGCGATTCGGCTTCAAGGGTGGTAGTAGGTGTCTTAGAAGTCCAACTAGGGGGTAGGAGTTCTGGGTCGGCAGAGGGTGTACGCGCGACTTCTGCGACATCCAGGGCAGATATAACCCTGTCGGGGTCAAAAGGGACAATTCCAGCTGCTTCGAAACCAGATCTGATGTTTTGTTCAGTAAAATCAGCGCCAAACGCCTCCAAAAAACCGGCAAGGAAATCCTCCTTCGCAACGTGGGTATGATGCCGTCGCATCAAACCCTCAACAAACACACCGTACGCCCGTTTCAAAACACTAAAAGGCACCAAGTCGAGAGGCTGGAGCTTATGGGACGAATGGGCAGGCATAGGAAGGGTAATGATGCCATGGTCCTTGCAGTATTGTTCGAAATCCATCGAGTGATGGCTTTCGTGACCGTCAAGGATCAGGAGGCGTTTGACACCCTTCGTACGATCGCGTGTGTGCAGATCGAAGTGAGTTGCCCAGCTGAGACCAATATCATTCGTTGTCCATCCGTTGTGGGATAGATCAACGACTCAATTGCCCGGTAATGTGGTGTCGTGATACCACGAAGCGAGATGAACTTTGGCCGCGAAGATGATGTACGGCGGCACCGCCCAGCCTTGGGAATTGGCCGCCTGAATGACAGTAACCCATTCCCTAATGCCTTGCTGGGATTGCCTAGGCCTTCCACGTCTTTCGGTACTCGTAACGACCATGCCGGTTGAGATCATGCCCATTAAAAAGCCCGTCTCGTCAAAGTTGTAGATATCCTCCGGCTGGATGCCGTGCTTCGCTATTGTGTCCGCAACACGCTTAAAATAACCGCGATACGCGACAGGATCTTCGCAGAATGCCCGCTGGTAATCTATTCGACGATTTAAACGCGTCCGGAGGTCTGGTTGTCGCCGTACGAAGCTCGAGGCCCAGTTCTTGCCGACGGGTGCGGTCGCGTCGGAGGATATTCGCCATTTCTTCAACGTATCGAAGCCGGGGAGGAAAAGTTCGCGAATCTAGCTCAATTACGCGTCGGGTAATCGTATTCTCTTCGGTTTCGGTCATTTTCCGTTTGGACATGTTAGTAATGTGTAATGGTTGTACGCCTTCGTAACGGCGCTTCAATGTCTTATGGTCGACTTTGAAGATTTTACCAAGCTTGTTCCAACTTAGGTGAGGATGGCGTCGTTTAGTTTGGATGGCTAATTGAAGATTAGCTTCACTAGATTTGCGTGCCATGTTGTGGAAGGGAAGAATTGTATAAGTAAAGATGGAAAGTCAAGATTTCTTGAAAAGTTGGGCAAAGACCCGTGTGGGGCAATGACCTGTGGGTGACGTTAACTGGTATGTATTATGTGCCCAAAAGCTCTTCTAATTCCAATTTATGGATTGCCTGTAGACGGCAAAGCTGCCCGTTTCTCATTAGATAAAAATGTAAGCTCAAGTATCATGTTAACAGTGCGCCTATGCTCACTCAAATACACCAAAACGCCATTCCCTGTGAATCAAACCCCAGGACGGCAAAGTGTCTGCTCAAATTTAGAAAAGCCCCCAGATTTTTCAACTCCCTAATATCTCATGGAACGCGCCATGGCATCCGTCGGAGTGTCGTATTCCTTCCTCTGTAGTACCAATGGTACACAAATTCCCCCCCATATCCGTTCCCAATTCCATGACGCACCTCTCGTCGTTCGCCACACCCAGTACCTTGCGTTAGAGAGCAACACTACCCCAACGCATCCCCAAGACAATACCCCGAAGATCGAAAATAATCCGTCATCCGGCCCATAATAACTGGATTCGGAAAATACTGCGGCTCAGGCCAGAACAGATTCGGCGGCTTTGCGACATCGATGTTGACAAAACTGGATTTCCGCGTGCTGGACTCAGATGGAAAAGCACTGAGAATGCTGCTCGCCGTCGAGCTGGATGATATGCTCGAGGAGCTCGAGACGGATGACCAGTTGCGGGTGTGGCCTCGACGTTGGTGATGATGGTGATGGTGGGGCCGCGGAGTTTCCAGCTCGGGTTCTTCGTCGCCTGAGTCGGGGATGGGAGTCGGTGGGGCTTCAGTTTGCATGCCGGAATCGACGTAGGTAGAGGTGGTTCGTTTTTGTGGCTGTTGGGGCAGAGATATGGGTGCTGTTGGGAGGGAGGTTGGTGGGGAGATGCGTCTTGCTAGGCGGAGTTGAACTGGGGGGGTGAAAGTGGCAGAAGAAGAAGAAGAAGAAGAAGAAGAAGCAGAAGTAGAAGCAGAATTATTTGTTGGTGTGATAGGGGTAGTTGTGGCCGAAGGCTTCTGCGGCGGTGTCGATATTACTAAAGGTACTGAAGTTGTTGAAGCCCGTGTCGACTCAGGCACATTCCCCAGCTGCGGCTGCGGACTGTCCATAGATGAATGCCGCGATCTGGGTGGCCGGTTGGGACGAATCGCCGAGGGAACAAAATATATGCGTCGTGGTCGGCCTTCATACCGAGATTCCTCGACGATGGGGTTGCTGTTGTTGAGCAGGAGGCTTTGCCTGCGGCTCGAGTCGGACACCAGGGTTGAGAGTGTGGTTGAGCGTCGCCGGAGCTTGGCGTTTGCACCGGGCGCATCTGCATTTGTGTTCATCAAGGTCATTATCCTCCGCCTCTCCGCTGAAGCATCGAGCGAGCGGGAGGTGGCGGATCGTTGGAGTCGCGGCGGAGGCTCCGCCGTCTTGTTTTCAATTTTATCGTAGCGGTCTGATGCGAGAAATTCGTCCTCGCCTGGCCCGAGGATCACCTGCAGGGTGGCGAAATCCCTTCCGCGACCGTCTGGTGAAAAGAGCCATTTGTGAAGCTTTGAGGGGATGCCGTAGCTGTCTAGGTGTTGGGAAAAGAGATTAACGCCTGAGTTGTCAGGGTGTTGGTTCTCGCTTACCTTGTTCATATAGACCCTCGTGAGTCTTCCAGCATATGTAAAAACAGCCTCCGCTGCCAAGTGCCGTGACGACCAGCTCTGCGATACCATCTGGATTGTTCGCATCTTTGCTGATTGCCTCTAATCGTCTGGATAGCATTCTATTCGTCCACAGGGAAGACTCATGGTAGTTGGATAATTAGAGTTGTTACAAGTTTGTCGTCGGAACCAGCCATCGAATTCAAATAGTTCATTCTGCCACTTTTTTTTTCGTTCGCCAGAGGAACGGAAAGGATCTCCATGTGATAGCAAATGCGAAATCGAGACGAAATCCGCCACAATCAAGATTTCCTGAAGAACGTACGAGAAAGCCTCCCTGTGGCAGTGAACTCAAGGATTAGCTGTCGCCAATAACCAAAATCGTACGGTACCGGCCGAGGGGAGGCATGGCGACCAGGGGTTAGCGACGACTTTCAAAACGCATAATGTTGCACTACCACACAGGGTCTCAATGGAGACAAGTCGACGTCGTTCCCTATCCTTAAAGGGTTGCCAAAGCTCGCCTTGTGGAGACTTTATGACCTTACAAACAAAACAAGCGGGCCCGCAATTGAATGAAAGACGGCACGGCCCCTGGTCGTAGATCTGCGTCTGGGGCTACTACTCGTGTTGTCAGGCCCCTCCAACTGTCACCGTCTGAACATCTTTGGTGCAGCTGGGTTGGCCGCCTGCTCATCGACCACGAAGTACGAATCGGGGGAAAGTTGACACGACGGATGAGTATGGCTAGTCAGTCTCACGCACCAAATGAACGAATGAACGCCATCTTTGCACCATTACAATCTGAGTTCACATTTATCTGTATTGGGAATGTGAAATCCTGCTCGGTCGTTGATTCGACTGAAATATGCTCCTATTTTGTGTTTATCTGCCTCTTTCGCATTCCTCACCTTGTAGCCTAGAAAATTATGAAAGTCTCCTATTCCCGACTACCCCTATACTAGCATCCACGCCATCGACATCGAAATTGTGCCGAAAATGATGTGTCACTAGCGAAAACAACTAGTATATCAAGATTTGCTCGTCAATACAAGTAGGCGCAATCTTGTTGGTCTAGATTGGCCGCTCATGCCGGCTTGAGAGCTATGCCAAGCAGATAAATTGAACGGATACACGCTTAGATTTCTCGGCCGCTCTGGCTCGCGAATTAAGCTCTTTACTCCCGGATCGGTGAGGCTCAAGACAGGACCCTGCAGTGGCCTCTTACCAGGTCATGGTCTTCGCGACGATAGATCGCGGTGCCATTGACTAGATTTCAATTTAATTAATTTTTGAGTCTCCACCACCGTGACGTAGCTAGAGATCGCATCTTCAAGCAATAATTGGCATCGGCGATCAGAGATGCGCTTCTGGTTATTGAGTCAGAACATAAAGTCTTGAGAATGAGCCCAAGTTAGTGTTGCTGAACGGAACATCCCCTGCATTCTATCCCTAGCCTAGCCCTCTTCGACTTGTGGCTTTTGATATTGCGCCGGTAGAGTCACACACACATCCCCAGCCATCTGATTTCCACCATAGTCCGAGTTCGGTGGTGTTATACGTGTCTCTGCCTCCGAATGGGCAGGGTCTCCCGGCCTTGACCAGAACGACATGCCGCCGGTAGTGTCCGTGGGCGAGGCTGGCCGTAGGAGCGGTGCGGCTGCGGCGGCTTCGAACTGTTCTGGCTGGTCCGGTTGTTGGCTCGCCCCCGCATTGTTTGTCTCCCCATCGTAGAAGGCCTGGCGGTCCTTCTCCTCCTGCTCCGTCTGTTGCTTGTGTTGCTCCATCTTGCTGTCCAGCGTCTCCGGTTCGTCCTGCTCGGGCTTTGGCATTTTCAGCTCGCGCCGCGTAAGTTCCACCTCGAGGATTCTGGTGCCGAAAGGCACTTTATTCCGCAGACCATCGTCATCGCGATCAAAGTATAGCGCCCAGGTCCCTGGGTACTCCTCGACTGCGACGAATCCCTCCCAGCCTTCGTAAGTCATGCGACGGTCCTGGCGCGTGCAATCGAACGGCCCTGTTAAGTTGGGCTGCGCAAATTGTCGAATTCCATATTTGACTTCGTACGTCTCTCTGTCGATGTAGATCCAATTCAGGATGGGCGCCTCGTCGGTGATGGTGCTCACAAGACCTTCGTAGCCGGCGTCTGGGTATGGCAGGAAGTATCCCGCGAATGGGTGTGGGCTGCGCGCAGGTTGGCCACTTTCGAGTTCCTCGTCCAGCGCGGTGCCTGTATTGATATACAGCTGGATGAACGCAAAGTCAGTCGCCCGTTTTGCAACTCAAACCCAATGCATGTCCATCAAAAGACAACACCAACCTTTGAATCTCTCAAAACGATCGACTTGTGGTTGATCTCACCACTCCGTATGGAAGGCTTCACGCACGTGGCTATGAGATTGCACCGTCGGCCTCGATGCTGTTCGCGGCGATTATCGGATTGACTCTGTCGAATGGCCTCCTGCGTGCCCAGCATAGCCGGGCACACCGAAATCGCGAGAAGCATCGATAGGACCATGGTAGCGGATAGCGGGTGCAATCGGTTTTGAAGATTCGTATGATTGTGTGATGGAGTTGTAGCGTTGAGCTGCCATAGTTTCTGAGCTGGTCATCACAATGTTCCTCAGCTCAGGGTCCGCGTACGCAGAGTCGTGTCCTTCTCAAGGCACGCGGCCAAAGTGACGTTCCCGCAACCCATGTCCCGTTTGCGGTTGTATAAGTCCATGGGCCTGTTACAGGATTGGCCTACCCCAGGAAATCTAGATCCGCCTGCGCTCTGACTCGGCAATTCGCCCGCCTAGGAGACTTTTGTCACCAGTGAGGCAAAATGGGTCGATCGTCGTGCGAGTCGAACCAGTATCACGCCATGATCCATTTTGCAACATATCCTTCATGTCAGTTAATGCGACGGTATAAAAGCTAGGGAGGCCTTGAGCCGCACCAGGGCGGACCCTCTTTGGGTGGACCTAAAGGAGACGTGGCTGAAGCGCAGTCCCTGCGTTTAATGCAGGGCGCGCCAAAAAAAATGCTCATCGATAATCCCAGCTACGAAACGGCGATTGAGCGGCGACGAAACAACACAACAGTCGATTTATGAATTTCATCAGACGATTCCGAATCGGGGGTGGGTGAACAAGATGCCTGGGAGGGTTGTTCCTGGACGACCAAAGTGAAACTTTGCGTGCCTTCGGCCATTTTGGCCTGTGGGAACAGAACAGCGGTACGGAGTATTGTTCAGTCGAGATCAGTGCTAGGCTAAAGACCCGAAAAGAAATTTGTTTTATATAAGAGCTGCCTGCTCGTCGTGTAGAGATTTGGCTTAGAACACATCATCAGCATCAACACCACTCCAAACACCAGCATCAACATCATCCTCCAGCTTCACAGCCTCAGACGAAAAGCAAATAGTTGCAACTCTTCAAACGACCTCACAACCTAATTCATCTGAATCCATCCCTCTCACAAAACAAATTCAGTCAAAATGGCCGCTCCTACTCCGTAAGTGCCCGCCAATGGTACTCACTTGCAGCAAACAAATCTCTAACATATCCATCCAGCAACAACCCCACTCTCGCAAAGACCAACACCATGTTCAGCAACAGCGACTCCGAGTCCGACGGCCAAGCCAGCGGCGGCCGCCGCCAACTCGTCAACACCCAAGGCGGCCCTAACTCCTCTCTCCCCCACCTACCTACCTCGAGCGGCCTCTCCCAGCCCGCCGGCCAGATGCTCCGCGGCGCCGTCGACGACAACGGAAGGCCTACCAAGGCCGCCCTTCTGGTCGGCATCAAGCTTGATCTTGAGGCCGAGGTGCACTTGACCGCTCGGGTTCGTGGTGATATCTGCATTGGTCTCTACTAGACGGCGATGGGCATGGCTACGGTTGCATTCGACTGATTTGTTTTGCGGTTCACTCTGATTTTTGGCTGGGTAGCTTGGGAAAAATGTATCTCTGTGTAGTTTAGCACTGAGGTTTTCATGTGACTACTCATTCGTATTGGGGAAGTGAAATGATGGCACATTTGAAGCAATATACCCAACTACACTTAACTACCATTTCATCTGCTTAACTTGGACGTCCTTACACATCGTAGTAATCAGGAATTATACTTATGATCCGCCCCGCCAGAAGAAGACTTACACCTCGACTTGGTCGACAGCGAAGTCTAATTGGTGGAAGTCGTACAAGCTATACTTGAGACTAGACCACTTTGGGGTTTCCCAATTTCTTCTCGTGAACATCTTCACCTTGTACAAGACTAAATCGATCTGTTTCAAAGGTAGAAACTCGACCAAATTCCAGAGAGAGTCTCGCTGCTGATAATGGACACTTCTCAATCACCACAACAGGTGAACTGAAGAGTGGATTGCTCGTCCAAAAGTGCAGCAGCACCCATGAGCCGGAATTCAAATTATCGTGTAAAATCTAAAAGCCTATACACCTTCTAGATATTCTTAGTTCCTCACTTTGTAAGATGGCAAGTCAATTTCAGATGTTAGGACCAGAAATAATGGAAACAATGCCGATCCCCCTTTGGCCGAACTGGACACACATGGTCTAGTTCAGGGTGGGCTCGCAGACACGGGCAGGTTTTTCTTTTCAGCTAATACTTTTCTTACTCCTCCGAGACCAGCGTAGTTGACAGCACATCCTCCAGATGCGGCTCAAGACCGACCTCGTCGTCTTCCAGCTCGCGGCGCTCATGTTCCTATTCTGCATCAATGGGGTCTGGATGGTATCTACCGGCGCCGACGCCGGGTTTTGAGGCCACGTCGATTGTGACCGCGTATGTACATGATTTTAGCGAACTGGAGGGGGTGCGGTTCGTGCTGGGTGCTGTTGAAAACGGGATGATGCCAGATATCGCTGTGAGTGATTATTGTTCTAGCAAAATTTTTTCTTGATAAAACGACGTTGATGGTTTCATGATGATACAACATTACCTCTCGCGGTGGTATTGCCGGTTTGAATTGAAGTTTCGTCTTTCGTTGTATGAGTATACCCGCGTTCACATGCATTAATTGTACAGCCGTCGTCATGGCACTCCTAGCCGGGGCATACGGCGGCCTCCTCGCTTCCGGAATTCTTAACATATCGCACTTCGGCACCTTCCCGGCGGCTTCTGGCGCACCATCTTCGTCATCGAAAGCCTAATCTCCATCTTCATCTTCCTCCTCGAAACCATCACCATTCAGGCTACGCCTTCTTTGCCCCGACCATCGTCCGCTCAATTTACCCGCATCGGTCCGGCGTCGCACAACAGCTATACACCGCGCCGCCCTACCTCGTTGGCGCTATGTGCATGCTAGCCGTGTATTAAGCGAGATAGAAGATAGACCGGAGGCAGGTGCTCGGTGCGGGGTGACCGCTGCTGGTCATGGTGGGGTATGCCATTTATTTGCTACGGGGAATGCCCCAGCGCGATATGCAGCGAAGTTCCTGATTGCGTGCACGCGGCATTTACGTGTGAGTCTTTCACACATGTCCAGTTCAGTGCGAATGTCGTGGGAGATTTGGCGACGGCGGTAGCCATTGCTGGAAATGCGTTTTTTGCTAATGTTCTTGGTAAGTAGCATCGGTCATAAAACCGTTCGGGTTTGTCATTGCCAAACAGCACGCTTTTAACAATACGGACGACGTTGTTAGACCAGCGCAAGAGTGGGACGAGGCTAAACTATCGACCTGAAAAATCCCCAACTGGAAATAGATGACTCTCCAGAGGATATGGGTAAATGAGTGCTATAGCAAGGGTGTTGGCGAAATCCTTTCCAAGTTACCAACATGGATCCCAATGGGCACGAATAGGCTGAACGAGGCATCTGATTGTGGTAGTGTAAGAGGCTGGCTGGCTGGCGCTCAAGTGCAAAGGCATCCCAAACTGCTCGTGATCATGGCACTTATATATGCTATCACCGAAATCTGTAATACACTATCCTTCAGGATTTTTATTATCCACATGTCTACCTAGATCAGCTCTGGTTGGACTTGAAAACTCCGTACACGTCACAACAAAACCTATAATATCGCCCTTGTCAGCTTGAAATTATGTGTATCAGCTCGTATTTTTCAGGACCTTCAATCAGATTTACATTGCCAACGAAGCGTGTCCAGGTGTGACTTACTTTGAGTGGTTGGCTAACTTCATATTTAGCTTTCAAGACTGATGACTTGGTCACGGTCGGCGGTAGGAATGCGACCTGCGGTATGGAGGGCGCGCTCAGCTAACCACCTATACTCATTCGAAGGTGGCAGCTCTGAAAAATAGATTTTACGTCATTACGTCTGCGTTGCTTCTATCCGTGACCGTTCTTACTATGGCGCAACACAGAGTCTCTACGTCAGGTAGTTTACATGGTGATGAACAGCTATTCCTTCCAATAAGGGTATTATAAGCCTTACGCAAGACTAGTCAAGACTCCTCTCAATGGAATCGTCTTAGTTCAAGAATGACTATAATTAGGTACAGAAACTTATTGATATTGCTTTCCGTGTTTCAATCAACTCACCAATATCGGCAAGATCTCATCTAGCACTATGCATTTCATCACCGCCAAGTTGGGATTCAGCCTCTCCCATGCGCTTCTCGTCACCGTCATGACAACCGCAATTGATCTATTCAAGAACGGTACGCATCTACAAATCCCCATTCACGTCAATGAAACCAATGCAGGCCACCAGACCCTCCAAATTGACAGCAATATTGACGCTGCCGAGTGGGCTGTAGACTGTAGACATGGAGTATGTTCAAACCCCGATATAATCATTCTGATATCTCTCACTTACTATTTACAGCACATGATCATCCCCCAACGCCACAGCTCGAGATTTCAGTCCTCTTCCCATAGAAAAATGATTACGTCATTGACTCTCGGTTGTGCATGCTGTCGACGCCGCCCTTGGTGCCGACTACTCCATCCTGACTATTCCCGCCTCGGCTCCGATCTTTCTTCAAACCCGATGCATACGATGTGCTGCAAACGCCTCTGCAAGCCGAGGTAATTGAAGAATCAACCGTCCTCACTCTCTCTGGAAGCTGCTCGAGGTTTCCAAGTTACCTTAACCACCAACATTTCAGATCTGATATCCTACGACGCCTCCAAGATAGTCCACGTAGGCCACTCCTGCGGCTCCATAACAACGAGCTTTGTACTCTCGACATACGCCAACCTCAGCCTGGCTGCAAGGCGACTTTTGATCCCAAAGTGCTGGAGGGGTATTATAGGGAGAAGCGGTAGCCAGTTCGGGTTGGGGTGGGGTTTAGGGGGCCGACGTAGGCGAGTAGAGTTTTCCTCCTACCGCTTGTTCATGATGATGAAATAATATAGGAGGTTTTTGCTTGACAATATATGTGTGCTAACAGTCTAGTAGACCTTCCTTGGAGAATTCGATTTCGCCTTCTGTGCCTGACACTGCAACAATGCGTACGACCTCGATGAGATCAGGAGTTCAAGGGCTTAGGGTCAAGACAAGCCCCCAAGCTCCGCTCAAGTTTACCTCCATCTGCAGTCTTTTGACCAGACTGTAGATAATTGTCAAATCCCTAGGTTAGACAATAATCCTGGCATGGAACCAATGATACCATCTCTGAATGGTTGCATGCGAATTCGTACCTTTCCAGTTCATGTCATATTCAGATGAACGGCAGGGGCATCCTAGATAGTTGGGAAATTTCGTTCTACCGATAAATTTACGGACTTAACCACTCCCATTCGATAATAAGCATGTGTGATATTCCATAACTTGCTCTAATATCGTGGCCATGGTTATCGTCATCATCCCGCTGGATTCCGGTATGATGACATCATTATTCACTACGAATGGACATCACGCTTATAATGAATAGCACGAGATAATTATGACCTCCTTACTGCAACACAACGAATTACTCTTCAAATGACACTGTTAGTGCATGCGTTCCACAGTCGTTCAGCCCACAGTACCTTCACTCCTCGGGCGAGCATCTGTGTCCCGCATTTATCGCTTTGAAGACAAAGCCTGACCGCAGAGGGGAGACAATCGGTGTAGTCAGCTTGCCATGGCTGCTAACACCAGGAGCCATGGTACCTCTTGCCCATCGGCATCTTCTTCCAAGGATTAGTACGTTTAATCAAGACCTAACACTTGCATCTTCAGTCTCACGCTACCTCCCGGTTGTGTGTCCTTCAACGTAGGCAGAATGCCGGTAATGACGGCGTCGTATCGGCACTTACACAAATGGCCTTAGGCGCATTGTTGTGGGTGGCTGTGCTACGGATCTCAACATCTGCATGGATTAAGTCGTCAGTTTATGGGTAGAGCGGCAGTATGTAGCACAACAGTATGTAGCACAGCAGTATGTAGCACAGCAGTATGTAGCACAGCAGTATGTAGCACGGCTTCCTTGATGGAACTAGCGTGGGAATGTAACTTACTTGAACGTCTGGTCCATTCCCAAATAGCTTATGGTAAAATGCTAGCATAGGTATGTCTTTTGGCAAAACTGACGGTCCCGTGCCGATGCTTGTATGTTAGGAACTTTGTCCGTGACGAGTTCACTTTCAAATCAGCTGAAGAATGGCAATGCTGTGCAACCTACCACAGCTAGTTGGTACAGAAGGTAGCCTAGGGGCAACACAACTTTCGGAGAGGAGACGCGACGTTGACCATGACCTGCCCTGGTGTGCTACAACGTCCCCAGTCCCGGCTGCTGCCGGCAATGTTTCTCCCACAGACATGGCATTGGACGTTGAGAGACAGAGGTCGCACAGACTTTATTAGATGTCTCGATTTACATGTCCGATATATCCCAGGATTCAAACCCAACCACCTGACGAGGACAAATGAAGGAATACCAACCGCGACAAAAGGAAGGAGGGTGATCCCAGCCGTTGCACAGGATACTTGCTAACCGCTCATCTTGGTAAAGGAGGCCATGGGCAGCGTAGGTGCGGAATACCCGGGCATCGTCGTAGAGCGCATGTTGTATCAGAGGCGGAGAGATCGAGGGTATGATGGCGCATCAACTCATGCTGAAGAATCGAAAATGATTGACAAACGTGTCGACTCAGCCTCAAGTCAGTCTCGGTCCCTTCTGAGTCGTAACCACGGACCTTATTTCGACCTCACTCCTTCCTCGGTACGAAGTTTCGACCAAGCCGACCAAGTAAACCAAGCCCAACTGTCTCATGGCAGCGCAAGGAGCATTTTACTATATCAACCGCTTGCTTCCCTTTCAGCACTCTTCAATCTTCAAACGTCGGCCATCGGCGAACCGAGCCAGGTTGAGCTGTCCAGGGCGCCGGAAAGCAGGTCTTGGCCGTTTCTTGGCGAGATAGGCCGATTTTCCTCATTTTGTCTAGCAGCAAGGAATGGTTTCGTAAGCCCGCGAGGATTTTCAGTGGCTTGACAAGGGCGGCAAGTATTTGCGATTTTTATCGCAGGTAGCAGCGGGGCAAGCCAGCTCACGATTACGTGCACTTGACTTTCTTAATTTGATTCAAATTGACATTCTAGCGGAATACCGTCAGCGGCATCGATTCCCTTGTGACTGGTGCTAGGGAGAGGATCCAGAAAATCCGACATAGGATTGGTCGCCGGTATCTGTCAGTTGAGGCATCGGCCCGGTGGCCCGGTTTCTTGCGGTGGCTCCAACTGTCAATTTAAAGAACGATTGGGCCACTGCGACGGTCTTCGGCGAACCGCAATAAATACTTGAAGCTATCCCCATGTCACCAAGATGCAAGCTCTCAGCCACGGCTGAAAAGCCAGTTATCGTGGTTGGTATGAATTGATTGTCAATCAGCAATAAACTTTTCAGAATAGCAACAACCCGCAATTCTAGCTTCAATACCACGAAGACGCGGTCGAGATCGAATATGTTTACTTATATCTGGACTCTGCTGTAGGTACGAATATCGGCCGCCCCGTCACGATATGCTAGCGGCCGGCGCTTGCCTCGATCGAGTCTGACGCCAATTGCACAAATCATGCTTGAAGTTAAGCTTGTCTTGGCATTGTTCGTCTTCAGCTCGAAGCTAGGGCCGCTGCTGATAAGGGCAGACCTGTACTTCATAGGTCATATTATCCCATTTGATTTGTTGCTTTTCCGTCACCACCTCCGAGGCTACCTTACAGATGCTAGGATAGAGTCAGCACAGGATCCCTGTTTTTCTCTTTAATCTGCTGACTGGCCCAGGTGGAAGATGAAGTTGCATATGGGACCCCGCCTGCTAGGGAGTCCAGTTGCCTGGCCCTCGAGGTTTTTGATCAGGATCGACTGGCAGTTGCATGGGCATGTAAAAGTACTTATACATATATATATATTTCCCTGGGGCCCATCCTCGCTCTTGCCTTGCGCCTAGAGGACATCACGTCGCGTGACAGCTGCCCGGCAGGATCGATCCAAGATAATTTATGCGCGAGGAGACAAGACGTCACTCTCTCGAGGACCACATTGGATTGAGTTTTGGTCACTGAGCGACAGGATTGGGCTTGGGTGAACTTGTTGCCGTCGCTAGGTTGTTCCCGGCGGTCTTACGGAAACCGGCACAATGGGTTTCGTTCACAACACCAATGCGAAAATCGCCACCAGTCCGATTGGACGATGGTTTCGACTCGATGGCTCTGGTCACGTAAGTTGCGACTGTTTTGTCTAGACAAGGAAAAATAACAATGCAGATGGCTGACGAGAAATCAAACAGCACAAGGAACGGAAGGGATCGTACTTCTTCACCGAGTTGCGAGCCGGCCTGGCCACTTTCTTCGCCATGGCTTACATCATTGCTGTCAACGCCTCCATTATCGCCGACACGGGTGGCACATGTGTCTGCAATGGCGGGGCCAGCGATCCCATTTGCAATGACAACACGGAATACAACCTCTGTGTAGCTGAGGTCCGACGTGATATGGTGACGGCCACTGCCGCCATCTCGGCCCTGGCTTCATTCTGCATGGGTCTGTTTGCCAATTTGTGAGTTTTGCAGTCTAGTTCGATCCAATCGTTGAGCCTCACGACTTACACCGTGTGACAAACAGGCCGCTCGGTCTCGCTCCCGGCATGGGAGTAAACGCCTACTTCGCCTACACCGTCGTCGGATTCCACGGAAGTGGCCAAATACCCTATTCCGTCGCCTTAACGGCCATCTTCGTCGAAGGCTGGATCTTCTTCGCGCTCGCCATCTTCGGCATGCGCCAATGGCTCGCCCGCGCCATCCCCCGCTCCATCAAGCTCGCCACCGGGGTCGGCATTGGTCTCTTTCTGACCCTCATCGGCCTCACCTACAGCGAGGGTATCGGCCTGATCCTAGGCTCTACCTCTACCCCCACCGAACTGGCCGGCTGCCACCCTTCTTCGTACGAAAATTCCGAGAACGGCCTCTGCCCGAACAGCGACAAGATGCGCAACCCGACGATGTGGATCGGCATCTTCTGCGGGGGCATCATGACCACGATCCTGATGATGTACCGCGTCAAGGGGGCCATCATCATGGGTATTCTGCTCGTGAGCATCATCTCCTGGCCGCGCACCACGAGCGTCACCTACTTCCCTTACACTGCCGAGGGCGACGACGCCTTCGACTTCTTCCGCCGCGTCGTCGACTTCCACCAGATGACCAAGGTCCTCAACGTGCTGAAGTGGGACGTCTCCGCGTACGGGGGCCAATTTGGTCTCGCGCTTATCACGTTTCTCTATGTGGATATTCTTGATTGTACCGCTACTTTGTATTCCATGGCCCGCTTTGCCGACGTTGTTGATCCTGTCACCGAGGACTTCGAGGGCTCCTCCATCGCGTACATGGTCGACGCCGTCGGCATCTCCATCGGTGCCGTCCTTGGCACCTCCCCGGTAACAGCATATATCGAGTCCGGCGCCGGAATATCCGAGGGCGGTAAGACTGGGCTGACGGCCATGGTTACCGGAATCTGCTTCTTCATCTCCATCTTCTTCGCGCCCATCTTCGCGTCCATCCCGCCCTGGGCTACGGGTTGCGTGCTCATTCTCGTCGGAAGCATGATGATCAAGTCCGTCACCGAGATCAACTGGACGTACATGGGCGATGCCGTCCCGGCGTTCATCACGATCATGCTTATGCCGTTTACGTACTCCATCGCCAACGGCCTCGTTGGTGGAGTATGCTCCTACATCCTTATCAACACCATCATCTGGCTCGTCGAAAAAGCTTCAGGCGGCCGCATCGTCCCGCACAACAAGGCCGAGAAGGATCCCTGGACGTGGCGCGTCCCCGGTGGTGTCCTGCCGCCGTGGACGGTAAGGCTGGCCAATGGGAAGAAGGACTTTTGGCGCGAGGATACTAAACTCCACCATGATGTGCCGGTTGAGGGCGAGTCGGCATCCGCTGGGTCGGATGGCTTGGTGCACGCGCATGCTGGTGTGAAGCATGAGAAGGTCGGCAAGGAGTTTGATGACAGTCCTGATTCTGTTAACCACGGGTCGAACGTCGATAAGTCCAATGAGATCATGCCCGAGAAGATGAGCTAGAGGTTTGTGTCCTGGGTGCGGTTGAGAGAGGGGACGATTTTTGGTAAAAGGACGTGGCGATGGCTTGAGTTGTACATTTGCTCTGGATCATGTAATATTATGACACATATGTTGAGTTGAGGGAACGTTATTAGATATACCCATGAGATTATTGAGTTTGGAGAACTTGACTTGCCGAACCCGAGGTTTTTAATCATCTGTGACGCCCTGTCCAAGCTACAGTATGGCTTATCATTCCAGCAGTTGCCCTGCTGTGCTGTAGTGTACTTGCCCAGTGTATGTGACATAACAAGCCGTCATCGAGCTAAAGGGGCAAAATCCGGAGGAACCAGTCACAGAACAAATGTATCGTTACATGACAATGCTGTGTATTAGACAGGGCTTAGTATCAATCAACTCTAGAAACGCAACCACCAGTTTGCTCTATCCATAGCTGCCGCATCCAACCGTTCCAACGCCTTAAGCTGCAAATGGCATCAAAGTCTTGCGGCATTACGACTACAACTGCTGAGGGTCAGAAGGAGCAACATACAAAGGTCAAGTCGTAGGACCTACCATGAAACCATATTCAGGACCAGGGTAAAAACACTGGTCGTGAACGAAAGAACCGAGGAAACATCATCACTTATACGCCCATCGTGAAGTCGTGTTCGATGCCAGGTGTAACACTCGCCATGAACTGAAAAGGAGTTAGCTCAAAGTCACATCCAAACAATAAACAAAACACAAAGTTTTGATGCATACCTTGAGGAAGACGACCAGGTATTGGTCGACGCGAATAGCTACCTCCTGATCCTCAGCCTCAACTTCCTCCCATTCATCATTGCTAGACTCTGCGGCGGCCTCGGCGCTCTTCACGTCGAGTTTGTTGATCTCGTCGACCAGGCCTTCCATGCCCGCGTCATGGCCAACAGACTTGCCAGCCTTCATCTTGTCCCGTCGGATCTTCAGGGCTGCATCGGCACGATCCAGAAGCGTCTTCATAACGGATGCATGCTTGCATGGGTGCACACTGGCCATCTTGACATTGTGAGCGAAAAAGGGGAAGTCCTCCAAAGTAACTGTCTTGTCCTTGTAGTCGCCAACAATGTCCTCCATCATCAGTTGCGGAGCAAGCGGTTGTCCTTCCGAGTAGCCCGACAAGTAGAGACGAGGAGTGCGGTAATACGGCGAATACATAATGTAAAGAGTGTAAGTGCGACGGGCGCTGCATATGATATCATATTAGCGCTGGTAACCCTGCAGGCAATGTGATCTGGTGACTTGAACCTACCCTGTCTTCTTGCGCGCATCGGTATCTCTAATGATCGCCTCGTCATCGTCCTCTTCGTCTTCCATGTCTGGAATCTCATCCTCCTCCTCTATGTGTCCGATGTTACCCGCATCGTCGACCGTCCGAACATCGCGTGCCTTTAGGGGTTGTGAGCTGCTCAGACCACCAGTGCGCAACCAACCATCATCGTCATTAGCTTGACCCTTGGATTTGAAGTCATCGCCATCGCCAACCACCGCTTCCTCATGGCCAGCATCACCAGCAAAGTCGTCATCGAGACGACGGTGGCAAGGCACGTTGCGCGTCACAAGATATTGCTTTTCGACGGGTAGATGGGCAGCTCGCTTGGACTCAGAGTCGGCCGCAGCCCACTGCCAGGTGGGGAACTTGAAGACTAGGTAATCGCCTGCGGCAACAAACTCCTCGGGTGTAATCTGACCGGTCTTACGAAACGTCGAGGTATGCGACACGGGCGTGTACTTGTCCCGAATCGTGTTGACCGTCGAGTAAAGCAAATTCATTGTGGCTGGTTGGTTTGGTTGGTTCTGAGAACCGTGATAGGTACAGGCGAAGCGGGGTCCAACAAAGAGATGCTGAAAGTGCTGGTCTGGTTGCTCGTGAGAAAATGCAGGATTTACTTGGTAGGGAAGGGGGGTGAAGAAACAAAGGATGAGCTTGAGAATGGAAACATTAAACGTAGAAGAAGAAGGTGAATGATCCGATACCTGATGCAAGAAAGACAACCTTCGTACGGAGCAGCTCTAGGCCACCACTCAACCTTCGTGGTTTGTCACAAGGCTCTTTGACAGGCACGCCTCCATCGATCACCGGGATCCCTGCGCGTAGAGGGGTAGCAGGCCAGTGGCTTGCTTTATCGCTGATAACGATGTCTGGCAAGCCCCACACCGTATATATTACTGTTTCTAAATGTTATGCCGCACGGTATTAGTAAGGACCAACCGAGCCAGTTCTGCCCTTTTTGACCACCTGCCCCGTCCAGTGCCCCCCTTGGCCTGTAGGGTCGGCTAGCCACCCACAACTCCTGCCCGAAAAGCCAGGAAAATTCCACTCAACTTTTCGAGGCGAACAAGCTCACTTCAATTTCACAACCCGCCAAAGTGCCCATTGGAACCAGTTGAAGGTATGTCATTTTCTTCCCATAGGGACCTCCGAAATATATTTTCTGGATCTTCAAGTTTACTGACACTCCTTCCGCCGCAGAGTCAAGATGAGTTCGTAACCCTCGCGACCGGCCAAAATTAACGACGAAATACTGACAGCGCAAAACAGCCAAGGGAACTTCCAGCTTCGGCAAGCGCCACAACAAGACGCACACTCTGTGCCGACGATGCGGTTAGTCATGACGAACGATCCCCGAGGGTTTCAGTCGAGTAAGGACGGGCTGTGGTCATCTGCTGGGAACCCGCAACACGTCCGAGGCCGCATCAGGAGGGCTGACACGTTCGAATTCAGGTCGTCGATCCCTCCACATCCAGAAGCACACCTGCTCCTCGTGCGGATACCCGTCTGCTAAGACGCGAAAGTGTACGTTTACCACGGCAATGTCAATCCCGGACACCAGGAACCAGATACCCATGACAGGCATGCGAGACTAACTGTGGTGGTGGTTGAACAGACAACTGGAGCGAGAAGGCCAAGCGCAGAAAGACCGTCGGTACCGGCCGCATGCGCTACATGAAGGATGTCTCGCGCCGCTTCAAGAACGGATTCCAGACCGGTGTCCCCAAGGACTCGCGCGGCCCAGCGGCTGTGAAGGCATAGAGGGTTGGAAAGGTAGCATCATGACAATTCGACGGATGGTTTCGGCGTGAAAATGGTCTGCAAATTTGGACTGGTTCATGGATTCACATACATCTCTGCGGTCTAGGGGCACGTTATGGTAGCAATTGACCACACGATTGCTTGCTTTTCCCACACAATCTGGCCGTCTCTGCCTCAGAAGCTGGCACCACTTGCATCAGTGGATGGACCGTGGCGAATTGCTGCAAAGAGGCAGTGATAGAGCATGGCTTGTGGGATGTCTAGCTCTCAGGGTTTGAGTTTACTTTCAAACCAACAGAAATCGTTAAGACTATTGGCCACGTTCAAACACGCGAACTCCTCCATCACCACCCACAAAATACAGCAGCTCTCGTTCCTCAACAAGTGTTCCGGTGGCATTACCGCCATGAGTGACCCTCAGCACTCCACTGACATCTCTCGCCGTGCCCGTGTCCAGCATCCTCAAACTGATAACCATTTCTGCCTCGTGCGCGAGAGATAACGTGAAAGCCGCATGCTCCTTTTCGAGCATAGTCGTTTGGGCAGAGATGAGGGGCTCATCTGCGGACAAGGTCACAATGGACGAATGAACTTTCTATTACAGTGTTCATCATTAATCAAGTGCTCTACGAACAAACTATCATGAATCCTCATCCCCGCAACAGCACTTACCTCTCGTATGTCCAGCAGAATCTCCTGCAGTACCAACCCTGATATCGTCTTCCCCGATGCCGCCAGGAGCAAGTCCGGACCGTCCAAGACCAGCATAATTTTCGAGTCTGGACGCGTAACCCGTAGTCCCGTTACGGCTTCGTTCAACTCCTTGCGTAGTTCCTGTACCGTAGCACCAGATAGAACCCTCGTGCCCGCACCGCCGCCGCCGGCGCTGGGCTTGCTCTTCAGACCACCAGGAGGAGTAAACAATCCACTCAACCCATCGACGAAGACGAACCTGCCCCGTCGCGAGAGACCGTCGAGGTCGATCCCCAGCCGACCGGCGCCTTCCTTCCAGAACGCGTGGTCGCGCAAGAAGCTCACGAGGATGACAGACACTTCGTCATCTTCTCCTGTCTCACCCGCCTCTTTCGTGGCGCTGCCATCGCGCTGAGACGATGTGGATGATGATGCGAGGAAAGAGCACAGGTACCGCTGCACAAGCCAGTTGGTACTGGCGCCCAGGACATTGGTGAGGAGGATGAGGGATGTCTCGGGTGGGAGGCGTAGGTAGAGCTCTAGGAGTGGTGGAAGGCGGGAGGTCATTGTGCAATGTCAAAATTTGTGCGTAGATGAGACGTGTTAGATGACTGTAAATCTACTGCTTTTGCATGCGATGTCGTGGGTGATAGATAAAATGCGGCGTAAAGCCGTTATGTGTGAGGCTAGCGAAAGGGTACAATTGTATAGCGCCCCGTTGGCGAATCAGACGACCAAAGTAGGGTGGATCACCCCTAATGCCGAGTGCCGTCATAGGGTCTTATCTTTTGCACCAAGCATGTAGCTAATGGCTTCCATAAGGCCAAGAGCAATGGACTATGTGGTCGAACAGGAAGCGGCAACAATGCTTTCACACACGCTCTTTTCCATCTTACGATATCCATCGATCATCTACTAGCACTCACGAACCACTATCCAACATTGCCTCCGTAGGTCTGCTGCCCAAGTGGGTTCTTCGCCGTCTAGTGCAGATGGTGCAAACGTCTTCGGCGGGGTGGCTAATCCACATCAACTCTGAAGCAGCCTGGGGATTGGTACTCATGGGTGACGTCGACTTGGGTGAGCGACACCGCCTGACAGAGGATGAGTATCTCAAACTGCTGTCATCTCATCGTATTACTTTCTCAAAGAACTTATCTATGGCTGGGTATCTTCTTCGATGCTGGTGCCTCTCATATTTTCTCATGGACGACCCTTTGAGGTCTCTGTTTTTGCTGATCGTCCAGTGTCATGTCTCGGGGTTGTTTCTCTTGCTTTCTCTCCATGATTGCATACCTTGAGATCTTCGCCCACTCCACACACCACAGAAACGCATTCTGCGGGATTTTGGAGCTAGTGTTGACACCCTGAGACTCAGCAAGTGCTACTTGTTCATCTAGTTCAGACTATATCTCGGATCGTTGCTGCCGGTTATTGACTTTCAGGTTCGGCCGTTTCGCACTAATGTCGAGTCAAAAGCGGGATCTTACTCTATAGTGTCCGCCATCCGGGTGATTTGGACCCGTAGGTGTTCATCAAAAAGTGCACGCTGACTTGAACCTTCCTCATTTCTGGGACGGCAAGCTGCAGGAGCTCAGTCGGTGAGCCAAGCATCTCTCTCCACTACCAGAGAAGCCGCGAGTTCCTGCTTGTAGAGAAATCTCCAAGAAATATCAAGGTGGTAATTTTTGTACTTTTTATCACAACTGAAGCAACATTTTCTTCACTTCGGATAACCTAGACCCTAGCAACCAGCTCACAACCCGTTCTATTTATAATATTGTTTGGCGCCACTCGTATATCGTCCATGCTCGCCTGCTTCTGATCGGCGAGGAAGAATCAAATCGGCGCCGGGCCGGCGTCGCCCAGGATGGCAAAGGAAGGGGTTCAAGCGTGGCGGCGAAGATGGAGGATGCCGTTTGGAAAGGAAAATGCGCGCGATATAGAGTCAGCAAACGAACCCGAGGAGAAAAAGCAAGGGATTTCAAAATGGAACATGGGCATGTTGAACGACAAGCAGACCATCGAAGTGCCCGGTATGTTGACTTGTTTGGCTCCAATCAAGGCACAACAATACACAGGTATACTGACAAACACTGCAGGCTCGGTTTTGCTGCTTGCAAAAGATTACAATCAGCCTCTCGGTCTACGCAACACTCCGGCTAGATCGTCTCAATCATCCCTGCCTACGGGCATCCCGGTGGCAGCGCCATCGCTCCCTGCAGGAGATGACACGAAGAAGACCAAGGATGGTCAGATCATCCTGGAACCACAGCCTGATGATTCATGCAATGACCCCCTAAACTGGCCTGCGTGGCGTCGCGATCTAGCTTTGGTATCATTAGGGCTTTACTGCATGGTGGGAGGAGGTATCACGCCTCTGTTGGCGAGCGGATTCACTAATATTGCCGAAGGTGAGTTTTCTGGTCTAGTTCTGCATCAGCCTATCCATGTCACTGACTTGAGGTGTCCTGCAGATTACGATATTGAATTGTCTCAGGTGTCACTGACGACTGGACTGTACATGCTTGGACTCGGTATTGGCTGCGTCATCTTCTCGCCCACGGCCATCTTGTTCGGCAAACGCCCTGTCTATCTGTTTAGCGCCATTATCTTTATCCTCTCTTCGATATGGTGCGCTCTGTCTCCCAGCTTCACCTCGCTCATCTTGGCGAGGGTATTTCAGGGCATTGCTGTCAGTCCCGTCGAGGCTTTACCATCTGCCACCATTGCCGAGATCTTCTTCTTGCACGAGAGAGCTTTTCGCATTGGGATATATACCCTGCTTTTACTGGGGGGCAAGAACTTGATACCGCTTGTCAGTGCGGCTATCATTCAAAGTCTTTCATGGCGTTGGGTGTTCTGGTGCGCTCTTACTCCTTCCACGTTATCCAGGGGTAGGACTAATACATGAGAATCCCAGGATCGTTGCTATGCTCGTTGGGTTCTGCGGCATCTTGCTGTTTCTGTTTGTGCCCGAGACGTTCTGGGACAGATCCCCAGTTCCGAGGTCTCGACAGCCATCGAGACGGCCAAGCTTGTTCCGTAGGAAATCTTCGGCGACGCATTTCATCCCGGGACTACATCGAAAGGACGTCAATGCCACACACAGCGCGGATCATCCAGCAGCTCCCGAGGTAATGGCCAGCGAGGGCTCGACTAAAATAGCAGTGCATCCTCACCAACACAAAAATGTACATGTCGGGTTCGCTTCAGACTCTGAGCCTGAGCATGGCCACCAATCGGAGTCAGATTCTCACCCTGTGGATTTGGTGGTGTCATCACAGCCAAAGATGGCCGATACGCCCGAAATTCCCGACAGGAAGGGTTCCGCTGCCTCACCTAGTGGAAGGCGGAAACCTAGACCCATTATCATACCCCCTCGTCCAATGATGGCGCCTGAAGGACTAGGTAGTAGTATATTTGGACCGCCAATGACACCAGCAGCGGGGGGGCTTTTCCCCCCAACGCCAGATCTCCGAAACTTCAACTCGCCATATTACGAAAGAATCTCGAACGAATACTTTGAAAGCTGGGAGACTGCAATGCAGCGAGAAGTGCATTCCGAAATCGGCTCCGCTACCCGTGAAACCCACAGTGAGAAGATGTCCATCGCAAGCCTCCAGGCAAGAACTGGCGGACAAGCATATACCCACGCCCTGCGCCACGCCCCACCCCAATCCTTCCACCAACAACTCCGCATCTACCACTGCCGCCTCAGCAAGGACAGATGGTGGAAAGTCTGTATTCGGCCCTTCATTCTCTTCGCCTACCCCGCCGTCCTTTGGTCCGCAGCAATCTACGCCTTCTCCATCGGCTGGCTCATCGTCATCTCCGAATCCGTCGCCGTGATCTTCCGCGAGGGAACTTACCACTTCAGCGCGCTGGCCACAGGGCTCATCTACCTCTCCCCCTTCATCGGCGGCATTCTCGGCTCCGCCGTCGCGGGGAAAGTCAGTGATATTGTCATCCAGTTCATGGCGCGCCGCAACGGCGGCCTCTACGAACCCGAGTTCAGACTGCTCATGGCCTTCCCCGTGGCTATAACTACCGTGATAGGACTCGTGGGTTTCGGCTGGTCGGCCAGCGTCAACGATCCCTGGATCGTGCCCACGCTGTTCTTCGGCATCGTCTCGTTCGGCTGCTCGTTGGGCTCTACTACCGCCATTACGTTTTGTGTCGATAGCTATAGGCAGTATGCGGGAGAGGCGCTCGTCACGCTGAATTTTAGCAAGAACGTGCTGCATGGGCTGGTGTTTAGTTTGTTTGTCACCGGGTGGTTGACGCATGACGGGCCTAAGACGGTGTTTGTTTGGATTGGCGTTATGCAGTTGATTGTGCTTTGCTCAACGGTGCCGATGTATATCTTTGGGAAGAGGGCGAGGATGTGGACTGTGAGAAGGAATTTCATGGAGAAGTTTTAGTTAAGGGATGGCGTAATTGGGTCATGGTACTTGAGTTGCGATACTGGGGCTCTGTTTTGGAGCCTGTTGTTTGCAGTTTTGGAACTGCATATTGGCGTTGGTTGGTTAATTGGGTACTATCGCTCAGATTGGACTTGGGGGCGCTCTTACACCTAGACTACTATTTGGATAGATATTGCACCATTGCATACTACGTGTTGCAGAAAATGGGGTTGTGTTTAGATGTTTTAGCAGTGCATTTTGGAGACTATTCGTAAATCAACCGTCAGCCAACAGGTTCCTCTCACCTACGGAACAACAAGATATAACAACTAATATTAACGAAGAGTAAACTCGAACAGATGAAGTCGACATACATGTGATAGGAGCTCGGCAATTTCAGGGTATTAACAGATCTTGCGAGTTGCATGACCTCCATGTTCTCGTGTATTTGCGTTTCCCTATGTCAGTAATATACGTCCAATATTCTGCGGAGGAACGACAAAGGGGGGCTACCGGGTAGGGCCGCCAATCCCTGCAGCCGTTTCTCGGAGTCGCATCCTCTTGGCGCAGCACTCATCCAAGATACGTCATTCGGGACTGAACGATCCACTCCGGCTTCCAAAAATTGATAATGGCAATTGAGACGGCATGAATCAATACGACTCTCAGGATGCAGTCTAGCTAGCGACAGCTCAACACCAAAAAGACACCACGCGCTTCCGAACCGACCGACTCATTGGAACAATTGCGCAATCCCCTGTCACTATGCGGCCTTCCACGATCCGCACGACATTGTCCCCCTTCCTCAAAGGGACAGGCACCGTACCGGCCAACAGATCATTCTCAGCATCTCGACAGTTGCGCGCGAGCAATATCAAACACGCAGCGTGAGTTCCTCGCAGTCTCTACTATCCCACCCACATGCTTCCTGCTTCCCAACCCCACCCGCAAACTCCAAAAGTAGCTGAACTAACCCTCCCTTTTTTCCCCTCATAGCGTCCGCCGCCCTGACGAACTCCAAAGCTACCTTCTCCTCTCCGCCTCGACTCGCAAGCCCCTCATCACACTCTGGACAGCATCCTACTGCCCCACCTGTCGCGTCGTCGAGCCTCTTGTACAAGAAGTTATCGAGTCTGGTATAGGCGAGGCCGAGGGTGGTGTCAACTACTGCATCGTCGAGTACGATAGCCCCGATATCATGGCCGACGGCATGGGCATGACGTACATGATTAGTTCAATGCCGACCCTCCTGAGCTTCGATGCGCAAGAGGCACAGACAGCGACCAAGATTACGGATGCGAGAAAGCTGGGGGATAGGGAGTTTTTGCAAGAGTGGATTAGGACTGAGGCGAGGAGGGGGGGGAACAGGGGAGGCGGAGGTGGAGGTGGTGGAGTTGGGGGGATGGGATTGCTGGGTGGGCTGTTTGGGAGTTGGAGGAAATGACCTAGAACGACGCTGTCAGGCTACACGACGATACAAATGAGCACGACGAAACCTGCCAGCTGAGGACGCAACCACACAACGCACAACATCGCGGGTATTGCGCTGAAAAAGACGGCGTCTTTTAATACCAGCACACCTAGAGACCTATATCCTGGCTACTAACTCATACATCTTACGGCGTGTAAAACACCTCCTCAAGCCCCTTCCACCAAGACGGTGTACCAGCCTCACTGCTTTTCGCACCCGGCACCAAACTCTGGATTCCCGAATTGTCAGTATCGAAATCTCCCAACGGCAAACACGAGGCAGCAAAGAAATCACGTCAAAACCTACCTCCTGATATCCATCCGTCATAGCCCACCACTCCCTCACCTTCGGATTCTCTGTCATGCGCTCCATATCCCCCGCATAGTCGTACCCGATATACTTCATGGTAGCAAACAGGATCCCCGTCCCTTCATCGTGAAAAATGCTGTAGTCGACAATGTTGCACTCGCGGATCTGCTTAAGCACCTCGGGCCACACTGCCGCGTGACATTCTTTGTACTTGTCCACAAACTCGGGTTTCAGCTTCACAATCTGCGCGATGCGCCGGCCGGGGTTGCGCTGTCGAGAGGAGGTGGGGGACAGCTGATTGGGGTGGTGAAGCGGATGGTCGATGGGCGAGCGTAGGTGTGCGGGAGGGCTCGCGGGGTTGTCGGTGTCAATTGGGGGTGGGGTGCTGGGCTTGGTCCAGAGGTGTGTGGTCGGTTTGCTCCAGAGTTGAGACATGGTGATATTTACGGGTGTATAATTTCTAGTGAAGAGAAGTTGGATGGGCCGGTGACCGGAGGGGCCGGGAGGCTCGGGAGGGAGAGTTGGTGAGGTAGAATAGGTGAGATCTGGCTGTCGTTGCCGGAGATGCACACACTTACAAAGACTGGCTAATCAATTCAGTAATCGTCGTAAAAAAACGCACAGTAAGATCGCGTAGTATGATTGTTCTAGAAAATGGCAGGGACGGAGTAGGGCAGTTTGACCTCAAGGAGTTGATTTCTTCATGTGGGTATACCAAACTCGGTGTAGGAGGGGGCCGATGCGACTTGCTCCCTCTCTTATGCGCGATGCGGGGTATTATTGGGTTGAGCTGAGCTGTTCGTACATGCACAAGTGGGTATAATTAGTCCACGAACACCTTGCTCAACGAACCGGGTAGCACGTCGATGCCGTCAGTTGCTAGGGAATGAATTGCTCTGAGAAGTAACAAGGTGTGAACAACAGATAACGGATGTCGTGCAGCTGTGTTAAAGCTACTAGAATCTTTAGCTGAGGGTTTTCTCTTTCGTAAGTATATACTCAAGCTTCGGACGTCCACAAGAGCTACAATTACGGAGTCCTCGGCTACATGTGCTCGAGCCTTGATTACCAAGCCGCCGGTACTCCGTCGTTCGTCACTTTGGAACGATGAGAAAGTTACATACACACACTCTCATCGTCGTCCGACTGGTCATTGAATGCTTGAGAAAAAGCAAAATGTCAATTTAGGCAAATTGATGTGGTGCGTCAGGTGTTACCATCCACTACGGGACAACTCCTGTAGCCACACTTGCTCTTCTTCATCGGGTTTATCCGCATTTTCAGCAACTTCGAGTATCCGACAAATGATGCTGAGACGACCCCTTATCACCCTGGGGCATGCATGACATGGCATTGCACAACTATGTCAACAATATGGACAATTGCATGTCAGCAATCTTGCTTGGGTTGTATCACCTCGAACCATTCCTAGCTTCAACATGGAAAGAAGCGCCGTGAGAGGCCTGGCTCCCGTTTCTAGGCTCAACGGCATTTGGTCTAGCCCCAACTCGGAAACTCGATAAGTCCGTAACAGTCCAGAGGCTTGAGACCTGCGAGATCCCAAGGTGCCGCTTACGGGAAGTATGGCTAGCGCGGGTATCAAAGCTCTCGTCCCGAAGCTCACCTGGGTAAGTTGTTGTGAAGAGTCCAAGTCCCGTCCAGTGCACAGCTATTCTTCAGTCCAATCGCGAACCACCTCTCGATGTCATCTCCAAATGGTTTGTATTGTGTCGGTAACCTTGCATGATCCATCCCTTTAGTGTGAACCCAGCCTATCTATATCACGTAGCCCGTTCTCCGCCGCCGAGCTCATGTTGGCTAGTAGTCACCATACCTATGTACTTCTGCACTGAGCCAGTGCGCATTTATTCCAAAATTCCAAACTCCGTCCCATGCTTCACATGTGCCATAACCCCCACCCCCCTCGAACTTTTCTCCCGGACCCATCTGCAGGCTTATTAAAACAAAGTGTGACTGAGAGAAGCCCCTAGTTGCAAACGGATGAACCACGTCGTATTTATGAGTGCTTTTGGCGTGATTAAGCTCGAATGATAATGTCAGTTCCGTGACCTGTCTTGTTTAGGCGGCGTTGGCTTGTTCGTATCGTGAACCCCTGCTCCTCTACTTCATGCATAGAAAGCTTCCACAAAGTATATGAAGCCGAACACCAGGAAAGCAACCGCACCTCCAATTGTGACTATCAAAATTCATTAGCACATGTTTTTCCCAACGTGGATGAATACGCGGTTTCCCGATGACTTACCAACTTTCAAGCTGACCTTCCCGGCAATGGCTCTCCCACCAATAACAGCAACGCCCGTACAACAAGCATGCCCCAGCACCGCACCAAGCGTAACCCACCACCAGTCCTGCCCAGCCGCCATGGCAATCGTCGCAATCTGGCTGCGGTCGCCCCACTCGCCCAGGAAGGTCATAATAAATGTCTGGACCCAAGCGGGGCTCAGTAGCAGCGACAACAAGTTAGACAATCCCGTGCCAATGGCCATGACGCCGCCGCGAGGCGACGGACTTCTAGCCGGTGACGTCGAGGGGCTTCGCGGCGGGGTCGGGAAGCGCGACTGCGATCGCGACTTGCGGTTTCGGCTCAGACCCATTTCCATGGCGTAGGGAGTGACCGAGGATCGGCGCCGGCCTTGCTTGAGGGCCTGATGCTCTTTCTCCTGGAGCTCCATCTCGACTTCCTGCATTTCGGCCGTGACGCCCTCGTCGGGGCTCATGGCCATGCCCTCGCGGAGCAGCTTCGCTCCGAAGATGAAGAAGAGCCCGGACGCGAGGAAGGCGGTCACGCGCTTGGGGATCAGGGCTGGAACGGTATGCCCGAGGACAGCGGAGAGGACCGTCATGACGAGGAGTGCGCCGAATGCTGCGGAGAATACGACCATACGGTCATGTTTCATAGCCATGAGCGCGGCCACAAGGAATGTCTTGTCGCCAATCTCTGAGAACAGAATCATAGTCAGAGAGAGCAAGAAAGAATGGAAGGGCTGAATGAGGCCCTCGCCTTCTTCATCGGTGTCTTCCTTCCATGTCTTCTTGGGCGTCGACTTGGTTGGCTTCGAGATATCGAGATGATCTTTGTTGGCCGAGTCGGGGATCGGATTCGGGCTGTCTCGAAGCTTTTCTGGAAGATCTGTTGGTTTGTCCAGCCCCGCCACTTCTTCGGCTGAGAGCTTCTTGCCGTCCTTATCGCCTAAAATCTTCTCCTCCTCGCTGTGTGGTAGAGGAGGGGCTTCCTTGGGGGTTTCTGGTACATTTTCAACCTTCTCGCCCGTCTGACCCTCCTTTGCCTTCCGCGCCTTGTCCTTCTCACTCACGCCTCCCTCGGTGCCCGTCGTGCCCTGCTTGGGAGACTTGTGGTAGGGATCATCCATGACGCCATCGTTGGTCTCCGGAATCTTCTGGCCTTTGTACATGGTCTTGTCGGTCGACGTATCCTTCAAAACTGGTAGCTCTTCCGAGATGTCTGAATCGCTGACACCAGTCTTCTCGCCCTTGTGAGGGTCAACGAAAGGCCCTTCGTGTGGTTTTCCATCCTTGCCATCAACGGGTGCATCCTTGGTGCCAACGTCATATTTCACCTTAGTAGATGAGCCGGTGATGTGATCGACGGCCGGGGCGCGAGCATCCTGCTCTGAGCTGGAGTCGATGGTCGAAATCGCGAGAGCAAGCGTCGGCAGTAGGAGGAGGAGGAGCGGGGCGCGTCGGTGTCGCAGTCTCATGTTGGCGGTTGTTCGAGGAGCTCGAGTCTCTTAGTCTGGTGGTCAGGACAGAGTGCAGGAAAGTGCCCTTCGTAGTCGGCGGCGGAATCGCAGAATATCTCGTAGTTGGCAATTGCAATACTCTCGTCGCAGTCCAACCCGAAATTGAAAGGGGTTCGCCTGGTTTTGCTTTCCCTGTGTGTCCTGGTAGAAAAGGCGAAGATGATCAACTGCAAAATGCAATGATGAATGTTCGAGGCGAAGCTATTCTAAACTTTTAGTGCGATGGAACACGCGGCCAAAGCCCCTGGAGTTCAAACTTGCGACCCCAACCGCAAAGTTACCTTAACTCAAGGTAGCAACAAGTCCAGTGATCAACGTCGTTGCCACCCGGTTTTAGAGGACACAGAAGAGTGCCCGAGGAATAGGAGTAAATGCAGAGTCGGGCGCTTGAGATAGGGGAAATTCCTCAATCAAACTGGAAAAAGTTCAACCAACACGACGTGTTCTACATCTTGCCATCCATTAAATCCCTGGAATCCCTGCGCCGCTAAATTGCTTTTTAAGTGGATCTGGAAGCCGGGTACTGAAGGAGAAGGAGGATCTCTGCTGAATCTGATTGGATTAGAGACAAATGGGATGTATGTCTGGGCCGCTGTGCCACCTCTTTCAATTCCAGGCTGAGTTGGCAGCTACATCTGCCTTGCTATATTATTTACGTTCGAGGACGTCATGTTGATTGTTTGGACAACTTTCAGGGGATCAACTTCGGTTCTTCCGAATCCTGACCTTGAGTAAATATTTCATGAGCACATCCGGTTTGTACCATTACCTAGGACTTTGAGACGTATGTTCTCCAATCTGGTTTCCAATCTGGTTTCCAATCTGGTCGCCAATCTGGTCGCCAATCTGGTCGCCAATACGAAGTATTAGATGAGCCGTGTGTCGTGTCAACTCCACCATGCAGAGATGCAGGTCTGATGTTTAGAGACAACCTCACTCTTGACAATGATACATAAAACGAGATGACTGTATCGCGTTTCACCCTGGCAAAGGTCTGAAGTGCATGGTGACCTGGATTTCAGCAATGCTGTGCGCGGCGATCTCTTCTTACCAACGAAGCTGCGCAGATACAAGAGCTAGCGATGCAGAAGTAGCACCAGCGAGTCAATTGAAACAAAAGTGAGTCTGTTCGCCGTGGTTCAAACACATCAATTTTCAAACACATACTGAATCAACCTTATGGTTTCCGGACGCGTGTCCCACGTATCGGACCGTAGAAGCTTTCCACCCAAGCAGATTGATTCTCGGGATTGATGCCTTGATGTCAGACTCAATGTTCCGATGCGGTTCTCTGAGAATTCTGGGGAATGCAATGAAGAGGTCGCATTTCGATTCACTGATAGTATCAGATCAAAATGGCCAGCTGCTATGGTCTTTCTGTTGCCACAGAGACACTCGCTAACTCGGCCAAAGACATGGAAGAGAAGGTCCTTCTGTTCTCCTCTTGGGTATCGCCGAGTAACCAGTCGAGATAGCTTCAAGGTTGAGGCAAGGTTGAGGGGTTCTCTTGTTGATATGCTTGCACTTTGGAAACACCGTTCCTTCACCTGATGCTACGTGAACTTGAGGGCTGAATGAAAGAGCCTCTCCGAAGACTACGAGTAACAACGCAACAATGACCCGCAATTGGTATGTGGTCCGTGCGTATTAACCGACACGGTGCCGCTTCCATTCCCGCAAATTATTTTATGTTTTCATCCTTGGTCAGCTTTACCCTACCCTTCCCCTAACCCTCGACAACATCTTAGTCTCGGTTCATCGCAGCCGTTCCTTCCCTCGCGACAAGTAACGGGGCTTCACCGGTCACATCATCGTCATGACGGGCCGACGCGGTCGCGCTGGAGGTCGTGGGGTCTCACAAGAAGCCGCCTCGGCTGAATTGCCCACACCCCGAGGCCCACAAACCAGATCGACTCGGCGTGCTGAGGCATCCAAACTGAATCAAGATCCAGTCCCACGACGTGGGGCACCCCGGGCATCAACAGTTAATAGCATTCCTAGCGTTGCCACCACCGACTTTCCTCGGAGCAGTTATCCAGCAAGCAGTCCCCCGTCTAGGAAACGGGCACTTCGACCTTCTGGAAGTCCTGCGTCTAAGAAACAACGTTCGTTCACCTATTTCATACATCAGTTTCATCGCTGCTTATGCATTCAACAGGTCTTTCCTCTGTGGCTAAACACGGCAGGTCTCTGTTAAAGAGATCAGGGCCGAACAATGGTCCCCGTGATGGCAACACGGCAGACGAAGCCAGAACTAATGCCGGTGCTACTGCCCCCGAAATGATCCCAGAAGAGGTAATGGAGGACATTATGGATGACACCATCAGGAGCAGCTCCAAGCTCTATGAGCATATCATCTCCCTCGGCGCCCGGAAACCTACCGACAACTGGCGCTCGAGGTTGCAATACTTTCAGCGGACTCACAACTCCGTACGCAGCAACTTCGTAGCTGAGTCTGAGCCTTTCATATCCTCGGAAGCTTTTGAACGCAATTTGCCCTATGAAGTTGGCACCAAGTCTTTTCTGGCCGCGAAGAAAGTCATTTGCTTTGCCAATCTGGCCTCGCTCCTTCGATTCATCGTGGACCTCAAATATCAGAACAAGCCGGCTCGACCAATCCTTGAGGAACTCGACCGCCTCTTCCCGAACATGTTTGATCCTTTCATGGAGGATATCACCTCTAGCTTTGACTTGGCGTTTCGGATCCGCTGCTGCAACATGGTAGCTACAATAAAAGACGCACCAGACTCGAATCGCTTCCTCCTGGCTGCTGCCTCGTTCTGCGATGACGAGGTGGAATCTCCTGAGGATGCCCAACAATTGCTCCTCATGGGACCATTCAAGCCAGTAGCCAATGTAGACGTAAATAGCGATCAAGATTATCTGTTGCACATGGCCGATATCTACTCCTACTTGTTTTCCAATACGCGAGCTCAGATGATAAAGGATCTGGAAAACGCTTATCCTCTGGAAGACCTCCTGCGAGACTTGGAAGATTGGTTGTCCAATATGTTCCCGCGTCTGTACAAGGGCAAAGCCCCGGTCCACACCCCGCTGCTAGCAACGGACGTGATCGATCAAGAAGAGGATTCCATGTTTGTCGACGAAGACGACAACGCCGCCAGCGACTCTGGCGCCTCTAGCGACTCGGACTCGGAACCCGAGGAAGAAATCATACGAACTGGAGCACCTATGTAAGTCCCTTAGCGGTGCGAAAGGTGGTGTGATTACTAACAGTCCGAAGTGAGAGTTTCCTTGATGATAAAATCACTCTTGAGACCGTGGTGCAAAAGCAGCGTCGAGCTACGCCCCCTTCAAATCAGCAAGCCAACAGAGGCCTTCCAGCCATCGACCCACGCAAGCTACTTGGTCTCGATTTTCAGGAGGCCCGAAGCAGTCTTGGCCAAAATATGCCGCGGCTCGAAGCTGTCATTCGAGAGCCGCAAGAAAGTCACGAAAGACCTGGACCCAAGGGACCGCATCCCACTGTCGACGGTGAGGAGGATGTCTTTGGTGACGAATACCAAACCGACGTACGGCCTACAGATGAATCACGGCGAATTCCAAAGCTGCCGACGCCAAACCGCGCTCATTTCTCACGGCAAACCGCTGCGAGCAAATCCGAACGCTCACCTTCTCTCGGTGCTACCCCGGGACAGGAATATCCTGAGCGTCTGGTCGCAGGCGATTTAATGGCCCTTTCACAGAAGGCCAAGGCAATTTCCCGCATCGAAAGTGCCAGGCAAGCCAAAGGCCCACAAAAACGAACTTTCTGGACCCTAGATGACAATAAGACACTCATATCAGCCATTCCTAAGTATCAATGTTCTTGGGCGGCGATCGAAGATGCAGGGCTGTTTTCCGTCTTCCGCACGCAGCAGCAGATCCGAGATCGGGCGCGCAATCTGAAGGTCGACTTCCTCAAGGCCGATGTGCTCTTGCCTGCCGGGTTTGACGGCGTCTGTCTTGGCAAGAAGGAGAGGGAGGCTGTCATTAAGTGTAGGAGAAACCCGGACAGGACTGAAGAGGATGTGGATGAGGATGGCACCGTCATCAATACCATTTATGACCCTGAGGTGGAGGATCCCTTTGCTTGATGCATTGGCCACAAAAAGTCCGCAATGGCCATGAAGCTTCCGGTCACTGTGGCAGATCAACCTCCTTCATCTATTGGTGGCCTACATGGCCGACAGGTCTGAAGTGTCAGTTAAGTGAGGATCTCACGGTGTTTGGCGTTTGTTAGTGTAGGCCAGTGGACATGAAATACCCTCTGTAGACGAGTTTATCGTTGCAGTAGTTGGTTGGGAGCCAGTTATGTATTTACTTCGCGCCTGTCTGGTCGCGACGTGGCTTTGCACCCTATATTATTGTGCAAGCACTATCCAAGCCACTTGCCCTTTGTTTTCTTTTCATTGTTCATTTTTGCTTAATTATTTGAATACTCAATCACTCGCCATCATATTGTCTTCCGTGGTGTGTTCTGTGTGTGAAAGGACGGGACCAGCCTCCCGTGATGCGTGGTCGAGACGCCATTCGCATCAGCATTTGGCAAGCATCGAATGCCTTGATAAGTGTCACAATTAGGTCCTACCTAAGAATTTGGCGGCTGGATTACTTTCTCTATGCCCAGAAAATAATATCTCAATGAAGTACGGTCTTGATAACTAGGTGGCGATTACAGCGTCACGGGCCCTGGCTGCTGTATTGGCATGTGTCGTGAAGTCAGGGTAAAGCAACTGTCTGGTCTGAAAGAGAGTGTATTGACCATATTTCTACCGGAGGCGTCTGAAGATACGTATGATCCCTCTTTAATATTTTGCTTGGTTTTTCGGCTTTAATGCCAAATCGTCTGATCAGTTCTCTCATAACTCTGCAGAATCTAGAAAGGAACGAACCAAACAACCGAAAGTAGCTTGCCATTATGAAATCCCAATGTAACGAGTGAATCAAATCAACCCTCCACACTACTTAGCTCAACTAAGCCCAAACCCGTGGTTTACACCGCGATAGAGCCTGTTGACCCAGAAGACGAAACAAGGAAGTTCAGGAAGAAGTGAGAAGTTCGTGCCAGGTATTTGCCGTTCGAAGGAAACTTGGGATACTAGACGAGGTCTGTTCTTCCGGGACTTGTTGTTAACCGAATGTGTTAAGGCGAGATAGAGAAGACAGAGCGCTATGAGACCGAGGGGAGTAGACTTACTAGTTGGGGTCGACAGCCTTCTTCGCCTTCTCATCCCAGCGCTTTTCATCCCAGCGCTTCTCGTCCCATCTTTTGTCGTCCCAGCGCTTGTCGTCCCAGCGCTTGTCGTCCCAGCGTTTCTCTTCCCAGCGCTTCTCGTCCCAGCGCTTCTCCTTGTCGGACCAAGGCTTGGGGGCGGGGTCACGCTTGTCGGACCATGGGGCCGGGGCCGCAATGCCGACGCCCACAATGGAAAGGAGGACAACGGCGGAGAACTTCATTGTGAGTCAGGTTGGGGTGAACTGAGATTGTTGGGTTGGGTTTGTTAATAGGAGTAGACTCTCAAGTAGACAAGGTGATGGAGGTTTGATGCTGCTGAAGAAGCTATGTGTCGAGTCTTGCCTCTCTGAGAGTCAAGTATGGTGGACTTGTTGCTCTCTTTATAGTTTTGCACAAGCGAGATCAGTGACCGTCGTACCAAGGATACTTCGGCATATGAGCACTATTCTTCCAGTACAATGTACGGCGCAATGTGACAAAATGCTTGGTTCTCGCTACACCGCGAGATCACTCCCCATCTGGCCCTCGTGATGATATCATCTCCTGCTCCCAGCGATAGGATATGAACCTTCGGAGGTGCAATCCGAAACGACTGATCACGCCATAATGTCCACCAGACTTCTTTTCATCATGACCATCTATCACGCTGAAGTCTCATTAGGAATAAAACATGTTCATTGGTCCGGTAGATACCCCAAGGCGTCTGGAATCATTTCCGGAATGGTTTCTCGAGCTTGTATGACGCCATCAAAATCCATTAGAAAGTATCGTCGAACACGTAACGCCGCCATATTTGTGCAGCCAATAGATCACATGGAACGGTCATGGTCGGAGATGTGCTGGTTCATGGATGATTTCCATCTTACTCAGACAACTTCTCTTTGTGTGCGTAGCTTGATTGGTCATTTCGTCAAAGGGGATGTCAGTTGACAGTCCTATTCGTCTCCTGGGTCGGCACCCTATAGCTAGCCTATAGGAAAATCTTCAACATTTCGCTATTATCCTCGTTCGTTGGTTGCGGTAGTTCCGCGGGGTCCCGCAAAATACGATATATATCTTGTACAGTTTAGGAAACAAATGGCAATGTAACCAAACGACTTTGGCATGCACTTTCTATTTAGGGCCCTGTTTGGTCATCACAACACCGAAATGTTGGTGCAGGTGGCTGCGTTAGTAATCAGTCATCACTCATCTTCTATTGGACCGGCATAGAAACAGAATTAAACATGCAGACGATTATAAGTAACATCACGTGGCAACATGAATCGGACAGATGATTACATCAACACTAGAGACCCAACCCACCGCTCAAGTGCCGGCCTGAGACCCGGTCGTCGAAGCGGCTGCTTACACCATACGTCTAGAATACATCCAATGGGTTAAGTTTGGTTGAGTTTATACACAATCCTACACTGTCATCACACCGAGTTAGTCGTCTAACTGTGCCACCTACTCAGCTGACTGCATCTTGCCAACCCGCAATTCCGAGCTATTCGGAGTCTAGGTTCTCGAAGGGCGTCGGCATTGTTGAATACAGTGCATCCCGAATTTATTCTAGCTCCAGACCGCAGGGTTGGATAGTTGCTGGGGACGAAGGGGGCCACATTGTCGATTTCAAGTGAGAAAAGCAGGTGTTTGTCTGTCCCCTCGACCCCCAACTCTTGAGGTTTACTCTTCAGAATTCAAAGTCAAACAAGAATTTACAGTCGTCAAATCATAAAATCTTGCCCCTTGTCATCTCTGATAACGTATCCTTCACCATGCCAATCTCAGATCACGAAGAATCCGACACCCTCCTCGAAGCAGCCTCGGATTCTAGTTTTTCTGCGGTCAAGGAACTCAAGCACCCAGGATCCCATCGATTACGTTTCACCCGCTGGGTTTTCCTCTGCTCCATCACTGCAAACGTATTGCTTTCCCTTGCGGTGGCCAAGTTCCTCATATACTCTAGCGAAAGCTGCCATGATCCATTATTGCAGCTCTACTGTAAGCCGTCCAACCTAAATGCATTTAGTTCAATGACAGTAAAAATATCTCAAGCTCAGTAATTTGCACGCAGCACCGGCCCAAAACGCGGTTGAGTACGTCGTCAGCCACCCAGACGACAGTATCCACGGCACGAACGAATGGATGAACATGCTATTTGACGGGTCGGCCAATGGGGGGGTTGGAGAGCGCTGGAAGGGGTTGTATACCCGTAAGTCAGACTATTCAACCAGACGACCCAAGCAGGGTGAATAAAGGTTTGATAGAAAAGGAAAAAGAATACTGACCAAACTGCTTTCTTATCAGCCTATATGGACGTAGCCATAACCCAACAAGAGGCCGCCCAGTTGGGAGAACAAAGTGTCATGATCCCGGGAACAGACCAATATATAGTCGAGCTCGAAGTGCACCACCAATTACATTGTCTCGATAGCCTCCGCAGGGCTTTGTTTCCTACAACTCCCGGTCAAGGACACCAACAAAACAACTCTTTTTCGGCAGAGGTTGAAGAGGATGAAAATGATGACCCAGGGGCACACCACCCCAAACACCTCGGTACCGATTCTACTCTTACTTACCTTCACGCAATCCTACACACCTTCCCCTGAAACCTCTCACCTTCAGCTTTCTGCTGAAATAAAGGAGTGTCAAGCAACGGGCTGATACTTGCGCTAATAATGGCGCCAGACCACTGCATCGATTGGATTCGTCAAGCCCTCATGTGCTGGGTGGACATTACGCCCGTCAGCTGGGCCGTGGACCCGGCCACGGGGCTGCCCGAGCCCCAAATCCCACAGCAGAGGACATGCCGGAACTGGGACCTGGTGCAGGCGTGGGCCGATGGCCACCGGGTGTCCGATGACGTGCTTGAGAGTTTTGAGGGGGTTTTGTAGATTTGTGCGTCGGTGGTTATTTAATAGGAGATAGATTTGGTGTGGTCTGGACACGACATCTCTGTCTGCCCCCCCTCTTTCCCCCCAATTAAGGAACTGGGGTCCTAGCAAAAGAAACAAATCATCAAGGTCAAGTTCACTTGTAAACAAACACACTCGGCTTGGATCTGCACTTGGCAAATGGAATCCTGTATTCGTCAACGTAGCTAGCTGCCTCTTTGTGCCTGGGTATTCGTACATTGATTCTGCATGCGCCGTTTTGATGAGCCATAACATATCTGCCTTGGAACTAGCACTCAGCTCTAGCTACTATTGATCATCGTGATATGTTGTGTATGCATCGACCAAGATTACGCTGGAAAACACGTTAAGCTCCGAAAATTTTATGCAGATTGCGACTTGCTCCAGTCACTACTCCATATGAATGTCCCACACCGCCACTCGGTATTCTTCTCCTTCTCTCCTGACGGTCCGATGGGTCTGGGGCACATATAGAATGACCTGCCTGTGTGGATATTAGCATCTCCATGCGTACAACGAAGGATGCAAGACTAAAGCTCGAGAATAGCCATAATGACAGAGCGACAAAATACTTACCACAATTGACGCCTGCCTTCTTGGTCACCAAGCTTATGCAAGGCTCGCCATGCTCGCACTTGGGAACAACCCGCTTGCCAAGAAGTTTTGACCACGATTCTTTCGACTCAATCGGGTCTATGAACTTCTCGGCTCTGATTGGTGTGTGTGGATCATTGGAGTCATCTACGGTATTCGAAGCTCGGGAGTTTCCGGCTTCCTCAATAGCAAAAGCCGACGTATCATCAACATCGGTCCCAGGTGTGGGGTTTTCTTCAGTCTCGGGCTTTTTGTTGTCTGGGCTCGCCGTAGTTTTTGACTTGAAGAAGCCCATGAGGCTACTTTGCCCCCTCGAGGAGGCCTTTTCCTTCACCGGCGAGGCTTTGAGCTTCTTTTGGGGTCTGCTATTTGGTGCGGGCGCGGAAGGCGTGCGCTTGCTACCCGCATTTGCAGGCTTTTCCAGCGACACACTTGACGTGGTTGATTCTGCTTGAGAGGATAGAGGAGCGCTCGGTATAGGCTCTGACGACGCCGGTTCCGGTTCACTTACTGAAGCAGGGGTTGGAACCACCTTAGCTTTCTTGGAGAACATGTCCTTGATACTCCGGCGGTTGTCGAATTCAGGGATGAGCTTCGCAGACATCGACCTAAGATCCTTTTTAGACCAGTTTCTTAGTCGTTTCCCAGCCCGAAACATGCCTTCCGGGTTCATGATGTCTTTGAGATGGATTTCTTTGCCGTCCACCTTGACAACGTCGTTCAGGCTCGCGTAGACCGGGCAATGGTCGGATCCCATCAAGCCCTCCTGAATATTGGAGTCGACGACCCAATCCTTCATACCGGCACTGCATAGAACGTAATCAATGCGGCTGCCAAAGTTTGCTGGACGGGTATTCTTCTTGGTATCCCAACAGGTGAACATGCCTTGGCGGGTCGGGTTGAAGAGTCGACCCAAATCCCACAGTACAGGATCTTCTCGGCTCTCGTCTCTTTCTCCATGTACAACACCATCAAATACCATGTGGTTAAATAGGCGGCGGGCGGGCGACGAGAAGAAATCCTGCATCGCCATGGCCTCCTTTTTCAGCCTTTCGGCGATATTGGCGGTGTCGATGCCGGCACGGATGACATTTAGATCTCCGGTAAGAACCACATTTTTTCCCATGCCGACCAAGTTACGGATACGCAAGTCGAGTGCTTCGAGATACCCCAATCTGAAGTCGTCTCTGGTTTCATCGCGGTTAGCCGGGCTATAGGTTCCAATGAGAACGAAAGCAGGAAACTCGAGGATGACGCAGCGCCCCTCAGAGTCCAAAGTCGCATTGTCCAGAGTCCCAGTAAGTTGGCCCGGTGTTGGATAGCCGCCTATTTGTTGATCTTTGGGGAGATCTGAGAACTTGGTGGAGGAATTGGGTGGGCACAAAACACCAGTTATGCCTTCTTCTGCGCGGATTGGGGCGCATACGGAGCTGCGGGTATAGATAGCCACACCTGCGTATCCTTTTTTGTGCTTTGGAAAACTGAAGTACACGTCCCAGCCCGGAACGAGAACCATGTCATCAGTGAGATCCTTGCGCTGGATTTTGGTCTCTTGCATGACGACAATGTCTGCCTCGAGGATGTCGAACATGGCCTAGGCGGCTGTAAGTACATTGCACATCAATCATCTCGGATCCTTACCTCGAAAGTCCTGTTTTCTCGCCATGGCTGGTACCCAAAAGGATTCCTATTCAATAGGTGAGTTGAATGCTCACAAAGAGCTGCAGATCAAATCCCATACTTGATACCGTTCACTAAGAGATGTTAACTAATGATATGATGTCATCAGAAAGCAGCAAAGACCCACCGTTCCACGAAGTGATTCTAAGTACCATTGTGTCGAACTATGGCATTGCGCTAGGATGGTAATCGTTGATGGTGCAATTTTTCGTACATGCCTCTCCTACGAGGTCATTCTAATGAGTTGGGCACTTGTGAACAGTAAGAACATGCTCGGCTTCGGCATGGGCAGGATAGAGGAAGGCGGGAATCAGAGACGAATAGACCGAGGTTGTTGCAACGGTGTACTTCGTAACTAAAATGAATTGATTATCCCGAATGATATAGATTAAGCCGTTAGAGAGCAAGGTTACGCCATTTCGTGTAAATCTTCAAGCCGCGCAAGTTCAGGTCGTGCCTTCTCCAGAGAACGGACCCATGGACCCGCGTCTTCGAGTGGCAACCACCCGAGCGTCCCCGACGCCAAATCACCTGACATGCACTTTCCTCCTCATTTAGCTCTTTTCGTTTCTTTCTGCCTCAGGCACGAACTTCCAAACCTGAGGTCATCCGACACCACCTTATTCGCTCTCTCTTCCAAGCTTACTTCAATTGAACCGAACGCACGCACACAGAACCATCTCCCCTCAACGCCGGTGTAGCACCACGACAGTCGCCAAAAACCGAACAATGCTTCCTCAACGCCAAATCCTCCGCGCCGTCCCGCGGGTGACGGCCCAGCTGCGTGCTGCGAACCCGACCGTCTTCCGTTCGGCCCTGCAGCGCCGTCTCGCTTCTACCGAAAACGCCTTCGTCAAGGAGCGAGCGGCAGTCAAGGCGCACGCTGCGGCCACGACTGGTATGTTTGGGGCGATGAAATTCGTACGAGGAGGTAGTTGAGGGGCCAATGCTAATCAAATCGAAATTTACAGAACTCTGGCGCAAGATCTCCATTTAGTAAGCCCACTCCTGAGCGATTTCCTACAGCCAGCGTCGTACGATATACACGTCTAGCATCCACCACGTCGGACCGAGGATGATGCATGGATTCTATGGACGGACACGGAGGCGGAAACAGACATGGCTCGGAGAGCATGGCATCCTCCTCCAAGATCGAATCACTAACAAGCTCTTCAAATAGCGGCGTCATCCCATGCCTCATCCTCGCCGGCATCAACGCCTACAACCTGTGGACCGAGCACTGGGAGCACTGGTCGCACATGCCCCCCTTGGAGGAGCGCGTCGAGTATCCCTACCAGAACATCCGCTCTAAGAACTTCCCTTGGGGCAACGGTGACAAGACCTTGTTCTGGAACGATTCCGTCAACTACCACAACAAGGACAAGACCGCGTAAGCTGATATTTTCTCGTCCAATTTGGATCGGAGTGGGCTTGAGTTGCGAACGTTAGCCGGGAGACGGAATGAAAGACGGCGAAGGAGGGACAATGGCAAGTGGATAAGACGTGAAAACACCGAGAAATTGACCCTTAGAGCAGTGGAGGAGATCGACTGCCCATGCTGGCAGGTGATAACGCATTTCCGTGATATTGTAGATATTCCTTTTGTCACTGGCACAAGCACGGCATTGAAAACAGCCAGTCGGCTCTTTTTGTTATCTTGAACGTCATTACCATGGCAATATGCTTGGATTGATGCATTGCTAAATGCAAGTCCCACGGCACTCACATGCTCTTCTTGCCTGTATCCTTGATATAGTTGTGCATATCCATGAATTGTGAACCCAACGCCAACCGTGGCTTCTACAGTCCCATCCTATTACCCCTTACCACTGTATGCTGTATGCCTGTGTATGCCGATCCCAAGTCCATCGGCAGGTTCTCTCCCAGGCAAACCCTGGGGAATAATTTGGTTTGCCCACTGACCATGCTCCGAAAAATGCAAGTTTACTCCTTCCTAGGTTCCTCCACTTGTTCCGGCCGCCCGTCCTCATTTGCCTCAAATTCTGGGTTGTCCAACCAGTTTGAGTAATCGTCATCATCATCCGTATGTCTGCGAGCTCCCTCGAAAACCCGTTTCGGAAGTGCAGGTGGGCCTGGTTTGGGTAGTATTGGCACCTCGCTAGGCGTAGAGTGCTCATCACTTCCGTCAAAATCCTCGGAGTCCTCGACCCACGGCGGCATGTACGGATGAGAATGCTCATGGTCATGCTCTTCGTGCATAGGTGTGGTGGGTTCCGAGTCCGCGGGCGCTTCGACCACAAACATCTCATCGTTTCCTTCCTCCGGGTACCGCTCGGTTAAACGTCTACGTCTGGGTAAAGGGGGCGGCGGAACTCGGCGGTCTTTCTTGACTGAGTTGACACATGTCGAGCTTTCGCGTGCTGATGATGACTGGGGTGGAGGCATAGGCCTACGCTTCGGGACCGGCTGGGGGGTTGCTTTAGGTCTCCTGTCAGGTTCCGGCGGGGGTAATACAGAAGCAGGAATCGGTTGGCCTCGCCCCATAGGCTGACTGAGATCCACGGTTGGGTGATCGGGCTTGTGTCCATCTGGCCCTTGGTCAGAGTTACGTTGAAGGGCATTCAAACCCCAACGTTTCGCGGTAGCGGCTGCGTTGGATACCGCGGCAAGAGTGTTGCGTTTGTTTTCCGGAGCGCCGTTGGTCCCGTTCGATGCAACGGACTGCCCCGTCTCTCTACGTGAAAACAAGCCCCGACCAATAGACCCAGTAGCACTCTTCATCGATCCCTTGGTTGAGGGCGCGGGCGAACCCGATGAATTCGCCTCGCTAGAAGAGCTCTCAACCGATGAGGTCGTACCTCGTCGCGCCGGTGACACAGGTGTCTTTTCGTTTTCGTTTTCATTTCCCGCAGTAAGAGCTTCCAATGAAGACGTTGACGACCTTTCAGAAGCTTTGACAAACGACATGCGTGGCGATGGTATGCTAGTGGACGACTCCTTATTCGACTTCGCAGCCAAGTTGGCTATTGCGCTTACAGCATCGTGGTCTGGCGGCGATGAAGACGGCTTGAACGTTTCTGAATGTGTAGGGTCAGTGCCAACAGTTGGGTTAGATGCGGAAAAAGACCCTTTTCGAATAGCTCGTGGCATTAAGCTCGTTTCCGGCGTGGAGCTCCGCGGGCTCTTAGCATCGAGAGCAGTTGTTGATGCCGAGGCACTTTGATTTCCACCAACCGTTGTCGGTTTCTTGGCCACTTTCCGACCCCAGAAGCCCGTGGACTGGGTGCTGTCTTTTTCTACCACGGGCAGACTGTGGCTCTTTGCCACAGGCGGTAGTTCAGGAGACGTGGGCGCACCTGTCTCTTCTATATGAGATACCTCGTCCACGTGACCGAGCGCTGCGGCGATTTCCTCATAGTCCTCCGAGTGCTCGACGGCGTCGTCACCAACAAATATGCCTCCTCGCCACTGTTTGTGCTCCGTCTTAAAGAAAGGCATATCGTCCCAGAAAGGGAGCACAAGGGTCTCGGCAACAACCTCCTTGATGCGGTTTTCGATCTGGCGCAGGATGACTGTGTACGTGATTTGCCTTGAACTGACAATAGGCTCGATCATTGTTTCCATCTTGGGCATCGTCTGGAAGGAGAACCAGATGCGGTTGCTTGGAGGCGGCTTTATTTTGAAAAGGATGTGCCCTTCCAATTTCTTCAATACCACGGCCAGAACCAGATTGACCTCGCGCGCTTTAAAACGACTTCCAAGATCGATCCTTGCCGTAGCGGCCACTTCCAGCCGGAAATTACCAGTATACCTAACGTCAGCTTCCATTACGTATTCTCCTTCAATATTCAACTCCTTGAGTCGCGGATTCGTAATGAACGGAGTTGAATCTCCAGTATCGATCTTCTGGATTGCAATCCGTGTGAGAAACGAAGGGCGCTTGACCCGTGATATTTTCTTGGTGATTTTCTCGCGAATCGCATTCTCCATGTCGCAAGTTTTGTAGAGACCAAGGAAAATGCGACCTATCAGAGCATTGAGCCACCGGGTCTGCAAATGCTCCTCGGAAGAATGCAGTTTGTGTACCAGCGAGATGATGTTCTTGACTTCGAACCTTTGAGGCTGGGGCGCCTTGTTGTCGGGTCCAAAGACCTGTTCCTTGTTCCTAAGAAGAGCAAAGTAGAAGTCTTCCTTGGCGGAGCAGTTCTCAGAAAAGAGGTAGAAAGGCTTGGATATCTGGGTATCCGGGGCTATTTCGAATCCATCCTTGTTTCTCGACAGACATAATGCATTCCGCTTGATGTAGAGCTCCCCCTCGGGTGTCGTGTCTCCTCCAGAGTATATGCTAACATCATGGTGTGCTAGCGATATTACGTGCCGTACTTCGAGCTGCTCGTCATCATCGAATAACATCAGGTGTCCATGTCTGTGAGAAAGTTACTTAGTTAGCTAAGACTGTTGCGATGTGGATAATGGAGTACAAACCTAAGCACCACGTAGAAGACATTTCCAGCCCTCTTAGGCCGTCCACTACCACCGTTGGCGTTGTCAAGGGGACTTGGACTCTGCTTCCTGTCGAATATGCTCCGGTACATTACCTGGTACACACTTTGACTCGGTGCTGCGACCGTGGTCATTCCCACGGGGGTAGAACGCTCGATAGGCTTTGCATTGATGCCCATGGGCGTGTATTCTCGACATACTGCAAAGTATCCCGCCGCCACGTCTATAACATCTGTGTGCTTTGGTTTTCCCTCCTCTTCCTGCACCTTCTGAGCCTTCAGCGCCACCTTCAGATCGGTCGTGTCGTCACCGGGTTGGACGATGCTGTCGGATCCATCGTCTGGTCCGTTAGCCTTGTTATCGTTATCGACCTTGTGGCGAATTGGAAACGTGAAATACGCATGGATCAGAACTGCGACAAGTAGAAGAGGAATAAAAGTGACACCGCCCAGGAGGTAGGTCAGGAGAAATCCAGTCCAACTGCCCATGGCGCCGGGCTCAATCGGCTGGCAGAATGCGAGTCGTCTGCAGACCAATGTGCGGGCACAATCTCGAACCTCATCAGTGTCGAGCTTTGAGTTTGAGACGGATGGTGCGGGCTGATTACTCGCGGGATGGATATTACATGCTGGAAAACTGAGGTGGCAGTACAAAGTACAGAGGACACGATGTTGATTCGGGAACTTAGAAGGATGAAGATGCTAATTTAATGGTTGGCTTTGTCAAGCCACCACCCCTAGTAATCAATCAGCAGACAAGCAGGCAAGCACAAGCTAGCTGTCGAACGTCAAGGTGGTGGTGTCCCGCCTGCGCGGTTAATCAAGTGTGGGGTAAAATTGCATCTATCTGAAGCTAATCCATGCAAAAATGTCAACATCATTCTTTCCAGCAAATTTGACAATATCCAAGACATCTACAGCGTCTCAACTCTTCATAACACAGCAGGATATCTTTGCTAGTGTAAAGGTGACTCAAGAGCTGAAACTTGAAAATGAATACCAAGCCCGAAAATCAAGACGGTGCAGTCAATCATTGTCCTAGGCATGATCGACATCACCCGGCCGCCTATGTACTATGTCCGAAATGATATCTGATTGCAGAACTCACAGACAATGAATCAGCAGGTCTGCCGGAGCTTCAGTCTAGAGAAACGAGTCTTCTCTTCCTAACAGTCTCCATTTACTCAAGACCCCGAATAAGGTGTGCAGTACACGCTCCCATCCACACCAGGGCCAGCGGTTCTTCAAAGCTCTCTTCACGCGTTTGATATTTCATCTCAGGTAACTCGTTCCTCTCCTGGCTCACTGTCTAACTCGAACCATTCGCTACTCTTATCTACGTCTTCAGCTTCAATGCCGACCCAAGACAGGGAAAATACCAATTACCTCTGGCCTGTATATAATCCCATGGGGCCTACTTTTTTGACGTTCAAGGAACTACCACCTCAGCCCTAAAGTACTGATAATTCACACACCATACGGATGTGCGAATCTTTTACTGCACTTTTGTTCATGGCAAGAGAACGAAGTCCTCACTTTCCTTGCAGGTAGGCATTATGCTTATTTATGATGTTGATCAAGGGGAGCCTCAAAGCAAAAACTATAGCCGTGTCAAGAATGCAATGTTCATCAAGGTGCAATGAGCCAAAATGTGAATTCGGGAACCAGAAGTTCTCCCGTAACAGCTCATGTGCGCTTCGGAGTGTCTATGTGAGAACAGCGAATTGTCAAAAGGGAATGGGAAAAAGTAAGGAAGACACAGCTATCTCTTCAGAATGCTCTGATTGATGGACTTGACAACTCGGTTTATGCCCTGCTCAAGTACCCCTGACCATGACAGCCCCATTAGTGCAGTATTTGGAACATTTGAATGAACTTGCAAGCATTATTATTTATTTAGCTTACAGTATATCCAGCTTTACCCGTTCTCATCTATGCGCTTGGTCAACGGCGAATCAGAGTATCGAGAGCAACACAGCTTAAAGTCAACTATCCGACTCGGAAAGGCATACTGTGAACAAATGCGTTCGGAGTCCCCTGTACGCATTACACGCGTAGGAGACTGGCCTACAAAAAGGGCCAGGAGCCATTAAATCCGGATGCTGAAGATTAACCAATACCCTTGGGCTCATTAATACCTACTCCTGTAGAGAGTTTCTTAAAACATGCCTTGGAATCCTGTTAGACCAATGTGCCGAACCATCCATCCATCACTCCCTCTTCCCTTACCACTCCAAGTCCCTCAACTCGACATTCTCCACCAACAACCTCAGCGCCGGCTCAACCACCCCCGTCTCGGCCCTAAACCTCGCCCCCTGCTTCATCCTTGTATAGAAAACCGGACAATCCTTACTATCACACTCCACCTCATCCAAAGGCGGCATTCCCGCACAGCTCCTACACAATTTCAGCACATCCAAATATTTCTTCTCCTCCCTGCCTAGCTGCGACCGCAACTTGAGCATCGAGGCCGGCGCGTTCTCCAGACACTTATCGCACATGGACCCCTCGTTCTTAGTCTTGAAACCGCAGACTAAACATGCGGCTGCTTTCATGTACGCCTCGAGCGTCGTCTTCTTCATCTTCAAGAGCCCCGTCTGGTGATGATCGACGCGGTGGATGCGCTGCACCTTGGGCATCTCGTCGTACCACTGCCGGACGTTGGCGCCGACTAGATTAAAAATACGTTCCAAGGGCGGGATCAGATTCTTGGAGATATAGTATTCTGCGTCGAGCTGTAGGTGCGAGTTGCTCAGAAGGTCCTCGGGAGCGATGCAGCGATCGATGAGCCGCGCGCCGGGAGCCCCGGTCACGACCACGTAGGGGACTCTCTCACCGTACTGCGGTTCGGCCCGGGCGTCTTCGAGCATTTTCTTGGTGCTGATGAGAGCGCCCGGCGGTGGGGGACCTTTGTCGCTGTAGGTGCCGAGCTTGACTTCTCGCGCGAAGGAGAAATCTTGGATAGAGACCGCGCCACGCATGATTTTTTCGCATTGCTGCTGGAAGTAAGACTTCACTTGGCTTAAGTCCGCTGTCTCAAATAAGATCTTCAGTGCCTTTTCTTCGATCATTTGTTCCGCGGGCGTGCCGTCCCGCCTGACTGTCTCGATACCTTTGGCGTCAAAGTCAGGCTTTACCTGGACTCTGCTCTCGTACTTGTACCCAACGTAGCGCTTCTTTGCAAGCAAGACACACGGATGGTATACCTTCTCAAACTTGAGCTTCATTGGCCGGGGGTTCATGTCGGTGATGGTTTTAGCAATCTCATTACCGATGTCAAACGCCTCATTTTTCGTACGTCCAGGCAGATGGACGAAGAGACTATCTGTATCTCCATAGACCACTTCGGCTTTCCATTTCTGTACGGAATGTATGAGTGCAATTGCTCGCTCCAGAGTTTCCCTGCCAGTCTGGACAATGCTATCGGCAATTTCCGAACAAGGCATGCGTCCAGAAAAAGAAGCGGACGCGTACCCATAGGTAACATTTGCCAACAGCTTCAACGCCAACTGTCTGTTGTTGAGAAGCTGCTGCAGCGTTTTGTCGTCCTTGTCCTGCTTCATGCCGCTCTTCACCATGACTCGCGTCTCGAGGATCTCTGTGAGCATCTTCGCCAGAAGTGACTTCCTGATCTCTGGCTTGCAGTACATGATGCCGTTAGGAGCGACATTGATGTAATCCTTGAGCAATTCCAAAAGCCGATTTTGGCGCTCATACTCCATGAATCCCATTTTGCTCGCCCCACGCCAGTTGACGATCCGCCCTAGGAAGGTTGAATAGCAGTAGTTGTAAGCAATCATCACACTCGGGTATAAGCTCTGAAAGTCCAACACCAAGACTGGACTGTTGTAGAAGGCGCTTTGGGGCTCCATAACTAGAGGTAGACACTCGAGCGCATTCTGAGAACCAACTTGCTTCCTGTCGGGTGACACGAGTACGAGATTCTCCGGTTTGGCTATCCGGAACATGATCGATTCGACCTTGAACTGCGAGCCGCGCGAGAAGACCGAGAAGAAGTCTACTCCAAGTAAACGTGCCTGTTCACTGGTGCGAGGTATAAGCTCATTCATTTCCAGTATGTCGATGTCGAGCTTCGTACGCGTCAAGTAATACCGCAAGAGCTTGCTCAAATCTCTCTGCCTGCTATTGACATACCAGTCAGTCAACGTCCTCCATGTGTAGTGCGGAATGCGGCGGTGCAACAGATGCCAAGCGACATTCTCTATCGTATACTGGAGCAGGTTCAGCTCGCTTCTCATGGCCCTCCAAATATTGATCATATGTCTTCCAGTTACCCGGATTGTCGAGGTTGTGTTGAACCCCCACTTGTCAGCTTCTTTGCCAAACCTCCCGAATGATTGGCTTTTCATACGGGAGAACTCATCGCATAGGTTGTAATCGTACTTGAACCGAGCACGTTCAACCAGATACCCCCAGGAGCTGCCATGGACTTCATAGCCTGTCAGAATATCGGGATCCCGGGTTCTGACTATCTCTACCATGCGCACCATCAAGTCGAGTTCGGACGTTTCTTCGATGACTTCGACCGAAGTCTGCCTCTGTATACGCTTAGTCATCAAGCCATCCTCAGACAGGACTATGATTCCAGACTGTAAAGCCGAGGAAGCATTATCACTAGTAGCGAAGCTCTCATCTGATTTGAGACACCAGAATATGCATTGCACCTCGTCTTCTTCCGGATTTGGAACCAGTTTGCCTCTCGTATTGACGTGAATTTCCATGCTCATAGTGCTCATGTAGTATGCTTCAAATTGCACGCTCGTTGATTTCTTCTTCTGTGAGTACTTGAAACCATGCTTATTGTGAGGCGTAGGGCCTTCAATCTGGGACAGGTATGGCTTGAGTTCTGGATCGTGGATCTTCATCGAAGATTCCTGGTTGCCGCCATCATCCTGCCTTTCTTTGCTCCACTTCTCAACTTCTTCAAATGTTGGCGGGGGTGTTGCAATTTCCCAACTCCTCAACGTACATTCGCGCCGCTGTCTCTGGTATAGTTTCTCATCCGTACCCTTGACGGCAGCCATGCCAGACTTGATTCCAAAGGTTGCAGGAGATGAGCCTGTATCGTCGAAGTCTGGAAGGTATGGTATAGTATTACTTTCGAGTTTGTACTCTTGTCCAGCATACTCTCGCGTTCGCTGAGGTACATCCCCATCGTTGCTATAGAAAGCATCTTGGTATATCACGTCAGGCTTGTCATTGGCTGCCATCGTGGACACGACATCTGTAATGGGGGGTGGCGGCAGTGAAAATACGAAAAACCGTGATCCAGGCTTTGCAACACAGCCAACATCAACCGATATCACTACGTCATGGCCTTTAATGGTGCTCGTAGAAGCCATGGAGCCTCGCTTAGTCGAAATAGGACTTGCAGTCGACATGTTATCAATCACAGCTACCAAGTCTGTGTGCTCAAACGATGATTGCTTCTTGAGCGTTCCTTCTTGGCTTTGTTGCGAACTCGTCTGCTGACTCAGTCGCAATCGTGTGTTCGGGTCATTGGGATCTTTGACGACGGCAAATTTGAGGGTTTGGTTACTCATCTTTCTACCACTCTCGCTCTTCAGGCTTGATTTTTTGCTTTGAGCTGTCGCCTTGGGATTGCTGGCCTCGGTGGACGCTTGGATTTGTGGCAATTCAGATTGATCTGCTTCCCGTAAGTTCGAGGTCGTATTTTCCCCGTGCAAGACAAACTTGACTCGGCGACGCTTTGCCTCATGATTTTCATATTCTTCTGTTGACGACCGCTTCGAGGTCCCAAGTCCCTGATCTCTAATCGGGCGAGTCTCCCTTGGGACCTTGCTGATCAAACCTTGTTCTGTTGCAGCAGAAATCAGTTCCGCAGGTACAGGAATATGTGGTCGTTTACCAGACTGAAGACGGCTAACGTAAACTCCTTCGGGAAGACTCGATGACGGACTTTCATTTGCGTTGCCGTTAAGGTCGACAAAAGCAGGTGTTTCTGGATTGTCTGATAAACCGTTAGACTCCTTACTATGTGCACCCTTGACTGGACGGGTTTGTTCTTCGAAGGCATTTTTGCTGGAGTTGTCAGACTTCGTATTAAACTGATCCAGCACTTTCAAGTCTCGAAGTGTTTCCTCATCAGAGTCATCGGGAAAGAAGTCATCATCGTCTGGATCAAAGGCAAGAATGCGCTCCTCGTTCACCATGATGCTCGCTGACGGGCTTTCTTCTTCACCAGGCAGCGTACCTGGCAAGCCTAGGATAGGGGCGAGATTGCCTGGATACAGATCTTCCACTGACTGCAGTAGAGTTCTCACCGTCGATTCCAACTGAATCCGCTTCACGAAATTTTCAAATGTGACCTCGGTTCCATCATTTTGCCGCACCTCTTCTTGCACAAGTTCATCAATCTTCTCTCGATACTCGTCTTCGTGGACCCACCCGGCCGTTTGTGAATTGCGAGGATCGACAGACATAGATACCAAGGCATCTGGAGGAAATGGCGTGTTTCCAGGCGCTGGATTTAACATCCGCCTCTTTCGGCGTTTGGTTTCATCTTTCCACAGCCCAGCCATGCTGTGAACAAGTTTCATATCCGCGGGAAGAGGGTTCTTCCTCTCGATGAAGTCATGATGAAGCTGCCTCTCTTTGATCTCATTTCTGTTGAGGATGTCTTGAACACAGATGTCAACCTCTATCGAGCAATGACTAACCCGTGGAAGATCTGCATCATCGGTAATGAGATTGGCAGGGACGGACTGCCGATGCCAGACAGTTGGCAATTCGTTGTCCTCCTCAGGCTCCGGCACGGGGGCTCGAAAACAAACCTTGCTGACATCGATATAGCTGCAACCGTAGAGGTTGTAATCAGTCATGAACTGCAGGAGGTATTGCAAGTGCGCCTCATACGGTTGAAACTTTCGGTTCATTATAGCTCCTTGTTGTAGCAGTTCCGCTAGTCTCGTCATGACCATGGGGTTGAGCATATAGATCTTTAGGAAGAAGCGATAGCCGACGTAGAATCCAAAGAAAGGAATGCCTTTAGCCAGAGTAATCCTGGCCACAAATTTGGGACTTTCACCATAAATATTGCGGCGGTAGCTGACGGCAAGCGCATGGTCGATGGACAGATGCAGGCGGTATATGAAAGCACCCACTACGCGCAAGTCAGAACAGCTCAGCTTTTGGTAAATCTAATCTCACCCACCTTCGTCTTGGCTCAAGCTGCCATTATATTCAATGTAGAGGTAAGGAAATGCGCCGTGGATATGAGCACAAACTTTCTGGCCAGTTTCCGTCGATCCAAAGACCCTAATGACAGGGACCTTGGGCTCCTTGCGCATCTGGGATTGACGAATTTCCTTGTGGAGTTGGGGGTCGTATTTGGTCGAATTGGCTTGATAGTGATCAATACAATTCAACCGCACTCGAAAGATGTCCATGGCAGCGCTTGCATAGTGCAAATCATGAAAACCAGGTAGGCAGCTGAAGTTCAACAAGTCAGCAAGAGCAAGGCATCTGCGCGATGTATCTGACAGCAGGGTGCATAGACGTAGAACTTTAGAACGAACCACGACGCGTCCTTCTCAAGCGGAGACGCGTTGGGCTGATGATGTTAAAACTCTAGCCAGATTTGAATGTCGCGCTGTCAGGTGGCGATTGACAAGAGAAAACCAGCCACTGCCAAGTCTTCCAACAGATTTGAATTTAAAGTGCAACCACAATAGCCACACATCATTATCGATAACACAGCAACTGAATAGTTCAAGCTCAAGACTACCAGATCATTGCGAGTCCAGACTTGCACGTCCCTAAGCAACTAGGCAAATTATATTCTTACAATCTCATCGAAGACACAACTCATCATGCCACCACCCCCTCCACCACCCTCAAGGCGCGACGCCGGCAAGGCCTCGGCCGCCTCCAAAGAAGAGAACATCTACATCCCATCCTTCATCAGCAAGCGGCCCTTCTACGCGGGCGAAGAAGGCGACGCCACCGACTACCTGGAGCATCAGCGCGCCAAGGCGAAAGAAGAGCAATCGCTGGCCGCGAGCCGCATCAAGAAGGTCGGTCCGGCTGCGACTAAGTTCCGCAAGGGCGCATGCGAAAACTGCGGCGCAATGGGTCACAAAGCGAAGGACTGTCTGGAGCGGCCGCGGGCAAAAGGCGCACGATGGACGGGGAAGGACATCCAAGCCGATCGGGCGATCCAGGAGGCGTCTTTGGGGTGGGACGCGAAGCGCGATCGGTGGAGCGGGTACGATCCTAAGGAGTATCGGCAAGTGATGGAGCGTTATAATCAGATGGATGAGCTGCGCAACCAGCTACAGGATAAGAAGGGTAAACCTGAGGACGATGGGGATGAAGATAAGGATGCGGGGGAGAAATACGCCGAGGAGTCGGATATGGGACGGCATCAGAGCACGGCAACGCGGCAGCTCAGAATACGAGAGGACACGGCGAAGTATCTGCTAAATTTGGACCTGGAGTCGGCCAAGTACGATCCGAAAACGAGGACAATGGTGGACGCGGGCGCGACAGCAGACAAGGCCGCTGAACTCTTTGCCGAGGAGGGCTTCTTGCGAGCATCTGGTGATGCGGCGGAGTTCGAGCAAGCCACGCGATACGCATGGGAGGCACAGGAGAAGATGGGCGACACGACGCAACATCTACAAGCCAACCCGACAGCAGGCGAGTTCTATCGTAAAAAGGAGCGAGAAGAAGCCGAGAAGAAGCGGGATGAACGGCTCAAGTTATTACAAGACAAATATGGCGGGGACCAGCACACGATGCCCGCCGCTCTCCGGGACGTCGCCGTCACCGAAAACGAGACCTTCGTCGAGTACGACGATGCGGGACTGATTAAGGGGGCACCCAAGGCACCCGCGAAGTCCAAATACGCCGAGGACGTGCATGTCAACAACCACACGTCGGTGTGGGGCAGCTGGTGGTCGAATTTCAGATGGGGCTATGCTTGCTGCCACTCATTCATCAAGAACAGCTACTGCACGGGAGAAGAGGGCAAAGAGGCATGGGAAGCGGCCGAGAAGCAGAGGACCGGTGTCGGTCTCATAGAAGATGTGCCGGCCGAGCAGAGGGATGCACCCGAGGCACGGCCTGTGGAAGCGGCAAAGCCAGTGGCCAAGAAGCGTACGGCTGAGGAGATGATGGAGGAAGAAATGGAGGAATACAGGAGAAAGCGAACAGCAGCAGACGACCCCATGGCAAAATTCCTTGGGAAGGATGATAGCTAGCCGTGGCTCATCCAAAGTAGAAATAAACAGCGGTATCAAGTCGTCCCGACGTCCCGAACCTTGACAAAGACGGAAGCTTCTCACTTATTTGTTATAATGATCATGCGTCCTCTCGGTGGTTTTTGTCACTGACTTCACGAGTGTTTGGTAACGCAGCGCATATTTTTGGTCAAATCTGCATGCATTCCTGATTCCCCGGGCCTAACGCCGTGAGCTATGAACGAGTTTTAGACTCCATATGCCCATAGTATGATCAGAACTTCCGGCCGTAGCCCAATGACCATGTGCATGTTTTTATGATGAGAGCAGCATTTACTCTTCCTCTTCCTCCTCCTCGTCATCACCTCCGTTCTCAGCAGCCTTGGCCTTCTTTCTGCGGACACGACCGGGGCGGCCTCCACCAAAGGGCGAGGTCAGAGAGAAGTCGATGTGCTTCTGGGAGTCGAGACGGACGATGAAAGACGGGACGTTGACAATCTGTTTGCCAACGCGGATGTGGCGCTGTCGGATCAGGACACGGGCGTGGTGGATGGACTTGGCAAGACCGAGCTTGTAGACACAAGTCTGGAGGCGGCGCTCCAAGAAATCCTCAATCTTCAGGGCCAAGACGTAATCGAGCTTCATTCGCGACTCGTCGAGGACACCGACACGGACGAGACGGCGAATGAGGGCATTTCCTTCGAACAGACGCTTAGGGTCCTTCTCGTCGAGGGTAAGCAGCTCACTGTGGCAGAAATCAGTCAGCATATGCTGTATGAGTGGAGTAGCAATTGACGAAGTGGCTTTTTTGAGAAATAGACGTACCGAGCAGCACGACGAATCTTGGACAAGGTGAGCTGGACACGCCAGACCTCACGCTTGTTGCGCAGACCGTACTCTCCAACGAGCTTCAACTCGGAATCACTATTTTGGCGAACAAGTCAGTATGGGCATCACATACGACATGAGCAGAGCACGCTCTAACTCAGTGGCCGGTGAAAACTGACAGTCGGGCGGCCTCGAAGGGGCGACGGGGGACCTTTGCGGTCTTTGAGTAAGACAAAGGCGCCATGATTGCGATGGCTTACTCTTCGATGGGAATTGAGCGAGTGAAGAGGAATTGGCGATGGCTTCGGGTCTGAAGAATGGAAATAGAAAAGTTCGCAGCTTTGACCTCAACAATCACCCAGCAGGCAGAAAGTGCGGTGCTCAAAAGTGGGTCCTAGGGCTCTGGATCCTGCCTGAGGCAGCCAAAAAAAAGCGAAGCGGGAGGCGCTTGGGCCATTGAGGGTCCCCCACTGAAGCTTGGTTGGCTACGACTGTCGCACCGCCAAAATTCATCGACTTGGGTGAAATTGACGACTTGACTTTGGTGATCTTTGAAAAAATTCCCCCAGACCCAACGACCACCACGAACCCATCCACAACCTCCAGTAACGACACCACACCGCCGTCAAGATGGGTCACGCTGCAGGTCTTCGCGCTGGCACGAGAGTACGTGATATTCTACTTGCGAGGGGAATTGCGAATCTGGCGATTAATTTGGACATCGGGACTAACATGGCGCTGCAACTTGTAGTATGCCTTCTCGCGAAACTTTCGCCAGAAGGGCATGATCCGTCTGTCCACCTACCTCCGACAATACAAGTATGTTACCACGGACCAATTCGCCCGGCTGCGAGGAGTAGCTAACGATCAGACAGGGTTGGCGACATCGTTGATATCAAGGCAAACGGTGCCGTTCAGAAGGGGTAAGATAACACCATTCCGATCTAGAGCTCGAATAAGGAAAAACTCGATATCGCGGCGTCGACTTGCTTGAGAAAATATCGCACGAGAGAACCCGAGACTGACCGAGTCAACAGTATGCCCCACAAGGTCTATCATGGCAAGACCGGTGTCATCTACAACGTCACCAAGAGCGCCGTGGGTGTCATCATCTACAAGAAGGTGAAGCACCGCTACATCGAGAAGCGCATCAACCTCCGCCTCGAGCACGTCTCCTTGTCCCGCTCGCGTGAGGACTTCATCAAGCGCGTCAAGTCCAACGCAGCGGCCAAGAAGCAGGCAAAGGCGGACGGTGTCACTGTCCAAGTCAAGAGATTACCCGGCATGCCCCGCGAGGCACGAACGATTTCGATGAAGGACAACAAGCCCGAGACGGTGGTGCCGATTGCGTACGAGACGACTATTTAGAGGGGGCATTTTATTGTGCGTTTTCAGGGTCGTCGGTTGCTTTTCTCACTGCATGGGGTTCCAGAGGTCACTGGTCAGGAATGATATCTGAGCACGGCATGGCAGGACATGAGCAATGCCAACAAGAATCACAAAAATGATTTAAAGCCAATCTGGGTGTTTCACGTTGTGTGATGTATATGGATCAGTTCAACTGCAATTATGCTGCTTGCAGCTGGGTAATTCCAACCTGAAGGCCTGCGCCAGTTTCTCTGGCTGGGCCTGTTGTGGGGCTGCGAATATCGACATGGGCTGCTCAGCAGATGCGGAGGCAATAATATTTACATGCAGCGACGTGCTCTCGGCATCGTCGCCCGAGCCGCTTCTCAATGTCCAATTTTGCCACAACCCGCATTAGGGAATAGCGCGCCAAATCTCTTTTAACGACGCTCTCGCAGGGTAGGCAATCCAGCAAATACGGAGGCGTTGAAGCAGTGATGGCAAGCAGCAAGTGCCACTTGATGTCTTCGTATCTGATAAGTGGAGCGATTTTGACCCTTAAGATCAAGTTTCGATGCATCATTCTGACAGCAGCTTGATGTGTACAATAGTAAGACCTCCACCAATGCCGATCGAACAAGTCGGAGCTCAAGAGCTCCTTGACAGAATTGTTGACCTCGAGCAAGATCAAAAGTTCCTCTGTCAGTTCGCAACACCAGCTCCCAAGAACATCATCAATCAAATCCATCCAATTCACCCATCCTTCCTACATCCTTCGAATACTACCGACACCTTACCCACGCTTCTCGCTCCGTTCAACCATAGAATAAGTAGGCAGGCCCGACGAAACAGAATGAAACTCATGCCTTCCCACGTCGTGCTCCATGTCCACAGCCCTAGTATCCCGAGGCTCACTATCTATCAACTCCGTTCTGCTCTCGTTTATATTCCGCTTCTCGTCCCCTTGTAACGTAGAAGAAGAACGGTACATCGGCGCAGGCGACGTACTCTGCTCCTGCCCGGACACCGTAGCCTGTGGGTTCATGGCTTGATCATGGTCCCGCTGGGCTTGCTTCCGCTCTTGTCGGGCGCGGAACCAGCGGGCGAGGGGGCCGCCGTGGCAGCCTCCTTGATGCAAGCGGGGGTGATGATGGTTGTTGCTAGACTGGGTTTGATGATAAGGCGCGTTGGTAATGCTAAGGCTGGTGGGTGTCCAAGTTGCTAGAGGTGCGGGATGATGAGTTACGCGATTTTTGCGGCAGCAACCCATTGTAATGGGGTTCAGTGTTTCATGTAGATTTTCAAGGTGATGGATGCAAGATTATATAGATAGTTGAGAAGCTAGAGGTGTACGGACTGTGTAAACGATGCGCCACGTAGTACTCTAGTTATATCAGGTTTCTCTCAATCGACAAAGATAATCAAGGCTGTCGTCATCAGAAGGAAGACATTGGGAAAAGTAGGCAATGCTCGTCACTTTATATACACGTTTCAGTTCTTCCAACAATTTGAAGTCCCGAGGTCATCCATCGCAATTTCTTTCCTTTCGTCAAGCGAATCTGAGACATGACATCGATATGCATGATCAAACTCCGATCGAACCCTTAAACTCAATTTTGCAACGGGCAAATCCATAACGAAAATCGGTACAATCTTGGTGCTATGCACACGAAGCTTGCGTGGAAAGCCACGAAAGGGTTTACCCAGCTTGCATTCGGCTTAGCGCCATTATCGTCCAAACATTTCGACCAATCCCTTAGGTGGCTGTGATGTCGCGGTCTGACTGCGGGACGTCTCAGTCCGAGTCAGGGTACTTGTTATTTGCGAGTACCGATTTCGATACTGATTCGAATTTCATCTGATTTTACTGACATAGGTTCCTAGGTTAGTATGTAGTTTGGCTTCAACGGCCTCTGGAATTTTCGTGGCTGGAGAGAAGTGCTGCCAACAGATAGTTAGCATCTGTTCCAAGTCACCAGAGCATGACATCTTCTACTCAGGCTGGATTTGTCGCGTTAGAGAGCTTCGCCTCTGCAATACTAACGCTTCCACCGTAGCTGGATGCCCCGGGTTCGCAGGCCAGTTGGATGGCAACGCCTTTTTAGTCACAATGTAAGGCCGGTCCATCCAACTTCAGTATTTCCGCATCGGGAAATGTCACAACGCAAGTTCAAAGGGCGTGATTCGCTGCTGCAAATGACGATGCAGTTGCGAGGGTCTTTGTGCGAACAACGTGATTCGCTGCTGCGACGCGGGTCCGGACGACGTGATTTGCCATCGCGAGGATGTGAAGTGCGAGGATCTTGTTGGCTATAGCCCAGTTTCACTAACTACACATCTCGGTGTTCCTCTTGTTTGCTGTAGAATAGCATTCAATTCCCTAATGCCCAAGCAGCATCATATCAAATCTCTTCTCAGATCATGTAAGAAGACCTGGATGTCTGCAAAGTTTCATCCTTCTAGACCAAGATCCCTGCAGGCCAGGATCATCCAGAGCAATGATCATAAGAATGTGCAAAGTGTTGACTGTGCAGATCAGAACCATCTTGACCAAGACCATTCAGACCAAAATCATCCAGCCAGTTTCTCTCCTGTGAGTCGTGCATGGTTCTTCCCAGGTTGCCCAAAGTCATCCGTCAGATCCGAGAAGACACACATCCACCAGAGAGTGCCATGTTCGGACTCAGCCAGAGGGGTTGTCGAAGACTTGCGAGTCTAGCTGAGCCAGGCGAATACCATACCAGACGAGAACGGCTATGGTGGAGATGGAGATGATACAGTGGCTGAAGCGCATGCGGTTGAAGTCGCTGTAGTACTGCTTCGTCTGACTCAAACGGATCTCTATGTCCTCAAGCTTCTTTGCATGCTCACGCTGCCAGGCGTTCAGAGGCTCGTTGGTGCCGGAGCGCACGTTGCCGTTGGTGCTGGAGTGAGAGTTATACGGAGTCAGAGTACCAGTCCTGGTCGGAGCAGGGTGCTCGGCCTTGGGTCGCAAGTCCTGCATCGCTGTTGTGGGATCATGTCAGTTTGTTTTCTTTTGATCATGTCGTTCGCTAATAAAATGCAGAAAGTACGAGAGAGAGGAAAGAACGAATGATCAAAGGAAGCGATGATACTTACGGATGTTGCTGTACGACTCAGCTCCAGCAGAGTTGACAGGGAGGAACGCGTTGGGCATGGCCGTGAGCAGAAATTGCTCCTTTGATCCCGAGCTGGAGGACATTCTCGAAGCGTAGGACATCTTCGAATGAACCGACATGGTTTCGATCTTGCGATTGTTCTTGCAATGAATTGTAAATTGAAATGACGCGTGCTAGTTATAACGGGTTGGAATGACGGAGAATGTTGTTGTTGTGTGTGTGAAGAAGTAAAGCTGATGGAAATTACCAGCCGTGATTTCCAAATTTATTTGGGATCCAACTCAGGTTGCATCAAGGGAGTCAAAGATGGACACCTCCTCGTCTTGAAGTTGGCGTCAGGCAGCTATCAACCTACTGTACGTCTAGGTGCACCCAGATAGCTTCCCTTTGGTATCTCCTTGTAGCCTGTTGAAATATTGGTCTGAAGCTTAGGAACTACCCCGCGCCAATACATGATCTTCCAGCTTTGGCAGTTCTTTACCATGTTGGCATGAAGCATTCTAGACTATCTTGCTCTGTTATGGAAGCTGGTACTCCCTTTGACTTTGATATCTCTTCCACGTCTCCCTTTGGGCACCATTGTAAGATCGTCGTGGTTTTTCACAATGACGAGTAAATGATTAACTGGCCTTTTCCACCTCAACAGTCCCTGAAAAGATTGATCTCAAGCATTCATGACCGTCTTAAGCAGATATACAAGCTGATGATCCTTTAAGAACTGTTACGTCCTTTGGTCGCTTCAAAGCACAATAATCTCAACAGACACCACCCCAGTGTCTGTACACCTTCTGAGCATCTGTAGCACAATGCCTCGTTTAAATTTGACAGCAGCCTATCCTCCTGTTAGGGAGAATCGTGACTACCTCAAACCAATAGTAGCTAAGCTTGGCCTTTGGCCTCGATATCCCTTTTGGGAACCAACATCAGGAGTTATCATTCATGGTTTTTGTGTGAGCTGTATATTACCTTGATATTGGCGTCTTCTTTCGCCCCTTTATATATTCGTGAGGCAGTCGCCATCCTTCAAGCCAGTCCTCAACTTAAGTACGCGTTACATCCTCTCTGAGCAACAGCACAGGCTGAAATATGTAATAGCTGGTATTATTACTCTTCCAACCCCCTTTATATGTTGGCAAGTGGTAGTCACGATTCTTCGTGAATTTGTGACTTGCTAGTCTCTGAGAATTCAGAATATTCCTACGCCTCTATTGTAGTTATTGGTTTCTCGGACGTAAACTATCTATCGGACAAGTGACTTGGCAGAAGTAAACGATTCCTCGAAGAACTGATTCCCAGAAACATACGCTATCTCGAGCAAGTGATGTCTGGAAGTAGATAGTTTTCCGCATAAGTGACTCCTCAGACATAAATTGTCTCTTGAGGAAGTCATCTCTCGAAAGCAAACGCTATCTCCAGTACAAGCGACTTCTCGGACGTTTGTGAGCTGTCAAACAAGTGATTCCCTGAACCAATGTACAGTAGGTAGCCTTGTTAAAAGCGGCCCAGTGTAACGAAACCTCTAATTGTCTAGCTGCGTAAACCAGTAAAGAGTCTGTAAGGGTTTGTGCTAGTAAGTAAGTCCTGCTGCGGAGTCCTCAAGCAATAATATCGGGGTTTGACGTATGGAGTATAGGACTCTGGGTAACTGAATGTAAGGAAAGAGCCGTTGTGGCGGGCCGGTCTCAGCTGACAAGCTGAGTCGGGAGGGATTCGACCCGATCCGGTAGAACCCCGGAACCGCCCAGCTTAAGAGGAGAACTCGAGACGCTCGCACCTAGTTTGGATTCTTCAAGAATCAGTCTTGCAATATACGCACCCATACACTGGCCTACTTCTAGCTACCCTTTGCACTACCTGACTATTATATTGTGAGACGTGTGGTATCCTCGTTACACTATTAGAGGTTTCGTTACACTGGGCCGCTTTTAACAAGGCTACCTAGCTAAATTCTAGGGGTTTGTCAGAGAACAGAATGCCATAGGCACCAGTGGGTGTCAGGACACTGAACGCAGGACACCGGCGGGCCGCCGGAGGGGTGTTTCGGACAAAAGACTCCCGAATCATGATTACAATCTATGTGAAGCTTTGGGATGACGAGAGTCAAGATCCTTGGCATCGCCGACCCTGCTGTTATGCCGGGTCCAAGCGGCGGCCTAGCTATCTATATAAGGACCATCTCGAAGTAGGATAGGGAAGGAGTTGTCAGAGCCACAAGTGTCATCCGAGGCGGGCCGGCTTCCACCAGGTAGGAAGCCGTTTGTGGCGGCTAGAGAGCCGTTGAAGCCGTTTGCAGCGGATAGGGAATCGCTTGGTTGCAGATAAGGAGCCGCTGTCCAAGATATTGGCCGAAGTCGGAGGAACACAGACATACGGAAGCAAACATCCAGAATCCAAGAGAGAACCTCGGCTGGCTATAAGTAAGGAGTCGAGACGGAGGAAGATAGAGAGGGCAGAGATCAATGCATCACCGTGGGCACCCCTACCTGAGACCGCCAGTGACCACCCGGTGCTACGTAGGAGGGACGCCCGTTACTCCCCATCACTCTGTACTATTACCTTCGGCCTAGCCGTACCCTGACAGGGTTTCCTTACGATTCTAGTAATATATAGATATAGAGCCTGCCGTACGGTAACGGCCTTAGGGCCGCCGCTATAGTAACATAAGGCGAATAATCCGGCTAGTTATAGGCGCTTAGTGTTATTCTTAACTATTGAAGGCTGGTATTCGAATCAGCTAGCTAGCTATAGCCCTAATAGTAACGTCGCTATCGCGCTAGGCGGCTATAGTGTGAAGGTCAACCCTTGTAGGAGCCCCGCCAAGCGTGGATGACTTAGTCGCGCTCCCTCAAACCTAAGTTGTCATCTTCTTTCCTTCGCTCCTTAGAGTAGAATCTTCGTCGATAGCACCTAATCGAGGTCTCTACCAATGCGATGCAACCCAGGTCGTGACATATAGTAGCGCGAATAGTTCGAGAATAACTGTAGCCGTTTTATCAGTTACTATTAGAACGCGCGTAAGAGCTTTTCTAGGGGTATGCTTCATGATAAAGTATGGGAAATTGAAAATCAAGTGTAAACAGGCAAGTAATTCAGCTTGACGCGACGGGTTGAGGAGTGGGGCCATGTGAGCTCGAGACTCTTTTACTGTCGAATATCACGTGTGTCCAATCGAGTAGTCATCAGTGCGTAAGATTGTATATGAATGAGGTGTTTTGTTCTCTGTGTTCTGTTCTCGCGAACTCCCGTTGCTCTCCTTTTATAGATTCTTTAGAAAATGTCGGAGGTGCATTGTTCAGGTGTCTGACCCCTAAGTGGACCGTAACTTTGAAGTTACTTTCGGGAAGAGGGGTTCATTTCACCGTCTGAACTTTAAGTGACACTAGTCTTCTCTAGTGCCATATTATTTTTGAACCTAGGAACCAGGTGTCCTATCTGACATTTACCCGTGATTTTACTAAAGGGTATTCATATAGGAACATCCCATCACCACTCATCACCACCTATCACCCACATAATTCTAGATCCAAATAACATTTTAACGTGGCTTCGTTGCATATACTGATATCCTATATCTCCATTATAGAGAGGACTACCGCCTAGATGCCTGCCAACTAGGTACAACTCATGGTGCTTCTTATTCCCACAAGTTATCTGCACCTTCACCCACACATTTGTTTATCCGTATGCTAACCACCACAGGATAGGCTTCTCCCTTTCCTCTGCCTCCGCGCTAGCCTTGGCCTAAGGTAACGCAACTAACTACCTGTGTCCCCATTTCTAGACCCTGGCCCAGGGGTTCCATCCAAACTCATTAGTGTAGTAATGGACGTTGATTGGGTTGCCAGTCTACTAAAGAAGGACCTGATAGAACATCGCAAAAGCCCCAGATGTTCCTTTTAAGCCTCTTCGGCAGGCAAGCGCTACGCAATGCAAACAAATACAAAAAAACTCTTTGGTCCTGCAAGAGAGATTTGAGACGGCAGCTATTCACCAAAAAGGGGCCGTCTGTTTGTAGATGTCGGTCGGTGAATGTAAAAGATGACGTATTTTTTCGGAACGGCATGATCGCGATTTGGTTGAGAAATGAAAGGCGGTTGATTGGCAAGTGATGGGCCGCGTCAGGTAGAAGAAAGTGTATCATGGAGAACTGGGTTATACCGAAATCGAACGTCGTAGAAGCTTGGGGCCGAAAAAATCTCGAGTTCATAACATCGGAAGAGTGCTTTCTATAAGCCAACTCTTCATCCAAGTGGCAATGAATCGCAATTATCAATGTCGGATCCCATGTCTATAGGCGAGAAGGCGAAGTGAACAATATCGCTGTAATGATGATGCCACCAGTTAGGGGCTTGAAGAAATATGACTCAAGGGAAAAAATCATTATACGCTAGGGTAGGCACTTCCTGGTATCATCCCGGCTCCGGCACCGCCTCCTGGAGGACCCTGGGCAGCGTTGCCTCGGCTACCTGGTAACTGGAAGTCCGGGTTGCTATTAAGAACATTCACTTCGTTCCGGTTGACTGGTCTCCGTGGGATCTGCTGCCCAAAGGCTCCTGGGGGCCTAGGGGCGGTGAGTTCCATCGAGGGTTCACTCCTCTTTGAGATACCGAAGTGAAAACTGACTGCTCAGATGCAGCAGGGCTTCTGGACCCATCATGAAAATCATCGTAGCCAGAAGGACTGAATCCGGTTTGCAATGTTCCGGGTTGAAGTGGCCGAGGAGCTGGCTCTGCAAAACGGGGGTCAACATCTTCGTAGTAGGTGCTGCCCTCGGTTACTGCTGTTTGGTGCGATGGTGTAGTAGCAGACGCATGCTCGGTTGGCCCTGCTGGATTGCTGAGCGGGGATGGCGCTTTGGGAGAATTCCGGCCAGGTCCTTGATTCCAAGCTTGCCGTGGCGGCGTGTAGTGTCTTATCACAATTGGTGTTAGCAAGTCTGTGCATTTTACGTGCCGCTTTACGTGCCGCGATGGATAACTCACTCGTCTTGGCTATACTTGCTGCCTTCGCTCATATAAGTTTCGTGCCTTTGCGGTGGGAATGACCCTCCCTGCTGGAGAGCAAGCATACCAGCAACATCTGCATCACTGTCTCTGAGCTGGTTGTTGAATTGTCCAAACCCTTGAGGCGGGTGAGCTGGACTGCCAGTGCGGGCGTCCATCTCAACGGCCTGTCCCACCGGTGCTGGTATCGCATCATCAACACCAGGTAACGGTGGAGGAGATTCGGCTCTAGGTAATTCACTGACTCGGTCAGGATGGTATGCTTCGTAACCGCCCATGCCAGTTGTTCCCGTCGATGCACTTGGCATCGATGGGTTCATGCCGTATGGCGCTCCAACTGTTGCCGGAGAGCCTTGCCTGCCAGGCCCGGGGCCATAGTTTCCATATGCATCCGGCTGCGGCGGTGGACGCCTGTCATATCCACCATTGCCGGGGTAGCCCGGTGGTGGTGGCCGGCCCCCTCTCATACCCCCAGCGCCGTAGCCCCCTCTCGGTCCATAACCACCTCTTCCTCCAGGTCCATATCCATAGCCACCGCGTCCCTGTGGACCGTAGCCGCCCCTGCCATTCGGAGGCGGACCGTAGGGGCCACCATAACCTCCTCTGTTATTGCCGCGTCCCCTATAACCACCTGGAGGACCAATTCGGTCTCGCATATTCGCTTGCTCAATGGGAGGCCCGCGCCGGACGCCATAAGCATCCTGAAGTTGTGGCATTGGGTTTCCGTACTGGTCTCGCGGCAGTGAGCGACTTGAGCCTGCAGCTGAGCGTGGCGGGGTTGGACCACTATAGGGGATATCCGATGCTGTTATCTCGGCAGGCATTTGGTTTGGCGACCTTTGCGAAGGAGTCCTAGCTGTAAGGGGCACTCGCTCATCACTGCTGCGGTCATCCTTCTTCTCATATGTTACGAAAGGTGGCTTGTCGCTTGGCCCATTGCCGCCACTGACGACAGGAACTGTTGGTTCCACAGCGCCAAGAGTAGTAGCAACAGGAGCTTGTTGTTGAGCCGTACGATTGTAGTAGTTTTCGCCGCTCATTTCAGCATTTTCCGCAATGCGCTTCTTCCTTGCTTTCCTGCTGACAACAGTCCGGCGCATCGCACAAGATACAAGTCCACTCAATGCCACGAGAATGGTGGCAGCAAGGACAATGTATGATCCCCAAGCCATATGAGGGACGAACAGCAGAACGTCGATTAAGAAGGAGAGCAGGCATACTATGAAGGTGATTATGCCAAAAATCAACATGATCAGAAGATATCTAGACGAGTGTGAAGGCGAGTGTAGATGCGCGACGATGGCAAGGACCAACATGATCAGAGTAAAAAGTGCGGCAACAGGATGTATGATCAGAATGGCCGAGAGAGTTGTACGTGCCGACGAAGGGAGATCGAAAGTTGCGGATTGCTGTTCACTGAATAGGGAAGCTGGATACTGCATTAGTTATATGACCTGGAGGGCAGACACAACGGATTGAGGTACTCACAGGTATCATATCCGATCTCAAACGGACTGCAGCCGTCACCTTTGCAGAAACCAAAGACGCCGAAGCTGACTCCCTCAAAGGTACCCAAGGGAATGGCCTCGATGATTGGTGTTGACAGTACAGACATCAACAACAAGGCGAACGCTGCGAAGAGCAGGATCGCCAAGGGAGTGGCCGGCCGCAACATGTTGACGAACTTGGGGTGCGCGCCGACTCAGAAGAGCCGCGTCGCCTGAGCGGTTTTCCTGTGATCGATATGGGTTCCGGTCGAAATCGCTGAGATCAATGTGAATTGAGGGGTTGTAGAATACGATAATAGGAATGGTAATAGGCTGAACCGTCTCTCGTGGCCGGCGACATGTAGTAATATGCTTGTCTAGCGTTATTTCGAGGTAGCGACGATATTCAATCCACCGGCGCAGCAGCAATCCTTCCAATGGGATTCCTTGAATGTAGTTGTCCGAATGTCGTCCAGCGCTTTCGATTCCCTATCTTCTACCTCTCGTGAATCCGTTGTATGGTATTGAGCCGTGATTGCCGGTCGCTGGTGTTTCTAGAAACGAGTGTGGGGGTGAATGGCGACGGAAGCGAAGTGGAATCGGGAGTGGCGGATTCGTTTGGCTGACCTGGTGGCAGTGCCAGTCTTGTTGTGTCAGAAATCTAACAGAGGTCGAATCGTGCGGGATTGGATTGGATGTAGACGGGGAAGAAGACGGCGAGCGCCCGATTGAAGGAGGTGGATGGCACGAATCGAGCTGCGCTGCAAGCAAGAACGTTGCGTCTCTGTGTGGAGCACTCGAGAGCCAGTCCACAGCACTGGAGTTCGGTGTTCTAGCCCCTGTAAGGGTGCTGATAGAGGGACTGGTTCAATTTTGTGGGGCCCTGCTGGCCGCAATCTCGCCAACTTCGAAGGGGGCCCGTAACAATGCTACGCGTACTACTTGCTGCTGGTTCAATTGCAATCTTGGAAACTCTGCTCAAAAATGGAAGAGAACAATCAAAAATGTGTGTTCTGTGGATAGTGTGATCCTCTGCTGACCAGTAATCATCAGGATTGAAGAGGGCTGAGTTTTCACCGTAACCGGAAGTATCAAGACCCTTGGACAACAGGAGCATTTGTCCAGTTCCAGGATGAAGTGTGTCTTAGCCGTTATCCGACTTCCACTCGAACCGTAAACTGTGTACCTCTGGCGTCTTACGTCGAGTCTAGTCGAGTCTAGTCGAGTCAATGCTGCAAAACAAAGAAATAGTTAACAACAAAGGCTTGGTCAATTCAAACACGCAATGCGTTGTCGAGTCTAGTATATGTGAATTAACGCAGTCCGTGCTTTTGAGCAGCTCTCAGCGAAGTTCCCAAATGCCAATATTGTGCTCCCCGAATTACGACCCGCAGGCTAAGCTTGTGCGATTTGACGGGTTCTCGGCCGGTCAACTGCGTTCGTGGTCAAGCCACCTGTTGCCGTTCGTTGATATTCCCTGCTGTTCATCGCTTTCATTGCTGCTGTTTTTAAAGTTGTCAGATCTCGTATCAAGCTTGGGGACTGGAGGGGCTGAGGTATGACGGCTAAATTGAGTTGACTGTTCTAGTAAAATTCTAACATGACCAATGTGGTCAACATCTAATAAACATCGCTGGGTTACAGTATGATAGATCTTATCAACCAACAACTGCGGCTTTCATTGAACACCACTTGTATATCAGGTTTCCTTTGTACACCATCAGCCTGCCTCTTCCAATTTCATTTATGTGCACTAATGGGCCGGATCAAGCAGGTCGGTGTCGCGATGAGAGGATTCGGGACGTGTCTCGATCGATTATGGCGTCATTGCCGATGACCTGCACCGCGCATGCTACGCAAGAAATCCACCAATGACTACGCCGAATGGTTCGGAATGTGTAGCCGCATGCGGTTGTACGTGGTCTCAACCGGACAAAACTTCGATGAAGATAGAATCACAACACTTACACAACTGATGGATTTCAGTTGCAGAAAATCCCCTCGTCACGGATAGACACAAGGGACGCTTGCAGGCGGGTAAAGGAGGCTGTGCGGCTGTGCGCATGTCCCATAAAAAGACCATCAGAAGTTATTTGAGACACGATGCCAATGGTGGACCAGCGCTCTAACAGTCAATGGTCAAGGGTCTCAGACTGCGGGTTGGTAAATCAATGCAGAATCCGGTACTTGACGCAGTATGAATACCACCTATAAGCGTCCAGCAATATTCATCTGTATGCCTTCAAAAGAGCCTCAAGGTGAAGCATCGCATCATCTGAAGCACTAGAGTCGAAATGTTGATAAGAATAGATTTCGCTATTTCCCAAAACATGGAGCTGACTTGTCTAGAATAAGTCACTGTGTATGCTAGTTTGTACCAAATTATTGGCAAGTTCGGGTGCGGGTTGCAAACTCCCCCATCCTCCCTCCAAAAAAATAGGGTTCGGAGGATTAACTTTCAAGTCATCTATCCGCTGTCGTTCATAACTATTCGAGATCTCGCATAGATTGGGTACGTACCCTGTCTCTGCTTGAGCACTTTGGCTAATCATGACAGTGTGTGTTAACGTAAGCCTATAGGCATTGTATGATATTCATGGGGTCCTTTGTTTTGGGATGAATACCGGCTTAGGAATCTAGATTACTGTAAACCACTTTTCCAAAAAGGAAAGGATGAGGCAAGGTTTTTGAAGGCTTTTCGATGTCTCGTGCAAAGTCGTCATAGTTGATGGCAGATCCAAACGTCCAAACATTTACCTTTGCTTATTTTCAAGATCGACTGACAACCTTGATGTAAATGACAATCGTCGAGGAGAAATTGTAGCCGTTATTGGTGCGCCCAATTATAGATTGACGGTCTCTGAAACCACGGCAAGAACAGTCTGGCAATCTGGCCCGAGGATCGATCTGCCGGCAGGGAGTTGAAACAAGACGAGAAGTGACATAACTACGGGAAGTTTCCAGTCGTGTGCAACATAATTCGGGTGAGAGAGGTGTAGATATCCGTAATCAGCTTCTTAGCTACTGTCTTGCTGGAAGTCTCCGAGTTCACGGTGTGGACGGTTGAAAACCGTAGATGAATGATCAAGGGCTTGTCGCGAACCTATACATCACATCCTCAAAATGGAAGACTCGCCTGTAGATGCTGGCCAAAGGAACCCAGATCAAACATAGGATCAGCGTCATATAAGCCGCGAGGGCCCTGTAACCACCAATAAATTCAAAGTGAGGGTTGAAGATGAGACGGTAGGGTAATGCCAGGACGGCGTCCAAGGCGACCGCAGGACTCCGCCCGAACATTAGCCGCAATTTGCTCAAGATAGCTACTTATAATTCAAAATCGGCTTTCGTTTCTAACCAATGAGCAATACATTCTCTCCCGTAAGTTACTAACGTAACCCGCCTACTTCGAAAGTGCAAAACTAACAAGAGATATACTAGATGGCACAATTGGCTAGCGCGTCAGACTGTTAATCTGGAGGTTCGTGGTTCGAGCCCACGTGGGAGAGAACAATGTTTTCAATTAATCTTTTTAATATTCCCTGATAGGGGTTTGCTTTTCCTTTTTTTTCTCAATACTCCCCTGAGTGAGATATATTTATCAATTAGTACCGCCTCTCGGGATTAGCTTTACTGGTATTCCTCCTATTTGTTATGCTGTCTTGACTGCTATCAGCTACGTAAGCATTATAATTTGATAGACATTCATAATCTTTTTCAAGTAACGACTTACACGGGTCCAAGCACAGACGTATCCATGGACTATGACGTGCAACATTGAATGAGTTGTTGAACAACAGTTCTAGTAGAGCCAGACCTGACTTTACCAATATGAACAACAATTACTCAAACTTTTTCAAGTCGTTCTAAATTCCCCGTCATGTCGGGGCCGGTTTTGTATGTCAATCGGCTCAAATCGAGACCGAGTCGGACAACGGTGATAAGCACTAAGCACCGATCCAAAGCCCACTAAGCCCGCCACTACACCAAGCTCACCTATATTTCGTCATTGACATCGAATCCTTTCTGTCGACACCACGACAACAAAAACAACATGAAGTCGGAAGTTCGGCTTCCTAATCCATACATACGAGAACACTCACAAATGCAAGCATGTTTAGTATTCGCATAGCCGGTCTTTCTAAGGCCGGGCTATCGCCTGCATCATGGTGTAGACTATCTATGCCGATGTCTCACGGCAAATCTCCGATCCTCCCGCGCCCTCAGATCCTACTTCAACGCCGTTATGTGCAGACGGGCGGCCAATTCAAACCGCTGCGCCCGCCGTCGCCTTCCTCGCTCGGCGCTCCGAGGCCACCGCGCGATTTCAAGCACACCCGAAAATGGCTCCGGCGCATTCTGATCCTGACCGGTATCGCCGGTGGGTTCTACTTTGTAGATCGGCAAGCCTGCGCTTTCGGGATCAGCCGCTCCCTGCGCACCTTCGGTAACGGTCTCTTTGTGGCGTTCGACTACAAGCTCAACTTCCGCGCCGAACCGTTAACGGGCGGTACCGTGGGCGATCTGCACCGGCGGAGTGCGGAGAGGTTTTTCAAGGTGCTGCACGAAAATGGGGGACTGTATCTCAAGATCGGACAAGCTATCGCCATGCAGAGCGCAGTTCTACCGCCCGAGTTTCAGAAGATGTTTGCCAGGATGTTTGACGATGCGCCCCAGGACGAGTGGAAAGATATCGAGAAGGTCATACGCAAGGACTATGGCAAGAGCGCCGAGGAAGTGTTTGGTGTCAGCTTCACAGGTGAGGAGGGCAAGGGGCTTATGGAAAGAACGGCTCGAGCTTCTGCCTCTGTTGCGCAGGTACATTGGGCGAGGCTGCCGGACGGCCGAGAGGTTGCCATCAAGATCCAGAAGCCTGAGATTGCGAAGCAGGTTGGCTGGGATCTTTGGGCTTTCAAGTGAGACACCATCCCTCATGGTGCGCAAAATTCATTACTGACGCTTCCCAGGGCCGTCATGAGAGTTTACACATGGTGGTTCGATCTACCACTGTACAGTATTGTACCATTTATCACCGAGCGACTCCTTCTCGAAACCGACTTTGAGTGTGAAGCGCAAAATTCCAAGACGATGCGAAAGCTGGTCGAGTCGGAGCCAACCTTGAAAGGTCGAGTTTACATCCCAACAGTATACCCCGAGTTCACAACAAAACGCATATTGGTAACGGAATGGATCGAAGGCGTACGGCTTTGGGACAAAGACGCAATGACAAAACGTTGGATCGGGGGTCATGGTAGAGGTTCAGTTGGAATCCACGGCGAAAAGCTCCCTTCGCCCGATATGAATTTCGTCAGACAGCAACTGCGCCAGAACCCGAAGTTGGACAAGCTGAAGCCGGAGCGCGAGACGTGGAAAGGAGCGAATGGCAAAGCCGGTCTTGGCTTAAGCCGTAAAGACGTCATGACCACGATAGTTGACCTCTTCTCAGCCCAAATCTTCAAATGGGGAGTCGTACATTGTGATCCCCACCCAGGCAACATCTTCATCCGACGCCTACCATCAGGAAAGCCCGAAGTAGTCCTCATCGACCACGGGCTCTACGTCTACATGTCGTCCAAATTCCGCCACCAGTATAGTCTTTTTTGGAAATCCCTCATGACCTTCGACAACGAGACCATCTCAGAAATTACGGCCGACTGGGGCATCAAAGCCCCCGACCTGTTCGCGAGCGCGACCCTAATGCGGCCCTACGAAGGAGGCGACGGCCAGACCAGAAAGGAGTTTCTGCGAGAGATGCAGGGCAAGACGCCCGCGGAGCGACACTTCGAATCCCAGGAGCGCATGAAGCAGGGCCTCCGCGACGTCCTAGCCGACGAAGATAAGTGGCCCAAGGAACTCATCTTCATCGGGCGCAATATGCGCATCGTGCAGGGAAACAACCAGTTCATGGGGTCACCTGTCAATCGGCTCAAGCTCATGGGTACGTGGGCGAGTCGCAGCTTGTTCCAGGACCCTGGATTGCCGTGGAAGGAGAGGCTGGTTTATGCTTGGAGGCATTTGTTGTTTAAGGGCGTGTTATTCGTGACGGACGTGGCGTTTTATACATTTAAGGTTAGACAGTGGCTCGGTTGGGGAGGCGGTATGGAGGATGAGGTTGAGTTGAGGATGAAGGAGGTGGCGAAGGATTATGGGGTGGAGTTGCAGCATGACGTGTTTGATGGATAGGGAGGAAAGGGAGTAGGGAATAGGGAGAGGAAAACCTGCGGGGACACATGATGAGTGGAACAGAATAGAAAGAACAACATTCCCCTGGTTAAGTGTAATTATAGACGGAAATTCTTCTGTAGAGTGTGGATTATGAAGGTTATGCATAGACGGTGGCGAACCTGCTTGATTTTACGATTTTACGATCTCCCATGATGCATTGCGAGCTTGTGAATTGTCTGATGGGAAATGTTCGAGTTCTTCTTTCTCATATTATTCACATTTAATATGCTGTCTAAACTTGTCAATGATAAGCAAAGGTAGAACGATTCAACAATATGGATCGGGCTGGAGACTGCGAACCTCAAGGCAGTGTCTTTCTCCCGGTCGAGACCTCTGTCCTGACCTATCGATTTCTGCGATGTGCTGATATTGCACAGCCTTGTTGGCACCAGACTTATTTATGGTCGAAGATCAGGGAATAATAGTATGCTGTCTGTCTTTGAGGCTTTCCTAGTGCACCTTATCGAACACGTGTAACATTCCTAGTTCATCCAGCGTATGCAGATTCAATAAGGGCCATGGAAAATTATAGCATGTATTCGTTCTTGCTAACGAAGTGTATCACTTCGTGGGAATACCTCAAGTGACCCTTACGATCATCTTGGACACCTGATAGTTGGCTACCTTATCCCCAGGGTCCGAGTCATAAACGACGACGTTATCAGCATGACAAAAATTAACATAGTACGCATCGAAGGAATATGCTCTAATCTTTTAATAGTAATACATCTATCTCCGTCACCTATTTTGGTCGGCATGTCTATTCATTGGAGACGCAGATAATCCAGAAACCGTCTTGAAGCAGCAAGACATATGGTGAGGTCGTTCTATCCTAGCCTATTATTACATTTTATGCATAATCGGGGAATACTGTTACGAAACGCAAGGCAGCTCCTAGTTTTTCCCCATGTCGTGCTTAGGTTTTGAATACGGCAGTGAAGGCCCACTCGGGCGATTTGGGGCCAAGGCTTTGGAGCAGCCAACGACTTGCAGAGGAGGATACGCAAACGGTAGTGTGACAATAAAAGCAAAGACGACGCAAAGACAACGAACGACGTCCGTGCGAGCAGAACGACGACGATCAGTCTGTCGGGTGGGATTGGCCTAGACTTGAATGGAGTAAGGACCAAAGTCGCTGACATTACATGTTGTGCGTGGGCTAATAAAAGCTGACACGAGGGACGGCAAGATAGACTCGAAGCCTCAAACGTAGCGTAGTGTTAGTGAACTTGCGTTATGACATGATGGCCCGAATTTTCCAGATGAGATCAGCGAGCACGACTTTCGAGGCATGCTAGCCCGTAAATACTCGCTCGTCTCACAGTGTATACTGTTGTCATAATGCGACATCCATTCGGTGTGACACGACCAAGGGCAAGATGGGCGCAAAGAGGCCCAACCAACCGTGGCCGTTTCCGGGATACCACATTCAAGGACCAAGGCGACGATAGAGAGACAGCGGTAATTTCTGGGGCTGTTGACGAAAGAGTTGGACGTATGAGCCAGTAGCCGTCCCCAGATGGCTACTGATTGGGCTGTTGGACGCTGGCCCATGCGGCCGGCCGGGTTGTCTCCAGAGCCAAGTGGGTTCTCATAATGGCTAGCATAGGGCCTGTAATTTAAAAGGAGAACCTGCTCGTTCGCTCGAAGTAATTAAGATTCAATATCCGGGAATGAAACTGCAGAGAGGATTCGCGGGGAATTGGGAGGAATGCCGCTATGGAACATGGCAAGAATTCGGAGATGAAACAATTTGACAATCAGCAACCAGGAGAAAAAGTTGATACGTTCCTCAAATTGGCAATTGTCCAACAAGCTCGTCCCACCGTCCCACGTCAGGCTGATCTTACACGTGGGATTTGGTTCCCATGAAGGTTGCTGGCCGCCTCGTACAAGCGGATACCCTCTACAGACTTCACCTCTAGACCCTTCTCTTCAAAACGTCCATGTCTGGAATGATTCATGGACGAAGCGTCTCGGTGCTTCAAAAAGCCGGACAGAGCCAGAGATCCTCAGATGTGAAGTAGCGGGGTGGTAGAATGGTAGGGACGACTTGGAGATTGGATGAGGTTGGACGCAGAGCCACATGCCATACGACGTCGCAATGTGGGCAGGAACGCTTGTACGCTGGTACCTAGCGCGCGGCGTACCTGCGTGATGGGAACCCCGTCCATCGGGACATTTTTCTCTCTGGGCGAATTGATTTTCGTCTTTGCAGCCGGCCAGCCCTCCACCCAGACTGGGCCGGGACAGCCCAACCCCGGTTGGCCGCTTGGCGCTTCCCCCTTTCGGCGCCTGGATGTACATTGCGATTTGACTCAATCCCAGCTTCTCACCAGAGACAGAAGAAACCTGGAGAGACAGACGCTGGCTGAACTTTTCCACACAACTCCTTTCTCTCATCATGGTCAATCTCTCCCTCTTGTGGTGTTCAGTGATTCGCACAACCAGTCAAAGTTGCCTCAGAGGCTCACAGGATTCTCCGTTCTATTCAATGTATTCTTAAGTTCTTGATGACTGGGCTCAATCAAGCTCTAACCCGTTACTTGCGCCATCGTTCCCCGTCCTAATTACGCACATTGCACCACGAGCACGGCGCGTTGACTGACCACCTGCACCCGCAAAGCCGCATCTGCCATCTGCAGCACGACACGCCCAAGATCTGCTCTTGCCCTTCCAGGCAGATCTTCCAAGACCGCCTCCGGCGCATCGCATCCTCAACGCCACGCCCCAAGTAAAACATCTCTGCAAAGCGCAGTTAACGATTGCATCTGGAATTGCATCACTGCCCGCCCCCCGCGCACACTTCCATTATCTCTTGAGGTCGGTACACGTACATTTCATAATATTTTACTCTCATAAGTGGCCGACACAATTGCGCCTTGGCTTTGATATTGTACGATACTGCCCAGCGTATCTATCTCCATTGACAAGGCGACCTGGCTCTGTTCCTGCGAGCAATCGCATCTGCAACCTGAGATAGCAGTACGTACCTGCGCGCAGAGAACAGGAGGACGTATTCCAAGACGCAGCTTCAGCTAGCTGCATATTGCCCCCGAGATTTCAATTCGCCGAGCGGCGGCAACCGCACCATCAACTCAGTGGGCACAGGAGGTGCTTCCCAACGGGGAGAGGCTCGCTTTTCTTGTCGGTGGAGAGTAGCTCATTTCTTGGGCGCCCGATACTTTCTTCGCCCTCTTGCGCATTTCTCCTGACGGGTCCGGTTTCTATTCACCATTGCCAACATTTCCTTAACTTGGACTGTGGTAGATAATGGCCGTCTAAGACATTCTACACCTCACACGAGGGTTTCTTGGCATTTGGCTGACGTCTGCGGTCTTTGTGTCGTCTAGGTTGATCCACTGATATACAGTCTGTCGCTTGTGTACACTCGTTCCTTGTCTGCAAGCATCACAACATCCTATCGCGATACCCCCATTCTGTACCCAAACGCAAATCGTACTTGCCGGTCCGTCTGTCCAACCAACTGCAGGAGCAGCAAAGCAAAGCAAAGCAACAAACGCGCAAAATATCCTCATTTGAACCTTCCCAAGCCAACAACATTCTCGAGCTTGCCAACTTTTGTGCCTCAACCCAAAAAAATTCGCAAGTTACGCCCGACATAAGCATCGTTTCCCCGGCTGCAACGGCTTTTTCAACGTTCGTTTGCTACCTAAACCCCGAAAATTGAAAGCGCGCCCCTCCTCCACCGGGTGGTTTCAGCTTGTCGGCGGGGAACAAAGAGGTGTCAACCGTTGAAACCCAATCGCCAAACAGTCTGTTCCATTTCGTCATCCTCCACAGGATACAGGGTTCACACCCATTGCTTTTGCCACTCCGTTCCCAACCATCTTTGGTGCTTGGTTCTTTGGTCCCGAGCTGTTTCCAGGCGCAGGGTAATCGCAGTCGCAGGCTGCAGTCGCAATACAGAGTTTCCAAAGCTGAAGGAACATGAGCGAGCCGCCGCGTCGCTCCTCCTTCGGAATGTTGCTCCGACGTAAATCTAATAGCGATCTCAAGGGGAGCAAGAAGCAGCGAGAGCTTAGGGAGCAAGAGCTGCAGCGCCAACATGCCGTCCCAAAGTCTCCCCCACGGCTACCCGATCTCTACAATGCACTGTCAGGTGGTGTGCGTCCAGACTCGCTTGCTATAGTTTCGGGCCAGGCAGATCCCCATCATCACCAGTACCACCCACAACAACAACAACAACACCGGCAACAAAAACACCAATACCCTCCATCAGGCAGACCATCGATGGATCCTGGCCGTCCCTCCATCTCCTCTAACCCACCCGTTCCTCCCGTCCCTGCTGTCCCTGCCGTCCCGAACGGATCGTTGGTCGATCCTTATGCTCGCACTGAAAGCATGACGCACCGTGGCCGTTACAGCTATGCTAGCAGTGCTATCAGCACCATCAACAGCCCTAGGAGGGTCCGCAGAAGAAAGGACCCCACACCTTTCAAGTATGTCACATCCACGTCACGTCTTGTTCACGACAGTATACTGACAATGTCACAATAGCATTCTCATCATGGGCACTAGTGGCTCCGGCAAGACGTCATTCCTCGAGTTTCTCAAGACCGCCTTAGCTCTGCCTCCGAAGAAACGCTCTCAGCGAGCAACCGAGATCGGGGAAGAGGTGACGGTCAAAGCCGCCGCATCAGGCAACTTCATTCCCCACTACCTCGAAAGCGAGATCGATGGTGAACGGATCGGACTGACACTATGGGACTCGGAGGGCCTCGAGAAGAACGTGGTGGACCTCCAACTAAGGGAGATGTCATCTTTCCTGGAGAGCAAGTTCGAGGAGACATTTGCTGAAGAAATGAAGGTGATAAGATCACCGGGCGTACAGGATACGCACATTCATGCAGTATTTCTCATCCTCGACCCGGCTCGTCTCGATCGCAACATTGTCGCGTCAAAAGCCGTGGCTTCGAATGGTCAGCATGGCAGATACCAGTCCAACGCTTCACGCGTCGTTGGGGGCCTAGATGAGGATCTTGATCTACAAGTAATGCGAACACTCCAGGGCAAGACGACAGTCATCCCGGTTATCTCCAAAGCAGATACAATCACCACGGCGCACATGGCGGTGCTCAAGAAGACAGTTTGGGCGAGCCTCAAGCAGGCCCACTTCGACCCTCTGGAAGCCCTCGGTCTCGACGACGAGGACGGCTCTCCGGATTCTAGCAGAATCGATGAGGGCGATGAGGAAGATGCCGAGGACGGCGAGAAGTTATTAAACGAAGCAGAAGACAGCGAGGAGACAGATAGCGATGGATTTCCCATTCAAGGCCGAAGCTCGCCGACTACCCAGAGACGTTCAAGTAACTCGGCTCGCCGGATCAAAACGGAGGAGGACATCGACCAGCTTCCATTGCTTCCCATGTCTATCATCAGCCCAGATATCTACGAGCCGGGTGTCATTGGCCGCAAGTTCCCATGGGGCTTCGCTAACCCATACGACGAGGAGCACTGCGACTTTACTAGACTCAAGGACGCCGTCTTCAACGAGTGGCGAGGCGAGCTACGTGAAGCCAGCAGAGAGCAGTGGTACGAAGGCTGGAGAACCAGCCGACTCAAGCACCGCGATTCTTCAGTTCGACGACGATGAAGACGCATCAAGAATTTATGAATGTTTTTTTTTCACCAGTGGGACCTTTCCTACTCGGCTCCCTGGATGATCGGACGCCATTCCCGCATGTCTAGCGATTTCTTTTGATTGTCATTCTACGCAGCATACCCCAATTCTTTTTCGCGACCCCAGTGTCTTATCATGGCTCTTCTTGGCGACGAGAAGAACACTCGACAGCAGTCCGACGAACAGGGCGCATCAAGTTCTCAATTCGGATTGTTCACATAACCCCCCGAACTCACCCAATCCGCCACAGAGGGCCATGCATGTCTACCTGTCACTTCGGACACTACAAGCCTGTAATTTTTAAGAACTCTTCTCAACGCCACGCATGATGATTCTGATATCACATCTTCATCCTCACCCTTTGTCCTGCACAAACACGACTGCCGGCACGGAACACAACGGAAGGACACCGGCGGGTCCTGGGCGGCCTTTTTCTGATTTTCGGCCGCATGGCCCGATTACGTTACGCAAAAAACTACTACTTCATTTGTCTTTTTTTTTTCTCAAACCCCAAAATCTTAGGATTCTTTTTTTCTTCTTCTGTTTTTTCGGATATTCCCCTCACTCACACACGCACTGCTATGATTTGGTGAACGACCGTGGAACGGAAGTGTGGTCGCTGATGGCGGTCATTGTACACCTCGAGAAGCAGGTATTCATTGTTGGAAGTGTTGAGTATTCTTCTCTACGTGTGTGGAAAGGAAGGGGAAGGAACGTTGTTATTCGTCGAGAATGATGAAGTGTTGCAGACTCCATGATGAGTTGCTCAGAGGACTAAAAGTAAAGCATTGAATGCACATTGCAATGTCCCCCCTTGTCTGTACGGTTACTTGCACCAGAGAGAGACGAGATGCGACGACTTTCTTAGAAAGCTTCTGGAATTACATTCCCCCGATTCTCTTCATGACTGTCTTGTTTGACCTTGGTTATATGATACTCCACTCGGTGTAGCCGTGACTAGCTAGTCGACTTTAATGGTTTAGTTGGCAACGCCAACATTAGCTTGCTATGCGGAGCCTATTGAGACCCGAATTGCCAACATACAAGAACCAACTTAGCTTATTGATCGTCGACCTGGGGAAGATAAAATATTGGGTATAGTGACGACGATGCCCATCTTGAGAATCAAACCGGACCTGATGGACAACTTGCATCTCCACAGGCTAGCTTCAGAACCGAGTGCCCACCCCATGTTTGGGTGACACCTTGTAAGAGAGATGGTTGTGGAGGTTTCAATGAATTACTCTGGGGACGGGTGAGGGTAGAGAAGAGAAGAGAAAGGGATGGATACCAGCATAAAAGACTGGGAAAGAAAACGAGGGAGAGCTTCCTAATTATCCTTCTTCCCATTTCTCGACCGGTCAGCCTGCCGGTAGGCAACTTGGACATGGTTGCGTGGTCCCAGGTTACGTGGGCCGATCCTGATGGCGTCTGGTCAGAAGACCTCATTCACTTTCAAACGAATAAACAAACGGTAGCTACCGTGAGAGGGTTTCGCAGTAGGCATTCACTGTCAGGGAGGGTTAACTCCGGTATGCGGGTTTTGCATGTCCGTGGTCCTGATGTTCGGGGCAAGGGGGCCACGCGTCTGATAGTGCTGGATATTGGTCGGGCAAGCAGGAACTGCCTAGTGCGAGGTCAAGGGATGCTTTCTGGTGGTGATGTTGTGCCACCAGCTTCGGATCTTGCCGACGACGTTGAAGCTCGAGTCGAGTTCGATAACTGGGGTAAGGGGGAATAGAAGTGCTGAGCGACCATAAAACCTGCCGGTTCCAATCACATGCAGGTGAGCCAGCTTACACGTGGAAGCAATAATTAACTGGATGTGGTCTGACGAGCTGTTGAAAAGGTAAAACTTGGTGTTAGCCGCGGTCTCCCGAGGCGGGCTTTTCCTGGAAGGGTAATCGTACTATACCTTGACTGATGCATGTGCTATATTCAGTGTACTTATTCAAGCTTGAGGCTACACCTTGCTTGGTGAAGACGCCTCTCAGAAAGTGTCGACGCAGTTTGTGTAGATATTGGTTGCGAATAACTAGATACAATTCAGTGGGAAGTCAGTCCAAACCACGAAATTCACGCAGCTGGCTGGAATCATACGGTAGCAAGTGATGGCGAACTGTACTATTCGAGGTGCAGGTCTGCGGGAGGGACACTCGAGGTGTTTGGGCTGTACTCTGTCGACAGCGGCGAATAGTCTTCTAGCGGTGAATGAAACTTTGATTTGATCGTCGTCTAGAGCACCAAGAAAGTATGTCATAACATAAGAACCAATGGAAAACTCGCAGAGACTGGCATCCAAGATGTGTTCTTCCCTGCACCAGACCATCCGGGTATAGAATCAAGAGTTGCCAAAAGGTAATCACAACCTAGAGTGGCCCTAGTGTTTTTCCCACCAGTATACGACGAACACAGCCCAGGAAGGTAGGACGGCCGTTCCATTGGATAATCTTGCGCCATCCCTGGTCCACGGGTACCCCTCAAACCCCCAAAGTAGCCGGGCCCTCCTCGGGAATGTTAAACTGCGACAACTCCAGACGCAGACATGACAAGTGTATCACTAAGCAAGTCATGGACGTTCTGGTTGATCTACCTAGCATCGCACCGCACACATCTTCACGTACTATCAGCACGTACCCTCATTGCCAAACCGACAAGAAAACTACTCCCCCCGATTCCCCGTAGCTGTCACGATGATCCGCAGGGAGAAAGAAGCCCTCAACGTTCCTGCCCCCCGGAATATCGAAAGCCCGTCATCCACTAACTGACCACCCAAAGTAAAAGAGACGAAAACGAAAAGCAACATATCTTCCTTCACGGCCGACTGTATAATGCGTAACTCTAACTGGATCGGTCCCCTATACTCCGTTCTTCCTGTCAACCACCCCTTGCTTCCGTAAGCCAGTTGTAGCGTCGATTAACGATGCCGAATCTTCCCCATTGCCCATGTCCTCGCCCCATAGGTGTACGGTATCAGTATTGACTGAGTCATGCTTCATCCCTATCTTGCCTGACTCGAGCATCATGATTGCGGCTACTTGGTATATCGTGCTTATGATTTGGATCCCCAGGCACAAATTAATCAAAACAATACCATAGCTCCTAAGCTCTCGGAATAGCCTCAAAGTATCAAGTATGACGATATTTGAGGACATCTCCGCGACGTGCCCTGCCGCGGCCTAAGTACCACGGTCAAGTATTAAGCAGGTAGCGCTGTCTAGTTAGTTAGTTACTATCTAGGGAGGCTGTATGCAAGCTTGTTCTCAGAAGTAGATGGGTGGTATGGGCAAGAGAAAACAACTTGTTTCCATGACAGGGTGGGAATTGGACGGGGTGCGAGAAATTGATAGAAGACTGGCATCCCCCCGTCACCCCCTTTCCCCCAGGATAATGCCTTTCTGCTTTGTCTGCCCCTGCAATGCCAAGTTCCCACACATGATAGCCGCCAAGGGACCTCACTAATTAAACACCGCACGAGGGTCAGTGAATATCTCCGAGCAATCATTGAAAGATCTAAGCAAGTGTTCCGGATGTGACACTCACGTTGCTCTCTCTCAAGTATATCTGGCCCACACTCCAACAAATTTCAGTCCACAAAGAACGACGAAGAATACACAGGTTGAACGGTGGTTGAATTTCTCTCAGTTGCGCCATAGGTCCCATATCTATCTCCTTAAGTCGTAGATACTCAAGCCAACAAACCCAAAAGCAAAATGCACTGCTTCAAGGAGAAATAAAGACAAGCCTTGACAAAACCACAACACCGAAGCGATTTCGCAAAATCCACCCAAAAAATGATATCAAAAGAACCCTAGAGACCCACAAGATCCAGCCCCATCCCCCAAGCCATACCATGATATCTAGTTTCTCCCCCCCGCACCGGTCTGAATATCACAAGGTTCCCATGTTGTGGTAGACCGGCGCGTGCCGCATTGCATTGTGCTTTGTAGCCCCGTTTTGTTTGCCTGTTCATTTCCTCTCGATAAATTTCTTCTTACTTTCTTTCTTTCTTTCTATTGAGGCCAGCGACTTCCATGTCCGAGAACTGACTGGCTGCCACGTGGGTAGACTAGCCAGGCTGGCAGGCGGGGCAAGACGGCCCTGGGCTCGTACTCCATTCCAACCACAAGGACTCCAAATTGCCCCTCATTCTGTCGAAGCTCATGCGGTACTAGCGAAAAAGTTGATGGTGCTGTTGCTGTCCAGAAGTATATCCCCTCTTCCACTAATTTCCATGTTCTCGTATCCCATAGTCAATCGCCGAACGCCCACATATAAGTAGTAGCCCTGGGTGGTGACGCAACTCATAAGAGCTCGTCACTCCCACTAGCCACGCTCTCCTGAATAGCCTTAATGATAGCGCGCTCCTCGAACACGGGACCCTGGCCATCGCACCTAGCCTGGGGTTTCAGCCGCTCGCTCACATCGCCAATATCGACGAGGCCGCGCTTAAACATCTCATGGTTGATGATGAATTCCCAAGTGGCGCCAGCGGCCAGCAGGCGCTCGCCGGCCTCGGACTCGACGATGCGGTGACTGGGGGTCTTGTTGGTGTGATTGGCGAGAAGGTCCGAGTAGAAGTCGGTGGGGTTGTACGACATGGGGCCCGTGGTGGTGCTAGGCGGCGACAACGAGCCGTTTTGATTTTGTTGGATGCTCGACGTGGCCCGAAGGATCTCGTTCTCGATGCTCATCTTTTGGAGATCGCGCTTAAGCTTTTCGTTCTCGGAGGCTGTCATGTGCTGCGCTGCCTCAAGGCTGGCTAGCTTGGCTTCTAGGTCTTTCACATGGCGTTCTTTGCGTTCACGAAAGGCACGTTGACTAGTCGAGACAAGAATCGGTTAGTTGATCCCCCGGTTTCAAATATGGGCCAGACTTACGCAGCCCGATTTTGGGCTTTCCGGCGCGATTGAGCTGGCGTCATATCGTCATCGTCCGAGTTGGAGGCATTGTTGCGGCCCTGATCGGGATCTGCCTTGGTCAAGGGCAGTATGTCTGCGTGGTTGTTCTTCACGACAGGTACTCCGGCGGTAGCCGCTGCTGCTGGTGGCGGCTGAGACTGGGCGTGCGCGCTGGGATGCGTCGGCGGTGTTGGTGGGCCTGGTGGTCCTGGAATGGTTTGTTGAGTTTGATGGTTGAATTGAGCATACTGGTTGAAGTTCTGGAAGTGGTCGTTGCTCTGGAAATGGTCGTAGACATCCTAGAGGTCGATGGCGTATTAGTGTTGAAGCTCGAGACAATGGCGACAAATAGAGTCGAGGCACCTACCGGTGGGGACTGGTTATTGAACTCATCAGAACCGGCCGAGTTGGAGGCCGACGGGGTCAGGGGCGGGATCCCGATAAATTGATAAGGTTGCGCTCCGCTGTAGTAGCCGTGAGAAAAGTCCATCATGTACTTTTACCGACCAGAGTTTGGGCAGGTGTAGAGCTTTGCGAAGGAGGACGAGAATGGGAATGGGCAACTTTGGAAAGAGCCCAAGGTTGCGGGATACAGTGGGTTCTCCGATGTTGCTTAGTTGCGGGGGACGAGAGTGAGCACAGGACACAGCAACCACTACGAGAGCTGTCTGGCCTAAATTGCTTGGTAAATCTTACGCCCTAAACTCAAGGCCCTGGTCTGCGTCCCTGCCACACGATCGCACAGCTGTCTGTGTCGACACGACAGGCTGGGTATTATCCTTATAAGAAAGCGCCCAATGATGGTCGATCTCAGTTGCATCGATCGAGGCCGTATTGCCCGAGTTCTGGATCCGATATGATAACTCTGTTTTCAAGGAATGAGAGGGGCAGAGTTGGATTCGTGGCGAGTTGTCAAACTTTAAAATGTCATCGCATTCGATGGTATGGCAACTTTGATGTGAAAACTAGCGCCACCCTTTCATACCCATGGGCCTTGATAGCCATGAGGAGCCTGTTGCCCGGTGTCTACAAGTTGAATCAACCGCCCGCCACCCCGCCCGTCTCCCCCCCCGGCATCGCACAAACCGCAACCAGGTCGACCATAACGGCGTGCCAGGATCCAATGTGCAATAGTGGACCGGCCAGCCTGCTATGTACCAGTCTACTATGTAGCCTGCAAGGAGACCAGGGAGTGCAGCTGGAGTCGTACTCATCATTACGCGGTTCTGGAAACATCTCCATGGCCAGGGGCCAACTTTTCCACGTTGGTTGTACGAAACGGAGATACATCAACAGAATGTTGAAACTTCTCATGACACTGCTTTGTGCTCTTCATCGTTTGTCCCTGTATCATCGTAAAGTAACCCGTCCCTTGTCGAAAGCTCGCAGCGGCGCCGCGCACGTCTGGGATAACGACCCCTCATGCACGAACCAGTACCATGGGCCGGGATTGGGCGTTGGCAACTTCGTCCTCGCAATCTTCTCATCCGTGGACGGCTCTCCGTCCGCTCCATCGCATCAATGATACCCAAAATATCGACAGCTATTCTCACCCCGGTCTGAAGCCGACGATTAGATTGGATCAGCTGAGTAGAGACCAAACCCGATAACTCATATTGTCTCTTCTGGGTTGTAATCCAACAGCCATCTATCTCCCCCTCCTGCAAGCCCACCAGTTCAGATTGTAAGGCTGCGAGTTGATCTAGACGAAGACGGAAAACATACAAGTGTTCTCCGACAACGACGGTAATTACGGACAGCCAGCTGTTGGCATCAAGCGGACGTGCTGCACGGCCGCATAAGATGTTTGCTGCGAAAGAGATGGATTCCTCCTCGTCCCAGCTCGTCTTCATACCGAAGATTGAAACAAGTTGGAGAACTCCAGAGTCTAATCGGGGACAAAGTACCCACTAGAGCTCTTGTTTCGCTAGCGCTGGTCTAGTGCAAGCTTCAGTCCTCTGGCGGGTTCTCCGCACCATCTCAGATTCCCGTTCTGCCTTTCGGCTTCTTTACCGGCTTCATTCAGTGGGCTGACGGTCAAGACATGGAACTTAATTGCGTTCAATAGAACAGTACTTGCGAAGCCAGTTCGCGGTTCTGTCCTTGACAACTCCGGCCCAATGTTCAACCCATCCTGCTACTGCGTACGTTTTGAGATAACACTTTCGCGCAACTTTTCTCGAACACTGCCTGCCTCTTTACCGGTAGAGATTTGCAAGGGAACAAAAGTTCGAAACATTCGAGAAGCTGTCGATCCTGCTGTCCCTGATAAGATGCCCGAGACTATGCATCGGATAATGCAGACACCTTGTCACCCCACCCCTGGCAGCATCCTTAGGACAATGGGATTGGGCCAGGTCGGGCCAGATTCCAGTATTCCGGACCGTGAAATTGAATCCCAGTGCATGAGTGCCATTTGCAATGTGAGACCAGCGAGGTTATTCGGCGGTACACAATCGCTATGGTATGTTGGTACCCATGTCCCTGTCGTCTCCTTCAGAATTGTGCTGCAGCTACTACGGTATCAGGCCAAAGTTTTCACCCCCCTGACAAGTACCAGTGGACCACTGCCAAGGCAACACTATACTAATTCTAGCCTAGCCTACTCATGCCAACGAAAAGGTACTTCCACCTCTGATTCCAACTTGCTGTCAATAACGCGTCCTCATTATCGCGTTTCAGTAACCACAATGGGGACTAAACACCTTACGGAAGCCGATCGCCAACGAATTCGAACCCTTTATTTCGACGGTGGTAAATCGAAAGTCGAAATTCATACTATTACAACATTTTCTCTTAATCAGATCAAGACAGCTATTAAGGCCTCTTCAAGCCAGGTAGCTAAGAGATCTGGTAGACCCCGGACTTTATCTCGTGAGCAAGAAGAAGAGCTCATTACATATGTAACTAGTTCTAAGCAAGGCCGTAGAGCCTCATTCCTCCAGTTGTCAATCATCCTTTTCCAGTCCCTCTTCGGAGTTTACGTTATACGAACTACCCTCCGCCGGCTCGGATTCAAGAGACATACTGCGCGCCGAAAGCCTCCTATCTCAGAAGTTAACCGACAAAAGCGCCTCGCCTGGGCCCTCGAACATGTCAGCTGGAAACCAGAGCAATGGGCTCAGGTACTTTGGACCGACGAGACATGGATTACAGGAGGACACCACCGAAAACAGTACGTTACACGACGACCAGGAGAGGAATGGGACCCGACCTGTATTATCGAACGACACCAACATAAACAAGGCTGGATGTTCTGGGGCTGTTTCTCAGGCCTTGGAAAAGGACCGGGAATCTTCTGGGAAAAGGATTGGGGTTCTATTACTGCCGAGACATATCGATCCCACACAATTCCTATTATCGATGACTGGATACAACTCTGTCAACGAGACCTCGGTACACACCTTACATTAATGCAGGACGGCGCTCTCACTCACTCGGAAATTGATACAGTCACAGATCTTACGGATAGGGGCATTAATATAGTACAGTGGCCACCTAATTCCCCTGATCTAAACCCGATAGAGATGTGCTGGAACTGGATGAAGGACTACATTGAAGATAAATACGGTATTACTGAAAAGCCTAGCTATGATCGTCTTCGGATATGGGTAAAGGAGGCTTGGGATGAATTACCTGAGAGCTACTTACAGGAGCTTTTGAAATCAATGCCAGAGAGGTGCGAAGCGGTGATCGCGGCCAACGGAATGCATACAAAGTACTAGTAAAATGTATTGGATGCATATGCCAAGAGTTAGCGCGTGCCAAGGTGGGGCACGGTACAAACACACAATTGAAAACTTACCCATAACACCATAGTACACATCATCTGATAGCTGGCGGGTACCAGGCCTCGATCTACGCAGATATGCACTCGTCAATCTGCTGCTGCATTCGACACTTAAACAGCGGCCTCGTGACAACAAAGTGAGACAAAAGGGCAGACCATTATATGCGATAGATTATGGTGCAACACCAGCTCCGTCAGGCAGCCGCTGAATCGCCTGTCTCACGTTCATCACGTGGCAAGTGCATGGCCGTATAGCGCCATTGTTTCTGGTCTAGTAAGCTAAGCCGCTCAGCTTCGTCCAACCTGGCGAACAAACGCCCTTCGCGAGACTCATGTCGAGCTGTACGAAGCGGTCGAAGGACATTGTTCGAACGTTGCGCCTAAGATTGTATCGAAAGTTTAGTATCTACGCGAACCGTTTCTGGCAGGTGATGGGATTTCCAGTTTCAACGGCTGATCTTTAGAGATGCTACTTTTGCCTAGCCAATCGGTAAGGAGCCTAAATATAGAACGGCTGACTAACGTCCTCCAAGGGGTACTGCGCTGTGGCAGAGACGAAGCTCTCCAAGATGAAAAGCCATGTTCTAGACTTCGTGGTGATTATGTGGAGTTAGTCTGCGCTCATTGGAACATACACACCAAAGTCAGGTGGAGTATTGCAACTTTTCTCCCCTGTCAGGGGTAGGCTTCTCAGCCTTGCCATGGTTGAGAATGCGTCTTGAGTCAACTTGTTGAAGATCGAAAGACCCCTTAAGAAACCAAGGATTGGCCGGTGTGATGCGATATAAGTTGAGGGCTGTCAATGGGCATGGTGTTGATGTAAGCTGATCACAACACAGCGACTTGGACGTCGGCCCGCAAAGCATCCTGGAAACCTTTGAGGTTGACTGCCTGAGATGAACTCCGGTCAAAATCACTGCAGAAACACTGCGAAAATCTTTGCCATGAAAAAGGCCGTGTTGAATACGGCTTGTGTGAGCATGAACGCCATACGACCTCCTAATTATGCTCGCAAGAACGTGGTCATGTTGCCTGCTTGTACGACCAGCAACTTCTATAGCAAACGAATTCCAGTCGATTCCGGCCCAGACATACCCATGTGCATTGCGTGAATATCACCAGCGCCTGGAGAGACACCAGCCTGTCATCTTACCACAGATCCAACCCTGAATTCCGAAACACGTGGCGGGCTGGTGCTGAACACACCGGTGACGCGTTGTTGGACCTCATGTAGATGCAACAAGCTGGCCCTGGAATTATTAGTGCTTGTCAATAATGCACAGCGAGCTAAAGGAGTGAGGATTACCGGGAAGCAACTCACGCAGCAAGAAAGTGGCCAGAGGTAAAAACACACGTTTCCTGACGGCAATGGGTCTCATGACATGCCGGATGGCGGCCGGTGTCTGTGGCAGATGAGCTGGAGCTTTCCCCTGGCTTCTCTCAGGTTGGCGTCTCCATCCGGAACAGCTGGCTACCTATCTAACACAGCGGTCTGTCTATTCAGACTACCAAGCGATGTTCGCAGAATGCCCTGGACGGCAGTACAGCTAGGTTGACCAGGTATTCGCCTCATTGCCAATAGTCGAGAGTGACAGATGTAGGTGTATTTGGCTTCTACCCGTTCAAAGAACAATGGCTTGCCCGAAGCCTTAGAGTGCCGTAAACTCTGATTGAGAGACGCCGCTGACCCTCATGACTTGTACAGACTCGCTAAATCTTGGGGTCACAGTATATGATGTGTACGAGGATACATCGGCAGCGGCTGTTGATCCCAAGATAAAACAGGGGGACATGGCCATGCGAGGTGGTGGAGGAAATTATCGTGGATAGCTTGATTCAGGTGGGTTTTTGGCTTTCTAGCAGCCCACGTCACGATGATTCGGGACTGAAGTTAGCAGCTTCCGGATGCAGGAGGTTCCTGTTGGGAGGAAACATTGCTTCGGGATGGGTGATGGGAAAGTCCAGGCAGGAGCTAGACATTCGCAGTGATCCAAGTGAGTCGTCTGTTTCCGGGAATGCTGTCTGGTTTCTTTCTCAGGCAATTTATCCAGGCAGGACAGCAAAGTCGCATCGCTGGTCGTCTCCAATATCAGGCATTGCGTAAACACCAAAAGTTCCAGACAATCCCAAGGCTCTTTCCGATAATTTGCCAAGGCTGCCACAGTTGTTCAGTTGGCTTTTCAAGTTTGGGAAAGAACGAGCTGCTGGGTTGGTGGTGCTGGTTGTGCTCGCCCGCGTTGTACCTCCCTCAGGTTCAGTTCTGAGCTCTGCCTTCATCCCGTCCACAAGGGGACCGGTCGTCACCAATTGATCACCATCGCCCAATTCACTCTTTTCCACGGCCTGGCAACGCTGTGTTCTTCTCTTTTATACGTCGGGACTCTTGCCCTTCTGGCCAAAGCCGACGCATTTTCTGGAGTTGGACTTTGGGTCCTTGCCATTCATTTCCATCCCACTTACCTTAAGGTATCCAAAAAACACCAACGTCTGCACGACGTCATATACAGCATCCTTCTTACTTCACGCTTGCCTCCACACCACTACTCGGTTGTACTCCCCGGGCAGACTATTCCAGCAGTCGAGTCAACTAGTAGCGATACGCTCATTGGTCTTGACACCATGGAGACTCCCAAGCAGCAAAAGCAGCAGCAGCAAAGCCCCCAGATCTACACCACCGTGGGCTCCATCTACAATCCCCATGCCACGCCCCTTCAACCTCCTGCTCGAAGAGGTCGCACCGTCAAGTGGCCGCCCAACTCGGACTACATTCACAAGTCAGCCTTGGCTGGTTTCTCCTTGAAGGGTTCCATGTCACCTCCCACGACAGCCAACAGCCTCCAGCAATACTCGCCCCTGCAGCAGAACCAGGACCGTGCCGTCAGTCCTGGCACTACCAGTCCTGAGAGCTTTTATAACTCAGCTATGCTTGCTGGCAACTCATTTACAGCTGCACCTGCAGCCTCCGACAAACATGGCGATGCAAAAGTCGATGATAATGATGATGTGGAGGTGGATGAAAACCTGAGGAATATGTCTGTGAAGACCCTGACCAACCTAGCATCCTATCCCAACCCTATGCAGAAGAATGCACAGATGGTTCTATCTCGTGCTCGGCCCTTGGCGAACATAAGCAACGCATCTATGCCCAACTTGCGAAATACCCGGTCTGACCCGGCCACACTGGCCAACCTCCTACAATCCGATGGGGTCAGTGAGTACGAGGCGCAGTCATCGCGAAACGCTTTCAAGGCGGTCTTGTCAAAGGGCTATGGCGCGCCTCAGCCCCTGACTGCCGGGCCCCCGGGTCTGCGCCAGCACAAGTCGTCTACCCTCGACACTGACCGACAGAGATCGCGAGTCTATGATGACGCAGCTCTAGCCAAGCTAACCGCATCCAATCTCAACTACCAACAATACCAGTATCAATACCCGTACGCATTGGCTCGGCAGTCCACCCCATCATTCAAAAGTGAGGGTTTCACGTCGGTCCAAGCCCATTTGGCCAGAGAGGCCTCATTGAACGAGTCGACAAAAATCAGTGATACTCTCACTGCAGAGCAAGTTCGCCCCTTCTATCCCTTTGGAATTCCACACGACTTCAGCTCCCGAACGAAGCCACTTCCGCCTGGCTGGGCTGAAGATTACCCTCTCGATATTTTTGGCATGCCCAAGAATCGCGGCCAGGCGGCCCGCCAGGCTAAGATAGACGCTTATTTCTACGCTGGAAACGACATGATCAACACCTCGATGGACGATGCTATTAGAGAGAAGAGCCGTCGCGATTTCGAGCGGACTATCGGCGTCATTGGGGATAAACGAGAGAAATCCAAGGACAAGGTCGTCAACAAGCAGTTGACCATCGAGGAGGCGAACAAGGTTCCTGCCAGCGAACATGCCGAGGCCCTACTTAATATGACCTTTCAAACCCTGATCAATCACCCCCAGTCTTCCACCGGGTCGACTTTGCCCAAGTTTGAGTACAAGAAGGATTAGCTGCCAATGATGCAACATCGTTATAGCCAGCAGGCTAACGAGGAGAAGTGGACGACGAATGCTATCTCTGCAGCGATGTGAAGGAGGCAGTTGTCGGAGGCGTTGGAAATGACGTCTTGTAGCGATGTGGACTTGGAGATGCCTACCAAATCTGGGTCACCCAAGGGCCATGATCTTGGCTTGATCATTTTGGTTTCTCGCCGTCATGAATATGACTGTACGCGACTCGACACTCATCTACCCCCTCAAAGAACGGCCACGAGTTTGTCAAAACTCAATGATTCATCACGATTCTTCCTCGTTCACCTCGATACCGTCGTCCCATCCTCGTGATTTGGTTGAAGTGAGGAGTTGGTTTCGCGGACGATGCTTTGAGGCGTTGGACCATAGTGATTGGTTCTGGATGTGGGGATTGAATTGGAGGAACGAAGCATAGTGAGAGTTGGCCATTCTGCATTGGGTGGGCAAGTGACGAAGTAGACATGCTGGAGGAAGCAAAGGTCAGCCGGAACAACTCGCAAGGCATCATGAGCCGCCACTTGCGAACATGAAGGCGATAATTCGGATCCCTGGACTTTAGCTTTGCATTCGCAGAAGTATTGATACACACCTTAATAGACTTTAATAATGTGTACGGACTCGCGCTTAATTGATTGCTGATTGCGGAAGTCTTACGCGGGGAAGAGTTGTTGAAGAAGTAGAATCCCATGGCAAAGTGTACATGCCGAGGGGCAGCCAACCCCTATCCGACCCGGCTGAGCGACTCGATTTCGTAATTTGTGACAAATGACCCACGACCGGAACCACTACCATTAAATAGTCCACACAGCCTATAGATCCAGCACCCATGCATGTCTGCGTGTGTCTTCTAAAATTGCTGGTGGCCGATGGCAATGTTGGTGTAGTTGGGAGTGTAGTTGGGCCGGCTTGGTCAAGCTCTTTGTAGGGAATTGTAATCATTCAAATCTGTCTATATTGGTATCTCGCGTGTTCGTTCTATGATTCCTCTCATCATTCAATACCACCAAAACTCTGCCCGGCAGTATCAGAAACTGCTCGAGTCAAGATAGATAAACGTATATAAAGCATAACCGCCTGAACTCCATTTGCTCGCGTGCGTCCTTCGTAGTTCAGACTATCTGTTCATCAAGGAGAGAAAACCAACCTTAAGAAAAGGCGTTCCTCGCTTTGTCTTGGCCTTCATAAGTCATTAGCCCATTATACTGAATTGCCTCCTCGAGGCCTCCCCGCCAACCCGTCTGTTTCTCGAGACCTCATGTACCAGCTGCGCCTACTTACCGTTACTTTCGCGTATTGCTCAAGGTATATGGCTCGTAGCTTCTCCGACGACTTCGGAGAGATCATGTCACATCCCCACTTTGCTGGCGTTTTCTTTCTGTCGCACGCGGACACAAGAGAGAAATACCTCTACTTCTCCTTCTTCCCATTGCTATTCTCCTCCTGGACTTCCACATATGGGTGCTTAATAGTCAGGCAGTAGATATCGAGGTAATCGCAAATGGTAACAATGACATCGACGACAAAACTGCCATAGACGCCAATCGCCATGCCCAGCATCGAGAACATGAATGCAACTTGGTAGACATCATCACCCAGCGCACTGGGCCATCCAAAAGTCCACCCGAGCTTAGACTGTAGCAACGGACCAAGCGAGTCGAAGACGCCCCAGGCAAGCGGCACAACCAGCACGTTCCAGTAAGGGAAATCAAGCTTAACGAGATGCGCCGTGATCATCTGGCCCACGCTGTACGCATTGACGATACCAGCGAACATGGCGAAGGGGACAAGATGCTGAGTTCGGATCAGGGGCTGCAGCCAGAGGTAGGCGATGATGAGGGACCAGGTGCCGAAGAAGGGAAGCAGCCCCAGCAATGCACCTCGGCTGCGGTCACCGCGGGCACGACGGGCTTTAATGACATTGCGCGCGCTCTCAACCGTGTTGAAGACGAGAACTACGGTGCCCTGCACCATGTACCACTGCGTGAAGCTGAACTCGTAGAGAAACGACGGGATGCCCCACGAGTCCGGGACGCCGACAGTGCGTAAGAGTGATTGCTGCCAGAAGCTGCCGCCGCCGACGCAGCCAGTCAGGGCGTAGACGCAGACGATGATCAGGATGCCCTCGACGGGCCCGCTGACAATGCCCAGCGTCAGGGTCTTGGTGTGGTACTCGTCCCATGTCTGAACGTAGAAGGTCAGCAGCGAGGCGAAGAGTGTCGCGACTGTGTACCACGAGTGGCCCATGTTTTGGCAGCCGGCGAAGATGAGGCACTCGAGGGAGGTGTTGAGCGCGTCGACACCGTGGTCGAAGAGCTCGCCGAGCGGGCCGCTTTGACGGGTTCGTCGTCTGTTATTTTGCAACATATTTTAGTCCGGGCTCATCAAGCAATGAAAATTCGAAGTCGGGATGAGGTAATGTTCACTCACGCTTGTGACCCGTCCACGGCGTCAAAGGTCTGATAGAGAAACAGGCCTATAGCCCAGCTGTAGTAGACCCATGTCGGGCAATTCTGGTCGAGCGTCGGGTTATACCACAGTAGCGTGAAGAAGTTGAATATGACAAACATGAACCCCGACAACGTGATGAGGTTCGGCGCCATCCACATGGGGAAGCAGCGGATCACCACATTGGAGTAGAAGGGCTTCAGCACATATCGCGACATCAACGAGTGATCCACTCCCGAGTATTTGTACTCCTTGAGGTTCGGCAAGAATTCCTGGCGTACGTACACCATCTTGACGGTGTTGCCTGTCTGACGGATGGAGCAGGTACAATATAGATAGATATTGTAGGGCTTAATCGTCGGGACGCAAGAAGAAGAGCAATCCGACTGCGGCGGTGGTTAGGGCTTGTGGTATCTTTTGAGGGGTCACTGCCTTGCAACTTCCACGAACCAAATACGGCAGCGTGCACAAGTCCAAGACAGACGGTTCAGTGATGCAGGAGCCGACAAGGTTCGTAACGATATCAAAGATAGCGCCGGAACGGTTGAAGAAAGAAGGTAATAATGGGTTGTTCGCGTGTTCAAGCTTTTGGCATTTACCAAACATTACACATATTGCAACGTCATAAGACCCTAGTCCTTGGATCCTAGCAAAAGCCGAATCTCATCGGCTTGCCCGCTAGTCCCTATCCATGCTAGCGCCCAGGGCTGTCCTTTGCCCTTGCGAAGCATTCAACATCAATCACATGTGGCCTCCTGTCCCCTCCGGTTGGCCTCGAAACCATTGAAACAAGGCTTGTTGGAGAACATACCGGCACATGAAGTTTGAATTGGCTTGCTTGATAATAGTCATGGGGATAGCTTGGTTCTCAACCAGATCACCTTCTCCCTAGTTCGTCCTTAGTTCTACTAGTCAGTGAACAAGCGCGTCTGTGAACTTGTCTCCTTGGCAGTTTTTCAAGTTGCCTCACCTTCTCCCTACGATTTGCAGGGGCTCGAAGCCGCCCAAAGCTCGTCCGCGTGCCTCAAATGTCTTACAACGGTCCGGCCCATATAGTATCTAAGATGCATGCCCTCGAAACCCAAGCAACACTTCGCTGACTCATTTTGCTGCAGTAATAACGCCTACCGAAACCCGACATTAAGCGACTGATGCCACCACCATAGCAGCCACCCCTTCTTCTTCGCTGCGCACTACCATCTTGGTCGTCACACCAGATTTCGATGAGTACGCCATCCTGATGTTAGCCAGCACTCGGCCACCATTCACCGTCTTGCCCAACAACTTAAGTTGATGTGTCGTTTGGTTTACCGGTACGTCGGTTCCCTCCAGCGGCTGTAATGACAACGTCTTGGCCAGTTGTTCTGTTGCGTCTGCAAAATAGGAATTAGTAAAGTGCATTCACATAAGCACGTTACGACGAAATAGCTTACCTGCAATGCTGTTGGCCCCTGACAACTGGAAAGTCTCTTCCGCTTCGTCCCCTGCGGCTCCAACCTGCTCCCAGATGTGTGCAAAGTTACCTGCGAATGCCGGGATCACATAGTCGCTGCCAGCAAGGTCAAACTCGCCCACCTCATACTCGTCATCGTAGCCTTCCTCCTCTGGCTCGTTGGTTGAGGGGTCGATTTCCTTGAGGTTGAACCTGAGTATGTTCGAGAAGGTGCTTGTAGGCATAGATGCCTCGCCGTTCACCTTCTTGAACGCCACATAAATCTTGCCAGGCTCATCTGTAGCAAGCTTTTCGGCCTGGATGATGAAGACCTCCTCAAGTTCTTCCTCTTCCGAAGGTGCAGCAACCACGGACACATTCTCCAGCACAGTTGCCGGAAGGGTGTTCTTGACCTCGTATTGGAGAACAATGTGCTCCTTGAAAATGTGCTTGATGACGGAGACAACGTACTCGGTCTCAGCCTCGGTAAGTTCAGTGACAGTAGAGGATTTTAGAACACTACCGAATTCGTTCATCTCCGGAATTGCCATGAGCTCCTGGGCGTACTTCTGGGCAGCCGCGGCGGCCGAGGCTTGTGCGTCCGCACCGCTTGGAGTAGCCTTGGACGGTCCGGTCTTTGGGGGCTTGAGCGAGGGTGTCGAGGCGGTGAGCTTCTTAGTCCGGTCCTCGGCATCTGCTTGTTCACGGGTAACCACCGGTATCTTGTTGATGTCGAAGGGTGAATCGAAACTATCCTTGTCATCGGACGTGACATACATGACAAGTTGGTGCTCGAAATATGGGAGAGAGAACATAGTTTCTATTTCTCATATTAGTGTCTGGGAGAAAAGCATTGGGTATCGGAGGCAACCTACCACTCTTGATAAAACGTTCTGCCATTTCATCTTCCTCATGCATTAATCGCAGGTTCAAAGCTGCGCGATCACGGACTTCGTCGTCTACATCGTCTAAACATCTGGTCAAGAGAACATCGACACTGCGCTTGACTTCGGGGTCCTTTTGTCCAACACCAAACTTGGCCAGAGCGGTCACAGCCGCGGCTCTGACAATGGCATTCTCTAGCACAACTCGGTTGTAGATATAACGGATGTACTTTGTGGGGTGGGTGGTCTTCGGCCCCTCGAGACCGAGGAGGTGCAGAATTCGGACGGCCAACTTGGTGAACTCGCAGTCCTCGATGAATTCGCAGAGGTGAGCAAGTGCATCCTCCTTGGAGTCTGGAACAAACTTGATCAGGTCGAACATGCTTTCTACGACTGCGCGCTTGAATTCGTAGCCGCCCTCATCTCGCAGAATACCACTGAGGAAAGCAAGCATGCCAGCCTGCTTGCTTGGGAACTTCAAGCACAGTGTTCGAATGGCCTCGACAATGGTGATCTTGAACTCATCGGTAATCTCAGACATGAATCCAGTAATTTGCTTCATCAGACGGTCCACGCTCGCTTCGTTGCCAGTCTTCAAGAGAGTAGTGATGGCGAAAGTGGCGATGGAACGGTTGCCATTGGATATGAGAAGTTCAATATCGGGGTTGCAAGAGTTGACGGCATGCGGCTTGAAGGAGGCGAAGTTGTGGAGGATTCGGAGAGCCGCAAACTTGGTGACAGCTCGGGGCGAAGACAGGAACAGTTGCAAGACGTGGACAGCCTGGGTGACCTCGGCGTCTGTGACGTCGCGCATGTCGCAGATAGCCTTGGCGGCCTCGAAATTGACCATCTCACTCTTGTGTCTCAACCAACCATCAAGCAATGTCATCATGGGTTTCCGTAGCGAAGAATCCTCCTCGGCCAGCTGTGCTGCTAGTCGTACCAACATCACAATCGCAGCAGGGCTCTTGACAGCACCAGCGGCGCCAAACTGTTGTACCATCTTGACCAATGCCATTCTGTCGTGCGACCGCATTTGGTAGAGTAGGCCAATGGCGTGGTATTGGGCCATTGTGGAGTTATTGACAGGCATTGCGGCCGATGAGGACGAGAAACCGAGCGAGAAACCGCCTGAGGACTTGGTCGAAGCAGCGGCCTCCTGCGTCTCAGATTGCCATCGTCGAACAACATCCTTGGCGATCGGGAGAAGGTGGTAGGAGGAAATAAGGGCTGCGGAGGAGACCGAGGGGTTCTTGTCGACAATTGCCGTCTTCATAACCCGTTCAATGGACTGAACCGTGGTCGCCTAAACATTGTCCAGCATTAGCAACGAAGGGCCCGGCTCAATGCTTTTGGCAGACCATTCTAATTCACCGACTTACATCTATAATCCGGCACAGGGCCCGAATGGCATTAGGTCTGTAAATTGCATCGGTGCTGCCACCCGTGTCCTTCATGATGGTACTTGTCACCATAATTATGTCCTCAGCAGAAGAAGCCAGTTCCTTGATGACGAGGTGGACCATCTGTCGCAAGCTGGCATCTTTGTTCTGGAACAGCTTCGAGATGCCGAAGAATAGGGTTGTGGCTTCGTTGGTCGGGAACTTCTCGCCCGTGTAGAGTAAAAGGGCAATCTTGGTCAAGAGGATTCGACATCTTCGGGGTTGGATGGGCGAACTGTTGAATAGTCGAGCTAGCGAAGGACTATTAGTTATGTTGAACTGTGGGGGTACGACGGGTGACGGTAAGGTTGAGGATGCAATTGCCAGAATACACACCTTCTTGGAATACCTGAGTGCGGTCGACCTTGACCAAGCCAAGGTCGGCATCTTCGTCTTTTTTGCCGTAACTCATGGTGGGCGAGGGAAACGGCCTTTGAGGAGGACGAAACGTGGAGATATGTGGTGGCCTCGACGATTGACACTTAAGTTGGGAGTTCCAGATGCAGATTCCATGTCGCGAAGTGTCCCTTCCGCTAAATTGGGGATCATGTGACCCACTATTTCGGAGCTTCAATCTCTGGCTGGTCAGGACAAGCTAGCACTTCCTTCCTTCAAAGACACATTCACCACTCGCAACAATATGTACGGTATCTACGTTATTTCAAGCAAAATTTTGTTTTGGGATGTTTTTTACTGTTATTTTCGTTTCGAATCGTTGCCTGTGCATTTGGATCTTTTGAAAGGCAAATGCCAGGCTGGTGGTTCCATCCTCAGAACCTTGATGGGATACTCAATGGTCATTGTAAGCCAGGCCACCGGCTGACCATGACTTTCTCCCGAAGTTGCACAATTATTTATCTTGACAAGGAAAAACTTTGCTAGCGCCTCTAGCTATGCTAACCTAGGTACAGTTGAGGCCGTCAATGACCTCTCGGGTTGGCCTTTACTAGCTTCATGACATTGTCAGCAAAGCCCACGGCTCCCCCGTACTTTCGTATAACCTCTTGCAGGTCAACATCCGCGTAGTCTGCGGTCCTCCTTCTTCCTAGCAATCCAGTATTTCGTGTGCTTGGTATCCTCAACATCTCCGTCTCTATCTCCCAGCCGCAATCCGTTCCAATCTGTGACACCCAAGAAACAAGCGACGAATAGGCCGACGTCGACTTATCTTGCTGTTTAGGGGGTGGTGCCCTGAACCTTGACCCTGACAGATCATGGCTGCAACATGGTATCATGATGAACGGGCATTCTGATGCGGTCGCAAGCACAGGAGTCCATGGTGTAAGCTCGTCTGCATGGTTAGATATGATGAACGTGCCTTTCGGGAAGGTGCCGTCCTGGATCAGATTCTCCATATCATAGTCGTTGGACAAGTCATCTCCCGTTTCGTCGGATTTGCTTCTGTCCTGGATGATTGATGGGAGCAGGACATGTTGCCGAAGACTTGACAATGCTTCCGTATTTATTGTCGTGCCACTTGGGACGTTGTAGTTCTCCCACGACTTGCGTTTTCGAGCATCAAATCCCCACCCCGAGTATCCTTCTTGGAGTAGCACGTAAACGAGGAGGCCGTTGCCACATCCAATATCAACGAACCCCGGAAAGACAGTGCCAGAATACATTTGACGCCACAACTCGATGAGAAACGCGGCAATGCTCAGATCTTCGAAGACATGCTTTGAAGGATCAGTCACTTCAGCCCAAGATTCTATGAGTTTCCGTCCGTATTTCTCTTTGAGCCTGGCGTAAGTCGTTTGAACTGTTCTTTGGGGGACTATAGTATCGTGATGAACCCGCTTGACGTAGCCTGCCTTCGAGCCTTCTCCGTGCTTGTGGAGCGTAGACAACAGATGGAGGGCTGTACGAACCAACTTTGGCGTTTGACTTCTATCATCCTGATTGAAGAAACAGTAATGAATGGAGATAGTGCCCTCTTCAGTTTTGGCGTTCCATTCGTGCAGGAATGCCAAACCCCGAACGTTAGGGTGGTAGAAGGGCATTTCAGATACAGAAGAGACGTGCGGGTTATACACCAGCATCCACCTCTCCGCCTCACCTGGTCCTTCCGCATGATAGAATATACATGTTTGATCAAGGGGCTTGTCCCTTAAAGCGTTCCGGGGGATCAGTCTCCGTACAAAGAGCTTTTCCAGTTGAAAGTCCCTGAACTGGACAAGTCGTGGTTTATGCTCGGCAGGTCCATGTGGTTGATCCTGATCACCATCACTCTTGAATAGGATATCTGCACGGAACAGCCAGCTGGAGTTGAGATTTGGATTGTGAATGAGATTCAACATGACCTTGGAAAAGGTAGCTGGGTCGAAAGAGCATGGATTCTGGAATAAAGGAACCCAGTCAGCCCCAGAGACATCCTCAATCAAACCTGGGAAGCCGGGATCAAGCTCCGTAGGCTCGAAGGCCACGGCCAACTCCAATGCCGGTTCGGCCGACTTGCCTAACTTGCCGGTCTTCCCTGACTTCTCTGATTTTCCCGACATTCTGCTTTAGTTCAGAATGAGGCTCGCAAGCAGGATTTTCGCCAACCGTATTTAAAGTCCCACTCAGGTCCACCCAGACATGAAATTGGAACTCAGGAGGGAAGCGAATATACGTCATATGCAATCCAAGTCAAATTTGAAGTTCCCTTATATACAAGATTGCAAACGAGATCCTCCAGGTTTGGATAGAATATGAGAACAATTGTCAGGAACCATGGTACGTGCGAATGGCGTTGTCGGTCTGATATCGTGAGTAATTCTAGTATCCGGTAGTTTCGGGGTTCGCGATTTGGCTATTGAGAGCATTTGCACTGGCTTGTGGCGATGCAGGCTTGGCAGCCATCTTAATCGTTGCCACCTGAGGCAACCACATTCTAGCCAGTGTCCGCCCCACTCTTAACCTGGTCAAAGCGCCTGTCCCAGTGAACTGATATCGTCTTGTTGCTCCATCCCCTCCTTCCATTCTTTCCCATCCCACCAACAACCAACATCTCCGATAGTCCATTCAACTCGTCGCATTCCACCCAACTCTCTGTTAAATACAGAGGACTCCCCCATCTCTATTTCTCATTCTTCACCGCCAACCACAAACTCTATCAGCAACTGTTTCGCGAGACTTAGCCGTCGGTCGCACCACTTCGAGTCCCCCTATCACAAACCCTTTCCCCCAGGTTCCCCAGTAAACTCGAGTTTATGTCAATCGAAAACCTCAAGACCTACGGTACGTCAGCTACCCTCGCCTCAGTGTATTGCTTCCCATTTGAATGCTGCTGCATACCTCTGATGGGGGCTTGTCGTCATCATGGCTACAACCGCTTCACTAACTGCGCCCCTCGTCACCTTTTCCCAGATTCTATGCTGACGATGACATCAAACAGACCCCTTCGCCGAAGCCGACGAGGATACAGGAGAATCCAAACAGGCGCAAAATTACATCCATATTCGCATTCAGCGTATGTTTGCCCTTTACAACCAGTTCCACGATCAATCACTTCACCGTCGGATGTTGGAAAATTGCTCAGGGGACGCTAGGGGGCTTCCTCACGTGGGGTGACACCCTGACCCCGATCTTCCGTTGCCCCTCACCAACGCCAGGCATTTCCATCGCAGCACGTCACCGCATCCGTTCAATTAATTGCTAATTTCTATTTGCTACAGAGCGAAATGGTCGTAAAACCCTGACTACGGTTCAGGGTCTCCCGAAGAAATTCGATCAGAAGAAGATTCTGAAGGTCATCAAGAAGAAATTCGGTAGGTGACCCTTTGCTCAGCCTTCGCCCATGACATCCTGCTGAGTCATTAAAACTGACTTTGCCACCCTTTTCCAGCTTGCAATGGCACCATCGTCAATGACACCGAGATGGGCGAAGTGATCCAGCTCCAGGGCGATCAGCGCAAGGATGTCCAGGAATTCCTCATCGACAAGAAGGAAGGCCTAGAGCTAGATGCCAAGACCATCAAGGTCCACGGTTTCTAAGCTGGCCGTGCATGCCCCCGTTACACTGTTGTACTCGATAGCCTCGATCATGGTCGCGACATCTAAGCGAAGGACTGGCGGGCAGTAGCGTCACGCGTTAGCTCTCGAGCAGCAGACACTTCTGGCCGGTCAACTGGTTCTGGCAACAAGATTACGATGATGATCGAGGCGTACAACGGAGTGAAACGGATTTAGGCATGATACCCATTTGCTCGACAACGAGGATTTTTTAGTTTTCGGAATGGACAAAGCTCCATGTTTTGGCTCTCGGAATGATTTCTTCTGCCTGCGTAGGCTCAGTGAGGACGCAAGTTTCCGACTTCATCATGACTTGGAAGACTTTCATTCTTGATTCTGTAAGCATGATTCTATATCAGATAGTACAGAAGACACATTCCCGAACTTCAGACTGCGTAGATATTGCAAGTGACAATCTGTCCGTCCATCTCGAATGATCATAATTACACTCAGGTCAATCAGACTGAAGATGATGCGCGAACAAGTTCGGGATATAATAAAGTGAACCTCAACGCCAAGTGCCGGCCACATGCACTAACTCTAAGTGTTCCAACATAACGCCTCGAATAGTGAAGGTATATACAGATGCAAGGAACAAAGTCCACAGAAGCGTTCCCTTACACCTCCAAATCCCTTCGCCTCTTGACATCCAAAACCGCCACCAAAATTCTCCCTGCAATCTCGCCCGCCCGCCTTAGCCATCCCCACAGCGGCACAGGGGGGTACTCATCCTTCATCAAATGCAAATGCACCAACAGCGCTACCATGCTGACGAAACTAGCAAGAGAGAAAACGGAGATGCTGGCCGAGGTCTCCTTACGGATGTTGATCTTGCGCTGGGTGAAGTGGTAGCACGCTGTCAGGGTCCAAGCCATGCCAATCCAGGCGGGTAGGAGTAAGGAAGGGTCGGCGGTGCCGCCTGTCAGGGACACGGCGTTGCTGGCTACGAAGGCGAAGATGGAGGAGAGGGTTAGGAGACGAACGATGGTTGCTTGCGGGGTGTAGTTTAGGAGCCAGCGGGACATGAGGCAGTCGGTGAAGAAGTAGGAGAGGTAGGCGGATGCGGCGCACTGGGGCAGGAAGGGTGGGTTAGCTAGCTGTCTTCTTTACAAAGCTTGGGGTTGTTTTCGAGGGGTAAATGGGTCGGTAGCCGGGTATATAGTAGGAGGAAAGAAGACAAGACATACCCATATAATAGCCAACGCTGTCTCTGTCAACATCAACCGTCTCTCTCCTCTGTTATCTATCTTGGTACTTCCTCCTCCTCTTCCATCAACATGATCGTTCTCCCCGCTCCATAATCCGTTCTCGAGGAAATCGGCGACCAAGAACCCCAGTGCACAGCGGACCCCCCACCATAGCGTCGGGGCAATCGAGAGAAGACGGCAGGCGAAGAGGAAAGGGTGCCAGCGCGCGGGGACACCGAGGACTACAGCCATGCGTGGTTGGAGCAGGGACGAGGTTGCTATCGCTTCTGCTACTGCTACCGCCTGCTGCTTTTCGTTGTTTGTTGGGCCATGATTATTGCTGCTGTGGTTGGCGAAGGAGGACAAGTGTTCGGGGGATGGTCTGGCCATCAATTGGCCGCCCTGGCTTGTGGAGGAGCCAGATTGTAAGACAATTGGTTCTAAAGAGGGATGAACCAATGGATACAGTCAGATTACTAGGTTTCAGTGTGCATGTAAAAATGGCAAGTCGAGTGTATGGTAGAATTTAGGACGGAAGTCTGCAGGTTGCAGGTTGCAGCGGACGGGAAACTCTATAGAGAAGTCTGGAGGAGAGCTGTAAGTTGGGAGGAGAGGGCCTGCAAGAAGGTGGACGTGGGTAGTATGAGGGGACTTCTTGAACGGTGTGCGCTGCTGCAACGTCATTGCAAGGGGAGATTGGCTCGCGATTGATTGATTATCAGTGGGCGGGAGGTGATTGACAGGGAGCCGAACCACTGTAAAAACGCTGTTTCTTTATTGGTTGACGCTTTGTGACCCCAGTCGTGCGGGAACTGGGGAATTGAGCTCTGGGAAATTTTTCGAGATCGATCTCGGAACGGGTCACTGCCAAACGTTGCGATTCCGAGGTGACACAAGTGCCCGCACAACATCCAATGCGCCAGGAACACCGGGCTCTTTCCTGGGCATCCAACTCACCTCGACTTCGGTAGCCTGCCTCTCTCTCTCTCTCTCTCTCTGCACATACACCACAAATGGCCAACAAGCAGGTCGCCCGGTTGCTACAACCATGGCTGCGGATCTCCCTAACCCAACGGCCAGCATCGTCCATATTGGCAGCCAGAAGCCGACTTCTCGTGAACACAAGACCCTCTACTCCTCAAACCCGCCTTAGCCTCCCCTCGACTATCGAAACGCGGCGCAGCTACGCCGCCCCCAGGAAACCCAAGAAGAAACCCGAGTACAAACGCCGCCGGACAACCGCAGACCGCTCCGAGCTGACCCTCGACCAAAACGCCATCTCGTACCTACTCCCCGCAACCCTCGTGGCGCCGCCCTTCTGGCAATGGTCCAAAAATCCCTCAATTTTCCTCCGTTACGGTTGGCAAGCGGTGCGCAACCGCGTCATGAACCTCGTCTACCGCATGGTCTTCCGGTACACCTCCAAAGAAAAACTTCTCTCCCGCCCGCGATGGAAGGCCAACCGATCGGCTGTGATCCCCGCCGCCAAGGCGTTGCACCTGCAGATGAACGACGCGGTCGCCAAGGGCGACAAGGAGACGCTGAGGCAGATCTGCACGTCAGAGCTGCACCACACGCTGGCGGGCATGATTGATTCGCGGCCGAAGGGACAGCGGGCGGAGTGGCAGCTTCTGAAATACAAGAGTGGGTTGGGCGTCTACCCGCGGCTGACGGATGATAAGCTGGCGCTGCAGCCTGTGCCGGGGGCTCAGGAGAATAAACTCGTGAGGCAGGTTGTGGTGACAATTCGGAGCGAGCAGCGCATGGCAAGGTATGATGATTTGAAGGGTGGAGTGCTGATCCCGGGGAGTGAGAAGGTCCGGTCGCTTGAGGAGCACTTTGTGCTCGTGACGAGCATTAGCCAGCGGACGTGGGAGCAGGCACCTTGGAAGATTTGGGGGACGCTGCCTACGTCGACTTTGGAGTCATATACTGAGGAGGTGGATATTGTCACGAGGTTGGGCTCGGAGCAGAAGGCTTAAGGGTGTGTTTGAGGGTGGACAAGAAGACAAGGAAAAGGGGAAAAAGGGGAGGTAGCGATTGAATGTATCATTATGTGTATACAAAAGATGTATATTGATGCTTCTTCACCAGAGCAGCTGGCATACACCACCTACTGTAGATGGATTCGACGTATGGAAGCAGTCTGATTGGCTAATAAGCCAATGGATTTACATAGTCTGCATGTACCATAGCAAAAAGTGTCAAAAGTTGATGTGACTAGTTTCAACCCGTTTGTCCACCTTATGATGCAGCATCCAAATTAACCTACTTAGTCGAAGCAAGCGCTACGATTCGTCCACGATATAGGATAATAAAGAAACCATTCCCCCGGTACTATTGTAAGAATGACCCTAACAAATACATGCCTTATTGCGCGAAATACCCTCAATTATTTTATTTTTCTAACCTCGACAATAGTATAAGATGTTAAGCATAACTTCCAAACCTGGCTCCTCGAAGTTAAATATAAGGCGATAGCCTGGTTTGGTTTTCGTTAATTTCTTAGGACCATTAGAAAACATTTTAACCTAATCCGATATATTACTTCGGAAGCAAAAGTATCGGGAAACAGAAAGACCTTTCAGAAGCGGAAAACGGGTAGATTGTAACGGGGATACTTCACGTCCCGAGATTAATATTCAGGCAGTGCAAAGTGCCACTGGTGATGTGCTAATACTACGGATGTGTATATTGTAAGACTGATTCTGAAGGAATCTAAGTTAGTTGAGTGCGTACGATATCTCTTTAGCTGGGGCGAAACCCCTCTGACACAACTTGCCAGCTAAGATCGACCCGCTATGACGACTCTTCCTGACAAAGATATAACTATTTATATTATTAGGGTCTTCATGAATAAAGGCTGAAGAAAGTGGGGAATATTATTACGAACCGTTAGTTCTATATAGCCTAATAGGCCCGTTAGTAGGCTTGTGACGAGGCAGAGGCACTGCAAGTTCGAATCAGGGTTGCGACATCAGTCTATCTCTGTTGACGAATACTAAACTGAAGAAGAGAGAGAAAGAGATCTAAGTGCAAGTGCCCTTTCCTACATTATAAGGAAAAGGGCAGCGCGTACAGGTGGGACACCCATACTAGGGTGTCCCTGTGTTCGTCCAGGGGCCCAGGGGCCAGGCATCGTGACCGGCGTCACAAGGCTAGGAAAGCGGGTATAACAAATACACGCCCGGAGTGGAAGAACAATAGGACAGGCAGGTTACGTAATGGATTATTAGAATTAGTAATCCAAAGTGGCCAAGTAAAAAGGAGGACGAGGTTCCTGGGTATTTTATAGATAAGCTTAGTCTCTATTTTAGTACTTCATCTAAGAATTAATCTAATCTATCAGTAAGATATAGTACCTGAACGCCGTATTCCTAATAATCTCTTGTTCATTAGTTACTTCTATACGCACCTTATATATTAATCAAGATCCCGATAGCAGAACTGCTTGGCTAGTATAAACCCTTCAGCTCTTCTTTAGTAGCTAGACTACAGAGACTTCGTCACACTGCGTTTATCACAGCTACCAGCCACTAGCAGCTGACATGTGATGAGACAGCGGCACTGCGAGTACGCATCAAGGTTGCGATACCAGTCTATCTCTGTTGATGAATACTAAGTTGAAGAAGAGAGACAAAGGGTTTCAAGTACAGGTGTCCGTTCCTTTGTTATAAGGAGGACGGGTGTCTATAACTGGGACAGCCCTTACTTGGGTGCCCCTGCTCTGCGTATCGTCCAGGTGACAGGCCTCACATGACATCTAACAACGGTCAAATCATATACTTGTGCAGCCTGAATACTTAGCATGTACGACCATAGCTTCTAGAAAATTCGGGATCCCGTCCGCTCTCCCATAGACAAGCTGGAAAGCGCCAAATTAGTAGTTGGGTGGGTGACCACCAGCGAATCCCTGGTGTTGTACATTTTATCAAACACTTTTTTATGCCTCAATAACATTCTTGAATTAAATAGAGAGATCCCCTTCTATATATACTAGCAACATCTGTGGGTTTTCCCGGGTGTTAACTGCTCCCTGCTTCTGACTTGCATTGTTCATGAAAAATATGAACCAAAAGTTGTATATCGCCGACTTGACTGTTCGCAATTCCTACCCCTAGCTCGGATTGCTAACATGCCAGTCGACTCACATCTGTCCAACCCTGAGTTCTTGGACCAAGAGCATAGGAAGGAGCACAATAATAAGCACAGTCAGCAAATACATACTTAGACAACAGAGCATTTGAGAATCCAATGCTGAAGCGAGTTCTTTAGAATCTGGTACGGTGATCTAGCACATATATAGCTTATTGAAACATTTCCATGCTCTCGTCTATCTTGCTAGCTTCCTAAGCGTCACAGATAATTCCAGGAACAGGCAAGGTAAGGCCACACTTTACTTTTCAGCTCTCTTGCTACCTTATCTTGGGGCAAGAGATTTGTGGCGTTGAGTGAAACCCCAGGATTAACTACACAAAGCCTGAGTGTTAACGGATCGTTGTCGTTGAAGTCTAGTTTCATATATATTACTAACGGTAGAAGGGAAATGTAGAATGATAACGCTCGAAGCGTGTAGTAGTAGTAGTAGTAGTCTCATACAAGAATGAAACCGTAAGTATGTCTCCCGAATCCCGTAGTAACGAGAGCGCGATTTGTAGCCCCAAGTCCTCCAATAATCATCTCGTAATGGTCCTCATGACCCATCCCCTATTTTCACCACACGTCCATCACCATCGGCCGCTCCAGGAGTTGCGGCCTGCAGCAGAGATAACCATGACCACCAATTCACCCATCAGCCCCGATATACCTAATTGATTCAAGACCTTCAATAGCCAGACACCGGCAGGCAGCCAGGCCATGAAGAACAACCAAATTGGTCTAGAAGAACTTGCCCACCCCCTTCCCAGCCGGGACCTCCTCCCTCGTCACCTCCGGACTAACCCCCTCATACCCCTCGTCTTGACTCTGCAACTGCGGCACCGGAAACGGGCGATCAAGTGCATCAAACCGTCTTCCACTCTTCTTAGCCATCACAAATTGGACCGATAACCTCAGAGCCAACGCGATGAATCCCCAGATTAGACCCCCAATAGGCGCAGCGACAAAAGCGCCGAACGCGCCCCAATCATCAGCGTACAATCCCTGCTGAAGCAGAATCAACTCGCCTCCCGCTTTGGCACTGTCATAATAGATACTCCCAAAGACGAACACGGTAAAAATCCCGCCCAGGCCACCGACCAGGACCTCGAAGCCACGCCACCAGTATATCTTTTCCGAGAGTCCCAAAACAAGAACGGGGATGGTAGCCGCAGAGAGCAAGTCGGTTATGAGGTAAATCTGTAGGATACTCGGCGCCTTGAGAGCAAGCACCACGACAGGGATGATGATCAACACAACGGCGCCGCGGATCCACCACGTGTTCAGCCTGTTGCGGAACAGGTCGTTGGAAGCCGTGGAAACCATGGCACTCTGGAGCGAATCAAAGGCTGCGGTGCTGAGAGTGATGACGGCTACGAGGACGATGCCCACAACCCACGCGGGGAGCTGTTCCAGCAACAAAAAGAACGCAATCGAACCCGAATCCGCCATAGTGTCCGGGTCCCAAGCTCCTGTCCAGGCGGCAATGAGACCGGTGCAGCCGACCATAGTCAACACGATGAGGATGACGACCATGGCGGCGGATATGCCCACCCAGAGGTCCTTGTCGGTCTTGGAGGCGAAGGTGCGCAGCCAGAAGTTGGACAGGAAGAAGTCGTTGGTGAGGATGGCGACTGGGAGGATGTAGAGAAGCTGCCAGCCGAGGAGGTTAGCAGAGAGGAGATCCGAGTTCTTGACTAGGTCTGGATTGATGTTGGTTTCGACGCCGATGGCGACTGTCGCGATGATGATAAGGCAGACGATCATGGCGCCTTGAATGTTGTCCGTTAGGAAGGAGATGCGGAAACCTCCGAGTGCTGGTGGTTGCAGTTATTAGTACAGACTTGGATAGACTCATGTTCAGGCCAGTGGAAAGGGACCAGGGCGGTTTGAACTCACATGTGTACACCGTCGTAACGACGCATTCCACAATGACAACCGGCAGCCCGTTCAATCCAGTCAACGCATTAACCACCTGGCCCACGGCAGACAACTCAGCAATCATGTACAAGAACAGCGTAACCAGCGACATGAAGCTAAGGTACAACGCCGTGACAACCCCATAGCGCTGCCTCGTCCACTCGGTGAGCACGAAGCCCTCAGGACACTTCCGCCGGATGACGGGCCCAAGCGCCGCAAACACAAGTAACGGCAGCGCCGACGAAAGCGCATACACAATGACGCCCTGTAGACCAGCAAGCGTGGCCAGTTCCGGGTACGAGAAGAATATACCCGATCCCATGGCTTGAAGAGCAGATTTAAAGTCAGTACATCTCGAAGTCTTATCGGGGAAGACAGAAGGGGGGGGGTTTCATCAGAGCGGCAGCACGTTTCCCACGCAAGCATTAACTTGATCGAGTAATTACGGTACAATCTCAGCTTCATCTCCTCAGAAAGCGGCCCTTGGGGGGATATCCTCCCATGCTCTCTCCCTCTCAGTGCTGAGAGAAAAGAGAGTGAGAGGTTGGATCCCCAACCAAGGCCTTCTCTTCAGATCCGCGCCCGTAGTGAGCCACAGTCTCCCTCTTCCCAGTCCCCCAACCACGAGCGTGGGCGTCCGGGGACCGGGGGGAGAGGAAGATATCATTGTTAAACTTGTGTGTACGTACGAACCTAATTGTCAGTCTTTTCTGCTTTGGTTGCAACTCAAATATCTCTCTGGTTCCATTACCATTCGTTGCCTGCATGCGCCTTCACCAAATTAAGTGGCCGGCGAGGGTGTGTCGAGCGCCACCATATTGCGTGTCGTAAGTTCGAAAGGTGTCGAACAAAGTGCTACCGCTCGAAATGTTTCATGAGGGGAAACATGCTGCTGCGCAAAGGAGTACGTGTTAGGTAGCTTCTTGCACTACTCACCGGCGGCGATGAAGTTGAGGGCCAGCGGCAGGGCTATAGAAACGAATTAGTCACCAAGTCCTTCGTGCCTCAAAAGATGGGGAACCATGGGAGAGTCTCAGAAGTCTGCACAAGACCCCTAATAGCTGGTCCCCCATTGATAGTATTTCTGACCCGTCTGAGTTCTATTGCCAGCCAGGAAATCCACCTTGGGCTGGTTTCTCATCTTCCATGCTAATCCCGTTCCTAGGAGCCTACACCAACAACATCATCAGCAAAAATGAGGATTGCCATTATCTGGCTGTTTTCGTACAAAAAGGCGCCATAGGTGACATAGATAATGGCGTTGGACGCCTGAAATGATGGATTCCCCATGAGTGCTGGGAAGAGTTTTCTCTTGGAACGCAATCCTACTGCAAGTCAGTAATGAGAGCCCCTTCTTCAAGATGGGTCAGAATGCTCACACGTTTCGGTGTCGATTAACAATGATGGGATGGCTACGGCCCTGAAAATTGAGCTGTTTGGTGGAGAAAGAAAAACTTGTAGAAAGCCCTCAAGAAATCACGAGCTCATAAGAAGCGCGAATTGACAGGGGACCTCGTACTATTGTCGTGACACTGAACCACTTTGCACAGCGGCGCCGTGCCAATGTGGAGTGGAGAACACCCACAACCTCCACTTGTACGCTTAGTAACATATTTCGCCGAGCAACTTTTCTTCTGAATTTGCCAAGATTGGTGTAACGTACCCCACAAGCAAGTTGGCCACTTTTTCTTGGCACCGTACGAACAACCTTTTAATTAACATCTTTACACATACCAAGATGGGATCGAATTGGAAAGAAAGCGACATGATTCTAGCGTGTCAGGCGCTTCAATCGAAACCCGAATTAAGCATCCGACGCCCTGCCCAACTCTACAATGTCCCTCGGTTTCAGGGGGACAGGACTTATTCCGTACGACCCGGAATATGTGATTTCACAGCTGGATATTAAGCTACATACGCCTACACCTCCTGGGAGCTCGTCTGGCGCCCCCTTAATCTGGGAATCAAAGACTCCAAATAACCCAACCGAGGCGCAATCCCAGTCTGAATACGTTAAAAACAGAATCGTATGGCATCAGAATAGCTCCCCGACGACAATACTTACGGCTATTGACCAATTTTCACGTTGTGCGACGGCTGTTATGCATCGGTTAGTTTTACTTGAGGATGAGGTTACTACACTTCGGAAGGCCAATCAAGAGCTAAGCCGTCGTCGAAGGACTAAAAATCGACAGCTACAGGATGGAGGATCTCTTAGTTTACGAGACGCTCAGGACTTACAGTCTCAACGGGATATTGAATAGCAGCTACAGGATGATATACGTGTAAGTCGTCGTCGTACGAGACCGGCCGAACCACGCCGACGGCGCTGTAGGATCTGCGGAGAGCCCGGACATAATGCTCGTACTTGTGAGAATGATAAAGATACGTACGAGGAAGAGGATTCCGATTAGTTTGAATTATTATTTTTTAGTTTAGTTGAGTTATTGAAGTTATTCATACGGTGCCAAGAAAAAGTGGCCAACTTGCTTGTGGGGTACGTTAACTTTTGTGTCATTCATCTTCTCTGAAACTTAATAAAACTCTATGGTTGACACCCATTTAGTCTACATAACGCTGAGCAACCCTTTTTAAAGCAGACCTGTGTTCTTCCAGTGATAGGGGTATGGGGGTATTAAACTTGATAATAAGAACGAAAAGGGAGTATGGCCAAGAGTATTGTCGAGATTGAACTCGCCTATCCTATGCCATATATCCTCCACTCAACGAAGAGAAGATTGGCCATGTTCAGGCCAACATGCAAAGAATCCTAGATATCTATCCCTGTACGTGCCAGCCGAGGAGATTCTCGACAGCCTTGGATAAGATCTGTGGTCCATCATCACGACGATCATCCACTGCAGCAAACGTGGCAAAGTCGAAGGGACGAAAACGAGAAACCTCCCATCTCATTACAACGATGACTCTCGGGTTACGAGTGTCCTTCTGTGATCCAAGTGGGTCGGTCGCACACGGAAAATCAAGACAATGGATCCAACAAACCATTGTCGAGTGGTAAGAAGATGAGTGTTGGGAACACGCCGAAGCGAGTTGGTGCACTCCTTTAACTACCGATCCAGGAGGTCCTCTAGAGCACAAGTCAGTCACATGAACTCACATAAACTCTTGGAGGCATTGCTTGCTTTGGACTTACCAATCTTGCCATGGTAAAGTGTGTGAACACAGGTCGAGGGATTGTTCAAGAACGGAAAGGGTATGGAATGACAAATGCAAACGACATGGGCTGTCGCAATTTATGCTGAATCAGTGGGCATTTCGCTTGCATGCTCGAATTGAAGGAGGATTGAACATGGTGAAATACATGAGTGCCTTCCGAGGTAAAGTGATGGACACGATATTCCTTGCCCTTTCATTGCAAAATTTAATTGCAAATGCAATCCAAGGACAACGGACAAAGAGGGTGAATCGGAAGAAGAAGCTGATGCGAAAGGGAGTGTTCAGTCAATGAAGCGCCTGCATCAACAGCAACTTCTTGAACATCCAGATCAGATGGATCCAATTAGGCGGTATCACCACCCTTGGACTCAGCAACTTCGCCTGCTCCAGAAGCATTGGTCTTGGTCGGTGTGTCAGGACCATCATCTCCGCCAGTGCGAGATCCAGGCATGGGCATTTGTCCAAACGAATGGTAGTAGGCGGCGGCGGCGGCCATGCTGGGATCTTGCATGTATGGTGTAGCCCACGAGAAAGCTGCCGGGTAGTAACCCGCATAGGGGCTGACGACTCCCTGTCCAGGGGTGCCTTGGGGTGTGGCTGGGTAAGGGCTTGCGGGAACCTGAGCACCATAGGGGGACGTTGTGTAATTGGGATTCGTGTAGTTCTGACCATAAGGCATCCAGTAAGGTTGAGTGGTCATGGGAGCTCCAGAAGACGTGACAGCAGGGCTCCCACCGCTAGATGGATCATTGCCGATAACACCGGGACGCATTGGAGTGATAGGTCCAGTGGGATCACCACTCTGGGCAGAGTTCTCGATGCCAAGGGATCTCTGGCTGGCCGCTGAGCCAAGTTGGTCTCGAGCAGGAGTGCGATAATCATCTGCGAGAGCAATATTCGAGCGCATGCGTCGAGGGTTGTGACCAGAGTCCTTGCTGGCCTTGCGCTCAACGCGAACCTCGCATCCTAAGAGCATAGCTGAACTCAATCGCTTTACAGCAACCTCAGCCATATCGGGACGGGCGAACTCGACGAAGGCAAACGCCGTAGGGCGACCGTTCTTGCCCTCTTTCTGAATGATCTGGATGTTAAGCACATCGCCAATCTTATCGACGACAGCTCGGAGCTTGTCCTCGAGATCCGGGAAATCAACAGGCAGGTTCCCGATGAAGATGGAGCGACGCTCAACTTCGTATCGCTGGAGCCAGGCCTCATCCGCATCTACCTTAGGGCTCTGCATAATCTTCTTGGGATCGTAGGCTACGACACGATAGGAAGGGTGGTGACGGAATGCCTGAAAGTTCAAAATTTGTGAGAAATATGTTGTGGTGGAGGATGGGTCGAACATGGCCACTTACAGCTTGGATATCCCGAGAGGGATCGAACGTGGTGAACTCGATCAAGACAGACTTGCCCAGGCTCATGGCACCTTGCATCTGGGTGTCGAGGGGTCCACACTTGCTCAACGGACCAAAGGACTCGAGCACCTTGCGGGCTTCCTCGACACTGAGGTTGCCGCCATTGCAATTGTAGATGATGTAGGCACCTGACTGGATGTTAGAATTAACTCGCGTCTCTTTGGAATGTCTTCAACTCACGATTGGCTTTGACCATCTCCGTACGACAGGCACGGCCATGAATAACGGTACCTTTGCCCTGTGTCATCGCGACTCTGGCGTCTTCGTCATTCTGGCAAGAGCGTGAGTATGGGACCATGTCGTTTATTGGTATCAAGCAGACTGACCGTGTACTGGCAGAACGCGAAGGGCATGTTCTTCGAGTCTCGACGGATTTTGACAAAGACGACACCAAACTTGCTGAAATGGCGAGTAACCTCAGCTTCGAGACGGTTGTCCTTGACGCCCTCCGGCAGACTAACCATTTCGTTAGTAGGTGAACCAAGCGAAGCCATGATAGAGTCACTTACTTCGCGACAAAGACGCATGCGGTCGATGGGTAGAACGACTGAGCGTCAACTCCGCCAACTTGGTGACGGGCACCCAAGTCAGAAGATTTGTATCTTAGCGTACGCATCGGAGTGTAATAGTCTTGAGTAATACCGCCATGGGGCGATGCCATGCCTTGAGCACCCGAAGCCACAAATCCCTGGCCACTCGGAGTACCGACTGACGCCTTCGTAGGGGACATGTGAGCACCAGGGCTGGGCTTGGGCGGCGAAAGAAAGACGTCGCCGTCGTCCGGGACTCTTCCAACCTGGAAAAGAGGTGAGGTTCTTCAAGAGCACAGGGGTTAGCATATATTCAACGCAGCAAATTCGCTTCGACTCACCTCACGGGAGTACCACGAACGGCCGACGCAAAGTCAGGAGCGCCGAGGCCCTGGCGCGCATGAGGGGGCGCATAGCTATTGATTGATTTTAACAAATTTTCCAAGCGGTGTGATCTGTTTGAAACTTACGTGCTCCCAGTAGGGGACTTCTCAAGGTTGAGTGCATCCATGCGAGCATCGAGACGCGCACCACCTATCGAATGGTCAGTCAGTGAAATTCGAGCAGGAATGGACAAAATAGGAAAGCATGAACGCAGAAAACCAAATGCAAGTATCAAACAGCAAGATATTTGGGCGATGTTGGGAAAGAAGGCAGCTTGTTCAACAACAGCAGCAATCAGGCATAGGGTAACCTGCTCAAGGTACGGGACGGGCGAGGTGTACGTGATGGGAGTTTCATTATGGGATGAAATAACTCGTGGACAGAAGAGTAAAAAAATGAAGCTGTCGATGCTTCAGGACAACTTACCTTCCTCCTCAGTGGACGATGACAGCACACTGGGCGAAGTAGTGCCATCGTTGTCGCGCGATGCGCCAGCAGAGTCGTATCCTCGCGCGCCGGCGAGGGCAGACGACTTCTTGTTGGCAGACTTGCCAGATTTCGCAGACCCAGTCATCTTGATGCGAGTTGCTATTCGGTTATTGCGATGATGTGTTTCTCGTGATGAGTGACCTGCGCGCGGTTCGTTGTGGTAGAAGTGCCACGACAAGGGTGAAATGAAGGTAGGAGAAATTTGCAGACAAAGCTGGATATGATATCAGATCGATATCATCGAAGACCGTGGATCGCGCCTTCAAAATGTCAAAATGGAATTTTGACGAGATTTGATGACCGGGTGAGGTGGAAGGGAAGAGTGGTGAAGGGAAATTGGTTGAAGGACATGTATGGTTTCGGTGGTGGCGGTGGTGGATATGAAGGGCGGTGAATTAGATACAACGCACAAATCTAGGAACGCGAGCAGCGACCAAAATCACTGGTGCTCGTGATGGGTTGGTGAATGTAGACGAGATAGATGACCAACTACTTCCATGTGACAGAGGTGAATGGAAAACGGGCAAGGACAGGGACGTGTTGGAGGGCAATTCAAGAAACCTGGACAAGATGTAGCAGACCAAACTCGGCTCGGAGGGTTTGCCCGGGCTAGGCCACAAAATTGCTTCAGGGAAATCAACTTGGAAGGTGCGACTTCCGCAGCGCTGGGGATTGGATTTTGGGCGTGTTTGGAGTCTGGTTGACTAGGCATCAGACAACACCACTACATTCTGGGATTCAAAAATGCTCCAGGTCATCCGCCCCTATGTTTCCATACCAAGTCATCCACGGTTACCTGTTCATCTATTTCGTGATCAAATAAAGCTGCCCATTGCTTTTGGGGATTACGGTACCCTTACCGTTTCCCTATTCAGTGCAAGCAAGAACCCAGGTCATTGTCTGAGTTGAGCCCTCGAATGGATTTATGCCGTCTACATCCACAGGTCTTCTGTTCTTACTTGCGAGCCAGAACTTTCGTATCTCTCAAACACCAGTGTATCGTTTTGGGACACTGGTAGAGAGAACCAAACTGGAAATAGGGTACACCAAGGACCCGACGTCTGTTTCATGTGACTCTGGGTTCAGTTGGCAACCCTGTGTGGTATACGCTTTTGATCTATCCTTGGCGAGGTTGCTGCTGTGTAATTACAACTGATATATTAATCGATCCTTCCCATCTGCGGGATGGTACTTCTTCAAGAGATCATTAAAGGGGCACAATATTCAGGTACGCTGCATCTAGAACTGAGCTTTCCAGTCCCAAAATGCTTTTGCAAGGGGCTACTTAAATCACTTCATGTACAATATTACAAAGAAATCCAAGGATTCCTGTGGTCAAGTTAATGTAGACTAGACAGTCAGATGTCCTGGTTGGGAACAGCAGCAGACCCAGAATCAAATGAGACAGCTTCAGTATTCCCGTGGTATCAAATTACCCATTAATACAGTCAAAATTGTTTGTATCAGAGTATCTTCAAATTTACTGGAGCTTTTGAGTAAGTAGACACGATTGGCGCCATGCTTTCCCTCATAACTTGTTTCAGTCTCCAAATATTTGTTTTGACCAAGGAAATGTCAGCTTTTGTGAGTTCTTTCTGTTTCGAAATGAATGCACAGAAATCATTTCTCCTTCTGGCACATGATGTATGATATTTTGATAGAAGAGGTTATGTGCTAGTCAAGGTATTGTATCCTCTACACTTACTCACATCAGTCCTCCATCTAAAGCCTTAATATGGCCTTATAACCCATGGTATTGGCAACAGCTTCGCACTTGGAAAAAGGTCTCATGCTTTGAAGTAATTCATACGAACCAGTAATTCTCTTTCTTGATCGAAAATCAACGAAATCGACACGCAATCACGAGAACTGTAGAGTATCAACACAAAATTCCTAGACTTGCTTAGTTAGGCTAGCTTATCAAAGTTGCTTCTTTTCCAGACCCCACTGGGAGTTGGATTTTACAGGGATCTCTTCAAATCCAAGGAAGATGCGCGCTCGGCTGATCAAATGACTATTTGTCGCCCCTTTCGAAAGGATGGCTCATAGCTAAGCATATAGATCTGATGACTTCCTGGTATCGAGCTGACCAGCAGTGGATCCACAAGTAATGCAGGAGCTTCGCGATTCATACATATGATGGGGTCCCGAAAAGGCTTTAACACTTCATCAAAAAAGCACGGCTGTAGCCAGGTTCACAGGGCTTTGGAGATCACCATGCCTGATATGGTTAACTTTGCCAGAAGGGAGCGCATGTGTTCGTATGCAGCAGTATTCAGTACTCCAAGAAACCAGCACTCCTGGTCAAATTATCAAAAGGACTACTATCCTACAGTATCCCACAATCTCCCAATCCTACAAAAGCTGACTCCTAAAACCTAGTCTTCCCAGCACAGTCTACCCGTCGCACGACCATGTGATTCACGTCCTTAATAAGCCGGCCGATTCAACATATCTTTGATTTTATCCTTTACACTAACCGTGCTGCCACGGCGGCTGGGTGGGTGTTCGATCTTGTTGACCATGTCGTAAGTACCACTAGATGGGCGCCTCGAGGCACCAATGCGGTTGGTCCGGCCTATCAAAACTTTTTTAGTTCTCTTTTTTTCGTTCAGAGCGGTGGAGTTTCAAGCTCACAGGACCAGTCTCCTCTTCCGGCGTCGTTGATCACCGCATCGTATTTCTCTTTAGCTTTCAGGAAGGCCTTCGACATAGTGGATATGTGGAATGATGGGTGTTCTTGGACTGATATATTTCTGTTCTTGCGGCTTGATTTGATGTGATTCGACCTAAATGTCCCCACGATATTTGGATGTGAACGGAGAAATGATGAAATAGGATAGGTGATGATGGAGCAACCTATATATCTACCAGACTGGCCATGCAGCAATATGTCATATAAGGTGTCAGAGACGTTGGGGTCAACCCCTCCCGATGATATCAGACAACATCCGGGACTCTCTTCATGGACAACGATCGACGTTTCACACCTCTTGTTCTTGATCCTATTGGCTGAGAGATTGCGGGGGATTGTAGGGAAGCAATATGAAGGTATGGTACCAGAATTGGGTCAAACCTCCGCATGCTATGTTCTGGATGAGGGTATATGTACATGATGGCTTCCCCCCAATTCATTAATCTACACCCCAAAGCAGGGCCCGTTCGCTCGGAGGTTAGTGACAGAAGTTGAAGTATCGGAATAGAATATTCATGCTTTGACTTCTGACCATTCTGAGTAGTTGGCTCTCTGAGGGTAAGTCATTCACTGACACGGTGCCAGCCCGTCCGTCTCTTCAATATAGGCAGATGTCGCTTCTGCGAATTGTTTGACTTTCTGCATAGAACGCAAATCAAGATGATCCGCCGATGTCCCTAGTGACACCGAGAGTAAGCTCCTTTTTTCCAGGGTCTGAATAAGAAAGTACGTGACCATCACTCAAAGATTATACATTTCACCTCTGGATATCGTGATTCGTGCTTTTTCCGATGTTCCACAGAAAACCTCGAGACATGTCTGATAGAAACGAATTTACATAACAAACAATGAGAATGCCGGATTCTCAAAACCAAAGACCAACCAACTTCTCATCTTTTATACCACTCACCTTCTAGTTTTGTATTCCTTTCGTGCTCCTTACCGATAAAAGAAACCAGCTAGCTCAGAAGGAGTTCGCAAGCAGATCCCCTCCAGATCTTCGGCGCTCCAATTCTCAGGCTCATGTTTGTCGCAAACGCACTGCATCTTATGACACAAAAATGTGGAAATCACTAGGTTGGCTCAGCGAAGGGGATATTCCCTAAGCATCCGCGGCAGAGCCCTTATCCGGCGAAGCGCCCGGCCGTTATTATGATCTTTGCCGCTGTCACCAGCCTTGTGCGCCAGTTAGCAGTAGGCGGAGCCGGGCTGATCTTAGTGACCTGGACCGTCTGGGGATCGGCCAAGCTCATCTCCTGAGTATTGGTATCACGGCAAATGTCCAGCATCTTTGAGCCCGCGGATTGCGGCTCGTCAGGTTCCGTGAAAGGTGCGATGCGCTGCCATGATCGGTGCAGCCAGTCAGATCCTAGAGTTCGATATGATGTCTGTACCGGTCTCTAGGACGTTTTCGCCAATATAATCGCTGGGGATCTCACCGCCTGCCGCGGGGCCAAAGCCGTGGGCGCTTCGGTTTGTGGGGACGGGTGCTGTCGCCTCCAAGGTGGGGTTCTGGAACGGATTCCTGCCCGTTGTAGCTGCTTGAGATCGGCGTCGTCCAATATCGAGATCAACCAGGAACCGTCCTTGTCGTTCCAAACCTGCCTTTTCTTGTAGTTGAGTTACCATTGGGTATGCTGCGACGACTGGCTAATATTGAAGGGGCGGAAGTGGTCTTCGCATTTCTCACACAGACCATACTCGTTCTTCTTCAGCATCTTGGGACGGCCTTCCAGAAGTGGTACTCGAAACGTTGCCGGTGACAGCACGGGAATTTGTACATTTCAGTCCTACATTCGCAACCCTTTGTAATCAGTGTTATTTGTGAAGTGAAGATAAACAAAAGAATGAAAGAAGACTAGATAGACAAAAGGCTATGGTGTCCCTAGGTAGTTGAATTCCGTCAACCAAAATAATCCATTTGGAATGGGATGATGGGATGAGTTAACGCAACACAACTCGGTCGGGGAGCGAATAAGAAGATATGGAGAGATGGGAACAGCATCTACATAAAGACTGGCTGTATAAGTTTCGTGAAGGTATTGCCATCAAGGCCTTGCGAAAGCTTCGTACTCGGAAGAACGAGTCCTTTGGAGGTGTGCCATTGATGTGTTTATAGGCTGGCCGTCTCTTGTCCAGGGGACTCTGGATCGAGTCCTCGGATAGAGACCTTCACCATCAATGATTGAAAGAGAATATGCTATCATTATGGATAGAGCCCACCGACCAGTTTGCAATCATCACGGAGGGTGCAGTCCAAGCAGTATACGTAAGTAGGAACTGTGATTAGGACACCCTTTGTCTACAGGTGGATCCAGTCTGCAGAGAAGACATTATTTTGGTCAAAGCAGAAAAAATCACATCTGGTGCTACAATATATGTCCAGTGTTCCATTTGCAGAGCTTTCATGGTCTTGGAGTGCTTTGTTGAGTTTGGCCGGCTGACTCACCAGATATGATGCAGTTTCTCGGATTAGTGCATAATTATCGTTATCGGGATCAAGAGCTAGAAACAACGGACCCTCAAAATATTTCGAAGTCCGCTGAAAGTGACGGCATCGCTTGTCCTCCCCAAGACCACACAGAAACGCTCCACCTGGTCAGAAACTTTGACGTTTGAGTCGCATAAATCACTCGATCCCAAAAATGGAAAAGAAAACCGACAACATCCTCCGGCGGCCACTTTACGGCAAGTTCAACCTCGATTCGGAAACCCCGCCACCCCGCTAACGCCCAAGCCCGCAGTGTACGATCTTCCCGCTGAAGTCCTGAATACCCTGACACTCAAGGAGTCTCCAGAGTTCGAAATTCCCGAAGCTTATTCTACACCAAACCAGAGCTCTTCCTCAACTGACAACCTCGTTGGCGCGCAAGCCTGCTCATTGTGCAGCCTCTCCTTCACCAGTTTGCAAGAACAAAGGAGCCATCTGAAGTCTGACCTGCACTACTACAACCTCAAGCAGAAGCTGCGCGGAAAGACGCTAGTATCGGAGGTCGAGTTTGAGAAACTGATCGGCGACCTGGACGAAAGCCTGTCCGGCTCGGACTCCTCCGATTTGGAAGACGAAGAAGAGGATTCATTGGGGAAGGAGACCACCCTGACGGCGCTGCTGAAGAAGCAGGCTACTCTCGCGGAGAGGGAAAATGGCCATGATGCTACAAAGGATGATGGTATTTCAAGGCGGAGGCAAAGGGGCAGTGGCAAGCCCCCATTGATATGGTTCAGTTCGGCGGTGCTACCTGCGAACAACTATTTTGGGGTGTACCGCGCAATATTCAAACCCGAGGAAGCGAAGGAGGAAACTGAGTTGACCGAGTTGATCAAGAAGAAGCAGTTGGCACCAATAACAGCGCCGAAGGCAGGAGCAGTTGGAAGTCCGACCCAAGCTTACAAGGGTCCACACATCTTCCTCTGCATGATCGGAGGTGGTCACTTTGCGGCTATGGTGGTGTCGCTGGCACCGCGGCAGATGAAGCATGGATCAGGTCCTCTGAACAGAGAAGCAACAGTGCTGGCTCATAAAACCTTCCACAGATACACCACGAGGAGGAAGCAGGGAGGATCTCAGTCTGCAAACGATAACGCCAAGGGCAATGCGCATTCAGCTGGTTCGAGTATACGACGCTACAACGAGCAGGCCCTGGTCGACGAAGTCCGCCTACTGCTACAGGACTGGAAAGGGCTCCTCGACACATCAGAACTACTCTTTATACGAGCGACGGGGGCAACAAATAGGAGAACGCTCTTTGGACCATACGAAGGGCAGATCCTGAAGGGGAACGACCCAAGAATACGAGGGTTTCCATTCAGTACGCGGCGGGCGACACAGAACGAGTTGATGCGCTCTTTCATCGAGTTGACTCGGTTGAAGGTTCGCGAAATCAACCCTGCTGAGGGTATCCAGGCACAGCCAGAGACATTAGCGAAGACAGCAATTCCAAAACCATCCAAGCCAGCCGCACCGAAATTGTCGGAGGAGGAGGAGACCGCTTTGCTACATACTTCACAGCTCCAAGCATTCATTCGGAGGTCAAAACTCCCGGCGCTCCTTTCATATCTGAAGAACAATGGCCTACCTGTCGACTTCATCTTCCATCCCGCCGACACGCAGCAAAATCATCATGCCCCCACCCCATTACACTTAGTAGCGAGCCAAAACTCGGCACCACTTGTCTTAGGTCTGCTCTTGAAAGCTGGAGCCAACCCAACTACCAAGAACGGCGAAGGTAAAACCGCATTCGAGCTGGCTGGGGACCGAAGCACGCGGGACGCCTTTAGGGTAGGCCGTGACGAGCTGGGCGAAGACAAATGGGATTGGGAGGCGGCCAAGGTGCCGCCGGCCATGAAACGCGAAGAAGCAGAGAAGCGCGACGCGCGAGAGCGGAAGGAAAACGACAAGAAGGAAGCGGAACGTCGCCAGGCCGAGGAGGTCCGACTGCGGTTAGAAGGGCCTAAGGTCGATGGTAGCAGTAGAACACGGGGGAAAGGCGTGCTGAACAGCGGAGTGCAGAAAACGGCACAGGAGAAGCGCGAGGAGGAAGCGAGGGGGCTTACGCCTGAGCAGAAGATGAAATTGGATCGAGAACGCAGAGCCAGGGCGGCTGAGGAGAGGATGCGTCGAATGGCTGCTGGCGGTGGTGGTTGATGGTGAGATAGACCGTTACAGCGGTGTTGTAGAAAATAGCAACTGCAAATGCTAGTTGACACGACGCCCAACTTGCGCTGAAAAAGCTGACAAACATACATGCATATATCCGTCTCCAAACCCACTCATCACTCGCCGTGTCGTCGACGACTTACACGAGGTAATTAGTTTTCACAATGCGACGTAACCGTGCCTGGCTATCAAGCCACTGCCGGAGACTTGTACGAGGTGATCAATTTTCATGATGCAAGTCTGGCCCCGCCTGGTCATCAAGTGACGTGTGCGATTGAAATGTACGCACACGGCATAGAGTGCGGATCACGCTTCGGACGATGGTACCTCTCACGAGTCGTGCACTACCTGATGCTACGCGGTTATCTCGATATTTGCCGATAGAGAGGACTCATCTGTGCGCGAGCTGGTGCTCGCCTAGGGGGTAGCGAACGTGTTGCGGTCGGTCTGCATCGCGTCAACTCGACTCGACTTGCAGATGAGGCTCCTATCATTACTGCGGTATTCTTTACGACAGAGTCGGCTTCTTCAGATCCTTGGTTCATAGTAGATGCCTCTCCTGTTCTGTCCTGGAAGCAAGTAAAGCCAGGTTTTCGGTAGCTCTTGAGAATACGAACAGATACCTGAAACTTGGCGTGTACATGCTGTAGACCACCCCCGGTCACGGGCAGTTAGGCGGGCGGAGCACGCCACGCCTGAAATGCAACGGTGATTGTGGCCTTGAGAACGGTGGCCCTGAGAACCGTGAGCCCGAATCCTTGCACCGTCTGGGTCATAGCTTCGAAGAAAATCATCAAAATGCGGGTTTTGGGGGCTGGCTCCTAACGGTGTCGCAGTGCAGGAGCGCCGTTTTTGTGAGAAATATATTTCTTTTGTGGGGTGGCAGACCATAATACGCCGATGGTGAAAGTATCAAACAATGTTTGTTAAAGATTCGTTCCCTCCAGTTCGGCATGACGATTGCAGCCAAGGGTCGAACATCGCTGCAACCTTGAAAAAGTTCCACGGGTATCTTCCAGCAGATCCAGCATCCTCCTTGTTGGAAATCTTCTGGGATAGCCTGGATCGTTGATGGAGCCGGGAGCCGGGGGAGGTACGCGGAAAGTGAATTGATCATGGTGAACGAAATTGAACAAGTCATAGCAATGCACTCGTCCCGGCCGAAAGACGTCAACCGATCATGCCCCTTTTCGAGCATCTCGACGACGGCCGGGCGGGTTAACAAGCGGCTCTGCAGGCCTTGTCCCTTGCGTCACCCAATTGAGGCCGTTCCCGAGAACCAAACGCGTTAGTGCCTGTGGGAATCCCGGCGGCCATCTCTCTAGTGTGGTACGATCAGCGGATCATTAACCAAACTTGGGCCTCTGGTTGAATCTCGTAGATTAACCTCTGGCGCTGGGATGACCCCGATATGGTAATTCCCTGGTCCCACAAGTCCACATGAAGTAATGGATCTATCTCGTACGGAGTAAATTGCATTAGAGTTGCCATTATAGAGTATCGTTCTTAGAAACAGGGAGGATGGCGACTTACAACTCATCTCCAGTGAAAAGAGAAAACGTCTCCATAAAGCCCCATCAGCGGAGAACAAACCCAAAAGAGAGTCGAGTTGCGTGATCATATCCCATCCCACCTGTTCGGAGGCTCTCCCATGTTGATTGCCTCTTGCGCTAAAACAACTCTAGTCAAAGGTTGATTTCGCTGGATGATTATTGAATGAGCAATGGTCAAATCGATTCGCTGCGAATTTAGTGAGAGAAATCCAGATCAACTTTCAACACCAGAGAGTCGGATACAGGACTGAGAGAATATCACAAAATCCGGGGTTGTTGCCCAGGGACTCTCGCCAAGATGAAGGTCTAGGATAGCCTGTCATTGCCAAATATTGATCGCACTGACCTCCAAGAGGCGGCCTACCTAGGTTAACAACCTCCGGGAACCGCTAACACAAAGAGCAGTCGAATTGCTGTCGTTGTGAGATTTGTTGCCGTAGAATATGAAGCTTCGTTCACCATAACCCTATGTGAAACTTGGTATTAAGACTTCGGCCACCAATTTTGATGTTTTATTTGGTTAGATGGGGAGTTTGTCACCACACCTTCGTCAAGTCGCATGGTTTGATATATTGTATAGCTTTGATCACTCATTGGGATTCCTGGAAATGAAACGGTCCAATATGTTCTTGTATGCGGTGAGAACCTGACTGATCTCTCCCCATTCCGAATCTAGGCGGGCCGCAAAGAGAGTTCGATCGAACAACCAGAAATCAATTGGTAGAAGTGGTAACCGCAGGCCCTGTCCGGACCAGGCTACTGGATGATCTCCGTGTCCGCAATGGTATCATTGATACGAATAGGAGCCTCTCTTGATAGCGCTGCTACATGTGTGTAGTGGGCCGATGTTAGGGCAGTTGGAATTGGCAAACTATTTCGTCCCATCAATCAATATGACTTTGGACCTTGGTGCTGAGGCCTCGGGAAGTGGGTATCACGATGTTGAACCGTTCGTCGCCGCTCCCTGGACATGGAGATAAAGACCGGTAGTGATAGTGCGGCTATCTGGTGCCATTTGTGGCAAGGCAACTCGACGGTGGAAATTGGCATTGCAGCCACTGCCAGGAACGGCGTCGTGGTAAAATGGTTGACAACGCCTGGGGTCAGTGCCGGGCTTGTCCCAGCGTCCGAAGTACGAAGTACAGACGGGCTCTTTTTGGAACCTCCAAGCTTCCCGAGGTCGAGATCGCTGCTTGGGTACTGCCTTAAAGCGTAATTATCGTCATATGATGGCTCCACGACCACATGGTCTCAATTTCGGTGGTTTGCCATGTGCTGGCTGGAGCGTCTGTCCGAACCAGGCCACGGTGATGAGCACCGCTGCGTGTTTTGGGCACGTCGAGCGGTCTCAGCTTATTGGAATTGTACCTGTGGACATCTGATTTCTCATTATGTACGAAGTACTCGGGATAGAAGACTCGCAAGTTGTTCGGTTGTGGTCATGGAGAATCCCTTGCTAACACAAGGATCGGTTCGTCGGATGTGTCAATGAAAACTCAAGCATAGGCTACATCAAGCACGGTGGAATCTTGGGCCATTGCCATCCTGTCAATTTGCCATTTGACGCTCGTCACTTCGAGTATGCACGGAAAGTACTTCAGCCGCTGTCCGTACCGCGAAGTTTTTCAGCGCTACAAAATGCTTCAGGGGGGATTGGCCCAAAGCAACGACTTGAAACAGCCTTAATAATTGCTTTGCAGCTGGAGGTTGTTCTTTGGCTGAAACTTGAAACATGTTGAACGCCAAGAACACCAAGTCGGAACTCCTGTATTGGACCGAGGAAGCAACTAGCGGCGGCAAGGACAGCTCCCTGTACCCCAGTCAACACATCAGATGACAGCAGTCACTCAACGCCAATCGGTTAGTAACGACGGCCGCAGAGGTCAACCTTTGAGAAACGCTTCTAGCTATTGAAGCGTCACGCCAAATTGGACTGCTAAGAACAGACTTGTCCAGATGCTAATTATACAGATCGCAAACCCAGGGTCGATGACGCCAGAACATGTCCGGCTGGCACTGAGGACCGGATGCTCCCTTGGGGCCTGCTGCACCGCTGAAATTGCACGAGTCTAGCAGCGCTACCTTCGCGGTGGACCTTTTGCCCTTTTTGGTCCCATGTCTTGCGCTCAGGACTTCCCCATCATGAATGCTGCCTGGTCTGTTCCGACTCTGGATTGAACCCAGCTTTGTCAAGTTTTTAGTATCTTTCCATAATTTGAAGTATCAAAGCGTTGGTGCTTTAACTAATGCCGTCACTAGCTTTGGCACCGCCTCATGGTCGTCATGCGGGACAGAGCATTGAGGTCCTGATAGGAGACCTCTGGTCCGATCTACCTTGGATCGGGCCCATCATCTAACAGGTCAAATGGGGCTCAGGACGTCGTCATTGTAGGCTAGTTCGGCCGAATGGTCGAGTCGAGCGCACAACCAACCAGCAACAATCACGTTGACGGATACTGCAGACCTCAAAAGAAGTGATCTGACGATCCACTAGCCCCAACATACCCCTCAATGGCGCCGTGGTGGTTGTTTTGTACCTGCATTAGTTCAATACGAGGTGCTCGTGGCTATGCTTGTTTCAAAGATACTTGTCAGCATGATGAGGGGTCGCCAGTGATGCATTTTGCTTACTCTACTCGTATAGGCGGCTGGTGAGCCGCCGCCTTGGTCATGATGACAGACAAATGGTAGCGCGGCTTGCAATGGATGGAGGACTTGTAATTGCGCTGGCTGCATCTATTTGGGGCTTCTCTTCATTTCCCGAATACATGTGTATCCTTCCGTAGTTGCAGGTGCTGAAGAATTATTTCGGGCCACATCCAGCAACAGTTACCTGCATTGGAACTTTCTCTCAGGGGTTTTACGCAGTCAGCTGAGGAAGGAAGGCCAGCAAACCAGGCCATTCGTTCTTCTGCTGGAGGACTGAACAAGCACGCAGAGGTCCAATGGCCGAATCCATTGGCACTGCTGCACCTCATTGGGTGAAGAAGTCCTAAGTGGTCAGAAATACCCCGTTCTCAAGTTATCCCCTGTCCAAATCCACAAGCAGGCCCCTGCAAATAAAATTCCAAAACCCCGGCAGCCGCGCGCGCTCGACCTTGCTTAAGATTGTGGGTCCAGGACCTCACCCCTTGAACGCCGTCGATGTATCCAAGTCTTCCCTTTCAGGATCCCACAACCACTCAATGCCGCTCGACCCGCAAGCGTCCCATGGACTCTTTTTTCCCCCTTTGGGCGCCTGGTCATCACCGGGACGCAGGCTGTTTAACGTTAGCTTACCTGAGTTTATGGGACGGGGGTCAAATCCTTGTAGTTGCCAGCTAATGCCGGATCTTCGTCTGGGCAACCCTCTGGCCGGATGGTAGGCTCAGAGTTCGCTATGTTGAGTTCTATATATGATGGCCGCCCAGGCGAAGATATCAGTTCTTTTCCCTACCTTCTCCAAGACTCTATCTTCTATCACCACTTTCGTTTTCTTACACCTACAATAATTTGTTTCTTGGGAGTAAGGTCATTCGCTATCCTGCTTCCTATCACTATTCGTTATCCTATTACTACACTATCTTTTCCATATACACTCGCTTCTACAGCACAGAATATACCTACACAGACAAGATGAAGAACACCGTGGCGCTCGTCACCTTGGCTGCTGGCCTCAGCCGGGTCGCAGCTACTGGTTTTCACAACGCCCCATCTTTCTCATGCCCCGACAACACTGACAACCAGTGTACCGACAAGCAGTCGTCCGGTTTCGACTGGAGCGATCTCAGCACTGGTGATTTCAGCATCTACGGTGGTTTCCAGTGGAGTGGCTTCACATGCGAGGACAGCTTCAGCAAGCGTGACCTTCTAGCACCCCGAACCAACAGCTTCCAGAGCAAGTGCGTTGCTGGTGCCGCCAAGTCGGAGAAGAGCAGCTCGCCCAGCTTCGGCTGCGACACCAGCTCCGGTGTCGAAAAGACTTCCATCAAGGAGTTCCAGGTGACTCCCGAGTTCGACTGCGACCTTGAGTTCCACTACGACATGCCCGATGGCTCCACCTGCAAGCACCGCAACGCCTGCAAGAGCTCCGGAACCACCATCACCAACAGCCAGTGTGGTGGCGCCAAGAATGTCACCATTGTCTACCCCAGCCAGCCCAGCATGCCTAAGGAGACGTGCTCGTTCGGTTTCCACTCCATCAGCTTCGACTGCAGCTCCGCCTCGAGCACCAAGCACGTCACCAAGACGGTGTCCAGCAGCAAGTACTCGGAGACTGTCCCCGCCTACACCACCAGCAGCCCTGCCGAGAGCACCTACGTCGGCAGCTCATCCTTCCCGGCTTTCTACTCCAGCTCCACCGCTGCCGTGACCGCCAGCACTTCCGTTTACGAGACCGCCAGTGTTCCCCAGGTCACCGGCTCGTCTGTCCCCGCTACCTCGTCTGTTCCTGAGACTCCTGCCACCTCTGCTGAGACCTCTGCCGAGTCCAGTGTCGAGGTTCCGTCGTACACGGCCGAGATCCCGGCTACATCGGAAGTCCCCTCGGGAACTTCTTCCACCGTCGCTGTCGAGACCGAGTCTAGCGTAGTCCCCTCTACCACCACTTACCTCACGTCTTACCAGTCTACCTCCACCGTCTTCTCCACGGTTGTCTCGACCATCACCAGCTGTGCCCCTACCGTCACTAACTGCCCCGCTTCCTCCACTGCCCTGGTCACTGTCACCGTTGCCATCTCCACCACCCTCTGCCCCGTCACTGAGACTCACACCAGCGTTATCGGCTCAACTGAGGTGCCTGTGCCCGGTACTACCGCTCCCGTTGAGAAGCCCACCACCGTTGCCACTGAGAAGCCTGCCACTGAGAAGTCTACCACCATTGTGCCTACTGGTGGCAAGGCCACTTCTGCTACTGAGGCTGTTGGAACTACGTCCACCTCGCCTGCTGGCTCAGTTGAGACTCTTCCTTGCCCCAGCGTCGTTCCCTCGTGCTTGAACACCTGGTTGTTCAGCGTTGGCTGCACTGACAACACTGACACCTCCTGCTACTGCCCTGACAGCGCCTTCGTCCAGAACGTCTTCAGCTGCATTGCTGCCCACGGCGAGAGTGACGATGCCATCACCGAGGCCATCTCCTATTTCCAGGGTATCTGCGGTCAATACGTCGGCGCCAACCCCGGTGTTGCCACTGGTGCCGAAAGCCTTACCAGCTACATCACCGCCACGCCCACCACTGTTCCTTCCGCTGTGTACACCACGATCATCGTCGATGCCACCACTGTTGTGCCTTGCACTGGTGAGACCGGCGAGACCATCACTGGCTCCAGCAGCACCGTCACTGTCAGCACTGTCATGACCGTTCCTCAGGTTGGCTTCACCACCTACTCTGCCGGCACTTCCGCCTCTGTTGGTGTCGTCCCCGTAACCACCTACTCTGCCGCCCCCATTGCCTCCGCCACCCCTGTCGTTGGTGCTTCTTCCACCGCTGCCACTGGCACTCGTGCCATCGGTGCCTCGTCCACCCTTGTGGTCGCCACCTCCGCTCCTGTTGGCACTGGCAGTTACAAGCCCACCACCACCAGCCCCGGCCAGGCCATCGTCACCGCCGGTGCCGCTCATATCGGCTCCGGCCTTGGCTTCCTTGGTCTCGCTGCCATGGCTGTTGCTGCCCTGTAAGCTCGCGGCTTACTCTGCATCTCTACAACCATCTGAACCCGAAGATGTGTTTTTTAATCTGCTTCTTACGATCTTTACGACACAGCATTGGAAGAAACGGTTTATAAGTCTATCATTGCATGAGAATAGCCTTCGTCGTGGGGGTGGTGCTGTTGAACAGACCATACCACCCCGCCGTCATAAAGAAGAGGAGGAAGAAGAAGAACGAGAAGCTCGCCATTCGGCTCAATTATAAAAGTCTTGCGAGCATCATCCTGATGAAAAATCTTAAAGGGGAAAGGAGGAGATATCAAAAAGAGGTGGTGTCCTACACTGGAAATGTTGGGATATCATCTCGTGTGGATATAGACACACGTGACAAAGTAGTGGATTTTTTATTTAATAGTAATACCCCCGTATGAACAACTCTCTTTTGAGTGAGACTTTGTCCTTTATCTTTGTGATTTGCCGTGTTGGATGATTAGGCTACCTTGTGCTCTTTAGAATATCTGATTAGCAGAGGGCTTCATCTCATAGTCTTTCGGGGTTATCGTGTAGAGCTTTAGTACATATTTCTGACATCCCCATAACTTCATGTTGCCGTTAATCGGGAAAACACCTTGGCTCATCTCATTTATCATTAGTCTCTGATATCTTTCGGGGCGATGAGGCACTTTCCCTGTCTCTCGCAGTCACTTAGCCGGCTTCCTGTCAGACTTCGAGTTGCAGATATGTACCGCCGCGAGCAAGCGTCAAGTTCCGATTTTATCCAAAGGCTCGCGTGCTATTTTTAGTAAAGGTCTTGTATGCTGTTAGGTACATGGGCCACCCGCATTCTACACAGCATTAAGCTTAGGACTCACCAAAACCTCAACGACTTCACTTATACAGATCATATAATCATATAGAGGAGTCCAAGGAGTTTCATTTCATAGTTTTATTTCTTAGTTTCATAAGGTTCCGGCAACTTCACGCGGCAGAAAACTGCTTCCGGCGAGCGGTATGTTTGCAGACAGCCCCTCAATACCCCCAACTTAACTCCCTTCTTTTCTACTATATATACATGGGATATCAGTACTTCAGGATGGTCCCAGTTGACGAAGATAAGGTAGCGGATGCTTAGCTCGAATTCACGTCCATGCGTAAGACAGGCTACCGAGAAGTATGGTATTGCACCGTCCACCTATTCTGCCCGGATAAATAATAAGTATACCTCCCACTAAGAAGCCAGTAATACTCCTAAGTACCGACTATCTAATTATAGTAAGACTATGCTAGCCTGATAGATCGTACGATGGGAGTTCTTAGCTACGCCCCGACCTATCGTAACGTTAGATCTATAGTAGAGTCGCGATACCGGGAAAAGGGGCGTAATTGGCCTCGTACGTCTCCACACCTGAGGCCACGACTTCCCACAGAATCTACAGTAATAGGCATTAAAGGACGAGTTCATGACTATCTGTTGCTGGTAATGTCTACTTATATTTTTGCTATTATATACCTCATATATTTTGTAGCTCATATTATAGTATCTCACGGTCAACTTGTAATTATGAAGTAAACAGTAAAAACATTGTTAACTACACTTCCGCCTGATTTATTCGACTCCTTGCTAACTTAGCGACCAAAGCCTCAGAAGCTATCATCAAATATATACAATCCAAAAGAATTCCCAACCTGGTCCCCACGTCCATCTTGTCTTCTCATCTTTTAAGCACTTTTCTTGATCAAATCGGCTGCCCTCTCCGCAATCGCATACAGCGTCGACACCAAATGTCCACAAACCTGGAACGGCATGACGGAAGCATCAATAACGCGCACGTTGGACGTTCCGTAGACCTTCAAGTTGGCATCCACCACACCGCCCTTCTCCTTGGGCATCATGGCCGCCGTGCCGACGGGGTGGAAGTTGGAGCGGTACGCCGATTTCAACCACGCGGCCCATTCCGCGTCATCTGCTGCGGCGGAGACGGTATCCAGACCGGGCCTCGTCTCATCGAGGACCATGCCGGCAAGGGGGGCAGTGGCGTACATCTTGCGGATGAAGCGGGCGGTTTGGGCTTGCTCTTGGAGGTCCCAGTCGAGCATGAAGTAGTTGGGGTTGATGACTGCATTAGCGGTCGAGTCACTGCCAATGTGGATGCTTCCGCGGGCGAAGGGGAGCAGGGCCCAGTATTCTGTCGTCCAGACGCCGTTGACGATGTAGACGAGGACTTCGGCGATGGGGACCTGCGACGTGAAGATGAGGTCCCACTGCATCTGGAAAAACTCGAGCAGGTCCGAGGCGCGGGTCACGTTGCCGTTGACGGCGGCAACTTGAGCTGCGTATTCAGGGAGCGAGGCCTTGATGTTCTCGGCGACAAGGAGGGTCTCGTTGCCGTATATGTGGGAGACGGAGGGGTAGGCGATGTAGGAGGTCTTATCAGCGAGGGAGAAGCCATTGGCGGCGTTGAATGAAAGGCCGTTGTTCATCTGATCTTGCAAGTTCTCGCCTACGGTGGGCAGGTCGACGACGGTCTCGATGTCGTATTTGGACAGGACGGCGGGGTTGCCGATGCCGGAAAGCTCGAGGAGCAGAGGCGAGGCGAGGGACCCGGCCGAGAGGATGACTTCCTTGTTGGCTTTGACCACCGAGGTGGTGCCGTCAGAGCTGGTGATCTCGACGCCCTCGGCGGTGGCGGCGTTCTGTTTGGAGTTCTGGCTCCAGGTAATCTTGTTGGCCTTGGTGTTGAGGAGCACCTTGAGGTTGGTCTGATTCTGGTACGGGAAGTAGTAGGCTCTGGCGGCATCCTCGCGCACATGCAATGTCGAGTCCGTGGTGAAGGGGTAGAGCGAGAATCCAACCATGTTTCCACCATTGACGTCGGGGTTGTAGGGCACACCTATGGCCTTGAAGGTGGAGTTGATGGTGCTAGTCAGAGACGAGTTGGTCTGTTCATAGTTCCAGCCCGTCTTAAGGGGGCCGTTGAGACCATGCAACTCTTTATCGAAGGGCAGGTGTGCTGCGACGGTGCGCTCCTCATCGGGGACTTGGAAGTGCTCGCTCTTGAGATAGTACGGGAATAGGCTGTCCCAGTTCCAGCCATCGTTGCCGACCTGTTCCCAAGCATCGATTTGGGAAATTTCCGCGCGGGTGTATGCCATTCCTGATGAGAACGTTAGCTATGTTGTTCCATTTGCAGAATGATTTCTTGAATTTGGCGCCAGGGGTTACTCACCATTGATGGTACTGGTTCCACCCAACGCCTTGCCGGCACGCATTGTCTGAATCAGGCCGCCACCGTATGTTTGGTTGACCGTCTGGTATGCATAGTCGATTTCCGTGCCGAAAGCCAGGCCATAACCGTTCGGGTTGGTAACGTTCACATTGTTAAAGACCGAATCTCCAGCCTCGATAACGAGCACCGAGACAGAGAGGTCTTCGGAGAGGCGCTTAGCTACGACCAGGCCACTTGTGCCGCCACCAACAACAACATAGTCGTAGGCAGTCTCTTTGGTTGCGCTACTGCAACCTTGGTCTCGAGGTAAAGCGGCCGCCAGGGGCAGCAGGGCCAGTGCTAGAGATGTCCGCATTATCGGAGCCGTTGTTGTTGTTGGAGGGTTTGTAAGGAAGGAAACTGTACAATACGACAATCGGTGATGAGGAACATGATCCTGACTGCACCAGGGCAGAGAAGATGTCCTATATATCTACTCCAGCAAACAATCATCAAGACGGTTTTTCCTAACCACATGGCATCGTCGGTGGGAGGCGAGCCTGCCCCACCGCTAGAACCCTCATACCAAGTGGGATACCGAACGAACAGCCCCCTTGTCGAGTACTCATGGGGCGCACTAACAGTTACCACCATACTGAACAAAGTAAGATCGGCATGTTTTATTTCTAGCCAGACCTAGATATTTCGAGCCTCTTTTTCGAGGAACCAGACTCTGACGCGATTGAAAATAACTACTGGCCTCTTTCGTAATGACTTCTTGAAGTATCAAGCAGTGTAGCTAGAATGCCACATAATGAGGGAGTCCAGAGGAAACAGCTTTGGAGCCAAATCACACTCGCATCCGAATCCCCTACTTCGAGGGCCGTAAGACGAAGAAGGATCTCCAGATATGCACTGGTTACACACCTCGACAAGTTGAGAATACGATTAGAATGAAGTTCCCGGACGAAGTACTAGCCAATGGCTAATTCTCGAGGGGGAGGTACTCCGGCAACTGGAACCATTTATCACTACCTCGAAAGTGCACCACTTCCTCACGTATGTTCAAGTCGCTACAACTTTTACAAACTGCTGGATTCGCCTGTACCGCTATATAGGATAGAGCTTCTATCTACGGAGCAGCTGATACTCTATAGGATCTTCAGGAGAGAAACATTCGAGTAATAACGTAGCCTCCGAACAGTCCCGATTTGAACCTAATTAAGACGGGTTGGAACTAGATAAAGGACTGGATTCAGGATAACTATAGCTAGGAGGATAAGCCTCCGTACGAAAGGCTTAGGAGGCAGTCCCTGAAGAATAGCTACATGAACTGCTTACCTCGATACATTTACGTTACGAGGATGTAATTCAGATCGGCGGTTGGTATACGAAATGGTGGTATTTCGAGGCGACGGGATTTGTAGGTAGAATTGCTGTATTCAGCCTAGTGTAAAGAATAATGGTACTGATAAATGCTACGCCTAGGGGACTGGATTTACCATAACATGAAGTAGTCGCTGGATCCTACTGAGACCCGCTGTGCTGGAAAGTTTTTAACTCTTACCCACTGCGGAGCAAGCATTTGGGCCAACTTCCAATCATTTCAGCATGATCTCCGTCCAGGTTTCCGGTATTTGATCAGTCTCAGGCCCAAGAACTATGACGTACTGGCTGTGAGCAAGGGGAGAGTCCAGAGGAGGATGCACTTACATGAGTCGTGCCTTGCCGCACTCAACAGACGGCCCGAAAACTGGTTTACAATTGCTTAATAATGCTCATCATCCTAGCAGATATTGATCCACATTACAAAGCTTGATCAGATTGATAAGATTAGATTAGATTTGTAACCTAGGTAATATAATGGACAGGATTGGAGAAAACCGATAGCCCGTCACTGCAGGCCGACCTCGCACATATCATAGCAACCAGGCTCTCTCATCTACGGCAGGCTGACTGCTTTCACTTTACTCCGCAAATCGTAAGCGAGAGAAATAGAAAACCTTACATATGCCTCGCGTATAATATTGGAGAGGGCCTCACAGAGACGCCTCGATCCCGAAGTCACAGACGCACTATCCTCAGTAAACAACATCGATGCTAGATCAAATGACATATTGAGAAGCCGAAACTGAGCAGATGTCTCTGGCAAATTTTTTTCTCATCGCAGCTGGCAGCTGGAGGACAGTGTGGTTCCTAGAACATACCTTCTCCTTTTGCCAATCACGAGAGAGACAACGGGCACAGCGCACACAGGATTCCTAACATGGCAACAACCGATGCAAGACACTCAGCTTCGGCCGCATTTTTTTATTTCTATGTTGCATAGCACCGATGATCCCCACCAAAAAAGCCGCAGACTCGTAGCGCAGCGGTGGAAGCGGTCCCCACACCATAGTGATAATTTGGATGCGGTATATCTCCACCTTATTACCCAAGCACCCACATACTGATCACCACAAATGGATGTGATGAGCATCATATTCATCGTATTCACAGTCTTCGCGGGCTTACATAGCGATGAATAATCCTGCTCTCTCTCTCCTCAAGAATTGTGAAGCGGTGAAGCATCGAGATCTTGATCCCTACACAATGCCAAAAGAGCGAACTGTCTCCATGGAGAGAAAGTGACAAGGGGCTGGTCAGCCTAGCTTGGAATTCCGATCGATTTATGACAACCACGAATGGCTGTTGCAGAACATTAGACTATACAGATAGCTTTGATCTTCAGTCTTAGTTCAATGAAAACAAGAAACCTCCTAGCCTGTTCATGAGGAGAAGCAGCATCCTCATCATGTGTCATAGGGAAGCTCAAGAAGCCATCTCTCCAAGACGGCGGATACGATTATTAGCTACCCAAGTAGAAGTGTAAGACTATTCACCGCATAAGCACCTCACATAGGCAAGTCACCCTAGACGGGAGTTTATTCCAGCTTGTCAGTCTCGACATCCTTCCCAACAGAGCTACTCTGAGGGTTGAAAGGCCTTAGAGCCTCAGGCAGTGATGGAGCCACAAATATCTGAGGCCTTTGTGTCACCTGTGGCTTGACCCTTTGGGAGCCCATTTAGCCTGTAGTTTCTCCAGCTGATGAACCCTTCAGATTTATATCTTGGCCCCTCCATCTTCTCTCCAGCCTTGAAGGAAAGAATTAGCACATTGTGTCCGGACCAGTCTGTCGATGTGACCAGGGGTCTACCGTCGTCACAACTATTTATGGTCACGGAAATAAGGTAAGCAGTGCATCGTCTGTCCACGTTCTGTCAGGGGGTTATTCAAAACCTGTTCTATCTCCCAGGCGACGTATCCGTGCATAATTCACAGTTCATATTAAAATATAATCTGATACTACGGCAATGTTTAGTGAAATGACTGCCGCTCAGATTCCTCCTCGGAGCATGATACCGGGCGCATGTTTAGGAGGCTGCTGTCACACCCTGACGGTACCATTTTCTACAGTCACCTTCAATGATTGAGTCTGGTGTAAGTGTATATTATTGCGTATGTTAGAGTAAGTTTATGTATAATACCCTTTTTATCGATGCTTTATTAGACCATAGTTGACGTATGTTACGTAGCCTGCAAGTCGTCATTTCATAAGCTCCAACAGGCCAGCAACTGCACCATTGTGGCGAGAAGTTCAGGATGTCTTTATTACAGACCATGTTCACATGATGCGTCGCCTAATCATGTAAACATAGTTAGCATGTCTGGGAAATAGAGAAGGCCGTGGGAATAATAAAAACAGTTTCCAACTCAAGCTTATTTTTTGAGACAAACTTTTCAGACTTTGTGATGACTGTGACACAGGATGATAATTAAGTCGTACGTGATCCAAATAAAAATCAGTGTGGGTCTTTGACACTTGACTGTGAGTTCATCAGGTCCTTGGATGAACGCATAGCTCCCGCTAGTATAGATCAGAGAAGAGTAGCCACCTCATCGATACTGTGTGTCACCGTTATCAGTATGTCCCTGACCTCCCTGGTTTGCTGAACAGTTGTGTGTGTAATATGCACTTAGTGAATTATATTGCCTTGGTCAGATGGTATATTGATAACTTGGGGGTTACCCCTTTAATGTGTATGAGCGTCTGCTCACCAACCCAGGTATGTCGATTGTCCCACTCCTCTAGATACTCTATGAAATGTCGGACAGTAATCTCATTCTTCACTTCTCATTGTCATAGTGTAGATTATGAGAATTCTCGATGAAAGGCAAATCTTTTTTTACTGTAACCTTGATTGTTCATTCATTCGTCAACCCCACCATCCCAGTCACCACTTCAAAATCATTTGCCTTGAACTGCCGACGGATCTCCCCATAAGAGAGCGCAAATGAGCCGTAGTGACCAAGCCAGTCATGTAGTTTACTTGAGAGCGCGAAACATGGCGGTGCTTCAGGAATCAGACGAAACAACCGAAGCGGTATTTTGCTTTCGGTAACTAGTCAACGATCCATGGGGCTGGTTCGAGAACCATGGGTCAATGCATACCAAAAGTGATCCCGAAAGAGTGCATCTCTCATCATCGATTGATGAGAAGGAACTTTGCGCTCAGGTTCCCATTGATTCGCCCTGGCCCAACGGGTTACAGAATCTTGTGCGTCTGAACAGCTCAAACAGTTGGGGAAGGCTATTTGACTGCCTGTGCTATCCTAGCCTGGGAAGATTTATCGAATGGTAGGCATATAGATCTTGAAGGATGGGACAACGCGGATGATCTTTTCACCTTCACCAATATACCTGCACATCGCAAACAGTTTAAAAACCTTATACCGAAATGTATCACCTCGGGCTCCAGAGTAATCTGTCCAATGTGGTGTCTGGTCCACATGATGATGAGATGGCTTTCGGAGATCTTACCGTTGGTGTATCCACGATATTGGGATTAGACAAGTCTGGGCCTGGTCTCTCTTGGGGTTGGGGTTGATATGCAGACGAAGCTTTGGGTGTATCCGGATTAGAATGTGATTGGTGTTTAAACACATTTAGCCTTTGATTCACAGTCTACAGTAAGCACGATGGTCCTCTTGTACATGGGCACATTGAAGAAATCTGAAAAGTGCAATAGCTAGTCAAGTATATAGAAACGTTGTGTGTCCCGACTAAACCTCTGTGCTAAATATCGAGCCTTAATCTACTCAATCAACACGCATCCTTCACATTACACATCTCCACAGCTATCCGTCAAACCAAAGTCCACCAGATCATCGTTAAGATGCCTTCGTTCAAGGCGATCATAATTATCTGCCTGGCGTCATCTGCCGTGGCAGTGCCCATTGCTATCACCACGCCACAGGGTCAACTCGACAATGCTCTACCCGCAGCGTCCATCACCCGCCGGAAACTTGAATATGCATCCAACCTCAACCGCAAGCGAGACATTCCACTGTATGCCAACTCACCCATACCACGTGACTGCGGCAGCAGCTCGGCTCAAGAGGAAGCCGAGAGACAGCAACAGGCCGCCGAAGAAGCCCAGAGAGAAAAGGAAAGGCAAGAGGTTAGTATTCATACGGCAAATTATCCCCTGGCAAGATGTTTCCCAAAGCTGCGACCTCCGTTCTGATCTCTGTGACACACAAACGTGCAACAAATTCCATAAGAATTTGGCTAAATTTTGAATTCGCATCAGGCCGCTGAAAGAGAGGCCGAACTGCGCAAGGAACAACAAGAGGCTGCTGAGCGGGAGTCTGAGCAACGCAAAGAAGAACAAGAGGTCAGTATTTCTGATCTACGTGATGCCCCATCACAATCTTCCAGACATGGAGATCAGACACCAAGACACCAAGACACAAGATACGACAACAATTTGCTAACACCTGGCTGCGATAGGCTGCGGAAAAAGCGGCTGAGAAGAAGAAGGAGGCCGCCGAGCAGGAGGCTCAGGCCAAAGCCGAAGAAGAAGCGAAGAAGGAGGCTCAGGCCAAAGCTGAAGAAGAAGCGAAGAAGGAGGCTCAGGCCAAAGCTGAAGAAGAAGCGAAGAAGGAGGCTCAGGCCAAAGCTGAAGAAGAAGCAAGGAAGGAAGCTCAGGCCAAAGCTGAAGAAGAAGCAAGGAAGGAGGCTCAACAGAAGGCTGAAGAAGAAGCGAAGAAGGAGGCTCAACAGAAAGCTGATGAAGAAGCGAAGAAGAAAGCTCAAGAACAAGCTGAGAAGGAAGCCGAGAAGGAGAAGGAAGTGCAGAAGAAAGCTCAAGAGCAAGCTGAGAAGGAAAAGGAAGCGCAAAAGAAAGCTCAAGAGCAAGCTGAGAAGGAGGCCGAGAAGGAGAAGGAAGCGCAAAAGAAAGCTCAAGAGCAAGCTGAAAAGGAGGCCGAGAAGGAAAAGGAAGCCGGAAAAAAAGCTCAAGAGCAAGCTGAGAAAGAAGCTGAGAAGCAAGCTAAGAATGCTTAGAAGGAAGCCTAACAGCAAGGCGAAAAACAAGATGAGAAGTCGAGCAACACATGAGTGCCACGGCTCGCTGGTCACTTGCTCATGTCATGTTGGGCTCAGAGTTCAGAAATTGTAATGTATGGGTTAATCTTCAGTCTCGGAGTATGACTGTGGAGGGAAGTCAGGCGAACCAGTTTGACAATGGTGGGAGAACGGAGATGGGGTCCTGGATGACTTCAGATCTGTAACTTGAGCTGCCGATCACATACCCACTCAAGATGTCTACTACCACTTTACCTTAATTTTTAGTGAATGTTCCCTGTACAACGTGTTCCCCTATCCCTGCCGTTAATCCCTTTACCCAATGTGGGAACAAATCGACAAAATGTCCAAGATACCATCTGGAGATCCGCATACTGTAATTAACCGCGCTAGCGATACACGAACGTAGGTAAACACCACCCAGTCATGACCAACCAAGGCATTAATTAGGAGGCTAAGTAAATTCCATGGTCCTGTTGTTGTTGTTGTTGTTGTTGTGGTTGTTGTCTGAAAGTAATCTTCTCATAAGGTAATGTAAAGCCTGATAGCTGGATGTCTTATTTGGCAGGAAACAAGAACTATCAATTGGGAGGCAGGCTATATTGAATGACTCTGTGTCAGATTATGCTTCATGTGAGACTCAAATCAGGAGTGGTGGCCCGAATTGACGGTTATTCCTTGACGCGATACCAAAGTCACCCGTGATGTTGGCTATCAATATTGACCTAATTACTTATAATACACTGGGCGGGCCATAAAACACACTGTCTTGACTGCTCGTCTTAGATCTTTATTATGCAATACCAAGGAAACGAGGCACGTTTGGTCCTTTCATTACCATATGCCCTCACAATTGATCGTGACTGCTCGTCTTAGATCTTTATTATGCAATACCAAGGAAACGAGGCACGTTTGGTCCTTTCATTACCATATGCCCTCACAATTGATCGTGACTCAGGGCATTCGACCACGTTTAAGCCCGTGTAACAAATGAAAATGAGAGCAGCGTTGATCTTACATTCATGTGTCCTTTTTGTTTTGACACCTGCTATGTATGTAAATCATCCTCATCCTCATCCCCACCACCGTACTTGATCTTTAGCCAGTGGAATTAATCAATATGCTTTGTTTATTTATTTGCCCATCCCCTTCAAAATCGCCGTTACGCTGTTTGCGACCCGATCGATGATTTATGCCTGCACCTTCTTCTTCAGGATGTCCTTCAGAGTGTCAGCGTCAGCAGCGAACTTGCTGATTCCCTCGCGCAGCTTCTCAACAGCCATCTGCTCCTCGTTGAAGTCGAAGCGGAACAAGGGCTCGTCGTTGATGTAGGTCTTCTTCTCGATATCGAGGGACGAGGCGGCGGCAGCGTCGAGCTTCTTGGGGACGACGTCATTGGAATTGAGAAGCTCTTCGAGCAGGTTGGGGGAGATGGTCAAGTAGTCGCAGCCGGCCAGCTCGGTAATCTCGCCGATGTTGCGGAACGAGGCGCCCATGACAATGGTGCTGTAGCCATACTTCTTATAGTAGTTGAAGATGGACTGGACCGAGGCGACACCCGGGTCCTCCTCCTTCTTGTACTCCTTCTTGGTCGAGGCCTTATACCAGTCGAGGATGCGGCCGACGAAGGGAGAGATGAGGAACGCGCCCGCCTCGGCGGCAGCGACGGCTTGCACCGTGGAGAACATGAGGGTCAGGTTGCAGTTGATGGCGTGGTCACGCTGAAGGATCTCGGCGGCCTTGATACCCTCCCATGTTGCGGCGATCTTGATCAGGACGCGATCTTTCGAGATACCTTGCTTCTTGTAGAGCTATTGGTGCGGCATTTTTTTTTTAGCTATTGTCCATACTGCCTCTGTTCGTCGGAGCAGAGTGGAGAACCTACCTCGATAATGTGAAGGGCCTTCTCGACGGAAGCCTTGGTGTCGAACGAGAAGCGGGCATCGACCTCAGTGGAGACCTTGCCGGGAATAATTTTGAGGATCTCCTGGCCAAACTCGACCAGAAGACGGTCGAGAGCAGCATCAACCTGGTCGTCGACGCTGCCGCTGCTGTATTCCTTCTTGGCGTACGCAACAGCCTCATCTATGAGCTTTGCGTATTCGGCCTTCTTGGAGGCGGCCAGGATGAGGGAGGGGTTGGTTGTGGCATCTTGGGGCTTGTATTTGCCGATGGCTGTTTCAATCATCAGTCTGTGGCTAGTTTGGGAAGCGATGCGTCGAGTAGGTCGGCGCCGAGAGCTGGTAGGGTTACTAACTTGCGAAGTCACCGGAGTCGCACACGACGACCTATTCAAAGACGGACAGATTAGAAGAGTCCCAATTGTGGCATTTCCGAGGAGAAAAGGGGAGAAAGTCTTGTAGCAGCGTGCGCGACATCGGAACCAATTCCGTTGAGCGTCGTTCGTCAAGCTCTCTGCAAATGGAGGGGCATTTTTTTCAAGCATCACGAGGGGTAAAAAGGACGAACATACAGTGCCAGTGGCCTTGAGCTGATCGAGGGAAGACATGATTGTGATTGCTTTTTTGTCGAGTACGTGAGTACCAATGAAGCAGTGGCAGGAGTAGTAGTTCTCGATGATTTCGGCACTGAAGTAGATTGGGGATTCTTGATGTAGTTATGTTGGGAAGCGGCGGAAGAATTGAGTGAGGGTCTTTTTCTTTAAATCGTCGCAACCTGGCGGGGCTGGCACCGTCATCTTTACATACGTAGTAATTGAGCTGCGCTGCCAGTTGCCCCTCTATTTTCCATCTACTCGATTCGCCCCGCGAGAAACAGCACGATGCCGGACCGGCCGGGCCACAGTACTCCGGCCAAATGTACAGAATGATCGATTTTGCAATAGTCTTGACTCCCTGTTTCGTTCCTAATAACGCTCCCGCATTCTAACCTCAATGCTTGCCCAATCTCTCTGTCTGTCATATCTTGACATTTGCCGTCAAGGGTCCCGGAATTGCGGATATAGCTCCGAGGCTTCCCTACGTTACTGAGCTCCCGTGGAAATGGGGTTTACTCATCCACGCGTCGTGCGGGCCCTTCTCTGTACGTGGCGGCTGGTTTTGCAAAGGGAACCTTGATTGGAGCGTTTCCAGTCTTGACTGGTCGTCAGGGTTGTGTCGTGCGGTTTGATCTGCCACCTGTGCATCGAGTTTTATAACGCAAATTGCATCAGCAGCTGTATGGGCATGTCGGGCTCGGAGCTCCCTGGGAACCCAACCCCCTACCTTAGCTGAATGAAATGGCATTCTGCAACTTCTGAGCTCGACCAACTTATTTGAGATCCGTTCAAGATGAATTATAGCAGTCTAGTACTGAAAGCAATAATAATACCATGTTCAATCGATTACCTATTAGTTCTTGCCAAGCTTTGCCCAACAACTCTGGCGGAAAAAGGCAGTTTCACACTCACTCCATTACGAGCAGGGGTCTTCGTCAGACTCCCACTTTTTAACAACTACTCGAGCTTCAAGGTCGGCTACTCATGACGTGGGTGTGTCCAATTTTTCTTCTCTTTCTATGATTTACTGTAGTCAACATCATCTGGCATAGGGATGGATGACGGATTAGACATATATGAGCAACTGCTGCAAGACGATTATATTGGAAGACAATGATGCTTTTGTATGAGCAAAAGTAAAGGCTCGTGATCCCCCGCAATAACGATAAGTTCCCTTCAAGACCTATAACTATGCTTGCCGTACTTTTTGTATACCCCGAGTTTTGGTTTCCGCAACGAACCTATGCAATAATTACTAGCCTCAACTCAAGCTGACCGCACTCTTTGATTTGGCTATCGTGGGACGCATTCACGGACTTAGTCCTCAGTGATATCACCATACTCCCACATGCCTAGTCTCTCCGCCTTAGCCTTGGATTGCACCTGGTTAAGCTTCTTCAGCACGTCGGCGCTCACGGCTCCCCTCTCCCAAGCCTTGAGCTTCGTAGGCACGAGAGCAAACCCGTTGGCGATAACCTCCTTGTTGATCGAATCGGTGAACGTGTTGCCGCTGACGGACCCAGACGCCTGGGTGTCGAAGAGGGTGATGTAGCTCAGACCCTCCTTGGTATCGACGAAATCGAAGCTAGCAACCAATTGTTTGTCCGCTGTGGCCTCGTAGATGAAGTTCACGGCGTCACGGAAGTATTCTGGTGCCGTGGGAAGTTGGATAAAGCTCAGCATGGTGTCCATAGCCTGGCCCTTGAGCTTCTGGGGCGCGAATTGGGGTTGGTCCAGGGCTCGCAGTTGGGACCACGGGAGCTTTTCCGAGTTGCCGTAGTCGATGTAGACAACTTCAGCGATCTTGGCCGTGCGGTCGTTGGATCTAATCTTAGCACGGTACCACTGTCCGTCGTCTGTGAACTTGGCTGCCACGAAATCACCAGCCTTCGGAGGATTGACGAGTGGCTTGTTGTTTTTGGAATCGAGGTGGAACTTCTTGAATTCGTTCATCATGATCTCCAGGGCTGATGTGCCCTTGCCAATTTCCTGGACCTTGAGTCTTCCATTATCGTCAATGTTGGTGACAACGACTTCACGGTAATCAGTAGGCTTCTTGTCCGTGGCCGTAGTCTCGGCTGCAGCTTCAGGGGCTGCGACTGCTTCCTCCTCGTCCTGCGAAGGGTCCCAGTCATGCCACATCCCCTTACGGCCTTCCTTGGCTCGCTTCTCTGCGGCGTTGAGCTCAGCAGAATTACCGGCCTTCTCTGCAGAATATTGATGTACGGATGCGAGACCTTCCTCAACCAGGACTTTGGCAAAGCTTTCACGGTTGATGTATAGCTCACCGATGAAGCCGCCAACCTTGTCAATGTCGTGGACGTCAATTTCCACATCACGCTGGTTGCAACGGCGGTTGGCAAGATCCAATGCATCTTGACCAAAGGGCTCACCTTTGTCCTGGGGCAATCTAGGGGCTCTCGGTGCGCGGATACCACCAAGAACCATGGTAAGCTTGACGCCTTCCCGCGGGATCAGTACGGTAAATCGAGATCCAGACTTGACAAAGTCAATAATTCCAGGCACCTTCTTTTGACGTTGGAGGGTAGATAGTTGGATCTTGGCTCGTTGGACGCTTTCCGATGCATCGGTGTAAGTCTTGGCCTTGTTGGGCTTGCCAGACCAGATACCCTTCTTCTCCGCTTGGGCAGTCTCCTGGGCAACAAGAAGCTCGTCGTAGTTTGGTGCTCTATCAGTGTCGTCCTTTCGGTGCCGGATAACTGAGCACCATCCCTCCTGGACCAACTGGAGGTTGATGTTCTTGCCCTTCTCGGTGACTGTGGCAACATCGCGAGCCTCAAAGCCCTCGGTTGCAGGCTTCGTTCCGTCAATAACAACCTTGACATGCTTGCCGATCAACTTCTTTCGCAGGAACTCCTTCGCCTCATCCCTGAATGGGGCTTCAGATGCTTCCTTTGCTCGTGGTCCGCGAACGCTGCTCAAACTGATCTGCTTCTCCTCCCCAGCCTTGGTTCGCACCACAATCAGGTCGGACCCGATGATCTTGGTCACAATCATGTCCGATACACTGGCTTCACCATCCTTAACGGTGCTGTTCTTGTGCAGTCGAAGCTTACCAATTTGTGCTTTCTTCTCAGCAGCTCTCAGGGGCGCCATCTTCTCGCCAAGCATGGTCGAATGGTTGTCGTTGCATCGAGCCAGGCCGTCAGCCAGAAGGAATTCGGCAATACTTCCACGGGGATGAAGAATATGTCCAATAAGTTGGCCATGCGGGCTTACTCCAACCATCTGGACTTTGACATTCCGCTGCAGTAGGCGTGTCTCAACGTAATCACGAGCTTCTGCACCATACTCTTCTGCTGCTTGGTTTGTGCCAGTCAACTGGTTGGTTCTTTCCGTGGTAGGTGTACGAATGCCAGCAACCAGAGTCATGACTTGCAGATGCTTGTTGTCGGATAGCAGAAGTCGGCAAAGCCAGCGATCGCCACTAAAGACTCGTTCGACGATGGCGTCAACAGTCTTGCCCTTCCACTGTTGGAAGAAGTCTGGTGTGCCGAGGTCGTTCTGAACCTCAATGATTCCACCTGTGCCAGCCCAGAGACCCTTGCCCGCACTCTTCGCTTGCTCCTCCAACGATCGCAGAGTGTCAAGATACTCCAAGACATCTTCGGATTCTTCCTTTCGTCCGGCGTCCTCACGAACCTTGACCCAACCAGCCTTGACAAGCTCATCGGGGAGCTTGGTTCCATCGTGGAACTCAATAGTACCATAGTCTCGACCAGACGTTGGGATGTTGTAGGTGATTGTGCATTTCATCTGCTTTCCCTGCACCATCTCTCTCAAATACTCCCGGGATGGGAAGGCGTACGGCTCGTCACCCTCCTTCCTCAAGTGCGGTGCAGTCACAAAAGCCAAGGAGAAGGTGCGTTCCAGCGCTGGGTTGTTCGGATTTTTCAGGATCAGAGTGTCGCCACTCTGGGTCACCTTCACCGCGGCCACAAAGTTTTTCGCCATTCTCGGAGTTGTAGCTTCGATTAGAAGCTTGGAAACCAGAGTAGTGCGCGAGCGGCTGGATTGTCTCCGGAGGAACTATATATGAAGTCAGTAATTTACCACTTCGACATAACTAGTTCACAGCAGACATGTGGAGTCCCAAGGCCCGAGAGACTGATTCAGGAGTGAAGGGTGGTGCTCAAAGAATAGACGTCATTGATGTTATCAACTCCTCCACAACCATATTGCATAATGCTTTCAATAATAGCATTGAAAAACACAGTGGGCAAGAAGACTCTTCATCACTGAAGACTTTATTCACCTCATAAGCCTACCCAGGGGGAATGACATGGTCATTGTTTGAGGTCTGAGGACTCAGGTTGCGGTTGATCCATCCATCTTCGCCCACCTGAGAGGATTTGAAGTCCATGAAAGCCGATATTGACTCCGTAGCTTGAAGACAAGAGCTGGGAATTCGGTAGGGGTCCGTTTGGTAAAGGATCAGGAGACCCTGCAGGGTCGGTTGCTTGTGTAGGGAGCAAGGATGTGGTGCAATGACCCGTAACAGATGGGTTCAGAGGTCAACCTAGATAGGTGAACCAACGGCATTGAAGGCTATCCTACCCACATCTGCTCTCTCCAGATACATGGATAGCTCGTTCGGGTTGAAGCGGTACGCATAACTCATACAGACAATGAAAGCTTGTACTCACTCACGTATTGCAATATGCCTTGCTAAGCGGTCGGTGCACCTTGGTCTGATGCTCGGTTGGAATGCAGAAAACAACGAACACGATGTAGAAAAGGTCGAGTATCTGCCAGTCTTGATAGAAAGTACTTCACTGGATGTTTGTACTCGAGGTCGGGATTGAAGGTTCGTAGTCAAACTCCAGTCGTTACTTCGAATTTGACAGCTTGCAATTGACGGATTGTGGGGAAATTGATGGCAGTTAGAGACACTGGCCAACGACAGCTCAAACAGGGGTTAAGCGAGGCAGCGTCGCAGAACGGAAGCTATATAGCGGGGTCTTTCAATGAGGGGTTCTTGAACCTCTGGACCCTGATGGACCTGCTTAAACATTTCACATAATCATCTAACAATAATTAGATGATCATTATCTCGTGCAGTTATACAGTAGTATTATTTGAACGTAACGGCTTGGACTATAAACTTGCAGTCTGAAGTAACTTTAGGTAACGTGGTTGGGTATTACAACTGCTTACAACGTAAAGGATACTTGGAATAGCGTCAAGGCGGGGTCATGTGGGGGGTGAAGGGGCGCTAACGGTCAGAGCTTATGTCGGGCACGCGATCACATTATACTCGGGGTTGCTTTGAAGTATGCTTGCGACTACTATGTAGTTTTCATGGGGACAGATTTACACGTCTTGGGCATATACATTGTCAACTCTATCCTGAACAATCGTAATTTGGCACTGGGCAAATCAATGTGACGTTGACTGTCATAGAAAGCTTGAGCATGATGCCCAGTTGTCTGAATTCACGACAATTTTGACATCACAACATGCTATTTGCTTCCCCTAGAAGACTGTATCATTCTTTCTGCATCTGCATTTGACTTTTCAAGATATACCCTACAGTCAAGAAAAAATGTCTAGTTGGAGATGCCAATGACACCTGTTTTCACGATCAGTTTCCATTTTTTCAAAAATGTGTAGGAAATGGAATGAAGCATACCACAGGCAGGTCGGCCACCAGCATTGCCAGTCTTGAGAGACTCCTCGTTGCCACCCTTGCCAAGGTCATCAGTGCCGGCGTGAACAACAACAGTTCGCTATAATAATGGTTAGCGAGGAGCCATCCAACTTTTCGAGTGTAAATTTCTTACGCCAATGACGCTCTCGGGTCCGATCAACTTGATGAACTTGTCATCAACCGAGCCCTTGGCGTTGCCCTGGGCGTCAGTCTTGAAGTTGCCGAGGTCACCAACGTGGCGGTTCTCGTCGGTGGGAGCACCGTGGGTTGCGCCATGGGGGTTGACTGAAAACAGTCAGTATCTGAACCACTCTTTCTGCCTTGTTTCCAGCTTGTTCCTAGTTTGGTACGTATGTAGACGTACAGTGGGGTCCAGCTGAGGTGCAGCCGTTCGTGTTGTCACCAAAGGTGTGGATGTGCATGCCACGCTCAGCGTTGGCATCGTGGCCAGTGATGTCCCATGAGATCGTTGTAGGGGCAGACTCCGAGGCCTGCTCGAAGGTGACGGTACCGGTGATCTTGGAGTCACCTCGGACGATGCACACTAGAAAATGTGATCGTGGTTAGCTTTACTGATTGGTTTGTGCCATGGGGATAGACGTGAGGCTCTAGGAGGTGGTGACAGGGGTGCCACATGGCGGTTGCATCACGGCAATGATGGATTGCTCCCGTGAAGTTGAATCTTTGGTGGTATGATAATCTGTCCATCAAGGTCCATTGTCTCGGGGACCTTGAGGGTAATCCGCGCAAACGTGCTCATCACAGTTCACCCTCCACGACCGGAAAGCCGGAAAGCCGGGATACGAATAGGAAATTGGAGTATATATATTTCTAAACTTACCAGCCTTGACCATTTTGACGGATTGTAAAAATTTGATCTTGGGATCTGGGTATGTTGACTGATTGATATCACGTTGAGAGGAGTGTGCCAGTCAGGAAAAAAGAGTATGGATGAGTTGGAGGTCGTTACGCACCCAGAAGAGGGGATTCTTCTGCTCTTTCACTATTTCGGTGGGCTTCTTCGGACAGCGAAGGTTGCAAGTGGGGGGTTTGTCACTTACAACCCCACTCAATTGCAAAATTAAGTCCGCCGTCATACAGCCAGCACTGAGAGGGGACGCTTACAAATGATATCATCACATCACAATGCTTGCGACTTCGAGGGGGGATAAGCTCAAGCTCTTAATTTAGTCGCCGCCGTCGGAACTTGAATTTGGTAAAGGCCGGTCTTCGGTGCTAAATCTACAAGTAACCACTACGCAGTCGCAATTCTGCGAAGGAAAAATTGTTCATCACGAAGCAATTGAAGTTGGGGACTGTCGTGATGGCTGATCAAGCATATATGGCTCGATTCTTCCTAATTACCTTCGCAGGCACCCAGATACTTCAATATAAAATTACTGATGCATAGCTCGACCATTGCCACAAAACGTCCACAACCAACAAACGTGGCGTTTGACGTGAGGCTTGCTGCCAATAGATTTCTACTTCGTCATCATATCCAACAATCTGGATGGTGTTTGCTTATACTCTTTGTGGCTCAAGACTATGGTCCACGGATGGGATGACCTTCGGTGGCTTACAGCATGGACGGATTGAAGGCTTTACCATATCCGCCCACCGAAGCTACTATGTTTTGGTTTAAGCTGTACCACCTGCTCGTCTTGCAGACTGATCATGTCAGTCAGGGGTACAGTGCAGCGTTCTACTTCATATTCTCGAGCCAGGTCCCGCGATGATGTTCGGACCAAATTGTCCAAAGGATTCATGGAGAAGGGCAATTGATAGCGAATGAACCGACCGAGTTGATGTCTGTTCGTGTCTGTGGGACTGCTCTGTATAAGAATAGCTTCAAGTTCCGGGGTTACCGACCAAACTCTCTAGGCTTGAATGGGAGACAAAATTTGCATCACAGCCTTTGGCGGTCAACACAAACAATCAGCAGGGACAACAAATTCATTTTATTGGTGCCAGATGACCCTGATTCCCTTGTCTCTGCGCCTGCACAGCCTAGCTTTGTGGCAAACACAATTCCAAAAACATTGTATTGCGAGGCAGGTGTATGCTCTTCGACTTGCCTGGATATCGATTGCAGTCGCTCATTGTGAATTATTGTGAATTTAAGTTTCCTGGAACATCAAGATCCGAATTATTTCTCCAGGGTTCAAGGGCGAGCGTGGGTTTTGCCCCAGCCTTATAAGGTGAACAGACCGCCGGTGGGCCCTGCTTAACTTTATGTTAACGTGATTGAAGTGCAATGTGAAGCAATCAAGGAATGGGACTCCGTGGGTGCTTAGTAGACGCAAGCCGTTGGTTGATGGCTTGCATTTTCAGTTTGTCCCTGGTAACAAGCTTTGCCATGCTTCATCGTCTCTTTGAAATATTCTTCAGCTGTAATGACTACGCTGTACCTGGTATTCTGAAAAACAATGCGGCTACCTGCGTCGGACCCGCGTCGAAGTAAGCCAAGTTGGCCATGTTGTGTCAAAACAGGGGAGCTGGCGAGTACGAGTTCCTGTAATGTCTGAGCGTAGCAACAACTCCTGTGAATCAGGAGTCGAGGGCCCATGCCAAGATGTTTGGCGAATGGTAGGATTTGAACTGGGCAGCAGGAGCCTACCGGGATACTTCATGGTGGTGTTGGTTTTCGTGCAGCTTTTCTAATATTCGTTTTGCATGAGATTATTTCGGGATAGTAGCCGGAACAATGGAATCCCCAGGCAGGATATATCATCAGTATTTGGTCAGCTTCCAGAAAAAATTGTGATCTGGCGACTGTATCACGGCATCGTAATGGAGCCAATTGCAGTACGAGACAAGGACTCCTCTTCGTGATTATTAGCCTTCAACTTCAAAATGGGGTAGGCAACCAACCCAACGCATATCGTAAAGGAGATTGAAAAGTCCGATCGAAAAAATTCAGCCTTATCAAACTAATGAGCTAACGATCTCTTACACTCCCCATGGGTTGCATGAACAAGACTGAAGAGGGCCTACGCAGCAAATGTGATGAGCAATTGCAAAGGAGCAAAGCTAGCTGTAGTAGCTTACCACTGGACCCCCATCACGATGACCATGGCCCAACTCGACAGGCCGGATACTGCTAGCCATCAAACCAATGACGAAATCGATCTAGTTCCGGTGTTATCAATAATCCATCCGCGGCTCCCACGCAGCTGGCCCCTTCAAAGGTGGCCGGAGGGGGGCGCAGAAGGGTTGGTTTGCCCAATCATCTCCCAACACGCCATGCTACTCTAATATGAGGGTCTGGGAAAAGGCGAATGAGAGTAATAGACAACTCGGCGAGCAGTCGCAGTTGGGTTTGGCTCGCCAAGCATTTCCTGACGTATCTCGAGGTGAACGGCATACCAGATGTATCTTACGATGCCACCAACATGGTCGTATGCCGTCCACTGCAATGATTCGAAGCAGTGCGGATCAGATTTACTCTTGCATTGGATGCTTATATACCTTTAGGGTTGCTTGAAAGTCAAGAATCGTAGTCTGCCCTGTGAACGTTGCGGCTGTCAAATGTACGTCTGAGCCCGAGTCGTGACGCCGCATTGCGCTACGTAGGTGTGGCTTGGCTGCTAACTATCCCTCAGAGCGTTGCAAGGACAGGATTCCCCTCCTGCTTGGTCCTTTAAATACTTGTCTCCATGTCATGCTGCACGTGTCGGGGTGAGAGAAGCCGTGAGTCGTTTGCTGTTCGCATATGGCTATTTTCCCAGTCATTGAACGTGGTGAGGTCGGGGACAAGCTCCTCTACCTTCGCTCGTAAAATACTGTTGCTCCACACTGAGAGCCCCCACAACATTACTGGATCTGGCCCGGGTTGCCCAGCTCACTTGGCCCACCATAATAACAAGCACCTAATGTAAACCTAAGAAAGTCCTTGCCAGCATATCCAGCAACATACCCACAAAGAATAGCGACGTCGACTTGAGTTCGTCCTTTCCTTCGGTTTTGGTTCTAATTTCTAGGAAACGAACTAGAATCGGACCAGTACCTGCAGCCAGTATTTTGCGTGGCCGAACGACGACGTGAGACTATCGTTGCTGGAAAACTTACCGCACCTACACCTAATCTGCCTAATCAATCAACCCGCCAGCGTGGTCCGATTGCCAGCGTTTTCCTCTTGTCGCGCAACAAATTTTGTAGGACAAGAGCGACAAGAGTCCTTGGACATTGCAACTATTGACAACTGACCTGAATTACCACAACCACCCGATCCCACGTCAGTCCGAAACGACTTTCGCGAACGTACGCTCCGCCCAATAACCATATCACAACAAATACTTTAGGTACATCGCGGTCGAAATTTGGCGTCCGAGTCCCGACACATGATATTCATTACCAACTGAGAACGGGGCGGATGGGGATGCACCCTGGAATTGCCAATCTTAGCGATTCTCTGTGTCTGCTATCGACACTCGCAGCTTGAGCGACAAGCGACAGGAGCATCAATCAATGCGAATGCGGCCGTCGCTAGTGATTAACAACTGACTACATCTTTGGAAGTTGAACGAAGTGCCTGTCGACGGCCTCCTGTCCGCTGAGCGCACTACGTGGGTCTTTGTTACTGTCGCAAAACTGAGCTGAAAGCATGTCTTTCCGAGGCGACGACCAGCGCCGATATGGACATATCCCTCCGGTCCAGTATCCTGTTGCCAACCAGCAAGCCCCGGAACAGCCCACATATCTGCCCCGGCGGCCAAGTTTCAATAGTGGCGACGACTCGGCCCTCTTCGACTCGGCTGCGAACCGTCAACATTACCCACCGCCGGTGAACACGAGTACGAGGGGACATGTCTCTGAGGACGAGCTTTTTCTCGCGAGTCCGACTGATTCCAGCAGACCCAACCATGGCTCATCGAACGTTGCAATGTCAGGATACCAGCATCAGTACACGGCTCAGTCGCCACCAACGCCCTCGACCTACAACCCCCAGGCTTTTGTTCGTTCCCAGTCTACATCGCTCCCGCCCCACCCGCATCCGGCAGCCAACCGATATGGCGCCCAAAGTATGTCGCCATATAGTCCGTCCCAGCAGACAACCAACTATACCCCCGCGCCTTACAACCCGGCCGCATATTCGAGCACTTCACCTACAGCGCCCCAGAGACAGTCGGCATTCGCCACACCTGGCTACGGCCGCTATGGCAACAACCAGAATTTCATCCCTCTACCCGCGAATCCATCGCCCTACTACCAAGCCCAACCTCAATACGCCTCTCCTCCGGCACAAACAACACAGGCCCCAACTCCACCACCATCATTTTCACCGTACGACCAGACCCCGACGAACTCGTCATCCCATGATCCGTCCTATTCATACCCATCGCCGAATGCTTACTCCAACAGTGCCACGAGTCCAGGAGCAGCTTCCTACTCGTCCGCATCCTCCCAGGCTCCATACCCAACATACTCGCAGATCCCCGTGGGTCCTAATTACTCAGCTAATGATCCCAATTCTTTCATCAGTCGTGGCTCAAGGTCGCAGGTATCACCGCTGCCTTCACCACCGATACAGCCGCAGACATCACCCGGGTTACTGAGGCACCCTACCAATGCGCCGTTACCGAGCCGACCCAATGAGCACATCAAAGACGACCGCTGGGGTTCTAACGGCGCCTATGGCAAGGATGACTCGGCGGAGCATATCACGCAGGACAACATCATGCAAGATATCGAAGCTGAGCTGGCGGCCGGTGGTGGATCACGGAGGGGACGGCCACATGCTTTTGATCAGCACGACGGTGTCTTGCCCGACGGCACCCTACAGAACCTCCGGCGCTTGACGTCTTCGGCAAGCTACAACTCAACCGCAACAACCGTCAACGCTCAAGATGATGCGTCCGGAGTCAACCGATATTCATCCAACGCATCGACGCTGAGCAGAAATCATTCCGTGAACCCCAACTCGTACACATTCCGAGAAGAAGATGGCGATGAAAGTGACCCAGAAGGTGCAGCAGGAGTCTTGGCAATGCAACAAGCGGACGAAGACGACCGCCGGCTTAGTGTAGGCGTGTCGTTCCCGTATTTCAGCCAGCCTGAAGTCTCCGCACAGCAGCCTCTTCCGAACCTCGCAGAAGAGTCCACCAGTGACAGTGACTATGCCGCTATGGATATTGGTCTCTTCAGCGGCGGTTACCCGGGAAGCCTTGTATACGATAACAATTTACCAGAAACAGAGTCTATCAAGCAGGAAAGCCAGATTCTGTCAACACCTCGAAGCAAGCACGCGTCGCAGAGAAGCCATGACAGCAATAAATATCCAGCTTTCGAAGAGGCGAATATCGACTACGGCGGGACTGGTGGCTTGCTTTCGCCGTCCGAGCACCGTCTAAGCTTCGATGAGGGCGATGAACGTGTTTCACTCCATTCGAGGCAGAGCGGCAGCGAGTCCCCATACAAGGAAGATTATCCTGACATGTTCTACCATCCTGGGCTTTCCAATAGGCCACTTCCGGCCATCCCAGCTGGTTCGGATAGCAGTTCTTTGTTGTCAGTGCAGTCACCGAACCGCCCAGACCATCAACACGGATACTCGCTGAGTGTTGATTCGCGACCCTACTCTGGGTCGGACGCCGCCTACGGTCAGAATGTTCAGCAATTACAAGTCGAGCGATCGATATCATTATCAAGTCACAGTACATCCCCTCAAGTTCAACCTCCTGCACGGTCACGGACGGATGCCGAAGACCGGAATAGGCGTCTCAACCACATGCGGCAGCAACAACTTCTTGCAGCACAGCAGGGCCTACCTTATGAAGGATACGACAGTGGAGCAGGTTCGTCAATAAACTACGACGCAATCACTTTGCCTGTGGGAAGACGGAAAAAGTTTCTGCCAGAAAAGCTCACCGTCGTCGATACGAGATCCTGTACGGAGCCATGGGCTCTCAGTGGCATTTCAAACTGGGTGCGCGAGATGGCCGAGGGCGAGCCTGATTTGAAGAGGAAAACAGTCGAGGACGGGCTCGTGCGACTATTCTGCTTCAAAGTGCCGACAATGAACGTTGCCGATGCTGAAGCACTCGGGGCGACAGTTGTCGACTTGATGTTGCAGGCCGGCATCCTTGTTCCTGAGGAGGAGTGGCTCAAATTCGGACCAGGTACTATCACAGGAGTGATGTGGCAGTTGACCGGATCCGGTTGCTATGCGCCGAAACTGCACGAATTCGATAATGCTCTGTCGGGACACGAGGTGCCTGGTAGGTGTTACTCCCACCACTGTGGTCGTACACTGAAAAAGGCCAATTTGGATGAATTAATGTCCGAGGGCGTCAAGAAAGTGGACTGGGCAACGTATTATGGAATGACGCCGGATGGTGTAGAGGGCAAACACAAAAAGGAGATAGAACGACAGAATGTTCTACACGAGATCGTTACCAGCGAGGAAGAGTATAACGATCAATTGGATGTCCTGCGTATACTATATCGAGATCAACTCACACAGTCCCAGCCAAGAATCATTGCCGAAGGCAAGATTGACAAGTTCGTCGGTGCGGTTTTCGGCAAAGCTGAGGGCATCCAGCAGGCCAACAAAGACCATCTGCTTGCGCAGCTCAAGTATCGGCAGAAAGAACAAGGGCCTTGGATCATTGGCTTCAGTGATATTTTCCGTGAATGGATCCGGAAGGCGAGAGTCGCATATGTCGAATATGCTTCAGCTTTCCCCTACGCGCAATATCTTGTTAGACGGGAAGCAGACCGGAACTTTATGTTTAGGCAATTCCTCGATAACAACAGATCACACCCGCGATCCAAGAAACTTGACTGGACCACTTTTCTGAAGGCCCCGATCACGCGCCTGCAACGATACAATCTTCTGCTCGGAACTAGCTTGAAGAATATGATCGGGGATAGTGAAGAAAAGGCCACTCTACACAAGGCCATGGAGGAGATAAAACATGTGGGCCTGGAAATGGACGCTAAGGTCGACGAGATGCAAAAGAAGGTGACCATGATCGAATTGGACCAGATGCTTGTGCTGCGGCCCGGATACCACGCCGACCTCAATTTGGACCACCTAGGTCGTGAGCTCATCACTCAAGGCGATCTGCAACGAATGGGCTCCAAAGGCGTACGATGGGTGGATACCCACGCCTTGTTATTTGATCACTATCTCATCCTAGCCAAGCTTGTCACGTCCAAGGACGGCAGGCAGGATAGGAAATACGATGTTTCGAAAGAGGTAAAAGTCCCCCAGTGGCGTCAGTAAATTTCAAACGCTGACCTTATTAGCCCATTCCCATGCCGCTACTATTCCTTGAAAGCAGTCAAGACGAACCGGTTTCGAAGCAGAAGGGTATTGCTGCACCTCTGACTCGAGCCGCTGGATCTACTGCGGATATTAAGAAGGCTTCAGATACCAAACTTAACAAAGTTACATCGAACGGAAGTGAACGTCCTGGCCTGGAGCATACACCGACAACCTCTTCTATGGGATCCATTGCCGTCACCCGGCTGACTCAAACCAACTCGACCGAATCGGAAGGCAAGATCTTGTATCCATTCCGTGTGAAACACTTGGGTCATGAGGTATACACTTTGTTCGCTCCGAGTGCCCACGATCGGCAAATATGGTGTGACAAGCTCATCGAGGCGAAGACGCGACACGCCAAGGCTTTACACGCACAGAATGCCGAGCCTTTCAGGTTACGTGCCATTGCCGATAGTGCATTCGGGTATGATACTTTTTCTGGCATTGGCAAGTACGTTGGCGGTGTGCACATTCGTGGAACTCCTCTTGATCGAGCAATCCGTGAACTGGAGAAGACGTTCGGCCCAGGACGGGGGCCTCCGCCGATATCACGAGCCCCTGTGAATTGCGCGGCTGGCTTCACAGCGTACGGCAGGAATATGATTGCTATTGGCACCGATGTTGGTGTCTGTGTGGCCGAGGCTGGTGACCAGAGAGGTTGGCTCAAGGTAAATAGATTTTGATGATTGAGACAGTGGGATCAACGGCTAACACTTGGACAGACGGTCTCTGTAGCAAGAGTCACGCAAATAGCAGTGCTTGAGGAGTTCTCGGTGGTGCTTATCCTGGCAGACAGGAGTCTGGTCTCATACCCGTTGGATGTGATTTCGCCTCCCTCGAACTTTCCAACCCCTGCGAACGACAACCCGCGTCGTTCGCCGGTGCGCCTCTCGAAAGACGTCTCCTTTTTCGCAACGGCTCGTATGAAAGATCGTATGCTGGTGTTTTACAAGAAGAGGGAAGGCTTGCACAGCACTTTCAAAGTCCTTGAACCCGTACTTCAGAAAGCAACCGAGAAGAAAACGCGCCTCTTCGGCGGTCGCAAAGTTAATGGTTCCACGGAAAGCTTCCGCGACTATGACGACTTCTACTTGCCGGCCGAATGCTACTCGCTGAACATCTTCCAGAATTACATCGCCATTTCCACGTCCAAGGGCTTTGAGCTCATGACTTTAGACAAGAAGGTGCCAATGAGCATACCGGACGTCAAACAACCTGCGATTGCCAACATTGCGAACCGCATCAGGGACCAGCGACCCCTGGGCATGTTCAAGCTCAACGACCAGGAATTCCTGTTGGCATATGAAGACTGCGCCGTCTATATTGACAAGCATGGCGATGTTAGTCGCAGCGTCATCATGGAGTACAGCGGCAAGCAAAAGAAAGCCAAGGGTTCTACTCTGTACGGACAGTACCTGCTGCTCTTCAACGAGGACTATGTGGAAGTACGAAATGCGGAGAATGGCCGGCTAAGGCAAATCATTGCAGGGAGGGACGTGCGGGTTCTTGATTACGGCGTCAGAGGGCCTACGGGAGGATTCTACCAGACCGCGAACGGGTACGCGGCGCCCGCTCAAAACGAAGGCGGAGGAGCCGAGTCCAAAGGTACGGTCAAGATCTGCATGGCGCACCCGGAAGTCGCCAATCAGCAGATCGTGCTTGAAATGTTGCTTAACAACGGACATACCGAGGCATGAGGGAAAAGGGGGAAACTGACGGCGTGACGAAGCTGATGACTACTACTATCACTACTATATAGAGGTGGGACATACAAGGGCGTGGACGTGGGCAGTGATAATTTGAGGAAGGGGCACGCACGGATGTTTGTTTCTAAATGACAAGGACAAATAAGCCGGCCGGGTTTGCCAAATGTATTTGTGTTGTGCGTGCGTGCGTATGTACATGCCAGAAGGGCAGGGGCAGGAAGGGAACTGCATTTTACGCTGAGTTACCTGACGGATATATATATCCGGCCGCCGATGTGGTGTGACCGAGTTCTTCACCAGTTTAATGATGAGAGGACCATATGATATCATTTGAACGCCATATGGACAAGTTTATGATGGATGGGTTTGTGATTGGAATGACCGAGTAAGATATATTTGGATTAAACGGACTTGTGGTTATTCTCATTGGTGTTGGTGATGGTACACAGCTAGCGTGGTTGGCGTTTTTCTGGTTGACCTGGAGGTAAAGGACGGGACGATCAGCATCCTACCTGTGTTTTCTCTTTATAGGAAAGAAATAATGAAGTGGCAAGCTTGGTCACTTGCATTCGGGTGCGGTATCATGAAGACAATCGAGTGTGGAGCAGTTCTGGATCAGGGAGCTGGCTGGTACCAGCTGGGGCTGGATGAATCAATATCATTTGAAGTATTGTGTTCACAGAATGTGTGTTGATTGTGCAGTCATTTTTGATGTAGTCCACGATCTCGATACTTACTTGTTGAAGATGGGCCTACAACCATGATTCGGCAGAATCATCTTCCAAGAAGGTACAGATTACAACGGAGCATTTCATTCTGTGAGCCAGAACTGTCACAGATACACCAATTGCTCGCTTTTTTGTTTTTGTTCTTTCAGATACAGCCCCAGGACGGGTCCTCATTTAAACTTGCACGGTATACGTGAAAGTGACAAGAAGCGATGGGAAATCCTCGTTACTGGTATACGCCATGGATCAATCGCTCTTACTCTAGCTCAAAACACGCATCAGGCAAACCCTGTTCTCACGAGAATACTACGAGAAGGTGATTTGGACCGCGACATTGTCTTCAACGGGAAGGACACTGAGCTTTACAAGACTGGAAGCATAGTCATCATCAACTGCATGGATTTGACTCGCCCAAGCATAGCGATTGCCTTGCTCAACTCTCGATGGTGTAAAACGCCCGGGACCTCCTGGGCATTGACTTCCACCGCTACTAAATCGAACGCTGGTTGATAAAGCGACTTAGTCAGCACCACTGCATTTGATTATACGAATTAGTCAAGTGCTACACCCCGAGTCCACTCTCTTCGTCTTCGCTGCAGCCTGCAAGGAGCTTGAACAGTTCGACCAAAGCATCGTTCCAGGCCAGTGACGAGGACGGGACTTTTCCATTTCTTTGTGGCGACTAGCCGTGGAGATGGCTTGGACTATGACATCAGGGTTTCCCTTACTAACCCGTCCGATTGGCTCTGTTTGGGACGGGAAATCCCCCAAGGCAGGCCAACATGTTTCTGCTTCTGAGCTGACTCTCGAAAACTTGAAGCCTAATGATGGTCAATTCGTCGGAAACGACAACAAACTCGGAGATTCCGCTGCTACTCATATCGTGGCGCCTTTTCTACATGATGAAGAATGGCGGAAACTGAAATGGCCAGGATCCGTGAGGCCCAAGTGAGAGAACAATACAAATTGTGGGAAGTTATTGTACGACATATTGGGCACAGCAGCAACAAGATGGTCGGCGGATGACTTGGCGTGCACAGTTTGGCAGGAGACCCGACCAGGAGAGGAAGGGGATAACCAAGTGCGCGAGCCAGTTCACATGAGATCGGCATCGGTCTATGTGTCCATACGCGACATGTTCATTCCTATATGATCCAGAACACTCTCTAGTCCAAGTTTTTCAATCCATATCAGGGGATATCTTGATATTGGTACATACTCGGGGGCCCCTTACCTCACCTTTATCTTGTTGGAACGCTGTTTTCGGATGGGCATGGGAATGTTATCAAGACACGACAGCACCTATGTAACTGTTTCAAGACCCCAACTACCTGACACAGATCAGCTACCAATATTATACAAAGCTTGGCAAGCCATCTTGTCGACAAGTCTAGTTCAAACTGTAAACAGTAGGGGCAAAGATGATAGCCCGTACTGCACTGCCTCATGGAAGTCATTCTAGCCTGACTTCATCTGTAGAGCGTTTAATCGATGATGATATCGTCTAGTCAATATGTAGCACATAATACAGAGGCCTAGGAAGAGGTAAGGCGGCTATTCGCCACACCATTGACGTTGCTAAGTGGCAGGGAAAGGGGCTTGTTCTCTGAACGACGCCCAAAGACGCTAGATTTCCGATTATTTAAAGAGCTTTTGCTAAGATTGGCAGTATTCATAACGGAATTTATTGGAATCGCACCCGAAGTCATCACGGATTATTCGCTGTCCTGTGATATCCTGTGATTCCCAAGTAGACCAATACGATCACTAAAATAATCAGAAATAGTAACCACAGAGCAGTAGCCACCTCCGTCGAGAGCCGAACTTCAAACAAGGAGAACAACAATTTTAAGCTTCCCTCTTTTTGTATACATCTCCGGTTTGTTCGATTTCATAAGCTGCATCCTTCCCCCGGCCCTGCTTCTCAAGATCCCTGACAAGAGGGAGGACAGTCTTGCCAAACTGCTCAATCTCTTCGTCATAGTTTAGGAACGCCGTCAACACCAGATTAATGCCCAAGCTCTTGAGCAACACAATTCGCTCCGCAACTTGCTCTTTCGTGCCTTCAAGTTGATGCGTTAGCATCGCTTCCTTTACCACGAGTGTGTTTCAAAGGTCAAACTCACCAATCAGCTTCGTCTTAAAGCCGTCGTTGTACTGTACCAAGTCCTCGAACTTGCTGTTAGCCCACATGCCCGTCTTATTGGATGTACTGGCCCCAGCCTGCTGAACTGCATCTCGGAATGCATTCACAGCTTCCTCATCAGCACCCTTCTGGATGGCATGCAAGACACTCCAAGCCTCTTCCTCAGTCTCCCGCACAATGAAAAAGCCATTAACGGCAAACTTTACATCCTTCTCTCTCCCGACCTTAGCAGCCCTTGCCTTGACATCGGCAATCTGGTCCCGAAACCCATCAAGGTCATTCCCGTTCATAAAGTACCAATCGCTAACCTCCGCCCCATTGTTCCTCGCATCCTCGCTATTCCCCCCTTGGAAAATCTCCGGATGCGGTGTCTGCACCGGCTTCGGACTAAGCCGATAATCCCTAAACCGATAAAAGTCCCCCGAAAACGTAAACCCCGTCTCCTCATCCGCCGTCCAAATCCCCCTCAAGCACCGAATAAACTCATTACTCCTCCGATACCTCTCCCCATGCTCAAGCCACCACTCCCCGACGGCCGTGAACTCGCCCTTGAACCAGCCGCTCACGACATTCACCGCGATGCGTCCGTTGCTGTAGTGGTCGATGCTGGCGATTTGCTTCGCTGCTACGGTGGGGCTCCAGAGCCCCGGGAGCAAGGCGGCGATGAGCTTGAGTTTCGAGGTTCCCGAGAGGATGGCTTGCGAGAAGGAGACGGATTCGTGTTGGTGGGAGGCTCCGTAGGAGGCCATGAAGCGGATTTGGGTGAGGGCGTACTCGAAGCCGGCTTGTTCGGCGGCAAGGGCATAGCGGATGTTGCTCGCTAGGTCCCAGTTGGTTCGTTGGGGGATTTTGCTGATTACTAGGCCGCCTGAGACGTTGGGGACCCAGTACCTGTTGAAGTTGAAGTGCGGCTCAGCAATACTGTCGAGGAAAGATGAGGAGAAAAATCATGGGGCAGACTTACGCGAAGAGCAGACGGTCGGGGTCGGTGTTCAACTCGTGGGGGACTATTTTCTCAGCCATGATAGAGGGGATAAATATCTTTGGCAGGTCGGGCTCTGATTAACTGTTTATGAAGTTGGTGGCTAAGAGATTTGCTACTGAGATGTAGTTGAAGATATGGGCTAACTGAGTCGCAGAATGTCATGTTCAAGCTTGATCTCGTCCGCTTTCATACTTTTTGGACGTCCTATTGGCATCGCGATCCACACATGCTATTAGTCGTTTCTTCAACCATTGTCTTCACTATCCTAGTCAATACTGTGGAGTTTGTTTTGCAATGACGCAATTGTCCACAGACAGCTGTGTCTTGGTGATTGGAGATCCTGCACCCCAACTATCACAACATTCTGGTCTGGATGGCCTCATCACAGCCTAGTACGTCCCCGCACATCAAATCACCCAACATGGCCCTGTTGTATACAGGTCAACCAGACCTTGCGATTATATCCCACGGATCTCCATGGATCTCAAAGCATACAAGAGATTGTTTGATTGGTTCCGCATACTTTTTCTTTTGGGCTCTTGAATTTCAGCATCTCGTTTACGCATCACCCCGCACAATGCGGCCAGTTAACTACCCTCATGGGGAGGGGAGCACACGTACCGGTAAACATGCAAATCCTATGAACAGCATACGACCACCCAAGCTCGATCCAAAATACTTTGCATTGCTTGGGAGCGTGGCATATATCGGAGTCACCTCTATCGCGGCGGGTGATGGATCTTGGGTCAATCTTCGGCCTCGCGTTTCCCAAGGGGGGAAGGAGGGGCAGGTGACACCTGGACCTGCTCTGGGTGACACGAGAGTAGAAGTATTGACAATATCCCGGAAGCCAGATGTGGAAGAGTCTTCTGTAAAACGTCTGGGCATGTTCTCTTCAGTCGATCGAGTATTCATGAGCAATTGAAGCCCAAACCAGGAAACTGATGGAAACCGTCGTCATGTCTTCACATTCCATCCCTAGCAACATCAATAGCAATATGATTTGTCGAGAACGATCTCGCGATCTCGACCTCGCGATCTCGACGTCCTGTGTCCTTAACCCAGCGGCACGCAATCATGCCAATGTGTTCCTCGGACTTCGCGGCCTCGGCCGGCTGATGTTGTACAACAATGTCCCCGTATCAGTGCACCATCATCACCATCACCACGACAAGCTACCACCACATGAAAGTCCCGCTCTCCTTCCAACGATCTGCTCATCTAATAGTTGGCATCTGGGAATGGGTTCGCATATCCGGTTTTCGGCGATTTTGGTGAATAGAATGTTTTAGCAATATGTACCCTGCCGCTTGAACTCGCACTGTTGCGCTCCGTTGTGTGAGGGGAAATTTGGGATTACGGCTGCGTATGGGGACATTGCGGCGCAAATTAGTAACACGTTGGGAGGTTTCATGATTTGTGAGTTCGCATTTCGATATTTCCACCCGGGACTCGATCTGACGTTGGCCCTGCTGGTGAAGGATTCGCTAGTTAAGCTCCTGATGGAGGATACTCCGCGATTTTTGCCTAAAATGCGTAAGACGGCAGGATCAGTGAGCAGGAGGTTTTGGAGGAGACTTCTCGGTTGATACCATGTCGATCGGGGGTGTGAAGGCGAACGGCGGGTTCACTGATATTGAGATTGATTTCGCGCTATTATTCATACATGACATGTTACGAGGTTGGGGAAATATTTTTTACACCGGGAAGCAAGCGTTTAAAATCAATGATTGACAATTGATTCGTCATATACTATTCAGTATCACATCCCACTGATCTCGCTTCGAAGCCTCACTGCGCGAGGTGTTACATTCGGTCTTACAAGTCCAGTTCACCCATCCGCGCAAACAGACCCAGGACCCTCAAGTTGGGTCGAATTTAGTCAACCCGTCTGAACTACCGTCCCTGAAAGCCTTTGTTCCCGGTACTTCGGGAGATTGGCAGTCTCTGGATCTTGATCCACATGCAATAGTATGAACTCTATGCACCCTCCTCACTAACGTATTTTAAGCGTGGATGACATCTTCTGGCGGGATTAGTGCTTCAGCCAATCACATGCGTCCTTTGGTGAGATCCATTCCCAATCGGGCAGCCATTGGTCCTAGGTTACAACATACCGATAGACATGCGTCCTTTTCTACGTTCCAATCAAATATACATCTTGAGAACTGTGCCAACAGTGGATTTCCCTGCGCGGGTCATGCATCCAATGGGGAAGGTTTTATCGAGCTCACCAAGAAGACCGGATATCGATATCCAATCCCGGCCTCTGGAGCACTCGGGGTTCAGCTTCGTTGGCGTCGTGATAACACATCTTAGTATAGGTGCCACAATAGTGGCTATACTCGGCAGACATTGTCGTCAGCCTTCCTCAATGTGGCACAATCAGGGCTGAGAGACAGGGAACAGCTATATAGGCAGATATGAGAACGCAGTCACCGATATTCGTGACCTTATTGCCACAAACTCGTCTACCAGTCTTTCACTTTCCGCTTCAACTACATACCATCAGAATCCCCGTGCCGTCCAAACAAAACAAGCCAACAACATGGCCACCACCAACGGCAGCAACGCAACCGCAACCCCCTCCACCGACCCCTCCATCTACGACCAATACAAATCCCAATTCTCCTCCCTCCCCACCACCCCCTCTTCCTGGCTGCAGCGCGCCCAAGAAGTATCCTTAATCCTCTCCCGCGACGCCGCCATCCGCGAGCAAGAAAACAAGTCCCCCGTTGCCGAAATCGCCCTGCTCAAACACTCAGGTCTCATGAAAGCCCTAGGACCCAAGAAATACGGCGGAGGTGCCCAGCCTTGGAGCGTGGGGTACCAGCTGATTCGCGAAGTGGCCAAGGGGGATGGCTCGTTGGGGATGCTGCTGGGGTACCATTTGCTCTGGTCCACGACGGCGGAGGTGGTGGGGAGTCCCGAGCAGGCGGAACGGTGGGCAGAGAGGATTGTTGGGGGGAATTTGTTTGTCGGTGGGGCGGTTAATCCGAGGGATGGCGATTTGAAGATCACGGCTGATGGGGACAGTATTGTTTTTATGGGGATGAAGAGGTTTAATACCGGCGGGGTTATTTCTGATGTCACCGTGCTGGAGAGGGTTTTGGAAGGGACGGAAGATCATATGTTTGCCATTGTGCCGACGGATCAGAAGGGGATCGTGTTTGGGCATGATTGGGATAATGTCGGGCTGAGGCTGACGGAGTCGGGGAGCGTGCGGATTGAGAACGTGAGGGTGCCTTGGGCTGATGCACTGGGGTGGGATACCGAGAAGAAGAGGCCGGATCCGAAGGTGTTGGGTATTCCGTTTGCTACTTTGCTTTTGCCGACGTAATATCTCCCCTCTGTGTGATATGTGAATTCTATACTGATATGTCTCTAGTATTCAGCTAGTCTTCAGCAACTTCTACATTGGCATCGCCTGGGGTGCTCTCGAGGCCGCCATCGATTACACTAACAAGAACACGCGAGCATGGCCCTTTGGTGGTGATGTAAACATCCTCCCTTCTCTCAACAACTGTCTATATTCCCCTAAACCAGCTAACACATCTTCTTCAAACAGAAAAAAGACAGCGCCCAAGAAGAATTCTACATCCTCTCCACCTACGGCAACTTCCTCGCCCACCTCCGCGCCGCCACGGCCCTCGCCGACGTCGCCGCCACCCACCTTGACACCACCTACGCCTCTTTCTCAGGTGACCCTGTCGCCAAACGTGCCAATCTTACCGCACGCCAACGCGGCGAGGTTGCCGAGTGGGTCGTCAGTGTCAAGATCGCCGCCACTGACACGGCGCTGCGCGTCACTTCGGGGATTTTCGAAACTACTGGTGCCAAGGCTACGGCTAGGAAGGTTGGATTGGATCGTTTCTGGAGGGATATAAGGACTCATACGCTGCATGATCCTGTGGCGTATAAGAACAGGGAGTTGGGAAGGTATCAATTGGTGGGGGAGGTGCCGGAGCCTACTGTAAGTGGTGTTGAGTGGTGTTGAGTTGTGATGCGTCATTTGGGAACTATGAAGAGTGACTAACAAACAATTATTGCAGTGGTACACGTAATTTTCACTTTCGAAGCTTGTAGGAAGAGAAAGCGGTCAATTTTGCTAGAGGGGTGGCTATACTCGGTCAGAGATATCAAAAGCTGAACATTCAGCTATCCTAGGCCACTTAGAGATCACTGAATAAGACAACTGTTATAGTTCTGCCAGATAGGACCGCGACAATCTATCCAACACGACGAGCCTGGCGTCCTGCCCCATCGCGACAAACGCCCAGAGAAACCTCCCGGCACAAAGGCTGTCGTTCTCCATATAACGAATGTCTCTGTTCATCCCGCCAAGACCATCGTGTCATCTGAATTCAATTGAGCAGCTTAAAGCACATGTACTCTTCTCACGAAGTGAGCAAAAGCGCGCAAGTGAAACTGCTACTCCATACACAACGACAGCATCCATACAATCAAGTTGCGCAGCAGAATTTCGCCCACCCGGCATATACGTGTTATCGACACACGGAGGCGATGAGTTCACGAAATCATCAATGGGTGTCAATTGCTCCGCAAAGTAAGTTTGTCTAACTATGAACCAACTGGCAGTCCTCGAATGTCTAAATATCTACCCCTATGTATGCCTCAGGCGGAGGGAACAATGCTGCTCAAGGTTGAGTAATTTCGGTAATATCTGCGACTCAGAGTTATTTGAAGTTCAATATCTTCCGCAGCCCAGTCGTCTCAGTTCACGGGATACATAGGTCAGGTCGTCAGTTGTGTGACGCCAGAAACCATCCAACCCTCATCAGCCATCTGATCCCTAGTCATCCGACGTCATAGCCATGATATCCCTCTCCCACTGTCCGTTTCTATCATAACCTCCCCATCTACCTCCACCAACTCGTCCGCCCGCACTCGCAAGCCTTCTTCTCTGAACCTGAGCCGCCTTAGGTCTTTGATGCGACCACTGTCCGTGCTTACACTCGAGGTGGGCGTACTCGCAAATTGAGGCGTCGTTGGGGCAGGGTTCGCCCTTGAAGACGCCTTTCCAGAGCGGACATATGAGGCGCTGGTAAATACCACCGTCCAACTCCTCGTGTACTTGCGGGCAGTAGGGGCGTCTGCAGTAGCCCAGTTCCATCCACCAAGGGCAGATTATGGGCGCTTTGGTTTTCTTCTTGTTGATGGGTTGATGGGCCGAAGGGTCGGGTCGCTTGGGGGCTGTCTTGGATGCAGCTGATGTGGCGGTAGTATCGTCGGCAGTAGCACCTCCGGCGGCCTTGATGCTGGAGATACTGCTTGATCCAGTATTTTTAGCGGCTTTTTCCTTGGCTGAGGTGACGTGTCCATCGATATGTCCCTTCTTGTCCGAGGGAGCGTTGACCGTGACATTGGCGACGGCAGCTTTTTCCTTCTCTTCCCAGGCGGGTTTGGTGAAGATAACTTCCTTCTTAAACGATGTAAATTTGGCGGGAACCTCCTGGCTGCCCTCGTCATCGCTGATATCGATGAGCTTGTAAGATTCGGACGCGGTTCTTCTGGTCAGAGCGGGGGTTACATCGGCGGCGTGGTCTTTGCCAGACTCAGCTGGCTTCTCAGGTAACTTATGGGTCACCTTCTGAGGCGATTGCTTAATGCTCTCGGCATGGCGCAGAGGCGATGGCTTCGGGGTTTGGTCATGTATTGTGGTTTTGTCCAATCCTCCAAAGCCCGAGGCGATATTATTTCTAGGCAACGCGCCCGTCTCGAGAGCTGGGCATCGCTTACTAGCAGAGCTAGTCGAGATGGTCTATAAGATGTTTGTCAGCTGAATCTGAATGATTTATCTCTAGGTTCTTTGATAAAATTATGCCCTTTAGCGCGACTGCCCCTTTGGATATGGTTGTCAAGGCATTGTGAATGCCTCATGAGTGAGTCGTCACGTTGGCGTAACTGCCTGATGAAGTCGTACTTGCACAAACAGGAAAATTACACCAACTTACTTGCTTGCTTGACTCCTTATTCTCTGCAACTCCAAATTTCTTGGTGTCTTCCTTCATCTGGGCTTCACTAGAGTCTTTACTAGTCTTCTCTCGTGACTGAGAAGCCCATAGCATGAACTTAGGTTCCGTCCAACCCATCTGGGCAGCGACAGGGTGCAGCTTTTGATCACTAGTGGATGGGAAGATCAAAGTTCGGCCGCTTTGAGTACTCTTATTGGGTGTAGCAATGTTATCTCCCGGAGTGATAGTAGTAGAGGTTCCATGGGAACGCATCTTGGGCATCGGGAGGGGCTCAGCAGAAATCTTCGGTGATCCGTTATCTTCCTCGGGAGAGGAATCGTCAGTTATGGCGTCCGTGAACCATTTATTGTCTCCATTGGAAGCGTTTCCGTCGGGTTCACGCAACACGACGACGGGAGCGTCGCCGCTATTAGCATTGGTCGAAGTCTTAGTGCCAGAGATTCGCTTGAACAGTTGTCCGTCCACGACGTAAAACAAGTCATGGGCACACCCCAGGTGGTCGAGAATTGCCTCGAAGGCGTCGATGCTGATCTCTCCTGCTCCACAGAGGATGCAGATGGAATTGATAGCGTTGTCTCGAATTGCCTCCATGGTGGTTGATGTCTTGTTTGAAATAGTGGGCGCCATTTCAAAGGTTGGGCCAGGTTGATAGAGGTGAAATAGTAATTGAGTAAGATGGGCGCGGAGGAAGCTGGGTTCGGCTGCCTTGACGGTAGGTACCTAATTTTCCGCGTCGACAATATGGGTGCAGCGAGTTGGTCAGACACAACTGGAAACCGGATCAAAATCCAAAATTCAAATTTCAAATTTCAGATCAGCATGTCACTGGTATCAACATGGAGGTGCCGAAGGAACAAGGAAATACTTTCTGTCGTTGTATAATATGGAATATCCTATAAGCACCTTGGTCACTCAAGATCCAACACTTTATCAGATCTTACTCCTCAGCATCTCAACACGCATTTACTACACAAGAACCTTCTCAACTTGCACCCGGTATTATACACTCTATTTGACGGAACTACTCTGGTTGGTCCGTCAGACAGTTGATGAATGAGCAGTTTGTTCCAAGACTTCATTGACGCAGACAAGACCAAAAGACGGTTATTCATCATGTTTATATTATATGAGCAAAGAATCACAAACGCCGAAGGTGCTGCCAAAAGACCCTACCTAGCATACATGGACATGTCCAACCAACACCATAAAATCAAATCAAATGCACCACCGTCCTGACTGATTCAGGGGTTATTGGATTTAGGAAGCATTCGGCTCCTAAATACACTGCTGATGGTACTCATACGGCTTCCTATAGCTCCTCCATCTTGCATCTTGCTAGCGAGCGCTTCTTCAAGTGCTGATTGCGTCACCGACGCATCTAAAAGCAGTGATTGTCAGATAAAAAAAGCCAAGAATGCACATTGAAATCATGAAACTCTAGGCCATACCATCAAGGTCACTGAAACTGCTCCCCATGCTTGGTGTTCCGTCACTGTCTCGTGAGTATCCCTTACCCTTGCCTCCAGGACTACGCCCTGCAAGTTCCATTGTACGACGAGGTGAAAGGGGCCCGCTTGTTCGGCTCTTGTCACCGACTGTGGTGCTCTTTACATGAGCCACAGAGCTTGCAGATGAGTCCGATGTTTGGGATTGATGTATCCTGGAGTGTTTTCCTGGCAGTCTTCTGGGTAAATCTCGCGGTGCGCCCCGCAAAGTGGCACTTAGATCGTGCTGGCCACTCGACGAGTCATCTGCCTGGGGTCTGTACGGTAGAAATGCAGGCTGATCATCGTCCTCGTCTTCGTCGTCATCAAAAGATGTAGCGGCATCGTTTGTCTGAAATCGTGGCGGTCTCCGGATAATCCTGGACTGGGCTGGACTTGATCCAGAGGACGAGGATTCAGCGGCAGAACTAGTGTCGGCCGGACCGGGCGAGGCAGGGTCAGAGTCCGGCTCGTCAGCTGTAGTGGTAATGGGCAACGAAGACAGCCTGCGGCGTTGTGAATCAGCAGCAGACCGCATTGAAGCCTTGCCGCTACCGACCAGATTGCGCGTGGTGAATACAGCCGTGTTGGAGGACGAAGTCCTCGTCGCCTGAGGTCTCGGCGTGCTTCTCATCGGGGTCCCCGGTATGCTAGCATCGTTGTTGTCCTTTCGAATCGATAATGCTGAAGGAGCCCTAGGACGTCCAGCTCCTGAACCGGTCCGCTGTATGGTCTCAGCCGCGACATGTCCTTCTGCGCCTGGTACTGGAGACGGCGCGGAGGAGCCCTTAGCCACGGCGGCTGCTTTCCGCATCTGGGCTCGTACTTGCGAAGCATGTCGTTCGGTAAGGAATGCGACTTGCTGAAGGAGAAAATCGACCGTCACCTGGAACCGTGTTGCGCTGTAACGTGTCGGCTGGGGGCAGCTGGATACTTCGGTTTGAGAGGACCTACATTTCATTCCCTGTAACATATCAGCATCTCTTGAGTAGCCAGACGCAGAGCCGGGCCTCACTTACAGTCTATCTCTGTTTTAGCCACCTCGGATATAATGTTCCATAATGCTTCATCCTTGGACGAATCCCAGTGGGCCTATAAGTGCAAGTCAGCTTCAGCCTAGCCATCAGAATCAATGCTGCGCAGTACTGGAGGAGGGTCTACGAAGTCTCCTCTAGGAAAGGGGAGGCGAATGAAGACAGTATATGTCGGCTCGGACTGTGACGAGGCCATGTCGTGTCATGTCTCTTTCCTTGGGACCTGCAGCAATCGATGTTGGAGGAATCAACAACTCGCCCATGACGGTGAGGGAGCGCGGCTCCAAGACCCTAGCCTTATCGGAGCTCAGCTCTTATCGCTATCGGCATGCATGAGAATCTCAACCGGGCCGCAACCTTCCGTACTTACTCTACGTATTGTCCAGGTGCCCGATATAATTTGTCTCTCTGAGTTTGCTGAAGCCAAGACGAAAATGACCGTAGGGAAATTCAGATCACTTGATATTGGTGTTGCAATCGTTCTGAGATCGACTCCAATGACGGTGCGGTGTGTTGCCGGATCTGCAGTCCCTGAGACTGGGGAGCTTGGGGATGGGAAGCCTGGTGGAAGGAGCGGAGCTACCCCAGAAGGATTTGCCCGAATGCCGTTAGCAGCCACGGTCATCTGCAAGCCTTAGTCCCTCCCTCCCCACCAAAGAGTTGACTTTGGCCTCCACCCAAAACGGTCAACGGATCTTGGAAACCAGCAGGGCCTTGTTTCAACTGGACTTGTGAGCTGCGATACGACCGATTGCGAATAGATATATTTTGGTCAAAGAGAAATTGTTAGCTAGCTGCGGGTTGAGGAGTGTTTCACTCGATGTCACCAGTTCGTTCATGCTCTCGCATCCCTTGATCGTTGGTTGCTCTTGACAACAGCCATAATGGCAAGTGCCGGTCATGGGAACCAACCCAACGTGGGGCAGGGGTGTTCATTTGTTGGAGCATGTCTTGAATCAGTAACAACTCGAATTCTTCAGCAGATCATGTCTCTGATAACGTATCTCTTTGTTTCTCGGGTATCGTGGGCTGAGGGAATATTTTGTGTTTTCCTGTGGGAACCCATCTTCTCTTGGACATTCAAAACCACTCCATCTCTCCTACGACTAGTTAGATGAGTGTTTGTCAAATCTCATTAGGTCGGCCTCAGGATGGAAGTGGGTCACCCGGTTCAGTCTTATAGCATCCTACTAATCGCGTAATCAGACTATTTTCAAGCGGGCAGTCTCTTTTCACGACTGGCCTCAAGTGCCGATACCAAGTTTCAATCTGTCAGCCGGCGGTGTTATCGCCCTCGCAGACCTGAGTACCATTGCCCAAAGGACTGCTATCGTCGGCGGCTCCTCATGGCTAGATTGTCTCCTCCTCGCTCCCGGCCTGCATTACCAGCAGGCCGCGGACGCCTTGGTCAACAGCGAGGCATCATACGCTGCCGTTGAGCAGCTCCAAGGGAAAACATCGACATATTCGATTACCAACCCAGCCACCATCCGGTATTTGAACAAAGTCGGGCTGGGTCAGGCCGGTCATAAAGTCACCGTGGATGTAGGGATGATCCCTAAGAGGAGCCATTTTCGCCGAGGCAGAGCTAGCCAGAAGCGCGTAATATGGCATGATTCGAGCTCGAATCTAGGGTGGCTGTCGCACGTGCTCTATCTTGCCAGTCCTGTGCTCACAGTACTTGCCATTGTCTTCATGGTTTTATTGCGAGAATGTAAGTCAACAAGACGAAACTTCGCTCCAGGACTAACCTCCCTCCAGGGTGGGGGATTGCTCTGCTTTTGTCTCTCATGTTGTCTCGCGTATTGAACATCTGGGTCATCAAGCAGCGGTCCAAACCACCCCAGCCCACACCAGCCAACCCAGACGTGAGCAACATGCTAACCGAGTACCTTGTCGACCTCGGTCACGGTCGCGCGGTCTCTTTGCGCGGGATGGCCGACGATCTGCAGGCCATCACGACGTCCACCTGGCTGAGGACCAAAACGCACATCGACGGGTATCTGGAAGCCATGGCCAAGCTGATTGTATATGTCGTCGCTGCATTCAGCGGGAACATGACCCAAATAGGAGCCATCATCTTCATGGGCCTTCTTCTCATCACCGCTGGGCTGCTGGGTTTGAGCAATAGCCACGCGAAAACTTTTCAAATGCATGGTCGAATCGCGGCACCGACCTCAGAGAGACTCCCATACCCGGCCGACAGGCTACCATATCCGAATAGTGTTCAATGCAGTAGCATGGGGACTGTGTCTTTCCCTGCAACCTCGCGGCGCACCTCGACCGGGTTGACGGGCATGAGTGATTTTGCGGAGAGGGGCCAGCTTGAGGGTGTCGTGCGGGATGGCCACCCTTCCAAAGGCTAGGTTGAATACGAGTGAGCAAATGAGCCGCAGATCCCGTTAAAGTAAATATTGCATGTGTCTAGTGATACAAACGCGCGCATGAACAAGCGTTACTGCATTGTACGGAGAATTTTGTGGGAGCAGAGTACGCAGCGTGCCCAATATCTCGGTACTACTGGTCGAACCGTGTTTTCTTCAATTTAATAACTTAATCTGTCAGGAATTGAACCCCAAGTTCCACATGCTGTTGTCCCGAGTCTGGATTTTCATGGGACAAGTGAACAAAGTCAACACGATCAGAAACTCCACTATCAACTGCTCCCAAGCGGATAGCAGATGAAACAGCGCAGCCAGATATAATATTCAAGCCAATTATGCTTTGATAACCTGTGAGCTATCCCATACGTTCTGTTTTGTCGTACGATTACTTCATTGAGCCACGTGGCAGCTATAGGTGATATATAGTTCTGACTCGTATTCCAAGCCAAGAGGATCCAGGAGAAGCAAATCAGTAGCGTTCTGCTACTATCTCTTCGTTCTATCTCTTCGTTGACAGACCTTCTTGACTCTTACACCTAAAAGTGCGATGCTCAATTTTCCTCGGATTTTGGGCTAATATTGCTGACTTCATTACGAGTCATTCGTAGAAACTGGAAGCAATATGACTAACCCCTTGCATATAGACTCAAACTTCAGTCTTTCTCATTCTCAGAATGGCTACGGTGACAGGAGGGAAATGCGGCAAATAGTTGGAGGATCTCAAGAATCCGAAGACTTTCTGGTTCGACTAGAGCCAGGTCGAATAAATTCCTTTATCTGCTGTTCTCATAGGGATTGAGACCACACAATTCTGGACAGGAGAAAACGCTATGTATCGCTTCTGTCCACGAACAGGAGATTATCAGAATAGAGCGGTACATTCTAAGCCGAAATAACAGACTTGCGTATATATAAATAAATTCAATCGGTCTGAAGAAAGGTAGGTAGAGCAACAAATCAACAAAAAACCGAATTATATTTCATTAAAGGCATGGCATGGCAAGATTAACCTAATAAATGTTCCAAGTCCATGGAACCGGGCGAGACGAAGGATAATCCCAGCATCAATCTCCGCATCAGGGCCATCGTGTGTGGTGCTTTACAAAACCGGCACGGGGGCACGGTTTATGCAGATGGAGAAGGATGGGATGGAATGAAATAACGACTTGGAATATCTGTCCAGTGTCATCCATTATCTATTTAGTCCTTACATGCACGCACGTTCATGTCGCATGCCCGGACCAGCATACCCAGGGCACAAAGCACGGCATTTCCGGTCCAGGTACCAGCCCTCAACAAGTTATTAGGCAAAATAAAGGTAGAAGTGGAAAGTAAGCATCAGCATTCATTATTGCAAACGTATGTCTCGCTTGTCTTTCGGAGCCCTGCCATATGCCATGGTACATGCCGCTTGCTTGAGAGTGGAAAAAAAAACAGAACAGAAAATATAGCCGGAAAAACAAGCAAACACGTAAACTCGACGCACGGGGGGTATCCTCAGGTACATAATTGTTCATTCCTCTACCGTGACGTCACCATTGCTTTCTTTCGTTCTCTTCTCCGATTATTCCGAGTTCCATATCAGTTCCATATCCTTGGTTCCGAGCACACACATACAACCTTCATTGGGTGACGTGAACAATAGAAGGGGACTGCAAGGGTTGGTTTGATACATTGCGATCTTTATTAGATTACCGTTCAGACAGTTTCATGATCGTTTGACACGAGGTTGCCTTGCGTGCTGGTATGACACTGAACACAGCCCGAAGGAACTTCACCGTTCCTCGTGGCATCGGACAACTTCGCAGAGTGCACGCATGAAAAGGGGATCGACCTCCTTGCCGTCTATCGATTTCACCGTGTTAACAAGCGGCGTGTCGGCGGTGAGCGACAGAGTTGCGACGAGTCTCGCGATGCACTTGGCCAAACCAAGACGAAGTTCCCTCAGGGATTGATCATAGGCCTCGGGCGTTCTGTTGGCGGCCGACGTAAAAGTCCTAGAAGTCTCCGCTCGCCTGCCCATCATGAACGATCCCTTATGCCGCATGGTGCTGTTGCAGAGGGACGGAGATGTGGGAGTAGATATGGGTTCATTGGGGTCATTCTGCAGTCCCAGGAGACTTGCAGCCTTGCGGGGGATCTTGGTGCCATCCGAGGATCGTGTTCTTGATATGGTGAGGTCTGTGGATGATGATGTTGAACTCGGTGGCCTTGTAGTAGGCAGGGGGACCGACACAGGGCGGGGGCACAGTGCCGTGATGTAATTGTAGGCCAGTAAATGTGCGTACAGTGCATCGCACAAGTAATCCGTTCCAGAGGGGAATATGTTCTTGATGGCCGCCCACTGTGCAGAGTTCGGCCGAGACGAGTGGAAGACCGAGGTAAATGACCGTCGTGGCTGAAGCTTTGGTGAGCTTTGCTGGTCAGGAACTCGCTTTGACGTCAGCCACTTCCACTTGGATGGTTTTGGTGCATCTTCAGTGAGTGATAGTGACACTTGTGACGGCGACGTGGCATATTTTACTTTCCTAGAGTGCCCTCGGATTGTCTCGATGGACAAACTGGAGCACAGAAGCATCGTTTCAGGGAAACATGCGACTGATATGCGCAGCGTGTCGAGGACCTCAGTTGATAGTGGTACGCCGGACGATGTGACGTCGCCGCTAGATTGTGGTCGCTGTGCCAATGGCTCATCCAGGCCTGACTCGAGCCATTTCTCGACGTTGAATAGAGGCGATACGACATGAAAACTTAATGCATCACCATTCGGAGACGACACCTGGAAATCCTCCATGTTGGATTCAGCCTCTGACGGTGGTGCACTGCGCACTAGCTCTGCCCTCCAATCTCGTTCTTTACTCCTAGCTGGCGGGGTAGGCGGAGTCCTCGAGGGCACGGCAGACGGTGTATTATTGTGCGCAAGTTGTGGTTGTGGTGAAGGTGGAGTGCGCGGGATGACGTGAAGGTCTGATAACTTGAACATTTGAAAGTTGTAATTGAGGGATGAGCGCCGGCTTGGAATTTCGGAGGGCTTCGTGAAGGAGAACGTTTTGGGTGAACTTGGCGACTCCGTTTTGGAGCCAAAGGTTCTGAATGGACTGGATTGTAGGAACTCGGCACGCACAACCTTTGCTCCCATTGACATGCTCCTCAAATCCCCAAGATCTGGTCGTTGGAACAAGGGTGGTGGTGCAGCCATTCGTCCGAGGCTATAGGATCGTCCTTCCATGGTGGGAACGTCGACCTCGAGGTCCATCCAGCTATCCGTGGGGGCTTTATTATCGATTGGCATTGCGATTGTGGGAGCAGACTCGGAGGAAAATCGTGCAGAAGTCACTGAGGTGCCCGTCGTGGTGATAGATACGTCACGGGTGCCGATGGACGGTGGCTCCATACCGCCAGACGATGCGGTGGCGGTGGTTTCGGATGATTCACTGCTTCTTCTAGGTTCATCATAACTGTGGAAAAAAAGCTCGGAATAAGCTTGATTAGCCGTCTGTAGCGACTTCATTCGCGACAAAACGTCCTGTGACTGTGGTCGAAGCTGGGTTATGGAGCTGTCCTGCAATGAGTAGCGTCGTTGACTTCCATCATCCACCAGCGACGGCACTGGAGCGCCTGCTGTTAGATGCTTGGACTGGAAGATGTCCGACGATCGACTCAAGTCTCCCGCCAACATCTCGGGGAAGTTGAAGTCGAAGAGGGGCTCCTTCACCTCCATTTTGGCGTAAATAGGTGCCGGTTGGGCTGCAGAGCGGGATGATAATGGTCTTACACAACAACGTGGTCCAGGTTCCGGTCCAGGTTCTGGTCCAACAGGTCCCATAGGCCCGACAAGTTCATGCCCCAATCTACCTACCAGACAGCTAACTGACGGGGCTTCTGACCCTTATGATGGTTCCACGGCTTTGATGTTTAATTCCAGACACGGCGTATGTCGCTCCAAAAGCGCAAGGGGCGCGCACAGCATCAACAGTCGTCGAGAATATGGTGGTAGCTTTTTAGTCTTGCAGTTGGAGCTTGCAGGAGGAGCTGGCACGCAGGATGCCGGCAGGCGATGGGAACACAAAGAAAAATGGCTTCGGATCGCAGTTCGAGAATCCGAAAAAGGAGGACTGGGGCTAAACAGGGGCAGCACGGACGGATTATATCATGACTTTTGGGCATGCCGACTTAAGTAGTATTTATTCCATGGGTCGGTCCTTTGACGAGTCGCTGCAGCGAGGAATGTGATTCAGATGGTGGGCAGGTGGAGCCTGGAGACCCTACCACGTAAAGTACTCGACAAAGATAGGATGCCAGCTTCCTCCCCGTGGTGCGGCAGCAGATACGCAAGACATGTATTACCAGATGTGCAGGGAAAGTCTGGTCCGGCTCTCTTTATTGCTTTTTCGCGAGACTGCAGGTGGTGCTCATGAGACGGTTCCAGATGGTGCCTCCTTAGGTACCGATATTTGACTCCTCCAGGTAGCGAGGAGCCACCATGGTTTTCCATGGATGACAGGCTTCAGAAACGGTGCACCTGGACAATTTGATTGAGCTGGTCAAGAGGCGGCTTGCATGTCCAGAGTACCGTTACATTTTGCAATTATCAGCCCTGGGTATCACAAGTCCCTCCCACATCTAGATCTGAAAAGATAAGGACAGCGGTTTTGTTTGAGGTTTACTTTAAGGTACAGGCGTCGCAACTGGGTCGCTGGGTCGCTGCTCAAGGGCATTGATTAATTTACCGCTCAAAGCTCTAGAAACAGTAATGAAAAAGAAACTCGGCTATAAGCATTGAGATCTTCAGATGCAGAGTGAAGTAAGACAAGTCGACTGATGTCGACTTACCTAAGTCTAGTTATCCAGCCTGGCGGAAGAGCTGCTGGTCACAGCCAATTGATGTAACGAGCTGGCCGCGTCGCCCCATGCAGACGGGATTGAATACGGGATTGCTGCGGGGAGCTACAGGCATCTGGGATGCCTTTGAAGGCACCTTCCTCTGTATGCACGATAATCGAAACGACCAAGGGGCACACACGAACGTCTAGCTTGACGCAGAGCTACTGCAATGCAACGTGAGAACCTGTCGTCTTAAAACCCCCCGGCCGAGTCGGGTGCATCTTGTTGCATATAAGAAGAAAAATAAGATGAGCCTACCCCATCCATACTTTGTGGCACCTCGAGATTAAATACATACACCCTAGATGAAAGTAGGTGACAATAGACGACCCTAACACGAATTATCATGAATCTCTAAAGACTTGATGTGACCACTCGTTTCGACAAGTCTCAGTCAGCCCTGGAGTGATTTGTCACATTGGCAAGTTGACAATACTACGATATCAACTGCGACTATTGAGCTTGAGTTCAAAGTTTCCACACTAGACCCCTTCTGCTGGTATCGCGACATTCCAATGCCTTCTTCAATATTTCCCGTTTATTATTAGTGCAAAGTGCGGGGGAGATGGAACCTCTGAAGCTTCTCTCCTGTTGGTGAGCAGGGCCCCACATTCGAGTTAGGGAGATCCCTGCTCAGAAGTTCGGGAGCAAAAAACTTCCAAAGTTGTTCTGAAATTTTGCCAATTAGTCTAGTCTGGCATCGTGAATGCGCTTTTTCTTCTTGATCATTCCCACCACGACGACTTTACACTGTCCTAGAAATCGATCGAAATCTGACTGCCACTGCCCCTTTCGACTGGTCCCTCACCTCTCGCAACGCTCGATCAACCTCTAGCGGTGAGTCCAGACGTAATGTTGTCCGAGAACTATTTCGCGTCCGTTTCTGGCCCGCCGATTTCCAACAACACCGCCATTGCCAAAGACGTTGGCATCTACGGGCATACCCTCCACCCGAGTCACTCGACGACCAACACGTTCAAGAAAAGCTCCGTTCCACGCCACTGCCTGGCCGTCAGTGACACGCATGTCTTCGCCGCTCAGCATGAAAAGTCTACAGTTCACGTCTACTCGAGGATAAGAGGGAACCAGGAATTGACTGTGACCTTCCAAGAGAGAATCAAGAGTGTGGTTTTGCAGGACGACGTCCTCATTCTAGGCACAGCTGAAGGCAGAATAGTGCTCTGGGAGGTACTTACTATCCACCGAACCCCAGATTCGAGTAGCAGATGCTGACCGGCCCCATAGATCTGCACCGGCCGACAAGTATCGACTCCTGCAAGCCATGTTCAGGCAGTGACCTGCTTGGCATCGACGCCATATCATATCATCACCGGCTCTGACGACTCCAATGTACTCGTCTGGCAAATTGCGCAACTTCTAGAGCTTGACACAACTATTGAGCAAGAGCCTTGCCAGACCTTGTCTAACCACAGAGCCGCCATAACATCTCTTGTCGTGAATCAGAGCACCAACCCAGATACCAACATCTGCGTCTCGGCAAGCAAAGATAAGTCCTGCATCATTTGGAACTACCAGACTGGCATAGCCCTACGGACCCTCCTGTTTCCTAGCTTTCCTCTCTGCCTCAGTCTTGAGCCATGTGCACGTGCACTCTACATTTCGTCTGATGATGGATCCATGTTTGCAGTTGATTTGTTTGCGGAGAACGCATTGCTTGGTCCCCAATCCACGGAAGCCAGCTCGACCGTTGTTCAGATCTCCGTGGCTGCCGGAGAGGCACCCCAGGAAGCAGGCTGCGCCTCGTGTTTAGGGCTAAGTTACGATGGCACGATCTTATTGTCAGGCCATGCTCAAGGTCAGATTCTCCGATGGGATTTGGGCAACCAGACAAAGCCAACCGAGCTTGCAAACCTTAACGCCCCCGTCACGAACCTAATCTTCATTTCGCCGCTGTCGTCTGATCGGCCTACCAAATGTGCTACCATCATCAAGCCCTTTTTGGGCAGTCGCAGCTACAATTTTACGACCCAGCTCGAGTCAGATCTGGTTGAAGAAACCAGATTTGGTAAGATGCTCGCGTCAAACGGATTCTCCAGTGACGCATTGGAGCAGGCTATCCAGGCCTTGCAAGAACCTCGTGTCGACAGCATCGGGGATGATGAATTGCGCAAAGAAAACGAGGGGCTATGGGATATCATCAACGAGCAACGGGCATTGCAAAAGAAGACTTTGCAGCGATACGTCGATGTGAAGTCCGCCGACTAGTTGTAAGTCCACATACGTGGCTTCCACGAGGCCCCGCCAAAGACCCTGAAACCATCCAGGATGAGCCGTGCCGCGACATCAGGGGGCAGTGATCCGAGACGTCTAGTGGCCAGTTTTTATCGAATTGAACCCGAGAAGCCTCAAGCTGAGGTCTGCTCCACTTCAGCAGGAACGGCATTGTTTAGGCATCGTTGCTTGGAACGCGAATGCAGCATAAGCGTTTGATTGTCCTCGTCAAAGTGCTTGTACTTGCCAAGTTCGATGTCGATCTGGCTACCCATGCAATACTGTCCAAGCGACGAGGCCCTACACGTACGCAGGAGAAGCGCTTCACAGGACCCAGCCTTCAAAATAAATGTGGGACCGCGATTGCTTATGTTCCCGGTTGAGATATTTGCGGCAATCTGGCATTGTATACTGGGCCGACTGGGTAGGTTGTATATCGTACAGCACGCATGTCTGACGAGTCCTGACTTGTGAAACCGACTTCACACATTCCCGAGTAGGCGCTCTTGATCGTTGATGTGTCACACCTCGTCTACCTCGTCTTTGACCATGGCCCAGTCCGCTGGGACAGCGCAGGTCTTTATAGAACTTGCCTTGCCATGTCCATGGCTAGCCGTCATGCTCGTGTTTCTGTTGGATTAGAAGCTCAATACTGTATATGAAAGATGCGTATCAATGTGTTGATCAACTTTCTTGCTGCCCTGGCGGTAGCAGTCGAGACGAAACCTCCAAGGCGGGCAGTGAATCATGTTGTTCATGAGGAACTGCACGTCTCACAGAGGAGTTGGACGAAGGGCTATCGCCTGTATGGGACATCGACACTGCCTGTTCGCATCGGCCTCGCGCAGCAGAATCTCCATCGAGCCGAAGAGTACATCAACGCTGTTTCACACCCCAAATCGAAGGACTATGGCAAGCATTGGTCCCGTGAACGAATTATTGAGACCTTTGCGCCAAAACAGGAATCTGTCGACGCTGTCAAGGAGTGGCTGGAAGCCGAGGGTATTGAATCAAGTCGCATCGAGATGTCAAAGGGCCGTCACTGGCTTGAGTTCAAAGCGACAGTACAAGAGGTAGAAGGACTTCTTAAGACGAAATATCATATGTACAAGCACACACAGCTTGGTCACCCTCACATCGCCTGCGACAAATACCATGTGCCAGATCACTTGGTCAACCACATTGATATAATCACGCCGACTGTTCACTTCGATCAACGCATTGGCCGGGAAAGAGAAAACAAGAAAGTTCCACTTTCTGAGGACAAGGTGGACGAGCTGAAGAAGCGGTCCCTGGCCAAACGACAACGTCCTGAAAATGGAATCCAGGGCATACCGGGTGGTTCTGGATTCTCCCCAAAGCAAGGTGATATGATTCAAAACGCTCTGGCAACCTTGGACGACTGCGATCAGATGCTCACGCTTGACTGCATTCGCGCCCTGTATGGGATACCGAGGGGTTCGCTTGCCCAATCGAACAATACCCTTGGCATCGTTGAATACACGCCTCAGGCTTTCCTTCAAAGCGACCTCAACATGTTTTTCGCCGAATTTTCACCCGATATTCCTTCCAAGGAACCGGTTGTACAGCTCATTGACAATGCCGTTGTCCAGACACAAAACCAGAGCTTTGATTTCAACGGAGAGTCCTCCCTCGATCTCGAATTTGCTATGGGCCTGATCAATCCACAGCGAGCCACCCTGTATCAAGTTGGCGATTTGAACAAAGGCGCTAGCTTTGGTAATTTTCTCGACGCTATCGATGGCAGCTTTTGTACATTCCAAGGTGGCGATTCGGTAGATCCCAACGTCGATAGCCCTTATCCGGACGATGTTAGGTGCGGCACCGCCAATGCGACCAATGTCATCTCAACGAGCTACGGTTATAATGAAGGCGACCTGGGCTCGAAATATATCCAAAGGCAGTGCCTAGAATATATGAAACTAGGTTTGCAAGGCGTCAGCATGATTTTTTCTTCGGGCGACGATGGGGTATCAGGCAATGGGAATACTTGCATTGACCCGGAAACGGGTGCTTATAACGATGGATCTTCTGGTCTCTTCAATCCCGGATTCCCAGGCACATGCCCGTATGTTACCTCGGTCGGCGCCACCCAAATCATGAATGGATCTTCCGTTCGGTCCCCCGAGAGCGCCTGCGAGCTAGTCATCATCTCGAGGGGAGGATTCAGCAATGTCTTCCAGATGCCCTCGTACCAACAAAAGGCCGTCGCGGATTACTTCGCCAACTCAGCCCCGTCATACAATTCCTCGCAGTTCAACAACTCGATGACGGTCCGAGGCTACCCCGATGTCGCGGCCAACGGCGCAAATTATGTAACAGCAGTCGACGGCGAGTTTTCCCTGTTCTACGGGACTTCGGCCTCGGCGCCCGTGTTCGCTTCAATGATCAACATGATCAACGAGAAGCGCATCGAGGCCGGCAAGGGCCCTGTGGGGTTCATCAACCCGGTGCTCTACGAGAACCCGCAGATCATGAACGACATTACGACGGGCAACAATCCCGGCTGCGGTACCGATGGGTTCGCGGCCGTGGAGGGGTGGGATCCGTTGACGGGGCTAGGGACGCCGGACTATCCGTCCCTGGAGAAGTTGTTTACAGGGTTGCCGTGATCGGGCGATCGGGTACAGGCATTGTTTGGTGGCAGGCGTTGGGTTGTGGGTTTTTAGATCGAGATCAAGTTCACCGTCGTTTTTAAAAGGAATGGCAATCTAGAGACAATTAGACCAGGTTAGAAGATACCACGAAGACAAGCCAAGACAAGACAGCTCGTTAAATGTTATATTGACTCTTCCCTCCAATGATGACGAGAAGGACATGGTTATACGCCTAGGCTCCCCCCAGTCCCACATTACTTGAGCTTGCACCATCACTATTCCATGATAAGAAAACAAAAAATGGTCGAATGCAAGGCCCGCCTCCGTGGCGAATTTTCCCGGACGTCGTTATGTATGACTGTGCACTACTAAGCATTTTACACGTGGCCATGGCATTCAGAGTTAGGCGCAACGGTCGCCAGGGCACATGGGGTTTGGATGGGACAGCTGCTTGGCTTGTTACCCACATGCTGCTAGACTAAATACATGTCGGCACTGACCGGAGTTTTGAGATCCACTTTGCTCAGCCCATCCAAAAAGACATCGAAGCTTTTGCCAGTTCCCAACTTTCGGAGCTTCTTTGTCTGATCGATCCACTTTCCCAATCCTTCTACCACTTGTTGCCCTCCTGATATGGTAATTACTGGGTGTTCGGCAGACTGCAACTGGATCGACCAAATCATACAGCCTCAACGACCCCCACACATCCGCCTGTCACTGTGCTCAATGACTGTGCGGCTCGCGGAGGAGCTCGCAGACTAAGTGGCAATTATCGGCCCCTTTTTCCCCCGAGATTCGGGTTTCTTGCAATGAATCCTCCTAGCAGTGGACAGGTCCGCCCTAAACTTCAGTCGAAAGCCTGCGAGGCGTGCAGAGCAGCAAAGGTGGGATCAAGCCGCCCTGGGCGTAGTGTTGACCATGATTTTGCTGACACGTTGCCTTATCTAAGGTCAGATGCCAAGCAAGCCTCCAGGTGGGTATCTGTAAGAGGTAAGTAATGTCTTGCATAAAGTATGCAGGCAAGGGCTAGTACTTACCATGTTGCACAACGTAGATGCTCCGAGTTCAAGAGAGAATGCGTCTTCCGGACGGGATCGAGGACGCGGCGGCACAAGGTCGCCCCAGGGTAAGTTCACCTCCTCGCTGGAATAGCTGGGGTTGGTGTCGCTCAACTAAGACGGGAAATAGGAATGCAGAACTCCCTCCGCTTCCAGGACCTAGCCAGACCTTCAGCATCGATTTCAGCATGCCAGCCTCGAAGGAACCCGGAGATAACTTCGATGAGCTACGAGATCAGCATGTCGGCTTTATCAACGACTTGTTGCCATCAAGTGATGAGGAAGACGATTCTTCCGCGTCAGCATCAGCTCCGTCTGTTGCGTCGACGTTCAACTTTGCCGACATGTCAACCCCTTCGTCGGCGTCAAGTGCTAGTCGCAGGCCACTGAGCAACCTGGCCATGAAACCGCAATTCAATCTCGACTCGGCCAAGAAATTGCTGGATACATTCAAGGAAATGTTGCCGCACTATCCTTGCGTTGTGCTTCCGGAGGATGCCAGTGTGAGGTCGATGGCGAAGGACATGCCGTTCGTTTTGTTGGCTATCCTCGCGGCAACCAGCTGCTCAAGTAGTCTGCAAGGACACAGTCTGTACGACGAAGAGTTTCGGAAGGTACTAGGGCTGAAGTTTGTGACTGGTGGCGAGAGGTCCCTAGAGTTGCTTCAAGGCATCTTGATATACTCTGCATGGTGAGCTGAAACAGGGTTGAAGATAGGGCGACGACAAATTCCGGTTGCTGCATCGTCTGGTACAGTGATTCGATTTTTTCCATCCCCACTAACATCATTCTAGGTATCCATTCCACTTGCGACCTAAAAACCGCCAGGCGTCTCAATATCTTCGCATGGCAACCGATATTGTGCATGATCTCGACCTCGGCCAGGAAAAGACGATCCTTGCTCGTGTAGAAACGGGACTCCATGCCGAGGATATAGACAAAATTCGAGGGTTCATTGCGTGCTTTTACCTAGTTTCGATGTCAGTTTGGCTGTTCCCTAGCCCAAAGAGCCCTTGTTGATTATCGATTAGCTACAGTGGAACTTGGCGGAAACGCTCGACCCTGCCATATACCCATTGGGTAGACACGTGCTGTGATCTGCTGGAAACCCAAAGTCATCGAGAGCATGACCACTTACTAGCCTGGCTCATCAGGCTGCAGCACGTTGTTGAAGAAGTCAACGCACTGCGGGACCAGTACAGGGAGCCCAATTCCAAAAGTGGCCACCAGCTACAACTGATACGGATAGGTCTCGAAACCCAACTGAGAGAGTGGCAAACTCGGATGCCAATCTACCTCTCAATGATGTCGACCCTCATGATGACCATGATGTTCACCGAGATGTATCTCATAGCATGTCCCATTATGAACCCCCCCAAGACGAGACCAGCGGGTAGTGGTGAATTCCCCATTGATCCCATACGACTGATGGGCACCACACACACACTGCGTGCCTTCCTCGGCTACATCAACGGCTTGCCCCCGGGCTACACGACCCGCTTCAGCACTGCCGACTGGAACCACTTGATCTCGTGCAACATCCTCGCGTTCCGCCTCTCGCTGCCCTTGGAAATATGCCCTGACTTTGATACTGCACTAGCGAGACAGATTCTTAACTATAATTCATTCCTAGAAAAGTTCTGTACGGAATCAGAAGCCGAGACGAGTGTTGCGGCCGCGCCGAGGAAGACTGACGCGGGCACAGCGTTTCGCATTGTGCTGCGCGCCCTAAAGAAAAAGTTTGACAAGAAGATAGCTGCGGAGGATGCGCGTGCGGCAGCTATCAAGGAAAGTCGATTCGTGCGCGGTTGCCCTATGTTCGATGGGAGTTTGGACGAACATTTAGCACTCTGGGATGGGCATGGGCAACTGGAAAGCGCTGCAGATGGCCATTCGTACTCCACTGCGCAGACTTCGTACTCGGGAACGAGCTCGGAGGGCAGACCTGGGCCATATAATACTAGTGTTGATGCGAATGGAAAGCCGCTGGTTTTCCATGACTTGTGGGCGACCATGACGATGGGTTGGGCCGATTGGGATACTTCGGAGTCGGACGTGATTGGCACCGAGGTGACAGGTATTGATTCCTCTGGTTTTTTGTAAACGACACGGCATGTTCTAGAGTTGAATAAGCAAAATTATTAGTATATACGCAGTTTCCCATTTTCGCCCAAGGTCGCAGGGTGATATATTCTGGACTCGGGGGCTTAATGAAGAATAGAAGGGGAAACTGCCTACACAGCCAAGTCGAAACCCATTGTGTCGAGTGGTGTTGCAGACTCAAATATGTACAATTGAGTGAATTAGATGCCGAATCAGTCAGATGAGGCGAGGCTCGAGTTACGGAAGGCGGAGAGGGGCAAAGACGAGACAGGAACGGGAGACAAACAATCACGAGAGAGATAAAGGGATTATGAAGGTAGACATACATGTGGCCGACGCACATCGCCGAAGCAGGATACATATGGAAACCACACTCAAGTGCGATTAACCTTGCGCATGAAGTGAGTTAGGTGGAGGAAGGAACAACAAGTCGCCTCTGGACGCCGAACCCACTCCAGAGGACCTCGTCAGCGCATCAATTTAAGGGGCAGTTGAACGGTACTGGAATCAACAACCCTCCTGGGCGTTTTGCGTGTCTTCAACTCCTGCCCACGCTGCAGGGTTCTCCTCGTCATTTCCCTCTCCACAGTATTGAAATAAGGTAACTGACTATATCAAACCAAGGATAGACTTTCCTTGTTTATCCCACCGGACACCATGCCATCAGTTTCACTCTTGTGTTTCTTGAACGACTTGCCATTGGCGTCGTTTTCAAATATTTCGATTCACCTCGATTCAGCTGACAGCCTCATTGCCATCACAAAGTCAAAATGAGATTTTCCAAGCGCTTTATTGCGCTCTCAGTGATTATATCAATCTTCTTTATGGGATGCTTCAAATGGATTTATCAATCCAAGCTGGCCGGTCCCCCTAACCCATATACCCGGGTCAACGAATTCGCTTCTTATAGCCACTATGGTCCACGCTGCGACGTTTCCTCCCTCGATCTCTATGAGCCGCGGTCCCCAACCTTCTGCAAAGACAAAGCGTCCATGCTCCAGGCCATGTCGTCAGGCGGCCGTATTGGTACGGACGCGCCCTACACGGCGCGAGGCTGCGACATGAAGTGGTTCTCGACAGCAGAAATTTGCGAGATCCTCAGCCGCTTCTCTCAGATCATATTGGTCGGCGACTCGATGATCCGGCACATCCAGGGCGCTCTGGGCATTCTCCTCCGCGAGGATCTGGGCTATGGTGCCGTGACGGACTGGAACTTTCACGAGCCCGAACGTCGCGATTGCTTCTGTCTTAACCAGTTCAATGTTAGGGATTGTTCGGGCCAGGGGATCTACAAGACGGCGGACGTGCTGAAGCACGACCCGCGGGGGCTGGCGTGCCCCAAGCTCATTCCGGGCTGGAACACGGATTTGACCATGGAGCAGATTAACCAGTTTCCCATTCCGGTGGATGAATACACGCGGCTCAAGAATATTGTTCGGATGAGTCCCTTCCAAACACGGCGAGCTTTCGTACTGGGTCAGGGGCTCTGGAACAACCTCGATATGGGACTCACCAAGGCCTGGCTCAACTCCGTCTTGGAAGTGACGAGGGAAGGGCCTAATAAGGAGGCGCCAACGCTGCTGGTCACCCCGAATGCATCCGGAAAGTACAAGCAGGACAAGTGGATAGTTACTCAGGGGACCAAGGCATTGGCCATATTCGAGGAGGAGATGGGGCATGTCGCTGAGACGTATGGGATAGATTCCCTAGGGACGTGGAATATGAGCATTCAAGCTACGCTTTACGACGGAGTACACTTGGACATGCGAGGGAACCTCTTGAAGGCTATGATGGTGATGAATTGGCTGGCAGCTTTGGAAGCGTGAATAATTATGCGTGCTCAGCACCGGACGGCCACTTCCATGCGATGAGAAGTAAGGTATATTGGTAGGCGGCCGTCCGTGGGGGCAGCATTGCGTATATATGGGTTGTGATGGAGAAAGACTAATTGGGAATGCTGTGAATGGAACATTTTTGACAACTAATGAGTGTTACTGATTGTAGAAATGCCGCCCGGTCGCTATTGCTTGCTAAGCGGTACATACACCATGTGAGACTAGTGCGAGCCGAGGAAGACACTTTTTATAGGCAGGAGATATACATATATGCAGTTCTCTTGGCCACTCGGCAGCTTTCCTGCAATCATCTTTAAGTTATTGGAGCAGCTTATATCACCTTGCCATCCCACAATGATACCCCCGCGAATGAAGCGATTCATAGGGCTTTTCTTTCTTGATCGAGATCGTCCAACAGCTGGCTACCTTGAATCTCGGTCGTGAAAATTCGTCTTTTGAATAACAAAAAGAGATATAACCGGTTAACGTCAGAGGACTACATCTGTGTACACACACCAACTGGCCGAAATAAGTGAATAATCCCCGCAGTGACACGTGGCCGTTGGCAGATGTTTCTTTAAATGGAAAGGAAAGGAGTAAGGATAGACAGCCTGTTTTTACATTGAATGCCATGTAACCGGACCTGCAATGTTACTTCACTCAGATCGAAGGGAGCAAGGCTTCGGCGGACGGCTGTATACGTCTCTAGTAGAGAATCCTCAAAACGTCCTGGACGTGGCAACCGGGACAGGGATCTGGGCTATAGATCACTTCCACCAACTTCACCTAGTCTCAAATAGGGGCAGTGCTTTTAAGACTCTTCTAGAATTTGCGCAAGAGCACCTAGGTACCCAAGACTTGGAACCGCCATCTCCCCTATTCAACAGAATAGCATGTCCGTCATTAACCCTCATTACCAGCCCTATTTTACAGACATGAACCCGAACCATAACACACCCACGTGCGTACCTCCAACGTCTCTTTCGAAATCAGCGACGCCGAAGACGACTGGGTCTTCACGCATAAGTTTGACATCATCCAAATGCGCGCGGTGACTACTTGTTTTAAGCACTCACTCGAGCCCGGGGGCTAGATCGAGCTGAGCAACCCGTCTTTTCCTTTCAAGTTCCTCATGCCGCGGCCTGAGGATTGCGCGCTAAAGCAGTGGGGGGATTCATTGTGAGGTCCGTTGACAGAATTGGGAGAAGTTGAGAAAGCATGCAGCATTATGCGAGGTGTTTGGGGGAGTTGAGATCTGCGCGTATACGTGCGATGGTTTAATCCGCCTCACGTTTTGACCCGGATAACTATGTGCAATTGGTTTAAATAGATGCTAATACCCATACTGGACAGAGGACCTCGGAGAACAGTCGGCCCTGGCTCCGTGGGACAAGGCCTGGAGGAACAAGGAGATGTCCATCCTGACACAGCACGATTTGATTCCTACCACTGAAGCCACATATATGGCTTTATTCCCGAGGATTCTGAGCTGGGAAAGTGTACTTATTCGTGCCCAAAAGCCGTACTAGCAGTACTCACAGAGATGCGGAATGTGTTATATCACTGGGCTCTGGGTGGCACGGAGATTCAAACGGTTACTCAAAAACTTCCTAATAGTTACACTACGCTAAACGTAAACAAGACGTCAGATACACAAGAGGAAACATTATGTTCTGTCCAGCGGTAGCATTCACAAATCTGCCTGTCCCAAAGCAACCTCATATCGACAAATAACTAGGACGCTGCTCGTTGAGGCTTGAGGACGAAGAAGAATTTGAAAACGGTTGAACTGCCGCTCGATGGAAATAGTTTAAGGCGCTTTCATTTAATTGACGAAATCACAACTAGGGCGGCGAAGCTCAATCAATCCCATCTATCTTGGTGCTGGAAGAGTCATGGTTAACGTAACCGAATCTCCCTCAAGCCATCGGCATCCTGTAATAAAGGTCAAGGTGAGACTGGGTAGGCGAGTTTGATGGGTTGATTCGCACAAATTAACGCAGGGGCAAGGGGAAAATTTCCCCTGCAGACCTTTCTAGGGGTATTGAGGAGTACACAGGCATCTTAAAATTGCACCAAAGCCACCAACATCAATCTCAAGGTACACATGATGAGGATGGGGTTTGGTTTGCTTTCCGAAGCCAAGTTCCTGTCTGCAGTGACGACGATACGACCAAATGCTGCTCGAGAGCAACAAGGGCAACAACAATAATATCTGGGCGTCCGTGCTGGCAGATTTTATTTCAATGGTCCTGTGATGCCCCAGGTACGTGGAATTTCTGAGAGGATGGAACGGTACATACCAAATCGAAGTTCCCAATCCCGTCTTGCTTGTTGAAGACCACAAGACAATAGTTCGGCAAGGACGTAGCCGAGTGATCCGAATTTATATTCACCCGGCTTCGTATATAGTATGTCCCAGGGTGCCAAATGAAAGGGAAAGCCGTAGCAAACCATATCCCGTCAGCAAGACAACATGTGAAAAAGCTTCTAGGGCAGCTTCGATTTGACTTATGTCCATGTCACCAAAAAGTCCGTCCGATGTTGCACGGCAAGAAGCATGGATTCTCATTAACTTCGCGCCGAAGCAAACAGGCCTCTCGGTACTTTCATTTATTACAAGGCTCGCTATTTCCATCCCACAACCGCCAGGTCCCATGATTCAATATGTGGCGTTTGTGTCGAAATACCGGTATGTACGTCAGCCTAGACTGGTGAAATTCAGCCTGACGAGAGCGAATGCTGAAATAGCTTGTTTTGAAGGATTTCATTGTAGCCTAAGAACGAAGCCGCGGAGACTGTTTCAAGTTGCAACGCGTAACGGTGAAGTCCGTAGATGGAAGCTTGAAAAGCACAGATATATCAAGACGGAATCGCAGCATGGCAAATAAAGTCGTCGTGGATTGTTAAATGTGACGGAACTGACGTTGTTTTTTCAGTAGCAGTCCCGTCCGCAATTTGCGGCAGATTGAGTATCCGGTCTGATCAGAGAATTGTCACTGATATGGGATGGACAACTTGGTGCACTTTGCAACGAACCGTAAGCCTCAGTCATGCAGTCTTCTCTCGTAGATGAAGTTTGAAGTTTACAAATATCCCGATTAATGCGTTTGGCAAAGAAAGAAGCTTAGCCTGCCTACCCTTAGATCGGATCTCCCTCATGACCACCAACAAGGGAGTTTGGGGGAGATTGCCCGATCTGGAAGGTCAACATGCACCATATTCGGTTCTCGGCTACTCCCAAGAGACGAGTCTGTGGCGTTTGATTGGACCGGGGCACGGGACTAGAAGAAAAACCTGCCAGGGTCTGAAACTGTCGCAATGTCGCCGATCAGTGTCTGATATGCTAACGCCTTTGCCGATAGGAGCTTGGCAAGGAGAGCTTGGGCTAATTGTCAGGCGGGTCGATGGCCGCTGAGATGGTCAGTGATCCGTAGCTCTGTATCCAAAAACGACAGAGCCAGAAAGGAGAGGCACGGGGGAAGAAAGATCTGCAATAGGTCTGCCAATCGGCGTGGATCACTTGCTGTCAGCCGTCCATCTCGTGGGAATGCATAGTTTGCGGCGCAGCTTAGTTTTGACAGCACGGGCGAGGAAACGTGTAGAAAGACTGATGATGATAATATTAAGCGAGCCAGCCCCCTACTCATCACGGCTTGTTCGTTGGGGTCTACATCCCGCGCCACCTCCTGAGCCTTTGGGCAACCGCGTCGGTTGCAATTCACTAAGCAAGCCCTAACGTACTTCGGTCTTTTATTACCTAGGATATACTATTATACTAGAGTCCAAAATTGCTAGATTTGTGAATGACTTGTCATACCTTATCTTATTAATCTAAAGAGCTATATCTTGCCTTTACTGAGTAACCACTCTCTATTATTCAGAGACAATAGCTATAGTTTAGCCTTTTAATATATGATATTGTCTAGGTTACGTAGATCATACCTCTTGATTGAATAGAGGCTGAACCTTATTATTATTTAGTTAAGATGTGATATTTTGATATTTTCTATCATGATACAATAATCAAAGCGCGCCTATTATTATTTTATTAGGTGTAGGGCACCTAGAGTTTTAGCAATAAACCACAGGAAGGGACACCCATGTCACTTGTTGGGGCTAGTAGAAATGATTACCAACGGCGGCCGGCTTTCGCGGCTACAGCATCATGTCGGCCGAGACCTTGGACGGGCCAACCAATGCGGCCAGATTATTCCAGGTTCATTCTTTCATAGTACGTTGACCGGTTCCTGCGGCCGGAAGAGCTGCGACTTTTGAAATGGCCAGCAGGGAAACGACGGGATCTAGAAGCTTGGTAAAATCGGCAGCAAAGAGAGCGGCCAATCGAGATGACATCAGACCGGACCGGCACGACCCTACATATGCAACAAAATACGACGGCAGCACATTAAGTCGATATCCCAATCTTTCAACTCGTGTAAGACACGTCTGACACAACCATTCAATTACCCTGATTGACGACAATGCCGACTTTGAGCCCCTCTCCCTCTCCCTCTTCCCCCCCCCCAAAAAAAAATAAGGGTGGATAATTAAACACCTGATCCAAGGTTAAGTCATGTTCGAATACTCAAATGAAAAGGCTCAAGCAGGGATGGAAGACGTCTATACTTCGCACAGTATCATATCTTACCATCTAGTTGACTCCGGACGATGATGTCGCGTATATTTATTTCCAGGGAAGGATGTTCGGTCCTGTTAGAAATGGACCAGCAAAGAGGTCAAAACAACTGCTTCATTCGTCACCTCGGTCCGTCATCCAGATTCGTGTTGAGTGGGTCGAGGTCAACGCAGCCTGGGGCCGTCGCGGGCCTTCCATACTCAGCTGCACGTCAGTACGCTAGCGTTTCCAATTGGTGAGGCGCATCTATGTCATTCGCTGCGGAAATGGAGCTTGGCAAGGGTCCTAGTCTAGGGGATATCTTCGAACCTGGATGTTGGAAGTTGAACCTTGAAATGCTACCGCAGAGTTTCTTTCAGATCAGGGGTGCTGGGCACATTGTGGCTGGCCCTCGAGAGATCTGTCGTGGCGATCAATTGGTACTTCGCGAGTGCTCTTCCGTTGGGTTTTGCGTAGTCCCCTTCCATTATCCCTGCAACAGACGAAATGATGCATGGAATGTGTCTGGTGGGTTAGCATTTCCTTCAAATAACGACAGGAAGGAAGCTACGTGTACGACAACACGGTAAACTCTGCAGTTGCTTGCCGATCTTTGTTGTCAAATCACGCAAAAACCAAAATGGCAACGAAGGGACGAAGAGGGGGAGGGAGGGGATCTTGAATAGACCCCAAGTTTATTTCCAGACATGTAGCGTTCTTAAGCTTGGAAGCGAGCCCCAATGGAATGGCCCGGCCTGCAAATTGGTGTGGCTACGAGTATTCTCAAGCCGATAGTGAAAAACTGGGGCGGCGAGGACCGCGAGGGCGGCCAGCCATCCTTGCTCGTTACTTGAAATGAAAGGCGATAATACGCATCTTATAGGTGTCGTCTCTCGTCACCCGCCATTGCGAGTCCGGTCAAAGCACATTTTCGGTTTCTGACATTTGCGTGGTGGCGGCGGCTGCTGAGAGATTCGAAGTTCCCAATCGCGCCTGGTCTGCCTGCAAGTGCGCCTGTTTATTTTCTATCACTTCGTCACCTTCTGCGCCTCCGCCCGTCAAACGTTGACACCAGTCAACCTAAACTTTCACCTCCCTTTTTTCGCTATACGGGCCACGAACTATCTGATCGTGCTGGCTAGCGTGGCGAAACCTTCCACCATCAAAGAAAATTCCACTTGACTCTTTCTTTTCAAACGCGTAGAAGCTGTGTCTCTTGACAACATCAGCCCGTCCTTTTAGATTTCAACCGACGACTTCAGTCTCGTCTAATCCTCCCGTACACCTCTTTCTTTCGACTCCCAACAACAAACGCAGTCGTCCAGCAACAACCTTCGTAGGGGAGATTTTTTTTGGAGGTGTTTTCCCTTTTTGGGTCACCATCACTCTGCCATCACGCCAGTCTGGAGCGCACTGCTTGGTGGTCTTCTTGATCGTCTTCTTTTCAGACGGCAGCCCCACCCACGGCTTCTGAAGCTACCCGATCCTCGTGCTTCCCGCGAACCTGAAACACGAGGAGTGTTCCTAACGTGTCACCACCTCGCATCAGCAGAGCACGCTGCTGTGTGCCACGAATCTGCAGTGCATGCGCACTTCCTTCGCACCAACCCCAAGGGATCTCTTCTTCTGGGCACATTGTTGTAAAATCCCGAGCTGCTCAACCGCTGATCACTTCGTTCAACCATCCCGCATCCCGACGACAACTCGTTCGTCTCTATACGAGTCCCGCTCGATAATTGATCTATTGGACGCCCTCAAGGTTACACTGCCGGAGGAGCACTGCATGGGAAGGGCCGTCAGCTCTCGAAACGTCAAGTGTAGGTGATCTCCTACTTCGTACCGTCACTGCGAACAGGCTGCTCAGGTGTCCCTTGTCTGGTACTTGTCGATCCTCGGCAACTGTTCCTAGATGGGCTCAGCTGTACTATCTCCGTCTCGGACGGGTTTCCTGGGAGAATCGCAGGGAGTTCCGTCTTGCTCGGGACCCATGTCAGTTGTGGCATCTTTCAGGAGCCTGGTCCACCCCCAGACACCATCGTTCCAAGTTCTACCACACGCAGCTTTTATTCCTCGAACTTGCGAAGACAAACTAATAGACAAGTTCTAGTTCTGTTCTGCAACCTCCCCCAGGATCTAGAACTATCACCCTAGCCGCTGGTTCGGGCACGGTTCGATATTCTGACTGGAATTACATTCCTTTTTCCTTTCCTTTTTTTGTGCCAATTTTCGCATATGTTCGCATCCGCATAGATTGCATCCGTTCTTTCGGTTTGATTCTGGATATAATCAACTGGCCTCGGTTTCACAACACACGACTGAGCTGGCCTTTTCCTCTGTTTGCGATACCCACAGCTCATTTACTTCGGAACATTTTCAAGTCCCACGAACGACACGACGAAACCAACCAGAGCCGGCATCGTTTTCGTTGGAATCCCCTTCGACCCACCCGGAGCACGCGCTGGACGGTTGCTTACACACCGATTGGATTGGAACTCACCATCAAGCCGTGGACCCGCGCATGCGTCGGATAAAGGGGACGACAGCCGCCGCGAGGACTTGGGAAGATTGTGTGCGAGCGTGGAATGTTTAGATGCGAATCAGGTCGCGCGCACGTTGTTTGGACTAAATGAGTCGACCTCAAAATGGGAACGAGATGGATCAAACATATGGATCCGGGGGTTCGGTTCGGAGGGCCAGAGAAAGAGCTGAGGCGGGGCTACCCAGGGAGATGTTTGCGGGAATACCACCGTCCTCGATACCACGGCGCGTGGTAGGAAATCCTGGAAGTAGACCGCAAGCGCCGGAAGGTTTGCAGACAAGAGATGAGAATGGAAATATTGGCATGGCTATTTCGAGACCACAACCGGCGCCTCAATGGCCCCTTCCAGGACCAATCTCGTCTCCTCCATCTTCGGACGGGTCAGAGCCGTACCGACCGCCGTTGGGCAAATCGCAACCACCGCAGCGACCGCCACGACCGAGCCAAGTTCCGTCCATGTTGGATGCCTCGAGGATGCAGGATCATACACCAGTCTTCCAGTACGCGCCGCAGAACCAACGAATGTCGGAAATGTCAGTGCCAGAAACCCCCGCCACCTCGGGGTCCTCGAGACTATCGGTCGCTTCGTCGGTCGGGTCCATTCCCGACTTTCCGTTACCAACGACCCCAGGCCAAACGCCAGGCCCGACTCCGGGCCCGACTCCACCGCCGGTGCCGCTGTTACCGCCACCGCGAAGAAGTGTGATTCTCGGACCTCCGCCGTCTTCGAGGCGGGGAGCTTCTTCGTTTTATTCGACTATATCTTATGTGTCTCCAATCCCAGAAGAGAGTCCCCGGTCGCGATCACATGCTTCTTATGCGTCGAGCGCAGCGATACCCGAGAGTTTTGGGACGATATCACCGGGTATCAGTTCCGATGGCAACTACTTCGATGATGCGATTGCCGAGGAGTCGGTGTACAGCGACGATGCGGACGAGAGCCGGCTGGTTAGGAGTGCGAGCGTAGGAAGAAAGGGCAAGCCGTCTCTGGTGACAACGAGAAGTTCGGAACCGAGAGGGGATCGGGAGTCGGTACCGATAGTACTACAACCAATACCCCAACCAATACCGAGACCTATGCAAGTCGAGACCCTCCAGGACGGTATGAGCTACCTCGACATGTCTTCTAGCTCGTCGGCCACGCCGTCTTCCTCGAACCGACCGCCTGTCAAGGCACCCGTGACGGCGGACACGATGCTTGGTGCTTTTGAAGCCGCCAGTGCGACAGATCCAACATCGATGAGGAATACAACTTCGTCGCCCAAGCACTTCAGCAGATTATCAGCTCTTCGGCGGCCGCCACGCCTTAATATGGATGCTGTCAGGGAAGCTGAAGCCAGAGGAAGTCTGACAAGTTTGCCGGACCTCATTCGACGGGCGACCAGGTTGGCATCTTTGATGGAGAGGGGCAAGCGGCCAGCAAGTCGTTTTGATGAGCTCGACTTTCCCGAGGATATTTACAATCGTGACCTCGAGAAAGACCCATCTTGTAAGTGGCCTCTCATTAGCGACATGAATACACACTGACTGACCACTGTACAGACGAACTGGACAAGCATCAGTCAGGCCTTTCCGACATGTTGGCTGCCTTCCCGCCGCCGGCGCAGGCTAACAGCCGGCGCAGTGTACGACAAAGCAGGGCATCATGGCCTCTGGCATTCCCGTTGGGCCGGATGTCGGTCCGGGGGGCACCCAATGTACCGGAACAGACGACCACGGACGTCACTTCTTCGCCGCAACCGAGGCAGCCTCCAAAAGGACGCCGCTGTTGTGGACTTCCCATGTGGGGCTTCATATTACTCATGATCGTTCTTCTCCTTGTGATGGCAGCTGCGGTGGTAATTCCCGTCGAATTCTTCGTCGTTCGAAAACAGCAAGTCCAAAATACGACGACATCAGCCCTAGCAACCTGTCAGGCTCAAGTGAAATGCGATAACGGAGGCACCAATGTCATTACGGACGGGGTTTGCTCGTGCATATGTTCCAACGGATTTACCGGTGCGAATTGCACCATCTCGAGCTCTCAAGGATGCACCACGACTTCCTTCGGCTCTGGAGACAATAATCTCAACAATGTCACTCTGGGCGAAGCTATCCCTCGACTAATCCAGGAGGCCCAGACCAACTTCTCCATCGCCCTCAGCGCAACGAGGATTCTATCCAAGTTCAACGCAGCTAATCTTTCCTGCAATTCGGAGAATGCTCTGGTCACTTTCAATGGCCAATCTTCCAGAGACCAGGATGCCTCAGCAGTGGCAGACTCGAGCTTATCTGAGAACTTTTTGCAGATCGTACAGGCTGAGGAAGTCATCACTATATCGGTTTTATCGGACTTGAATGTCATCCTCACACTTGACCCTGCGGCAACTAATTCTGTGTACATAACGACCCTTTCTATGGGCGCTCCTGCATCCATGGTCACTGTTGGAACATCCGTAGTTCAGACGACGATTACGATGACCATAACGGCTACTCCAACCTCGACTCCAGCGCCGACCACAACGACTACACCGATTGTGACCGCATCCGCCAGCACAACAAGTGCCGCTGGGTCGACGTCAACTTTTGCTGCGACGGAGCAGGCACTGGACTTTGCCCGGGTCGCTGTGCTGTTTGTGTTGCAGGAAGAGTCTCTGGAAGGGGCCTCAAATGCCCAAATCACGCTCCAGAAACTCTTCAGTACCGCGGGTTCTATCAACGATGCGAGAAATGTCACAATTGGTGGAGATAACACGATTGACCTGGTCAATTTTCTGGTCGACCTGGGCTCAGATGACTGACACGCCCCTTTCCTTTTTCCTTATACCAAACTCTTTCTTCAAAATACCTACTCGAAAACAACCAAACCACCACATTTGATACTAGCGACAGGAGCATGGGGAGTGAGTGCATTTTGTCAACGTGTGTTCATACATGTTTTTATGGAAATAAAAGGGACGATGAATTCTTGCGGGCAACAGCACTCTTGGAAACAAAGATCAACCATTGTCGACAGCGGCGGTGGTCTTCCTGTATAAAAGGACTTGTTACTTACCTTTGAGGTGAAAGTTATGTACATAACATATCGTGGGCGCCTCTGCAAATTATAATTTTGCATGCATTGGGCGGAGCTCGAAGCAATAGCGGTGCCGAGACGGAGGGGGAAAGAAGCCTGTTGATACCATGAATCTCATGGAAATGTTTAATGCTCTCGTAAGATCACATCCCGAGATGGCCACTATTGCACATTATAAATATCTGCCCGCATCACACTGAGCATGCCGCGTATATATATATATATATATATATATATATTTATGGACGAGGGACGGCATGGTCAAGACAACACATCTCGAGCAGCCTGGGGCTTGTTGCTTCTGAAAGCACGGTCCAGACCGACCAGCTTCGCACGCATAGGTCTCGGTAACCTAGCCTGAGACGCGATCCCCCAAACGTGGGAGAGCTATTACTTAGTCCTCTTGCAACGCCACATACCGTGAGCCAAAGGGCCGGGTCGAGAGCTATGACATCCGAGCCTCAACTAATCACCTTATTAGGCGTTTGGGCACCGGGCCGTAAAATGAAGAAAATGAAGCAAGGGTTTGAGCCACCCTGAAGCCTCGAAGATTCCCACACTCGACCAGTACATGTTTCCACTCGAGGGTTTTCTGTGGTCACTTTTGATGATGATGAGAAGTGGTGTCAAGCCTTCCGCCCTAGAAGCTGGGCTCATGCCGAACTTATCACATCTCACGAAAGAACCCCTGAACGATGGTTTGTACATTGTTCATCCATTTTATAATCCGACGCTTGTTCATCACCGACACCAACTAAAAGGACCTCAGAGTCCCTGTGCGAGCAATGGACAATTTCAGGATTCGTCCGCACGGTCGGTCCAAGTCGACCTTGAGAAAAATCTAGTCGGTAGTCTAGATGAGCTGTTGCTGCGTGAGTTGCGATACGATTCGGGAAGAACTTCCAGTTTTCTTCTTGTTTTGACAAGCTGAAGCTTAATGCTGATTTTTGAGCTGATGAGCCGAGGGATGGACCAGATCCAACGGTTTCCAACGTCATGACATTGTTTTGTCCCATCCGCCTTAAGTAACCAATTGGGATTATGATGATGTGTCGGTACTGAGCACTCTTCACCCCCAGCCCCTCGTTCAAGTCAACCAACTCGTGTGGAGAGGGTCTCATCACGACCGCATGCTCTCCACATTCGTTAGTTATCCGTATTCGGGGTTGTTACGTTCACTTCATTATCCAGTCTCTACCCATTTATTGTGTATATAATCCGACGCTCCACGATACTACGCCACCATCCACCCGTTGCTAGAGGATTCGAATCACCCTCCATACCTCCTCATGCCCATGCGTCATGGCGACGAGGACGCCACGGCCAACCAGGAGGCGGCCGCCCGCGATGGGCAATTCAGCAAGTGATGAGGTCCGAATCCCCCGTACCCGAATTCTGCACAAGGACTCAAATGATATGACAGGAACTGCGGGCAACCTCACCACCGATCCTAACCCTCCCGCGGCACGTAACCACGCAATCCACCGCCGCATGGGACAGCTACTTCACCGGGCAGCCGCCTCCGGCCTTGGCCACAGCAAGTGACGCGCCTAGCATGCCCTTCACGGCGAGCTCAACAACCACTGCAGCACAAATGCCCCCAAACACGCGCACCCTCTCCCCGTCTCCGTCCTTGTCTCAATTTCCGCTACCACCCCTGAACTGGCCGCTCCTGATCCAGTCTCCACTGTCCCAAGTCGCCGCCTCGTCCAGCACAACAATCGATTCAGGGCCAGACATGCCAATCTCACCCACGCCGTCGCTGTTTCCCGTGCCGCCTACTCATACGCAACGACAGGAGCAACAGCAACGACTTCCTGGTATTAGACCACCCCCGGTGCAGATCCCGTACAACTCGAACTCAGTCTACTCGGAAAGCTCGCTCATCTCGCTTTACTCGCCCTCCCACACCCCATCAAATGCCGCACATCTGTCCAACGTCTCACGCCGACACTCCGTCGATTCCAACGACAGCGCATCCGTATATTCGGAACCGGCCGCAGAATGGCCACTTCCCGTACCCCCATCGACTCTCTCAGCATTGCATCAATGCCGGCATAATGGGCAGGACCCCGGGGTCGTCGCTGAGCCCAAACCACGGCCCAGGAGCCATCAAAGGGCCAGCAGCAGCAACAGTACCATCCGGCCTCGACTGAGCATCGACTTTACGGAATCGATTCCACCCGCTTCTTTTTCCCCTCGTCCTACTGGCACCCACGTCCGTAGTAAATCTGAACGTTCAAATCGACGGGAAGTTTCGGTCATGCCGGTTACGCATCTGCCAGGCGCAAAAGCCGAATTAATCCAGGCACGGGCAGTTTTCACCAATCGGTTGGATCCCACGTTCTATCCCGAGCCCAAGCCGAGTCCATTCCGGGACCAAGTAGTTGACAAACCAAACAAGCTGGCTGGGAACGAGCCGGTTTCGCGGTACCTGCCAGAGCCCGAACTCATGTCTGGTACCATTCAAATTATCAACAACATCTCAAAACCGGAAGCAATCCCAGGACGACCCGTCATCATGCACCCGGAACCCCCACCCCGGTCAGAGCCCCCACCAAGCAAACCGTGCTATGAAATCCAGCAATTACAACTGCGACCGCAACCAAACGTAATCCGAGGAAGGGCGCTGCTCACGCAATACCTCCAGGAATCTCGAAAAGACGTATTCGAAGCCGAAGAAGCGAAGCAGAGCAGTAGACCGAAGGGATCCGCCCCGACTGCGCGGAGCCGAAGTCGGTCTCGGCGGAAAATCTGGATTGCCGCCGTGTTCGGCACCACATGTTTCTTGATTGCGGTCGTGATAGTGATTGGGGTTGCCGTCGGCGCGTTCCAGACGAAGGATGTCGGTGCTGATCCAGGAGGTGGAAACAGTTAAGGTTGACTGGGCCTTGTTCATCCGCCGGTGAATGTGGCTGTCAATGGAGAGACTTCATGTACAATACGAAAAACGAAGAGAGGAAAGTGCGAGGTTGTAGTTTCGGTTTTTTTCTGAAAAAAGCATATGAAGGACCTCATCATAACCTAGTTACGGTAGCGGCTGTAAGGATTTGAGAAATACGTGCCAGCGCAAGAATAAGGGCGATTTCTTACAAAGTCAGGGTATATATAAAAAATATTCTCGCGACAGAAAATATGACGCCTTGATTTTGCGTAATGCGATATGGTGCTATGTATATGAGATAACGAAGAAGACGACTTACTACACATCTTCTTCTACTTCTTCTTTTTTGCCTGCGCAACGTGTTTTCTTTCTTGGTATGTGAAACCCATCAATCAATCCAAGCCCCGAGACTCCCCTTTTCAAGCCCGCATAAACGTGAATCGTCGTGAGACATATTTTGGAAAAACATGCAAGGGGAAAAACAACTCCTCCAAGTCAGGTCATACCACGAATAGTAAAAACACACAAAATAGAAGGCTTCCCTAACTTCAACATGCTAGTGGAAATTTCTCAGTCAGAAAGCTTTCCTTCCGATCCGCCGTTTTGTATGAAACGGGTGAAAATGTCGCCCAGGAAAAAGAAACATGCTGCAAGGACAAGCTAGCAACCGAGTGCTTGCTGGCTGAACATCATGATGCGCGTGACAGGGGTATGATGGCGAGGTCTGTGAAAATTCCAGCCCCCAGGTCAGAAAAACCACACACAAAAGTCTGCCACCAGTCTAAGTAGGCTGAATCCAATAGCCCTTTCAAATACAAGGACAATTTCGGCCAGAGAATATGCGCGAAATCAGTGGTTCTCGTTTTCCGCGTTCGACGCGGCTTCTTCTTTGGAGGCCGGTCATAGGATGACGCATTTTGGCCGGTGCGGATCTCTGTCGCGGTCGGATCTTCTCTGCTTCCTTTTCTTCTTGTAGTAAGAGATGGAATACGGATCGTATTCTTTGTCTTCTTCGAGGTAGCCCTCTCCGGCATCATCCTTGCGGAGCATTTGCCGGCACAAGTCGATGAAAACCTCATCAACATTGGCTGCAAGTGTGTTAGTCCCTTTTTCATACTCAAAGACTGTGGAGGTTTGGGGACTGCAAGTGTATGTGGCCATGAACATCAGGCTGTCCTAGGGAAGAGACGTACTCTTTGTCCTTGCGCTGGCTTCATAGTAAGGTGCCCCCCATCGTTGCGAAATGGAAAAGCCCTTGGTGCGAGGCACACACCGTTGGTCCTCGAGATCAGCCTTGTTGCCGCAGATGACTATCGGCACGTTTTCATCGTCCTTAATGCGGATGATCTCGTCGCGAAGCCCAGCAAGCTCCGTCAGTGAAGAGGCGGATGTGATGCTGAAGACGAGAAGGAACCCCTGGCCAGTTTTCATGTATAAATCTCGCATGGCGACTAATCAGGACGGGTTAGTGAAATTTCAGAGTAGAACGGGGGACACAAATCATGTGTCGGAGAAAGATACGGACGCACCAAATTGTTCGGTTCCGGCAGTATCCAGGCTGTTTCGGGTCAGCATTGTGTGTGGGTAGATAATCAATCTGGAGCCCGTCTGATGTCTCACATCTCTAGAACTACCTGACGGCCCTGTTTGGGGAAGTGGTTAGTCTCCAGCATCCGATCAACTGAGGCCAAGGGGAGGACCACCACCACTCACATCGACTGCCACCTGAGCCCGGTACGAGTCTTCAATGGTGGGATCATAACTCTCGATCCATTCGTTGTGCACGAATTGAGCTGTTGAAAAGACACTTGACTGTCAGTAACCCAGCCTTCTTTTCTCAACAACGATCATCCACGGGAGACACGTGATGTGGGGGCGGGACTAGGGGTCCCCTTACCAGTGAGGCAGCTCTTGCCAACACCGCCTATGTGGATGCAGAGTTAGTGGACTGCACTGTAGCAAAGTGAGTTTTCAGCTAGGGGAGAGAGCACTGGGAGGATGGATGCGAACGAACCTGCGCCAAGTACAACAACGTGGAATTCGCGGCTACACGCAGAAATGGGGAATGTCAGCTGTTGGGTAACGTCGCAGGACGGCAGCGCTGGGAAGCCGGGGAGTTGGGGAGGACAAACGCGGGTTGGTAACGTCCTTGTCGTGGAGCCATAGTTCAGTGACCAATTTGAGAGGCCGGCCCATCAAATTGCGGCCTGGGCAATATGGCTATTGTATACCAACGATATCCGTCGCTCTTCGCTATAAGGTCCAACAAACAAAGGGGCGGCGTGTGTCGTCGCGTTGGGCCGTCAGCGAAATGGGAATCCCGACAACCGCATGCGTCACCTGTCGGCCTTGGCGATCTCGTCGGTTAGCTCCCAGGGTGGTGCTCCGAATAAGATCTGCCTGGGGGGGACGATCCGAAAATTGGCCGGGTGCTGCTGTTTCGAAGAGTAATAATTGGACAACTTTGGGCCGGTCTAATGATGGACAAGGCGGAGGTCGGAGCGTCAGTGGGATTTGTGCACAGCTTTTCGTTCTCGCGTTGAGAGAAGACCGAGTTGTGGTCGGGGTGCAGAGAGGAACTAAAGTAAACTGTCGTGGTTGTGACTGGCTTGACGCGTCCGAGGGGACGGTGTAAAAAAATACCAGGGGGGTCGGGCAACGGAATGCAAATAGGGGTTCTCGTGGGAAAGAGGGGTATATGGCTGTAAAGTAAATAACGGATTTACGACAGACCAAAAAGAGGGTGCTCGCAAGCAGTGAAGTTTAGAAAGAGAATAAAATAAAACGAGAAGGGGTTATGTCAGAGTAAGAATCAGAGAAACAAGGGCATTGAACAATCAAGTGGACGACGGATATCCGGGGATTATATCGCACTATCCGTTGGACTAAGGTGCTGCTGCTGCTTCCCAGGGACACTAACATCTATGGCCAACCATTGGCATCTGTTGGACTGGGATTGTGTGCAGCCTGATGCACTCTGCGCAAAAAGTATTGAATCCACAGCAGTAGCAGTATCAGTAGCAGCAGCTGTGCAGCAGTGGGATTGGCAGCAGCGGCACAGAGCACTAGGGAAAAGCAGGAGCACTTTGGACGTTCGCACCACTCAGAGTCGTCGGGTGCTCTTCCTGGCAGCTCGACAAGCATCGTCCATGGTCTCTTTGCAGCCCATTGTTTTTGCACTGGGCCCTTTTGGTTTCCTTTTCGCCTTGGGTTCATCAACCCAAATGCAAACAACGGATGCATACCACTGCTTCCGCATTCTTGTCAAGTTGCAGGCAGGCATGTCGACTTGGACTCCCATTGGACTTGGGTGAGCTCGACCAAAGAGCCCAAACTGACTCGAAAATAGACATGATGCAACGGCGGCCGAAGTCGATTGGATCACTGGAAGGACGCCGCACATTCCAAGCCGGCCCCTACGTACCGACTGCCTAGTGCTAAGCAGTGCGCGGGAAGAGCTCTTTCCCCAGAGTAGCAAAAAAAGAGAAAAAAATATATATATACATACATGTTCCGGGTTAGATCCTTCGATGGGCGGGTCGGACTGCATTGCAGGTTCAATGGCCCCGACCGGTCACTGCAGGGTGCTCGAGGTTGCAGCGCTTCTCAGTTGGAAAAGCCGCATGGGCCGCGGTTCCCTGCTCGTTCGTGCGTTGCAGCTCACAGGCCTTGGCAGGCCGGTCGCACACGAAGGCGGGTGGGGAAAATAGAAAAAAAAAAGACTGGCGCGTCTATTCGTTGACATACAGCTGGACACTCGCGCAGTTTCGCGCAGTTGACGCCGTTCCCGTAGCGCACCCAGTCACGATCGACCCGAAAGGAAACCTGGCGGCGGAAGGCCATTGCAAGGGACACATACGGAGTGGCAGAAGTTAGAACACGATGTTTGTTGCACGCGAAAAGGGTATTTTCCGCCGGCCGCCCTTCCTAGGCTCAACTATGGATTTTTGCCTGTAAGCAAAAGCTCGCTCTCGCTAGGAATACGAAGGTATGCAGGGTCTGCCTGCACCACGCAGGTGTTTCCTGCTTTCCAATGGCCGGCCGGTCGCTGAGCGCATCATTCGTAAAAATAAAAAAAAGCCAAATTAGGTCGAATGACACAAGCTGCAAGACCGCAACGGCTGCGGCCCAACCTGCATCGGCCGCTTCGTTCGGCATCGCGCTTCGTATACGCTGTACTCATCACCTGACGGACACTAGCTGCACGACTTGCAGTCGTTCCCTTGGACAAACCCATCCCTTCCCTTCCTTCCCTTCTCTTCTGAAGCCTTTTTTCTCTCTTCTGATAGTACAGCATAGCAGAATCCACCGCGAAGCAAGTTCGTCCACGACAGACTCGCTAGTGGCGGGAGGGGGAGATGGACCGGTTACAAGATCTATCTCTCCAGCCGGTCAAATTTCGACCACCAACAAGGGCAATCCTCTTACTCCCGGTTCCCCGGAGTCCCTAGCTCCCTATGGCTTGGTGGCAGCATGATACCCACTTGGGACTGGTTTCGGCCAAGGTTGTGTTGTTGTTGGCTTTGTGCAGTGGTGCCACAGTTTGGTGTCTGTGGTACATCGTATCTTTCCTTCATTGTCGCATCATGGGACTTTGGTGGCGGTCGGGAGCAAAATGAGCCGTGATCACGGCAGGTGAAGGGTGCACTTGTGCTGCGACCACCACCACCACGAGTCAGAATATCATGAATCGCCCTCCATCAAATGGCCACGCGTTCACCAAGGTTGGCCTGACATGTTGATGGACTGCCCAAGATCTGGCGTGTTTGACTGAAGAGACCTTATAAAGTCGGCATCCTTTCGCCACGGTCTGTGCAAACATGCAGGTAATGACTTAGCTTCTGTCCGTGCTCATAGTTCAACGACCAATCCTCTTGTCCGAGCTGCTAGCTTCTCATCGCCATTCACCTCTCACCGGTGCTCTCACCGAATCCACATGGCGGAGCTGGCCGCTGCGATCTTCAAAGAAGTTCAAAGAAGTTCAAAGAGGAGGAACATGCTAGGCTAACCGGCTCTCACGGCACCACCTCGACACTTCGGTTGTGGAAAAGAGTGTGCAGATGTCGCATTTTTGAGTCAAGCCTCATGCCGGAATGGCAGTTTCCCATACCATCAATATGCTATTTCTCGATGCTATAACTAGCTGACCTCCAAATGCAGGGTTCCAAGTCAAGCTGCCCCCACCCATCCAAACCAACCCCCTCATCGATACCCGTTACCCAGATCTAAAAATGCCACGTGGCGGCTAATAACAGACGAAGTCTAAGACTTTAGGGATCTCGATTTCTGTCATTTCGTTTCAACTACCGCTCGTCGCTGTCATTCTGGAGGGGCACGCCTGACTCGGTGGCACTTGATAACTAAGCCCTTTTCATTACAAGTCAGTCCAGATCGACTCGCAAACCCAGATACACTTGACGGCTTTGCTCACAAGAGTCGGTGTTGGCCGTGCCGACAAGGCCAAGAAACACCTTTGACCCTAAACTAGACCCGCACCTCAGCAAGCACCTAACCGGACAGAGAACCTATCCATAACGTTCCACTGACCGATGAGTGTTTATCCGTTGGCCCATATCTGTTGCTCAGTGAAGAGCCCTGAAGTGGCCCTAAGAGAGAGCACATACCAGGCGTTCCCCATCTCGATCGACTAGTGTCACTCGGCAGTCGAAAATCATAAACCAAAACGCTTCGATACTACACCTGTGCTTGGACTCTGGATGCCACCTAGGACAGCTAGGCATCATTGGTTGCTGCCAATCCTTGCTTAGATCGATAGCTTTTCTGAACAGACGAACCTGGCAGCTGTGGTCATTCTCGCAACCAGACGAGAGTATATTGAGCTGTTTGTCCATGTCCAGCGAGTGCAGTGGCAAGGAGCGGTCAAATCAGCGGGATGGTGCTTCCGCGGATACTATCTCACTTCGACGAGTATTCTCCTTGGTCCGAACTTGGACTCGAAGATACTACACGTGGAGCTGATATAATGCTCGCCAGACGACCCGTTCTGCTTCTGCATCGGGCGATGGGCCGCATGCCAACGTGTCAGTTTCATGAGTACGCGTCCAGGATGCCGCCGTCTCGTTGCCTCCAAGACTTGTCCAAGACTTCCTTCTGGACTAACTGATGGGTTCGAAGTTTCTACCCCCGTCAAAGACCTTCTCGAGCCACCCCACCCCATGACTCCCTTGTACCGGTTCTTACAACATGTCCCTTGTTGCTCTCAATGCAGAGTGGGCCTCTCAAACCAACCCGAGTGCGCATTGGGAAGGTACACGTTAGTTGTGGAAACCACTTGGCAATGACCTCTGGCTGTGATAGGATCACATTGTCAAGATGGATCCCGTTGTCACACAGAAGCATTCCATTGCATCGGAGAAATGCGAAGATCGTTTGTTTGCTTGGGTCGAGTGGGGTTGTACGTTCCTGCACTTGCATGACGAGGACTAATTGAATCATATCGAGAAGCCTCAACTTCGGCACATGTTCTTTACGATCTTTGGTCTGGTGAGAAGTATGCCTAGCCCGTCTATTTCGATATACTTCTTGATACCTGCGGTTGGGTGGTTCCCCTAGACAACATCATGCTATGTTTTGCATTCATTGAGTTAGATCCCACGTATCCCTCGACATCAAAGAGTTCGGGTTCGGAATCGACCTCTATCTACCTCTACCTACCCACATTGTACATTGACGAACTCCATATCTCTTACTACATTTCCATAAGACGCCGGATATGCCGGATACACAACATTAAGTATTACATATGACACCCTGCAAGTGCATGCCGGACGGCGCTGAACACGCTGTCACCCTATATGCACCGTTTGAGGTCTTATAAAGCCGTGTTCAACCACTCTTCTCGGCGGCGGCGTGGCTGTTTGAACAGCCTCCTGACCAGGCGTCCACTTCCTGCTCGCAGACCATTTGAAGAAGAGGCCATTCTTCGCATAATCGTTGGCCAGTTCATCAAAGCTGATGCCTTGGGCTGCCGCGTCTCTACGCGCTGCGCGGGTTCGGTAGAGCCACCCCACGTGGGCGAGGAGGAGGCCGAATTCCAGGACGAAACTGTTGCCAATATGTCAGCTGGGGTATGGTGATATAGATAGGCATGCGAAACACTCACGTCGACATATACAGCGCGGGATTGAGTATGTTGTATGGTTGCTGCACAACTATGGATAACGTCAACACCAGCACGCGAACGAGCCGCCTTGGGCAACAGCAAAAAGGGAGACTCACCCATCGAGAAGCACGAGTTCAACGCCCCGAACATGCCGAACGTCAGACCGATCTGCCATAAGTAAGACTCCAAGCCGTGTTGTCAAACAGGTTGACAATCGACCTACCCAACCAACAGACACAGCACGACCCTGGTGCCTCCAGCTCTCAATATACAGCGGCAGCCATCCCCATGCCAGAAACGCAACTGCCACGATGGCCGTGCCAATCGCGCAATTCGGGCTCGAGTCAAGCTTGCACATGGTCTTGGCGTGGATAATGTACGTGGCTTCGAAGGAACCGATCATGGCCATCATGACGGCTAGGAGAACCAAAGCGACGCACACGGATGATCCACTGTCGAGAGATATACACCGTCAGCTGAGGCCTATCCGTCTCGGCATGGTTATGCTTCGGGTAGCGTAGGGTAGGTAGGGTAGGTTCGTCTCCACCGCTTTCCAGGGGCCAGGTCAATACTCACAATTCATACGTGAAGATCTGCGCGAACAAGATGAACATGGCCAGCACGTTTATGTGCGGCTGGATGATCATGGAGAGGTTGTAGGACATGGTGACGGCGTGCATACCGGTCGCCATTTGAGCTACCATCGCCGTCTCAAGTCAGCCTTGTTTCGTTCAGTGCGGACTGGTCGGGATCAGGTTGCCCCGAGAAGAGAAGCAGGAACGCACAAAAGACGCCCCACAGGAACCACGGCAATGAAACCAGCGAGACGAGGGACCCTTTCCTCCAACCGTCGATCTCGAGGACCCGTCTGCGGCGGCTGTTGTTGTGGAGTTGGAAGAGCAGGCGGGCGGTCCAGCCAAGGGTGCCGATTATCTAAAACGATGGATAATGGTTAGTGGGGAGGTTTCAGAGTATATAGCAACACGGCCAAAGGGTTCGACTTACTCCAAGAATGTTGGCCATCTCAACCACTCGCGCCTCTGACAGCTCTCGGGAGGGCATGGTGTACTTGGACGCAAGCTCACTGAGGTCGGTGCTTGAATAATAGAACGGATAGCGATGGGTGGGTAAGCTAAGAGAATGCGAAGAGAAGAAGAACATGGAAGACGAGTAGTCCTGGCTTGTGGCCTTTTCCATCCTTCTTCCCCTCTTTCAACCTCCGGCCGGCAGCCAGTGTTGACGCGAGCGAGCCAGCCTGTCAACGTTGTCCTCGGTTTCTGTGTGCTTTTCTCCCTTTCATCTCTTTTCATTGCCTCTACTCTTCCCTTCGTCCTGCTCATTATTTCCCTCTGCTCATCGAAATTTGGGGAAAGCTAGGTAAGAAGCCACTCACTCCTATTTAAGCTTCCCGAGTCTCCTCCGAGCCTACCTCTCTCTGTCCGTACAATATGGCCATCAAGGGACCTTTCCTCTGCCCTCGAACAGGACAACCAACGCCATATCGCAGAACAAGCTTTGAGCTCTCTCTGGATCGCGGCAAACTATATCACTTCATCCAACAACGTGCCGTCGGGCGGCTAGGCGGGCGGGGAAATTAACGCGAAAGGGAGCTTCGAGTCGATTAGTCGTGTGGGAAACAACCATCTGCCCGTTTGATAGATAGCCTGTGAAAACAGTTAGGTAGATGGTTCAAGCCAAGCCAAGCCCAGTCTTGACCATAGCATCTCGCCTTCCGGCAATACGAACCAGCCGTTCATCCAACCATGCCGGCCGAAAAATCGAAGGCTTACTGTTTGCTGACATCGCCCGTTTGTTCGCTGAGACGTGCGTTGACTCCGGGAACCACGGGCATGAGAGCATCTAAACTTCCATGGGATGACGCAAAAGCTGAGATGAGTGTGGCCTTATTCGTATATATACTTACAAATGATGTAGTCACATCTGCATACTTGTAGTATCGCAACCGGTACTATAACGTTACTACTTATTGTGAATCTATGGAGTTGCGTCACATCAATACCCGTCACCAGGTGACCTGTCTTCTCTCGAGACATCGCTCCAGAGCTAGCACTACCACCTCCCACCTCCTAACCAACATTCATAAACGACCGACGTGCGTATGGACGATGATATCATGTGTTCAAACCCAGATGTGAATCAATTCGTCCGTCTAATAAATCGCTAGCTATGTCGCTCCGGACGAGTTTGCTCGGAAGGAGTTCGCTCCGAAAAGCCAAGGAAAAGTTGCTGCACACCAAACCAACATCCATGCAAATCACATATCATGATGTATGGATGGATGAATGGATAGATATCAGCCCATAAAGTTGACAACGGGCCCGATGGTGGTAATAAAGCAAAATGAAACCCAATGAGAGGTATATAGCCATGTCCAAATCGCCGCCGCCTGCCTTTCATGATAGTGTAAAGATAAAAACTCCCCTGTTTTTGCTCCCCTACGCCAATGTTGCACGTTGTCCATCCCTTTCTTTCTTTCTTGCTGTCATCCATCCAGCCATCGATACCCCACCCGCACTCCGTGCATGCGGTCCCGTTGGGTAGCACGTATCTCTTGCGTCCCGGGGAAGAGCGTCTCTCCCACGTAGAGAGATAGCCAGATGCACTCAGGAGAGAAATAGTTGGGTCCTTGATGTGAGGATGAGCCAAACGATAGACAGGGGCTGCCGAGGGAGGGTCCCATCATTGCGTTGCCAGAGACGTTGTGTATGAATGATAGTGACCACGCATTTATTTCCAGACTTTTGGCGTCGCGGCCAGACTGCGCGCAACTCTCCAAGCCTTGGTTGCCTGCTTGATCCAACGCGGCGCGTAACATTCGGGTATCGAAATTTGACCGCCAATTTCAATAGTGCTGTATGCAGTCCCCCAAATCGGCCAACGAAGAATCCCAATCATATGTATATGCACTCGTTCTCCTTGTCCGTGCCGTTCCATTCGCCTTTTTTGTTGCAAAATGCCCCGGGGTTGATGATATCGCTTTCTTTCTTTTGTTTCGAGTTGGTGAGCTGGTGAACAACGTCCGACACGCCATGTAAATTTTTGTCTTTTTTTGAAGAATGACCACCGCTGTGGTTAACGGTGGTGCACTGAATGAATCCATGATGAACCCGTCGCTGTAGATTCTGCTATAGATTCTGGCCCCTATGACGGTTATGATGAAGTTTCTCTGCAAAGTGTCGTTCGCCTATTCTACCTCCCACCGCGTTATCACCAGAAAGCCCGGCCTCCAAATGAGAAGATACACACTCTAAAGTCAACGCCGGGGTCAAGCCGGGGAATGTTGTCAATTTGACAAGGAAAAAAACAAGCAAAACCAATCGCTGAAAGAACGCTGACCATGATGAGCTTTAAGTTCAACACCGAACAAATGCCATCGTGAACCCAGTCTTATAAACTGAAACCCGAAATGCCTCTAAACTCCCACGCGAATCAGCACCCACGTGAGGGTATGCGAAAGGGGGGAATCGTTGCAAGATGCTGACACAGCGCTGTCACTGATAAACCATGCACTACCACTTTCACCATGTGCAAATGCCCAACAGATGCAGTAAACAAGCCAAGCGCGCCAAACTAGCCTTGCCCCCAGGTAGTCCAGACAAGTGCCAATGGCCTCGTAGAGCCAGCGAAACGGACGACTATTGAAAAACAGAAATGGAAGGAGAATAAACCAGAATAAAAACAAGTGATAAGGCTCGTTTGCTTCGATGCTCCCAAATGCGTACCTAACGCCTGTGAACCCGGCTCCAATTGCGCAATGCTCCTTTGAAAACGGTCTGCTCTCGAGTCTGGATCGTTCGGTACGACACAGCGGAGAAGTAATTCCTTGTCCGAGGTCGATGAGACAGTCCATGTCAGTTTGTCAACGATTGACCGCGGATCATGCTCATTGCGGTGTCGCGCGTATACAGGCCGGCTGGATTCCCATTTACCTGCCCATCATATAGGACGGAGGATATGCAGACGATGAGCTGGACATCATCGAGGAAGAGCCGCCGGCCGATAGGGGCCCCCCGTTGTAGAGCGAACTACCCCATGTACTGCTAGAAGGACTCGAGTAATTCGTCGTTGCATAGGGCGTGCTGGTACCGCTCGACATCGGAGAGACACCGTTGTACGTCATGCGGTTCAGACCGGGGGGAGCGGCCAGACCAGGAGGTGGGCCGTTAGCGGTCGTAAAGCCGTTTCCAGATCCTGCCATGACGCTGTTTATGCCTGCCATGGAAACAGTGCCAGTCTGGCCCGGCGTCTGGCCCGAGCGGACACCAAGCGGATTCTTGGAGAAACTCAACCGAATGCCACCCTTCACACTGTTGTGAAGAGGATGTCCATAAAGCTCATGCAACGCCTTCGTCGCAAACGACACGTCTTCGAACTCGACGAAACACATGGGCCCATTTTGCTTGGTACGGAAGCAAAGTCGCTTGTACCCTCGCTGCTTCGAGAACATGGCCTTGAGCTCCTCTTCCGACGTGTCGATCGGCAGATTGCCAACGTAGAGTGTATTGCACGGTGGGTTCTGATCCGCCGGGTTCACCGGCGGGAAGTTGTGGCGCTGGAAGTGCTGACTGCCGATCTGATAATTCATCGAATGGTTGCTGCTGGTCATCGTAGTTGGCGACATGGTGTTTCCATGCGCCGAGATGGGTGTCATGGCCGGATGACCGTATTGTGGCGCAGATGCGGATCCTGCCGAAGACGTATTTAGGGACAGGCTAGCCATCCGCGAGATGGGAAGGTGAGGAGCTGTAGCTCTGCGATGCGGATTGGGGCCATTCTCAGCATAAGCAACGGGGTCCTTGAGGAGCTCGCCCGTCTCGTCATCCTCAGCGGTGTCATGGCTAATCAAAGTTTTGCCAGAAATTCGCGTCCGCTCCGTCAGGTGGTGACCAATGGGCGATTGCGGAGAAAACAGACTGTGGTAGTGGGCACTAGACTCGGGGTTGGGCAGCTCGTTTCCTCCGTAGACCCCATTCATTGGGGGCGAGATCTTTTCCATAGATTGAAATGTGCCGTTGAAACGGGACGGCTGTGACGTTGCCACAGGGTTTGAAGTCGGCACTGGTGACTCGATGGGATATCGCCTAGACGAGGTGGGACTGCCGGATAGAATTTCCACGATCATCTCAGCATCTTTCGAGATAGACTTGCCATGCAACATTTCCTTGGCCTGCTGTGCCCCGGCTGCCGTCTTGAATTTCAACACCGCCGATCGAAATCCCGGATCTTCGGTGTGGTCTGGTGATAACATTTCCACGTCAACCAATTCTTGAGAAAACACGACCATCAATCGCAACTTCTCCTCCGTGGTATCGACGGGCAAGCGACGGATCAGGACTGACGCCACGGGCGCTGGCGTAGTCGCGTACGGGGTGCCGACGGGCTTGGAAGCCGGGTCGCGATCGAATGGGCTGAGCGGGAATGGCGATTGCGAAGATAAACCATTCGAGCGAAACGGTTGGGACTGCGGAAGGAAAGCGGGCGCAGCCATGGTGGTCTTGGATGTCAAATTGGTGGTTGAGGCGATTGAAGGGTAAGGACTTGCGCGACTTGACGTCAGTGCTGCGAAAGGCGACTTGGTTGAGGTATTCGAAGCCACGCCCAGCGTACTCTGGTCCCCGTTCATACTTTGCCGTGCATGCGACGATGTGGGAGGTTAGGATGCTGAGTCAAAGGCCGTGGGAACAAGAGCGACGATCGCGCTGATCAGAGGATGGCGGGTGCGGCCAAATCAGTGTGTCGCAGGAACGAGTGGGTTGATTCTGCTGCTGCGCAAACCTGATTTAATCAAGATCTCAGATAAATCGAAATCGAAATAAAACGAGGTCCGTATAAATGGGGCGGGCTATTTTAAATTCGGGCTGAGACTGCAAGAGAAAGGCGCCTTTGGTGAAAAAGGTGCGCGATAGCGATTCGACGCTGGTAAGGCTGTTGTTGTACTTGGTACGGGAGGGATTGGGTTGATCAGGCACTGGGCGACGACGCGACGGAGGGAAAAACGGATTCGTCGACGATGCGCTGCGATGGAACGTCTGCAGACGCGATAAGACAAGCGACGAGAGGATCGCAGCTGTCGGCTCAAATCTGACTGAAAAATAAAATAAAAAGTTGGGGGTTGGAGAAAGACGGGTTGTGGTGTGAAGGGAGAGAATGGGAGGGGGAATGCCTTTGTGCCTTTGTGTGAGAGACGAGCCGTGTCGACAGAGAGATGCGAAAGAAGGCTGCCACTGCTGTCTCGCTCTGGCGTGTGTCGGGATTCTGCACTCTTGGGAAGGGTGGGCAAGAACGAAAGATCAATGGTCAATGGCGAGTGGTTGAATTGTGGATCAGTAGGTAGGTAGGTAGGTAGGTACCTAGCTAAAGGTAGCTTGTAAAAGCCTGCAGCAATTACTCCCTCACAAGCGGGCTTACCATCACTTCATTGATCAAGCTCCCGTCCATCAAATGTGATAGAAAAACAGGCTATGTACAAGAAGTACAAGGCAAGTGGGAGCTCGGGACAGGCACGCGTGCACTAGCGCAGACATATGGGCAGCAGCAGCAGCAGCAGCAAACGATCCACCGTGAGCTGCACGCCTACAAATGCAATTGATTGCCGGGGGACCCAAACGTGGATGGTGAAATCATGTAGACTGTGGTCTGTGTCGCGCTGCAGCTATAGGTGGGAAGACTAGGTTATTACAGACAAGACTTGTTTACAAGGGGGCGGATTGATGACAGGCATCACTGTTAGTTGATCAATCTCTAGGTACCTACACATTGCGACCTGTCATCCGTCGCGCTCGCATTTGATTGGGAGGGCGCGAAAGGTGTATGTGGGACATTGGGGGGGTGGAGGGACATGTTGATGGGACGGACGGGCCCATGGCCCATGGTCAAAGCAGGACGTTTGGGTCGAGTTCCAAGCAACTCGAGTCCCACAAGGGAATTCGACCAGCTTAGCTTGTACACAACCTGTTGGGGGAACTGCCGGGTATGGATATCGACTTGGAGGCGGCTTGCAGCTGCTCAAGTGGTCCAGGATCATGGTGCATACAGCTTCAAGTAATCAGTACATCAAAAGTCGCTGGCTGGAAAAAGGCACGGGTCAACACCCCATGCGCGGGAGAGGCAGTGTTGGAATCAAGTCTGGGTGAGCTCTTGGAAGTTGAGCAACGTTTTTGCTCTGCACCTCTCGACCCAACTGGAATGCGTCAGAGTTGTATGATGAGCCTGGCCAGACACACAAAAGCTCTGCTCTTGGCTCGAGGGATCAAGCAAGATGCATCTCTAGGACCGACAGCCTGCTAACTAATTAACTAACCACCCCCCTCCCCCGTCCCCCCACCTCCATCAAAGCTACTGGTTTCGTGCCTTGATGCATGCTATCGCCCCAATCAGAGCAAAGTATGTTTTGGGTCCAAATGTTGGCGCAATGCAAAGGTCTCTCACACATTTCTTTGGTTGGACGTTGTCAAGTCGTCCTCTTCGCCCTGTCCATATTGGGATTGCTTGCTGCTACCACTCGACGGGGCTTTCTAGCCTCGCTTTCTCACGGCGCAAGCATTAACGACGTTGAATATCGCCGTGTTGACTCTTTGGTGACGTGATTATGAGCCAACTGAGGCCTGATGAGAGGAACTGCACCACCACCACCTTTCTAGTGACACCCTGTCGGCGAGTGAGTGGTTTCCTTGGGCCGGCAAGGAGCTCGATATGTCACAGGCATATCTTGGGTTGTATTCAGGGGTGTCGACCGCACAAGAGCTGTCACATTCAATGTTAGAGCTTGGAAAGGTCGACTAACTACATGATGGGAGGTTGTTGGCAGTTGGGAACCTTGCCAACACCCCGAGATACTTTGATGAGATGCCGACCAGACCACAGAAGGTTTAGGCCACTCCAGTGAGTGTACAGTGTGCAGTGCATACGGGCTTAGGTGAAACGGCTTTATTTGTGATTCGACTCGGCCGGTAGAATGCGGACTTGATGGTGTGGGAGTCCTCGGGGAGCTTGCACTGTTCGAAACGCCTTGCGAATTGCTTCTTATGTCTCGTTGAAAAGCCAAGCTCTCGACTGATAGACAGCTTTATTGACAAAACGTGTCACGGACCGGTGAGCAGGGATCCTCGAGAAGACGGTGTAGGGGACGTGCATTCGATAGGGCAATTGTTAATTGCGAGACCCGTAGCTTTTTGCAAGGATCCATTGGACTCCTCACCTTGGACACAAGATTCGCCAGTCATGTTACGTGGGTCTCGCTTCAAGTGCGCGAGACAAACATTTGGCAGCCACACTTGACAGTTCCATTTCAAGTTGGCACCGAATACCTATTGTATTCAATCTCAAGGGAAAGGAATTCATGGGAGGTGAACCGCATGCCTTGTCTGGCATAAAACGTCGAGGGTGTCCAGGTCTCCCATATGGCATAATAAGCACGCCATACCTGCTGCTAATGCACTGGGAAGTATATTCGGCCTAGAAAGTCTGTTTTCGCTGTAGGGCAATATCTTCCAGCGCGCAAATGCACCGCAGGAGAAGATCCACCGGGTGATACAGAAGGGTTTCGATCGCTTAGATCCTGTGCATAGCCATAGGTAGCAGTCGGGTTCACAATGACAATTAGAGCATCGTCGGGATTCATCGTTAGGTATCGGCACGGCCAACATATGTGACCTGTAACGACAGGTCTGGGAGGTTTCTCGGGGCCTCGACGTAAGCCGGATCAACATACATGCCCCCTGTACCATGTCTGTCAAGTCAGCATTTTAGGGATTCAGCAAGCCAACCAGCCTGCAAATGACCGGAGAGTCACATAGGCACCAGCACCATGGAATAAAGACATTTGCTCAACCCCAAACCAAGTTCTCGAGGGTTATCTTGGAAACTTTGGCTAACATCTGCTACTATTCCCAAGGCCCTCTCCACTTAAAAGTTAATTATTGTAAGTGCCAAGCGATCAAGCATGCAGCAGTATTATCCCGTCCGCTTCCCACCTGCACCTTTTTCAGCCTTAGCGCCTGCCGGCAATGGTCGGAGTTTAGACCCTCTTGAGAGGTACTCAAGTATCTAGGTACACAGGTACCTCAAACAGCGCCACTCCTCAAGGAAACGAGCCAACAGTATGGCCGATGCTCTACGGGAAGCTGCCCCTCACGAAAAAGGTCTCGGCGCCAAACCGATGCCCCTCCGTGCTGCATCACATCGAGAAGTCGCGACCCCCGAAAAGTTCCTTCCAAAGTCGGTTTTCATAAGCTGGGGCGCCTCGGATGTGCACACAGCTGTGTATCTCGGAATTTCCCACGACGTACACGCCTATGGGGGCTCCCAATAAGGTCTTATTCCCCGGAAGGCTTAAACATCATCGATATCATCGAGATAGACGGCGCATATCATCGGACATTCCCGTTGCTGTTAATAAAGTATTGCCTGCGTGCCACCGGTTACTCTAAGCCTCATGTGCTCACGACGCTGGCTGCCTCTACTTCGCCTTTGCATCATGCGCGCGCATTGCTTCGTCATTAGAAATCTCCATGAGTTGACACTGGACTGGCCCTGTAAGCTTAAACCACCCATCTTGGGGTACAGCCCGTTGCTGCTTTCCCATCGTCGCAATCAATTACCCATCTAAGCTGCACTTCCAAAACCCAGGTTCTCGTCGGAAGCGTTGTCAACTCGTCAAGACTTATGTCATCACCGGCCTTAGCAAGCGGGATACAAGAGAAGGGACCTCTTCCGATTAGCGTACAGTACAATACGCTTGTCAAGTTTTGAACTACTGCTGACCCGATGGCTAGCACTTGGCATCTATCGTTGGGGATTTCGAGAGTTGTGTTCTAATCAATAGCCGCGCATTTCCTACAATGCCTCCGCTCGACTCCCTTACAGCCAACCAAACATATTTTCAATAGTTGTTGACCTGTAGTTGACTGCGAAGCGAGACCTGTGTCTGTTATTGGTTATACGGTCATGGACACGTCAGAACGTATAGTCAGGGAAAGGAGCACATGAGCTTTGCACGATGCGGGAACTATCCGCGCAGCTTGAATCCTTGTCGCTTCAGGCCGGAAAGCACAATCCCTGAAGCGATGGGGCCCATGTTTGAATGCGCGTGGGCTTTTCTTTCCATCGGTATTCCTCCATGCCGCCAGGGCTCGTTGATCGACGAATTTCACCATCTTCTGTTCTGGCAACATCATCACAGCTCAACGGCTACCACAACGAACTGCACCTCTTGACTTAACGGAAACCGCCCGCCTATATATCGTTACGAGACCGAGCTGGAAATATCTTCCTTTCACGCAGTACTCAACCCTCACCGCTAGGTCCTTCTCGAGGTAAACAAATTCAAACTAGCAACAAAAGTTTGCTAATCTATCAGCCCGGGTGTGCTAGCCCTGAACCTATACCGTTGATTGCATGTGCGCTTGGCCTCACTGGTGACCATGAAGCCACGCTCCCTGCTAGCGTAGGATGACTTCGGAACACTCAGAGCCACGCTACGTACACAACCCAGCAATGTGTGTCCGAATTGGATCTCTGTAGGTCGTTGTACGGGAAACTTGATCCCGACTGGGGTCATCGTTGACAGCCTGAGAAACCCGACACAAGGTTCCAAAGTCAAATTGTGCAATGTTGGCCTGTGAAAGAGAAGGAAAAAATGATGGCACAGACACAGCGTCTCAGTAAGTCATGCCAGCTGTCATGTCGTCCCACGATTTCGTAAACATTCATCACAACCCGATAAAGTTGTCCTCGGAAGAGGGACATGCCAAGCTGGCAAGGCTGGTGTGACTGGAACCCCCACGCACACACGCACACGCAGACAACTCAGGGAAGTAGGACTTGTTTCAAAGATGACGGGGTGCGCTACGCTGCGGCGCCTCTTTGACACCATGAGTGTCGAGAAGCGCCTTCAGATGACATTCTGACTTTCATGCCCGGCTCTTACCGCAATGAATCAGGCCAATCCACGTTTTGCGAGTGACACCAAGGAACCCTCTTTCCTTTCTATCCCAGTTGGCGGCCCTGTTGCAATGCTGCAAAGCCGCACTCCGGAGGACCGGCTGTCGGGTTAGGCACTGGCTACCTCCCGAAATTGCTTATTCAGTTTGGCATCTTAGCAGCTGATTTGGCGTCCTGCCTACTTCGGTGTAGTCGCATTGGCAAAAGTTGCCCATGAGCTATCTATAGCACTTTCATCAGTTTGGCTGTAGACAGTAGGATTTTCGACATGGTTGCGCAGACCGGCCCCCCCCTCCTTCAAATTTCCGTGGCTTGCTTGAACTTCCCAATGCAATGGAGAGCCCTTGTCTGTGCAGTGCAGTCAAAGTGAGATGTAGCTGATCAGAGTGGCGTTTAGTAGCTCCGGCACTTTATCGCTTCTCTCCTAATCGAAGTAGTCGGCAACAAATGCAAGTCAGATACTCCTTTGAAATTTTACAGAAACATTGCCGGTTTCTAGAATGACGGTAACATGCATTGTCGCAAGATCACGGGCAGGCTCTCGTCTCTCGTCGCTGGCCTTCTGTCACCAATCTTGTATTCGAACTTTGCGGATGGCAACTTATTCCAGCTGCTGGCTGAACAGTGTATTGGGTTCGAACGAAATGGACTTTCGCATCAGTAGCTATTACCACACTGGTATGCATTGAATTTCCATGTGGTGCAGATAGTCTCGTCTGGTGAGGATGCTAGCCTCTCTGCCCCGCTCCTTGAACTTAGCTGTGTATGCACGCTCAATAGATCCAACGATAATATCTTTGCGGGTGAAAAGCTCATGGAGGATCAATTCTGGGGTGGGTATCAAGAACCATACTAGATGGCTATAGATAGCGAGCAAATAGTATGCCTGCAAGTGCTAAGGGAACAAAGCCTTGGAAGGACTTTTGAGTTCAACGATAATATAAGAAGAATATTTCCCGGTCCCGAGAACCCAGCAAGCGGTCTAGGTGCCAGCAATTTGCTAGGCTCGAGCACCGTTTGTCCTCCACGAGGAGACACCGCTTACCTTCACGACTATTTCAACTGCAGCCGCCTCCTATTGACTAACTTTGACAGGCTCATTGCAGAGGCCACGCTGATTCAGCAGTTTGAATATCCCCATCATCAATCGAAGAGTTACATCTCAGGTAGCCACTAATACTTGGTGCATCTGGTATTCATTCCGGGCCAGCCAAAGGTGGATCTCGGTGGATATCTGGTCCCAGTGGGATGCCGTTCTGGCCGGACTATAGAACTCCATTCACTAATGCCTAAGAGGACCAATAGTATTCAGTCACTTACATACCCAGAAGCTCTTTGACCACTGGTAATAACTGGAACCTCATGGTTTCGGATAAAATGGACTCTTGCCTCGGTAGATCTGCAAAATGGAGCATCAACTCGAACTACCTCCAAATATCATACCCACACCCCGGATTCTTCCCCCCGGTCTTTGTCCCACAGAACCCAGGCTGCTATGCACATACCTCGGTAGCTTCCCCGCATAACCACACTTGCGAGCACAGCTCCTTCCGGATGTTTTACGCGTCTAGCCTCGGTGTAATAATAAGAAATTGTAAAATAGGATCAGGATTGCTCGTTCTTTGCCACCGTACTTACCGACCCTTCCAGTATATCACGACTTACAACTTACAGTGATCCGGCCAAAAATGACCGCCAAGCCCACAGTACCCTTCTCGGAGCCGGGGTGGCTCACCGGCCTCCCGAGCCCCATCTTCGCCGACTCGCACCGGCGTTGGCAAGCCGCCATCCGCCCCTTCATCGACACTCACCTCCACCAGCACGCCATCACCTGGGAAAAAGCCGAGACATTGCCCCCGCACGTCTTCTCCGACTTCGCGGCCGCGAACATGTTAATTCCCGCCCTGCCGGCACCCCTCCCCGTGACCTGGCTCAAGCGTCTCGGTATCCACACGCTGCTCGGCGGCCTGAAGGTCGAGGACTTTGATTCTTTGCACGGGGTCATCTTCGCGGATGAGATGGCGCGGAGTGGGCTGGCGGGGCCGCCGGGGAGTCTAACGACGGGGATGGCGTTTGGGGTGCCACCGATTGTGAAGTTTGGGAGCGAGGTGTTGCAGGAACGGGTTTTACCGGCGCTGTTGAAAGGCGAGAAGAGGAGTTGTATTGCGATTACGGAGCCGGATGCGGGGAGTGATGTCGCGGGGATTACGACGACGGCGGTTCGGAGTGGGTGTGGGGGGTTTTGGATTGTTAATGGGACGAAGAAATGGTGAGTGAGTTGCGTCATTTTAACTAGCTGCAATGCGTCGGGATCATAGATAAATAGATCAGACTGGGGGTTTGGACAAGGGACATGATGGAATTCTGACGACAGTATAAACACAGGATCACCAACGGCATCTGGACCGACTACGCCACCATGGCTGTTCGCACCGGGCCCCCAGACTCCGGAGCAGCCGGTCTCTCGCTCCTTGTCGTCCCGCTCATGCATCAACCCGGCGTCACCATGCGCCGCCTCAAAGTAGCGGGGCAAGTTTCTGCAGGAACAACGTACATCGAGCTCGATGACGTCAAAGTGCCTCTCGAGAACCTCATCGGCGAGGAAGGGATGGGCATGCGGTACATCATGACGAATTTCAACCACGAGCGGCTCTTCATCGCGGTAGGTGTCACGCGGCAGGCCCGTGTTGCCCTGGCCGCGGCCTTTGAATATGTGCTGAAGCGGGAGGCGTTTGGGAAGCCGCTTGTAGAGCAGCCGGTGGTGAGGCATCGGTTGGCGAGGGCCGGGGCGTTGCTCGAGGGCCAGTCGGCATGGGTTGAGCAGTTTGGCTTCTTGATGACAAGGATGGAGAAGAGCGAGGCGGATCGGGAATTGGGTGGGATGACGGGCTTGTTGAAGGCGCAGGCGGGAATTGTGTTGAAGGAGTGTGCTGACACGGCGGTTTTGTTGTTTGGGGGGAATGGGTATACGAGGAGTGGGCAGGGGGAGCTGGTTGAAAGTAAGTTGCAACCGTCATATCCCTTTTCCAGAGTATGTGAAATAGTTTCTGACCTTGATTGAAGTGCTACACCGCGAGGTTCCTGGCGCCAGGATACCTGGCGGCTCTGAAGACGTGATGATGGATCTGGCGGTGCGTCAGCTTGTCAAATTGTACAAGGCTAAAACGAAGGCTCTCGAGGCTAGCTCGAAGCTTTGAAAAATTGCGGAAGAGTCACGACGCATGACAACTAATGAGTCTGGAATATGCCGAGTTCAATAGTCTGCATCATTCCAGGGATGCGGTTAGTTTAGTTGGGGTAATCGTTCAAGCGAAGCCAATCCGTGACCGCATGGTACTTCTAAGTAAACGTGGCATGCCTTATTCGACTGATGCATTTTAGTTCTAGCTATGGTCTTGACACTAAGACTTCAACAAGAGCCGAAAGGTCGATTTCGATGGAAACGTTCCTCTGCCGATATAGTGTTGCCCTAAGACTTTCAGAGCCAAAAGTATCTAGTACCATAGGTGAGCCTTTGCTGCATGAAGTTTCGAGTATCTATTACCATATGGAATGATTTCACAGAAAGCCATAAGAGATTGGGCTGCGAACAGGCGCGTGACTCTACCACCAGCCGCAGAGACGCCCAGCAGTAATCATGTCCAACAATACAAGGAAGTATCCAATCACGGGCATGACAGAATAAACGGCGCACCTCGAGTGGAGCAATGTGGTATGGCCCGATTTTCTAGTTTAGTAAACTGTAGGGTGACATCTTGTGTCATGGCGTCAACTCTCACATTGAGCCCTGCGTTCCCAGCCATCAGAGTTGGAAATGAAACTCGATGCAAGGAAAATGAATACCACATAATTCTACCGGCGGCAAACCCGAAATATGCGAATCAAATAATGCCATAAGAAGAATTCCAAAACAAAGGACTCCAACCAACCTAGCTTCAAGCTCAGTCGCCACACCTGGGTTTCCCTCGTTCTCCGGGGTATCTCATTTGTAATATACGCCTAACAGGCCGTCCTGTGTGGATAACATGGGGTTACTCGAATCATGCCTGAACCACCGAGGGTACTGTTTCCAACTTTTCATCCAGGCACTCAACTCGAGGGCTTCATTTACCGCGTTAAAGCACAGAGGTAGGTAGTTCCAGTTGAGTCGCTGTTTCGTCTCAAACGCTGCATGCAATTTGGCCGATCGGGGAATGATGGAAGCGCTTATGGTTTCCTGTAATACAATGCCATACTGATGGGGACGTTCGATGATGCCAGCGCGCACCTTGACTCCTGATGTAGAAAACTGAGGATCAGTTTCCGTCAACAAATGCTGCATGTGCGGTTCGAAATCAGAGTCCCCGTGCGTGTTGTGCCACCGTGGAAGCAAAGGGACGGCTTCCACGTCGCTTCTTTGGCTGAACAAAGGTTTGTTCCTGTTAGGGTCGAGGGATACGTAAGGACATGCCGCTACCGAGTAATATTGTGTCCCGTTGGGGATAGCGAGGGGGCCTCGTCCGTGACTTTGGCCTTTTAGGTCCATCCTCGAGTTCGTCGGTTTGGGCTTCGACGGAATTGCAAATAACCGCAACAAGTCAATGAACAGTAATGCTTCTGTATTGGGGCATACCGAGCTTTGGTCTTCCCTTGTAGCCCCATCGCCGGTTTCTTCAGAGGACAGCTCAAAAGTATGCAAAGGCCCTCGCTGTGCTTCATCCGAGGCACATTTCAGTATGAATCTCGACACATATCCATGAGTGTGATTGGGTAAAATGAACTGCTCCCATGTTTGGATTGAGTTCCAATCAGGTACCCATGAAGCCCATGAAGGAACGGGCACCTTTGCTTTGATGCTGGCGGCAAGGCATAAAAACCAGTAAGTGGTCTCCTCAAAAGACAATTAGTGAAGAATCGAATTCAGGTGTGTTGGCTGGATAATGAATAGTCAGGGTTTATCCGGGGCCAACGTGTTACTCTCATGGATCAGGCTCAGGATAACAAAGAGTGATCTCGCAAATCAGCCGAATGGGACTTCGAGACGAATTTCAGAGCTTCACGTGTGTTTTTAATAAGGAGACTTCACTGAGTCACAGGTTGAAATCAAGGTGCTGCAGTATCCTCCAATTTCAACTTGATGATTACACTGCGTTGAAAAGTTCTATCATGGTAAAGTTAGCTGATGGGCCAATGAAGATGGGCCGACAAAGACTGATGTCTCCATCTTCACCGCCCAAGTGTTCCTCACACATAGTTTCACACTGTCTAGTTGTAGAATGCTAGCATGTATTGGGAGAGGATAAATTTCTGGTTAGAAAGGCAAGATATCAAACTGTATGGCACTGCCTGCTAACACTTACTCTGATGAACAGTGTGGGAAGTATGTGCGCGGTCTTTACATGTGATTGCTGTATATTGGCTTTACGTGGTCTACCTGTATAGAAATGGTCTACGCAGTGAGAGAAGACATTTCACAGGATGAAATGAAATAATTAGTCAATAAGGCGCCTTTTCATCACATAATATTTATATATGATGTTGGTAACATACTCACAAACCACTATGCTTGCTTCAATACATATTGGAAGGAAGCACATAGGTGCTAACAATCTGCATATCCCACAGTGGTTTAGCATGCACTTGCACTTCTAAATCTTGCTTTGAATAATGGGGAGGCATGAAGGAAGAGCATGGTTATCACGTGGTTAATGTGTAGAATACTGCCATCGAATTTGAAGTGTTTGGGTAATAATCACATGATATTTAATAGTTGTATTCATTTTAAGAAAAGAGACACGTAAAAGGGGGTTCACCAGCCTGCTTATAGGTTAAATTAGAACGTCCTCAAGCATGCGAAATCTACGCCTGTAGAGTCGACCACTTCTACAATGATGAGTGCGAACCAGGGGGTTCCATTGCGATATTCCTTTTGGGATGGTATCTAAGCATCTAAGCTGTGATGAGCTAAGTCGAAAGGAAAACGTATACAAAATTGCAGCCGCCCCAGTCAGAAGTGAAACCCAGATCCAGGGTGGCAGTCAATTGTTGAACTTCACCAGTATGTACCCCTCCAGTTGGTGGGCCATTTGAGGAGGATACGACTATGACCTGCTTGTGGGTACTAGTTCAGAGTACTTGTACAACCACACCTCAGAGGAAATCTGCATCTCCTTTTCGACCCTATTATACTTATCCTTTTTCGATCTGAATCAGTGCCTAAAAAGACTCATTGGTTTTCGACTACAAAAGAATTTGCCATTTACGCTGATAATGTCTGCCTTGAAAAAAGAGTGGGACTCTGTGTGCTTGGACTTCACCGATCTGGTTGAGGCCCTTGACCATGTCTCTGATTCCCTCGACCTGGTGGAGGATGAGGTCCTGGAGGATGAGGTCCTGGTCCATGTGTCCGATTCGTTTGGTTCGTTGTACTGACCCCAGAACCCGTTCGGCATATTTTTGTGTGTTGAGTTGAGTTTCCTCGGCTCGTAGTCTTTTGAACTAACCCTTGGTCTGGAACTCTTGTGGTGACCTTTGTCTCTTTTCTCGTTGAAATTTTCGATTGTTTTCCTTGGTGAGTTCTCTTTCGTCGATGTCTTATTACTTGTCGAGGCTTGTTTAATCGGACTTTTCGTGCGCCTTTGATCTGCTCCAGGGTCTCTACGGGTCTTGGACGTCTTCTGATGTCTTAGGGGTGTGGCCTCATCATAGGCTGAACTCGAAGAATCCGGATATTTGAAGTCATCAAACTCAAAAAAGTCCTTTGGATGATAGTGCTTCTCCCCGAATAGAGTTCTCAGGCCATTACGACCTCGTTGGCTTGAGCCCGTGGACATAGTTCTCGAGGCCTGAAGTTCATCGGACAGATTGAGGGTAGCCAGACTTCTCAGGAGTGCCTTCTCATCCTCTTCCCCTGGTGAATACGAGTACTTGAAGTCGTCCAGCTCGTAATATTGCTCTGACTGTCGCGGGAAATCTTCATAATAAATAACGTGTTGTGGTGGACTGTACTTCGGTGGATCGTTGCAAGATCGCGATCGTGGTGCCGTGGGGCTGCGCTGTGAGTCCTCGAGCTCGTGATATTGCTCAGCGAGGTGGGGGTACTCTTCCTGAAAGCGTACATTCTTTGGGCGACCATTACGGTATCGAAGTATCTTCTCTTTTCCATGCATGTCCGGCGAATGATGGGGACACCTGGGATGCTTCGCAGTTTCCTGAGGCCATGTATCCATTGAAGGCGTCGGTGCTGCTGACACCACTTCTTTCTCATGCGAGTCTGCATACATATCATTCTGTACCTGCTGCATAACTGAGTCGATGGTTGCAGGGTGGAGTGGTCGGTAAGGATGCCGCTCATCCTCGATCTCACTGGTGAGGCAGAGGCCCTCAGTGCTATGGTGTACTTCATTGGCAAGACACAGACCTTCATTGTCAGCCTGTCGCCTCGACCTGTGTTTCTTGCTTTGTGAGCTTTGCTTTGCGAGGCCGATGTATCGTCCATAGTCAACAATGCCGCCTGGCCAGCGGCCGAGAGCGAGGGCGAGCGACTGCGCGGACATGAAGGGTGCACTGTAACGTTGAGTTCATGCAGTAAAGGGCTTGAGAAAAGTCACCAAAGACGACTCTGATAAACTCAGGAAACAGCAGCCATGGTTCAACCTCATGAGATATCTACACCAAGATCGCAAGAGAGAAACCAATTGCAGCGGATTTCCCATCTTTATTGACGTGGTATCAAAGAACTACCAGCAGCTGTGCACACTGAGCGCAATAGACGGTAGCGGATGTGTTGGTAAGGAATCCAGTGCTATCCAATTCTGTTTTCAGCGATGTATAGACTCGAAATCATCTGGTGTTAGTCGAGTGCGCTTTCTTTGTCGACGTCGCTGCATGGCTGTTTTGGGAAGGGGCCCATTCGCTAAATAAAGAAACACAGCACCTGTTGGTGTTGCATCGAGGGAGGATGGCAATTTACAGCCAACAAACCCAACAAAGACCCGACGAGTATGAAATTCTCCGATTACTTTACAATCCATATAACAGTCGTCTGTCTTCCATTTCGAAATCACTAGCCAGCTAAAGCTATATATATTCTGTGCCCTGATCACTGACTCGTGTGTTAGATTTACTCAAATCACTTCACTAAAATCTGTAAACGTCCCTGGTAAGTAGATGGCCGAATAAACGGCAAACCAAGGGTGGAACAATGTGGGATGGCTCGATATTCCAGTACATCAAAGAGACGTAACTTAAATATTTCGCCTGGGTACGCCGTGAAGCAAATCCATTGTGACAGTCCCTACTGAAGGCGACAACGTACTCTTCGTTTGCGAGGAACCGCCCGAGATTTTCTGACTAGATGTTGTCGGTTGCTCCTTGGGTGTTGGAATCCTGTATTTCTCCTGGGGTTCTTGGACTTCTTGGAACCCCCCTTATTTGTTCGGGTCAAGCACCTTCTCGGAGCCTTTCGTCTGTCCGTTCCTATTCTTGGCACCCTTTGCAGACTGATGGGATCGGCTGGCATTGGTTTTCTTGGGTTTCTCATCGACAACAGAACTATAATACGGGGTATTATCTTTCCTACTTACAATCAATGTTCCTGGGGCTGGCCTGCTCGTAGAGAGCTGCTGTGCAGGAAAGCTCACCATGCCGCCCGGCCTTTGTTCATAAGGGTAACTTTCTGTATCAGTCCTATCCTGGGGGAATCCTCCTAGTGTTAGCTGGAGCGTAATTGGTGATAGCCAGGGAAGTTCTGTCTATCCAGCATGGCTTTTTTGAGCGAATTTTCTTCCCGTTAACTGCTATGGTCTTGTCCCCTGAAGGATGCCGCTGGAGGCCAATAGCTTGTTGATGGACTGGTGTTACGAAGGTGGCTTGTGAGAGTGAGTCGAGTTGGTTTCAATTGGTGATTCTTCCTCCTTGGCTTCCTGCTCTGCTTCCTGTCCTGATCCCTCTTCCGATTTCGCTTCTGATCATGATAGCCTTGCGAATGTTTATTTGCTGACTAAATTATCTCGAGCACAGTCCTTGTCCATACTGACTGGCTTGGCTTCGTAGGGAGTATCTTCTTCCAATGTATTGCCATCTGAATTGGGCCGTTTAGTAGTGGACTTGTCTCTAGCCTGGCTCTTGAGTTACACGGACCATTCCTGACTGAGTTGAAAGGTTGATAGGCGGAGGTTATATCAACTTCCAAGCCAATCAATAAGCCAAGAGAAATGTTTGAGAAGACTTGGATCCCTGAAATGCGAAGCCAGAAGAAATATGGCCAACCCCAAGTCTCTTTTTCTCGTTCTTCGGGTCTTGCCGCCGGGAGGAGCTGCACGTCAACACTGCAGGCCCTCGGGCCCGAGAAGCTCATCTTGTAGAAACGCCGTTGCCGGTGATGCATATTAACTATGGCCAACAAAGCACCTTGCTCGCATCGTTGTTTTACGAGAGTTACATGAATCAAAGAGATGGCCTTTACCACAGCCTGCGCAGACTATTGCCATGTGTGACCCTGGTCCTCAAAATGCCACCCTTGATTCCGCTATCTGTACCAGCATCGACTCTCGCTTCCAGCCAATGTCCTTGGGTTCTGGCACTCCCAGTTGGAAACAACGGGATGTCCTACAGATTATCACCCGCTCTAGTATCGTTGGCTACAATGCGCCAAGTCGAGCTCTATTTCTTTCTGCTTTTTATTTTATTTTTTGTACCTACTTTCGAGCTCGTTTGGATCCCTAGTCATCACGAGAATTCATGAAAGACTCTTGCTTTGCTTCTCGCACCTAAACCTCCTTCAGCCACTTTCTCTTCCTTCTCCTATGCCTTCCCCCTGCTTCTCTTGGCTTTCCTTCATGGTACTGTGCCTTATTTACGATCGCGTTATGCTGAAAAGTATGGTCGAATATGATGATGGTAGAGGGATATTGCTTGAGAGCGTATCATTCTGGTGCGATGGGTGTGCTAGACATCGCCCTCGGGCACTGAAGTTTACGATGTGCGCAGGTAAAGTTGGTTGTATTGATCTGTGAAAATACTTCTTGCGTTTGTGGACTACAGCTGTAGTCGTCAAGATCGCCATAGCTCCCAGTGCTCCGGTCACGCCCTCTGGTTCTTCGTGGGGTCAACTCCCTCCAAAGCGGCCAGGTCCATGGAATGGGAAGCAGGATGTGGGATAAACCTGATGCTGAGGTTATGTCGATATGAAGGGCACGAAGTCTGCCGGCGATACGAAATGGCTTTCCATGTCTCGAGGTAAGATGCGGAGATTCCGTATCTGCACAATTGGTGTTGTGACCTGTATGAGTATATGAATGTTGGTAACTTCAAGCTCTGGACTAGGCACAGTAACAGTGAAGTGATCTACGTCTTCCCACTTGGACACTGGAGGTTTCAACTCTGATGGACTTGCATCTTGGGAGGGCTGAAGAGTGTAATGACGGCCGGGAAAGCTGTTTCTTCTCATCCGCCTTAACTATGTTGTCGCAATTCATTGCGAGGTGTGTAGGTTGGTCTTGGACTCCTTGACAAGCTCAATCAAGCTGCTAAGGTATTAGCACGCTGGAGCCAAAGCTGAAGTCGAGAAGAAGATGAAAAATCGTGAGGCGCAGCCCTTGAACCTCTTGGTACGCAATGCCCACGACGCAAGAAGTTGTAATTGGGAGCTGTGGAGTCATTTGCGGAATTGACATTACGTGAGTCTTCGTAGCTGTCTACATAGAAGCATCTGGAGAGCCACATTGCCCGATCTTGGAATATGGGGTTATACATCGAAGAGTCTAACATCATCCGATTCATCTGGTACTCTGCGCATTTCCCCAATTTTGGTGGTGCAATGCGAAGACAAGATGAAGCGAGACGGCGGGAGAAAACGAGAGGTGCCGCTTCAGGGTAGCATCTCCCAAATTGGAGTGGAATTGACCAAGACGATCTGCAAACCGGACAAAACCCCCCACCTCCACTGCAGCGTGGGTGACGCAGGCCCTTGGTACTTTTGCTTCAGCCTAGCGGGCTGTCACGTCTCTGGTCGCTTGTTGACACTTGAAAGACCCTCCCTTTCAGCTGGCCACACGGATAGTGCGGAGGACAGGGGTAACTGTCTGATACATACTATGGTATTATGGGTAAGTTTTCTATTGCATGTTTGTACCGTGCCCCACCTCGGCACGTGCCAACTCTTCGCTACCTGGCTTGAAGGGACCTTCATAGCTGTCTGAATATGATTAAGAGAAAACGTTGTAGTAGTGTGAATTTCGGCTTTCGATTTACCACCGTCGAAATATAGGGTTCGAATTCGTTGGCGATCCGCTTCTGTAAGGTGTTTAGTCCCCATTGTAGTTGCTGAATACGCGATAATTAGGACGCGTTAACAGCAAGTTGGAATCAGAGGTGGAAGTACCTTTTCGTTACCATTAGTAGGCTAGGCAAGAATCAGTATAGCGTTACCTTGACAGTGGTCCACGGGTACTTGTCAAGGGGGTGAAAACTTTGGCCTGATACCGTAGTACGCCAAGTGACCTCACTCACAAAGGCTCAAAGAGTTGTCGTCTGACCTGATCCGACGTCGTCACCTTCACTTCTATCGAGTCATTCACCTTCACCCACCTTCTCCAACTATTGTCCAACAAATTCCAACAAATTCCAACAACTCTCCTTCTTCTTTCTTTGTATCTTCCCACAACTCAAACCTAAATAATTTCTACTGCAGAAACAAGACGTTCCAAGATGCAATTGACATCACTTTTAACCGCTGCGGGTCTGGCGGTGTCCGCGACCCACGCTTTCCTACTCCCATTTCCTGAATCGACCACCGAAAGCGACGTCGTCAACACCCTTCCCGTTCCCTTCAACACCGATGTTGCACTTGCTAGCACTGTCGGTGCCCGAAGTCTCGATTTGAACTGCCCCGGATGCCCGGTGCATGTCCACCACAAGGGCAAGGATGGAAAGGCCAAGATGAAGACGGACATTCCGAGTCATCTGCAGCTGGACTTCAAGATTGACCACGCGTATTCCGGCGATCGTCTGATGCTGAACGGCTTCGAGCTGTACCCTCATGCAGATCCCACGAGCAGTACCCTCGGCGCCAAGCTCCTCCCAGATATGCCGCACCGACAATACGGAAAGCACCGACCGGGCCACAAGCAACACGAGGCCGAACCCGACTCCCTGGGATTTGCGCTTCACGTGCAGCCTGTCGCTAAGAGCACGGAGAACCTGGAGCTGATCCTGGTCAACCTTCAAATCATCGAAGTCGGCAACGTCTTTATTGATGGAATCCCAAATGTCGAGCTCAAGTTAATCAAGTCACCCGAGGGCGGCCTGATGATTGGTGGTATCCAAACTACGGCATCCGAGACGACGCAAAAGACGCCCATGGACAAACAGGAGGAATGCACCACGCTTCTCTGCAAATGGCGCGCAATGTTCATGCAGCAGATTGCTCATCTTCGCGCAAACAAGCACTGTGGTGGCCGTCCCGGTCAGCAGGTTGGTCACGTTGAGGGTCACAGACGTCCTGGTCACCACAACATGCACCAGGGCCACCGAGCCAGCTGGGCCCAGCTCTTTAAGAACATTGGTGCCCACATTCTCCTCCCCATCGCTGTTGGCATTGTCGCTGGTGTCACCGCTAGCATGTAAGATCAACCACTTGCTGCTCCTAGTACGAATAAAAGCTAACGCTATTTCTTAGCCTCGGTATGATGGTTGGTACTGCCATTATCTTCCTGTGGCGCACCTTCGTCCGCCCTGCTGGACACCGCCGTCACCACAGACACGCGCACTCCATTCACAAGGCTGCCATCAAAGAAAATGCCGCCGATGATGAGAAGTCTGGTTTGATGGCCCACCAAGACGTTGATGATGTTGAGGCCCCTCCTGCCTATGTAGAGGAGGGTCTCGTTGCGGACAAGAAGCCCGAGAACGATGCCTAAGTAATCCCTAGGATTAATCTCAATTGGCAAACTCTATTGTATCAATCTAAAATGAGCTCAAGAGTTGGGACGGATATCCCAGCGATAGCTTCCCCCTGTGTCATCCGGTAAAGTGAATGTGCATTTGGCACTATCAGAGAATGAGTCGATAACGGTTGATTGTGGTATGATGTGGATCACTTTCCTTTGCATTTGCGGTCTCTATGTGGACTGTACTGGGCACTTGCGCAAATACCCACGTTCCTTCCGATTGATATCCTTCACCAATTCATCAAGTTATCAGTGGTTCCACTTAAGCATTCACTTGTGCGCCTCCTGCACGTGGGCTTTGTGAAAAAAAAAAACTATATATTTTGGCACGCCGGGTCAGTGACAACTTGTTCTCACTTTTGATAGGGTGAAAAGCTATCGATACTACACTGCAATAATAGATTTCTTATGTGAGAATGTATGAGCCTGGCTCAGGATAGCCTGTTCGTTCCCAAGTTGTTCCCACTTTTTGTATTGGCCACGCATGCTGACTTTGACTTACAACAGAACAACCGCCTGGTCAAAACAGTTAAGTAGAATTCTACTCGAGACTTGAACTCGGTCCAGCAAACCACCAGTACACAGCATTCATAGACAAGGGGGATATCTAGACGTGGATAAAGGGGCCTAGTGTACACTAATTAGGGGCCAACGCGTTGATCAAATCTGTGATTGTAGAGTTGAGCAGCCAATAGATAGCCAGGGTCGGCAGTCTGTTCATGGACATAATAAAGGAAGTGATGCTTGAGTTAGGAAAGGTTTAGCTTCAAGCCAACGAATGCACGGAACCAATCGAGGACCGCATTCCTCGCAAGCTGAATGGAACATGACAAGTCCAGAGTCTACAGGTAGTGATAGCGGAGCTGCGTGTCTGTACTCTGTGGGCTACAATGTTCAATTAATTTGTATCAGATGCCTATGATGTAGAATAATTGTTACAAGTCAGGAAAAAAGCATCCCAAAAAGCAAAATGTAAGTGAATCACCGCCCATACGCTGTTTCAAAAGAAAAGTAACGCCGAGTATGCATATGGAACCCGATATGGTGGGAAAACTCTGAACTGATTCAACGCCACCTGATCTCTCCATGGCTATGAATCAGTTCTCGCTAAAGCAGGGATTAATCTAAAATATAAGGCTCAAACTAAGTCCAGCACGTAGCTATCCCTGATATGTCATATACTACCCATTTGACGTAATGCCCGAATAGAAAACAGCCAGAGGCATAATCTCTACACAGATATGGCTTCAACAATGGTCTACTATCTAAGCTGCGCATTACTTCACGTAGAGGTGATATATGGGGCTTTGATTGTCCACAATTCCACCCGCAATATGTTGGTTAGTAGAGTATTGGAGCAGGAGGCATGGAGCATATTGTCATCTACCCAAGATGTATAAGACTTCACATATGGATATTTTCATGTCATATATCTTACCAGAGTATTAGTCCCTCCATGTATGTTCACGATGGTGCCACTCTTTCTGTCACAGCGGCATTTGTGATTTCCATTAATGTTCCCTCAACCCTCTATTCTCCGAGAAAAACAAAAACCACAAAGAACCAAATCATAATCTCTCATTTTCTTGGCTTTCTCTATAGTCAATAGACCAGATGATAGACCCTATGCTCTTCTGATAAGCCGAGGATGTGTTGCCTACATCATGAAGACGCCTTGTTAACATCTGGACTTGAAGATCCAAGTCGTCGCTAGCCATCTCTGGGATTTAGGCTTCTTCCAAGAAGACAGAGCTGGCAAAAGCTAACATGTAAAGTATAAATAATTCATCCTGTTAACACACAGGTTGATATCGCTTTTTCGTAATTGTGTCCTTTGACATGATTTCGCACCACCTCTGAACTTCCATCGAAATCTGCATCCGTGACCTTTAGTTCCATCCTATCCCTCCTTCCTCAATGATGCAGTTAAATAGCGGTTAATAGATTGATTTCGGCTGAGCTGCTGAAAAGATCTTGTGTACACGGCCAACTGTATGCCACAGGGTCCGAAGTGGAAATGCGTTCATGTCGGTGGAAGAAAAAGGTGCTCAAACACGGCAAACTATCTCGTGCTCCTCAACTATCATGATTGTACCAGGTTAGTATATATCCCAGACGAAATTAATGCACGTGAGAGGGATGACGGAGAAAGGAGAATAAACTCACCACTATCTCGCCCCGAACGACCCGCACTCCATCCCCACGAAGCCGGAACCGAGCGCTCCTGCCCATCTCCATCCGCCGACGACGTACTATCCTCATCCCGTCTGGTTGAGTACCCAAGCCCAACCTCGGTCTCACTAGAGTTAACACTCCTCCTCTCATCCTTAGGAGGCGGGACGGGCAGCCGCTGCTCAGCCCAACGTCCTCCATTCACATCCTCTCCTGCAGTAACAGTAGTGATCGTAGTCGCCGACCGCGAGTGCCCCGAAAACGAAGTGGTCGAAGCACCCGTCTCCATCCGCTCATGTGCCGACCTTGCCCCTCTACCTGCAGCAGCGCGGTTTCGGCGAGCACGCCAGATGAAAAGGCCCAGGACTGAGAGAAGGACGATGAAGACGACGCTGACGATGATGCCGATCTCGGTTCCCGTGACGATATGGGCGGTGGGATTTTGGCCAAGGTCTTGCTGCGGATTGCTGCTGCCATCGAAGGGTGGGGCGCCTTGGTAGGTGCTGCCGGTTGGGACGTGAGAGGCGGTGCTGGTAGGGGTGCTCATGGTGATAGAAATGAATGTTTTGGGAGCGATTGGTGACTTGGTTTGGTGTTTCTTAAGGTATTAGGTCTGGTTGTTGTCGCTTATTAGGACAGCAGGTTCCGAGTAGTGGATGTAATAGTGAGGTGTACTGAATAGAAATATTTTGCGCTCAATGGATTGATGTAACACGACGATAACAACTCTAGCGAAGCAGTTGTTTGGGGGGTTTTCCCTAAAGCAGGGGCCTGTATTAGGTTGAAGCTGAAGACTGCGCCGAGAGGCAAAATATCCTCACGGTGAGGAAGGACTGCGGTGAGGTGGACTTGAAACCCTCAAGGAGTGAATCAAGTGTGATTGTCGACGTTTTGAATAGAAAAGAGACTGTTATTCGACAAACAATGGAACTGGAAAAGGTTCATGGTCGGTAACGAGCTGAATGAAGGCAGGAGGAAAAATCACGTTCCCAAAATCTGCATTTGCAGGCAGGCAGTTGTGCAAAAACCAAAAACAGAAGGGGCGGTATATGCAGTTCAACGTTGAGCCGATACAAATTGTTTCATGGCAACATTGGATAACAGAAAAACAGTTCTGCTTCAATTACTGCAAATAGCATGTTTGATAGCATTGGCAGCAGGTAGAGACAAGTATCTCTGTGACACCATGACTTAATTCCGTCTACAGGTCGAGTCTACAAGCAGCCAGTAGATCCGAACAGCTCATGCCGTGTCGTCTACGAGATAACTCGGCAGGCTCCCAACTTTCTTCCCGAGTCATTCCAGATCATAAGTGGTTGTCATCTCCAGTGTGTCGCCCATCTCCAATCTGGACATGGCCAGTGCTTGTCAGATCTGGTAATATCCTCTGTGATCGGTGCAACACTACTCGCTCGATCTGACGAGCAGAATGCGGATCCTTACATGAGGAATCACTGTGTACCGGCGGCCGGCTCGCTGAACGGCTACCACCATCTCACCGCCGACAAACTCGAAAATGCAATGACCGACTGCTTTGGACTGTTCGAGATGGAGGCGGCAACCGGTCAATATGGGGATTGGTATGGCTTGGCCGATGCTCGTCTCTTGCAGTCGCACAGGTGCGAGCATACAAATCTGTGCTCTCCCTGCCCACGCTCCATATGTGCATCCACTGCCATTTTGTCCGAGTCAGAACAGATTTGCTGTCACACCTTGTCACTCACTTGTCTGGCGATGGGCCTAGCAATCATGGGACATGTGACTACAAGCAATCGCGGAGGTCATGGAGCAGCAGCATGCTTGTCTCAGACACTTAATCAACGAGCGACATCAATGGTACTTAGCTAGTGAACAAGCATAGTTGCAACATGACGTTCGTCGAAGCTCGTCTGATCCAGAGAGGCAAGAAAGGCATCAGGAGCACATGCAACCATTCGAGTGACGGCAGACACTGGCCTTGGTACATCGATGATGGTGGCGTTCCCGAGACATGAAGATGACTGGCAATGGAAACTCAATTCAGGTGAGCTAATCTAATAAATCGACGTCAAGTACACTATATGCAGGGGCCCTGTTTGAAAAGAGGAACTAAGCAGGACGAAGGGAGCTTGAAAAGCAGTGTGGGACTTGTCAGTTCAGTCGCTGGACTTGGAAAAGTTCAAACAACTGCCTGACAGCTCCCCAGAATACATCAAACCCCAAGGTACCTAGACATTCCTCGGAACTTAACACCGTCGTAATTCCAAGTTCCCAACACAGGCGACGGCGGATCATCACGTGGTCCAATCCTCTTGAAATGCCGCAGCAGCCTCAGAATAACGACCGCTATCTGCGTCAGAGCAGACTGCTGTCCAGGACTGTAACGAGCATGTAGAAGCCGCTTGATAAGACCACCTTCAACGAGCAATGCGAGAGAAGCATTCTTGCAAGACACCCGCCTATTCGATGAAAGTTTCGCACCAAACGAGCTCTTGTTCCTAAACCCAACCGATTCTTTGGCCCGTCTGTTAGCAAACAGTGTAGGATTTGCAGGGAGGGCACCTGGCCCATCTTACCCATCCCAGCCACACAATGCGCATCTGGCGAGCTCCGATTGTCATTTTAGCAACAAATGCACAATGAGCACCACATAAGACTCCATTTGATACAATGTTTTAAGCGACTTGATATTTTGTCCCCAGCCTCCAGCGCCGTGTGCATGCTATGTATCTGACAAGACTTATGTACAATGAATTCAGTCAGCGTCAAGATGCCCGTATGCCCCCAACGCCAGCGTCAAAAAGCCTTACAATCATATAAACCCATCGTTCAATGCATCAAATACACAAGTATTTACCATATGCAGATGAGGGACATACCACGCCGATTCATCGTTGCATTCCTATGCGTGCCGCTATCCGTGGGCCGTATCCGTCGGTTCTATACATAGCGCCTATCCAATGACTCTGACTGACTTTTTCAGCGAAGATCGTCTACCCGCCGCGCGACTCGAAAGACGCTGCTGCGTCGCCATGATGGGCGATTCTTCAGCAGCCTCGGACGTCACTCTCGATGGCTGCTGCTGTGACGCCGTGCGCGTCCATGTTTGTTGCGGTTTTCGCGGGCCGTTCTGCTGCTCCGGGTTGTAAAACCCGGACGTCGAGGATATCTTCTCCCCCGTCTCTGTCGAGCTCCGATCGGTAGCCACCGCCTTGCCCTTCTCGTCCGCCTTGGGCGCTTCAACCTTTCGCACCAGTACCGCCGCACCAGCTCCAGCTCCTACAGACAGCGATGCCTTGATACTATCCCAGTTCTCACGTATTGGCTTCGTCTCATCCATCATCATAATAGCGATAGCAGACAATAGAGCGCCAAGAACGAGTATGGTCAAAATGATGGCGCCCGCCTGGTCTCTAGAAGTGATGGGGGCGAAGACGATGGATCCCATAGGATCAGTTCGTCCAATATCCGAACCGCCTCCGCTCGGGTCACCTACGCTTGTTCCACCGGTGCTGTTCGTGACAGGCGCTTCAGCTTTTTGGATCATGTTGGCAAGCACAATTTCCATGGCTGCCATCTGCTGGCCCACCCCGATGGTCCCATCCCAGTTGCCGGAATTGTTCGCCCACTTCAATCCACACATACGACCGTTGCTACCTCCAGTACACTGTTTCGCCGCCGCGGCTGCCGAGCTCTCCATAAGAGGCTTGATTGTGTTGTACGTCCAGGGTGCCCACTTCGTTGTTGCTGCCATCCATCTGCTCAGATATGCCTTAAACGACTGCTGGTCAACATCACATAGTCCAACACCCTCGCATGCAACCTCGAACATGACCTTGGGACCGCCATCATCGCTGTAGAAAAAAATGTCCGTGCCGTTGAGAAGTCCATCAACTCGATCGCGCCAAAGGTCGCTCTCACTTGACTGCTTCAGGCCGTCGGTATAGGCATACATGGCGGCGGCGCCCAACAAAAAGGCGCTCGGGTTGTAGGAAAACTGATACTTAACAATAGTCGTGCAGTTGTCATCGGTGTGGGCACCGTCGTAGACGTAATAAGCACCGCTGTCCGACATTTGCATGAAGTTCACATTTACCATCCAATCCCAAGTCTTGACAGCCCAGCCGGCGTACGTGCTGTTACCAGTGTATAGGGCGAGCCGTGCTGCAATGTTGAAGAAACATGCCTGCGAGATCGAGTTCTTATAGTTGAAACCATTGTTCCATTGAAAGATCTGCCAACGTAGGCCCCCATTGCAGTTTTGAGCGTCCCATCTGGCGGCCTGTGTGTTGAAGACGGCTTGCGCCAGTGCTAGCCATTGCGGCTTGTCCGGCGAAGGGTTTGGGAAGTTGTACTCAGCCGCGGTCATGGCAGCCATCCCCCAGAATCCTTGGTCATCATTGCCCTCTGTAAGTGTCTGATTGGGCGGCATGTAGTCATTGAATGGGCCGACCTGGAAGAGCAAGGCGTCTTCCGTCACCTTGTTGTACGTCGCGTCTCCGGTATAATACCAGTAGTCTATCATAGCGCCAAAGAATGCGCCGCCCTCCCACCAGTAGTATGGCTGAGGAAGTAGACCCTGTGTAACATGAGAGTCAGAATGTTTTTAAGGTGAATCAGGATACTCTCATCAGCCATGCTTCGAGCACCACGTATGCCAGCACCGATAGGGTCTGACCGCATGACAAGCACGAAAAGCCTGAGTTCCAACAGTTGACTTACGGGTGTTTGGCCAGGCTTGTCACCAGTGTAGAAACTCATCAGGTCCTCCACCATACGTTTGGAGACATCCTTGATGGAATCTGGTTGAGGCTCCAAGTATTAGCAGCCAAAACTACAACAACCGACTTGACCAACCAGTTGCTCACCATCGGAGTGGACATCAAGATCGTACCCACTAACAGGTTGTGAAGCCACCGACAGCATTGCCGCCGCCAAGAGAGCCGTTTCCTTCAGATGCCACATGGTGATTTGCGCTCAGAATGAGTTTGAAAACCAGCAGGAATCCAATAACCCCGAATCATGGGGAACAGGAGAGGAAAATCTTTATTTTTGCGGGAACATTGCGGACGTGCAAATGGAGTGTCTCTGAGCTGAGGTGCAAGTAAGTCCGGGCTTACCACCTGCCGTGGGTGACGATGCACTAAGACACGAGTTTGGTGTGGAAGGACCTATCGTGAACAGCGTACTTTAAAGTAGCGCAAAACCGGGGTAACGAAAGTCTATGAAGGGTACAAGTGCAACCAATCTGAACTGGCAGGTAACGTGAACAGAAATGAAAGGCATGGAATGGGTCTCGCGGTGGAATAAGACGACACAAACCAAGCTGAGAAGGAGGGACCATGACCAAATGGCCATCGATCAAGGAGGGAAGCCACCTACCTTTTTGACGTGCATTCCCCACCGACGAGCATGAAAAGGTCTGACGCACTTTCTCACCTGCAGCTGTCTTCTCAATTCAAAAGCTTGATGGTGTGGTGTGGCCGTTCACTGTTCACGGATCTGGGGTAGTAGACGGCGATGAGGTGGTTGGGTTTTGTTTGATGTCTGGGCGGTTATTGGCCCGTCCTGGCCGTAGCCCCAGGCTGTTCACATCCTTGATCCACCCCAGATGCATTTCAAAGAACCTGAATGCGACACTGCACCCGTGGGCCAATGACAGCTTCAATTCGCAGTGCGCTCTCCCAGGATTGTTGTAGACAGAGTACTGGGAAGCTCGCAATGAATTGATGGAATATGCGGAGATCCTGGATGGAAGAGCAGGGACGATGTCAAAGGGGGCGACAAAGCTGAGAGAAACATCTCGATAGTGGGCCATGGCTTTTCGTGGCTGGACTCAAATCCTCCCGAGGTTGTCGATTGACAAAGAGAAGTGAACTGATGAGGTCGGGGAATAAGCCAGAAACGACCACCGACCGGCTAAGTGATGGTCAGACAACATGGACCAACTCCGTGGTATCGAAGTAGCACGGTATTGGAAAACTTCAATGAGCATTGACTTGATCAATACGTAGGCTGTTCTCAACAGGAGGATCGAAGCCAGGAGCGTGAACTGGACTTTGAGGTTAATATAGAGCAAGACTACGGGATGTGCACACGGCTGGGGCACAATTGGATTGTTCCTGGGACCCAGAGTTCGCTGCTCGTAGTCTAGCTCTCTCCGTAGATTGAAGTTTCAATAAAGTTAACCTTGTGGAAGTTACGCGCAAAACATCAAGGGGCATTTTGAGCGCAGTGCCGCCGGAGTCCAAGAGCACTAACTTGCCAAACAGCCCATGTCAGCTCAGCTGACTGGCAATCTGGCAAGTTGAATGGTCAACTGCTGACCAAACAGAGAACCGGCGCCGGCATCCAGGTTGATGAAACAGAACTGCAACAGTTTTGAAGAATCTCCAGGATTTGGCATCCTTGCATTAGGTTGTCCACAAGATCGTCAGGAACGCCTGTAGATAGTCTCGAAAGGACCCAGATAAATGGATCAGACGTAGTGGTGTTACTAGCTGTGGAACTGCTAGATGGAAGAATTGATCGGCTTTCGAAGATGTAAACATTGTTGTTGACGCAAATGGGGATCCTCTGGGACGGCAACCCCGGATAATTTAGGCAAGAATCTCCACATCCGACTTGGTCTGCTTCCCTATCAAAATATCCTGTCGCAAGAGGAGGCAAGAGGCGTATGTGAACACGTGAACACGAGAACACGATTAATGCTAACTGAAGTACGGTACTTGTTGCTTCCCATCCAACGATGCTGAGATAGATCAATGCACTGCCACAATCCAAGACTGGCAGTACTGGGGCGTTGCCTGGAAGGTTGCGTACACTCACTGCCAGGGTCTCTGCACTTAAGAATACGACCCAACTGCAATGGTTAGGTGTGAATAAAGAGAACGTCGTTTCTCGATCAGTGAAGCTTGCAATAGTTTCAAAAATCACAAGACAACGGAGGAATACGAGTCATTCATTGGCCATAACAAATCTTGTTACTGGACATCACCAGTTATTTGTCGTTACCCTGCCGCCTTGAGGTGGATCGGCTACTCTCTTGCTTGCTTGTTTCGGCCGTGCTCGCCACCTCCAGTCCCTGTCTCACCCAGGCACTGGGCCAACTCAAGGCCAGCACGGATGCCACCTATCCAGCAACCTACCAAATCCCTCCCAACTCCCGGCCTCCCTCCATCCGCCAATTCCACGTTTTCTTTCACCAAACCCGACCATACCAACCACGAACGTCCATCATCGTCATCGCACAAAAACTATACCCAGTGAACAAGCCTGCGCTACTTCTCAACCACGATTGCGAACCCGACCGATTGATATTCTCCTCTCTAAAACCTCACCAAACTCTCGATGTCCACCAAAATGGCTGAGCAGGACGCTCCTTACGACCCCTACATTCCCAGCGGACAGGCTGCCGGACAGGCGCCTCAACAGGGCGGCAATGCCAGAACACAAGCGCTGCAAGCAGTAAGTCATTTGAACTCGAGAAATATAGTCTCTGCATGGGTTTGCCCCTGGACCGCGACATTTCGACGTCATAGTACGACTTGCCCATACGATACGCGCACATGATAACTGGCTTCGACTCTGGAGTCAATGAAGGTATCACGTCAATTGCCAGCACCATCTGCGCGACTACTAAGGCTGTATTCTGAGAAGTAGCTCAACTTGCGCCGCCATGTCACAGATGATGCTGGGCTTTTGATCATGCCTGAAGCCACCTATGGAAGATAACGCCGAGGATAGCGTGGCCATAACAATGATGCGCCCCCTCTTGCCTGCTCCCATCCACATTCAAGCCCGCCCAACACTACAGTACCCTTTCGCACCCTCAAACGGCTCAAAGCGACTAGCGATCTGGCAGTACCTGGCAATGTTGAATTTCCAAGATCCCGGGGCAGCTCATGGCGGACTGTGTAACGAGTCATGGGCTTATGCTAACGCTCGCCGCAGCAAATCGACGACACCGTTGGTGTTATGCGAGAGAACATCAACAAGGTGTCCCAACGGGGCGAGCGCCTAGATGCCCTGCAAGACAAGACGGACAACTTGGCTGTTTCCGCTCAAGGTTTCCGTCGTGGCGCCAATAGAGTCCGCAAGCAGATGTGGTGGAAGGATATGAAGATGAGAATGTGCCTGATTGCAGGTATCATTATCCTCATTCTCGTCATTGTCGTCCCTACCGGTAAGTTGCCTGCCACCTACGTACCGGTAAATTATGTTCTAATATGGCCTGCAGTTGTTGCAACTAAGGGGAAATAGACGCGCCTGAGACATCAAACTGTGTCACTTGTTGGGTGCAGCCGATAACGAAGTAAGGGAAATGGTCTTGATGCCACGATCGATGACGAGTTGAATCTCGCAGGCTACGAGCAGCACCTCGGGTGGTTCAGGTCATCGAATCGCGGATTTTACAGCACAGAGGAGTTCATGTTGTTGGGTTTACTGGTCTTTTTCTTTGGTCGCGTGGAGGCCTCCACGGCTTTGGTTCACCACCCCGACCAAGCCTATGATGATACCGTTGCGATGGACGAAAGACCCTTGTATGTATGATGGCCAGGCAATGCGGTTCCCACTAATGCAGATTCGCGATATTTATATGACACCAACGTGTAATCCTGCGTGGATGTGATTTCTTCTAGTTGCTGTACTCTGCTGGACATATGTCGTTGACTTAAGTGCGTGTTGTCCGCTGGTGGTACATGAATGCTGCCAGGAATATCTCAATGTAGCGAGTTGTCCTTTACAACTTTACAAGGCAATGGGAGGACATCGGACGGCATATGACGTAGATAAATAAGAATACAAACCCTGCAGACCGTAGACTACTCACATTGATAAGAACTACGAATATCGGGTCCGGAACCAACCCGCCTGTACCGTACGTATCTAATTATAGTTGGAGTAGTTGGGAGGAAGTAGCTTAGGTCCATCGCGCCACAGTCCACAACAAACAAGTCCATGTCAGTGATAGTAAATCCGAGATTTCGGGAACAGATTGACATGCGGTGGCAGGTCCACAGACGTCCACCGCAGCCAATATCCAAAGTAGTGGCCATTCATTCAAACAATATCTATACACCAGCCAGTGGCCTCGATACGTAATTAATATACAACCGGACTAGCAAGTATGTAACCGAATCTTCTCCGTGGGTTCGGACTCAATCGCTAGGTCAACCGCGATATCATAGTTTGACATAGAAATTCAATATTGACATACTGCCCCGAGGTGTAGAAACTAAGTACGCACTTAGCAACTCGTACTCGCTAGGCATAAACACAGCCTCTGGCACCATGGATTCCTGTTACCTCGCGAGTACTTCATATAGGACAAAATGGGTCAGAACTAGATTATGGTATTACGTGCCTATACCATACTAGTTTCCGAATATATAAAGTAAAAGTCTGACACTACGACTGATACATCTGTTGTCCGGGTACCTAACTGCTTAGAATGAACTTAGTAAGGATTCTTGTTATTTCTTCTAATCACAGCAGCACTTCCCAATCAACAGCATCTCGACCGAGTTCGCTACCAAACATTGCTACATGGTATTTAAGAACCGTAGACGGACAGGTGACTCTAGCTTCAAGGCGGGTCTCGTCGGAGTATACCGACTCATTGGGAATGGCTCGCGGCAGTTTCGCGGTAACAATAGACTCTTTACAGCTGCATACAATTAATAAGTTTACGTGAGATGTCACTCCGCGGAGAGGCTGTACCTAGCAAGTTCTGGGGTGCCCCATAACCACGAAAATTCGAACAATGCGCGTGGAGTTCTGGGCCGATTCCTACATGCGTCTTAAAGGTTCCCTGAAGCCACGGACCAATCCGGAGGTTGCGGGGCTGTGAACGTTACTGCAAAGACGGGCCAAGTGATGCAGGTGTTGAGAGCTGCAGCGGTTTTCGGCCTCTTTTGAGATTTTTTTTTTGCTCATGTTCCTCCAATCCATTAGTTGCCCCTCCCCCAAGTTGAGTGCGATGTGAAGAAGACGAGCCAATTCTGACATCTCTCCTCTCTCTTTTCATCCAGGGTGAGTCTCCTGCTTACAGTTGATTCCTGCAGGTTAGGGTTTTCTGTCTTGGAAGCTTTCTTGTTGGGGTGCGCTTTCATTGACACACGGTGCCGTCCTTACAGGGATACGAATAGCTAGGGAAGCTCCTGCCCCTCCTCCGAGATAGTCCTCGACGGAAAAAAAATATCGACCTCAACGCATTGCAGTAATTAGCAACGACCCCGCCAATTACTCACCCGCTCGTTCTGGTCAGGGTGGTGTCAGCAGTGTTCATACACTGGAAGCGTACAGAATAAGTTGCCAAGAGTTGGAGGTTATTGCAGGGCATCCGACCGAGCTCCGCTGCGCATTTGACGAAACGAAATCTCCACGCCAGGTTATCAATCCTTTTCGACAATGCTTTCCAAGGTAGCCATCCGGGCTGTCGTCCGAGCCGGACGCCGAGCTGCTCCAAGGCTCAGACTGTCTTCGGCGGCGGTAACCGTCCCACTGACGCGCCGTGCCTATTCGACATCGCGCGGTAGCGACTTCAACACAAGGGCAGCCGTCATCCAGGTCTTGAACAGTGTCGGGTCCAAGAGGGAGGTACAGCAATACCTTTCGCACTTCTCCTCTGTTTCTTCGCAGCAGTTCGCCGTCATCAAGGTCGGCGGTGCTATCCTGACGGAGCATCTCGAGGAGCTCTGTTCTTCCCTGGCTTTCCTCTACCACGTCGGCCTCTATCCCATCATCGTCCATGGCGCCGGACCGCAGCTCAACAAGCTGCTGGAGGAAGCTGGTGTCGAGCCGCAATTCGAGGAGGGCATCCGTGTCACCGACGGCAAAACGCTGGGCGTTGCGAGGCGGCTTTTTCTCGCTGAGAACCTCAAGCTTGTCCAGCGTCTAGAGTCCATGGGCGTTCGTGCACGACCCATCACCTCGAGCGTCTTCAGCGCCGAATACCTAGACAAGGAGAAGTGGAACCTCGTGGGCAAGATCACAGACATCAACAAGGAGCCCATCGAGACGGCAATCGCCAACGGCTACCTGCCCATCTTGACCTCGATGGCTGAGACGACCGACGGACAAATACTGAACGTCAACGCCGATGTTGCCGCGGGTGAGCTAGCCCGCGTTCTGGAGCCCCTGAAGGTGGTATATCTGAGCGAGAAGGGTGGCTTGTTCGATGGCGATGGGCACAAGATCTCTGCTATCAACCTCGATGAAGAGTACGACCAAATCATGTCACAGTGGTGGTGCAAATTTGGAACCCGACTGAAGATCAAGGAGATCAAGGAATTGCTTGACGGCCTACCCAGAACATCGAGCGTGGCTATCATTCATCCCGCCGAGCTGCAGAAGGAGCTGTTCACCGATTCCGGGGCCGGAACCCTTATTCGCCGCGGAGACAAGTTGATGACTGCTGAGAGCGTATCCGATATCACCGATCTCGCAAAGCTTAAGGATGTACTTATTCGCGATCGTGATGTTACGGATGCGAGGGCGACGGTTGACCGATATTTGGATTTCCTGAAGGAGCGCAAGTTCAAGGCATTTTTCGACGAGCCCATGAAGGCCCTCGCCGTTGTTCTTCAGCCCTCTCCCGACAAGAGCTACTCGACTTTGGCAACCTTGACCATCACCAAGTCCGGCTGGCTCACCAACGTCGCAGACAATCTCTTCTCGGCCATCAAGAAAGAATATCCGAGCTTGGTATGGACCGTGAAGTCAGATGACGAGAACTTGACCTGGTTCTTCGAGAAGGCCGACGGCAGCCTGGTCCGCGGCAACGACGTCCTATTCTGGTACGGCATTGAGCAAGGCCAGGAGCTTGTCGACCTTATGAAGGAGTTCACTACTCACGGCCGATCGATGCTGGGTGAGTCCAATTTGGAGGCTCGTCTTCACGCTGCTGCGCAAGTAGCATCTCAGAACTTGAAGACCCACTTTGCTTCGGGCTCTCCAGCCAACCAAGCCAGGGGCTACTCAACTCTGAGCCGGCGCCCCGTCCTGGGAGCCGCTAGTGGCATGATTAAGGGATTATCTCGAGGTTACGCGACAACCACCAACCCCAATCCCCCATATGGCAACAAGCATGCTTCGAACACTCAGCCGTCGAGGGTCGCCTTGATCGGCGCTCGTGGATACACTGGGCAGGCCTTGATCAGCCTTATCAACGCTCACCCCAACTTTGAATTGCGACATGTGTCTTCTCGCGAGTTGGCAGGACAGAAGCTCCAAGGGTATGACAAGAAGGAGGTCATCTACGAGAACCTCAGCGCCGACGAGGTCAAGAACATGGAGGAGAGAGGCGAGATAGACGTTTGGGTTATGGCGCTACCCAACGGTGTTTGCAAGCCTTTTGTTGATGCTATCGATGCGGCGCAGAAGTCTTCGTCTCGAGAATACCCCAGTGTCATTGTGGACTTGTCGGCAGACTACCGATTCAATGACAAATGGACATACGGCCTTCCTGAGCTGGTGAAGCGCTCCAACATCGCTCAAGCCACTCGAATCTCCAACCCCGGCTGCTATGCTACCGCAGCCCAACTCGGTATTGCTCCTTTAGTGGAGTTCCTTGGGGGACAGCCATCGATCTTTGGCGTTTCTGGATATTCAGGGGCTGGCACCAAGCCATCGCCCAAGAACAATGTCGACAACCTGACGAATAATATTATCCCTTACAGCTTGACTGACCACATCCACGAGCGAGAAATCAGCAGCCAGCTTGGTGCCCAGGTTGGATTCATCCCTCACGTTGCCGTATGGTTCCAAGGTATCCACCACACCATTAATATCCCCCTCAATAAGACCATGACATCGCGGGACATCAGACAGATCTACCAAGATCGTTACGCAGGTGAGAAGTTGGTCAAGGTTGTCGGCGAGGCACCTTCGGTCAAGGCTATTAGTGGCAAGCACGGTGTTGAAATTGGTGGTTTTGCCGTGCACAGCTCAGGGAAGCGAGTCGTGATTTGCGCCACTATTGACAACTTGCTCAAGGGAGCGGCTACGCAATGCTTACGTAAGTTACATCTTTTCTATATCGTGCACACCATCCAGAACACTTATCCCGGTGGAATAACTGTTCATTTCACTGAGCTAAGGGCCTACTCTGGTGGAATCGTTACCAATCGATGTCAACGATACTGCCTTATTTGAAACGGTAGGCTAACTCGTACAACAGAGAACATGAACCTGGCACGCGGCTACGGAGAGTTTGAAGGCATCCCGCCCATGGAGTAAATAGAGTTGCGGACTGGCTGTTAAGAGAAGGATGTTTCTTGTATTTTTGTGTTTCTTGGTGCTTGTGCTTCGTGTATATACCTCTGCAAGACTGAAGAGCTGTTCATACAGTATGTCATGCCCTGACAGGCGCAGCTAGAAGCTATAGGCCACCACTGGAGTAGACGGGTAATTTCATACATAGCGGTATTCCAAGTTGGGTTCTAGTTGATCAACTGGGTTATTATCAAATCATGCCAGGTGAATCCCGAAAGGTCCTGTTATTGGTTCAGTGTATGAAATCGGCGGCTCTGTGGAAGTGATGATCGTCTCTTGCTCCTACGTTGGGCCAGCTAGGCGGATTTCAAATCTTCATTATAACAAACTTGTCCTTAATAAATCAATATCCAACGGTAAGTTGTGCTTTAAATATATTGCCATCACTCTGCAAGCTCAGCAGTCTGCGCGTTGGATTTACAAGAATCACACTCGCCGGGCGGACCCTACCTGGTAGCAGCCCCTGGGGTGATCCAAAATGACGGCCTTCCGATCGCGGGGTAACTTGCCATAGGAAAATTTTGGCGGGGCAATTGTTCGACTATCGCGTGAGTGCTTCTCCGTTGTCGTTCGATTCCAACGAGTGACTCACTATTGGCAGATATATATATTGAATGTCTGGACATACCGAATTGGCAATAAGTCAATTCGAACTCATACGCACAATGGCAACACAATTCCCAACAAAGAAGTGCGGTAAGACGCTGGACTTTCTCCTCCCATGAGCAAAGCGCTTCAGAACTGAACTCTGACAACAACTATTCCGGCAGGTGTCTTGGGCTGCACTGGCTCGGTCGGCCAACGGTTTATTCTCCTGCTCTCGCAACACCCGTACTTTGTCCTACACGCTGTGGGAGCTTCCTCGAGGTCGGCGGGCAAAAAGTACAAGGATGCCGTAAGGTGGAAGCAAGCTGCGCCTATGGGCGCGGTGGGCGAGCTCGTAGTCCGCGAGTGTAAGGCCAGCGAGTTTAGCGACTGCGATGTGGTTTTCAGTGGGCTGGACGCTGATGTTGCTGGGGAGATTGGTAAGTTCCCTTCCTCGATTACCATTGTTGAGCTTTGGCAGGCATCTGACATATGTTTCCCGCGCCCACAGAAATGGAATTCCTCAAAGCCAACCTAGCCGTCTTCTCTAACGCAAAGAACTACCGCCGCGACCCCCTCGTGCCCCTCGTAGTACCCACAGTCAACCTGCCACACTTGGACCTCATCCCACATCAGCGCAAGCACCACGGTCTCGAAAAGGGTTTTTTGGTCTGCAACTCCAACTGCGCCGTCATCGGGCTCGTCATCCCATTCGCGGCGCTGCAGGCGAAGTTCGGCCCCGTTGATACCGTCTCCGTCGTCACTATGCAGGCCGTTTCCGGCGCTGGGTATCCGGGCGTCAGCAGCATGGATATCATGGATAATGTGGTGCCTTTTATCTCGGGCGAGGAGGACAAGCTCGAGACAGAGGCGCGCAAGATTCTGGGCACGATTCAGGATGATAAGACGGCGGTGGTCGAGCAGGAGGAGTTGAGGGTCTCGGCCGCGTGTAATCGAGTGCCGGTCCTGGATGGACACACGGCGTGCGTGTCGCTGAGGTTTAGGAACCGCCCTGTCCCCAAGGCGGAAGACGTTAAAGCTGCTTTGAGGGACTACGTCAGTGAGGCGGAAAAGCTGGGGTGCCCCAGTGCGCCCCAGCCGAGTATCATGGTTTTTGATGCGCCGGATCGGCCGCAGCCGAGGTTGGATCGCGAGTTGAGTCGCGGCTATACGGTTAGTGTAGGTCGGGTTAGGGAGGACGAGAGTGGTATCTTTGATATCAAGTTTGTGGCTTTGAGTCATAATACCGTCATTGGCGCTGCTGGGTCTTCCATCCTGAATGCCGAGGCGGCGGTGCTGAAGGGGTATATTTAAACGGTTGCGTTGGTTAGCTGCGTTACTGGCGTTGTTGTGGGAAAAGTGGCTTGAGGGCGGTTGGTCTGAAAAGGGGTATTCAGGAAGTGATGCATTCTATCTGATGCCAACTACATTAGGGATCCGACTTAGTTCCTTGGAATAACATCTCAATTAGAATTCCACTTGAGTGATCTTTCGGCCCCGATGGGCTTGGATGGTGTAAAACGAGAGATGGCTTGAAGCAGTGCGTGAGGGAGCATTATGACATGTCCTCTAGAGTTTCTCGGTCAGTTTCTAGGACTAATCAACTAACCACTTGTGGCATCGCCACAACTTACTACTTGAAGACATTCTCGATGAGAAAAGTAAAGAGTAATCACAGTTCCCATTTACTAGTTAAAAATGCATAGAGCAGTTGCAGTACACAACTAGCATAAGTTTCTAAATGTCTTGACATTCAAATGCTTCTTGTTTCTCTTACGATTTGATATCCAACTAAGGAGCATCAAAAGACCACGTCTCTCGCTATCTACAGCATTATCTAAAATCGACTTTACAGCTTTCGCTTGTTGCTCACTGCATTAGCCACGGCAATATTATCGCATCGTCAACTACATATATAGCAACTCATTCAACTTTGGCTTTCATTATGAGCTCTACTGCCGAGAGTGGCTGGGGTCAGGGATTCTCAGTCGATATACTCCCTCTCACAGTACAATTCATCCAGCAATCCATTGCAACTCGGAACCGCAAATGGCAATGCAGCTTACAGCAACGGAACACAGCAGTGTAGTATCCCAGCTTACAACCAAACAGTGTCCCCTCCGCTTATGTAGCTGACTCGACTATCCACATCTCGCAGATACATGCCTAGTTCTTAAGTGTGGTGTGGACCTCTGAACTTGGTTTATCCATATGAACTTGTTATTGCAATAGTCTTGCTGATGTTTACGTGTAGATGGAAGGACCTCTCTCAAGGCTTTTCATGAGCTGTTTATCCTAGAACGTGTTTATTTATCTGAGGTGCCATATCCGCTCTTTGTGTGATTTCTCGGTAAGTAGTGAGCGTTGTGAATGGTACACCTAAGTGAAACAATAGGACTGTGAGTGTCAACACTTGTCGATTAGAGTAGAATAAAATGGCCTTACCATTATTATGGCCATGTATTGCACGGGAATACTCTGTTATCTCATATCCATTCTATCATCCTCTTGCTAGTGTTCTTAATATCCAAGTATTGAGTTGAACCTATGCATACAGGTCAGTTGCCACACTCCATATAGGACTTCCAGTTGACACGCTTATATAACGCCGAATTTTTTTTTGAAATACCAGCCAACGCAGAGCTACAACAAGTGGATATAACCAAGACTGTAGAGCGCAAGGTAGTTTCGTACCTAAAAAGAATGGTGAAATACTGAAACTTTTGGACGAGCAGCAAGCAGTTCAGGATGAAGAGTTCCAGTTGCAGCATCAAAAACTGAAATAGGCACACTTAGATTCGCAATTAAGTCAAGGGGAGTAACAGCTACCCCCTCCATGACTTATTCACACAGGAAACAACGATTAGTATCTTTGCTGTCAACATTACGAGTTGAGTGGACAAATGTGTGCCTACCGGTAATGCAAGCAAGCCCTTTCAGAAACCGAAGATAGCCGAGCCTGTAAGATCCACTTGCACAAGGTGTAACATCAAATAATTTCAATTTTGTCAACCAATTATCCCAGCAAGGAGGTGATACATTCTCTCTCAAAGACGAGCACAGTGAGAAAATAGGTCTGGTGGTCTAGTGGTATGATTCGCGCTTAGGGATCACCCTTAGCTTGGTTGCGCGAGGTCCCGGGTTCAATCCCCGGCCAGACCCTTTGTTTTGCGTTTTGCTTCATGTATTTGTTAGCCACGAACGGTGTTTGGTGGAAAATACGGTCTCAACTTTGCCGCCTCGGCAATAATGATACATTTTTCCTAGCTTTTTTTTTAAATGCTTGATTTGTGATTGGACAAGTGTTGCAGGGTATATAACCTTTTTTTTCCTGGTCAATATCAATCAATATTGGTTTATTTACTCCGCCGTATTGTTCGAATAACCATATCTATCTATCCATAGATGTGAAATTGGGACATTCCAATGGTGACTGTAGGATTGAGTTAGATTATGATTTATGAGAGTTTTCGCAGCCTCTTCTCATGTGGTTGCGGGTGGGGCCCTAGTATTGGGCACGAAGGTGATGGACGGGTGGTAGGTAATATTTCAACTTATATACTTGCTTATACACCGACATATTTATATCCATATATTACCGAGAAACTTGGCAGCATATGAGATTTCTGCTAGTAGACAGACTTTTCTTCCAATCATAAGTTCTTACAAATTGACCGAAGTGCCATAACTAATATTGTAGTTCATAGGTGAGTGAGCATTACCTCATGAGACTTCGCGCCAGGAACACATTACCAAAACGATCAAACTATTAGCTGAAAATTACAGCAGAGGAGAACCTGCAGAATGGTACTGATGTTATCATGAACCAATATACGTAAATGATACACTTGCATCATAAATACTAGTATAGTAAAGTGACCATCAACCAGAGGGTACTTTGTACAATTTATGGATAGCTTGATGGAACCTACATCGGTGTCTGTAAGAAGCTAATTTTAGCCGCGGTGCCCCTCCTCCCACTACGAAAACAATATTGACAATTGGATCCGATATCGCGGGGTAATTTTTGCCGGTCTTAAATCGCGCTTCGGTATAGAAACGCAGCATCCGCAGGTCTGCGTAGTCATTTTCTCGAGGCGCTGACAATGGCAACAATCATTCTTGGCTCCCAATGGGGTAAGTTCTGTATTTCTTGTACTCCCTTCTAGACTACCTGAGTTGTACGGCATCATAGCGTGTGGTGTAGATTTTCAATGGCTCCAATGACGCGATGTTGAAGGGGTCATTCAAGCAGACCCGGAAGATCGAGAAACGGGTGGAAATGAAACAGAACATCACAGAAATGCATGGCGCTGACAACCCTCGACAGGCGACGAAGGCAAGGGCAAACTTACAGATATTCTCTGCCCCAATGCACAAATATGCACACGAGCTGCCGGCGGCCATAACGCAGGCCACTCCATCGTCGCAAACGGTGTCTCGTACTCGTTCCACCTCCTGCCGAGTGGTCTGATCAACCCCAAGTGTATTAACCTGATTGGATCCGGGGTTGTCTTCCATGTGCCCTCCTTCTTCAAGGAGCTCAAGGAGCTGGAGGACAAGGGGTTGGCTGGCGTCCGCGACCGAATCTTCGTCTCCGACCGCGTTCAAATCGACTTCGACCTCCACGCTGCGGTCGACGGTTTAGAAGAGGTTGAGCTTGGCGAGGGCAAAATCGGTACAACGGGACGAGGTATTGGTCCAGCCTACAGCACCAAGGCTGCGCGCACCGGCATTCGCATGTCAGAAGTCTTCAATGAGGAGCTGTTTGAGACCAAGTTGCGCCGTCTGGCTGAGGGTTACAAGAAAAGATTCGGCGACTTGCTGAAGTACGATGTCGAAGAGGAGATCAACCGATTCAAGCAATACCGTCAAGACCTTGCCTCTTTCGTGGTCGACGGCGTCCACTTCCTGAAGCAGGCCCAGGACCAGAACCGGAAAATTCTCGTCGAGGGCGCCAACGCGCTTATGCTCGACATAGACCACGGAACATATCCTTACGTCACCTCTTCAAATTGTTCCCTGGGAGGCATCTTCACCGGCCTGGCCATCAACCCTTTCAAAATCGACGAGATCGTCGGCGTGGTCAAGGCCTACACTACTCGCGTTGGAGGTGGTCCCTTCGTGACAGAAGATCTCGGCGAGGCTGGCACCAAGCTGCAGGAGGTTGGCCGCGAGTGGGGAACCTCGACGGGACGCAGACGCCGCTGCGGCTGGCTGGATCTTGTTGTCGTCAAATACAGCACCGCCATTAATGCGTATACCAGTCTGATGCTCACCAAGCTCGACGTCCTGGACTCGTTCCCCACGATAAAAGTAGCCGTTGGATACAAGGATCCGCAGACGGGTCAGGAGCTGGACTCGTTCCCTGCGGATCTGGGTCTTCTGGAGCAGGTCGAGGTCGTGTACAAGGAGCTGCCAGGCTGGAACAAGCCCACTACCAAGGTCAAGACATTCTATGATCTGCCGAAAGAGGCGCGGGGGTACGTCGAATTCATCGAGGAGTTTGTCGGCGTGAAGATCAAGTGGATTGGCACCGGTCCGGATCGTGAGGATACCATTTTCAGGGGTACTACGGCTCTCCAAAAGTAGGATCCCGGAAGTTTCATTTGGCCGGGCAGACGCATCGCGTTCGTCTCTGTCTTGGGCCAAGATCGAACCCTCGTATCCTTTGCCTGCTTGGAAAGCAATGTGAAAGCCCAAAGTGCGGTCTTGCACTGCTGCAACTTGGTATATACTATGAGGCAACCCACCAACTATCCATCTGGGAGTAACCCCACATCAAATATTCTCAGGGTATCTTATGGTTTCGATTTCAGCTCTGGACAATAGAACCCCTCATACATATGTAGCTGGCCTCAAGTATAATGCTCTAACCACAGCCTATGCATGGTCTTCACGGTCTTGCATAGTCTATGCATACTTGACACTACAACTACATCGTTGAAGGCTAACATGATACAACTTTCAGGCATTACAACCCCCGTGATGATACTGAAATGATACAACGTGGCCCAAAAGAACCTTGATGTGTCAAATTGGAGAATAATGGTAAATGTGGGTTCCTGTCACACGGTCTTACCCGCATGTCTTGGTCTGGTATACCTCGCTTCTCCTCTAGGCATTCACATGTCTCCAGTTCACTTTCACTCATAGCCTAAGGATGAGCGAACTCAGGCCAAAACATTCATCAAATATTGAGGTGTTCATAGCAACGCGGGGCTACCAATTCAGTTTCAGGATCCTCAGGACGTAACTGTTCCCTCGATGTGTGAGCCCGGATAACCTCCTTTCTGCAACAAGTGCCTCTGCAAAAGATGCTGGGAGCCTGCCACGGCGCTGGCAAGGATCGTCTGATCGTAACATCCAGAACATAATAACTGTGTGTCCTTATATGAAAGTGACTGAGGGGAAGGAAACATCGTCAACGGTGCCGGTAGCCACAGCTCAAAACTAATGTCCTAGAAGATGTTCTCTAGTGCGCTTTTGAATCCTGACATGAAGCACTTGGTTTTTGAATGGGCCCTCGCCGACTTCGAGAAGCTCGAGGGATATCCGCTATTGCAAATTGATGCATTAAGAATACATTTGGCCAAAGACAGCGAAACTAGCAACGATGACAAAGGTTGCCATGGCATACTGTTCAAATATAACTGGAGTTTTATTATACGAGTTTCCGAATAGGTGCTCAGGGAATTGCTTGGAACTGCACTTGTGAGAGGAAGAGTATTCGCAGGCTTGGTCCAGCGGACTTTCTAACCACTATAAACCCTCTCAGGAACGAAGCGGTCTTCAAGTATGCTGACTCTTTCGGTGCAGTAGTGTCGTCGGCGGTCGCTCACCGTCTGTGACCCTGACAACCAGGACCCGCAGGCTTAGGCTTGAGATAACATTGCCTAGAATAACCGAACGCTTGCGTCTTAGCTCTTGGATGCATTTAATATCCCCCAGGGAAATTTGACGTCCCGAGCATTCACAGCTTTGCGTGCCTTTATCGAGACGTGGGGTGTGTATTGCCAAATTACCCAGAGGACTGTGTCTGAACCAATAGATTACACCTGCACTTTGGCCAGCTCGGTGTCATGGCCAGCTCGGTGTACATTCACGTTAGCGCTATTTTTATTAATTACGACTCTTTTTTTTTATGATAATGCCGCCACATTGTTATACTACCAACTGGAGATTGTCGTTGCGTAGCAGATCTCTACCTGCGATGCGTGCTACTAGGGGGGGAGATGCTATAATGCAGCAGTGCGCAACGTTATAATATCTAATTGAATGGGATTCACCTAACCAGTGGGTCCCCCTATCTTTTCGTATCAACCTGCTTTCGACGACTCGACTAGTTGACTGTTTCTTCATCTAACCCATCCTGCGTTATCGACTATCTCCAAAGTATGGTTTAGGATGCATTCGACATGAACGCTGAAAGTACAGCCGCATAGGCCGCAGACACGGCCATCATTTCGAAGTTCGACACCTTCAACATGACTGCCACGAGAAAAGAAAAGACAACAATGCAGAGAGAGATAACTAGCAGCTGCGTATCCCTAAGTGACTGCTGCGACAAAATAGCGAGAGGAGCTATGAGGAAAATGGCTGTAACCATCGCAGTAACTCCTCGCCCGATAATATCAGCCACCAAGATGGTGTTCTGATATGACCATCGGTGACCCTTTTCGAAGGACCCGAGGCCTTCAACATTGCCCTGCGACTTCTTAGACAGTCTCCGATACCGGAATGCGCGTAGCCATTTGTGAATCCAGCGCTGAAAAGGATCCGTGCGGGACCGTGTTCCGAGATCTATTCTGAGGAGCCTAGTATTATATATCTCGTAGAGACTCAGGTCGGTTTGCAGGCTAGACTGCTTCTCGTCGTCCAAGAGTGAGAATGTCTCCATGGCCATGATGTTGTTAAACGCGACAAGTGCCTCGTCTATCGTGCCAGGTTTCGTTAGTTTCACGCCGCAAATGCTCATGTGGCCACGAACCGTATTGCTTAATCAGATCGCGAAGTCTTAACACCAGTCCTCTAGTAATGATCGCGTCTGCCCTAGGAACATTTTTATCTCTCTTGCTATGCCTCAGGCCAAGTCGATCAGTAGGTGAGCGATCAACATTCAGGCTCAGACCGGCCTGGTAGATAACATGGTCCAGTTCGGCAATTTCATCTTCCAGGAAACGGAGATTTAAGAGATGTGAGGTCTTAAATCGACGAAATCCATGGAGAGTGAGGTTACTATCGGCGGTGGCGCTCTGCCAATGCTTTCGAAACTTTGCCGTTGCGTCATCAGCATTTTGCGCGACAGTACTCATAATCGAAAAATTTGAAGCGGGGTTTGAGAAAAGAGTAACGTCCGAATACACCCCCGGACGAAAATTATGCGATGCTCTTCCGTAGTTCTTTAGGCACACCATATATACCCATTTACGTCGTTACGTAATCTACGCGTTAGAGCTTGACACGTAAGGCTCGGTAGTTCAGGTCGCGGCTCAACAAAAGCAGGCGAAATTTCATGCAGGTCTCGCCTCCCTCGACACATGACTATAGGGACTATGTCGTCGACAGGTGGTACGGCGCACTGCGACTCGCCCCAGTATGCCATTGGCATAGATGTACGGCTGACTTGTACCCATTAAATTAACAGGGTGTGACAAGTGTAGATTGCAACAACAGACCGATGCAGGCCTCACTCAGCCACTGTAAGCCGGTCAATCAGTCCTAGGTCTTTCATCGGCTTTGTATGCTTTCTTGGTACTCTCCCTCCACCTTGCTAAGTCTCCGACAACAAATCCTATAACCGCTGTACTGGATGTTGCATCTTACATAGTCGTGCATTTGCAGGGGGCGTTCATCCAATCCAGGGCAGTCTAGAAGTGGGCACGTTGCAGCCGTAGAGGCGCAGCCAGCATATAACCAATAACCTTACACCCCTTAACGCAAGAGGTTGGCCGGGAGCCACAGCCCAAGGCTTAAGAGGAGGCACTGCACTGGGCGTACCGAATATGGTGGAGTGGAGTGGAAACGATCAACGCGGACGAGGCTCTGTAGACGCTGGAGTTTTCGGAAAGATGAAAAAATGCTTGTCATCACAATACAGGAGCTGATGCCCAAAATCTATTCATCGCATTGTCGTGAAAATTTTATCGCCCGCTGGGTTTCGAAACCGACGGGATGACAAAACGACTGAGCCGAGCGGACTACCACGTGGCGTGGATCTGTCCTTTACCTGACATCGAGCTGCTGCCGTCTCGATTGATGCTCGACGAACAGCACATTCCTCCGTCCTACGACACAAGCTACGACGATAATACGTACATATTTGGCGCGATGGCGGGCCACACCGTTGTCATCGCCACCTGCCCAAAGGGATTGATAGGCAACGTCAATGCCGGCCGGCTGACGGGTTCAATGTTCAAGACCTTTCCCAATATTCGAATGGCCGTGCTGGTCGGCATCGGCGGCGGTGTTACTCTTCCTGCTCCTGGTGATGACCCCCTCCAAGATGTTCATCTCGGGGATGTCGTGGTTGGATGGCCTGGCGACGGAAAGCCCGCTTGTATCTACTATGACTTGGGAAGGTGGAAGGTCAAGGGATGCTACGAGACGGTTGCTATGACAGCAAAACCCGACTGGATAATTCTGAATGCGCTGAGTATGCTTGCCTCAGACCACGAATTAGGCAGTACCAAATTTCACGATCATCTTGCGAGATTGCAGAATCACAAGAAGTTTATGCATCCCGGACTTGAACATGATAGGCTCTTTAAAGCCGACTATCACCATAAGGGAGAGTACGGGTCGAAGTGCGAAACATGTGACAAGGCTCAACTGGTCCAGCGACCCCCGCGAACTGAACAAGATAGGGACAAATTTGTGTTCCACCAGGGGAGGATTGCCACGGGCAATTCGGTCATTCAAGATGGTGAATGGAGAGACCAGATAAGCAAACGGTGTGGAGGAGTACTTTGTATTGAGATGGAGGCAGCCGGTGTCGACGCTAATAGAAGTTGCCTCGTAATCCGTGGTATTTCCAACTACGCGGATTCACATAAGAACGATGTCTGGAAGTCTTATGCGGCTGGAAAGGCAGCGGCGTTCGCAAGGGAGCTACTCTGCAGGATTCAACCAGCCCCGGTTAAAGACATGGAGGCAACGCCCAAAAGTTAGTAACAAGCTTCATTACTTCAGAGAGTTCACTGTTCTAAGAATCCTAGGTCATTTTATTGTCCCGTTTGGACGGAACCACGGCTTTGTCGGCCGTGAATCCATTCTGCAGCAGCTTCTAAAGAGGACACCGCCGAGTAATAACAGGGACAACTGCCAGAGGACCGCTATCGAGGGCCTCGGAGGCATTGGAAAGACACAGATAGCCCTCGAAACAGCCTACCAGGTCAGAAATAACCATAAAGACTGCTCTATCTTCTGGGTGTCGGCCGTGGATGCGACCAGTTTTGAGAATGCCTACCGCCAGATCGGTCAAGCACTCGGCGTCGCAGGGATCGACGAAGATGGGGCCGATGTCAAGTTGCTCGTTAAGAAAGCCCTCGAACACGAAAGCGCTGGCAGCTGGCTCTTAATCATCGATAAGGCCGATGATTCAAAGCTGTTCAAGGACACGGCGCTCTCTGACTATCACTATCTACCGTTCAGTCGAAAGGGTTCCATTCTCTTTACAACACGAAATCATGAGGTTGCATGGAAGCTTGATATAGCGGAGATTATCAACCTGAAGGAAATGAGTGAGGCTGAAGCTATAGAACTGCTGCAAAAAGGCTTATAGGGGAACCAGTTACGCGATATCGAGAGCACGAAACATCAACCAGCAGTAGTGTAATATATTCAGCCTCCGCATATCTAGCTTTTTGGTGACTGGTCTCATGATCGTGGAATCGAGTGAGGGAGAGTTCCAAGGCATACAAGAGTTAAAGCAACTTAGAACTTTGTGTCTTAGTTGCCAAATGCAAGTACCATGAGGCACCACCCTGTCAGACGCCCAAACCTTTCGAACTATCAATTGATTCAGACTATACGTAAACCCTCCAACTTCACTTATACGTTATACAGCCGTTATTGAAGTTATTCATAATTACATTAAAAAGGTATGTATCCAATTTCATAGTATCTATCTTTTGCTACTTTTAAGAGGTTCAAAGTGACCGAACATGGCAGAAACCTAAACAAGAAATCGGTGAAAATGCCGGCTCTCAACCACTTCACAGACTTAGGGGAAGCCTTTTCTCTAGATCCATGAAGTATTAGATCCCAAGATACCTTAGTATAAGTAAAACAAGGGTCTGATAGAATATCATATCCTAGATAACACGGGAAACTGCTTAGAAACAAGGTGCCGTGGAATTGGTGGCCTGAGGTCATGGCAAGGTACGCCTGAGATACTTCAGTGCCCTTGTGCGGCTCGGGACCCCCACCTGTACTTCCCCTTTTCACCTTCCTCTGTAGCCGGAATGCCAGTACCAATGCGATCCCACAGTATCAGTTAAGGCTTTGGGACTAGATGGTAAAGCCGCTTAGGGGACTTAAATCCAGCTAAATTTTCAACTTGATAAGAATGAAGAAGGTCGAATATATTCTTAAGTCTTACTCTAGAAACCTTTCGGTTATACACTAATATATAATTAGGCTAGAGAAGTCGTGTCCGCGCATCCAAGATAATAAGGATATTCGAAACCCCCAGGCTAAAACTAACGTAAAAGGCTTACTGGTAGACGGCCTAAGATTCGTACTAAGATAGTGTGTGACGAACGTCTAAATAGTGTAGCTGCTAAACCAGTAAGAAGTCTAGTGTTGGTTTGTGCTAGCCAGATAAATCCTGCTTCGGGGTCTTGATCAGGAATAAAGGTGCGTGCGTATGGAATCTGATTGGCAATGGGTAATTGAAGGTAGTGCCCTCAAGAGGCCGCACCAATGGGTTAAATTGATGCTTAGATTGATCGCTGAAGTACAGACTGTCCATCTATGAGATACTGGGGAACCTTGTCCTTTATATATCCATCCTCACGTGACCTTCCTCCCTGCGGATCCTTGATCCTTGCCGCTTACCTAGCTCCTTCTCCTGCGCTATCTGGCTGCCAACGGGCCTGTTGGGTTAATTAGAACCAACGGTTCGTAACAGCTCTTCCTACAACTACTATGCTAAGACAGGTCTCTTCTATGTATAAGAGATACATATATCAATAAAGAGGCCTGGGATATTTTAGAGGAATTATATAATCCTAAAGGATTTACTACCGAGTCTTTAACCTTAGAATAATTCTTTAATACTACCTTAGAGGAACTCAACTCTATAGAAGATATATTAGTAAGGTTAAAAAACTAGTAGATAGCCTAAAATGAAAGGATATAATTTTACCCAATCATATAGTTATAGCCTGGGTCTGAAATAACCTATGAAACAACTACAAAGGGCTTATTTGCAATATCACCCAGTCGCTTAGAAAACAACACTGACGTCTCTTAGAACAAGCATTGCTACTGGTTAATGGTCCTTCATTAGAACTTATCTGCCTACATATATATATATCGGATCGGAGGTTTGTTTACAGAAACTGCCAAATAATTTGCTTCCCAAATATGCATGTGTTTGTGTTTTCTCTGTTCGGAGTTTGCACCAATGGGCAACTCAATCAGGTTGTGGCTATATGCTATTATTACTTTGCAGCATCCCTGTGCTTAGAATGTATCTTCTAGCTGCTTTTTTCTTGCTTCTCCTTCCATTAAAGTAGTGATTAATCACCTTTTATTTGGTAACTTGAATAGTAAGAATGATTTGCTATTTTAGACTTGGGCATGAATTCACTTACTTGTCTTCTTCAACCCAGTTCAATGAAGCAAATTCCAAATGAGTGCTATATGTAGACATTACGTACCAATGCACCTTCACGTACTTGGGTAAAAATTTCCCAAAAGTAATTGGAACCAGGGCAAACCCTTTGCTTTGGGATTTAGCAATCAACAATCACTTTCCTTGAACTGATCTTCTTCACCCACATTCCTCTAACCGCCCTATTTGAAATGACAAAATCTGACCTCGTGAGAACCTGTTATCAGGGAAGACTGGGGCAACATTATCATGCTGCACGTGCTTGTACAGAGATTGGGTAGACTCAAGTCTGTCAATCTAAACACTTGCCGCCTGCTCAGACATTTCATTCAGGACATCAGAATAGTCACATAATTAGCATCAGCTGTTTGAAATACATAAGAACCCCATGGCATCGCACATTTTTAACAAGATAGAAAGTTGATACTGAGAACACTTATTTAATCCCAGCGACCTCCTTTCCTGTATGACACGGCAGGAGCGACTGTTGACACTAACCGTAGGACCCACCTCGTTGCTGCCTTTTTCAGATTGTGATTGCGACTTGCATTCTTGGGATGAACTTGTGAAAATTTTCTACTTGGGTAGTTAATCAATGTTCCAAGTCAGAACCACTCGATCGTCATTGCCTGCAGTCTGCACTGTCCAGCTGTCTCTTTCTACAGCCGCAATTATTGTGTCGTCTTTTTCAGTCTGGGAGTCGGCACTCTTCAGACATTCTTTCCTGCAACCGGAACCGTTCAATGCTCAATTCCTGCGTTCGGCAGTGTTGAGTAGTCCATTCGTACTTTTGGACTTGCACACATTTGGCATTTCTCAGTCGTCAATTTGTGCGCTCACAAAGTTATTCTTTCAATTTGGACTCGTCAAGTTGTGCATATGACCTCTGCTCACTTGTCACTTTGTGGTATCTCCTCAGTCATTCCTTACATTTACTTATTTGTTCATGCAAATTGAGCACTGTTCAGTCGTTCCCCGAGTTGGACACTGTTCTTTCGTTCCTTCGACTCGGATATCGGCCAGTCATCCCTTAAAATTGGATGCTGCTCAGCCGTTCCTTCGACCTGAATACTATTTAGTCGCCCCTTCGACTTGGGTGTTGCCCGTTAACATTTTCACTTGAGAACGGCTCAACTATCATTCAAATCCTCATAAGGTAGGTACTCACAATCACCTTTCTTACTTTATTGCCACTCAGTCCTCCCTCCCATTTGGTCCCTGCTTGGTTCTCCCTCTTCACCGGCGCTGCACATCGCCATTTTTTATTGGGCCTCGAGGTACTTCGTTGTCTTTTAAATTGGGCTCTTCTTGGTAGACTCTCTCACCTGCGTGTTGCACAGTCATCCCTCTCGCCTTGGGGCTGCCAAGTTATCTCTCTCACTTGGGCACTGCTTAATTGTGCCTTTCACCCCGTACTACTCAGTCGTCACTTCTAATTAGTACTGCCTAGTCGTTTCTTCCACCTAATATTACTTAAACATCGCTTCCACTTTAATAGTGGCCCCGAGGTAAGTGTTTATTCCTATCCAGTAAAACTCAGTTGTCACTTTTGTTGCCACACTCAACTGTAGCTACCTGCACTTCTACCATCACTCTCCTTTCTATTCTTTACTTTCCCCCCAACTGGTGCTAGCGTTTACATTCACTTGGAATGGTTATTTACCTTCACTTAGGCCCTTCGTTTCCCTTCACTTGTAGTGGTGGTTTGCATCCTCTCAAAGCCCAATGTTTACATTTACTCATAGTAATCTTCTAATTCAACGTGAGCCGTTGTCTACCTTCACTTGGGGATAACCTTTACACTCACTTGCGGTGGTTTTCTGCTTCCACTCCGGTCATCGTTTATACTCACTTGCGACCGTCCTTTACTTTCACTCAGGGTTATCGTTTACTTTCCGCAGGGCTGGTTGTTTACTTCTACTAGAGGTCATCATCTACCTTCCCCTCTCAGTACCATCGTATACTACCCCTTGTGGCTGTCGTTCACTTCAACTTGGACACTGCTTAGTTGCCAGTCCACTTTGCCACGGCCTATCTCGGTTGTCTCTCGACTACTGGCATCACTTCCACAATCGTAAGTTGAGTTCACTCCTTCTAGCTTGACAGTACCGATTTTTCCATTTTCTTTCTGCTCAGTTGTTACTTCCAAGTCTATCTGTCCTTCCCCCCTAGAGTCCCTTCTAGTTAAGCATTTCAGCTCCATAGTGAATGTCTTCTACTTCAGGTCGTCGTTTCCCTCTTGATGTCCTTGTTAATTCACTGACCATGCTCCCTCATGATTGGCTTGGCCCATCTCCCTTGTCGATCCACCGTTCCTTCTCCCACGTTTATCCATCCTATCCCGAATTCCTTGCTCTTTCATCATCACTCTATTGGCTCGCCAAGTTTTCGTGGTCACATTTACTCTCCAATCATACTATGACGGTTCTCTCGCCGATTCCACTTCACCCCTATTCCTTCGCCGAGTTTGCTGCATCCCTACCCCTTCACCGATTCCATGCACCATTATTCCCTTACTCTTATGAATAACATATTAACAACTACTCCACAGGTAGCGGTCATCAGCATGGCCCCTAATCAAAAGCGTGCAGCTAGTCAGCATAGCTTGGCCGTGTCTTCAGATCTGAAGCGTCGTTGTCTCAGAAATCGAAGCGACGTTCTCGGAAACGACAGCGACGGTCTTACAAATGCAGGTGTTAGCAACAGCAACAATGACGTTAGTGAAACCACAGGCCCTTCCAGTGGCACCAGATCGAGAATAAACAGAAATATTGCCAGCAGCGCCACGGGAGGTCACGACCCTGGCTCACTGTCAATCATGCCCATGATTGATGGTCTAGGCACACTGAATACCCCTTCAAGCACACCTAACTCATTTACAACGCCGCAGGCCACGGGAAAATGCAATATACCCCAATCAGTGGCTACAAAGACAAAAGATCGGCTCCCTACGATCCAACAGCGCAGCAGGCAGCAAACTGATCAAGAGAGTGCAGAAATGGATGCTGTCAACCCAGATGAAAGTAAGCCTCAGCCGTCTGGCAGTCCAGAGGTCTGGTCCAATGGGCGAGCTGCATTATGCAATGCGGTGGAAAGCTACTTCAATTCCCATCAAGGCTCTCAGTATGCCTGCAAAGGCAAACTATACGGCTTGCTCATTGATAAGTATGCTTGCCACCGTGATATGGTCAAGAGCCAGATTATCATCACAAATGTGTGAGTAACTTGACTAAATTCTTGAAATTCATTTTAGTTAACCATTTTAATACGTAGTGGTGGTGGGAGAAAACTGGACAGTACCACAGGCCAGATGGCCAGGACTCAGAATCAGGATGACGCTTGCTCGCAGCTTAAGGTATTGAGAGCTGCCTTAAATAACAGAGATGTCATTGTTGTCATTGTTGGTAAGTCCACATCCCTTTTATGTATATGTATCTTTCTTTACTAATAGGAGTCAGGCTCACAATACCCTTACTTCCCGGTTGTGATTCCTCACACATACAACGTGCTGGATCATTTCATTATTACCGATCTGTGGCCCGAAAAAGATGGAAAAAACATATCTCATTGGAAGATTCGCCTCGAAAAGTTCGACCTGCAATCCGTGTCATGGTGGACACCCCATGGCGAAGAGGACCGCGAGCAGTTTAATGCTGGCCAGTACATTTGTGAGGCACAGATGTGTCCGACTTGCGAGACTGAGAGCAAAATTATTTTCCAGCAAGGATGGATTTGCTTGAACAATAAATGCGAGGAATTCTTCCGCTGCGAGTCTGGTGCAGATGTGGATAAGTTGACTTACGACGAGAAGTTTGTCAATGAGAGATCCCATCGTGTGGGGCCCCTCGAGCCTGTCCCCTTGGTACCTGCATTGCCAAATGCAGAAGGTGGAGACTTTGGAACAGAAAAGAAGTTCAAGATGGGCATGGTATGCCCCAAATGCCGATGCTGCAGTCGCCGAATGCACTGGAAGGGCTGGGAATGTGAGAACCCTGATTGTGATTTTACACATACGGTTCAGCTACGGGAAGTTCCCGCTGCCAATGCTGTCAAAGAAGAGCAGCAGGGCAAGCGGATCAAAGCGTCCTCTTACAATGAGAAATTAGTTGGGCGCTGGGACTTGAAAATTGCTGGATATGATGTTGAGGCGTACAGTTTCCCTGGCAAGGATGGCCAGGTCGTTGGATCAGTCTTTGTCTACCGAGCGACAAGTGACATACGATCCAAAGTGAATGGACCAGATGACCTATATAGAGCGATGCAAAAGGAAGATCTGCGACTGAAAAGAAACCCCGCAAGGAACCCAGGTAAGTGAGTTTGGCATCATAGTGGGTACACAAGCTAACTTTGACCAGGTGCCCGAGTCGAACAACTCACCAACCACTTCAGCAGCAACTGGGTAAGGAGTACAAAATCCTTCCGGTCAGAGACGTGGCTAACAAAATGTTTTCATTAGGGAGCCTTCTACAAGTTTGGGGTCTTGGTCGAAACCAACGGATTTGCCGAAGCACCGGAACCTATTCTACGTGGACAGGCACAGCTCGACTGGGCTCACAAGGAGACCATTTCTGCCATGAAGGAGCTGTTTGAAGCTGAGGAGATTGAATACTGTGAGGATTCTATGACATTGGAGCCTCATACTTTCAATGAACTCCTGTCCCTGGGCTACTTTGAGAGCTGTGTGATCAATGTGCGTCAAACTCCTTTTAATTCCCTCTCAAATCAAAGACAGAACTAAAAAATACAGCAGTATCACGACGACGGCGAGAAGGAGTTAGGACCTACGGTCGCAACCCTATCTTTAGGATCACCTTCCATCATGAACTTTGCCCCAAAGAGTTCGAGTGGAATCGGAAAGAAAACAAAAGGAAAATACGGACCGGCTGTTCTTTCCTTTCCACTGAACCATGGAGACATCGTGGTCATGCATGGAAGCATGATTCACAAGCACTATGTGGTATGTTAGCTGATCTGTGACTATAAACAAAGGAAACTCATATTCTGTCTTAGCATTCGGTGAAACCAGCCGGGAAATTGCGTTTTGCATTGACCTGCCGATACATTCGACCGGAGACAATACATGACCCCAAGGCCCGTGCAGAGGCCATTGAGAAAGGGAAGATTCCGGAGGGAATCGAGCAACTGGCGTACAAGGGTACCGATGAGCCAGGTCAGAATCTGAATCTCGACGATAACAGCCGTGGCAACGATCAGTAAAAATTTGGACTAACATGTCCATAGGTGGTGGAAATCAGAGCCACGGAGACTCTGCCAACTTTGGTCCGAACACTACCGCCAACAAAGAGGTACCACCTACCATAACACCTCTGGAAATCCAGGAACAAGGAGTTTCGACCTGGTATCAATTCTACGATTGGTTTCAAGCCAACCCCGAAGCCTTCCTTGGGCTTTCTCCAGAACAGACCAGTACCCTGTTCACTCAAGCCTTGAACTTTTCTCAGAGTCTCAACATAGCAAAACCGATCACTGCTGCTGATGAGGACTAATCAGTTCTTAGCATAATTACTATATTTCTCTTTCTCTTTTGCGCAGATCTGATTACGGTTGACTCCACTGAAGGATGGAGGCTTATACCTGGGGAAGCGCAAACGGTATATGTGCTATCTTCACGGGATGCAGTGGAGGATTGGGGTCATTTTCTGGTGGCTTACTCTTGCGACGTTTTCTGATTTAAGAGCCATGAGCTCTAAAATGGCTGTTATATGGGAAGTGGTGGGCCGATTTTCATGGCTGGCATATCTCGGGGGAAGGATTTGTGGATGGTTTTACGGCTGCGATGTCTACTGCGTGAAAGTTGCTTTACCTATGGGTATTATTTCGGGCTTATTGCGTTGATTTCAGGGACTGGGGTTTCTCATGGATGGATTTCTACTTGCCGATGATCTCATCGAGACCTCGGATTTGCGTTGTGTTCAGCTGGGCACGGGTTACCTTGCTATTGCCCCAACACAAACTGAGTTATATTAAATACTAAATAACCAGCTAATCAATGACAATTGAGTGCTCCCAATTTTAAATATTTATTATTATTATTATTATTAAATACGCCGTAGGCTCGAAGCTCTCGGTCCCTCTACTAGGACTCCCGTATGTCAAACCGTGCCCTAATGGCTGGACTAAATACATACTCTGCTTGGTCGGTTCACCCTATCGGCGACTGCGTTGGTTCTCAATGTAACAACAAAGTCCCGCTGAGAAGATCGATGCTATCTGGGCCCTGAAGCTTTCCGACCCGTCCCTAGCAGCCGACTTACAATAGTCCTACTAAATACCGGTTCTTCTATTGCCGTTGCGAGGTCTCTGCGAGACTGTAGCGGCCGTGGTGCGATAGCGGCTCTATTCTAACAGAAGGTAAATATACGTGCTAGCAGGGAGATAAAGGTTCACGCGGAACTGCGATCAGAATTATCTTTTAAGCACCAGATGATGTCCCTCCTACTACTGAGATATCACAGCTTCATGCCATTTCTTACACGACTTACGGTAGTTGCAGTGATCACCAAGCCGCTGCTGTGCTCCACATAGTTGAGCGCAAGTCCAAATGTGCCTCTTGTTTCTTTGGCATAGTATCAGCCCAAGCTATAATGGCTTGTTTGATTGGATTGCCTTAACACAATAAAGGGATCCAAGACCCTGGAACTTCTGGGCATCAATTTTACATGAAGGTGTAAATGAATATTTCACAGAAGAGGTACGTAAGAGTTATAAAATACTAAATATATTTAGCTGTTCACAATAAGTGAAGCAAATAAAGAGGCATAAAGCCTGGGATCAAATAGATAAAAGTATACCAATAGCAGTAAATGACGCAAAAAACATCATCAGGAGTAAACAAAGGGATGAATCCACCCAAAATGAGTAACGAGAAATCAACAACGTACGAAACCAAAAAAATCAACCAATAGAAGCAACCAAAGTATTAGAGAAGAAGATCTTTGAGTCATCATTATAAACATCCCGTATCGAAACCGTCAAGTATATACACTGAAATAGGCATATGCCGCCCGGTTCTAGTCCAACTGGTGCAGAACCTCCTTAATCATAGAGCCCCAGAATCTCCCCGATGATGCTCTTGAAGATACCGTTAGGGTCAAACTTCTCCCTTACGACCTTGAACCGCGCCAGATGATCGGGGTCAATGTTCTTGGTCGCGTTGCCATATACCTCACGCGTGTTCTTGGTCCAGTGGGGGCGGCAGGGGAACTCTTCGACAAGCGTCTTGGCTAGCCTTGGGTCTAGTTTTGTTAGATATATCAGCAGGGACCTCTCGAGTTATGTTCGAGAGGAAAAGGTGGAGTTACTCACAAAACTCCTCATTGAACCGCTTCTTATCCCCAATAGTCGGCTTAAAGCTGGGAAAATCAAACATGATAGCGCCCTTGGACCAATCGGCGCCATCGCTTGTATCGTACGTGACCTGGCCCAGGAGATCATAATAGGGCTTTCCGAACTTGATGTTTATGCCGCTGCGGTAGGTGCTCGTCATGATGATGCCCCTCTCGGTCCACTCGGCGTCGAAGAGCTCCCGCACGCGCTTCAGCATATCGTTGGCCATGATGATGGGAAAGGCGAGCTCGAGCGTCATGCCGTGTAGGTTGTAGTCCCACTCGGGCTGCTGGCCCGGGTACAAGCCGCCAATGAGCACGTCGTAGTTCCAACCGTAGACGGGCCAGTCGGTGATTTTCTCGTCTGTCGTCTTCTCGTGGAAGTTGGGTTCCGACCATTGTCCGAAGAAGATGGATTCCATGAGCATGTTGGAGGTGGCCAGATATTTGCCGCTGTCAAGGATGGTACGCGCCGTGTTGCCTTCGAGCTCCGTTACGGAGAAGGTGTTTTGGAAGCCTTGCTGGTCGCTTTTGTTGGTGGGGATCACGTCGTAGGTGCGCCAATGGAACTTCTTTAGGTAGGGCCACCACCAGAAGTTGGCCGTGGCATACGGGGCGATCATGTTGTAGATGTCTCCGTTCAGGACGTCATCTTCCTCGAGCCTAGAAACATAAAGTCAGAAAACTGGGGCATCCTTGATCCAGACAGCCGGTACTCACGTCAGTTGCTGAGCATAGACCTTGAAGTCTGGGTAAATCTTGAACTTCAACCTGGCAATAACACCAAGCAGACCCAAAGACGTCGAGGCAGCAAGCCAGTCATCGTTGGTGTTGTCCCTGTCGAGCGTGACAATGTCACCGTTTCCGTTTATGATGTCCATCGAAAGCACACCTGCAGCAACCATGGAATCTTCACGAATGGACGATCGATGGGCCCCCATGGCGACGGCGCCGGCCATGGTAATGTTCCAGTTCACCAGCGTATACCCCATCGAAGCATTGCGCTCGTGGAGGTACTCGGCCAGTTGCAAGAAGGTGACACCGGCCTCCATGACGACCGAGCCCGATGCTGCGCCCTCCTCGAGACTGAACTCGGTGATCTGGTTTGCCTCCTCGGTGTGGATGATGATGGTGTTGGGGTCGTCCTGGCACATAGTATCGTACCACATGTGCCCCTTTCCCGATGCCCTCACCGGCGTCCCATTCGCAGCCGCATCTTTGACGATCTGAACCATCTCGTCGACGCTGGTGACATTGTACACGGCGGCGACATCGTTACAGGCGGGGAACCCTACGCCGTCGAACGTGTTGTAGGGCACCGCTGCGACGCCTAGGACGGTGCAGGCTAAAAGGTAGCTTTGGCGAAGTGACAACATCGTGAGGAATGGCAGAGATGCTATCAGTGAAGAGCTGGTGAGAAACAGGGTGATTTGCCGGATGAAGCTCGATCTCAGCTTGCAAGCCAAGGATGATCCAGGGGGCAAGCGCTACGATGTGGCGACTGCTAAATAGTCACTCCATCCACCTCGCAGAAAGCTTAGTTCTCTCCACCCACTCCCTGTTGAAGACTTGAGACCCTGCTGCCCTGCGTCATCATCACATACCGATCCCCTCACCTCTGTCCACCAAAACACCTTCGCAGCCGCGGTATTCACATTTCGGCCCTCTTCCAGAACCCCGGTCGTTCAGCTAACTTCGTCTATACGTGTTTCACATGTGATCTGTTCATCGTGGAAAATTAGATGCCGCGGTCATACCAAGTAGGATTCGACGTGGCACCGCATGTAACCAGTCTGTGGATTCAGTGTCATTTCGGCAACAAGACCGGGCTCCTCGTTTTGCGGTCAAAAACGAAACGAGGAAATTCAATTTTCCTGGCCACCAACACCAAAACTAGTGATCATGCTCTGCAAAGAGAGCCTGCCCCTGTCGCCAAGACGGGGATGAGGTTCAATAATGGGTAGAGACCCCAGGCTACAATGTAACACCCCGCCAAAACATTGCAATGAGTGGCGTGACGAGTTTGCGGGGGACCTTTGGGCTTGTTTTTCATGTACATAGTACTGAGGTGATAGTCAGGAACGTGGTTGCCGGTGTTTTTGGTTTGTTTTGGTGTTGGGAGTTGACTGCGAGGTGATGGGGAAACCCAATACCGCGGTGGCCTTTCCCGGAAATGGTGCCTATAGCCTTGAAGTCACTATCGAGTAACCCAAGTGGCAAAGTACTTTTTACTCCTTTTCTTGCATCTTCTAAGGCTTCCATAAATTGATTTTTTTTCTTTTTTCTTTTCAATATCGTAGTCGCTTGACTGAAGTTATCCTCATTTTTCGGCTTTTGCCAGTTTTCAAGGTTGGCACTTGGGGGTGGAGTTTGATGCACTTCTACATTGCCCGCCCGATACTTTTGGCATACAGCGAATGTATTAGATACGAGACAGACACTTTCCTGTGGATGTGATTGCTGGAGCACGCACAAGACAGCTGCTCACTTGCATGCTGCCTGCCAGCCAGGGATGAACCGTGCGTGCATAGACATACATACCGATCCGACATGTTGGCACCCTAGACGGACTTATCAGACAGACGAGTGCGAGTTATCTGATCTTATCAGATGCGAAAGCATGTCGTGGATGACAATTGTCTCGGATATGACTGGCGGAAGCCAGGGTATTCGGATGACGAGTAGCTACCTATATGTAAGATCACCACCATCGCAATCTCGTTGCTGATAATTGTCAAATTTCATGCTATGATCGGCATCCTTGGTGAGCCTGTAGGTTCTTCCAGGAGCGGCTTTACAGCCAGATGCCACTTATGAGGCGGGTCTTCGGGCATGACTGACGTAACATCGAACGGGGGATCATTGGGGGTGATTGTCTTGGAAAGGTAAATAGGATGGAGTAGTTGACATGTCACAAACAACCCTCCGAGTCTTCTACTGAATCAATATCAGACAACTGTTTTCGTCGTTGGTCTTCCCAATTTCCAGGTTAAAATACAGGGTATCATCATACTTCATTTCGCCTCAACCCTCACCAAAACTGATGCCTGACGAGCTATCCATCAGACCAAATCCCACCTAGCAACCCACCCCACAGCCTGACCAGCATTCCGAACAACACAAACCCTAGCCGCCGGGTCATCCTTATTCTTATACCTCCCCAACTCCTCCCGCGCCATCTCGGCCGAGATACTCCCGATCCCCTCCCCGCACCCGTTCCTGAGGTTGAAGCTCCCCGTCGTGACGAACCCTATCAGATCCTCTGCGTCGGGACAGAACGGGTGCCCGTTGACATTGCCCTCGTTAGGCTGGGACGGAGGGGGCCCAATGAGCTCCTGTGCTAGGAGGCGTTTGCGAGTTTCGACGTCCAGGTCCACCGCTGAATTATGCTTCAGCGGCGGTTTGGCCTTTGCGCCGTTTGTCTTCCCGGGGATCTTAGCTAGCCATTGATCTCGAAGGTCAGATGGGAGTTTGCTGTTGTCCCTAACATGGGTCGGCTCCGTTGCCGGCACTTCAGCTTGCGTCGAGACTGGGACATGCGCGATGGTAGGTAATCGGTAGATCCTGGCACAGGGAGCGGGTGTACCTCGTGATAAGGTTCGAATCTTAACTGTGACGATGGCGCCTAAGGGGAAGGGATCTGACTTAGGATCGACGTAAGCGTTGAATGCAGACTTCGTAAGATGAATGACGTGCGTCAGCGCATGTTTCATAAGCTTAGTACTTTTATTTTCCTTCGCTGGTTCAGTTCCTTCGATCTCAACGTTGGATTCCTCATCTGGTTGACTGGCGTCTGTGCCACTCTCAGGGAGTTCGAAAAGGGTCTCAAAGCCACAGTCCCAACCGTCGCCAACTTCCCCCTTTCTTCCCGCGCCAAGGTCAAGAGCCTCGTAGGCAATTCGCTTTCCCTTGGGCATACGATCCCAAGCTTTCTTCCGCTCATGCCGTTGCTCCAGCTCCCATGCCATCCCTGCATCGGTTCCGGGGAAATCACCGGGAAACCAAGGTATTCCTTGTTCAAAGGCCAACTGTCTCTTTTCGTTCAAGCCACCAAGCCCTGGGTTTCCACCAGTTGATAATGGGAAATGCATGAGACTATGCCAGAGAGGGAGAATACATTTCCATGGCATCATCAAGGTCCAAGTCCCGGCATTGGGTGACTGACGAGAGGCAGTTAGGATGATTGGAATTGCCGTATCGGTCTCACTAGGTTCAAGGAAAACACCTGGAGCATTTTTGCCTCTGCGACGATTTAGGGACTGTTGAGTGGGAAGCTGAGAAGCCTTGAACCGAGCATCGCGGTCGAATAGAGCGAATGGCACCGGGTCTTCAGTTTGGTGCCATTTAGACAGGGTTTCAAGCAAGCCAAGTTGAGCTTCTTGGTTGGTCATGTCGGGCAATTCCGTCCGTCTCGGCGGATATCGAAGACGAGGATCCATGATCGAGAACGCCAGCAGAGATCCCAGAGGAAGGGAAGCGGGATCTTGCAGTCCTGCGAGTGACTGGAACTTCGCCACGTGTGGCTCCTTTGATTCTGTCTTGGAGTAGTAGGGCTTTAGTAAGCCCAGCAACGCCTCGGTGGAATTGGGACCCGTGACTTCGATGCTGCCAATCTCGTACCGTAGGTCTTCGATGTAAGGTCTCGGGTTTTGGCCTTTCACTAAACGATTGAGCTCTTCAAAAGCCTCCAGGAAGCTGGATGGGTGAATCCGAATGAAAAGTCGCCTCCTAAGCTGCTTCGGTGGTTCACTCGAGTCATTGGTCCGCTTTACCGACTCAGGGTTCCAGATGATGGAAGCAGGAGCGATGATCCGGAGATAAGCTCCAACCTTCCTGCGCAGAGTGCCACTCCAACAAACAGCCCCAGACCTCCATTTGGCGCCCTTGTCGTTCCACAGTACCGCCTGTGTTAAACATAAGCCCTTGAGCACATGTTCAACACTCCTAGGAGTACCACACAGGCCAATGGTGCTCATATAGCTCGTATCCCAAGCCATGACGCCCTTTTCCCACTGAATACGATGTGCGGGTCGGTAGACTTTCTGGGTCGGCGTGATAGGTATAGCAAACCTCCACAACGGCTTGTTAGGCTCTGTTAAACGCGCCCTCTTTGCATGCCACAAATGCGTGGGCAGCCATGTCTTATTCAGCTGTCTTTTCTTGAACTTTTTGATGGTAACCAACGGGTCATTGAGGGTATTTCTCCTGATTTTCGGCCTGGCCATGCGTGTCTCGATCGTCACCTTGTCCAGATTGCCCCTCTTCAGCAACTTCTGTTTTCGCCTCCTCTCAGCAAGTTTCCCCAAGCGCAGCACGGTCTCAGATCGCAGCCGATCCCTTGTGCTGCTTGGTTTCCTGGTCTTCGCATTCACCGTTGGCGTATTATCCGCTGCCATCTCCTTCTTGGCCCTCTTCTGAAGCCGCTTTGGAACCCTTTTATGGTTGTGTGCCGCAGCTCGCCGTCTCAGCGTGTAAGGGACTTGCTGGAATGCACGGCTCGAACGTGTAGCGCGAGTTCGTCTCATGCTCTCATCCAGTGCCTTTACCTCGAAACCACGAGAGTTGACAAAAGACTGCAGGTCGAGCTCGCCATCCTTCAGCGCTGAGTCGGAGCGTTGAGATGGAATACTCCGAGCTGCTCGATTTTTCATTCTTCTCGCTTCTGGGCCATTATTAGACGGAGCGTCTTTGCCTCCGTGTCTGGATTTGTTGGATGACTGTCGGCCATCTTTGCCCTGGTTCGACTGGCCAGGCTGATTGCTTGAGCCCATGTTCTTGCCATTGGGCTTGGGCCTTTTGCCCGTGGTTGGCCCCAGAGAGTCACCAGCTAGGCGTTTTTTTTGACCACCGGATTTGCCCGATTTGTCACCCGGCGGAGGAGGCATCTTAACAAGACCGATAAAAAGTTGTCAACCTGTGGGTGCGAGTCGTGTCGGTAAGTGCCTTTCGTCCAGACGTGATACTTGACGTTTCTGCTCCCAGACTTGAGACGCGACTCATTTGGCCAGTCAAATATGAGTCCAAGTTTCAGCAAAGAGGGTATTCTTGGGATTCGTCCACTGTTTCCAAACGTATCTCAACCTCATCAGATCACCAGGGTCCCACCAGAACTATTACAGGCTCGCATGCGAAGGCAGGTTCTCGCGTCTCCTTTAACTCAGGCAGATTGATTCGCGTCTTGCACCATACTGAAAAGTTTTGCACGGCCACAGGACGGAGCCACAGGACGGAGCCACCGGACTCTGCAGGGCAGGTCCTAACAAGTAAAACTCGGGACCCACCGCCCTGCATTCAGCCAATTCCAATTCCAATGCTGTGGCTCCATCAATGACGTCTCTTAGCTGGAAGCGCGTTGGCGTTGTCCTTTCCAATGCCTAACTTACAACTGTCATCGTCGACTTCAATCCGACCATCAAGCTGAGTCAGGGTGGTCCAGAACCGTTATTCGTCTACAATCACAGCAATTTGATTTAACCGACCATCGCATGCTGTTCGGGGCCAGCTGGACTAGCAACGCGCCGAACGTTTCTAGACGACAACCATGACTGGATGTAACGGCGGTCTCCTGTCATCTGGCATCCCCGATTCGGTAAGCCAGTCCGCCGAATGACTGACACGCCTGTCACTGGGGTGAATGCGGCTATTATAACCAGACCATGGCGTCCTTGAGTAAGCGACCTCTTCCTTCGAGCCGTTTCCTTTAAACTCCGTTTTCTTGCCGGGCGCTGTTCCCTAGCTTCCCATGGCGGCTTCTTGCTTCCGGAGTCATATCAGCCGCATTCCAAGGCGGGCTTTGTCCCATCTCCGATTGCCTGGACGGAACGCGTGGACAAGTTACAATAGACTACCGTTGCCGCCATGTGAAGCATATCCTTGTTCTTTGTTCTCTCGTATATATACTGTTGCTACGATATGAGTTTCGTATAATAAACTCCTTAACCCTTGGCGGAATCAAAACAAACCACTTCACTATTATCGGAAACAACGGCCATGCGCCCATCCCAACATGCTACTTGCTAACATGCCGTCCTTTCTCCCAATAGTCAACAAGGCTCGCAAGCCCAAGTTTGAGCTTCATCTTACGATATATGACCTAAACAACGTACCGCTCGTCAGCGGCACCTCATTGATCAAATGGCACCTCCCACATTCCATGCACGGCGAACACCGCGGCCGGACTCCCAAATGCCCAATCGACAGCATCAGCCATCGTGCCTCCTATGGTTACTCCAAGGTCGTGCCACTGCGAATCACAATCGACCGCAATAATAATTTGACCGAATGTCCGATCGAATTCGAAGTCACTCAGGAATTCCCTATAGTGCCCGGCGGCCGGGACGAGAAGATGACACTGGGTATCGTCAAGCTAAACCTCAGTGAATATGTGGAAGAGAGTGAAAACTTCTCCCGGAGGAGTATAGGTGGCAGGGTTGGACTTAGCTTGGACTATGCAAGAGAAAAGATAGTAGGGGGCCGAAGATTGAGCACTGCAAGTCAGCACATGCCAGGAAATATTAGTCCGACAAATACAACCTCAAGGGGCTTCTCGGAGCAGGCTACGTCAGAGGAGGAAGTCGCGGAAGAAGGAATTGTCCGGAGATACTTGATGCAGGAGAGCAAAATCAACAGCACACTCAAGATCGGCATCCTCATGATACAGATTGACGGCGAACGAAACTACGTTGCGCCTCCGTTGAAGACAGCGCCTATGTTTGGTGGCATCGCCGGTATAATGGCTGGAGACACCGTCGAGCCTGTGGACGACGCAGCGCTGGGTATGGGCGCTGTCCCGAATGTAACGAGCGCCACCAAATCAAGAGACGCGAGCGAGTTGCAGGATATGTACCGCCGCGCACTAGCAGCAAGCTGGTCTTGTCAACCCGGGGAACTACCAGCAGATGAGTGCATCGAGGACATCTTCGCTGGGGGCGATGGGTGGAAAGGACCACGCAGAGGGGACAAGGCCGATCGCGGCCGAGAGGGAGATCACAGGGACGCGAGCACCGCCAGCAGTAACAGCGGGGATGAAGCAGCAGGTGGTACGTTACGGCCAAACGATAGTAAGCATATGCGAGCGCATATGCACAGGCGACAACGTAGCGCCGCGAGCGGGAAGAGCAACTTAACGGTTACGGGGCGGAATGGGGCAACGCGCGATCCTTGGAGCAATGGGAACGGAGAACATAGTCGGCATAAGGGGCATACGAGGCAGCACAGTCGAGAGGATAGTCTGGTGCCACCACAGAGCGGCTTTGAGCACGCGAGTGGGATGCGGAGTCGCAGCGAGAGTCTGGCTAGTTTGGCACCTACGCTGGGGAGTCTTACAGATAGGGATATGGGGAGAGGGAGGGAGGGGTTCATGAGGCCCAGGGAGGTGGATGAGTTTGAGGTTAGGGAGGATCTTGTGTCTTGGGCTTTGCCTGGGACTATGGCGTAGTAATACCTGTCTAGATAGACAAATGCAAATACATACTTCAGTACTGGTTAAGGAATTTGGTGTAGTTTGGGGATGAGAGTATGCTGGCAACTGACAGCAGCATATCTGGATTAGTAGCACGTGAAGATATTAATGTTGGTAAATGGTTCAGTTTCCGCGGTCCGGTCATAATTAAGTCATGGGGAACAAGGTCATCTTAGGCTCTCATTTTCAATACCTCATACCCAGGTTCGCCCGTACGAGGAGGTTACTGGGCGAGTTGGTTTTCAAGTGGAGGACTAGCTCTGATACCATTACTAAAGCAACAAGAAGACGAGAGGCCTCTGCAATATTGTGAGGATAGAAGATGATTCTGGGCAGATGACCTGGAACAATGGGAAAAAAATTCCAGTTGCTCTATGATGTGTTGGGTATTCTGGTACATTCATGCCTCCTCCGCTGCTTGAATGCTCCAACCGCCGGGCTTCTAGATAGAACGGATTGAATAGCCTTCTCAACATGGGTCCTGGAGAGAGCCAGAATCACGGAATCTGATATCGTGATGACTTGCTTTTAGTGGGTGCCGCCTGTCCTTCCAAATAAAGTATGATTTAGTCTACTGGTGAGCGACCCCTGTGATGAGCTCCCGCACTTATAGATAAGTGAAGTGCATTGATCATAAACGTCTTGGCACAACTCCCTTTGCCAATTTTGAGGCGCTGACACAGTGGGTCGGTATTTGGCTCATGAGAAAATGCGAATAGACAGAGAGTCAGATACTGGGTGGGATATGGAGTTTGAAGCGCCGAAGGTATATACTTGATACTGTCTGTATTTTCATATTATAGGTTAACCCAGAGGCTAGGCGAAGCAGCGAGACATCCCCAGAACTAGTGATGGCCCGTATACTATCATGTCATCGGTTTCCTTACAGAGAGATATTGTGTTGCTAAGACAATAAAGTATAATATTTTATTGTAAGGCGTACTGAGATTGCTTCTAGTACAATTCAATGGTGCCGAATAACTATGTAACATAAAGGTAATGAGGTTCTTTCCTGCCAGACTATCATACGCTACAGCTTAGAATGAGACTATTTGAGTACCCTGTCCGAAGAGTGTACCCAAGACCTGTTCTAACAAAAAGCAGAGTCTCCGAAACCTGCAAGTCGTCTTGGCTCGCTCAAAGAAGGCAAGAGAAACGCATGAACGCATAAACCCTGCTTGTATGATAGTCACTTAACTTGAGTAGTCAGCATTTATTTCCAAAAATACCTCATATTGGTACACGAAGCTGCAAGTGAATGTTCGCTAATCACGAAGTCAATCACCCCAGGATTTGAAATAATGACCTGAGCGCAGACCGCGGCAGTCACGCTCATTCGCCGCCTATGGTCCTCGAGCTGCCGCATTAGTGAAAGTTCATTGGGCGATCTACACTAGATATTGTGCGACTACCAAGCTTCAAATGCATGTAACCTCATCATCGGCTTTCCCGGGGCCTGAGAGATCGTGTTCACCTTATTCACGAATTCCTGCGCGATGGATGATGCCCATCGCGGTCGTTGTCTGAATAAGCACCGTTCCCCAACCACGTGTACCCAACGTTCCTGTCAAGTCAGGCAAGCAAGGTGAGGCAAGTGGGTTTTCGGTGGGTTGCCAAGAAAGACGTCCGGTTACATACACCTCGTGACTGGAAGTCCGGTAGCATCGTGCATTTGCTATGTACGAAATTCAGTACAGGAGTTGGTGCGGTTAGTCCTTGAAGGCCCTGGGGTTTCAGGTTCGAGTTCTAGAGCTGGACTAATAAGAGGCTTCGGGGCGGTTGGTTCCCTTCAACACCATTCTATTATCACTCACATTCGAATCGTTGAAGGGTCCCGCCTACCAACCTAGCAGCTGCGACCCCAGCAGAACACATTGCAGTGAGGTATCTCTTTACCCCACGCGGTCAAGTGGAGCCGGCAGCAGACGACAGTGGCAAGTCTGAGTTTACGGGGCAGCTCTCCCAAGCTCTCAGGTCCTCTGAGATGTGTCTTCATCGTTCCTGATCAACGATATGGGGCCCAAGTTGACGTGCTCACATGCGCGGCCATCCATTGACCTCGAGCCTAGGGAAACTTTGAGGTCAATCTATCGATTTTGCACGTCCGACAACGTGGCTGTTAGGGAATGAAGCTTAATTGAGTTTGATCTCAGCGCTGCAGGTGAGCACTGACGGCCTCTGCTGCTTTGCGCAAACTGCCAGCATGAAAGAGAGCGATGCGGGTTTTGGTACGTGTTAAGGTACGGAATGCAGCGTAGTGGCAGGCAGGTTGGGGGTTTTGCTGTGATCGCTGGGGTCATAACTGCAGAGAATGAAGTCCCACCATAATAAGCGGGTTAGTGGGACCTATGCCACCGAAAATTCCATCTCGGGATTCGGGCGCGAGTTACCTTGAACTGTTACCATCCGCACTAGGAAGCCCAATAACCCATCAAAGGGTGACACATGAAACGGCGCAGTAGGATAATAACGTGTTATCCTACAGTATTTGATCCTACGTGCGCCCTTTAGTCTATCACGGCCGTTACTGTCATTCTGTAATGAGAATAACAGTTTGGCGCTGTCACCGTCAGGTGTAAGCGAGGCAGGGATGTGGCATGATTGGTTCGTCACAGAACTCGTATTTCCAAATGTTCCTCGAAGGTGTTCCTCGAAGGTCAAATTCCGAATGAGTCCGCTGTCGTTACTGTGCAAGACATACCTCATAACCATGTTATTGTTGTTATTACAGTTTCTGCCATTCTAGTAGAGTGAATGGTTCTGGAGACTAACAATCGAGTCGTCTAACAGCAGCTATGGTATCGGCAAATTCTGGAAAAATCTCAAATAGGCAATCGGAACTCAAGGCCATCGAGGCGCTAGGAGAAATAAGGTCACAGTAGTACTCCGTAATAACATGTTGACCAGGCTCAGGGGCTTAGGTGTGCCTGGAATGGCGCATGGTCGGTAAATTTGTCAAGCAACTTGTACACCTGCATGCACACATGCCTGGCATTTATGATTTACCAATGCCCGAGAAACTGTTAAGAGGCGTCACGGTGGGCGGACGGCCGGCAACTTGTATCTCTAGCTTGTCGAAATGAACCCGTGGACGTTGAGCTGAGCTGAGCAGCGCTAGAGACTCATCCCCTCTCTAGGCCCCCATCCCCTGACGGGTGGTCCCTGGTCTCTAAGCAGATGTTGGAACTTGCATTTCAATATTGATTGATCTTCACTGTAAAAAGCTGGACCTCATCTTCCATCGCTGGCCCAAAGGCTATTTCTCTGCTATTGTCGTAACACGTTGAGTGGCTCCAAATAACAAGTACCACTACCTCAGTAGCTACTTCTACAGTCTCCCCGAGGTTGCTTCCTCCTTCTCGCCCAACCAGACTGGACCCCATATGCTTTCATGCGCCTGCTCTTGTTTCCCTTAGCAAAACTCGCCCCCATGCTTCTATTGACGTTTCCAAACTCTTGATCCTCTTCACAACATCTATTCTCCCCCCAAGGGTTGTTTTCTCTTGCCTCGATCTACCACATATACGATCAGCTGCCCCGCTTCCACTCAACGCCATCCCATCGACCCGAACCCGCCCCTAACCTAAAACCAGCCAAATCCGAATTACAGCTTTATTAAAACAAAGCGTCCCCGTTGAGGATCAACAAGCAGCAAATCGCAAACCCCCATCGTCAGACGACATTCAACATCCATAAGTCCCATCTGCCTGCCTGCCAATTTCTAACAAGGCCGGCGGATGCCAGACGCTCGCTCACTTGTCCTTGAGGTCTGTCTGCAGTAGCACTCACTGGACGGTGCCCTAGCTCCATTTGCAGCGTCAGAGCAGCCGTTCGTCCCTTGCATTGACGACTCCATCCACCCAAGCCGTGAACTCAAAGTGACGACGATTTTTTGGCCCGCCGCCTTGCCGTCCCGACTGACGCCGCTCTCATCGGGATCGTCAACACCAGGCACCCTGTATTCAATTTCGTTCATTGACAATCGCGCTCACGACGCTCTCAATTACAGCTCCAGGGCACCCCGCGTCATCGGCGGGTCGCAGGCCTTTTTTTTTCGCCAAAGACATCCATTCCCCTGGCTTCTTTGCCTCGCCGATCGGCACACCCCTTTCTTGACTTAAGCTACCCGACCCTGCCAGAGTGCCAGCCTGCCTGTTGTGCACCTACAGCACTACAGCACGCCGACTCACACGCCTCGCACGCCTCCTGGCATTGTGCTCAAAGGGCCTTGGCTCAGTCCCTGCGGCCAACCTGGTTGAATATATTGACTTCCGAGTATTCGCACTTCGCACAACGCACAACGTACAACACACGCAGCAACACCAGCTTATAAACACCGAGCACCCGACACCAGGGACATCTGCAAACGGACATAGATCCCCAGCAGGAGTGACATCCCACACCCGAACAAGGAACATCTGCACCGCAAACAGACAAAACAGACAAAACAGACACCATGTCGGCCGATTTATCAGGTAAGAAGGACCACCCCCATTTCCCTATACAACGCGACCCCTTTTGTCCAACCAGCACGTACCCAGCCCCTTCAAACCGGGAGTCCTTATCATGCTTCCCATTTTGAATTTTGGTGGATACATGGATTGTTTGGATGGACAATCCAATCGTTTAAGGGGTCGACGACACTCTTTCACTGCCACACTGGGCATTTCCAAGGAAGAAACACACCAAGCGCTGGCATCTCGATCCACTTATTCGGGCCAGTTGCCTGTGTCATTTAAGAAATTGGTGTTTCATATGCCTATCACAGTCGTCATTCCCACCTGCACTGGCCCGGCACACCGAATCCCATTCCCAATTCAACTGCTAACTGTCTTGTTTGCTCCTTTACATAGGTCGGTCCAGTGGTCAATCTGCCGGCTTGACGCTCAATCTGTCGTCCAACAACCCCTTTCGCAAATGTGCTGCCTCGCCCATCGGCTTAAGTCCTAGCAGTCTCCCTCCTACACCCCATTCCCCATTTGATGATCCTCCCGCCCGTCCAGTCTCTCGAAACCCTTTCCTCGACCCATTCAACAATCCTCCAGCTCAGAGGGTAAAATCGCCAGACATCATGTCATCTAAGGATACCTCGTCCAAGACTGCCGAGGAGCTTTTTGTAAGTCGCTTCCGCCCAACTCTCCCGCAGCCTACTCGCTGCTCACCGCATTGATCGCCCATTTTCCATGGTCGCACAGGCAGTCAATTGAGTGCTGATATTGAACCCACAGGATAACCTCCTCATTGATGATGGAAGCGGCCCCAAGCCTCGACCGGGCCCAAATGCCACGCGAGAACCGCCCACTCGACCTGCCCCAGGCGGCCCGCCCCGTGGCGAGAATATTCCCCCGCGCGGTCGCGGTCCACCGCCCTCGCATCGCCCGACGCGTTCTCGGGAAGAGGAATCGAGACGTAGACACCAAGCAGGTGCCTCCGTTGGTGGCGAACGAACCCTTGACTCGCCCGACAAGCGCGACAAACGTGTTCCTCGACGCAACTCCGAGTCCTCTGTGAACGCCGAGAAGCCTGTGAGCGAAGAAGAGAAGAAGCTGCGCGAATTGCGACGCCGCGAACGTGAAAAGCGCTACCGCAGCGCGAAGGGTGGCAAGTTGCCTCTCGACCCTATTGACAACTTGGACAAGACGGGCCTGGACGGTACTGGGTGTAAGCTGCCTCGTAAATTTATCATAGCTAAGGACAATGTCTAACCATTTCAATCTGCAGACTTCCACCACGACGGACCTTATGATGCCTTGCGCCCGCACCGCAATCGGAAGGGCAGCCGACGCGCCCCCATGCAGGCTTTCCCCGAGGGGTCGCTCAACAACTCTCTTGGTGGTTCTGGACCTTTGAACGCCCGCCCGGATCACGCTACATTCATGGGTAAACATGATGACGAGGCATTCAAGGACTACAGCAAAACTGCCCCCAGGGAGAGTGGTGGTGCTGCCGGCGGCGCGGGTGGCTACGATGCTCCACAGAGAAGGGATCAGGTGCCTGTCTTCGACCCCCTGAAGCGTGGCTCCATCCTTCACGGAGATGAATCGATGGGATTGGGCACATCCACTTTCTTGGAGGGCACCCCTGCAGCTCGCTCTGCCATTCAGCGACGTCAGGCCGAGACAGCACAGGATACATTTGAGCAAGGTCTGCAGAGGAAGAAGTCATTGGCACAGCGAATTCGCGGCATCAACCGAGGCCCGCGAGAGTATCACAGCAATGGGCGGATGACCAACCCGGACTACGTGGGCCCGCGATCCGGTGATTTGCCCACAGGCGGCAGCAGCACAGGGGAGCGAAATCCTTTCTTCAACGAGTATGACAAGAACGAGGAGCGTATCTCTGTCAAGCGAGCTAACAACCCAATCTCGCCCATGTCTCCTAACAACGATGTGCGCGGGACCGGTCCGGGCCAACTAGAACGACGCGCCACAACTGATGCTTCAAATGCTACATCCCCAACGACGGGAGCAAAGCCGCAGGGCAATGGGCTCCTGGCCCGAGTCAAGAGTTTGAAGGGTGGACGGAGACGACCAGAGCCACCTCAGGGTCCGAGTCCGGCTCCCGGTACTGCGGCTTAGGGAACCCGCACAGTCACCGAACTTGAGCCGTCCCACAAACACGAGAGACGACGAGGCTGGTCATGGTCGCATAAACCTAGTGCTCAACAATGAAAACACTGGGAAAAGCTGTAGCAGTGACACAACAGAGAATGTGTCGAAAGGGTTAAGACATTTGGGCCGCTAGATGCGAATTTACTGTCCTACGCACTTCAGTTGAGTTTCTCCAGTAGGACCGGCTTGGTGGGTAGCTTCGGTATTGGCAGTAGTTACCCAACGTTCCTTCATCACACTTTTTTGTCAGGATACCTTTGTAGTAGTGGAACAACAACTCTGACGGGCAGAAGGCGGGATACGAGCTAACTCGGCCTATTTGCGACATGGATGATTTTGATCCCTCGGGATAACATGAGGGACACATCGGGGTTCGTTCGATAGGAAAGTCGTGCAGATTGTAATGAAAACGATCAATTGAGCCCCATGGGCAGTGTGATCGTGTTTTGTAAGATGGTCTAAGTGGTAATGATGTTGCGAGGCAGGCTCCCAGTATGCGAGACGATACGACCCCAATTATTTTCGGTTTTCTTGATGCACAAATGAAAAGAAGAAGCTGTAAAGCCGACGGATGCACCTCCAGAATTGCCTCTATGTTGCCGGACAGCCTGGTCGAAATTTGCTTCCATGGTCTACTTGGTAGGCACGCATTGAGGTTCAAGTCGTGGCTGCCAAACGCGGGGATAGCCTGTAATCGACTTGCTCCACTAAGATATCCAAAACCAGCTATATCCTCTTACTCAAACAGCGAAAGCGCAAGCAAATCTCCCGGTGTCTTGGAAATCACGTGCTGTATAATGGGAGAATTTCATCATTTGATGCGGCAGAACGGCATTCGTCATAGCAGGCCCGGCAGCCCCAACCAGCCAGGCGGTCGATATGGACAATAATGCGGACATGCTGCCGTCTCAGGCCAGCTCGCACTTCGCAGTCGAACCGATCTCGGGAGCGACGCTTTTCGAGGTCGAAAACACGAGGAGGGAGGAGCTGAAGCGCATGGGGGTCTTGAGGACTGGATGTAGGGAGATTGATGAATATGTTTTGGGTGGCGGGCTTGAACGCGGGTGCGTCGTGGGGTTGAGTGCTGAGGAGGCAGATATGGGTCTTTTGGTGAGTCCTATATTCTCACCTTGAAATGCTGTTGACAACTTCATCAAAGTGTTTCCGGCCATTTCAACTCATTTTCGGGACGGGACACTGATTCTCTGTACAGATTGGCGTGCAAACCGTGGCACACGGCTTGATCGGCAGCCTTTCGGGCATAGCTTCGACCAAGTTACGAGCAGCCATCATCACTACACTCCCTGCGTCAGCGATACTGCCACTGCTCCGGGATGTCATCACTTCTCAGGCACAAGCAAAGCTTGGCCAAGAGAGCTCAACCGCCGATGTACAAGTGCTGGTGCGGCTGTGTTTAGAGCGCATCTCTATCTCGCGTGTGTTTGATATCGAGGGCCTATGGGAAGTGCTGAACGAGCTCGAGACGCCGCTTTCGGCTGCCGGTTTACGTGATCCAAAGCCAGAGCCAGAATCTGAGCCGCCTGAATCCTCACAGAGGTCTGCACCATCACCCCCTGCAACAAGGCTGCCGCCACTGCGGACAGAAATCCTTGATAGCGAGGACGAAAGCGCTCTCTCCTCCTCACCTTCGTCCGGTTTTAATGCATCTCCCCAAGTTATAACACAGGATGCTTCAGCCAAGGCTCTGCAAACTGAACCAACCGGAGAGGCACAACCAAGTGTTCCAGATATAATCCTGATAACACATTTCTCAACCCTCCTGACAACACTTTTCACCCAACGCGACAAGTCCTCCGCCCACACCTCACTCCAACTCCTGTCCTCCCATCTAAGGTATCTCTCACGATCCTCCGGGCCGCTTATTCTCCTTCTGAATACTACAACCTCTCCATCAACCCAAGCTGCTGCTCCTGCGACTCCAGACCGGCCCAACAAGTCCAGTAATAAACAGCAAGAAAAACCGTTGGACACCACACTGCGCTCAATATTCAATCCACGACCCCTAACACACGCCGGACACGGATCCGCGGGCGCCGCACTCAGCCGAAGGAACAAACCCGCGTTCGGACTGACGTTCACGCAGTTTCTGGACCTGCACCTATTGTGCACGCGGGTGCCGAGATCGAGAATCGATGCTGAGGCTATGTTTGCACCGGCTTCGTTCCAGGAAAGACTTGTCGGAAGGGGGAATGCGAGTTTTGCCTGGGTTGTGGAGGTTCTGTTGGACGATATCGGTGTATTGGGAGAGGGGGGGCAGGGGGGAAAGGGAATAAATGTGGTGTTGGAAAGGGAGCAGAGGTGGGGGGCTGTGAATGTGCGAGATGGAGTTATGGTTGTTGATGCCTTTGAAGCAAGGGAGGGGAGGTATAATACTGACCCCGTTAGGCTGGCTGCTGGGTTTGGAGGGAGGAGCGTTTGAATTTGGTTAATCTTGGGCACAGCTCGAACGAGCTCGAACCATTCCAGTTGCCGCCTTGGATTTGAGTACAACTCAATTTGCAGTATGTATGACAATCAACTCGGCAATGGTGCCGCGGCCACTTGTTCCTGCTACAGGAAAATCTGTTATGGTGCCTCAAGTAGTTATCTAGGTTCTCGCTCAGAGTCGGCGTGCCAGGTAGTTGACTTGTTGGCAATTTTTGAAGGCGAGCTTCTATGGCGAAATTCCGGGTCTGTCGATACAGCACCACCATTTCGAGACAACTGCATACTGTCAAGACTTGGGGGATGTCGAGACACTAAAGTACCCTGACGACTCATGTTATCCATGCCTCTATTTGCCACTATGTGGCCGAACACGCAGTCTCTTCCAGAGAAGTGCCGCCTTCGTGGTCTCGCTAGCTTCACCAACCGTTCGTTATATGGAGGATCTCGCTGTGATTGAGCTAGGAGACAGGAGCATTTATTCCGTCTTGAAGACTGCCGTTGTCTTGAGCAGGGTCTAGGGTTTGTCGTTACGCAAAGAAGACACAGGAAAGGTTTCTGCGGGGTGAGTACAGGCTTTGGAAGATACATACAACATTCCTGGGCCACTGCTAAGACCCATACATGGAACATCTCGACAAACTACTCCGGCAGCATCGGGATCTGCGTAAGTGATGCACCGGCAGAGCGGACATCTCATTACTCCGATCGAGGGCAGCTAAGCCCCGGGGGGCCAATCAGAAGGCGGCTTACGCCCTGAAACGTATGAGGTACGACGCAAGCTGTAGCCGCGAAAGGAATCATGACGCGGAGACATGGGTTAGGCAACTATGTGGTTGTGTAAACTCGATTACGATTCATGGTGTGATTATGCTTAATTGACATTAACTGTTCTCTTTGAAAAGGACGGCGTCGACGTTACCACACCCAACCGACTCTTTCTCAGCATCTGTTTGAGTAAGTTGTGACGTCACGTCAGTAGTCGTCTCAACCTGCACCACCAATGTTCACCCAGCCCAACTGACCCAACTTCCATCTACACCAAACCGAAAAGCCGAAGAGACAGCTCGTCAGGTTTAGGACTCATCATCCTTGGGTTATTCGAAACTACTACCAACATGATATATACCGTGGCCTTGCACCTTCTGGCGGCGGCAGCGACGGCCTTCGTCATCCCCGACGAGGTGACTGCTCACCAGCTTGCCCTCGACTTTGACCCTCCTTCTTCTAATGTTCAATCCTGGTGGGATAAAATTCCTTCATTGGACGATGTACGCTCGTCTATCGAGAAAGAACTCGTTGCCACCGCGGACCGCTTCGACGACTATCTACCAGTGAACGAACTTGAGTTCGAGTCGCAGCTCCGCGACTGTCTAACACCCTGGGACATTACCACTAGTGGTGGCCACGGTCATCACGGCAAGCATGGCAGAACGAACCTGACCATCTACGAAGTCATCCAGGCGTCCAACTATACTCAGAAAATCGCCAAGCTAATCGACGAGTACCCGGATATTGTCAAGACCCTTAACTCTACTGAGGCCAACTACACTATGTTCGTGCCGACAGACAATGCGTTTGAGAAGATCCCTGAGCACCACAAGAAGCCACCTAAGGAGTACATCGAGAAGCTGCTCGCGTATCATGTCGTTCCGGGCTTTTACCCAGCTGGTCGCATCCTACTCAGCCAGACATTGCCTACCCTCGTCAAGGAGGAGGCTCTGGGTGGAAATACCCAGAGGCTACGAGTTAGGGCCGGACTTTTGGGTATCAAGATCAACTTCTACAGTAAGGTTGTTGCTGGCAATCTGGTATGCTATTTCCAACTCGATTCTCCACACCCTTCACCCTATACCTAAAAGATGACTAACCACTCAATAGTACACTGCCAATGGCGTAGCCCACGCCATAGACAGTCTCCTCGTCCCACCCCCACACTCGGCAAAAATCATCCATCTCTTCCCAGCCCGCTTCTCGACCTTCCTGCTCGCAGCCGAGACCACCAAGATCGGTAAAGAACTAGAAAAGCTCAAGTTCGCGGGTAGCACGCTCTTCCTGCCAAGCAACCTAGCCTTCAAGAAACTTGGTCCCCGTGCGAACGCCTTCCTTTTCAACACAGAAAAGGGGAAGGGTTACCTCAAAGCTCTGCTTAAGTACCACGTTGTTGCCAACGAGACACTGTACTCAGACGCGTACTATGGGAAACCAAGCGCCGGTATCGATGAGAATATCGACGCCAGGCCCGGTGGACATTACCATGTTGATCTGCCAACGCTATTGGATGATAAGAATATCGCGGTGGATGTGATGTCGTGGGCAGGGTATACGATTATGAAGGTCAACCAGCACACTACGGTGGCGGTGCAGGATGTGGTTTCTAAGAGTGGCGTTATACATGTGGTTAATAATGTTTTGATTCCTCCGAATACTTATAAGGGGGATCATGTCAGGGATGATCTGATTGAGATTGATGAGCTGATGCAGAGGTTGGATCCGTATGTTGAAAAGTCTAGCCTCGGAGGGTCTCATGCGGAGGACTCTACGGACGATATTATGGAAGGTTTGGTTGGAGAACTGTAAACTACTATCATTGAGGAGGATTTATGTCTAGGAGACTGGAGGAAAAAGTTACGGTGTCATGAGGCAAGATGTGTCATTCGTTTGTACAACGGGACGGTAAAATTTGTTAATTTGGTTTGAGTTAGTACAAACACGACGCGATTTGCTCGAGACATATGCAAAACCACCAGTTGCTCATCCTCAGGCCAGTTCAATTTGGTGTGGTCAATTCTGCGAAAGGGCATGTTTTTAGTGGTGTCAGGAGGTCCAACCTGGCGGCTATCTCTCTAGGGGCCACGATCTAGACACCAGACATCGACCACCCCAGTATGAGGCGTTTTGGATAAGCTCAGCAGGTCTCAAGTATCAGACGGTGCATGTGCCGAAGATTATAAATACGACCTATTATGATGAGGAAAATTTAGTCTTCTTATATAATGAGCAGACGGGAAGTGCAAGGAAGACCATTTCACTTCCCTCAAGACCCGTAGACCTAGTTTCCAGAATAGTGGAACATGTCATGTTGCCAGCAAGTCCACTAGAGACTCTCCTTACTTGCACTCCGGGGTGGATAGAGGATGGTCGAAATAGAATACCATTGTGAGGCTTACAAGGACCAGAAATTCCACGTATCGCTCTCGCCGTGTTCTTTATTCTGAAATTACGCTACACGCTCGTCCTCTGTTCTGAAATACGCTACTCAATAGGCTAACCTATGATCTGCTTTCCCACTCTCTGCAAGCTTTTCTCTCTTCTTCCATGAAGAGAGAGAGAGCTTGCTCGAGTATGGCCAAATCCTCGGCAGCACCTGAAGTCAATCGTGATACACCACTTCCAGAATCAAACTGGCGCAGCCCAGATTTTGTTGCATACTCCAACAGAAATATACATAACATGTATCCTTCGCCTCCTTCTCTATGATCAGATCGCTATGGCCATCAATAGCCAGTGTTTTTTTTCAGATCGACGTTGCAATGTCAGCGCCTGCAACAGTGCCCTCCGCATCGAGCACATCGCCCTTCATGACACAGGCTGAATGACCGTACTGCTGGTACCGCAGGATGAAGTCGTTTGCTTTGTTTATTTTGCTCCTCTCTTTCCATTTTCTCTGTTTTACCTGCGATTATAGGCAACTTCTCCTTTCCGGTTTTGAGACGATGCGAGGAAAGCTCTCCTGACCGTGCCCTTGACATCGAGTTGTTCCAGAAGCCATTGATCCAATTGTTCGAAACCCTCATCCTCCCAAGCTTGCTTCACCAGGGGAACGCGAATGGGTACAGCTTGCGATCCTGTGACGTTGTGTTTTCCAACCAGTTGACTTGCGATGACGAGGCTCTAACTCACGGAAGCTTTCGCCATCCCGTAGCTTTCGATGATCTCCCAAGTTGGAGACTTCGCCGGCCCGTAACTCGCCGTGCTCTCTGCTTTCTGACTTGTTGACGGTGGGTGGCAAGAGCTATCTTGAGTCTTCCCAAGTCTCCGCTAGTGACGCTCATTACGGCAACAACTACTGTTACTCGCCGTCCGTGAACTCTTGAACAACGTGATTAGGTTGTTCAACAGGCGGAGGGCATCGTTCAGGATTGTTGGTACGCGTGTAAGCTACGTGAGCAGGCCCGTCGCCTCCCGAAGGGTGCAAGGGAAATCTCGGCAAGTCTTTCCTCTCTTTGATCTCATATCTCGAGTACTCAATGAATCTTTGAAGTGTTTGGAGCCGATCAGAGGTCAAAGCCGACTCAATTGGGATTCTGGGACCTGGCAGAGGATCTGGCTCGGGGTTGCGGTACAAGACTTCCCAGTGATCGTGAACTGCCTGCGCGGAATGATGCGAGGCGGCACTCAGGCCAGGTCCTGTAGGGAATATGCTCTTGTCGACGATGTAAGCCACATCGGACTGGATCCAGTCTTTTCTCCACTGTTCTTCGGCGGGCGCTTGGAATCGTGGGTTGGCGCGACCCCAGCAGTTGGCCCAACCAGGCTCCAGGGGACTACGACAGCGACCCAGGTTCTGCCAAACGTCCAAAACAACTTCAATACCCTTGTTGTTGTGGACATAGAAGGTGACCTCATACTCCGTAGGGCAGTCCTCACACCGTCGAATCAGACGCTCTGACGGGCATTTGTGGCAACGCACAAACACTTGAGGTTGAGAACTCCCAGCATTGTAACTGTCCGACGCATTAAATGCAGTTACCATAACAACTCGGAGGCTCTCTCGGAAAGGGTGGACGAAGTTGTGTATCATCTCGCCGCTCTGTGGGTTGTGGTGTGCACATATCTTGAAGTCGCAGGCCAGATCCCCGACGCCATATCGAAGGAGAACCTCGCTTCCCTGTACGTGGTTGGGTATCCAGAGGCGCTGGATCCGATGGACCAACACCTGTTGGTCTACAATCAAAGCTTCGGCATCTAGCTTTATGTAGCTCAGAAAGCGCTTGAATGGGGATTTAGTGGCATTGTACAGCTTCCTATAGCATTCGGCGAACGCCCAGTTGGTCGAAAAGCAGAGATCTGAGAGTGGCTGCCCGTGTGCTTCACCATGGACGAGACGATTGGTGATGGCATAGATATCTCGGAAGCCAAAACCCCAGTCGATGCTCCAGCGTCGGAACTGGACTTCCTTTGCATTGCACTCTGCGCCGGTAGAGCCACGGTGGGGGACCCTCTCAAGAGATTGTTGTTGGGGCGACCCTCGAGGATGAAAGATTTCGCAAAAGTGACAAAGCTCTAAGTTGGGGAGATCAAGCTCCAAGTTCTTGAGGAACTTCCATCGCTCTTCGGCCTCGATGACAGGGATGTAGCGCGAGCCTTTTAGCTCATTGACAATCTTTGTGCATCGGACTTGGTACCAGAACTTGACGTCCTTTTTGTTGTAGAAATGGCGGCAGGTGACGCCCAGTCTGATGATGTCGTACAGTGGCAGGTGATCTGAAATCATGTCGATCAACTCTTGGGGGAGGTGTGTGATAATTGGCCCTACCGAGCCGGCTGTGGGGCCTTCCGGGGCCGGTACCCCGGATGGAACCGGCAGGTCTCGTTCCAAGTTTTCCGGACGAGACCGCGTATCCATGTTGATGTACTGTGGTGAGACGTCAGACGTGTCAACCGGCTGTGTTGAGACTGGAAAAACAGCGACAACTAGATGATAGTCTCTAGGACCTGGTGCGCGTTATATTACAAGGCTAGGGAGGGGTTTTCGCCAATAAATAAATCAGACAGTGCAAGCACCGAGAGCTGTGACACCGCGCTTTTGAAGCTTCTTTACCTCAAGGTCAGGTCATCGGAATTCTTGTTTGGCTGGCCGATGGAAGCTTGGGCTCAAGGAAGCTTAGGCGCAATGGAGCAGGGTAAGACGACTTTGAGCCAGTCGCATCAATTTGCATGGTGACTAGGAGGTATTAGTATAGTCGAACCGGCGCGTGATCAACGGACAACATCCAATTCCAAGTTTTTGTGTGCTGTGAAGGGAATCAGACCTTGGCGACCGGAGCAAACGCAGGTGAGACCTCACAAGCCTGGATACCTCAACTTAGTCAGAGTCGGCAAATACGTAGCGTCTAAAGAAGTCCTTGTTCGCCCGCTTCAGTGAAAGTGAGATGTCCTCTCAGTGGAGCTATCAACCCAGCATCCAGCGAAAGACTAGTGTGTCCTGAGCTGGCAGGCAGCTGGCCAACGAAGATCACAACGATTGGGTTTGGCGCGTGTAAACAGGGTTCGACACCCTCGTTTGTCGTCAAAGATGCTCGCCTGAGATTGGGTCAAGATTATGCTTTGGGAAATAGTTACAAGAAACCTTGAAATTCTGTGTCTCCAGATTGAACTTGCCTAAGGTTGAGAGTCCCGAAGCGCTGACTTCAGCTTGAGAAGATACTCGGCGGGGGTGGGACAGCTGTGCGCCAGCTGCCCGACAAACGGGTTGAACCACGAAGCCCTCAAATAACGAGACATTTCATCCTATGGCCATCATGGTGGTACGCCCTCTCTTTTTCGTTACGCTGACACGACTACATACGTATCATATCCTTGATACACGTGATACCAAACCAATGAGGCCGCTGTTGGTTCTATCGTCCAGTCCTTGGTTAACATTTGTGTACTATCCGGGCACCCAGGTATTGCCTCAAGAGCAATGTACGCAGCGGTCTATCACAAAGGTGTCTGGTCAGCATCAGCAGTAATACATCCTACAAATTATTGAGTTTCATGACGATGTATACTCCATCGGCAAATCAAATTGCGTACATACTTGTGGCACAAGGTCCAAAAGTAGGATAGGTTCCGTGGGGACCCCCTTCAGAAATCACCAGAGATACATGACGCAAATCATAGAACCATTTTCCACCCCTAACAAAAACCCAAACGAAGTTGAAATTAATAAAAGGCGCAAGAAGGATGACAAGAATCATTAACAATAAATGAGTAGAAAAAGCCAAAAGATAAGCTCGCACCGGGGGCTAATAAATCGGGTGTTTGCACCAGAACCCGCCTTGGGGCACACCTTCGCAGAACCAGCACTCTTCATCCCAACAATCCAAACTAGGGAGTCCTGTGTGATTAACCGCGTTCTCTCGCTGAACCAGGCATCCTAATGAATGGCCAAGAGCGAGCTCTAGGAATTATGATGTTTCGTAACCCACTGGCCAATCGAATTGCTCTGACCCAGCATCCAGCCGTGTAGTCTGGAACCATAGCTATCAATGTCCCCAATCGATCCAAGTTTCTGCTTAAAAAATAGGATAATATGAGCAATCCGGCTTGGTTGGAGGGGCAGCAGCTGATCAAGGATTGTGAACAGCGTGGGACAAGGTCGCTATGCCCTCATGACTGCACATATTAACAGCCATAAACTAACGTTGTCAAGTAGAGAGAGAGGAAGAGTATACACATCGGAAACGAATTGGGTATCATCTTAATTTGCAGTCATTGTCCCTAAATCACCCCTCCACACCTCGTCATCACATCCCTCAAGCCATCTCCTTAATCAACTTCCGCGCCAACTTCCTCTGCGCCTCCACCCCCAGATTCTTCTCATCCGTCTCCTTAACCGCCCGTCCAACCGCTAGAATCGTCTTTATGTTCTCGCTGTTAACCCACAACTTCCCATTGCACCCTACGGCCATCTCAAACGCAAGACCAGCCGAGCTGAGGTCCTCAATGACAGCCACCTTCCCTTTTTCCACCAACTTGGCCATCCGCAGTCGTCTGGCCATGCCCAGAGAGATGGTGTAGATCATGCCGCCAACTAGGGGGCCCAATCCATCGGCTTTTCCCGTTGCGGTAGAGACACATTCTAGCTCCGGGTCCATGTGTCGGTTTGCCAGGGAAACACGGGCGTAGACCAGAGCTCCGGCTGCGAGGTTCGGCCGCGTCTTCTTGCTGGCACCCTCGAATGCCAGTTGGGGTAGAATGGCATTTGACGTGTAATCAGAGAGACCGACGTAGTAGTAATCAGCTGCCGTCTTCTGGACGGTGCCAATTACGAGATCTCCGATGATGGGAACATACTGCCAATCGAGTTAGTCGAAAATTCTTCGGGAAAGGCGCCTGCATTAGGAAGAATTACTCGTCCACCGTTGTACTCAATGTGCATTGAGTTCTTCCTTCGGTCTGTAACCAGTTCTCCTGCGATGGTTGGGATTATGTCACTTGGGGGGATGTGTTTGAGGCCGAGGCCGAGTTTGAGAGGACGCGTGGGGTGAGAGGGTATCAATGTGGGGTCAATACTATCGCCCGGCAGGACGTAAGTCCTTTCCATTTGGGTTGCCATGATGAATGAAGGCAATATCGAGGTCCTCAATAGTGTCGTGAGTTGAGTGGTTGCCGTCGTTCAAGACTCCCAGTCGATGAAAATGTGGTTAGTGTTGTGGCTGATTCTTCCAAGATCGCGAATTTGGCTTGGCATCAAGCGGGTATGGTATCTCTGCCCGTTGCCCTTGTGTACTGACACCCGTATGGAATAGCCAAGCACTCGAAATCGTACCTTCCAACGAGTACCAGATAATTCCTGGTGACATTTGATTCAGTATTCATTATTTCTACCAACCGGACCATGAAGTATTCAAGTTTTGGCCGTGCATCACCATCTGCTTTTACATCAGCTTGTGGCTAATATAGATACTGGGATTGTGCAACCAAAATTGCAGGGGTCCAACGTCAATCGCCCGCCTGTGGGTCCTAGGAACTTTTTCTGAAATTTTTGGGACTTCTTCATCGCCAGGGAGCAAGCACATCAGCACCCCACCAACCCGTTCACTTGCGCTTTACTCATAGTCATTTTCACCTACGCATTCCTCAGTACTCAACAATACCGACTATCACGATGGCTGAGACAGGGGCCACTAGCGTCACGCCAGACGAGCGTTGCGCCATCGGTATTACCTTCGGCAACTCGTACAGTTCTATCGCATGCACTGTTGACGACAACGCCGTTGTGATTGCCAACGAGGATGGTGACCGTCAAATTCCCACCATCCTCTCGTATGTGGATGGCGAAGAGTACACGGGCAACCAGGCCAAGGCTTTCCTTGTCCGCAACGCCAATAACACCGTCACTTCCTTCAGAGACTTCTTGGGCCAAGAGTAGGTTCTTCCGTTGTATACCTGTCGAACTGCACCCTGACTTGAAGCATAGGTTTAAATCTATCGACCCGACTCACTGCCATGCTGCTGCACACCCCAAAGATGTAGACGGCGGCGTCTCCTTCACGATTCAGGACAATGTCGAAGGCGAGCCTTCTACCGTCTCCGTCTCCGAGATCTCCACCCGATACCTGCGACGTCTCATCACGTCTGCTTCAGACTACCTTGGAAAGAAGGTCACATCGGCAGTTTTGACCGTGCCCACCAACTTCAGCGAGAAGCAACGCGAAGCCCTGATCAAGGCTACCACGGCTGCAGGCATCGAAGTTCTGCAACTGATTAACGAGCCCACTGCCGCCGTCTTGGCCTATGATGCCCGGCCAGAAGCCGTAGTCGAGGACAAGACGATTGTGGTCGCTGACCTTGGTGGAAGCCGGTCTGACGTCGCCGTCGTTGCTTCAAGAGGAGGGCTGTACACGATACTTGCCACTGCTCACGATTACGAGTTCGGTGGTGCTTCTTTGGACAAGGTGCTGATGGACCACTTTGCCAAGGAGTTCATGAAGAAGAACAAGGATGTCGATCCCCGAGAGAACGCACGAAGCTTGGCCAAGCTGAAGGCCGAGTCAGAAGCTGCCAAGAAGGCCCTGAGCATAGGAACCAACGCCTCGTTCAGTGTTGAGAGCTTAGCAGAGGGCATCGACTTCCAGTCCACCATCAACAGATTAAGATATGAGACCATTGCACGGAAAGTGTTCGATGGCTTCAACCGCTTGGTTGAGGGCGTTATCAAGAAGGCTGGTTTGGACGTTCTGGACATTGACGAAGTCATTCTCAGTGGTGGTACTGCGCACACGCCCAGAATCGCATCCAACTTCCGATCGATATTCCCGGCGACTACCGCGATCCAGGCCCCGTCTACCAACCCCAACGCTGTCAACCCTTCGGAACTTTTGGCTCGAGGCGCTGCCCTGCAGGCATCGCTCATTCAGGAGTATGAGACCAATGATATTGAGCAGTCGACACACCCTGCCGTCACTACTGTTCCTCACATCACCAACGCTATTGGCGTTGTCTCGTTAGGCGACGACGGTGAAGATATCTTCACCCCCGTCATCGCCCCCGAGACCGCAGTCCCCGTTCGCCGGACCGTTCACGTCGCAACCCCCAAGGAGGGCGGTGATGTATTGGTGAAGATTGTCGAGGGCAACACACACATCAAGGTCACGAAGCCGGAGGCCAAGCCCAAGGAGAACGGGACCAAGGATGACGATGAGGATGACAGCGATGATGATGACTCAGAGGAGGAAGAAGAGGAGACCCGCGAGAAGGTTTGGAAAATCGGTGCCACCCTCGGCGAAGCCGCAGTACGAGGCGTCAAGAAGGGCAGCAAGGTCGAAGTCACGATTAATGTTGCTGGAGATCTGGGTGTCACTATTACTTCTAGAGAGGTAGGTGGCAAGGGTGGCATCCGAGGAGTTGTGAAGGCGCCATAGACATCTCTCTACTTGGCGTATTAGATAAATAGACCGGTACCAATGTGGCATCGATGCTTTGCGGGCATGATAGAGCAAAGCATTTACGTCAGTGACGATGGGATGATGGTGTTCGTCTATAGTACACCCAAGGCTGGTTGGTTGTTTGGACTACATTCATCTGATGTTCTGCAGCCTATGCGAAAATGAATATGTCCGTTGCCAACGAGTGGATTCCAGGGACACAAGTGACTCCGCTGAGGACGTGGTCATTTAAGCATGTATTGCATTTTCTTGTCTATCGTCTGGACAGAGGGAAATAGCCTGCATGCCATAGTGTTCGGCGTGTAGTAAATGAATGTTCATCGTATCAGTCTTATTGCTAAAACCAGTAAACGTTCACTCCCTCAAACGCTGACCACCGCAGCAAACTTGGTGAAGATCCGTTCCCATGATCGCTGCCGCCCACTGATTGTAAGAAAAGTAGTGTTTACTCATTCACCAACACACCTCTTCACCAGGGAAGCTTCATGGGGGTGGACAGCCCTTTGCCGAGGACCGGCTCCGCTGTACCAATATCACCTATCGAGTGGCATTCATGTCAGTCTACGCCGTCATCCGGCAGCAAAAATTTGGATGTTTGGATTCCTTACGTGGACCTCGCGGAGCCCAATACTCGCCCGACTTGCTCATATCAAGCGTCTCCGCCCACTTGATCATACTCTCGGCCGCCTCGTCGGGGGTCACAGCTATACACAGCCGTCAGTCTACTTATTCGTCGGCAGCAAATTTTATTTCTCAAAGTGGAGAGGGAAAAGAGCCACTCACCACCTCCGTTATCCCAATACTTATCAAACCCGACCCCCTTGGTCATCTCCGTCCTCATGAACCCCGGATGCACCACACTCACCACCACACCCGCGTCCTTCAAATCCAGACTCAACAGCTTCCCCACCATGTTCAGCGCCGCCTTGCTAGCATGGTGGGCATAGTTCCCGCCTCCCTCGCTTTCGTGCCTCAGGGTGATGCTCCCGGACTCGCTTGAGACGAGGATTACCTTTGATCCAGAGGAGAGCAGTTTGGAGTGGAAGAGCTGGTGCACGATGAAGACGGGCGCGATGGAGCTCGTCGTGTACATGGTTAGTTCTTCGGTCCAGTTGGGGCCTTCGGAGGGGTTGGCGCTAAAGGATTCGGTTGTGAAGCGGCCGGCGCTTATGATCTGGGTCACAGTTAATATGTGCCTTGTCTGAAGCATATTGGGAAGAAGTATGAATGCAGGGATAAAGCAATATAGTGATGGACAGACGGACTCACCACGAGGTCGAAGGGCTTCTGGCCTTGAAGCTGCTTGGTGAGTTCCTCGCCCACGTTCGGCTTCGTCAATTCGACCTTGAATAGCCACTTGACGCTGTCTGGGAACCCGTCGGGTCCAGACTCGGATCGGGTCGTTGCGTACACCGAATTCGAGGAATCCGAGGCGTATTGCTTCACCAAAGACGCCCCGAAGCCTCGGGTTGCGCCTACGATGAGTACGGAGACCATGATGGATTTCGGGATCTTTTGTTTTCACAATTGGGACTTGAATATGATAATACTGGGTTTCTGTTCAAGGTTCTTAAGACCTTTAAGTAAGTGGGAGCGTTGTTTGCTGTGTTGGGGTGTGAGCACGTAATCTGTAATCGCTGGCGGTGACGCTGACGATAAGTAGTGGGTAGTGGGGAAGGAAGACGTTGGGGAAAGCTACACATAAACACGGGTTCTGTAAAATACATTCCGCCGAGGGTACTGGCAAACACAGATCACATCCCTTTAGTTATCTGGCTCTACAAGTAAATCCATATTCTCATCATATTTGCAATTTGATCAAGTCGTTGAAATTACGTGAGACGCAGTGGTTGGGGAAATATATCCAGTGACATGGAATTGCCGAAAGCACAAGCCCAGAGATGCGAACCCAGCTGCTATCTGCATCGAGTTCAGGATGTTCTTCCTAATTTAGATCCGCCCGACTTGAACTCTGATTCAGTTGATGACATCAAGTCTTGATCCATCTAACTCGCTTGAATACCATCAATGTTGAGGCGACTCCCACTTGCAGCCAAGATCCAAAAGTCTGGGGACCACCCCGTTTACAGGGCACTACAACCGCCACTAAGCTATTTCTCATGAATATAAGCGATTTTGCAAATGCTACAACGCTTAGTGTATAGAGATCAGTATCTTGTGTGCTAACTGCTGGCCTTTTTAACCGCGCGAATGTTACGATTCTAGCCAACCTAGACCCGTCCGACGGCAGGCCAGAAGATCCACAGGAAAGAAGTGATGCAGTCATTGGACCGAAGAGAGAAGGACCCGGAGGCCACGTAAGAGAATTCACCGGAAACGGGTATTTGATCACAAATTATTGGTGATCAGTTATTAGAATCACTACCACAGGAACATGGAGTGATCCAGTGGATTAGTGAGAGAGGGAATGGATATGGAAGGGACGAGATCCTCCAGCATTTCATAATTAGACAGTCCCTATTTCAGTGATCAACCTAAGCATTGATCTAAACCATTGGTAAGGCGCTATCAGGCCTTAACGATTATCTTCAGTTATCCATTGTCAATCTGATTCCATACGCACCTTGACGATCAATCAAGACTTCTTAGTGGTTTAGCAGCTATTCCATTTAGAGATTCGTCACAGTGAAGCCGGCGTTCTAGTGTAGTAATCAGCAGCTTCATCAGGCCGCCCTGCACTACCGCCACGCATTTTATAGCATAGCCTGAAACCCTTTAATATCGAGCTTATTATTTTTCATCCTAGATAGTTCAGGGTATTCTCTACCAATTATCTCCTTAGCTAGGTCTATATATACTTAATAGGGTTAAGATCGAGGCTATAAGCTAGCTACTCGATTATAGAAATAGCCTTACGACTAAACCGCTTTATGGCTTGCGCCGAGAGGTATATTTTCGCGTTATCCTACTGAAGCCTAAAGGCAATGACATATAGTAGATTTACCAATATCTAAATCTAGACTATTTATGATCTTCTTCTAGGCCTAGCTCCTATAAGTTTTATATAATTAAAAAAGGAAACGCTTACTGCGGTATGTTAACAGGAGGACGACCGCTACAGGCTAGCGAATCGAAAGTACAGTAATGCCTCTAGCGTTGAAGTATTTTAGTAATAATAGATGGTAGATGCTGCAATCCGACGCGACAGTACGTCAACTTCGTCCTAGCTTCAAAGTAGTAACCAAAGCCAAGTCAGAACCTTTTGATGGCCTGTCATTAGATCTGTGACAATTCGGCCCAATTCAAGTCCATTTTAATACCTTATGGGAAGATGTAGGTGTGGGGTAGTCGCAGAGGGTTGCGCGGATTTGACTTTCCCATCCGACGCCCTATGGTATGCATACTAAATTCGCCCTTCGCAAGTCTGGAGCATCGGTCGACACAGTTGCCCCGTTTCTCCGCGATGAGCTGTATCCCGTTCCCGCTCGACTCCCGTGGCTAGGTAAGTGGATGACAAAATAAAAGACGGAACAAAAAGGGGAGGGGATGATGTGGGATGACCCAACGTCCCAGTACAGTGAACTGACACGACGAAATTCTCTTATCTGGTATTCCACCTGGGTGGGCCGTTACTTTGTGGTTCATCTGGGGCTACCGCAAGATCATGAAGAACTGCTCTAGCAACGCTTGGCTCACTTCCGAGAGCGTTGAAGCTATGAGACGGTATATGTTCGTATCTGACATGCATAAGATCGGCCTTCATGCCTGTTACATCATCTGGATGGGGGAGGGGTCGGACAGAACACCAGGACGGATTATCGGATGATACGCAGTAGCCGCTCGAAGTACTCATCATGACATTCCAGTTCTATATCCCCATGTGGAAGCTGGAGGCGGTGTCATTACTGATAAGTACAAGGCAGTGTATCATGCCACTACAAGCTGCCGCCTAATAAGGACTAATTTGAGATGCGAAGGGTGATTCGGGACAGCATACCGAATGGTTTGCGCGACCGCGTGCTTGTTGACAATGACAAATTCGACTTGTTTACTTCGAAGGCCAATAAATGGCGAAGCAAGCACCGAAGTAAGGACAAAAAGGTACTTGGAGGGGGAGACTTCGAAGTTGGCGGAGGGAACCCTTAGAACTATGTGTTAGAGTCAAGGACTGTATGCTACTCAAGGCTGCGAACGTATTGGATTGCGTTCGCTGAGGCGTTTTTATCAAAATCTGCAGACAATTGCGCAATATTGTCGAGTCTACTTCTCCCAGACTTTCAATCTAATTCTAACACTTGTCCTATCTTGCTTGATTTCCCACTTACATAATATATAGACGTAGGTGGGTGTAAGTTAAGTTAGCTCAAGACAGAATTGTACCCTGACAGTGCCGGCAAGGTCCCCTTGCGCCATATATATAAGAACGTTCCTCTCCCAGAGCTGGCAACAAATCTATGCAGGTCCAACCATCCTCAAGTCTGTGAGATCGTTATCCCATCTCTTTCAACATGCGCATCTCGGTCATTCTAGCCCTCTTCCTGGCGGCCATCGCTAGGACTCGCCCTCAGTCGCCTGGCTCTGTCTCTACTCCTGTCCCTAACGGAGCAAAAGACTTTGATACTCCTTGAAGAGAGAAAATTGACAAAGTCGTTGCTGTAATTCAGAGAGTTGTTCATGTTGGTTACCGTACATCGAAGCAACATTGCTAACGCATCACCCCTTGCTTACAGGATGAGTTGCTTCACACACAGGCCAGGCACTCCACACATAACCATGCAGCGCACAAGTCCCGCAATCGCCTTGAGCCCTAAAAATGCTTTCAGAAACCCGTACCCTATCCCCTCCTCCCCTGATATGAGGAGACAAATATACTTATCCAAACCAACAAGGAGCTCTCTGGTCACTTACGGCTTACTTTTGCTCAGAAGACGCCGGCGACTGCCTGATTGATACCTTCGCAATGTTGGAAAGGGTTTTTGCTGAAAGGCTCATTTCGTACACCGGTTGATAATAGCCGCGCTGGAGCGTAGGTACTATGCGTGGTTCTCAGAAGGCGTAGATGGAGCTGAATAGCTAGCTTCTGAGTTTGGATCAATATTGGGGAGGGTGCCACAGAAGTCAAAGATAGTCATCCAGTATCGTACCATGGCTATGGGCTCAAGAACGAAGCTATCCCGATATCAGCAACAGTGTTTCTTACTTTCACGTCTGAATTGTGATACTTAATGCAAGGAAAAAGTATCGTATCATCTGCCTTGCTTTCCTGTGGCATCTGTTATCATAACACAGGTCGTCAAGATTCCTTGATGAAAGTACTTGTGTGTCCAAAAGAGTGTAGTGCCGAAGTGAATGTTGCAACACCATAAAGTCACGCTGCCTTTTGCATTCACATGAAAATCACTTGGCACCAACGACTTAAGAAGTGCAAACCTAGGCCTTGACAAGTTATGCTATCTAATCAGAAGCCTGGGGTCTGCCCTCTCCCTATATTAAAATTCCCATCCTTACCTGCCCACATCTTGCCTACGCATCTTCTTCCCATTTCGGTTCTCACTCATGCTTAACCTACACCCGTAAACCCTTGGTCGCAGATGAGCTGAATTGGGAAACCACTGGACACCCAAACAACCAAAACATTTCTTGTCCTTGACCCAAGGCTGTCAAAGTGAAGGCGCGTTCCCAACCAATCACCAATCACCGATTGCGTTACCAACTAACCTCCCAATCCCCAAATCCCTTGCCTCACCACCCTCCTGGGCCTCAACAGCACCGCCCTCGCCAGTATCGACTGGACCACAGCCGGCTCCCCGACGGTAACCTGGCACCGCAATATGCCCACGACCCGCAACCCCTTCTTTTCTTATTCCTACTGCATGGAACCGGACTTCTGGGAGTGAAGTGGCCTTTCTCTTCATTTGCCTTGCTTTATGTGTTCCATCAGACAAAAGGATGTATCTATGGGCGCTGAATGAAAGCACTGAGATATGCACTTGTGATAACTTGTCACATATCGACCTTGGTATCATGATCGCTGGATCGATCAGTACTACATGAAGCGGCACAACGTATTCATTTTTCGCACAGACATCTATTTCCATAGCCTATTCATTGTTCAACATATTCACGGTAGTATGCTCTTGGCAGGGCTTGTGATCCAGCACCTTACTGACCTAGCCTTTACTTACTACGTCCAGGTCATTCCACCTTCATATAGAAACTTTCAATATGCCTAGTACCGCATCAAAATAGCACTTCCGATGGTAATATTCTCACCGTCGAGGAGATTCCTATCTGCCGCGAATCCCTAAGTGAGAGGGTATAGCAACTATAATTCAACCTGACTTTGTCCATTTGCCTAGACATGAGGCAGACAGACAGACGAACCTCTATATGCGCTTGTCTCTAAGCATTGGTTGGACTTGGGCACCGAGATCATGCCACGATCAATTCTTGATTCACTTCATTTGTTGCTTTTGCGTATTGAGTTCGGCGACCGGTTTGCCTTTTCTCCCTAAAGCAACCACCTAGCTCCATCTCCAGCTTCATGACTATCGACGCCAAGCTATGGGGCAAACGCAATTAGTAAACCGAAATTGGCCTCACTTCAATATCCCGATCCGACATTGGCACTCTTCTCCAACAACCAAACATGGCGGGCAGTACAACTCAAACATTAAACTCCTAGTGAGCACGAACCTCGTCCAGAGTAAAAGTATCCGCATCACGGGAAGAAACCGCAGCGAACACCACCATGAACCCCACAATTCGACACCCTGGAGTCCATCGAACCGGACGAATTGGAAAGAATCTTCACCAGCACTATCGAGTTCTTCTGCAACGACAGCGGCGGTTTGGCGGACTTCAACTTGGTATTAGTCGGGTTCTCGATGGACCTTGAACTACGCGCCCTAGTGCAATCCAGTACCCGCCTCCTACAAGACCTCGCCGGCGACGTGTTGGGGTTAAATTATGAGCCCGGATTGCGGGGTAATCTCGAGGCGATTGGGTTCGAGGGTGGGAGCCGGTCGAGTCGGCACAGTCCGGGAAACGGCACCGTCCGTATTTCGGCGCTGTTGATTAAATTTCCTGGCCTCAGCCTGCCCTTATCGGAGTCAGGAGAGAAGGAGAAATAGGCCGCTATAGTGCAGGATATCAAACAGACCCGGCATGAGAGACAGCCGAGTTACCAGCCGGATGGGGGCCAGAAGAGCGTGCAGCAGAGCTGTGGTACAGCGGGAAGCCTAAACCAAGAGCTGTTCCCCTAAAGCGCGAGCGTACATCTTGACGGGACTACTAAGCCGGACATGTTCACTCCGTAGCCACTCTTGGACCTCTTCGAGCAGTAGGATCCCATTGTGGTCGGGATTAAAGGTAACGGTCGGTACGGCTGGGTCTGTCTGCCCAATCTCGGCGGCCTCAAGGGTTCGTTGGGGACGTAGATTGGCGAGAGTACCATGGTTGGGGTATTTGGAAGACTGCGCGGGACTTTGATTTCTCGGTCATGCCGGCACGTACGACTGAGAAGATGATGGCAAATAGGAGGACGGAAACAGACGCCAAGACCGAGGGCACGCATCTTGAAAGGGCTCAGAAGCGAGTCCGCAGGGAAGATGATATTGGCAACCCATTGCTCGACTATGAGCTGTAGCCATAGTCGTAAGCCGGCACACACGTAGTCCAATTGACCGTGAGTATATTTAGAGGCTCTGCCACAGCTGTCGCAGTTCCACGCTTGTTGACGAAAATCTGGAAAATTAGCATGACGAAGAGATAAACATCATGGACTTCAACCCCCAGAACCAAGAGGATGCAAGAACATACCAGCTCATTGCCACAGCCTTCCTAACTGCAAAGACCATGAGAGCACGCATTTATATGGCCATGCTAATCCTTAACAATATGATACAGTTAATACGAACATGGTCAATTTACACCAACGCCTCCTCATCTGGATCCCCCAGTACAATTAGTAAGTCCACTGAGATGCCTTTTCATGCGTGCCACATGTCCCCGTCTTTAGAAACTTCCCTATCGTCTCCCCAATCCGGAGTTAGTGGTAGTCGACTTCTTCCTCAAACTGGCCGAACTGCTCCAATGGCCAGCCGACTTGCGTAGCCGGTTGCCGAGACTGAGCTTAGCAGCGCTCAGCGGCGGCTGACTATCGAAATCCAGCGGTCTGCCCTGCCCGTCGGCGGCCGGGATTGGCGATTCGGTCGTGATGGTCTCCCAGTCGTTCTTATCGACTGATCCGCTGTTAACATGTGAACCGTCCTTGTCCTCTTGATCGATCGGTGGCCCGCGTATCCTGCCCTGGCGCAGGGCTCCCATCATGGCCGCCCATGTTTCCACCGTGCCATTGTAGGCCTGCTCGACACAATTGCACTCATCGCCACCGGGACACTCCGTTTCGCCCATTCCGTGCCACTCAGCCAGGCAAGCGTCGTGGAAAGTACAGCCACAGCCAAGACATGTCACGTATTGCGCGTCGATAGGCTCGCAGCAGTATACACATAGAAGCTGCATTTGCATTCGCTTGCAGCGGTCACAGTTCCCTACTGCTCCACCAAGCTTGGTAATTGCATGTGACGATCGGATAGGATCGAGGTGCGTTTCATGGACATGGCAGATACCTGTAACATCCAGGCCGCGCTCCGAGGCCATGAGACTTTGCAGCTCCTCTTTCTTACCCAATGGCATAGGTGAGTTGGCCCCGTGATGTGTAAGAGTCGTATGACTGTGGTTGTCGTTGCTGGGGTAAGACGCGTCAAACCCATCGTCGCTAAGACTGCAGAAGTATGGCTCAGGCTGCTGCGCTGTAAGCTCCGCCTTCAGCATGTTGAACTTTAAGATCTCTAGGCGAGCAAGGGGTTGCTTCCACATTTGCAGCATATCGGCGTACGCATAACGGTAGTTTGAGTACGCCAGATTGCGACTTGAATCAAGCAACGGTGTTGTAAGCCATCCATCATCATCAAATATGCCCTGATCCTCCACCTCAACGGAAATATCGTAGCACGTGAGACTCAACGACTCATTCTTCAGCAATTCATCATCGGAATACGAGTTGCGAGCGGTGGTTGCAGGCTCAGAGGTAGGTCCTAGAACCGTCGAACCTCCCCACGTGATGTTAGACGGGTTGAGGTTGGCGAGGAAGTTTTCTCCAGGGCTTGGGCGCTTTCGGCTCGGCGGTGATGAAGAAGCTGTGCTAACAAAGGGTCTAGGAAAGTTAGCGGCGAAACCCGCTGTCAGTGTGGTATTAGCACGACGGAAAGGTCGAGGTTCTGGAGATGTGGAAAGACTCTGAGTAGTGTCGGCCTCTGACAGATTGTCGTAAGGTGTTCTCGTCGGGGGCGTCTCTCCACACGAATAAGAATTCGACGCCGGATCACCAGGCCAAACCGCCCCCTCCGATCCATATGAACCTGAAACTTGGAGTGGCGTATTCGCAGTCTTCGGAGTCGAGACTCCGGAAGCGGCCTGGCTCTTCGCAGTGTAGTTGGTGCTTTGCCATATTGGTGCATCAGGCGGCAAGTAGTCCAACGAAAACGCCGGCGCCTTCATAGGGAGTGGCGTCTCTGGCAGTGTGAGGTTCGACTCTGCGTAGGCCACACTGTCTTCGGTGAAAGCTTCGCTGAAGATGCATGACAGCATTGCGAGCATTTGTACATCAGCCATCTTCTCAAAATAGTCAAAAAGCTCGCTGATGTAGTCTTTTGCGAGGGGGTGTAGACCCCATTTGACCCTTCCTAAGAGGGCCGGGTTGTTCGAATCGCCGCCACTGGTTTCACCACTCCGGAAACGAGAAACCACGTCCTTAGCAATGATCAGAATGGAGTTTTTCCTCTGGTCTTTCTCCAGCAACTCGAGCGGAATATTCTTCCTAAGGAGAAGCGCAGCGTATTTCCAGACATGTGTCAAGTCAATCCGACCATGCTTTTCTGCCACCTGAGCATTATGCTCACAAACGTAGGCGCCGTCGCCGAATATGGCATACTCTTGAGCAAGTTCCCGTTTGGAAGGTAAGATGTCAGACAGATCGTGGATAGACACGATATTCTTGGGTTTGGATACCAACTTCCGCCTGCTCGTGCCAGTTCCGGTACCAGTGCCGGTGCCAGTATCAACGCCTGTGCCCCCGCCACTAGAGCGCAAGGAATAGCTTCCACTAAAAGCTTTCCTGAATCTCCGCCCGGGGAGATACCACATGTTGACCTTGTGCATATATATGTTCTCGGAGTCGCTTGAACTCGAGGAAGAGTCATCAGCGTCGTCTGAATCGGAGTGGTCATCAGCCATAGACATATCATCCAAGTTTCTCTGTCTGGGAGGAGGCGAATCCTGTTGAAGCCTACCAAAACCCGCAAATGTGGGTTCGCCCTTTGGCCGCTCCTTGAATGTGTCTGTTGGCGCGAAAAGCAGAGCCCGAGCCTTCTCCTCGGGAGAAGGAAAGAAGCACACCAGTCTCCCGTCGTTGGACCAACGAGCTCCGCACAGTCGAGGGATTGGTGGTATCGGCTGCCGATTAGCAGGCGCAAGAGTGGCATCGAACTCAACACTGGCAGTCAGCTCTTGAGACATACTCGCTGAGCCGCCAGTCGGAATGTCGTTATCCTCATCTTCACTAGAACTGTCGTCGGCAAGCGCTTCGATGTCATCATCTAGATCGCGGACATTCTTAAAGAAGGATTGGCTCGTCGTTAGGTCGGTCTCTCCGAGCAGATAGCTGAAAGCCACTTCCAAGCAATTCTGCTTCTTCTTGGCAAATTGGGTTGCAAGTAAGTTCACATCTTGATCGAGCTGCTTGTAAGTTGGATCAGGCATCAAAGCTGTCTTCTCAATGAAGAAGCTCGGAGCTCTGGACCTTGGATAGCTGGTCGGAATGTCGACTTTGACCTTGATGTAGATTGTGTCGCCATTAGTACCCCAAGGGCCCATCAAAGACGCATCAAGGGTGAGAGCATTCATGTCAACATTTTCCCAGTGCACGTTAGGTAGCTGTTGATTGACGCGAATGATCTCGTCTTGCAGAGTCTCAGGCTCGCCCCAGTGATCATCATGATAGCTTGAGCTAAACATCACCGAGTCTTTGGACTCCCTTCTCTGCTGAGGCTCCGCAGTTGTAGTCTTCCTCTTGCTCAAAGTGATTCCCTTCATCCAGCCGAGTTGATCCGTAATTCCGTCACCATGCTTGCCGGCAGTAGACTTTGCCTTCATAGATGGGCCTCTCCAGGTCGATATAGCGCCTGGTCGATAGTGCGAAGACATGGACTGCATTCCCGATGTGAGAGCGCTGCGTCGATGTGCAATGCCACCGCTGCCAGGGCGGGGGTCACTCATAGTGGCCGATTTTCTCTCCCGGGCCCAGTGGTCGTCGACGGAGCGATAGGTCTTGTAAGCCGCGCCCTTTCTCGTGAGATTAAGCTTCTTTCTGGCAGGACTGCCCTTGACGTAGCCCACATTTTCGAGCGCAGATGAATCTACTCGATGGAGCCGTAACTCATTGTCTTCACCCCACGACACGAGCTGAAAATCTCTCTTGTCAATTCCGTCTTCGGAAACGCCACCCCGACTTCGCCACAGAAATTCCTTGACCTTGTGGTTGCCGTGACCCGGAAACATGGCGACAGGGGCTACGTTTCCGTCTTGAGGCTGATTAGCGTCTCTTCGTGTATCGTACAAGTAAAGATGGCCAGGATCATTCTGAGGCATGGCAAGGAGTCCCCAACCGAATGGAGTGTGCCGCGCGCGCCATACTGGAAAGTCTGTTCGGATTATTCGTTGCGGCTCATCAGAAACCGCGTAGTCCCAGAGTTTGATTGTCTTGTCCAACGAACATGTAACGACGCTAGTTGGCTCGGTGCGATTCCAATCAAGACCATAGATCTTGGAAGTATGGGCGTTGATGGACTTCAGAGGTTTTGACACCTTCCTTTCGTCCCAGATATGTAGCCAGCGATCATGGGATGACGCAATAATGAATGGATCCTGGCGATTGTACTTAACCTGGGTAGCACCAGCGAACCAGTCACAGAAGGTCAAAACAGGCTGTCGAGGCTTCCTCAGGTCCCAACTATGTACAAAGCCATCGACGGCACAGGTAGCGAGGATGTCTGGATGATGAGCCGAGAAATTGACGTCTGTGATGGCCCTGCTATGGCCATGTAGAGAGTGCTCAATGGCGCCATTGGCAGAATCCTCCCTTTTATTAAGATTCCAGATGAGACATCGGTGGTTTGCGGTCGAGGCCACCCAGTAATCGCGAGCCGCAAACGGCGACCACTGAACATCCACTACCAGCCATGGCAAACCATGGCTGCTCAGTCTGCGAGGGGTGCTGTAAGGCGAATCCAGGTCAATGATTGCCAGTCCATCGGGTCTCCAGTAATGGTTAGCAACATGCCAATAAAGTCAGAGTAAGAGAGGAAAACATACGATGCAAGAGCCACATCACGGCCAGATGGAGATATCGTAGCCGAGCCCACAAGCCCGTCCACGTGGATGGTGACATCCGCGTCGAAGGTTTCGCTGTCGCACGCAGAATTGATGGTCTTGCCCTTCTTCGCCTGATCGAGCATGGAAGGCATTTTGGTCTGCCCTGGACCCTATACAGGGTACAGCTTGATCAGCCAGATTGTGAAACAGCTTCCATGAGCGGCGTTTGTGTGTTGAGTGTTTCATGCGATTTCTCATAACTACAGCGCCGCTGCTTGAGTAGTCTTGTCTGTCATCCAAGCCCAGCCGCAGCTCGCCAGCCGAATTTATTGGAAGGCGCACATGGATGGCAGGATCGAATCCGCAATTATCTTTGGAGATGGGATCATCGCCGAGAAGTCATGTATACGCTTTGATAAGTTGTTAAGAAAGGTGTAAGAAATGAATACATGAGAATTTCTCGTCAAAGTTGATGGATCTATCACAAGTTGAACTTGAGATGCAATCACCCGAGAGAGCCTCTAGACTTGACTGGCTTGATGAAAGGCCTGTGCGTCAAGCGAACCTGCGGCAGCTTGCACAGCAGAAGTACCCTTCCTCGCTAACTCCGTGCAGCGGTACATGTACCCCACCCAACCTAGAGGGGTAATTCACCTTCTAAGCCAGGAAGCCCAGTAACACAGCCACGGGAGATACCGTCGTCGTTATCGACAACCAACCAGCAGCCAGTGAGTCCATTTACATTCTCCATGTTGATGCCGAGGACTGTCTTCTATCGTGGACCGCAGACTTTTAGTTCTCAGATATTCTATTGCTTTGTCCTCTTGAATTCTGTTCTCCTTGCAAAATCGTAAACTCCTCGTCAAGAGTCGAAAGCCCATAAAGTCCTCATACACCTCAGGCTTTCCCCAATATCCCCTCAATCCTGTTTTGCCCATTTCGAAGTTGAATCAACGACCCCACCAACCATCGTCTCTCAGTCTTGAGGGAACCCAAGTCAAGAACTTCAGATCAGCTGCTTCCTTGAACTTCATCACTTCCCAAGGTGGTCGTCTCTTCCCTAGCCGAGCTTCGTAAGCAAAAAACCATTCACCTCAAGCTTGGCTCGCACTCCACGACAAAACACGATGGCGTTGCCCAAAAGGATTGTGAAGGAGACGGAGCGTCTTATGACGGAACCGTAAGTCGATGAGCACTTGACCGGTCGATTTCTGCGCCACTTTGCAAAGACTGTGATTCTAACCTGGCTATCTCTCCACAGCGTTCCCGGTATTAGTGCCGTACCCCACGAGGATAACCTGCGATACTTCGACGTTGAGATTCACGGCCCTAGTGGTTCGCCGTATGAGGGTGAGTCAGTTTGGCTGCCCACAACTCCACGCCCACTGCTAACACCCAGACTAGGCGGCGTCTTCAAACTCGAGCTCTTCCTGACGGACGACTACCCGATGGTCCCCCCGAAAATCCGCTTCCTTACCAAGATCTACCACCCTAACGTCGACAAGCTTGGTCGCATTTGCCTTGATGTCCTGAAGAGTAAGACAGTGTTCTTGCTACTTGGTACACATTGGTATACTCAGCTAGCTAACCCGGCTTTCAGACAACTGGTCTCCAGCTCTTCAGATCCGAACAATCCTGCTCTCGATCCAGGCACTATTAGGCGCTCCCAATCCCGACGACCCGCTTGCTGCCGACGTTGCAAAGAGCTGGAAAGAAGACGAGAACAAGGCTATCGCCACGGCCAAGGAGTGGACCAAGAACTTCGCTACGCCCAAATCTTAGATGGATACGGTGCTAGGATAAGTCAGCAGCAGCAGCATGATGGAACAGCATTTCGAGAGGTCTGCCGATCTGGTAGTATCGGCATACCGTAGGTTATGGACCTCAATAGGGGACATAATGACTGATGGACTCAAAGGGGAAATCGACAGACGTGGACGTCTTACAAATCACCGAGTGCATGTCTGCTTGTTGCGAGGGCTTACTAGAGGTCAATGGTTGTGTTTTTTCCCCGTGGCCTTGTCGGGTTTCTGCATGGATTCGTCGCAGGTTGACAGCTGTAGAGACACGGTGCGATGATGGCATATCATACCAAAATTGGGCAGCTTCGGCAGCTGTTCTTGCTTGCAGATCACCAATGAGACGGGCCAAAAATTTGCCTGTTGCTCTGGTACACAAACACTGGTGATCGTTTGAGAATATTCGGCCTTGAAGTCCACATGAAGAGACAGACCCTTGACGAACAGCTTGACAAAAAACTACACATCAAAAGTCAACTGCCTTTGTTAAAGACCACAACACTTTTAGGGGCAGGATATACGCCTTATATACTCTCTGAGTTCAATCCTACATCATCACCTTGTTGGGTATACTACAACTTAGCTCCATCAAGAAATCTCACGTCTCTCCGAAAACAAACACCCCCTTACCCTTCCTAAACCCCTCCAGCGTGCCTTGCACCGCCTCCCTCAGTGTTCCCTCTTTCGTCTCCCAACTCCACGGCACATCCACCGTCGGCGTATCCTTGAACTTTCCCTCCCTCATAAACTCCAGTATCTCATTCACGGTCCTCTCCTTGCCCTCCTTGTCCCCATCCGCCCACCGACTCAACCAAAACCCCACAAACCTTATATCTTTGAAAATCAACAACCCCGTGGGCAAAGACACCGGCTGCCTCGCCATCCCCCCATAAGTGACCAACGTACCCCCCGAACCGAGCGTTTTAGCCATCGTTTGCGCCGATTTGCCTCCGACACAGTTCATACCCAACCTGATCCCCTCGCTGCCCGTCCACTCCTTCACCATATCCCGAAATTCCCTGCTCAAGAATTCTTCCTCAGTGACTACTTGCGTAGCTCCCAAATCCTTCAGCTCATCCTTGAGTTTCTGCGTCTCCTCGGCGCTTTCACGAGACCGAATCACATTGATACTCTTATACCCCCACAACCTCCCCAATTGCACCGCCGCCCGCCCCACCCCCGAATTCGCCCCATTCTGCACAAACCAGTCTCCTTCCCGCAACGCAGGCTGCGCATAATCGCGCAACATGCGGTACGCGGAGCAAGGGTTCACGGCGACGGTGCCCGCCTGCGTCGGGCTTAACCCTTCCCTCTCGACCCGCAAAACAGTATCCGCACCGGCGACGGCATGGGTGCGCCAGGTGCCGAAGCCGGTTTTGGTGGGGATGACCCAGTCGCCTTTCTTGAGCGGACTACTCGAAGGGAGGGAGGACGTGGAGATGATTTCGAAAACGCCCTCGTTGCCCGGGATGACGGACGGCTCGGAAGTCCCTATCAAGGGCGAAAAGGAAGGTTTCACGCCGTAGGTGCCTTGGATGGTGTTTACGTCGGCAGGATTGATGGGTGCGGCCAGGGTACGTAGGAGGAGAGAGGAGGAGGGGAGGGTGGGCGAGATGGAGTGAGTGTGAAGTCTTGAAAAAGGGTGGTCGTTAGCTTGACACTTTGTGACGATACGTTTCTTTCAAGGGTTTGTGTTCTATCTTACTTGAGGACATCGCTCGGCTCGCCGTATCTACTGAAGACCAAGGATTTGGCTTGCGTGTAGCCGTACGGTCCTGACTTGTGACGAACGGCCATTAGTGGAGTTGCGAGCTTTGCGGTCTGCCATTGTGGTGCTCGAATTGATGCCCTATATAACGAGTCTGCAGTGGATCGTGCCTTGAGAGGCCGTAGTGCAGCCATCTTGAACAAATATCAGCGTTTGTTGCGTTGTGACTTTGACTTCGTCGAATGAAACCTGCCGTACAATTGACCGAAGCTCAAGCTGTAGCTATTATCGGCGGGAGCTCGGCAATGACGTTGGAGCTCCACCGGGCTCTGGCGGGCGAATGATATGGGAGTCTAGAAGCTCTCCGGCTCTCACCCCAGCGAAGCTATAATTGGTGCAGACTTAATAAGCATTGTTGGATTTACTGATGGCGAGTAAGTAGCGTTATCTCAACGCGCCAGTGAGTCTGTATACCTTAATGTGCCAAGAAGACGTTGGGAAAGTCAGAGCGGTGTTGCTGAGGCGCCGCCCTGTCATCATTGTCAATGACTAGGTTACTGTGGGTTGGAGCCACGATTGCCCTATCGAAGCATCTCATCAAGCCTTCATGGCCTTGTGGAAAGGTTCGCCACGTGTCAGTTCGAACGTTGGAATGGCAAGCAATATGCGATGATATATCCTTCGTCAGCCCATCACCATCATAGGCAAGCCGGCCACTATCAGTTGTACTCAATTCAAGGGCAGCTATAATATGGGTGCAAACATGAAATTTCCAAGCTCGCAATCTCATTTTGATGGTCGTCGTAGTAACCGTAGTAAAACGTAATAATACTAACAAAAGTAGAAAAATGATGCATTTCACCGTGCCTAAGAGATGCTCTATTTTGTCACAGACAATGTGTCATTTGCTGGCCCTCGGATCCCTTCTCGAATAATATTCCCAAATTTGCCTTTTTGCCCTCGTAAGCCGTCAAAGGCGTAGCGTTAGAATCTCCACCAAACCAAACTGGAGGGAAATTCACATCAGCTCTTCCAGATTTCTCCCTCTCATATTCAAGGTGTTGTGGGAAACTCGTCCCAAGTCCCTGCTTCGCGCCCTATTCTGAGCCTCCGAGACATCATAGGTGCCTTGTTCAAGAGCCTAGGTAGTCGCGTTTCCCCAATTTTTCCTGCTTGGGAGTACAAGAAGTGAAAGACATGTGAAACGCAAAATGCAATGAGGTGGAGTTGTACACAAGGGCGTAGAAGGCCGTACAGAAAGCTCGCAATAACTCAAAGGGGGTATGTTGATATAGCAGACATAAACTTGAAGATCAGCAGATCCTCCAAAAAGAACAGATTAAAACAAAACTAAGGAAAATTGGGGTTGTATGTCGATGAATGAGCTCGCGCAGGAGCCGGGTATCTAGATCTTCACCTCTCTTTCTCCAAACTCTTTTGTCCAAAATATTTGCTCCCCAAACTCGCTCCAGAGAAAATTGCCAAAAATCGATAACTGGCCCATGTGGAAAGGAGGCTTCGGCGGATAACGCAAAGTCTCGTAATAGTCGTGACTCGAGATTCGGAGGTTCGATGGAGACCATGTGTGGGTAGCCTGGTGTCCGCCCCTCGAAAATAGGGTATCCATTGATAAATGGCACGTGGATTATTTAATGTCCTTAAATATATCATCACCCATAGTGATATCTGGCTTATATTCCCAAGTGCTCAGCTCGGGGATCATGGGTGGTGGTGGGCCTGTTGGCTTCTTGAACTCCTCGAATTGGGTAAGATGCGTGCTGTGCCGTTTATTGGGAAGAGCACCGGGAGCAGTACTGGGGGCGGCAACGGGAGCATTCGATTTGTCGTTGGATCGTAAACGTCTAAACCATCCGCTGCCTCGTTTCGACTTTTTATCCTCGGCAATAGTGCTTGCCGTACGACTCGGGGGTCTGGACACGGCTTGGCCGCCTACAGAAGCTTGCTCGTCGTATGTGTTGTTTAGTAGAGTTCGGCTCAACAAACGTCGAAGACTGCCCCGACTTGAGTGCGTAGGGGAAGCTGGGACATCCTCAGCCGGACGCTTCAGTCCACCTTCGTTCGTCGAGCTTGTGATGTCCGATTGAGGTGACGTCTCATGATGCCCATTCAATGCAACACCGTTAGCTTCCGGTTTCTCCTCGTCAACCGCGTTTTCGACAGGGGTCTTAGGCGGAGTCGGGACTTCTCGATCAGGTGATGGGTCAGGAGGTGGTATGTCGGTGCCCTGAGTGAGGGAGCCGAAGTTCAAATCCAAAATAGGTAGTTCGAAATGCTTCGTGTTGGATGCCGTGGAATAGGTACCAGCAGCACCATCGCCACCGGTGCTGGTAGTTCGTGTTGGCATGGCTTGGAGTGGTTTATAAGGGTCGGGAGACCACAACGAAACCCAAGTTGTTTAGGTGGGATAGTAGTTATACGCAAGGTTGGCAGCGGGAGTCAGATGGAAGGTCCGAAGGCAATCTTGAAAAGTTCGTCCTAGCGCAAGACGAAGTGATGGCAATGCTGGCAAGCTACTGGTACGGTCCGAGTCGCTTGTAGCCGAGTCTGAATGTTAGTTGTCGGTGCTGTTCCAACTAAACGCCAATCGGCCGGGACGGTGGTTTTGAATCGACTGATGCTGGATATCCAGCAAGATGAGTGACAAGAAGAAGTCAAAACAGCCCAAGCGAAAGGCAGGTCATAACAAGGCGACAGAGGGTAAGCGACGATTGGGGTCTGAGCGGCGAAGAGGAGAGAGGCAATCCAAGGTGGCACGCGTGGGTTCTGCCACTCGAACTAAGGTACTGAAGTAGAAGTGAGAGGAGAAGCAGCCAGGGTCAGGGTTCAAATTGTTGTTAGTTGGTCAGGGTCCCGGCCAATCCAAGCTGCAGCCAGTGGGTGGGATCACGGTTGCTTGTCTTCAGCCTCCGTCATGAGTTCAACACCCGGCCGTCAAGCTCGAAAGGAAGCAATGGAACTGCTTACTGATTGGGAAGCTGTCAGTAAATAAGCCAGTGACACCTGAATTAAAATATCAGACGAGAAGATGCGGGCACAATGGCTGCTGTCGTACCTAGGAGCATGAAAATGTCTGAGCTCGCTGAGATTGAGGGTTCCTGAATCCCAAGACCAAGATCCAAACGGAAAGGTGCCAAAGGTGGGGACTGGAGAAACTTCACGTTGCCCAAGGTGGGGTGCAGGTTGAGATTTGCGGGTGGCACTCTTCCAACCACAAAAGGAGAAGAAGCATGTTTTATCTGCTGCATCTTGTGAACCCCCAACCAGGAGTGAGTGTGCATCGTGTTGTGCTCACATCTCTCATCAGATACAAGTCAATGAATCAATTATTCTCAAGATACAGAATGACCCAACCTCAATATGCCACCACGCCCAGCCGCGTGTACCACATTTGACTTGTCCGTCGTTTACAGCAATTTGCTTCGCCTAGCCGTTAGGTTTATGGCAACGGCCTGGAATTCCCCGCCAGTGCTTCTACTCCAAAGCGTTTTCCAGGGGCCCAAGAGGCGCTCTCAAACAACCCTTACAGCTCTCTCATCGGTTAGTCCAGCCGACCAGGAAACAAAATAGAAACGTTAGAACACTCGGGGGTTTTTTTAATCGTCTTGTCGTGCAGCTGCCCGCACATCTCTGACAACAGGAAACCCTGCTTTCCCGTCAGGGTTCCAGCAAAGTATCGCGTAAAATCCGTCTGGGGTATGCGGTCTTGGGAAATATTCTGCAAATGATTGTCTCGCCCGTGCTGCAAAAAAACCTAATGAGATTGTTTGAGAAAGCATGTAGAAGGCCCCGTCAATGGCATCTGCGGGAAATCGCTCGCGCAACCTCGAAACCCTTCAAAGTGGAGTAGCGCGCTGTTGGACAACTTAGCTCATCAACGTCTGTCCGTTTGGAGTATGTCGCATGTCTCTGCATTCCATCATGCGAACTCATGCGAAAAGAACCAGCAAATACGCGGATGGCCTAGAAGAGCCCCTGCAAGCACGCAGCACTGGCTGGAGCCGTTCATTGCTGCTTCTTGTTACTGCAATGCTGTGCCATTCCCCGCATTAGCGCGAGGGGATGGGTGTATTATAGAAAGGCTGTGAGATGGAGTGTGGCAATTACATGACATTGGGTGTTTGCCATGGTGTTGGCCGGATTGTCCTGTGATCCTGATTCTTCTTGCAATTGCAATGTGCTGACCCCTGAGGTTACAACACGCGAGGATCCCACTTCTGGCCCCCGGGCCTATCGGCAAGATGTCCGCATGGGTGGTTGAAATTATCCCGAAGCTTTTATTTATGGGGCTAGCGAGGTGACATGTATCTCGCTGTCGATGGCCTACCATCTCGCATTGATGAGATCGACAATATGTTTCGCAATTAAGTTGTTTGTTTCCATGGTCGACTTCTGGAGTGAGTGTCCAAATGTTTACAATCCCACCTTTCTTGCCCTTCTCAGCACCGTTGTTTCACGGCCTTGCTCCCAAAGTACGTGGTACGTTGTCTTTCTTGCAGTGCCCTGACCCTTGCATGAAGACGACATTTGGCAAACTTTCCGGTCGAGCCGCCATGTGTCTGGATCCTGGAAACTTGATCCATTTTGATGTTTTTGATAAGCTGATAATGGAAATCCCCCCACAAGCATCGTCATGAAATAGCCGGTTAGGCCAGTGGGATTTTGATTGTGGGTTCCAGAGTCGCGGCCATGTGGAGCTGAGGACCGACAGTCAGTTGCATACGAAGTACGAAGTAGAATCACGTTAGAAAACTTACTCACCCTACTACCGGATAGATAAGATACAGCGAAGACCAACTATGAATATCAGCTACAGTACTCGTTGACTCGAACTGTTTTCGAAATGACAATAGCGTACCCCCAACGCATCTAACTACTTCCATAATACTCCATTCCAAGGAGTCTAGACGCTATGTTCGCAGCGCCTGTGTGAAAGCATGTAACCGATCAATCACGACGGGCATGAAGCCAGTCAAGCTGTCCTCCATGATACCTTCCAGTAGTCTGATAGCATCCTCTTCATTCAGATCCAGGTGGAACCTCTCTTTGACTTTGAGTACCGCTTTGTCAGGTTCAAGTTTGATGTCTGGGATGTTTGCGTGTACCATGAGACTGAACAGGTTCAGAATCAAGTTTGATGACTTGCGCAATGCTGTGAAAGCTAGGAAACAATACTGTTTGAACTGCAGGTAAAGCTCACTCGGAGGATTGGACCCTCCCATCACGTCAACCATTTCTTTGCTGAGCTTGAGAGCCGGTGCGAAGGGCTTCGGGTCACGGCCCAATATGAAACCAAAGTCGGCGTGGAAGAAGTGCCCATCGGGTGCGAGGAGCAGATTCTCGAGGTGCCGGTCCCCAACGCCAAGGATGTAAGTGATAACGCAGTAGCCCGCACACGACTTGACGAAAGTCTCCAAAGCCTCCTTGCGCACTCCCAAGTAGGCACGTTCATCCGGATTGTGTTCTTGGAGGTAGGCAAGCGCAGGTGTCTTTTTCTTATACGAGGATGATATGGCGGCAAATGTTTGAGAGGGGACAAACTGCGAAGCGCCTGCTGTAGTACTGGTTGCGAGAATCTTATAAGGAGACAACTTGAGGTCCAAGTTCTCTTTTTGTAGAAGTTGATCCATAAGCGTGATGATCTGGATGACCAACTGATCCTGGCGCAAATCGTCGCCAGTCTTGAATAGCATGGGGTAGTCAATTCCCGAGGATGTCTTGAAGGTAACCATAATCGGCGACAGAGATGACTTGAAGACACGCGTTTTCTCAGGTAAAACCCCCGTTATCATGACACTTGGATCCAAAGGCAGCGGTATGGGCGGCTCAATGGTCAAGATTTCGTTCTTCGGGTCAGCCAGGAAAGTTTTGACTCGCTCGACCTTGCGAACTGTCGTTTCGCTCGATGCTTGAATCTCACCTGAGATTTTCGACAGCACGGTAATGAGTTCGGCTTGACGTTTAATAGTATTCCGGGTGTCCTCTCCACCAGATCGTTTGGTCAACTCCATCATGAAGTCATATTGTACTTTCGCATACATGGTGCGAACTTCTTGGCCCTGCTCTGGGCTCTTGTCGTCCCATTCAACACTGAGATACCAGTATAGATAGTTACCCAATTTGAAGTTCTCTACCGCTCTGGATATCAAGAAGGTCGCCAGGGACGAAGACTCCAAGGTTGCTTGATCGGAATCCGTTGCAATGTGTTCAAACTTGAGAGCTTGGACGAGCTGCAACAGGTACAGTAGCAACTCGTCGTCGTCTGCTTTTCTCAACCGCTCCACGGCATAGGCTCTTACTGCTGAGTTGTCAAACGTTGGGCCCAGAAGTTCCAATGCATCATCAACGTCAATCTCTGACCATTTTGCAATGACTTGAATGGCCTGTTTTGCTTCACTCTGGTCTTGCCAATTTACTGATTTGACAAACTTTGTCAACGCTCGTTTGTCCTTGGTGAGGTGGTACCGGAATTTCCACACAAGATCCTTCTCCTCCGGAGACAAGGTGTGCGTAGGTGAATACGCCATTATCGTATTCAGCTCATCCCGAACCTTGGCGTTAGGTCTCAAGTCCTTGTCCAAGATACCGTGGCGATGCTGACTTCTGACCAGGCGCCTATGCTTGCTCTCTGCAGGGTTGTCTTTTGCACCCACCTCAGGGTCATAAATCCTGACCAGTCGAGCGTTTGGGTCCGTAGGGCCATTTATGCCCGGTCCAAATTGTACCTCAACGGGAGGCTTGAGATCAACATTGGATTGAGAGGCGGACAAATGCTGGAGAGCAGACATGGGAGGGGGTGGGTATTCGTGATCAGTAAAAACCACTGGGAAATCAAACCTCGGAAGCTCGACATGGAGGGTGAACTTCGAAGGTCTCGGTTTAGAAAATTCGTCGGCTTCTTGATGGATGGTGCCATTCTGTTGCGCCGGCTTTAAGCCTTCCTGGGCCATGTTTGTTTGCCGCTGGAGAGACCTCACTGAGTTTCCTGTCGCTTCTTTCGTGCGTTTCTCTATCACACGCCATACGAGCCGATCGAGCCACTCCACTTTAGGAATCTCGTTCATTTCATATTTCTTGTAGAGCTTGTCCAAACGTTCCAGTTCTTCCTCCTCTTTACTCACCACAACGACATCGGGGTCCTTGGATCCCTTTCTTCGTCTGATGATGCTCGCCGGTGTGGTCGTATTGTCGTTGCCGTCTGCCTTTTGATTTCGATACACTACACAGCGCAGTCTACCTTTCTGGACTTGATTGTCCTGGTCAAAGAGGGGCAGAGTAGTGCCACCAAAGGGAACGGCATGACCCTGCGCCTGCTTTCCGCCTGTTGGTGAAACATCCCATATCGTTATCGCGAGGCACGAGTTTAGAGGTAACGACTTGTACGGAATAGGGATATCGAGCCACTCGTTCCAACTAGGTATAGCATGTCAGCTTTTGTCTTCCCCCTCTGGCGGCTTTCGCACCTTCTGTCGTTTTTAAATGGCTTATAGGCTGTCTGCACTGGTACCGTGATTGGCTTGGAGCCTGCCCAAACCTGGACAGTGACATGGAGGTCGGAGTATGAGCTGTTCCAACCATGTCCCTGTCAGCATTGTTCTATGCTTCCGCGCTCGTTGGGATTCTACCTCGTGTTGGAGCCGATGTGTCTGAGGTCTGGGCGTTGCAGTAGTGTCGAAAATGCATGAGGCGCCTCGTCACCTTCGAGATTGACTCTAGAACACAGGTTGCTGTCGTCAGCATCGAACAATTTATTCCGAGGAATGGAGGCAAGTGGCTTACATGCGGATGCGTAGGGGATAATCTAGCGTTTCCGAGCCTACAAATGAAAAGGGATCCATCTTGAGATCTTTGGTCCATGTCAGTTGCGCATCTAGTCATCCTAGTCGGTACGTCTATGCGCCATTGCTGAAGGAGTCTTGCGATAACTGAAGTTCTGACAAAGGAGTCGAGAGATCCGTCGTTGTCTAGATCTGCCGTCATTGGTCACAAGCTACAAAGGTAGCACTACGTACGGAATAGCACCATAGGCAAATGCGGGTTGATATGCACGGACCCACTAGATGCTAGATGCAACTTCGTGCTTTCAACCGCACAAGTTCTAGCAGGCAACAACGACAGCGAAAGCGCCTACTTTGGTCTCAAAATAATGAAGAATGGGTTATGACCAAAAAAATATACCAGACTCGATTTAACGCAATAAACAATCTCACCGGGGCCTTGTTGCATTTTGGTTACCAAGCAAGATCGATTCAGGACTCCAGACAACGCACGTGTCCCACATTCTTTTCCAGGGTCTCAGGATCCAACCCCGCTAATCTTGGTCTAGACTAGAGCAATTAAACACCAAACGCGTCGCAAGCCTTGGGAGACGCGACTTGCGCCTCGACTTACCCGGCATCGCCTACACCATCAGATCAGGAACCACCAGCTTCTAGAGGCGGAAAAATCGACTGAAGGATCGCTTTTGCGCCAGAATTTTCATTTGGGCCAAAGTCATCTGGGCGATCACAACGTGCCTGCTTCCATCATCTACAGCCGCCCAGCATGTCGGAATACTCTACACCAGCTCCAGAATCCCCAATCAGATGGTCGGACAAGGAGAATACCCCCAGAACTCTCGTGGTGAGGGACAAGGGCAAGGGCCCAGCAGTTGCGTCCAAAAGGAAACGTTCCTTGACCAACGGCGCAGGTCCATCACACTCACGACGTCGCACCCGAGAGCCAGAAGGGGGAGGAGAGGAGGAGGAAGACGAAGATGAAGAGGAAGAGGATGACCTGGAACATATTGACTCGGAACAATATGATCCAGACCAGTCAATAGAGGAGAGACGTAACGTACAGCGAGGCCTTCGGGATCTACTCCGAGATCTGACAGAAAACAACGATGAGTACCTGCAGGTCGACTCGAAGGGCTTGCACGATACTCTACGGAAGGCGAATAAGCTGGCGGCGGGTGTGAAACAAACCACAGAGGCCACTATCGATTCAAAATTGCTTGTCAGTACAGTCAATGCTTCGTACCGGAAAACAGTGCGCCTAACCGCTGGGAATATTGCCCGGGGTATTGACGTGGATGAGCTTGTCTCCAAATCCATTGCCTACATGCGACTAGGCGGGGTTGTCGTTGACGATGATGCGCCGGAGTTGTCGAGCACACAGAGGCAACGCAGACGTCCGAGTAGGGGAGGGGCATTAGGGGGGGCTGATGGGAGCGACGACGATGAAAATGACGATGACGGTGACATGTTCAATTGGGAACATCTAGGAAAGTTTGCTTGTCTTCCTGAAATCCGCCGGCCGGCTACACCGGGTTTCCTCCTCGGACCATTATCCGTTCAGAAGAAAATACGAAAGATTGTGAAAAGGAGCGCGCCATTCAAATCTTCAAATCTTCCAGAGACGCGCCCAGAGGTTCTCGATCCAAAGGACGTCGAAAGAGATGAGCGGAATGACCTGGCAGGCATATGCACTAAAATTCTGCAACGTCTTGTCGTTGTTCAAGAACGTGCCCAAGACGCGGCTGAGGATGCGTTCGATATAGGCGCAGAAGATGAGACTAAAAAGATCATGGAGCAGCATGGCTTGAGGAATACTGGCGGGATTGATCTCTTCAAATTTGTTGTGAATCCCAAGTCGTTCGGTCAGACGGTTGAGAACATGTTTTACGTCAGCTTCTTGATACGTGATGGCAAAATTGGTATTGAATTTGACGAAAACGGGCTCCCCACCCTACGTACGCTGTTCTACACCTTCATACTCATATATGCCAACGGCTAACAAAACTTGCAGTACCAACTGGCACGGGAGATGCCGAGCCAGGCGCAGCAAGACATGCTGCGCAGAAGCAACAAGCCGTTTTGTCAATCGACATGGCAACCTGGCGGGACCTCATCGAGGCTTTCGACATTAAACAGCCTCTGATCGAACATCGGAATGAGCAAAGCACGCAGGGTCCTGGAGCTCGGGGGTGGTATAGCTAGAGACTTTGCATGCGGACGCAACACCACCCGACTGGCGGGAATAGTGCTAGAGGACTCCAGGATAAAGTACCTATCATCGGCAGCTATTCCGAATCAAGCAAAGACAAGGAGCATTGTGCGGCTGGTTCAAAGTCCTTAGCTGATATTATGCCCACCATGTATTCCTGCTACCCTATCCTACATGGCGCTAAATGCTGATTCATCAAGCCATTCAACTTCAAAACTACCAGCACCCGTCAGTTCAACTCAGGATCAGTTGAGTAAAGCTCGTAGGTCCAATAATGTCGTACTTCGAATCCATCTCCTTTGCCTCTTCCAAAGCTGCAACAGCGTCCATCCGCCAATGTTCACAACCGCAAGAATTACAGTCCACGCAATGCCAGACCCTTCACTTTTAGGCTGAAGAGCTCATAAGTCGCATCCGAGTCATTGGCCTGGGGAAAGGGCGCGTTAGGCACCGACTTGTCCAGCATCTTACAAAGGGGCTCCCAGCCCTTGTTCATCTCCATCCACGTGATTGGCTCAGGGGGCACTTCGCGCGAGACTTGATCATTTTGTCTTGTGACGAATGTTACCGTTCTTCATTAGCTGCAACATCTTCCACATCCTACAAGTCCATCCATCAAGAGACAAGGAAATAGGAGGTCAGATACTTTGACGACCCTGGGATACCACTCAAACCAACCATCATCGGCGGGTAAGTAGCATTCTTCCTCCAACTCAGGCGATGTATGACTTGCTAATATGAAGCACAATAGTCCCGAGCCGCCTGTCCCAAAGCTCAAAAGTTACGGTCCCGTCACCATCACCGGCGTCACTGGCGATGAGGATAAGTTCAGACTTGACTGCCGTGGCTTTCAGTACGTGAAGCATAAGAGTCTTTTGAAGGAGCCCGATTTGGAGGACAGCGAGCTGCTGAAGAGGATTTCTTATCCTGAGATGAAGGAGTTACTGCGAGAGATTCTTTTGGAGACAAGGGTACGGGCTATATCTTGATTTGTTTGAGGCAAGCTGAAAGCTCATGCTGACAATTCCGATCGCAACAGACCAGAACCATCCAGTATCCATGTTTTGAGCACGCGCAGTGACCCCAAGGACGGCGAGCCTCAAAGGGGACATTTGGGACCATTATATGGCGTTCACGTGGATCAGCCTGCATGAGGCTGCCCAGGGATTATCCCAAAGGTGGCTCGGGCATGCCACCGAGGGACTTCTCAAGAAGCCACAATACCGGATCATCAATGTGAATATTCCTTCTCACTTCTATCACATTAATTTCCAACCTGACACCATGTAGATGTGACACGCCTTCCGCCCCGTAACCTGCGACCCCTTCGCCGTAACCGACGCCCGCTCCGACCCCGAATTGGGCATCGCCCACATGATGCTATTTTTTCTCAGCAAGAAGGAGTCACTTCAGGTGAAGCCCGCCCCTGACGGTCGGCCGTATAAGTGGTATCATAAGCACAGCCAGCAACCTGATGGCGTGCCATTGTTCATGTAGGTGAGTACGAGTAAACGGGAGAGGACGTGCCGAAGAGAGTTCTATAGCATGCCCCCCGAAAACTAAAGCCCTTCATTATCAATAAAGAATGTGAAGAATAAAGGAAAATGCATAGACTTTCTTTATTCCACCGACGAATTTAGAGGATAAAGAAAACAAACAAAGTCGGTCTTAATAAAGAAATCTAACAAAGAACTCATACAAATAATGCCTACTTCCCCTAGATAGACTTTTAAACTACACCTCTACACACACTCCCGCAACACACAGTAATGACAACCTACTATACTCTATTACTCTTTTACCCAGCGAACCTGCCCGATAGCAATTCACAACTGTTCGCTGTATACTTGTAACCTTTTAACAGGATCTCCACGTGGCGTTTAAGAATCCCGGACCGAATGAGGAGAAGGGGGGGCCGAGGTCGAGTTTCGATATTAGGGTGGCAGTATTTCATGATGAGGCTTGATAGGGGTATGATAATACAGAGTTCGAGTTGAGGCAGATCAGGCTTCGGTTGAAACGGTTGGCTAGACATAACTAATCTACCAATAGTTGTGGAGACCATCCAATGGAAACCCCCAGCCGCAAGTTCCTCCTGTTATGTACTTTTGTTCTCCTTCTTAGTGTTCTTGGGAATCTCATTTTAGGATCAACCTCCCAGCTTGCCCTCCTGGATATCGGCCTCGAAGGAGAAACATCCCTGCTTGTAAGCCCAATCCGAATCGTCGATAATCCTTCAAAATGCTTAGAACCTATGATAGCCTGGAATTTGACCCTTGTCGTCTCGGACCATACTGACCTTGCCGGCAGCTCCTCTTCGGATTCGTATTCCTTACCTCTCGTCTCCTGCACCTCTGAGTCTGTTAAGCGTTAAGCTCACTGGCGCTTCTACGGGCTTGGCAACGACCTCATCGATCTTGTTCTCTATGTCTCTTCCTTGCTGCACCTCAGTGTCGGCTTGGGTATGACCTTTGATACTTATAGTATTTCGTAAGTTGAACTTTGTGAGTAGGACATTTTCGTTTGCATGTCATTTATTATTCGGAGGAATCAGGTCAGAACAGGAGGGGATACTCCATATAGACAAATCTCGGTTATTAAGCGTACTTTTGCCTTTCTTTATTATTTCGACAAGGCATTGAATTTAAATTTTTAGACTTCCGATGACCAAGAAGGATTGGAAGAAGGACGGTATAGATGCTGGCGGGACATGTAGGAATGACAAAGGGAAACATTCGCTACTTGGCCAGTCCGAATCAACAGAGTAAGTTCTTCGTACAGTATCGGGAAAAAAGGGTTTCCTACGCATGAGAAAACGACAAGCTGCCTTTCAACGCCTGCGCGAACCTTCATCGGCTTATCAGGTTGTGTTTCAAGCATACCGCGAAGATGAGTGAACCTCAACCACTCAATGTCATTGATTTTGCTCAGGCAGGTGTTCAAGCTGTGATTTGATAAGTTTAAGAAATTAATTGAGAAGCGAGATGAAACCTCGACCGCCGCCCAAAGAGAGCAACAGGGGTCCACATATAAATATGAACAAGAACCGTGAACTGTCATGCAAGAGCACTAGTGGACTGCCACATGAGAAGACCAACAGTCTGACGCCAGACATTATGAGTAAGATACAGCTAACAATCCAAGAGATCCACTTCCAGCCCCGTCAAACAAAAATACACATCATTTGACCAAAGATCAAGAACGTGGACTGCGGAAGCATTTAGTTAGTGAACTCCAAAGAGCATAGGGTACCTGCAACTGCAATACGAAACTAGTAGATCTAGCACACCCATATGATCAGGAGATGAAAATCGCTTGATACAGAAAGAGGGGATATACCATGAGGAACGCAACAAACAGCTTGATAAACCAAAGGCGGAATGTCAAGGGATGGAGACAACTCGAAAAGTTTGAGCAGGACATTCAAAAGGAGGAGGCAGCTAAGCTCAGAGAACACGAGTTCAACAGAGAGTTCAACACTCAGTGGAAGTTTGAGTATAATAAATAAGAGGTGGAGCAGGAGACTTAAGGTGCGAGAGGCAGTGCAGTGGAAGAACGACGAAATTGCAGAACAGGAGAACAAGGCGGAATATGTCATGGCAGAGGAAAAGCAAAACATGAGAATCGGAGACTTAGAACAGAATTTGGAACGTGTGATCCCGTACGAAATTTATGACGCCCGGAAACGACAGTTGAAAGAAAATGTCGAAGCAAAGCCCATTATGCGTCGAGTCAAGGAATTAGAGGAAAGGGAGAGAGAAACGGATAAGAAGCACGCGGAGTCACAGATTTGAGAAGCGCGAGCTGAAGGCCGAGTGCCAGGCGCTTAAGACTGAACGCGAACAACTGCAAGACAACTTCCCTCTCAGCGATATTAGGCAGAAGGTCGCCGAGAAACAAACATGGCGGAGAAGAGAAAGGTTTAAGAAGACGCTAAAGGCGGCGAATACAAAACTCAAGGAGGTCAAGAACGAAGAAAAAAAGGTTAAGCGGAAGCGCGCTTAGATGGCTTAACACAAAGGCTTCTCTAAACGGAACCTATTTAAAAAAGAGCTCGAGGAAAAGAAGGCAGACAGGCAACAGGAGATTAAAAAGAGTCAAGGGAATACCGAGGAACGATCAGAGGTGCCAGTTGCCGCAAGCCAGCTTACAGTATCCGGCCAGAGCGTTCGCGGGACGAGCAAGAGAAGAGTTAGGAGAAAATATAAAAGACTCGTCTACACAAGTCGAGGACTTGAACAACAGAGCCGATGTTCACTGCGCAGGTTGTGCAGGAAGCTTCTCGATTATCACAACGGTACGGAAGAGGCGCTCAAGTCGAACGAGGACAAACTCGGCAGAAGTGAAGACGTAGATGAGCGTCGTCAGGATAACCAAGGCCAATGCGCCAAGGAGCGGAAGAAACTCGACCGAGGAGAAGACAACAAGAAATCGGGCTTAAAACCGCGATATCGATAAGTACAAAGAGCTGGGCAAGTGTATGCAGAACGAGCGCATTTGCTGGAAGAAGCTGCTCTCCCTCCCTAGGCGCAAAGTCATGCCCCGAGACGACGCTACCGGAACCGGTTACCGCAGGCTGCTGAACGACTATGCTGACTCGGGGACGCAGATCAGTCAGGATCGCCGATGGCATGCGCGCCAGGACGATATAGTCGACCCCATCGACCGGTTTGGGCTGATGCAGATGCTCAACGTCATCGTCTTCGTCGTGCTCGTCGCGGCGACGTTGGCGGAGAAGAAACATACCCTGTGGAAGGCGGCGAACAGCGGGAGCCACATGTTTGCGGAGAATACGCACTACAAGTGCGCGAGCATGTACAATATGCTATTCCTCCTCTGGGAATTGAGGTCGGTAATGCCAGGGGTTGCAATTTGGAGGTGGTCGGTCACTACTCCCGGCTCGTCCGGGAATGAGTGAGACGCTGCCGAGATGATGCTCGTGGCGGATGACCTGCAGGAACAGGCTTGGAGCTAATGTTGTAAGATGAGGATGCTTGTTTCCAATCTGGAATTTGCGAATATGCAGCTCAGCTCAGCTTGAGCCTCACACCACATCACTACCAAAACTCATATGTAGACTCGCTTGATCATAATACCTCTTCATAGAATCCCTCCAGATGGGAAATTTGTCAACATCGTGATCAACTTTACATAGCGAAGTCGCAACCCAGAAGGACCATCCGTAATTGGTTAGTCCATATGCAATTACAGGGACGCATAAGCTCACGGGTGGCAACGACTCTCATAAATGAAAATACAATGAGGTCATGCAAATGAATGGACAAACCTACAGCAAGCTGTAGTGCTGCTTGTGCAAGTTTGAAAGATAACCAACCGCCTCCACCATCCCACTCCTCCCGTCAGACGGCTACAGGTCGCACTCATCGTGATTGCGACACCTAGCCATCAAAGCGCTGCTCTGTTAGTACAGTTGCTTGAACATAATTAGGCGGATTAAGCCTCGGCAATCTTATCAAATTCCAAATCACAGCGACACCTGATGAAACTCGCCTTATCTGCGTCGTAAGCTTGGTAGTTGTGTATGTGACCGACACATTTATGGTATGAAGATACATCAACGGCCGTCGCCCATCAGGTCGAGCTTCATCGATGTTGTCGCAACCCGCATAGGATACCCACACCTACAAGCTCCTCCAAACGTCATACAGAGGCCCCAATTCATCTCTACAAACTGTTTCAGATACTATACAGTCGGACATCAAGCGCAATCATCCAAACCAGGCGCAACCTTTACCAAATCTCGAAATATCTTGATACCTTCACTGGTATTAGCATCTTCACTCCCAATCGGATTGTATCTACATCAGAGCGCCAACATGTCGTCCAAACTCATCCCGTCAAATCCATCGGATGTCATGGTCATCCGCAACATCACGCAGAATGTTGTGACGTTCTCCGTACCATTCTCCCGGTTCGGTATCCTGCAAGTCGGAGGAAGAGGAACAGTAGGCACGTATTCTGCACCGCTATTAACCACGTCTCAGCCCATATGCCCTGCATGCAGCTCGCTCTTACTTAGTGCTGACTCGCACTTGCGCGCAGTACGCCTCACATCAGGAAACCTAGCCGTCATCTCCCCCGTCGCCATGACGCCCGAGGTGAAAGCCAAGCTGGCCGAACTGGCTGGCACGGTGGCCTACATCATCGCGCCCGACTTTGAGCATCACATATTCATCTCCGAGTGGGCCAAGGAGTATCCCGGGGCCAAGATCATCGGCCCCGAGGGCCTGCCCGAAAAGCGCGCCAAGGCGAATGATGAGAAGATTGGGAAGGAACCGTTTACGTTCGTTTACGACCCCACTAAGAAGCAGTTCAACGACATTGATACCGATTTTGCTGCGAACTTTGAGGTTGAGTATGTCGACTCACATCCAAACAAGGAGATTGTGCTCTTCTTTAAGCCGGAGAAGATTCTTATTCAGGCCGATCTCATGTTCAACTTGCCCGCTATTGAGCAGTATTCTAGAGTGCCTGAGGCAGCGAAGAATAACGGTATCGCGAACCGGCTGTGGAACAGTATCCAGACTACGAATGGGGAGGCGAAGGGCACCAAGAGATTAATCTGGTATGGGTTGAGTGCTAAGAATCGCGAGGGTTGGAATGAGAGTATGAGGAGGATCGATGCGTGGGATTTCAACACTATTATCCCGTGTCACGGCGAGACGATGGAGGGCAATGGCAAGGAGCTGTTCAGGAAGATTTTTGAGTGGCATCTTCAGGGCCACAAATGAGCATAGGCGAACGCCAGGGTAAGGCAAAGTTGAGTAAGGACTTGGGGTGTTGTACAGATATTGTTTTACGACTTTGTTTTCAGTAGGAGAAGCTAAGGATTTGACGCCAACGCTGTTATGGATCACGTGGCTTTTTCAAAGTACTTTGTAGTCATTTGCGAGGAGTTCCAGCATTGTTTCTGATGTAAACTCAACCCTCTGGTTCAGTAGTGATCGCAACCGGTACAACTGAACAGGTAGTATAACTGGTCATGCCAGGTACCTCTTTCCAGCCGGCATAGGATTTTCATACACAGTGGTTACGATCGAGTCGATTGCTAGCATCAGTATGCGTTTGCGCTATCTAATGATGAGATTACATGACGCCATCACCGACTTATCGGATGAGAACTCCCAAAGCCTGCGAACATGCGCCAGTGTTAGGGCACAGTTTCATATTTCATTTTTCAGTACGTATCCAAATGCTGATAATCGGATTCCATAAAATAGTGCATTGCAGCTGCGTTTTCCTTTAAACGAAAGTCTGAACAAAAATATTGATGATGCCGTTGAGTCGGCGCCGATGCCGCCGAGGCGGGGTCCGGCCCAGTGGGACACACATGTCACCCGCGATATCGATAGCGACTATGTTGCCCCGGGTTACAGCTCTCCAACCAACCAGGTATTGGGCACATGTCAGAACCGGCATAGTAGTCGACCTCGATGCATCAACGTCAGGCGTTAACAACTACATTGTAAACTCTTTGCTTTCCAATGCTTCAAATCAATTTCTCACTGCTCTATATTAACTATCTATATACCAAACGTCTATATTCAAATTCTACAAGACAATGCTATTGACGTCCTCCCAAGTTTCCATCGCGATCTCGTCGGGAATAAGTATGCATACATGCAGCTTCCCTTCTTCACTCCTCCTGCCACTCCGTCCCTCGCTCCAACCCCAGCCCAGCCCAGCCCAGCCAGTATACCTGATACAAGCCACCTGAGTCCAGTCCATCCACCGGATGCACAAGCAAATAGGAAAGACAAAAGCTAACAACAGCCTCGCCTCGTCAAAGTTATAACCTTCACCATAGCTCTCTTCCTCAGCGGCTACGTAATCCAACAACGCACCCTCCGCGACCTGCGGCGAGCAATCCGTCCCGATCCCCGCCCGAGCCCGAAAATATACCTACCCGACCGATTCAGGGAGACGACGACCGAGCTCGAGGATGGAAGGGTGGTGGGGCTCAATGAGGGCGACGGCAGTCAGAAAGATACAGTGGTTGAGATTCGACCAAGTGTTCCTGACGAGGGAGGACAAAAAGTAATGGCGGATGAGCGGAGGAAAGATGATGGGACGGGGAAGAATGGTAAGGGAGGGGAAGAGAAGAAAGAGCAGGATGAAAAGCCCGAAAGCAGGGCGGAGAGGAGGAGAAGAATTAAGAAGGAGATCCAGGAACTATCGCAGGGCGAGACGCCCATGTATTATCAACGACGGCTGTGGTGATGGATTGGGTTGCGTTCAATCAAATTGCTTGAAGCGTGCAGGTAGTCGGGTAGCGAGGCGGGTACTATCGGGAACTTGCCCTGGTGGATGGCAAGGTATGTGTAACTACGAGGGACGGCATGGTTTATTGAGATTATATGTATATGTGGGTTTACGCGGGTTGGAATGCTGGTTTTTTCTACAACAAGGCATCGATGTGGTATGGGGACAGACAGAATCGCCAGAGCTTGGATGGGACTGATGATGAAGGACGATGGGATGGTACTGACATTGGACGAACAATAACAGTGTCTTGGGACCTTGACGCAGGGCGGCAGGGCGAGCAAGTACAATACATTGAGTTGTCGAATTGTAAATTGGCTATGCGCTTTGACAGACTTTCATGCGATGCAATGCAACTAGTCACAACTATATTGTACTGACTTTCATAAATATCAGTGTTGTTGACAGCGAATTCAAGCTACATTCTTCAACACTTTGGATCTGTTGAACACTGGTGAGGACTTCAGCTAAAAATGTGTGAACAGACGCATCTCAAGTTACTGCGCCGCTTCACTGGTCACGTCGTGTTCTGTTCCCGACTGGCCACGTTGTTGATCCAACTCGTAAGCACTCACGCCAGGGGATTATAGCCGTTATAGGATATAACTAAATGATCAATGCATACACCTGCAACTACATCATGTGGGTGAGTGGGTCGGGTTGAGATTGAATTGTATTCGTATTTGCAAGCGGCAAAGCGGCTACCACTTACGCTAAGGCTCGGCCTGTTGGGGGGGAATCCGAACATCGTATGCAGCCAAGTAGCCGTCGCAGTAGGAATTGCATGGCATTGCTTCTAGTAACCGGGGGCACCCCTCGTGTCGGGAATAGCTAGTGCACGAGATTGGATTCTTACAACGGTGCGCGATTTTGCACTGCAGTGTCGGGCTAACAAGTAATCTTGGCTGACATTGGGCGAAGTCTAATACGAGCCGCGATGGCAGCTCTTACCACCCGAACGACCGTCACGTCAAACTCCAATGAAATTCATCCTAATCAACTTTCCGACAACTTGATTTTCAGAGCACAAGTCCCACCCAATCTGATATCATAAAAGCGGTCTTTCAGCTAATTTACTCATGGACTAGGTTGTAGCAGTGCGATCATCGCTATTTCCGGCCACCGCCAATACTATTCGGGTCACCGCACGTGCCCAGTGAGCAACTTTGGGGGGAGTCTAGTATGGGTGGGGCCCACATGCCATGCTGACAACTCAGCGCTAGAAAATGCGGCTTTTCAGGTTTCCTAAACCAACTAGCTCACATGGTGAATTGCTCTAGAACTAACTCAACACTATGTACACTTGGTTCTCCGACGGAAAGTCCTGGGGCGGGGTACTTTGGTTTCTCCGCTTTATCGTGAGGAGATGAGTTGGGGTGAGGGAGAGGGAGGGCAGATGTCGTCAAGACCCCAGTGATGACTCACCTGAGATCTAATGTCTCAGTTAATGTCTTGCTTATCATTCACGAGATCAGATGTCAAATTTGGTTTTATTAGCTTGTGAAGAGCCGCGAAAGTTAATTCTTCTCGGTAAGCCAAGGAAGTTTCTCGACATACTTGTTGCTTGAATCAAAGATCCCAGTAGCCGGCCGCCGGCTAAGCTGATAACTCCTCAACCAACAGGCATGTAAGCGGTTACCCCGCGGCGTCGAGTGTAACCATTCGAAGCCCCAAGTAGCTATGACAGTGACGATATGGGAGCTCCGCTACTGCTTGTAAATAGCAGCTTACTGCATGCGAGAGCTAATAGATTCCCACCATATCCACCCACCACGACCTCTTCTAGTGATAAACCCCGGTCGAGTATCTCTCTGGGCCGTATCGACCAACCAACCACGACTTTCGTGAGGCACGTCCGCCATACGGGGCTAAAGACTACCCTACAGCTACGCCAAGAAGGGCAACTTGAGTCCATCCATCAGCAAGTCGTAGCTAGGCAAAGGATGTGGACTACGCGACACGCAAATGCCCCAAGCGTAAGATCGGTAAGGAACAACTTATCGGTTGCAGATCCCATGTTGTTTTCCTTACAAGTTGCACCCCTCTTTTGAACTTGTTGTTGATCTTCTGGTGATAGCCATTCCCGTTCCATTCCACCACATCCCACTTCTCACCAACACCAACCAACCACCATTACCACCACCACTAGGAACCTTCACGTATACATTTCATCCGTTGAAGGCTGCCTCCAAGGTTTATCTAGCCTCGTGGTATCTGCGTATGTGTGACACGGTTCTGGGATCTGTGTATTCTTTTCTATCCAAGTGCCGTCATCTCCTGTCAGTCTCTCGATTCATCCGAGGAACGGATATATGAACTCCTGTCGCTGCTTCTGACACCCGTATTGTCTGTATTCACTGAATGAATGCGTCACTGAATCAGATGCGCAAGCTGTTTGGGTCGAACCTCCCTCCATAAAAAGCCAACCGGACTTTACCAAGCACCTTCCAACTCGTTATCTCCACCCGCTAAACGCACGTACTCGAACAACAAAACCAAACTATCACCATGGCAGCTGAAGTGCAACACGCGCCCCGTATGGACCGCCTGAGCATAGAGGACTTCGAGACAGCTTCGATCCGCTCTGCAGCGCCCTCATATGGTTTGTCAACCTCCCTCCCGCTCACCCTCCTCACTTTCCGAACCACAAACACCGTCAAGGCAGCGCAACTAACACTTGTATTCCCAAACCTACAGTCTCTGAAGCGCCCTCCTACCACTCAACCATCCCCCAAAACGAACACGCACCCGCTTACACCCCGCGTCAAACCCCAAACAGCACGCCCCGAACCAGCACTCCGACTATCTCCAATTCCCCAGCCTCCCTGCTGCCGACTCTGCCTTCCGTATCCACAACCTCGGCCTTCACCCCGGGCGCCGGTCTCCCGCGCATCCCTTCCCCGCCGCGCCGCTTAGGCATCTCCTCGTCGTCATCTTCCTCTGCGTCAATCCCCCAGCTCAGCGAGTTCCGCAACATCCCCTCGTGGAGAAGCGCGCACACCAACAACCCGACGGCGCGACATTACCAGAACGTAGCGCACCGACGGGCAACAGCGGCCAGCACTAGCAAGTCAACCGCACAAGTACAGGGGGCTATGCGGGCTGTGCTGGGTCGACTCACTGAGGACGAGGAGCGCAATCGGTTGCGGCCGCTTGAGGACCCTTATTTGGTGGGCGAGGAGGCTGCTGCTCGGGCGAGGAGAGAGAGGTTGGCGAGGGAGAATGGGGATGGGATTTTGATAAGGGAAGACCGGAGGTGGGATTGGTTCCTGGGTGAGTTTTTGGGCCCCATTTCCACTACCCCTGACTCGTCTGGTTGTTACTTGGCATACGTCTGGTGACAGCTTGGCGATTTTCATATTAGTAAGGGTGGGAAACAATCTTGTCTTAAGAGGATCAATTGCTAAGGAGCATTGCTCAAATGTAGCCCAGATGAAGGACTGGGACGAGCGAGACCGTAGCTGGAAGAAGTTCCGCACCGAGGTTGACAACGGTCAGCGCCGAAGACTTGCTCGACGTATCGGTCTTTAAGTGTCGGCTTGGAAAAAGACCATGATGGGCATGGCTACCATATGAAATTCTCGTCAAACAATTGACGCCTTCAATGATGGGAAGAGGGATGATGGCCATTTATTTCTTTTTCTTTCTCTTTTGATTTCTCTGGAACGAGGGAGAGCTTGGTGATCATCAGCATTAGATTCTCTTCGCTCATTCTGGTGGCGGCGACATCTTTGTCGTGTCATTTTGGCCACATACGCACTGGGCGGTAACATTTTTCTCGGCGTTGGCAAGGTTGGCGCAATCATAGAACGGACTTGTGAACCCGCATGTTTACGCATGGGGTTGATATATGCAATCATGAATGGCAAGAAGGGGTACAACATACGAGAGATATGCCGGGTTAAACATTTGCTTCTTCTTTTCCATTCTTTAGGGGTTGATAATTGAGATAGCTTCAAATTTACGCAAATTGGAGAAACAATTACGAAACACGCAGCATATTGGCTGGACAAAAACTTCGTGGGTTTAAACACTGTACGAATTGGATTGATGCGTCATTTTGTTTCGCCTCGAGAGAAGCACAAACTGAGGTCTTTGTATGTCCTGCCAACCATCAACACGTTCTAGAACGCACCTTTGATTCTACATAACCCATATAACGCCGGCGACTATGCTGTTATTGAGACAAACGTGTCCATATTGGTACAAACCCAGCTTCCCCTGGATCGCCTCAGTTCGTCCAATTTGTGGTTGAGCCGAGCACGTTGGTCGTGTAGCCAGCTCGCGGGGTTCAGGATGAGCTCGACTATATATTTGTTCCATTTTATCAGCGGGATCATTCTGCATGATCGATTCGATTGTCTCCATACCGTCAGAAAGTTGTTTAACCCTTGCTCTTGGTGTTGAGGATAAGCGCCACAATAAGCCTGCGTAGAGTATATCAGTATGAAGTCGTGTCGATTGGATAATGAAACAAACCCATATAGACCCAAAACCTCTCCAAAAATGAGAATCAGAACCATGCCGACGAAGATTCGGGATTGTTCCATGTAGGCACGGACGCCCTTGTCTCCGACAATGCCGATACAGTAGCCAGCGGCGAGGCCTGTCAATCCGACTGAGAGCCCGCAGGCAAGATGCATGAAGCCGTTGAACAAGCTGTACTTCTGTTGCGATGGCGGCGCCATGTCTTCGGCTATGAGGACGGATATGACGAGAGAGTAGACGGCGATAATTCCGGACATGACCACGGGGATCAAGCACTAGATCAATATGTCAGACACTGACTGCTCTTATAATTGCAAATGACTAGAAGCTGACAAACCTTCATGATCAGATCTGGTCTGAATGTACCGACACCCGCAATACCGATTCCTGCCTTGGCCGTGCCGTATGCGGCTCCAGCACCTTGTATCTTTTAGCACCACCATTACACATCACGGCACGATTTGGAAAGGGGTGATTCGTACTGCCAAAGATCATGGCTGCTGCAATGCCGGCCTGCCAAGAATACAGATTAGATTCCGCTGCTGATTCAAAGACACCACTGCTTGATGCCAGGCTGGGGCAAGCTCACCATGCCAATGAAGGGCGCGAACTTAGGCGCGAGGGCGCTCTCGGTATCATCCATATTGACGGCTTCTTTGCTGAGAAGAGGGAATCGATGGGGATGTTTGTGAAATGGCACCAGAGCTGAGGGCTAAGGGTGAAATTCTAAAGTTGTGCAGGTGTTAAAAATCAATGACCCTAGACACAGCTTTCCAAAGCTCGCGGCGAGGTTGCATCTGTCAGATGAAGCTGCCTTTCCCAGGTTGATGCTAAGCTAACTGGTGTTCCGTGCATTAATCACGTGATCTGCAATGTATGGTTCAATTGTAGCTGTTATGGGGCCCACATTTGTCGGGTAACGGAGGTTCAAGTTATTGCTGTACCTACCGCTTGGAAATGGATACCTGACGTATGACGATTCGTGGACGTTGTGACCATCGCTGTCTTGTGTGTAGTGTGGATGCGAAACTTTGTCTTCAATTATCGAGAGCTTTGATCAAGAAGTTGATGATATGGCATTACGGCACAGATAATAGCTGACAATAATTTAAAGCCATACTAAGTAAGTACTATGTAGTCCAGTAAATGGTGCTGAAAGGACAAAGTCATGCATTGAAATGCTGTAGGACTTATCAACTTTTGGCAAGCAGTGAAAAAGAGCTGTGCATCCTTGTTCATGCCTTGCACCTGCCCCCGGGCCACTGGCAAAAACCGTGTGAGTTGGGCAAGTTAACAGCCAGTGTCGCAGACCAACCAGACGGATTGATGGCACACTGACCACAGGCGGATGAATTGGATTTGGGACCTGCCTCGTGATTGGAGATTGACAGCAGATAGTGAAACTCGTCTCCCTTTTTCGATGCCCAGAGCTGCTGAGGAGCATTATCGCCAACTTGGCCGTCTCTAGAGCGTCGTGCGGGTTCAGACTCGTGCGCTTGAAGACACACATACAGTGCACACAAATCGCGACCGATCGACCGTCCCATCTCCAACGGAACCACATACCTACTATTTCTTATCCGGTCGCTTCCTAACTGCCTTTAATTCACTTTGCGCTAGCACATTTGATAGTTGCCAAAACCCCAGATCATTCGATCAGTCATCAGCAAAATTGACTTGACCAGCCTTCAGTCTGCATTTGGCTTCCGCAATCTGGCATCAGACTTATCAGCTGGGAAAAGTCCACCCACCCTGACGAGAACCCAGTGGACCGTCTAGGAATAGTGCCACCCCAATGTCCTTCCGTACATGTGGAGGACGATAGCACGGCGCCATTAGTTTCCATCCCGATCCCACGATCCATATTCGACACCAGAGCCAAAACTTCGTTTCCACCACCCCCCTCCCACTCCCAGGTGTTACCAACGGTCTCGAAGGCGAGATCAGTGCCAGGTCTTGGTATTAACGCTAGGAAGAACCTGGGGGGGACGCCAGAGGGAGACGACTAAACCTCGTTTTCCGAGCTACGAAGTACGACTTCGCGCACCACGTCCACACATCCCAGCGACCTCACCAAGTCGACACCGACACCCGGGCCAACGTACAGTTTCAACATCATTACCGACAGCAAACAATCTCGGGAGACCTGTCACTGTCTTGGGCTCTTGCGGCCGCCTAGACTCTATCTAGAGAGTGAGTTACCATGCTGCCCCTATCATCCACCCGGCCTACGTAGCTGTCTGTCTGTGCCCAAGATATCACGAGATGGACTGCGCGCCTGAGGGTGCCACCACGAGCGTTCTCGGATGATATTTCATTGGGTATTCCTACCAAGTGGTTTTCACCGTCACCGACCTCATCCTTGACCCAGCGCTGACCAGACAGGACAACACGATGGCCGATTACCAGTACGACCAACGCCGCTATAGCCCTTCGGGCAATCCCCAGCGAGAGGCTGCTTTTTCTAATATCTTCGGTGCGGTGCCTCCTCCCGGCCGCTCCCAGACCATGACCTCGTCTTCCCCCGACGTCGGCGGCCCACCCCGGATGATGCCGCACGATGGTAGAACACAGACAATGTCAAGCATGTCAGGCCCACCGCCAGACATGCAGCGGCGGCCACCCCCACGACCACAGCAAAGAGGATATGACGATTCCACGTCGGCTCGAACTCGAACAATGGACACGAGCATGGCCAACGGATATTATCAGAGCCAAAGGAATCCCTCTGGAGGATACCCTCCAATGCCGGGGCAGTATGGGAGGGCACCACCACCAGGAGCACCAGGCCAACGTCAGTATCCTAACGCACCACCTCAACAAGGCATGCCAGCATCCAGGTTCGACCCGAGAGGTGGTCCGCAACCACAAGCAGGTCCTGGTTATGGACCTCGGGCGCCTGCATCAAGGTTCTATCAGGGCGGCGGATCGCCTGGTTCTTCGCCCGCTCTGAGAGAAGATCCTTACCGCTCACAGTCTCTAGCCAGTGTGCCACGACCAAACGTATACCAACCGCCTCCAGGGACATACAACCAGCCATCACCGAATGCCTTCCGAGGTTCTCCAGCTCATGCGCCTGCATCCCGCACGACAGCGCAGGGCAGGGTTGTGCCAGAACGCCACGATGACAGATCAATGTCTATGACTGGCTATCCGCCAACCGACCGAGATCCGCACCAAACCATGAGCGGTCGGGTGATTCCGAATCGAGTACGAGCACCCTCGAACGAGACGCCCACAATGAACGGCATGCCCAACTACAACGGCTATTCCCCGGCCCCAGGCAGCGCAACGAGGACGATGAGCATGGCATCAACCATGAGTCAGCAGACTATTACCCCCGGTGAACATAGTCGTACAACGTCAATGGCGAGTACCATCACGCTGGCTGTCGAGTCTTCGAGCTCTCAGCAACAGCTGATGCACCGGCCATCGATGTCGTTATCAAACAGGTCCATCGACAGTGAAAGACCGCCGACCGCCAAGATCAGAGCGCCGCTCGTGTACCCCGCCATGCTATCCAGAGTTGGCGAATGCTTCCGCCAGAAAATCATCACCGGAGAAAGGACGAAGAACGAGCTGACGTACAAGAATGCCTTCAGTGGTTCCGAGGCGGTGGATGTCCTTTCATATATTATCAGAACCACCGACAGGAACCTGGCTCTTCTGTTAGGTCGGGCACTCGATGCGCAGAAATTCTTCCATGATGTCACGTATGAACACCGGTTACGAGACTCGACGTCGGAAATGTACCAGTTTAGGGAGACCTTGATGGACGAGCCAGAAGATAAGCCCGCGGTCAATGGTGTATTTGTGCTGCTTTCGGAGTGCTACTCGCCGACATGTACGCGAGACCAGCTGTGTTACTCGATTGCATGTCCGCGCCGATTGGAGCAAGTCTCGAGGTTGAACCTCAAGATCCAGCCTGGTCTGAAGAAGGAGGACGACGCAGTCGCTAACGAAGATGATGTCGACCAAACAGACGAGCAGAAACTCTGGATCAACACGGTTCCGAAGGAGATAGCCGAGAGCGTCAGTGACCGAGAAAAGAAGAGACAGGAAGTCATCTCGGAGATCTGCTACACGGAAAGAGATTTTGTGAAGGATCTGGAGTATTTGAGGGATTTCTGGATTATGCCACTGAAGTCGAAGGGCTCTCCAATTCCTGCTAACAGGAGGGAGAAGGTGGTCCGCAACATCTTCAGCAATATCGTAGACCAGCCCGCCATTCACTCGGTCAGCGCACGGCTCGCAAAGTTGTTGACGGAACGACAACAGAAGCATCCAGTGGTGCAGAATATCGGCGATATTTTCCTCGACGTAGTGCCCAACTTTGATCCCTTCATACTCTACGGTTCGAAACAACTGGAGGGCAAGTTTGAGTTCGAAACCGAACGGTCTAACAATCCATTTTTCTCGAAATTTGTGGATGAGATTGAACGGAGGAAAGAGTCTAGGAAACTGGAGCTCAACGGTTACCTGACAAAACCGACAACCAGACTGGCACGATACCCTCTCCTGTTGGAGAATGTGCTCAAATACACTGAAGAAGGTGGCCAGGATAGGGAGGATATTCCCAAGGTGATGAAACTAATCCGCGATCTACTCAGTCGTGTCAACGCGGAATCTGGCAAGGCAGAAAATCGCTTCAACCTGCGCCGACTCCACGACCAACTGAAGTTCCGCCCCGCCGATAAGGTCGACCTCAAGCTTACTGAGGAGGGGCGTGAACTAGTCTTCAAAACCCAGTTCAGAAAAACGCCGAGTGACCCTAACGATATCACCGCATTCCTCTTTGACCATGCTGTTCTTCTCGTGAGGATAAAGCAAGCTGGCAAAGCTGAAGAAGTCAAGGCCTATAGAAGAGTAAGTAAGCTTGGTGACAGTATATATAAGAAGAATCAACTAACCCATTTGTCTCTCAGCCGATTCCTCTAGAGTTGCTATCAATCAGGGAAATGGACGAAGTCATACCCCCGGCGGGTGTCAAGCGTGCATCCTCAAGTTTGATACCACTTCCCAGAGGACAGGACAACAAAAAGGTGGAAGGTTGGCCGATCACGTTCCGGCATCTAGGGAAGAACTTCTACGAGGTGGTGTTGTACGCTTCAAACCAAGCAGCGAGGAAGAAGTGGCTCGAGTTCATCGATTCGGCGCAACAACGTCTTCGAGCAAGAGCCGACTTCTTCAACGTCAACACGGTCTCCACTGGCTTTTTCGGGGCAGGAAATCACATTAATACGGCCACACCATATGGTAAACAGAGCTCGACCCTTTATACGCCAATTTGTTACTAACCTATCTACAGATGGCGGTCGTAAACTTATTTACGGGACTGACAGCGGGATATATGTGTCGGACCGCAAGGTCAAAGATGCGCAGCCCAGGCGTGTCATTGATGCCCAAAATGTAACACAACTGGACGTGCTGGAAGAATACGGCCTCTTGCTCGTTCTATCCAACAAATCGTTGCTCTCATACTCGCTGCAAGCGCTGGATCCAAACGAACCAGCACTCTCGAAGCGCCCGAAGAAGATACAGAGTCACTGCACATTCTTCAAGGCTGGTATCTGCTTGGGCCGTCATCTTGTATGCTGTGTCAAGTCCAGTGCCCTCTCGACGACAATCAAGGTCTATGAGCCCAACGATGCCATGAGCAAGGGCAAGAAGCAAAAGGGATTCGGCAAGATGTTCAATGCCGGCCAGGACGAGCTCAAAGCCTTCAAGGAATTCTACATTCCGACCGAATCTTCTTCGGTTCACTTCCTTAAGAGCAAGCTCTGCGTGGCGTGTGCGCGAGGTTTCGAGGTCGTTTCACTCGAGACACTGGAGACCCAAAGCTTGCTCGACCAGGCCGACACATCGCTGGACTTCGTCTCTAGAAAGGAGGGAGTCAAGCCGATTCACATTGAGCGATTGAATGGCGAGTTCCTGCTCAACTATACCGACTTCTCTTTCTTTGTTAACCGCAATGGATGGAGGGCGCGGCCCGAGTGGCGGATCGATTGGGAGGGTACGCCTCAGTCGTTTGCGCTTAGCTACCCGTGGATTCTGGCGTTTGAGCCCAACTTTATCGAGCTCAGGAACATTGAGAGCGGCGCGGTGCATATAGTACCTCATAAAAACATCAGGATGCTGCACAGCAGTACGCATGAGGTAAGCTACATTGATGCGATAAACACTCACCGGCCCACAAGAGGTTCTGACACGAGTTCCAGATTTTGTTTGCCTACGAAGACGAAGCTGGTCAAGACGTCGTTGCGGCCATCGACTTCTGGAAGAACACCCGAAGGTCGGAGATGCCCTCATAGGAGAAGGACAAAGCGTTCACTACGAGTCAACTTGGCTCTCTACCATGGTCGAGACTGACGAGCGTTTGTCACCAAGATCGTCATCTTGCCTCATCATCTTGCCTGCCTTGACCAATCTTGCATCTGCAAGCCACTTTTGACACTAGGGGCTTGTCACACTTGTCCATCTCAGTCTATGTGTAGGATCATGGAGCAAATACTGGATATCAGGCACGGATTCCAGGATCTCGACACTGCAGGACGATGTACGTTACTGCCACCTGCCATTCTCCTGTTTTCTCCCCACAATATGAGTGGCGTAATTCTTAACCCCTCCACCCGGCAATCACGTCGCATTCGAGCGCAGCTTTTTATCTAAAGAGGGACGACGGCAATAGCCATGGCCAAGCAACAAACACAGATCTGCGAGGAAAGTGGATCGAAGTTATTCTACGACGATAGAATGTAGCATGAAGGCGGGCAGGCAGCAGGCAAGAGATTTGTTTGGAGAACTGTGTAGTAGGATGGATGATGTGCCAGGAGCAGATGAAATAGGGGAGGGAAAGCGGCGTACGGACTACTATTTTCTGTGACTGGACTGGCTGCTGCTGCTGGGATGAAGCTGACAACGGTGGCGAATTGGCTGCGTCTAGAATTGTAAGGAACGTTAACCGTACTCGATACCGAAGATACGGAGCTTGATCTTTTATTTCTTGACCTGTGTAACCTGCACATGCTGGAATCTTCACTCCGAGAGATGATTGATGCAAGTCCGTAGTATACTGGTGTTGTGCCTGTTGTGGTTTCATCATCGATTGTAGTTGACATTCCTAATAATCTGATCTTTGCTGCTGTGGTGAGCTGGAACAATGCCCAGATATAGCTTGACTAGTTGGTCTGGTAGAGTTTTCGCTGATCCGGGCACCGGGTTGTTGGGGTGCACTCGCGAAATGCACAAGCTATCAAGTGCTGGTCGCTATCGTAGATGTACGTGCTCTGCCGATTACAGAGTTGGCAGATGGACAAGACAAGACCACCAGTTAGTTTTGACAGAGACTTGGGCATTGATATTGAATCCCTATGGCGGGGGTCCCTATGGGGGGGATTTCATTGTCCAGCCTCCATAGGCCGGTGACGGGGCTCGGGTCTTTCGGGTGTATGTAAGTAATCTGCACATCATTGATGAGGCGGTAGGCCGGACTGGAAATGGCGTGCGGCAAGTGGGTATATCATAATAAGACGATGACTTAGTATCTGTAAATACGAGAACGAACGAACGAACGAACGAACGGCGATGCAGCTGCTGGCCAGGGGCAGCAGCAAGCCACAACGTAAGAGGCTCTAGGCCTTACAGCCTCATCGGACGACATCGCAATCGGTACGAAATACTACTCTAGATGCAACGTCGCAACGAAATCATGTTCAGATTGTTTGCTACCTGGGTTGTTTGGGTTTTGGAGCGATATCTGATGCACGACAAGTAGGACAAATAAGTAGGACAAATAAGTCTATGCAAGTGGATAGAAGGGAGTAACTGCTGGCATTATCGATTACTTACCTCCTGGTTGGAGCTTTCTATACACCCTTATCTTGTTTACGAAGTATAGAAAATTCAGCCTTTGGGGTCGGCACTGTCGATAGACGTCGATCTCTATCTGTGGAGCAGGTATGCGCGTTGAGTATCGCTGTCCATTGGTTAATGAGGAAGAGATTAGCAACGATTCATAATATGAATCGCCGACCCCAGCCGCGTGTAACAGGCACTGGACTCCATAGGGCTGTGTTGACTACTCGTGTCAGACTCGACTTGCAGCAGCGATAGACCTAGTTAGACACTCAAGTCAATATTCCAACACACGCTCACACTTGCCACAACTTAAACCTCCAAAGCCCCCCGTGGAAATCATGCTGGGCAGCTAGCTAGACGCAGGCATCTTTCGGTGGTTAGAGATCATGTACGTCGTGGATACGAAGATCTGGCTTTTGACGGATGATGGATGGCATGTCTTGCGTCTTCTGTGCGACTGTCTTCTGAAAGAAAAGAGTTTGGGGCCGTTGACGGGCTGTTGGCGGCTTGTGCAATTCGAAACTTCGGATACTCTATTAGAGTTGGCCTGTCGAAGATGTCTAGGTGTGCACAGAACTGCCGCTACTAATGTGTTCTCAAACCTTGACTCGGCCGCCAATTCTCAGTTTCCCTCAGAGTTGTAACATCACCCAACAGTGGTGCCCTTACTTCACAACTGCATAGGAAACGGTTGGGAGTGCCACTAGAGAACCGACTAATATGTCAAAATCACGGTTTAGTGATTGTTGAGATCAAGATTTAGAATACCCTGAAACTCGGAAACAAACAGACCTCCATTGGGCGAAATTGGAATTAGTCCAATCGAAAGGTCGAAAGAGGCAGTGGCAACAGTGGTTCGATTCAAACAAACAGGATTCTAAATCTCCGTCATCATGTTGCATTGCAGACATTCGCAGTCCGGCCCCAGCCGGACCGGATTCTAGAACGTCGTCTGTCCTGTCCGTGAAGCCCACGAAAAATGCAGGTGGACCATGTATGGATTTGGAGCCTCGTCCGAAGGAAAATAAGATGCGCGTTCAGACCCAAGGAAAGCCGTCTCCACCAGCTCTGACTCGGCACAGGTCCGGACGGGGCTCCAGCTCTTTTTGCTGCTGCTGCTTCACTCTCGAATTGCTACGTCCGGAGGTCGGTCGAGGCCGATTGAAACGAGACGTGTCACAGTTTCAGCCTTTTTGCTCTCTTGTCTATCGCCGAGCCCTCTTTGAAAACGTGCTGCGTACCAAGTATTGGTCTTCACTTATGGACCAGTTCCGCACCAAAACCCCCATTCCTTGCTTGCTTTTTCACAGTCGGGTTGTCCCGGTAAATGCCATCCTTGCAGCACAAGCACAGCTAACTTTCTGATGGAGACAGTTTCTCGTTTTACCAACGGCGGAGACACGACACAGGCAGACGCCGACCCGGCCAGCGTCTAAGTAGCGGTAGTCTTCCTAGCTGCAGGCCCCGAAGAGCTGGGCCATACTTCGTCTGCGCCACAAGCGTCGCCGCAAGCGGTGCCTGCATTTAGTTTTCTGTTGGGGATTATTCGCTCGGGCGTGCATGTCTCCACTAGCTCAGGTATGGCTTTTTTTTGGCAGCTTCTTCCTAGCTTCTTCCCAAGATAGGGTTTGGAACTGGCGCGGCTAGGTTCTTGTGGTCTTGATTGGAAGTGGAGTTTTGTTGGCAGGGCCCCTGTCCTCCCGTGTCTCCCATCCCTAAGCAAGGTCTAATGCACCGAGCTCAGGGATGCAGTGCGTGAGAGGGATCGGATCTGGGATCTTGGGATAGAGTGCAGGTTGGGTGCAGGTTGGTTGCAAGGGGTTAACAACTCAAGTGTATAAAGAACAGCTCCCCCAAGCTGATGGCATCTGAACAACCATCCTGCAGATCCATTCACTTACATCCAAATTCGAGTACATATCCGGAGTTGAGACGAGATATAATCTGGATTATTCTTTGCTTGAGTCGTTGACGACCCGCATATAACATAACCCAACGTACCAACCCATCAACACGGCACAATCACACTCCCTCAAGATGCATTGCTACTGTGCTAACTACTATGTACGTCCACTTACCCCGTCTAGGTCACTTGATAAGACCCTAAGCTCACACATCTCTAGGGCGCTGTCAACTGCCACAACAAAGTCTCTCAGTTCGGGGAGCGTTGCAAGCTGTGCACCGTGAGTAGTCACTCGGCCTCGGACTCCACCGCTGCGTTACCTATAAAAACGGTATGCTGATGTCATCATCTCCAGGTCATGAACGAGGGCGCATCTGCGACGTACGAACAGTTCAACGCACAGCAAGCGTACTATGATGCCCATTCGTCGTCTCATTCTTCGCATTCATCCCGGGACGACTCGAGTCAGATTGAGTCCCGGGGTCGCACGCGGGAGCGCAAGAACAAGGAGTCTCGACGACAGAAGAGTTGAACAATTCGATGATTACATAGAACATGTAAATAAAACACACTCGAAAAGAACAGATCAGGCCAACAGGCTCACAAAAACACACGATACGTCGTGCACACAGCGGACAACATGAGGTTTCATAACCACACAACACACAACATTTGAGGAAGAAATGGTCTCGTTCAGCGTCGGTTATTACGGGAGGTAGAATTGCTTCAAAAGTCACAATGACAAATTCACTGGCGTTCCGGTTTGGGTTGATCAACGATCATAACTACCATTATACGACTCGGATGAGTCCAAATCACAGATTATGGTGTAATCATGGTTTCACTATAGAGGAAACAAACTACTCCACATAATAGATTTTACCTCTAGATAAGAGCAGAGAGACGGGTAATAATACGGGATGCAATACTATCAATCTTGTGTTTTACTGACTTCGGCGGACTCAAGATTTGTGACAAGCACGCTCATCTCATCAAGTTCGTTCTGCAAAGCCCTCATCACATCACAATCTTTATCAATCTCCGGCTCCGGAAGCTACGATGAGCATTTAAACTACTCAACTCAACAAGCTTTTGCGTCAAGCTCCTTACCCCAGAGATGTCCGGACAAGGTCCATTTCGGAACGGCGCAAAACTCGTCGTCGATGATGTATCGTAAATTTAAAGCAGTAACATCCTTGCTGCCGGTGTCATCTTTCCCCGCCGCCTCTGTCGCTACTATTGTAATCCGAGTCATCTGGAGAGGTCAAGTCCTAAAATAAAACATATCCGTATCAATAAAAGTGTAGGCGCTGTTTCACAGTTTTAGGACGAACGTAGTCACATCGATTTGAATAAAATCACATCATTATAATACTGTCCCAAACTGCTCTTCCAGCATCAGATTTGTGTTTTACCTACTAGGGTACCCATCGATCCTGATCTATAAAAAGAAATGGCAAGTTTGGGTTATGCGGGTTGTGGATATGCGGAGTGGAGACGCAGTAGGAGGATTGACACAGGGAATCGATGGAATGTTAAATAAAGCCCCGGAGGAGACGGCGGGTGTAACATGAGGGCGTGGAGGGGAAAACGGAGAACTTGTAACTCATACAGAGGTAGGCGCAGTAAAAAGAAACTCCCGTACGAGTTAGTAATCACGAGTCCACGGCAATGTGTGCGTCTGACCGCCGGCCCGTGGAGTGAGCGGAGCCGTAGCGGCTGCGCTGTCCGAGGGGGAAGGTCCGCCAGGCCGTGGGTGAGGTTGGTTCCTCAATGAAAATAATCCACCCAACTTCTTGACTGCCTCGTTCTCGTGCTGCATCGCCACTTGAGAGATTGATGCGCGACTCGGGAAATTGGGTTTCTGCTCGAGGTATTGGTAGTAGTGGGACACGGAGAGATTGCAAGTCGGGCTATAGGGTGCAAAGGGGGTGTTATCTTTGATCGTTGGGTTTAGTGAAGCCGTGGAGGTAGACTATTGGAATACTGAGTTGGCTTTTAAAGCCAAGGGCATGGTCAGATGTGGCTTAATTTGCACAATGCATCTTGTACTGCCCCATGTGGGGATAGCTAGACTTGCCATCGCGGTAACAGGGGTCGATGTAAGATATCCCATGGATTTATCACCTTCCCCATGGTGTTTCCAGAGCGTGGAAGCCATCACGTCTTTTTGCCAGGATTAAGATCTTTCAGTTGCTGGGGGTAGAGAGATGAACCGGCGGCCAAACGGTAGGGAGAACATATCGACGAGCTAGTGAAGCAGGAGCACGAACGAGAAATGCTCGGCGACCTCGTCACTAGGAACTTAGGACTAGGGGTTTTCGCCATACACTTGTAGTACTCCACATTTTTCATGAGGTCTTGGGTGCAAAATAGGGGGGTTGAGGGATGTATTTGAAGGAGGTTAAGGTTTGAGGGGGAGTGGGATGCTCATTTCATAGGAGGTTACTAGCCGATTGAAATAGGTCGGTGTCGAATTATATAGACATGTAGCGTAGTACCTGTCAACCAAGACTTAGGATACAGTAGCCCCTATAGTATCCTGGGGCACTTTGCGTAATAACAGGACTTATTGTCCAATTTTGAGTGGACGCGATAAGTGGAGGGAGAGAAATACGGGTTGTATATATGCCCCTCACTCGAATCCAAAGGAACACCGACTGTGTGCTGTTTAGTCTCTCTTCTCGTCTCTAGGGATGGACCAAACAGCATCGTTCTGTCGAAACGCTATGTCGATGAGTTGCAGGATGATATGACTGAATCTGTTCCTGTGACGGAAAAACTGCGAATGGAATTCTGGACTAAATCGATTGCATATACGATCTGATGTAAGCAACAGTTCTTGTCGAGGACTTCTTAGGGGCGCCACTAGGATACTGATCAGCAGACCGCGACGAGAAAGCTAGAGTAGTCAACCAGTAGACTAACATCTCTTGTGATATAGGACAACACGATTATATGGATGACTACGTAGGAATAACGAGGGTTTCACATTGAAAAGATGTGTTAACCTTTTGTGTAGAGCCCCTCCTATTTAGTATCTTTCACAACCCACGCCAGGCCCAGTTTGGAGTTTTTAGACTGCAAAGAGGTGTTAAATATTTCGTGAAGAACCCCTCCTATTTAGTATCTTTCACAGCCCACGCCACGTCCCGTTAGGACTTCCCAGTTGGATGTCTACGAAGAGGCATTACTGATAAGACACCTGAACTCAATCACGCGTTCTCTAGCTGACATAGGGTTGATGACAGACAGTATCATACACCGCGTGTGACAAAAAGCGAAAACAGACGCTCATGGTTTTGAACTAGCTAAGTAAAATTATGTTGAGATTACACTAGAATCACATTGGTTAACTTGAAAATACGCCACGAAGAAGCAACATTTCACATGAATGGAAATCAAGACCCGCCCAAACAGTATGCGTATTGCGAACCAGAAGGCTTCACATACAGGCATGCCATATAGATGTTTTCCCCTATTAAAGTATACTAGGGGTAACTTGAGGGACCTGTTACAATCCGGTACAATAGATGACCACATGCCTTTGGAACACCATTACATGCAATACCATTATCATTGGCATATTCATGTGTCATCCACCACGGAAAAAGATAAACTTATCTGGAGACTGCCTATTGATTTAGTCATCCCTCAAATATTCAATATCATCATTGGTTTTCTAGTTTCAGCATTGCACGATGACACCCAATTGCTCATAATGACCAGTGAATCCAAGATAGCCTGCAGTAGAAAATCTCGTGCGTGACGCAGGTGTGAATTTGAGTGAAATGGCTGCCAGATCTCTATCCAATCTGCTGAAATGGTGGAGGAGTCCACAGTCATCAACGGCTCATCATAATGCAAGAATTGGTTCAACAAGTTTCCAAAATTGGCGAAACCAATGAATTAACTGTTTAATCAGGGACAATCAAGAGTCCTAGAGGACACCCGAAGAAGGTCGACCCACCGGCGACAATACCCTCGATCTGAAGCCGCACCAAAATTTAGGCAGCCAAACCGAGTCACCAACTCGAAATCCAAGCTGCCGCACCAACTTGATCAACCCTCAACCCTCTACATGCCCGCACATTCGATGCCCGTGATTTGACTGCGGACTACCACGCTCGTTCAACATCTCGCCTCGGTCCATCAATTACCATTCCTTCTTTTGACCGACACCGCCAAAAACAACCATCAACCCTATCGCAACAGAGCCGCCATTATTCTGTCAAGCCGCTGTCCCTCCCTTTTGTACTTCTAATGACATGTCCTCGCAATGTTCTACAGTCACGAAAGTAGGTTTCTATGCCTTTCGTTCCCGTTGCGCGTACTGATGCGACATCGCAGTTCTCACTAGCCGCCAGTATGGCGTGGCCACCATCTGGTATGTCTTGAAATCCCCCCTGCTCTCGATTGACGGGTCGCGCCGGCCAGTGCTGACTCGAAATAGGCTGGTGGCCACGATCGGCTCGAAATCAAGCACCAAGAAGGTGACGCGTAAGGCCATCCAGGATGTAGACGTGCGAAAGGCCTGTGAGAAGATCTTGGAGCCCGGCGCCCCCATCGCACTGCGCTTGCAGGGTAATTTACTCTATGGTGTCTCGCGTGTCTATCACCAGCAATGCGACTACATGCTCACGGATGCTGCTAAAATCCAAATGCATATGAATATGTTCTTCAAGAAATTCGGAGCAAATCTCGTTGACGAGGATGCGGGGCGAGGAAGGTACGTCTTGTTTGTTTCTTTCACTTGCTGGCTGTTGTCCTACAGTCATTATTTCCCTGGCTCACACGGCGGATTGTTGACTGACCAGTGATTCTGAATAGATCAGAAAATCTCATCATCATGGATGACCCAGAATTTATCCCAATGCCCCAGATCCCCGACTTCGACGTCCAAGAGTTCGTGTTGAGCCAGCATACCGACAAGACCTCATCGCAGATGTCTCCGCACTCCTTGCTGTCAGGAGGTTCGGGAGGTTCAGGTCCAGAAGGCTTTCCACTTGAGTTCAACCTTCGTCATTCTGATTCATCCAGCGCTCGCGCCTCCCCTCACGGTCTCCAAGGTCTTCAGGGATTATCTTCTGCGCAGAAGCCAGCAGCCATGGACGATGGCGAAAATATCTTCGGCTGGTCGGACAACGCGGGTGCCGGAGATTTTGGAATGGAAATCGACGAATTCGGCAACATCATGGAGAGGAGCGGCCCGGATCCAGCCCTCGTCCAGGGTGACTTTAATTTCGATTTCGACTTGCCGGTGATGCCCAGCATTGAAGGTACCGGAAATGCTCCACAGCCACACATTGACAATCAAGGAGACGTCCTCATGGTGGATGAACAACCCTTGCCCGATGCTGAAGCTTTGCCTGAGCGCCAAAACAGGCATAAGCAGAAGGAGGCCGACCCGTTCGCGGCATCCGAAGAACCTGTCGACCAGCCTGCCCCAAAACAACGTCGCAAGAAAAAGCTCAAGGTCATTCACGCAGACGAGGAGACCATCATCTCACGCAATGTCATCAGAGAGTGGCAAGACAACTACCTCGAAAACTGCGGCACGCGCAAGCCGCAGTCTGTCAGCACAGCACAAGCGAGACGAAATGCCATGCAGCTGACATTCGGCCTAGGAATCGCCAATATTGGAGAGAACATCGGCCTCCCCAACCTCTACCATCCCCTAATTAAGAAATTTTCAGGCGATTCTCTATTCACAGCAGTCACAGGCCTTGAGGTCTTTGAGAAGAGCCACCGTGGAAAGCGTCTGCGATCTGCATCTGAGTCCATCGACGTTTTCCAGGATGAAGCCCGCCGCGTGCGACCACGAGTCGAAGAGGGAGGCGTGGAGGAACAGCCAGGAGAAGGCCGAGGTGCAGCAGTAAACGACATCTTCGATATGGGACTGCAGCCAAGCCCTCCCGAGGTCGGCAGAGAGGCTCGACCCTCTATGGACGACCACCCCTCGTCCGCCATGCCCTGGAACCGCAACTCGTCCGCCATACCCGGCTCCTCGATCCGCCCACCTGGCTCAGCCCAACCACAGTTAGGTCGCGACCAACCCTCCAGCCCACTTGCCAAGCGCGGCTCCGTCGACGAAATCCACCGTTACAGCGATGACATGCCCGTAGGCGACGCCGACAACTTCAACTTCGGCTCGGGCGACGGCCTGCACTCGGCCGACTCATCCTTCGACGGCATGCCACCTCCTCCCCTTCCCAAAACCCCTTCAAAGCGACAATCTCAAAGCGAAAGCCAATACGCGCGCGAGCTGCTCGACCGTGAGGGCGCCAATTTCCTGGGTTTCATCGAGACGGAGATGGAGGAGAATGGCGAGCGGCGCCACGAGGAGGACTATTTGCTGCGCCGTAAGTGGCTGACCTTTGACGATGTCTTCGTGCCTCGATTGACGAACCGCACCACGGCCGCGCAGGCGTTTTACCATGTCCTGACGCTAGTCACCAAGGGGAAGATGCTGGTGGAGCAAGATGGAGCGCAAAACGAGCCGTTTGGGGCCATTCACGTCGGGGTTAAGGAGTCTTGAGCTCCTTTCAAGACGATGGTGCGGTATGCCACGATTCTGTCTGAAAGGGTAGACGTGTAGGAGTTGCCTTTCCTCGCTCCTTCTTTTCATCTGTTTTACTGTTTGTTGTGCGATTGTTACTTTGATGGCGTTGAAATGGCGGCAAGGGAATGAGGGCTGGGAGGGCCGGCCCTCTCTCAACATGGACACGGATAAGGACACTTATGGCCAGGAGGAGCCACACGGTTTGCATTTGATCGGCTTAAAGGGACACATGGCATGCTGGATGCCACTGGCAATGGAGCAAGTTGGCGTTCACCAAGGACTTATCACTTCGAGATCTGGAATGCTGGCTGGACAGAGAAATGAACCTAACTGAGTAGTAACATGAATGCAAATTGGTGAAAAGGGCAACGATGCTCTCTGCCCAATTTGCTACTTCATAGATAGCTGGAAACTTGCATATAACAACCCAACGAATATCAGTGCTATTTCTCATTAATCATCTATCATGGAATTACGTTCTTGACACTGTGCGACCCAGACTATCGCCTAATTAGTCGTACACATCGTCATCGACGTCAGCCCCTTCGCGGTCTTCGAAGATCAGATACTCCTCTTCCCGCACATCACTCCCCATGGCTACCGTCCATGCTGATTTGACTGCATCCAAATCTGAGTCATCAAACGCTAGGGTTTGGGATGTCGATGCAAAGGAGAACACCGTTGACGAGCCATGAGTCTCGATCAGTGGAGCTTTTTCACTGCTGGACTGTTCGTAATACAGCTGATAAAGAGATGTAGCGGTGTTCTGGTTCACGGAAACAGCCTGTAGCAACGTATCGAGAGCCTGGTTGAGCCTCTGCTTTGCGCCTGGCTCAGCTAAGGTAGTGAGGTAGATCACGCCTATTGGGGGAACAAAATATTAGCCAAACGCGCAATAAGACGATGTAACATGAAGTGAAGATTGAGGTGGTGAATCAGTTTGTCAGAGGTTGTTGTTCGTCAAAGCGAAGCTCAGCCAATGTAGATAAGTATTCGTTACGTTGTATCATCGTAACACGGGAGATCACAAGAATATACCAAAAAGGCGAGTAGAACTTACATTGACCATTAGGACATTCGCCTGTCTCACTGGAATGCACCATGGCGTAGACTGGGGCGTCTGAAGCCTGCTCTCCGTCCGCAAGGTCCGAGCTGCTCGGGAACGCGACGACAGCCACCACTGGTGTGGGTGCGCCCTCGACGAGTATCTCAAACAAACTTTTCAAAGGAGAGTCGACGACGGCGACAAGCCTGCTTACCGTTTGAGCGTCGGCTGCAGCGTTTTTTCTGGATGTTGCCAGGGTTTTTGTCCGAACGTCCACGTCGTTTGACAATTTGAGTGACATTTGCTCTTTGTCGGCACCTCCCTGGAAATGCATGTCGGTTCCGAGCATGTAAATACCGCCACCCACCGCACCGGCTCGACATCCTACTTGCGCAATTTCTGACAAACCTCCCCATTTGGGGTAGACAGCACAGAATCCAGGTCCGAAAAGGCCCATTGAGGTCAAGTGGCGGTTGATGATAGCCAGTCCGTCCTTCACGCTGACATTACCATCCAAGGTCAATGTGAGTGCAAGGATATATGTACGTAGACTATCATCTAGTTTGAACTGGCTCGTGAGGAAGTCAGTCAGTCGGGTATCAGCTTGGCCCTCCCACACAGACTTCTGGTCATCACTGTCGTAGTCGACGACGAATTTCAAGAACTTCATCAGAGACCGCTTCGACCGGGCCGGTATCGACTGACTCGAGAAGACATCTTCGCGGCTGCTGGGGATCCGAGACAGCTTGGGCTTGTCATGTGCCAGTTCATAGACGAAGAATGACCCAACTGCCAGGAACTCAATCTGTCGATACGCCCTGGATGACACCAGTTGCGCCAACAGCTTCGACCGCGTGTGAATGATCTGCGGGGCGAGAGCCAGCGTGTAAGCCCGCGAAAAAGACAGCCCTTTTGCTTCAGCTTCCGCATGCTTCCACACACTGGCATTGCGAAAGATGCTGCTTTCAGCGACCGATGTGGTAGCTTGGTCTGCAGCGCCATCCCCACCACTGATGGACCTTTCTGCGTCGGCGGCAGCGGTAGTCAAGGCGTGGGCAGCGGCGAAGCTGTCGGCTTCCTGCAAGCTGAAGGCAGCTTCATGCTGGCCGTAGTACTCATTGGGGTCGAGGTGAAGAATGCGTTTGTTGGATCGCGACAGAGCTCTTCATCGTGGGGTCAAGCTGGGTCAGTCAGAACGACTCAGTGATTTGGTCATGTGCCACCGAAGACGGCGCACTTACAATGCAAGTAGGGACTGTTGCAGCCCTGTACCGCAGATTACGGCATCCCAGGGCGCCTCACCCAGAGACTCCATCGTTTAGCTTGTGTGAGAGGCTTCAAGAAGTTGTGGTATGCAATAATTATTATTAGAAAACTCGCAAGAGTCATAAGCGACGTAGTAATACTTTCAACTGCACTTCCAGCAGCACTTCCGGTTGCGATCAAGCTCCCGCTGTCAGCCATATGGAAGATGGTTTTACCGCTCCGCCCCACTCTGGATTGAATTATCAACTCGAAATTCCCTTCGCCAGAATTTTGCTTTTTCCAACAACCAACCGCTCAGAGTTCCTGCTTTTCGCTGCTTCACACAGTAATGCTGGCAACTGGGATGCCTTTCACTAGGCTCCTCTACACTGGGCGGGAGACCAAATCGTCGTCCCGTATCTACTGTCCTGGATTCATTAACCTGATAGGATGGTTCGAAGGGTTGATACATTTATTTATCTCGTAGCAGTGATGGGTGATACTCACATCTTACAAGCCGGTCCTAAGAATCTTCTGGCGAGAAAACTATTTGCCAGTGGAACTGCCTGTGAGATGTTGGATCATTTTTCGCTGAGCTAGGAATCGTTGCGAAAATTCCGCGGTTGAAACCATGTAGATATTCATTGAAGAGGACTGCATATCGCATTCGGTTGTTGCCATTGGGTATCATTGAATTCGCTTCTACTATTTCATCGCACTGTGGAATTGATCCCATCTTACGTTCGCCAGAGCTGCAATATCTCTCATCAGACGCGGGCCCACGACAACTCCTCCACTCTTCGATATTCCCAAAACCTTTGTGGTCCCGCTTGACTTGTCAATCACCATGGAGACCGTCTCATCGCACAAACTCTCCTCCAACCTGTCAGGATCTGCCAAGATCCAGTACTGATCACTGCCTTTCCTCTGTTTCTCCTTCGCTGTGAATACTGCCGCGGTACACGCAACCGGGAACCCTTGTAAAGTCAACGGCGAAGGCGTCTTGGTGCGCCTGCAGAGCACCAGCTCTTGATCGATGTCCCAATATGCTTCAGGCAGCTTAGTGTCTCGTAGTGCTGCTAGTACGGCTGCCCAGGCAGCATCAAATGGGTTGCCGTCGAATGAGATGAACAGCACGTCAATGTACAGCACCCAGTAGGCCTTGACCACTTTCTCCGCTGATAGATCCTCGTCAGCTTCTTCCTCATGCTTCTCGTCTCCTTTATTTTTCTCACCCTCGTCTTCCTCTTCATCTTTGCTCTTGTTGCCAAAATCGGTTTGTTGATATATCCGTAAACGGTCGACATCCACCAGCTTCGAGCTCTGCAGAAGCGAGTACACCCTCGTGCTCAGTGTCTGCGCAAGTGTAGTCGGCGGGACACCGGGCAGAAAATTCGGCGCGCATCCTGTAGCCAACTCGATGTTAGGAACGAGGAGATCGTAGTCCCGCACCTCGTTTACGGCCGCCATGCTTGAGGCATCAGGTGCTCGGTAATTCGGGATGGCGGTGGTCAAGAGCGTCTCGCCACGTACACCGCAGATAACGGTCGTGTCGCCAGTTCGGACTACGGCACTGCCGTGCGCATGAGAGAGGGAGGACGTGTTGATATTGGGACTGCGCGCTTGCTGCGGTTGCCGTCCGTTGGTGCGAGACGAGGGGACCGAGGCGTCTGCGGGCTGCAGATTCGCTAGGAGGTAGGGGTGAGGGGATAGTTTGGCAAAGGTGGCGCTCGACAGCGTCAGGGAGCTTGAAGTTGCCATTTGGAGCGAAACTGGGCAACAGGGCAATTTGCTAAGGCTCAACGAAAGATCACTACAAGTCGAGGGCGTGGGGCAGGCTCCTAGAAATTTGGAGTTATGTCAGCCTTACGAGCTTGCGAGCTATGTTTGGTGGGGTAGGCGGGTCGGGGCTTGCCAAGAACCCAACCATGAGTTACAACTAAATGTTGCTGCTGCCGCCTTGTTCATCAAGGACGACCAAATTCCAAATTAATCACCTTGGCACCACCTGTAGGATCAGGAGAACCCTTCAATCCCTTCGATTATATATAAAATTCGGAGTTTGGAATTGTGTGCTTCGACAGGTTCTATCGTTCTGGATCAAAATAGGCCATGCAAAGCACCCCGTCCTAAGAAGCCCTGGCAACTGCAGCTTCCAATGGCGAGGTATTCAAATAAGCCCTGAACACCTTGATCAGCCCCCTTTCCTCTCCCGAGGTGACTAGATGGAACACAGCCATGGCGGGGATCTTGACTGTTTCCTTCTCAGGATCATCCTTCACCGTCCACGATATTTCACAGGCCTGATAGATCTTGTCGCCGCCTACTAAATCTGAGTAGAGCAACACAAAGAGGCATTAATTTCCACGTCCACGGTTGCAGCACTGTCGGATTTAGATAGTATTCGTACCGAAATCCTTGATCTCATGGTGCATCGTCTCAAACTTCGCCCATTGTGGCTCAAATAAGCCCTTCGCGGCCTCAAGACCACGGCCAACAGGCAAGTTGCCAAACTGGAATTCCACATCCTCCGCATACAAGCTGGAAAGCCTGGAAATGTCGAGGGAGTCGCCGACGTCGTGGAACCATACGCGAACATTTATTATTAGGCGCCTTGACAGCGTACAGCACCTCATGTCGGGTTGCACTCACACGCAAGAGCCACTTCTGGGTCTCCAAGGGTGTCGTAGGTAGAAAGGCCATGCTGGGAATTGTCCGTCTGACAAATCCTATACGATATCTGCTTATTTAACAGGTATCCAATCTGAGGGTTTCCGTCTGCTTTTTACGTCTCAGCGCCTCTACTCGAGATGGCGGCCTGGAAGTACATGCTGACAAACGACGACTGTCACCACTGTGCTTACATACTGACGAAGCAGGTTTCGAGTGTATACGCTGAGAAATCGCGGTCTTCACCATTTTCCCGTTTGGGAAAGCGCCATTGGAAGCAAGCTGGCACAATCAAACTGAAGAAAAACGCGAGCTTTCAGCCAACTAAGCATACAACTAGATGACAAAATAACCGGCGGACTCAGGTGGGATCATCAAGTTATACTTAGTCTACTACACTGGAATATCGAGCTATCCCATATTATTACACACTCGGTGCGCCGTTTGTGCTGTCACCTGCTTGCCCTGCATCTTACGGCATACCGACGGCTCCTGTATAGTGTTTTGGCTGAGGGTAGTTCGCCGTGTCGTGTGCTCCAGCGTTGACTGGTCCATCAACAAGAAAGGGCGGTTTTGGACAAGGCCAGTGCATATGTGACGGTTGCCTCTTGCCACTGAAGACCACATTACCGAGGACCCGACATTGACGTCGTTGAAGTACCGAAAGAATGCTCAGTTTTCCATGAGTACGCCAACAACCAAATGACTGGTCTCCGTACGCTTCATGCGGGGGCCAAAGCACCAACGTTAGTTGGCTCACCCTCCATGGACGGCAGGATTGGGGGGTAATCGAAGCTGCAGCGGCTTCTGCGGATAAAACCGATTGCCCCCGTGTGGTTCTTGCTCAGGCACAACACAAGCCTTCGAGCTCCGAAGAGGACAATCGTTACTTTGGATGCTTGTCAAATTGATGTTGCAGTCGCATCAAGTTGATACTGACACCTTCTTCCTGTTCACGAGCGGGCAAGCGCTCTTGACCGCCTCGCCAACCCGTAATCATACCTCGTCGATTCCCAACAGCGTGGAACGCCCTCTGCATGATGCCGACCTTGTCGAAAAGAAGTTTAGCAAGGTCGATCGAGCGGTTGCCAACCTGACACTTTCGATTCACAAGCTGCACGCTGCTACTGAAGACTGGGGGCAGTTGATAGTTATGTTACCCTTTCGGCTACTAAGGTGGTGCTATCGAAGCAGATCAGGCATGTCACAAGCAACGATTCGATGGATCCACCTGCGGTTGGTAGTGAAGGACGCACAGTCTTCCACAGGGATAAGAGCTTCAACCAATCATAGACGCCGCATTGCCGCCGAATACGCAACATTGCCCAGTTTTCGATCGTATCTGTCCCAAGACTCGTCCATGGCAGTTCCCTACCGCAAATCACGGCATCACGACCTGTTGGGCTCTGGAGTTCCTATTCGATCGCACTCTGTGCTGCCCCCAAATTTTTGAGATGTGGCTCCCATGTTTGCATGGTTTGCATGGCCAACTGTCGCATACAGCGGGGATCGTGGCCACTGATCGTGTGGGATGTGGTGACGGCTTGTTGTGCGTATTTCGTGCCTGGCAGACCCTCCGTCTCAGAATTGTCCGGCGCAGGACAACGGAGCATTAAATCCTGTTCGCCATCCAGTGCAACCTTATCTCGTCGTCATGCTGACGCGATGGACTCGCTGGCGTAAGCCGCATCGAACAAAGGACACTTCGCCTCTTTTGGAGGGACAGGAATAGCTTCGTCCTATGCTAAACAAAGACCTTGTGCAGTCAGCTTCATCTCTTCGGGCAACATTCTTCGGCTTGAGGATTAACGGCAAGTGGACCGGGAATCTGCAGTCAAGGACAGGGACCCTTGTCAACATAGCATACCGACGCCTCCCGTCTCTAGGACCTTTGTGATAACGGGCCGCCAAGGGTCTTCATGTAGCTGACAAGGAGCAGCTTACAAGCATCCCTGGCGCCTAGACCTGTTCGGTGCAACCTGCACTCTGCAGTCTGTCTGCGGGGAACGACCACTTCTACGGCCAGCCAATATTAAAGTGCGGTCAACCGCTGGGCCTTGCCCCGTCCCTGGTACCATTCGCGTTTGTTCCCAAGTCTTCCTTGCCTGTGATTGACTGGACTGATGTGCGGTGGACATGCAGGACCTGCTAACCACGAGATCACTCATTCACCATCACATAACCGGACATTGCGAGCAGCCCTGACATGAGTCTGGTCATCGAACTCACAACCTGCTCGCTCAATCGCGGACCCATGTGGAGCCTTAAGGAGACTGGCCCTCCTTGCTGTCGCTGACATATATCCACCTCACCCATCTTCAGGGCCTCTTGGCTTACACCTCTCTGTGGCATTGCTCTCCAATTTTTCGTCATTGCCTCTCATTATCCTTTGATCCATTGGATCGAGGGGTCTAGTATTCCCCATTGTGCAACCCAAGTCCGCTCATCCTTCGTTTCAAACCCCCCGAGCCCATATATGGTCGTCACACGACGCACGAGGCATCATTGTCTAACGTCGAGACACGTAACCGAGCTACATAGACAGTAATACAACCGGATGTATATCTGACATCACGGTGGCATTAGGCGACCTATCCAACGAGCAACCCCCAACGCCCTGGATGACTGCAATATAGTCGCGCGCGCGCCACTGCCTATTCGCGCTCGGGATAGGTCATCTTGGAACATTGGGACGAGCGCAAACCAAGAGTAGTTGCCATCATGCCTGCGGTCGCCGAATCAGCAATGGCAGGGGCCTCGCGGAACATGGCGGAGCTCGCAAAAAGAATCTTGATTCCCTTGACGGCATCGAGTCCGCCGGGTTTGGTGGAGGCCAACACGATAGACCCATGGAGTAAGTCGGGCAAGTACGCCCTCGGATGGACGTACTTTTGTCTGGCCTTGATGGGTGTGGTCATATTTGTGAGAATATGGCATTGGTGGCAGGACAAGATTCGACAAGCCATTTACAAGCAAGAGGTGGAACGGCATTATCAAAACCTTTACAGCTTAGATGCCGAGCACACAATGACGGCATTGCAGACAGGCACGACGGGAGGACACTTCTTTCCTGAGACGGGCGAGGAGAAGCCAGACTTCAAGCCCAAGACGGATTTCTCGGCGGTTGGTCCGGTGCTCGACGCGCTTGCGCTGTTCAGATGGGTCTTCTACCGGCCCGTCCCTGACTTGGTGTGGCGGAAACATCGGTTCACATTTTCCTCGGCTGCCGTGCTCGCCATCGGCTTCACTGCGCTCGCCTTCATCACACTCTATACCTTCCTTCTGCAGCCTTTATACTGGCAGAGCATTCAATTCGGCTCGCCCCCTGTTGCCATCCGAGCGGGCATGATCGCGGTTGCTATGACACCATGGATTATTGCGACAAGCATGAAGGCCAACATTTTGGCCGCCGTGACAGGAATTGGCCCTGAGCGACTCAATGTGTTCCATCGATGGGCGGGCTATCTCTGCCTCTTCCTGTCCTTGGTCCATACCATCCCCTTCTATGTCCAGCCAGTTTGGGATGACGGCGGAATGCAGACTTTTGCTCGGCTGTTCCCCGAGGGCAGCGGTGTGATATACGGCACTGGCATCGCGTGTCTTGTTCCACTTGCGTGGCTCTGCATCGCGTCGCTTCCCGTTGTGAGGAGAATGGCGTATGAAGTCTTCGTCGTACTCCATGTTCCCGTTGGCATGGTCTACGTGGGCCTTCTGTTCTGGCACACGAAGAACTACCTTGCCTCATGGAACTACCTCTACGCGACCGTTGCCATTTGGGGCTTCTGCTACTTTCTGCGGTTGTTCAACCTCAACTGGACCAAGCCGTGGCGGCTGTCCTTCTTTGTTGGGGACGAAGCGGCCATCACATTGATGACGGAGAATGCCATCAAAATTACTGTCCCGACACAGATGAAGTGGAAGCCGGGTCAGTACGTCTACTTACGAATGCCCGGCATCTCGTTCTTTGATAACCACCCCTTCACCATCTCATCGCTGTGCAGTGAGGACTTCCCCTCCGAATACGGCGAACAATATCGAGACTGTGTCTTGGTATTCAAGCCTTATGGTGGCTTTACCCGCAAAGTGCTAGAGACGGCCATTGAGAAGGGGCCCTTCCACACTTACCGTGCCTACCTCGACGGACCATATGGAGGTATGCGACGAGAGCTAGCCGCGTTCGACACTTGCATCCTGATTGCTGGTGGCAGTGGTGTCACGGCACTCATGTCACAGCTACTTAACCTGATCAAGAGGATGAGAGATGGCAAGGCCATTACCAAGAAAATCGTTGTCATATGGGCTCTGAAACGTCTAGAGGCAATGGATTGGTTCCGCGAGGAGCTTCGCATCTGTCGCGAATCAGCGCCGCCAGAGAGTGTGACGTGCAAGTTCTTTGTCACAGCCGCCGTTAGACATCGGGGCACTGGTGGCGGTATCGGGGAGCGGGCACCCAGGCCACTCAGCAACGTCTTCCACGACAAGCTGGACGGCTTTGTTGCTGGAATCGCCTCGAAACGCAACTCGGCTTTTATTCGAGATGAGGCGCAAGGCAACACTGACTACGAGCGTCACCTGCGCGCCGAAAATGAAGACCGAATCACAGCTTTGCCTCGGCAGAAATACCTTCAACCACATTACATTCCTCCGCAGCCGCCCGCTAACCGGGAATCGGCCCAAGAAGATTCCCTACGTCGGCTCGAGGGCCGAGATGGGGGAGACGACGAGGCTCCCCAAGAGGCGCCACCAGCGCCGGTATCAGAGTCGGAATACCCTGAAGACAAGCCCAAGGGGGACAAGCGGGACTTCCACTTCCCACCACTGAAAGCGCGAGAAGAGCTACAACCACATTTTAACTATGCACCGCCATCTCCGCGCAACTTTCTCAACTCCACAACACCCTCCGCCCACGAACGATCGGCGGAGCCATCGCACGACCTCCCGCGCCCACCCGAGTTCGCACATCTTCGCACCACCAACCTACCCAACCAGGCCTCCCAAGGGCCCAGGCTGACGTCGACCTTCGGCCCACCATCCGGTTTCGAGTTCGGCTTCCCCGAGACGCCCACCGAGTTCCAGAAGTCCCTGATGCGCTTCGCCTTCCCGGTACCGCACCAGATTGACGGCGGATGGAGCGTCGAGTACGGCCGCCCGGACCTGGGCTACATGCTCAAGGAGTGGACGACTGGCGGCGCAAACGGTCGGGGTATCCTGGGCAGGAGGACGGCCGTGTTCGTTTGCGGCCCGCCGAGTATGCGGGTCGGCGTCGCTAATACGGTCGCGAGGCTGCAGGCTGAGATTTGGGGCGATCCGTTGCTCGAGGAGATTTTCTTGCATACGGAAAATTATGCGCTATGATTGCTAGAGGAGGTGTGGAGTGACGTTATATAACATGTGCTCTGCTCTCCCAGCGACGACGTATAAAAGCTTGAGGACCGAGGGCATAAAGGGATTATGCACCTACCAACTATGGCGTTTGATCGTCTGATCGTTTTTTTTTTTACTTATTTGCTTTTTTGAGATACCAATATTACTACTACTACTACTACTACCCTCTACACGGGACGGAAACTTAAGCCTGTACAAATAGGGGTATGAGGAGTATGGGAATGAACGTTTGCGACCCGGCTCGGCGACCAGCTCCTGAAGACGTCTCGTGGACAGCAGGAATATAGATACATATCTATTCTAATCAGTTACAAAGGAATAAATGGACCTGCAAGTCTGTTTCCGGGTGAATACATCTTCGCTTCTGTCCACTCTAAGCTCTGGAGAGAGATCAACGTACTACCGCGAACTTGCTCAAGCTCAGGGGGTTTTACGATTTATGGTAAAGTGTTACGTATAACCTACGTATCGCTCTACCTTCTCTTCATGAATATCAGTTAGTGTTGTAGTAGCCCAAGCCCAATATCAAAATGCCATGTTGTTGCGTTCTTGTTCTCGAATATAGCCCGATGCTGATTGTCTTGTTACTTCACATTCCCACCACCAATACCACCATCACAGCGACGTCGCGACAGAGCCTCTACTTATTCAACAAGTCTGCCACCCGGGTTCATTCCGATGTGTATGCACAGTCTATTCTGGAATCCATTCATTTACTTATGTTTTTGCATGGCAGCGAGGTCCACTTACCGCAAGTGATTCTTTGAACACATTAGACATTAACAAGAGAAGAACGCAAAAAAGAAATTGTCTTTGGACAGTCCCAGAAGACCAACTATAAATTTCACCGTATTCCAAAACCCCGGTTGTAACTCCTGGGCACTTGCACTGTCGTATCCCGCGTACGAAGGCAAAGCTGTCTGTATAGTAGCCCCTAACTATGTAAAGGCACCTTGCTTGTCGCCATCGATGTCGGTTTTTTTTTTGGTTTTTTGTTCCCCATATGTTCCTCTTTCGAATCCAATTCTATTCAAGTCAATCAGCTCACTGTCAACGTAGCCATGGCAATCGTAAAGATATGCCCCGTCCTTACCAACGATGGCACAGACGTGAGTGATGGAACAGACTTACATAGGATGGGGCGACTGGCTACCCACCGAGACTTTCAGGTGGGCAAGGCGACGCATTAGGAAGTACACACATAACTCGCACTTGAGATGGAATGGAGTCCTACGCGAATATGCACAATACGGACGGGTACCAAACAGAGGTGCCCCGATGTAGATTGTTGTTCTCAAGGTTAGATGAAGTAACGAACGAACTTGATATGGAGGTGGCTGCTGACATAAGGACGTAAACCAATAGATTCAAGCCCCTTCACCACTCTCCTACCCCTTCCTTCCTAATAAAATAGTTGTTGACGAAAGCCCCAATCGGCGTGCGCGTGCTTTACTTCCTGTGGCCGGCGGCCTGGTAGAAAGGGTTTAGTTGCATAGCCGCCGTCTCTTTCGTATGTGCGTTCGCTGCTCTTCTTGAACCCTCTTTGAAGCAATCGCTGTATTCCGTAGGTGTTTTACTGCATTGCTGATTAAGCCGCGCCGGTAATGAACATATGGCACTCACTTTCCCTTGAGACATTATGTTTCAGCATGTTAACTCTAGCCTCGCGCAGGCTGGATTCAAAATATTATTGCAGTAACTTGGCCGCGCTGCTGGTTGTATTTACAGTGGAAATTCCCTGAGATACGTGTTAGCCTGTCGTATTGGAGTAATCTATAACTGCATTCTTTGCAGCTTACGTATTTTGCCATACGGGATACGTTTACTGAGCCGCTGCCACGCTATGTGGGCGCAAAGGGCATTATGCTTGGGGTAGGCAATTATTCGATACATATAAGTTGCTCCCTGCGTCATCAGTTTCCCAGTACTTGCAAAATCCATTGTTCATTCCCCTCTGTATTACAAATAACGTGAGTAGTACATGAAGAAACGGGGCCGGGGCGTCTTCTCGTCCCCAAGCTGGCTGTGCCCTTGCCCCGGGACAACCAGCTAGCCCTAATACAATCGGGCGTTGATTGCACATCCAGGACGCCATGGTTTGATGTTTGCAACACGGACCTGAGTGTGTGAGACTGGCAATCTCTACAGGCCTTTTGTCATTCAACTTAGGAAGGTAACTGAAGTGGCCGATGCTATACAGAGGAATGAAACAGTACAAAACAGCAAACACATCCGCTCATTCACAAAAACAGTGACATGATGCTTTTCGTATCCAATATTGGGTTGGGTTCATTAATAAATCCCAACATCGATCACACGAATCTCGTGAAATATGAAGGGGAAAAAATCAACCATGAAAAATCCCGCCCAGATCCTTGGTATAAATGATAGGACAGGACAAGCAAGTCCCATGCGGATTGCGACCCCGACGATGCGTGTCATGCGTGTGACAGGCCGCTATGAATTTTGGAATTGGAAGACAATAGAGATTCGCTTGCAACCTTTGGGGGAAAATAGTAGGCCAACATCTGATAGTATCCGGCACTCCAGCTCAAAAGGTATCGATCGGTGGTGCTCAAGTAGAAATTAAATGTAGCTCCCTCTTGACAAGTCCCAGTCGTCGCTGTTATTGTTGGTATAACGGGGGAGAACAACAAAAAGGTGAAAGGAGGAACACCCAAACGCCGTGATAAATCAAATGAGCCGTGAGGCAATCCGCTCTTGTCCAGCCGCGAGGCCTCGATTCTTCGATAGGTATAAAGTAGTAATCCCGATTTGGTCATGCCAGTCGTTCAATCCTCTCTTCCGCCTCCTCCTCCTCAATGACAAGAACAATCGGCCAAAGCTGTAAGCTTCAGTGGCTTTGCTTTGTGCCCTTCAGGCGGTGCTGTGGTTTCCCGCCCATCAGTCATGGCTTTGAGAACAAACTTTAAAACGTCTCCCGTTTCCCGCGGTCGTGTGACCTTGTGATCTATCCATCCGTGTAAGATTTTCTCCACGCTCGTCGCTTGCCGTCCCCATCATAGAAGTTGGAAGCAACAGCGCCCCGAGCGCCTTCCCCCCTTCTCGCCGTGAACGCGCGAACCATGGGGTCGAAATTTTTTTTTGTTGGAGGGCTCGGCCCTGACTAATGTCGATGCCGTCGTCCGGAGGTACTTCCCTCGTGTCGGTGCGAATGCCCGTGTCCATGTCGATGGTGATGTGCGTCGCGATCCCGCCGCGATGTGCTGGAGTGCTCGAGTTCCCGTTCTAGCTCCTCGACCCGCTGGCGATAAGCCCTGACGATGTCCCTGATGTGACGAATGCGATCGAAGTCCAGCTCGAGTTCGTCTATCTGCTGCATGATGTCGTGGAAGCGGGCAATCTCGGCATCAGCGTTGTCAATCAGATTTCCCGCACGATCGTGTTGTTCCATAGTTACCACGGCGCTCTGTTGGCTCAGGTACTCAATGCGCTGCTGGATCTGTTGCATCAGCCGGTCCAGGTGTCTCGAGAGGGCGGCGAGACTGGAGGGGTCAAGGAGCAGGCGGCCTTGGGACGAGGCGCGGCTGGCGGCGCGGGAGGACGAGGAGCCGGCTTGGGTCTGGTGATAGCGAAGAAGATTGATTTCCTCGTCGGTGAGGCCCAATTGCGTGTCCGGGACCGTGTTGGCGTCCGACGACGGCATGGCGCTGCCGTTGGCACTGCTTCTGCGTCTGCGACGACGACTGCCACTCGGCTAGAAATCGAGTGTTGTGCAGCGTCGGCGATACAGGGGTGGAGATATCGGCGGCGGCAAGCCGAGGAGGGGCAGAATCGGATGCAACGTCGTGTGAAATAGGTGCAAAGGTGGATGCGACACCCTATGCTGTGGTCAAGCGTCGAATCTGTTGCCGCGCCGGGCCTCATTGTCTCGAGATGTTGACCGAGACGTTCATTGCAATAGGTTCATGGTAGAGCATCAAGAAGCAGAAAGAGGGCCCGGTGGTGATATAGCGCTCGGGGGTTCTCTCCAAACTTCGATAAGCGTGCCTTGAAGGAGGGGGGGAGGCGAGATGGGCGGCGGCACAATGGACGACCTCCAAAAATTTGGTGATACGGAGCCGGTGAGCACACCCACACGGTGAATAATTTTTCTTGTTGCTGCTACCGTCTCTATCCCACACACGCGAGCACACACACAGGCACACACAGGCACACACACACACACACTCACTCACTCACTCACTCACTCCCTTTCGCTTTTTGTTACCTGGCTGAGCTCGACGTAGTGACGGAAAAGGAAGCTAGAGGATCAATAAGCTGGAGGCGGTTGGTTGATGTCTTTTCCCCCGCTGAAACGACATCAGCTGGTCCCTAAGGGAAGAGAGAAGCAACCTGGAGAGCTTGGTTACGTGAAGGCTGGCTCGCTGTGGTCGTGCGCACTGGTGCAGTGATGAGGGAAATTGGACAGTAAGTCGAAGAGGAACAAAAGAATAACGATGCGATGAGATTGTCGTAACGGAAAACGGCGGGGCAAAGTGCAACAGCTGCAACTGCAACGGTAGTAGCGAAGAGCACAACCACGCCACCGCCTGATATATATCTGTCTCGAGCGTAAAGTAGTCAAGGGGCGTCTGTACCGCTTTGACTCGAGTCTCCATCCGTGTCGTGGGCGGTAGATAGGAATGGTGGTAGATGATAGTCGACGTCTGACGCGTCTCTGTGGGTAGCGTTGCGGCAGCTTCGATTTTCTTCAGCTTTGAAGCGATAGGTGCCTCGCGCGCTGAAGCTTCATTTAGCAGGCCGAGAAAACAGAGAGGGGGGGAAAGTATGGGATCAACGACAAATTTGGGGGTGATGAACCAGCCGGGAAATTTTGAAGTGGCCCACCCTACCCTTGGAATCCGGCGTCTCGCGGGTCGTCAAACGTTCAAGGGCAAATGTGCAATTTGGGAAGCTCTTGGGCGTTGTCAATGCTGAGATCCTGGTTGAGTTGGGAGAGGTCAAGTGTTTGGACAAGTCGGCAAACGTGGTACGTGTGCGAATTGGTCGGTGAGGTTGGTTGGGTTTCTGCGTCCAGAAGCCACCCAGGCACCTCTTGACATATATCAATGTGTTGTTGATCGGTGCGGTGGAAGCAAGCAAGTTGCTCCTCGCATATTTTCTGTCTCGCATGCAGACCCCAGTTTCGCATCGTCCGAATCTGGGGGGATGACGAGGATGGCCCTTGAAAACCGCACAGTTTGCGGCGCTTGTATTGCGGGCGCGAATGGAAACGCCGAATTGGCAGTTGGCACCAGCCCGCAGTTTGCAGCTCGAAGCTGCAAGTCACGTTTTCCTTGCCGAGCGGGCCTGGCTTCTGGGTGCTTGCTGCCTGCCTGTGCGCCCGCCTTCAATTGCCTGCCAATCCAATGCCAACATTCACCTCTTCCAGGATCCTAAACGCTAGCATGAGAATTGGACTATGTTCAGTTACTGGCCATCACGTACAGGTTGTCTGGGATTATCAGTACCTCAACACGCATGTTTCCGTGCGCAAGGGTGTAATTACCTGAAGGCCACTACAAGACCAGTGAAAATACGGAAGTATCATGGGGAAGTAACACGCTCACGGTTTAGATCCTGGGAGAGGTGTTGAATACCAGCTCGCGGGCTGCGGTTCGACAACCCCCAATGTTCCACAATGGAGAGATGCTAGGGCTCAGCAAGCCAAGGCAGGGCGCCTGTCATGGCGCGATATCAAACGTGGTTTTGAGCCGCATCACACATTTGAGCATTCCTCTAGCCGCTGACAGTCGAGTGTGGTTGCATGTTTCTCGTTTTAGCTCTTCTTCAACGCACCTGCGACGTCTCCTGCATTTCCCGCATTTCCCGCTGTGCTTCTACGACTTATAGTGCATGTTGTCTCCCAAGATCCATCTCCCTCTTAGGTGCAAATACCCGAGCTGTCCGAATCGTTAATCTAGCGGAACATCTTCTTCCGCACCCATTCTCCGCCTCCACGCTAAGCGATCTGCGTGGAATCTAGGCTATCTAGTTAGCCCGTCCTTCTTTCGATCAAATTGACCCCACGTAGGTAGTCCAGTGGCTCGTCGAACCACTTCGGCCTGCGGTTGCAGCCATGTGCGGGCGGAGAATCTCCACTTCAACGCTGGCCTGCTGAGCATCATCCATCGTCAGTTCAGAGTCTGCACATGTGTGTGAGCTCTTCGCACGCGGTGCTTGGGAGAGATGAGGGGATGGACAACGCCCAGAGCCATACTGCTTGTATTGTCCGTCCTGTATGCCTCAGCTGAGTCGGAGAGCCATGCTCAATTTCTCCGTAGAGAAACTTCGCTCCGGTTAGGCGGTCCTGATGTACCGTCTTGGTGCGGAGAAGCATGTGCTTCGGGAAGCTGGCTAGTATATAGCCATTTGTCATCTCCTTTCTCGTGTTCTTTAGCGATCTCGGCGCAATCATCTTGAATTCGTGAGTCGAATGCAACCGGAAATAATGCTCGGTACCGTCCTGCCACTTCTGGGTCTGATAGCCTCGGCTTCAGCAACAATCCTTCAGAATGGTCAGGTGAAGATTACAGACTACCCGGACACCAAAGTAGATCCTTCAGCATATGCCTTTGAAACATATGAGGCAGATGCGTTTGAGATATCCTACAAGGGCAGGTGGGACTCTAAGAAAATCTCATGGTGGTCGTGGGTTAGCCAGCTCAGTCGCCGTTGAAGTCTGCTGACTCGACTTACAGAGCACCTGGGTTAGTTTTTGGATTTACAGGGGAGACAGTTGCCATTACTTTTGGTAATGAAACGGTTGACTTCACTCTCGTTGGGTATCGACTGGATGGGTTGGACTGGATGTTCACAAATGTCACCGCAGGCGCAACACACCTGTTCGTCAACCCCGAGACGCCAGGCGTAAATGTTACATATCCCGTCAACCCGGCGACTTTTGAGCTAAGAGTGACGAATTGGGCATATGGAGTTCAAATCGACAAGGTGCACGTCGCCGCGGGGGACGGCCTTGTTAAGCTGCCAAATCCTGGTCGAGCCATTGAGTTCATCGGGGACAGTCTGTCTGCTGGGATGTGTAAGTCTTGACGTGACTCCCGAAGTCCTAAATCGAGTATCGTTCTCGAAGCGTGTTGTCTTCGAGACCCCTGTTGAGCCTCGCCATGACACGTCGTGGCATAAACGTAGAAGCTTGCAGACATGGAAGGCGCTCACTGACCTGGACTACTGCAGATACTGCCTATGAGGGTCTCTCAAGTTTCGCATATGGCGTTGGTGCTGGTCTTGGAAATACGGACTACAACGTCGTTGCATACCCTGGAATATGTGTCTCGGACCAAGACTGCTGGGGTAATCCTCGTGGACAGGTCCATCAATATTTCTACACTTCTGATACGGGTTGGCGGGCAGCTGAGATTTGGGGAGGTTCGTATCTTTCCCCCAGCGTATCCTTCTCATGTGCCACAGTTATGCCTATCAAACTTGCTAACATTCGGGTTAGACAACCCGGAGCCTTGGGACTTTAAGAAGCAGCAAGTCAGTATCTGGAGTCCATCGACCCCTTTTCAATTGTGTCTCAAGGACAAAACCACTGGCCTTGAATATCCATCTCCTTATATATGACCTACAGCTCCCGCTCGTTCACTCAAAAAAAATGTCAGAAAGGCAATCGCTAACCTCGAATCATGCAAGTAGGCACCTGACATCGTAGTGATCAACTTGGGTACGAACGACAACAACGAAGCAAATAACGTCACAACAGAGACGTACGTCGAATCGTACACAAAGCTCATCCAAGGTGTGCACGGCAAATTTCCAGACGCACAAGTTGTTGTCATGGTATGTCAGCATGTGCTCCCTTACCATTCTTCAACAGAACTCTTATGATCTGCAGGAACTCTGGCTAGGCTTCTACCAATCTGGAAACTCGTACTTCCAAAACAAAGGGTTCAACCAGGAGCTCTATAACATTGTCCAGTATTTCAACTCGGCCGAATATCTCACGGCTCCCAAGATTTGGGACGGCACGACGAATGCAACCAGGACTCTGAACACGACGAACCATCAGCCATTCGTGCACTTCTTCAATACCACTGGGATAATGCAGCATAACGACATTGGTGTGTTCGACTTCCGGCGTGACATTGACCCAGCCGTCTGCTTTGTACCTTGAGAGAGATTCTGTCAACATCACTGGCTACCTACTCAAGTGCTATCAGGGCATATACCCAGCCCAGAGAACCCATGCCTAACCCAATTCATCACAGGTCCACAATGGCATCCAACAGACGTAGGAGCTATCAAAGTAGCCAGTCACTTGACACAGTTCATCCGCCTGACCTTCGGATGGGAGCTAGAGGCTACAGGGCCAGAGTAAGTTTCAACCCCGAAAGCCGATATCATCTTGTGGCATTTCCCAGCGAGCAAGCGATGGTAACAAAGCCAAACACTAACGGCGGTACTTTTCAGGGTCTTCCACGATACGCTGTACTGGAACGACGAGACGTCATACTAGACAGGTGGTTAAGGGTCCAGGAAACAAAGGCGCCAGGGCATCTCCACAGGGATCACATGTGATACAACGAGGCGACCTCGTGACTACATCATGTACCTCATCTCGGTGTCGTGCCATGGAATTTATATTTTGATAAGCTAGACTATAGTAAGTATACTATGTCAACTGGTCGGCCAGGAAGTATGCAGCCACGTTGCTCAAGGCACCGAACCACCCACCGATCGCCGTCGTTACCAGTTTTGCACCTAATCCAGCAGCGAATTGTCTTCTTCGTGGCCAATTTCATGGACGATTTCAAGTCCACGGCACGCCAGCCAGACCAACCCGGTCCGGAGGGAGTCAGAAACATACCAAACGAGCCAGTGATGAGGAAGGCCAAGCTTTCCAGGCCGCCCAGCGATGGCTTATGATGTACGACTGACTGCCTTGCCTCTTTGCATCTTGTCCATATATAATAGGAACCAAAAACAAGACATAATGATGCCATGGCATGTAGTCATTTCCGTCCGTTGTGACTGACCTAAACTACGACAGCGGCTTGAATTGTGCCACAACTTTATTATACCCGTAATGTCAAATCAACAACTTACCTCCATGAAACACTTGAACTGAAACCACAACTCGTCGAGCAAAATACCTAGCTTTCTGGAACATAGGCGAGTCCTTCTAATATTGGAAGCACATAACTGATCTTCAAGATGAGCAGAAAGCCTGCCTATCCATCTCATTCCGAAGGAGATCAGGTCTGGTGTTCTTCATCACCCCAGCCCCGGGTTGATCTTAACCCGTAATTGACGAAACGCAATGCAAACCGTTAGGACTACCCCGAAACCCCCACGCATGAGGCCGAGGTGAAAGAGAACATCCTGGGTCATATGTAGGCATGTATGCATGGTTGTTGCTGCTTTTCCTTTGTCTGGCAGCATGTCATTGTCGGAGAACATGTGGGATTGGCAACTGCCCGAGACAATGTGAAAGCTGCCATCCCATAACATGGCCATGCCAATGGGCATTGCTTTTCATGGCCCAATGTTGCCCACCACGCTGAAGATTGTCAATTGGGCAACAACCTCGGCAGATGCCGGCACCATCCACCCACCGGGGCCAATCCTGCGTCGGTCGTTGTTATCCAACTACTTGAAGTCACGGTAGATATGTATCCATTGTGAGATTTGCCCATCCATCCGCCCCGCCTTTCTGTACGAATTGTTATCAGGTGCTTCTAGAACTAACGCACCACAAGAGCCTGTCGGGACTCTCAAGCCGATGATGTTAGTCAAGGCCAGGGGTCCGGCCACCACCGGACCTGAAACGGTCTTGACGCAGTTCATGGAGCTTTAAGCCTGAAGCCTCATGAGGACATGCCTTTTGGGGCGTCCCAGACAGCTAAAACGAAAACGCATTCATGATTCGCGCGGGTGGAACGCGAGAAAAGAATAAAGTTGTACTCATGTGTAGTAGTAGGCTTCGAAGATATGCGGTGAGGTTGAGGTTGACTAACTAATGACCGTCATATGAACGTCGAACCACATCGACAGAGTCCATGGGTTATTCAAAGTCTAATTCGACGTGTTCCTGTTCCAGAATCAAGTACCAGTACCCGTGCCACGCTCCACTTATTTCGGATTCGCTTGAGCTCACCAACTTGGCCAGTTTTTCGATAGATTTCAACTTTCAATTAGCACCTACGTAATAACCGCCAACCAAGGCCTATCTCGAAGACATCTATAGGCTTTAATTAGCCTATTAATCGACGTCTTCTAGCTTCTTTTACGGTATTAAAAAAGCTCTTTTTAGCTACTCTACGTAGTCCTTCGTAATACTTAGTAAGAACTCTCTATACTTTAGTTCTGATGCGAGTGCATATGGGGTGTGAATTGTTGTATTGGAAAAGGATGGCCAGGTCAGCTATTCTGGCCTGGCAGAGCTCTTTTATAGCTCTTATCTTATCTTATCTGTCTTATCTGTAGCTACAGGGTAACCCCCATGGGGTCACGTATCAAGTTCCCTTCTCTTTAACCTTCTTTTTAATTATCTCTCTACCTTCTATAACGGATAAAACTCTACTAAATTGAAGATAATAGTTCTTCGTAGCGCGCCGTTGTTTTAATATACGTTCGGCGTACTTAGTACGGCTAAGATCGCGCTTAGTCTACATAAGTTCGGTCGTATTAACAAGGGACCCTTTAATAAAGCGACTAAGTCGATAGGCTAGATCTGGACTAATACTAAGCTCTAGATTAGTAAGGCAGTTCCTAATATTACTAGCTACTTTATTAATTTATCGAAGCCGGTCCAGAATTCGAATCGTTAATCCGACCCCTTATCGGATCTCGCCTATCCGATAACGCTCGTCGGCGAACCCGTCCCCTCACGATAGAAGGCGCGCAGCACGTCCTCTCGCCGCGATTCTTGCGAGCGTCTAGACCACGTTACGGTCTATCCACTTGAGCGTATGGTTGAGATGTATACGCTCGACGAGAACCCCAATTAGCAGATACTATGACTTGTCGCGACAAAAAATAGTCGAGCATCTTCTGCACATCAGCAGCATCCCACCCCTGAGGACGAATTTAAGTGCCACATTACCACGCTTATCGGTAGTTCAGGCAGGGGTTGTAGCACAGACTTAGGGAGGGACAGGAGGTTTAGTAGTCGTTTGGCTACAAGTTTACCTGTATAACCGCCCGACGCGGCTTAAGGGCCCGCTATATCATCTATAGCCCCTTAAGGGAGTACTTGTAGAGGTACCGAGGGTTAACACCTACGGCGTATTTGAAAAAAATAAAAATAAAAATAAAGATAGGATAGGTTGAAGTTGGAAGTGTCGAAAAACTGGCTAAGTTGGTGAGCTTAAGCGAATCCGAAATAAATGGGGCATGGCACGGGTAGCCCACAGATGCCTGATTGTAGTAAAGCGGGTTAGTTAACGGTCTGATGAAAGCGCTAGACTTGCCGTTTGCACGGACTCGACAGCTCGGCGCCCTGTTGGGGGTTGAGCAAAGAGGTGACATGGGATGGCATATACTAGCGTTTGTGCCGCATATCCAATGAAAGTCTACTCGTGTATCTCGCACAAAGCGAAGTAAGGTTCTGGTTGATCTAGGATCACCGGGAAGTCCGGCAGGAGTTCCAGATATCTGGAACAGCAAAGCGCAACACAAGAACGGCACATGTAGACTGCTGGGTACGTGTAGCTTGCATGGTATGGCTCTTTGCTCCCTCTCTGCCTTGGCGTGGTAAATTTTTTTTCCAAACACTAGACGCTCGGCAGCTTTTCAGATTGCTCTTCCGATGAACCCCAAGTATTTAGTTCGGATGTTGTCATGTCATCCTGGAATTGCGCAGAATAGACGAAAATGATTCGTTTCATCTAACCTTTGCTGCTTCCCTCCTCCTACATGTTTCTGTCCCATTTCCATTTTTGGGACGCTGAAGAGGACAGTTGGAGCAACCAGGGCGGGCACGCCATCAGAGAAGTGCAGTGCTATAGTGGGAGATGTTTGGTGAGAGTGCGGGGTAACTTGGAATGCGCGAATTGGGAGGATGTTCATCTTTGAGCTAAGTTAGGAAATGATGAAGAAATGATGGAGAAATGATGGGATGAAACAAAATTGTGTTTTTCTTCATTGGACTATGGCATGAACCCCCACCCCCTGGCAATCAACTCGACTCGTCGAACGACGTTTCTCGCGTGAAGCCGATCGTCCAGGCCACGTCCGGGTGAGATACTGCCGATGCTTCGGAGAGTGGCCAATCAGGCATCACAGATTAAGGGGATGTACAATACTCCGCAGGCGGCAGTACGTAGATCCCCATCGGTGGTCATGTCCGATGTAGGTGATGGGATGGATCCCTGCTGCCGACCACGATACATGGTACGACAATGTGCAGTATACTTTACTTTGACTGCTGCGGTGCATGTACTTTTGACGATATTGGACTTCACAACGAGGCAGAATTGGCTGCTGCACATGGGCGAGACAGCAGCATGGCATGTTTGGCACTCGAAATGCAAACCATATTTGCTGCCACTGCTTCGGAAAGGCTGGATGTCCATTAATCAAGCTGCCCTGCGATATAGTTCAATCTTCTCAAAGTTCATTTGTATCGACATTACGACTTTCATTGCCGAACGGGATTGCGATGCACAGAAACACCACAACCCGGGGTTCCTGGCAGCGCATCCTCAACGAGGGTAAGGAGCCAGCCCAATCAACCCACCGCCAAAGCTCATGACGACACATCAGGGGTTTGCCAGGAAGAGCATGACTGGGGCAGGGCGACGATCCAAATTGATGTCATCTCCAAGAATTTCGTAGTTTTTCTCTAGTTTTTCTTGCGCCGATTTGTCGTGGAGCCCGTCAATTTCGTCAATGCCTAATTATTTTGGTCGTATTGGCTACCGGGGACATGCACGATGGCTCATCGAACTTCCATGAACCGGTTCCCCGATGCTGGGACTGGAATGGCGATGCGATTAATGTTCGTCCCAAGGGCACAAAGCCTGCATGCTATGTCGTGGAGCCTTGATGCAGGCTGAAGGGATCATCCCATTTGGAATAACGTGCAGAAAAGAACGTACCTCCCAAACTGTTGCCAAGACACTAGCTCTAGCGCCAACGACGATGAATTGACCGTTGTACTCCTGGGGCTTCAATGCGGTAGATGCAAAGGGTGGCTCTCCCGCTCATGAGCCGCCTTGCCTTGCTTTCAAGTCGTGTTGATCTTGGAAACAACAAATCAAAGTAACATCGGTTACCGGTGGGTGGGACCCACAGTACGACGCCCGCTCTTTACCCCTTGCCGACCTCCGTTTTTCCACTGTACTTTGGTACCTGACCAGCTTCATACACTGATCCGAGGAAAGCCCGGCGCCGAGAGTTTTTGGAGTGAGAACAAAATCACCACAACAGGCTCATTCCATGCAAAGCGTAGGTCTTTCACAGATCGACTGCTCGATTAAGCCTCCTCAACTGTTCGTTTGGGGTTCTTGTGTTTTTTTCTTTGCATTGTTACTTGTCGTGGTGGACAGGCATAGCCCCGTCCGTCGTCTCGCATTCGCCTACAATACTATTACTAAACCTGACCCATAGATAGATAGGTAGATAGACAGCATCCCATTTCTGGGCCGGGCGGAGTTCAAATATTGACTGGAGAACCAGACTACAGGCAATGACCCTTCAGCTGCCTTCCATTGCCTCATCAACAACCCGACACGAGCGCGTGAACACGAGGCGTTCTTACACGTCGTCTTTTTCTTTCCACCTCATCCGTGGTTCATCTCCGAACAAGGCTCATTACGTGGTAATTAACGTAGGGTGGCCATGACATATTACTGACACTGGAGCGTTATTATCATTGTTGTCGTAATCACCCATTCCCAACAAATAACCCAGTACCCAAGCCCCAACCCCTTGCGAAACGAGGTTTATAGTTAACCTAGTTAAGCTCAGGGCAATGTAACCCACGCCGTGACAGACGAAACTGAAATCTTGACGGATATAGGCCTGTCTAGGGTAGGGTAGTTAGTTTAGTTCTTATCGTTACCCATACTATACACCTAGTCAAACAACAGGATGGGCGAAAATGTGACCCCCTGATTTTTTTTCGGAAACACAAGAACGAGCTACTCTGAATGTGACGGATGGACCCCAGTCCCATTTCTGCGCCACGTTTCTGGCGCTCTTACCTGACGCAACGGTACGGGCGCAGCAGCTCCCTGCGAATATAGCTTGGTTTTGATATACAATAGATGCATGCATGGGGTGAGCAGGGGCTCCCGTGGGCTATGCATTCTCATCAAGGAGGCTTTGAGAAGTCGGTGGTGACGGCAAACATCGTGAAATGCCGCCTGTCTTGCAAGGGCTTGGGGCGGTGAGCTCTTTCGAGATATCGGCACCACACACGGTAGTTCACGGCAAGGAATCAAGATAAATGTTTTCATGGGGTTTAAATTCTCCAATTCTTTTTTGGACAACTAGTTGTAGTACTCCGCGTGGAATCAAGTCTTTTCAGAACTCATCATATGTGGTTGGCTTTTCCCCAAGCTGTTTTGCACAGCGTTTCGTACCCAATTCGTCTTCCCATCCGGCCCTGTTTTTACAGTTGCCAACGAAGATGCCGTTCTACACATTAGAAAATAAAAGAGAAAATAGATTGCGCCGTAGCGCCCCCAATATTCAAAGACTCGAGAGACTCCTAGGTTGGAGTTCATTCCCAATTTGTGATAACGCCAGTGTAAATGCTCTCGGTGATCCAGATACGCCTCCCGATTCAAAAAACACACGCGTCCATCCATGCAAAGCCATGCTGGTTCGGTTCAGTTCCCGTCCATCTTTTTTTCAAGCCTCCGAGAAAACTGGTCCGACGTAGCGTTCCTTTGTTCGGATTAGGGTATAATATAGTGTGTAGCGAGTGTCGGATCCTGATGCGACGGGCGGCCGTTAAAATCATACCACGAGGTATTATCGTCTTTCGTTCTCCCCCCCCTTGTCCTGATCCAATCCGCACCGGATTTAAGTTTCCGTCCGTAAAAAACGACAGTGGTGAAAGTTATGATTATTGTTCGGGGTCATGTTGCTCAGTGCAACGAAGAGCTGACCGACTCAAAGTTGTGGCAGCCACGTTCGTGTCTTTTCATGTTGCTTCGTACACTGAACGCCTTGCCACATCCAGAGTGAGGGCACTTGAACGGCTTCTCGCCAGTGTGGGAGTGGCTATGGATCCGCAGAGAGCTGGGTCTCGAGAAAGCCTTGTTGCAAGTCTGGCAGATGTAACGGTCTTGCGACTGCGGGAACGAGGCTGCCGATGATGGGGAGATATAATGGTGGTGTTGCCACGGGTTGGCGCCAGACGGGCCCATAGATACCGTCATGGGAAGAGGCGGGAATGCCTTTTGAAGATGTTAGTATTTGCAGTCCCAACTGGCTGTGAGAAGGGGGGTTGGGGGGTTGAGCGCATACCTGAGGCAAAGGTCTCTGGAAGTACAACCCAGAGATTTGCGATTGCGCCGGGGAGGGCTGCATAGGCGGGGGGTAGTAGGAGGCCATGGGAGGCTGGCTGATGTACGAAGCAGCTGGGTAAGTCTGTTGAGGGTAGACTCGCGGGGTGGCCATTTGCTGACGCTGCACATCGTTCTCCAACGGCGGCGTTGACTCGTAGTAGTAGCTTGGTGCAGAAGCTGCCGACGTTTGGCTCACCGACTTCATCGATGGCGAATTATATCCTCCCTCGAAAGAAGCGTCGGAGCTCATTGGTGGTGTGGGCGGCAGAGCTGACCGGTTGGGGCCGTTGCTCGCATAGTGAGAAGAGTTTGGTCTTGTCTCTGACTTGGTTGATTGTGCTGTGGGCCATACTGTCAGCCAACCCAGTGCAACTTACATGTAGGTTAGGGTACGTACCTTGTTGCTGCGACGCTGGCGAGCTCTCTGTCGTCGGCGATCCGGCGTCCGCCATTACCAACAAATTAGAGATGGAAGGCAATGAGCATCTCGAGGTTTCGTCCACTGGGGGCGACGGAGGCGGTTGTGGGTATCCGTACTGAGCACCAGGCTGAGTTGTGTATATAGTGGTTGACATTATGTGATGCGTATTAACGGCGTAGCAGGAGGGGCCGGGTCAGTATCTTAGGATGACAGTTTGGAGAGAAGGGAGGCGACCAATAGTATTATTAAATGTTGGTGGTTGACAATGAGGAGGGCGAATGAGCAATGTGGTGGGAGTGCTGACGCTTTAATAAGATATCACCAGTATCTTCGTGTATGGAGACTTGTGTGGATTCAGGAGATTGAAGATTGATGAGATGGGGGAGTGTGGGTACTTATGGTGGACGAGGATTGGTGATGTATCTCTCAGATCTCCCGGAGGTACATTGTCGACAAGACGATCAAGCGTCAACCCACTCGAAAATCCCTGGGCACCAGCTGTCACAAACTGTGTGTGGGTCAGCTCTTGGACGGAGCGGCAGAACTGGGATGAAATCACCTGTAGATCGTCGGTATTGGAGGTACTCCTGCGTCAACGGCAAGTGCATATAGCGCCGCCCATTATTGTCGAGCTCAGACTGCTGGTGCATCGGTGGGATCCTGACTGACGATACTGGTCAAGTCGATCCCTGCCTGCGAGTCCCGCAGCATGGGACATGGGCCACGGGCATGGGGCATGGGAGGAGGAGGAGGAGATACGTAGCTTTTGATGTGGGTGGCATGGAGGGATATTCTCATCAGACCAAACGGTGACTGGTTATGCAAGAAAATCATAGGCATGCGAGCCTGCGTGCGCGCGCTGTGCGCGAGCCTCCTAGTGGCCTCTGCGCCTCCGGGGGCCACTCCCCAGCACCCTGCCAGTCGAGGAGTCTTGACTAGCACAGCGTACGTTCCAGTGCTAGTCTCATGGCGTATCCCGGGACAGAGTTGCCTATTTAGGACATGAAGCCGCTCGGATAGCTTGTTGGTGATCCTGGCCTATGTCTCCATGTCTGGTGTTTTGGGACAAGGATCCTTGTCCCGTTTAGGAGACTTGAGACGATAATCGACTCGAGGCTCTCTCGGCCTGATCATGGTTGATGCTGCAACAGCTTCATCAATGCTACCTTGAGATCCTGCCCAGCAAGAGCTGTGACCGGAGCGTCCAGCTCATCTTATGCCGTTCATCCAACCCCACGAGCGCAGGGTCTCCCGGCCTAGACCTGTCATCCCAAACTTGCTGCAGCCGTTCTTCGGATGACTGGTGTCTCCGTTCCAGAATGTTTGGATGCGTTCAAGCCCATGCTGCAGATTGCCAGATAACTTAGATCCAAGGACCCAGAGATGTGTGAGATGCTCTTGGGTCTGGCTTGGTACTCGGCAGTAACGGATACACTCTTCAGATCAGAGCTTTGCAACAAGGAGAGCACTCGGCATTGATACTCGCCGCTATCGACGCCGTTGTAATGGGCCAGAGCCGCGTGGAAAGAAAACGTCAACATCGACAGACTCCGCCGTTTCCTACAATCCTTCGAATTATTAGGGAGTCAACGTCTATTCGCATTCAATAAGATTGATCCCGTATGCGCAATTCCACAAGACGAACTTGTTGATCTAGACAATGGAATAATCCGTTGCTGGTGGGGCCTGCCACAAATACATTTACATTGGTGAGATGCATGGGCCCTGTCAGATCTTGTCGACATACTCTGACAGGGGCTCGAGACAAAACACCCGGCACCAGCGCATCCGCAGAGAAGTCAAGTAAGTAAGCGTCTTGTAGCTGCCATCTCACATGATGCCATTGTTTTGTCCGGGCCAGACGGCACTGCCCCCTCTTCGTTCATGGAGTTGAGAACGTAGCAATCGATCTTGATGAAGTCGAGTCTATATCGAGACATAAAGTTTCGAGTTCATGGCCGAGATGATGATAGTCAAAAATCTTGCAAGCTCGTGACTCGTGGTCGGAGCCACGACGTTTCTTGAAGACGCCTTGGGGCTGGCCAGAAACAAAGGCTAATTTCATATGATCGTCAAGCTGGCGCCAGCAATCGGCTCGCTTGCGCAGGGTGGCTGACAAGGGTTCTACGAGTCCTGGTCTCTTGTCTCTACTCGAAGGGGTGCGTGATCGCCTGCTAGATGTCAAAGAAGAAGGGATCTTGAGCAGGGATGGACGGGACCCTGGGCCCCCAACTTTAGGGGATCCCCCAGGGACTCCTGACTGCCACGCGAAACACCTGAGAAGAAAGGGCATTGAAGGGCAAGTGGGCTTCCGAGAGATTCCTGGTGCAGGCCAAGCTGGGGTTCCAGTGTGGCAATTGGCACGCGGCAGTCGATAGATCTCGGGCGTCTGATCTGATGTCTGCATCGCGAGGTCGCGTGTCAGAAGTTCAAAAGAGCTGGCGGGCGAATGAAGAATTCAGCCCGGTTGCGTGCCGTGTGCGGCGTACCAGGAAGTCGGATGGAAGTGCGATCCCCCAAGCCCCGAAGCCACTGTAGCAGTATGGCGTACAGCTAGTAATGAGGGTGAACAAGCCAGATTCAATGTTGTTACGTTTGCCTTGGTACAGTCGCACAAATGGTCAACATTTGACGAAGACATAACATGCGAAGGCATTAAGCGGAAGCGAGAGAAGCTGCGAGCCACGTGCAGCTTAGCGTGGCGTTTTATTAGTTCGGTAACGGTTGCCTGGACCACTAGACAAACGCGAGAACCGCACCGGAACAAGCCAGAGCCACAACCAAAAGTTCCTCGTGGTAGTCGCAGGCAGGCGGCCGGCGGCTGGACGATCGCCAACGATGCAACTCGTCAGGCGGTGGTATTGGTGATGGCATCGTCAATTTGGTTGAGGGTGAAAAAGGTGTGTTGCATTCAAATTCATTCTGCGTCGTATTGTTAGCGCAACGGCAACAAAAAGAGCCCAATCGGAATCAGAATGCCAGCACTATGTCGTTTGGCAGCCAATGGCCAGCTGTCTTTCAACCCACTCGTCTGGCACCAGTACACGTTTTCCCCACGACTTGGATCCCTGATGCTCTCTCTTTTCGATCTAGCTATCTCATCCACCACCCGACCACCACCAACGCTATGTTTCCTGCATAGTACACAGTCTCTAAGAGGATGGTCTCATTCATCCCTTTCTAGGCTTTTGGATTCGTGTTCGTCACATTCACAAACCTCGTAGAGCGCTGTCGAGGTTGGCGTTCATCAATACTCGTCCAAGGCGTCGCGCTGCTGTCTCCGTGGCTTGCCCCCATGTCCTGGACGGGATAGCATTTCATGGGGCGTCAGCCGTTGAGATGAAGACAAGCCGCAGTGTGTAAGTTGGCAACGCCTTGGGGTTTCTTTTCTTTTTGGCAGTAGCTGCGTCATTCATCAGAATATCGTATCTCCCATCCAAGAACGGTGGTACTTCGGAGGCTCTTTTTGATTACTTACCATTGTGGCCCTAGACCATGGTACTGTCACCCTACACGAGCAAATGGTACATGATAATTCGACGACCGATGCACCTCTGTACGGTCCGCTGAAGAACTGGGGTTTGATTTCGTCTAAGCGCGGCAACACCGCCGTTGTCCAGCCCAGTGTCCTCTGTCGTCCCTCCCACGCGCTATACAGTGCCAGACCCACGCACACATACACATTAAACACATTATAGAGCTTCGTACAATAACCCTTCCAATCCACTCACTCTATACCCTAGCCTTAACCCGAAGCCCGACTAACCTCTAACCCCTAACCTGTATTTTTTTTTGAAAAGAACGAATATGTCTAGCGCCCCGGAGCGACGACAGAAAACTGGGCTGGGTAACGGAGGTGGGCGTCTAAGCGATGGGCGCTAATGCGGCGTGATGCTGATCCTTTTCCATGTAACCCACCGCCTCAAGCCCTGGAAGCCATGCCGGGAGTCGATCTCCTTCCAGTATCCTAGCTCTCCCACGCCTCGGGGTTTGGGGGTTTTTCTTAAAACATAAGATGCACATATTACAAGATTGCGAAAGATGCAATGGAGTCCAGTTCGTATGAACCGCGATAAAACTCTGGTAGAGACCTCATTCTTCTGCTACAGTGAAACAACGCAATTAAATTCGGGTCACGTAATTGGTCTTCAGAGCTGGGGAAGGTCATGGCGTTATGTTACAGAGATTGACACCTGACACCAAGGTCAACCTAACATGGCGGTATTATAGCATCCGAGGGCGCGACTATGCATAATGCACCATGTTATCAACTTGGCAAGGTCCAAATAATGTTTCTGCTCGGGTCGGATACTTTCTTGAGCTCGAATTCGCGCATGACCTCCCTGAAGCCATGTCTGTTGCGGACACATATCCCCCCTGGGCTTATTGCGCGCTTCATATGCAACGGCTGCCATCATGCCGCTTGTCAATGCCGCTGATCAGCAGTTGGAATGCATCTCGAATCCCACCCTCTGCGTCATGCTCGATGGTTCCTAGGGGCTCACGTGCAGTGTCTCCTGTCGGTTGGGGACTGGCCAGCCAGTCGTGCCGGTCAATGGGGGAATACCACATGGCATGACAGCGCATAGTGTAACCTTCAATCAGCCCTACTATTCTCGTCCGGGACGGTGGACTGGTATGCCGGTGGTGGCGTAAAAACCGATTGGCAATACATTTCTTTTGTTACCTTGACGAACGGTCACACCCAGGGATGAATTGATTAGGGAGACTAAGATTGCATTGCGCGCGAAACTAAATCTCATAACTGGCCGAGATATTTGGAGAATAACTCAAAGCCTTGTCAAGGTCAATGATGCCCGACGAACATGTGAATCAATGGGTTATTGTTCATTTGCATGTAGGCTGTTTACAGGAGTGAGTCCGACATGGTTAAGTTCCAAGCGCCAATGAGCATTTGAACCAGAAGTTAAGCTAGTGGATCGCAACGGGAAACTTGCAAAATTGGTATAGTCAGCACACGCATGGCGTCGATCACTAGCTGGAGAAATAAAGGAACAACCCGACACATCATCGATACTCCCAAGTATTAGAAAAAGCGAGCTAAATTATAGTGGACTCGCTCAGCTTCCGCATGGCCCAGTGACGAGGCCTCGCTGACCGAGCCGATGTTCGTCCCATGACTCCTCCCAGAATTGTGGAAGAGAGATCTAATTATGTAAAGATAGATCAAGTTGCTTGAGTGGGGTCGTGTTCCTACATCAACTAATATAAACCCATGCTCATGATCGCGTGATAAAGTTGTGCAATTTCAGGGATCGACCATGTAAGTGAAGCCATACCGCAAGATTCAAGCGACGCACTTGCTTCGTCGGGCCCACAAACTACTTATTAGTATCGCCATATATGGATACGTTAAAGGAGCGAATCTCCTGTGAAAATGCATCAACATTGGTGCCAGTTGAGAAGAGACTGATACAGTGAAGAAATCGGGGTTGTATATGTCGAGTCTTGGCTCTTTAATTTCCCTGCTTTTTACATGACAAGGCCCTGCTACCGATTACGGGTGTAGGCCTCACAGTAGTGGATTGCAAGTTGAGAGCAACAAGTTGAAGCAAGGCAACACCCCTCGAAGCTCCGGCTTTCGGTCTATTATTCAACGACACGATGTCACGAACCTGGACGCCGGGCCCCATAGACCATGCTTCTAAGCGCAACACTGGTCTGAAAGCCTAGCTGCCCAGTTCGCTCTCTGAACTCTTCAGGTCACAGCGGCTTTTCACCCGTCGTCGCTCGCGCATTCGATCCTGCATTATAGTACGACGTCGTCATAAAAACTGCAGCCATCCCATATTAGCAACTGCATCATTGTGCTTTCCAATCCACACGACAGCTGTGCTCATACCTACGGGCGGCATGCAGGTATGAGGTTGGACAAAACGATCAAATCTTATGGTTCTCCGAAGGTTGTCTGCAGGATAGGGCGCTCACAGACCAGCTCGCATCCGACGTTGCCCACACTACCATGGTCTGTCCATCCGTCGTGCACGAGTTAGTAATATTGGCTGGCTATCGATAACCTTGTCATCGCAAAATCGTCCTTCCATGATTCAGTGCAAGACTGCGAGTACAAGTCTCTGTAGGTATTATCGCTGTGAAGATAATGGATCGTCGAGCTGTGCCTCAATTCTGAACGCTGCCTTGCAAACCCCTGACCATGTGATCAGCGCATTTGCTGGGGTCACTTTTTGTTTTCTGACAAGCTACGTGTAGACTCCGCCATTTATTGCGTTCGAAAGCGCCACACGTCGTTTCTGGTTTCCCCTTTAACCGTCATAGTGGTCTGACTATCTAGATCTCGAACGAAATGGGTTCGACACGAGGAACGATAAACGTTATCATTCATCACATCGGAACATTATCACGCTGGGGCGTAGCTTACGACGATCAGCACTGTTGTAGATTTCTTTTCTTAGTGGCTATTCGTCAGCATATGTATCAAGTTGCGAGTTGGTGAATACCTGCACCTGGGACTACTGTCTTCCATTCACGATGCCTGCGCACAGTCAAGTAAAAGACCGGCTTCCTTCTACCGGGTTGCATCCCGAGCCGCTAACGATTGGTTTTGAACCTACAACCATCTTGTCGAAGTTTGGCGCAAAAGCATCGATGCCCATCGGGATGCCCGTCCGCCCCCCATTCAATCCCCATTAAAAAGACGCCATAAAATACCAGCCAACTTTCTTCCTTTTTTCGTTTGATCTAGCCAAACTCAAAATGACAATCATCAGGGATTTCGGAGTGTTCGGCATGTACGGCTGTCGCGTTGCCATACAAGAAGCCGTCCATATTGCGCGGGGCCAAACAAAGAGGGACAAAACGCCAGCGCAGCTCAAAATGGCTAGAGGACCGTTGACGGGACGAGGGTCATGCTTGGAGCCACGCCTATTAAGGTAAGATGAGAAACGGCCGCCAGCGCGGGAAAGGGATGGCCCCTGATTGGCCACGCAAACCTATAATTTCGCTCTTATACCTAGTTCTATCATCTTCGCCGACTCCGCACATGCATTAGTCGCAGCTGGAGACCAAGAAGAAGAAGTCCTGGGGAAAGTGTGAATTCCGTTCAGATTTGGACGTATCCCAAAGCCATATGTAACACATGCGTATTGGTATTACAAAACGAAAGTAGTATTGGAAACGCATCGACAATCCCGACTATGTACGTAGCCGTTGTGACAGCGGCAAGCCATATATCCGGATTGCGCTCGAGCCGAATTCGAGATCCGATACAGCGGTCCATATCCAGTGCTACCTTGCTGATGCGAAGGATGCACATTGCCGATCCACCTGAGGGAAAATCGGTAGAAACATGGTTCTCTGCCTGTCTGTCGTCAACTAAGTTCCCAGCGATGTAACCAGCAGAGACGTATTCAAAACCAACGCCATAGCCTGGAGCGCCTTCTATGTTTCATCGCATTGCATAAGGATCCTGCCCGTCTTATAACTCCTATTACGAATCCTGTGAGCCTGACAACGCATATTCACACCCACCCATCAGGGAACATGGTGGTGCCCTAAGCTCAATTCATCAGCCTCCATTGTTCTCCAGAGCTTCGGGCCTTCTTTGTAACCATCGACATCTGTATGTCTCCGTGTGCATTGTGGTCGACCGACAAGCTTCATCAGCCCTTTGACCCAAACGCCCTTCGTTGTGCGTCATCGCGAGTGGGGAAGATAGGAGGAGGAAGGTGAAGATGGCTTGATAAAAAACCTGCTACTTACTACCCCTGTTCAATGATCCTCGATTTCCATCCAAACCTTTGGATTCGCGATGTGACAAGCTACCAAACCCGTGCCCCCTTCCCCGCCGGAGCTCTGGGCTTCTCACGAGTCATGATTGGTGATTGGCGGCAGGGTTTGTTTGGAAGGAGAGTGAACAAAATGAATTGCCCAACAGATTTGTCGGGGGTTTCATCGAGATCCTACGGGGTCCATCGGTTTGCCGTCCCTGGGGAAGACCTATCCCCATGCTCATGACTCCTACGCAACAGTCCAAAACAATTGTACGGCATCGGGTAGAATAGGAAATCGTCTCTCGTCTGTGAAATATGCACATTGTGGTTGGCTCGCTGGCGAGAAAGACGATCTGTCGCAATTCTGCGCAGGTTTCTTTGCCTATCCCCGAATCCCGAAGCGGTCGTCACAACGCGAATAAAAACGTCTCCTGTGTCGTTTAAAATGGACCCGGCCTAGATCCTCCCTCTGGTTCACCGAGAGCATGGATCTGGGAGATCACCCGAGATGGTGGTCAGACGGCACTGTGCCGCCTTTCATTGACTGGATGGACCAAACTTATCACTCACGTCAATACAATGTATATCATTAAAAATATCAGACCAAAGTGACATCGCTCGTCGGCTTGCCCTTCGACAACCCGATATTGTATATTACATATATTGTTACCGAAATGTGCTGTCATTGAGCAGTCGTCAAGTTGTCTCATTTCCACTAGCAAGATTTCTGTCCCACATGCGTCACAGACATGGTAATCAACTTGAAGATCACGATGGAACGCCCCTTACCTGTAAAGGATGAGGGACTAGTAGTGTGTAAGTGGCTCGTGTAAATGACTCGAAAAAATGAAGATGATAATTTATCAGGCACTGTACCTCTGTGCATTACTACATGGCGCCCACGGTAATGGAGGACCCAACGACAAACTCGCGGCAGTATCCCTGACCCGCACCTGCCCAATCGGTGCTGTGATATGCTCCCAGGAGATACCCAATGGCGAGATTAATTAGCGGCTGCAACTGCGAGATTCCGGGACTACGGTTGGGGCTAGGGCCCGAGATCGACAGACAGCTTGAGAGCCTTTCGTGTCTTTGTAACAAGTCAAGTGCTGATGGAGGCTCGCGGCTTCGGCAATTCATTCTTTTTTTCCTCCTTGGCCCAAGTACAAAAGTAGAGAAATAAACATACGTACGTAGTCGGTCATGTGCGAGTGCCATGGCTTCCGTCCATCGCGGCAAGGTATCCTAGGTTGGTTGTTCAGAAGCAAACAGCAGCCTCAAAAGCCACCACGAGTATATTTCCCGAAAGAGAAAGATGTCGGGGGGAATGTTCGCCCATATGCGCTTGTAGAAATCAAGACATGGCTGACTCGGGCCCCTATCCTGTCACATCCGCAATAACTCAACGGCCGCCAACAGCTAGCGATATTCACGTGGCTTGCGACAAGGCGTCGAGGCGTTTTTCCAGTGCGTCGGTTTTGCATAACCTATCTAGCCTGTAGTCTCTCAGTCGGGAGAGACTAAAAGGTACTGTACTATGTAGCAAGTCAATCCACCACCGAGTTGTGCAGAAGAAGGGTTCGCACTGCCGAAACATACACTTTTTGCCATGCCTTGTAGTTGCTTCTTCAAAGCGCGTGGCAACCCGTCTCCCTGCTGCCCGAAGACAACAACAGCGTAACATTGTGTGACTGTGCACTTGCAAGACAAGCTACGACACCTCTCATGTCATCCCACGCCTGATGGCTGACATTTCTCCTTCGTCTTCCTCATCCGTTTGCCCGTGGTGACACTGGAGTCCCACGGTCTGACTCTGCTCCACCAGACCGCTTGCAATAAGAAAAGGAACTACTGTGTTACCAGGAAGCTATCAAAGCGAGAACCGCAGCCGCAACGGACCCCGCCCTCTTCCTCCCCAATGCCTTTGCATCAGTAGTGAAATCTGGGGCTACCACGACTTATGCCCTCCTCACTAATTAATAATGTCTGACCATGAGTTGTTAGCGTGCGAAAGAGTGTAACAGCAACCACCCCCCCGCGGCTGACGTGTCACAGAAGCGGACATACAGCCACATAGCACCCGCAGCGCCGCTACTGCTGTAGCAAGCACATCATCACATCGGGTGCATCTCAAATAATGGGTTTGCCGTAAAGTGAGCAAGAATCCTCCTGTATGCAGGTGTCCTTGTCCCCAACATGGGGTGTGGGGGGAGGTTATTTTTCTATAGAAGAGAGCAAGTATTGCGTACCTATGCCAACTTAGTCGCGAGTCACTGTTGCGTCTTGAGGACATGAGGAGATGTACTATGCATATACATACAAAATCAATAGCTTGCGTATAATAAATTGTTCTGGGGCGAGCCCGTCCCCAGCCCCATCCCACGCCCGCTCCCGTGATTGGCAAGCGCCCGATGCGATCGTCACCCGTCATTTGGGCCGTCGGGACGAAGTTTATTTCCTTCCCAACCGTATTCTTGGGCTTTTCCCTGAGTTGGATTGAATCGGCAAGGTTCGCGAAGTGGGTGCGGGCAGAGAAGCTGACAAAGTGACATAAATACACAATGTTTGCTTCGTGGCAATCACCCTTGATACCATCACATTCCTTCTCCTCGTGCTACACAATTTTCGAAGGCTGACAATGATCATTAAATGAATGCTACCGGGGAACTTGCAAGGTCCAAGAGTTCTATGTTGCATGAAACCCATTCTCGGCACATGAAGAGGCTTTGGTGGATACCTGTCATTTTCATGAGCGTACGAAGAAGGTTTTGGATCCATTCCTTGAATCCACTATCGTGGCCAACCGGCCTAGGACTTCCACCCTTTCAGAAGTGGAAACGAGGGTTTATACGAAAGCGTCCCGTTTCAGCAAGTTCCATCTGCATGAACGGAGAGGGGCTCACGATTCGAGAGGGTGTTGGAATAAAAGTGTGACCCGCCATAGCCTCTCTGTAAATACCATCATAGTAGGATGTCTTTCAAGCTGAATCACCATAGCTTAGATTATTCTGAGACCCGAGACCGAGGCCAAGCCTTGTGTAGTAGTTGCGTCGATGCAAATAGCCTCGGAATGACACCCGGTTGTCGTTATCCATCTCAAATAGTTGGAGGACAGCTTGGTGGTGTTGATGTTTTACAAGAGATTGCAAAGTGAACAGCGCACTAAATAGGATGTCTCAGTAATGTAGGGTACAGAGAGGCATAGCTACTGGTATGCTCTGGTAATCCCACCTGAACACCCTATTGACTATGTTTATTTCTTACCGTGGCACTCGGATGTAGAGTAAAATGCGGAACGACTTTGAAGATTGGATTCCCCCAGTGTATCTGTACATCTCCCTACCTTCCTCAGCAACAACGTAGTCGATCTATCCTCACTTGATCAAAATCACTTATCAAAGGAGATTAAAGAAAGTTGTCTTACTTACCACTTATGGAAAATTAGATGGAAGGAGCTATGAGAATGTCGAAGTTACGATTTGTTGAAGTTTCCGAAGCGAAGTTCCCAATTATGGTCCAAGACGTAGGCATTCTTTCGTTGCTCATCTCCCATAAGTAAATACGCCTTGTGCACCCCCAGTTCTTCGTCCTTCTTCGACCATAAGAACGGCAGCCGCCGTTTCGCCTACATCTAGTTTATATATTCTTTGAAACAACCAGCCGGTCGAGACTCAATGAAAACAGCTCACATACTCGAGTAAGTATCGACATGACATGGGGCTTCCATTGCCAAAAACTTAGGCAGACGATCACTGACTGTCATCACCACGACACGATTCCGTCTGATGGCATCTTCTTCAGCGCCTACCCCAAGCTACAAGCTGCACGAGACAATGAGACCGAAGCGGTCATGTAACAAAGCCCTTTGCCAACGGCGTTGTGCGTGGCGTCCATGTCAAATGTATTCATTGGGTCTTCGACAGTAGCTATGAGGAAGAATTGTAATGGCTGCTTGGCAGAAGTTGGCAAGGCTTGGTTTGAATAGAGAACAGCAAGTTTAAGCAGAGCTGGAGGTGAAATGTAAAGAATATTGGCACAAGCTAAATCCAAATAAGAGAGACAGTGAGCTTGTTGGGCCATTATCTACTAAAGTATTAATCAAGTGAGTATGTACAAACAAACCCTATTGGCTTCATCAAACCATGAGCATGAACACAGTCGAGTCTCCGCCCCAGCCAGCAAGTGTTGCACTGAGTCAACCAACAAGGCACCAACAAACCATTGCAGTGTACAAAGGCATCGCGTTCCGTGGCGAGTAGTGATCAACCGCCAAATCGTATCGCCAAAGACTTTTCCAGCGTATCCACCATGCCAAGGCGCCGTTGTGGTCAATGCTTTCAAACCTCCCGAGTTCGTTGTAAGATACCCAGCTTTAGTTTGGGTCAATAACTTCGACCCAGTTATTCTCCAACTGACGTCTCTCAAATCTGATCACCGCCTGCTGCCGCAGGACATCCTCTGAGTCCAGCTTGTCCGCCGCAGCCGTAGCCGTCTCCTTTATCTGATTACGAACCGCGCTCATGAGTATCTTATACCAGCCCTTGTGGGCTGTGCAACGCTTCTTCTCGCACATTCCGCGTGTGGCAGGTTCGCCATCGCCGGGTTCAATAGGAGTGTCGAGCTTGCCGACCGTGAATGTGGCTTGGCCTTCGGGAGAGTCGAGCCAGGCGGCAAAGGCGTGGCGGACCGAAACGTCGTCCAAGCGGTAGTCATAACCGCAGCCATCTTTGGTCATTTTCTCCTTCTCAATGGCAGTCAGGCGTCGGTGGTTGGCCCAGTCTAGGAGTTGTATCATCTTCTTGTACATGACGATCTCGTTGCCAAGGGCCAGGCGCTCAGCAGCTGAGTTCTGCAGAAAGGCCTGCTCTTCATCGCTGAGAACGCCAGGACGGGTTGGCAAGCCGTTTGCCCACAGACCCTCGATCTTTCCTAGATGGAATGTTAGCTTTGGAGTCAGGTAACAAGTCATGTTGACATACCGAAAGGCTCATCACCCAGTTTCCAACCACCCTGATCAGCAGTAGCAGCCAGTAGACCCATGAAGTCCTCCTGGGTGAGAACCTCGACGGCCTTTTGGGATGCTGCTTTCGTGGGCAGGGTGTTGATCATAGAACCCCACCAAGTATCGCAGTGATCATTGCAGCAGAACACGGACTTGTCCTTCTTACCGTACAAGCGAGCCGGATTGGTGCAACCATCAAGCGAACACGTCTTCTTATATTTGGTGTAGTTGTCTATGCCATCGGTGCATCTAGGGCAGACAAATCGTTCTATGAGTTTCTCGCCCAGCTCTTTGTCGATGTGGATGCATTCGCCATGAAACCAGTCTTCACAGACGTCACAGCCTATCATCCACCTATGGTCGTCTGGGCCACGGCAAATACAATAGGGGCCGCTATCGACCTCATCATCAGAGCTGCTCTCCTCGGAATTTGGGGCTTCTCCGGCGCCAGCTCCCTTCTTGGCGCCCTTGGTTTTCATTGATTTAGGTCTCTTGGGACCCTTCTTGGTCGCTGCCGTACCCTTTTTCTTAGGGGGTCCTCTCTTCACGGCCATCTTGCTAGACCCAGTTGGCGATGATGAGGGTGGGATGGTTTGGTCTGGGTCTGGCTTGACTTCGAAAGTGAGAGATGCATGCGCGCCAGCGGATGGCTGCTCAACCGAGTTTAGTATATGCCCATTATCGCCCGAACCATTGCCGCCTGTGCCTGACGCCGCATCTGTCATTTCCATATCGAGGCGACCACCATTTCCAACATGACTAGAATCCGCCATCACGATACTCCAGTAAGTGCTTCAATTGTCGTGAAACCCCACCAAGCCCCTTTTTCTGAACTGAGCCCTTCTTTGGCTTCCTCTTCGGTCTTTCATTCAAGGTGATAGATATCCACCGCATGTCATGATGAGTGGCTCATTCCACGCAGGGACCAGAAGCTGTTAATCAGATGCTGGCTGGTTTGTTCTTGGCATAAACAGTTCAGTTTCTCTTCGTGGCTGAAGGGAATAGTCCAGGTCACCTTGAGAACCTCCGATGGTACTGGAGAAAATGTCCTTCATCAATGGACGGGAAAGAATGCCGCGGCCCCACCACGCTAGCAAGGCAAATTAGGTTATCGATAGCGATAAGCGAGAAAGACTCCCTGCAAGTGTGCAACAACAATCGTACCATCCTAAGAAACAGAATAATCAAAGAATAAGATTGCGATGCTACTTCAATTTCTTCCAGTTAAATTTATGAGACGAGCCAATGCGTGGGCTACATGTAAGGTGATCTTCATTGTGACTTGTTTGGTCATTCCCACTCTCACTGTAGCATACAGGATTCAAAAACACATACATTCGGGCTCCAACCAGAGGAGTTCCCTGAGTAAGTCGCACTTGGACCTGTGTAGAAAATAGAGTGCCGATGATGGGAATAGCATCAACCTTCTATCATCTAAATAGTATGAAGTAATGACTCGCAACTCTGAAAAGTGGCCCCCTTAAAACCTCTTCACCGTGTGTGTCCGAAACAGAACAGAGGCCCCATGATTCGAGCCTGCCTCGCTTTAGCTCGGGACGTTCCCAAATTAGTATACGCTTACACCTTGAAGTTCATGTTTTGTCGACATATTCGTACTAAGAAAAATCGCGAAGTCGGGCCAAGTAAATCCTGCCTTCGAGAATGCTACCCTATGTTACTGCCCGTTTAATCACCCTTCACTGGCTAAAGTCATTGTTTCACGTATTGTAAGTGAGCAAATACCTACTAGCTATCCATATCATCGACCGGAGTGCTGATCAGTATCCCGTGCATCCTCAGAAATTCTACTGGTGGCTGTCTGGATGTCATTGACAAAGACTGAGACGTTCGAAGTTAGTTGGGCACAGTGGGAATCACAACTGAACCTGACCGAAGCTTCATTGCATTTGCCGATATAGTACCTCGTGCGCTGCGACTTCCGTTTTGTCCCTTCAACTCTGGAAAAGACCTATTACTAGCATTCAAGTCTTGACTCCAAACACCCTCCTCTCTGGTAAACGTCAGTCGCAGCATTCCCCAACATCTGCCAACATCTGAGGCAACCACCGTGGCTTCGATCGCGCTAATGCAGAGTCCAACCAGCAAAGAGCACCCCTCTGATACGAAAGAACCTAGAGATAGAGAGAAAAAACCAGACGGCACAATGTTGCATCTATTGGATCTCCCCCGTGAGGTCCGCAACGAGATCTGGCAATACTACATCCTCCTCGTCAATGGCGAAATCAAACCACTCTTCGATACCAATAAGCAACTCCGCGAGGAGCTCCTCCTCGCCGGTGTCACCACCCAAGGGTGCATAGTGTTCATCGAGGGCCACGATTACTGCAGGACCATCACGGTGCGGATTCCGACCCGCCGGGAACTCCGAGAGAGCGCCCACCCATTGCACGGAGTCCAGGAGATGCCCGTCTCCATCGCGGACGTGTCGACGCTCCGGGCCGGCGACTTCCTGGAGACCCTGGCCCAGAAGATCAAAATGGCGTATGTGTGTTTCGGTGGGCCAAATGTTGATATTCCCACTATCGGCAGGGCGTGCGCGGTTAGGCTCATCGAGACACTGCAAGCGACAAGGCGCGGTAGCCCCTTTTCGGTGTATTGGTCCTATGGCGAGGGGGGGTCGTGGGTTGGGAGGAAGAGGTTGAAACCGCGCGAGCATAGTGTCCAGTACAAGGAAGGAGGTTATCTCGATATCGAGTGGAATGCCATACATAAGCCGGGGTATCGAAAGGGGTTGAATACCCAATGGTGGTAGCGGGAGGAGTCTATTCGTCATGGCTGCATTCTTTATGGCTGCATTCGTTGCATTATCCTAACTTACCTACGAACCTAGACAATAACAACTAGGAATTACAATTACAATGAAGGAAGACATATCTACTACCCCTCCTACTCATGATTTTAAAACACCGATGACCAATAAATCCATCATCGACGCGAGCCTCCAATAATACCTGGTGGCTTTGATTGGCACTTTCCCCAGCACTTTTCCCATGGTAAGATTTCCTTCCAGGTAATGCATAAGCCAATCGACCCATTTTTGAAACATTATACTGGCCTAACAGAATTACCAGTATTACCGCGACTGACTGCTCTGAAATAATCCCTAATCCCTCACCTAGACTAGGTGACTGCCGCACTTTCCAACTCGCAACTCAATATTAGCCATCCAGCAGGCATCTGTACTGGAAAAGAGGACCGCCACATGTGCAATTCCGGGTTCATACCATTCAGGTTCAGATTAAATCTGGGCTAGGAATTCGAACCCGCCAGTTGTAAAGCTCTTGCTCTTCATATAATTTTGACTCCATGAGAGGTGAAGAAACAAGCAAAACATCCACCCTTGAGCTCTTACCCTTCAATCATCTGACTCGCATCCCCTAGGCAAGAACCATAACAGCTACTTGCTCCGGTTCAACCTCACCTTCCCTCCCTGTCAAGCCCTGCCCAGCAGACCTCCATGATCAATCCTGTCTGCTCGAGGTTCAAGATACCATAGCTCAGAGAGCACCCTCAACCCCCCTTGAGCTGCACAAGCTGATGTTGTCCTTCGATAAGAGCAGGGATTATCTCTACGGTAATTTTGAGGAGATTAAGAACATAGGACCGCCTTTCGAAGAGACTGACAAGGACATGGAGTACCGGAAATACTGAGAGCGCAGGGCCAAGGAAGAGAAAAAGGCCCAGGAGAAGGTTGGGGCTTACAATTCCAGCTGTGGTGATTCACAGCAAGCCACCCAGAAAGCCAATACCTCTAGGAACACCTGAAAACAGATTATACCAGTTCAATAAAAGGCGTCCCAAAATGGAGATGACAATACGACAGCAAGCCGAGGGGGTCCATCCATCAAGTCCGAAGACCAAAGTTCTGCCCCTGAACCCGCCCTCCATTGAAGTTGCTACCACCAAGGCTGTCAGTTCTAGCTCTAATCGCCGCGATCTTGTATCTTCCGCTTCGACACTGTTTGACTCGCAGCTGCGGTTCTCTCCAGTGTCTCGCACGAGAGATTTGCCGCTGAAAATTGGCTATCCTAAAGACGCTGGCCCCAAGACTGCTGTCCTCAAGCTGAACGACCTAATCAAGCAGAGGAAACCATTTAACGGCCCATCTGTCTTTGATTTGTGGAAGCTGGCCAAATAAGTCATCTGAAGACACCGCCCGTCCCTATTCAAGGTCTGGCTTCTGGAGTGAAGCGACCTCGAGATGACACCAACAATGATGATTCTCCTGAACCTTCAACCAAAGACAGCAAGCCAGAAGAGCCTCGAAAGCGGGTGAAGCCGAGCATTCCTGAGTCGCCTCAGAGATAAAGCCAGCTTATTCAAGCAGGGTCACTGCAGTCAAGGATAAAAACAACACTGCGACTTGGACTGCACCCTGGACGAAAGTCAAGAACGAACCTAAGACTAAGGCTGAGCCTACCAAGACTATAACTCAGATGAAGTTCGAAAGGGGCCAGTGAAAATTAGTAGGGTTTTTCTTATAAGAGCTGAACTGTAGCATTTTTCTGGCAACATGGTACTTGACTTGATCGATGACCAGCTTTGCGTCGATGCTGGTCTTGAGGTGAGAAATTAATTGAGACATCGCGGGGTTTCACCTACCAGAATTGACGAATATCAGAATGATGCAGTGCTTTTACTAATAGGTGCCTACTTAATCTAGGGGCCTCCTGGGGAGATAGGGAGTGCCGGAGCTGAGTGCGCGTGGTTTTAGCAGAGCAATCATTGATATCGTACAGAAGAATGTGTTTTATCATCACTAACTTGATTTTCTGCCTTTCAAGCCATTTAGATGCGCAACATGTCATTCTGATGTTTCAGTAAGATATGCTGCGGAAGACGGACGGGTCTTTTGCCTTATACAAGCCAATTGATGTGAATTTGCCATATTTCTCCACGACGAATGGTTCCCCATGCACCATTTTGATCCCTCTATAGACGATTCCCGTTTGGCAACTACTGAAACATGCAGGTCATGTATCTGCCACTCTTGGCTCGTAGGCAGTACCGACATGAACATACTGACCTGCCTGCTTCTGCGATCATCGGTATCAGTTATTGCAACCATTTCCCTGGCTTGATTACTTTGTCGTATTATACGCGCAAGTTTTCTGAGTTTCGACCTGGTCGTGTACCATACCCTTTGTCAACGTCAAGACGACAATTTTTTCCATATACAAAATTCTCGAATACGGTATCCCTCATAATGGGTGACTATTAATGAACCTGTTCGAATTCATACATTTTCCTTTGCTGTTCTCTCGTGTGTGCTTCGAACCAGCGGGTGGGGATGCGAAGGCCTGGCTCCCAATACTCCTGAGCTCTTGGACCTGTGCCACTCCTTCTTGTCTTCGTAGCTGACATATACTATGGGAAGGTCAAACAGAAAGTTCAAGCTTTTACTGTAGCGTGCCCCTGCCCGGAGAGGACATATAGACTCTGATTTACCGGGTACCTGATGAAATAGGGGGTCCCATCAGCCTACAAGTTCCTACAGCAAGACAGTATTCACGCTCCTGACAGCAGCCGTAGGCCTACCACCAAACCCATGACCCCTCCGCTTTGTGCTGTGCTCAAATACATCAAGCACCGTACCTGCCCCCTTCGTATTTGCATGCCAAAATCCCATGCCCAAGCAACTGAGGATCTTTGACGCGTCCAGCAACGCGTGTCGTTATTATGTACCACGACTCCCTCCGTCACCTGTGCAAATCAACCATTAGACACAGTCCGACTTCCTCACTTCGCCGCCACTTCCCTTGACCCCGTTTTCACATTTGATACCATGCCTTTGAAGATATTCTGCAAGTTCAACCACCAAATTTGTGACTGATTGCTTGTAAGCCAACTGGTGCAGCCGTAAATAACTTGTGCACCTCAGGTACCACATCATGACCCGGCTTTCCCTCTTCTGTGACTGCAGTTGTAAGCAACGTCTGCACGGAAACCACCATATTGCCGAATATTATTGTCGCGTCTTCTGGGTACCAAACACTGTATTCGTAAGAAGAGCCTTTGCTCCAATCATTGCTCGCGTTGCTGAGCATGCCAAACGATTACTTCCACATGCAGAGACCTTTTACCAACTCTTCCACCTCTTGAAGACCATTTCGGTCTTGAGCAGGTGCCCGATCCTCAATTTCTACCAAACCAGCACGCTCCAGGTTTGCCCACGACGACTCCATTCCTCCCAACTCTAGCATTGTCCAGCGGCATCTCTGCGGCTGGTCCCGGTTAGTCTTCATCCACGCCTCTTCTCCGTCGATCTCTAACACAACCTGACTTCTTGGCCAACCACAGCCTCATTCCAACTACCACTGCTAACTGTAATCCGGGAACGTTTTGACGGCCAGGATAGGTGAGCGCCCATCTTCATCTTTCATTTTGTCTATGGCAAGCCCTCCAACTCCTTCATATTTACCTACAATCTCTTTCTTCTCAACGCCTTTGCCTACCATTCATTGACGTCGCTGCCGTTTTTCAGAATTGCCCTTACCAGGTAATGATGTGCTTCATCCTCATCTTCTCCTCAGTGTGCACCCGCGCACTTCAATTCCCCTACAGCCATCCTTTGTCTCCAAAGTCCTGTTCCAGTTGTTATTAATGATCGCATAGTCACGTCGCTTCCATCACTTGATACGGATCTTGATCTAGGTAATTTCCTGCCAACTTCTATCCCCTTCTCTATCGCCCATCAGCACATCCCACTCTCCCGATGCTACCTACAGTCTCACTGTCCCCGTTTGCCAGTAATTATCTCCCAGTGACGTTGTTGCCACCATGAGAACAAATCCATACAGGTTGCTAGCAGTCTGCCCGACCGTTGTTTTCTTCTTCGTCACACCGGCACATCCCATTGTTCCCTCTCCGCCTACCAACTATTCACTCCTGTCCATCATTATAAATTGTCATGCCTCATGCTAACCATTCATAGCGAGCGCAATGAACAACGGCGACATTCCTTCCGAGCAGCAGGTCTACGCTGCGATTGGCAACCTCGTTAGCAATGTAAACCCGCTCATAGCAGGTCTCGACCATTTCTGGAATGGTGACAACGGAGCCCTGACTGACGACATGCTGGTCGACATCGCAACGCAGGCCAAGGACCTCACGCAACGGGCTGAGAGAGTTACCACAACCACGAATGCGCTCCTCGTTCAGCGAGTGAATGGACACAGTCGCATTGCCAACTTCGTGGCTAACCGCTCTGCCGACGAGATCAACGGTGATGCCCCCGTCATGGCTGGTCATGATGCCGGCTCTATGGCCAACCGCCCTGCTGACGAGGTCAACAACAACTCCGCCATCATGGCTGCTAAACATGCCGACTTCTTGGTCAACTACAGCACCGCCTCTGCGGCTTTCCGTAATGCCATCGCGACTGGCAATACCCCTGAGGCTGACCGTAATGCTGATATCATGACGAGACTCAACAAGGATCTCGTGGCTTACCATAACACCTGCCTCACGGTTGATGACAATGCCAACGAGTCTGGCGATGCGGCCGGTAGCGCAGCCGGTAAAGAGAACAGAAATGCGAAGAGAAAGGCGGTTGACAATACCGACGTCATTAGGATCCATCCATCAGCCCGCGGGCAACTCCCCCCGGCCTCGACGGCGATTTCCAAGTCCACCTCCAAAGCGACGGTCAAGCTCTCCTGCTCTAGCGCCATCGATCAGAGTGTAGAAAAGGACGGCAACGATGACCCCGGCGAGGGCAGTAGCAAGGGACGCAAGAGCAAGAAGACCGCAGCCAAGATGCCCGCCGCCAGCAAGCCCACCAAAAAGGGGCGTCCCGTGTGGAGACCTCACAAGGAGAAGAAGCCCAGGTCGGGCATGTATAAATACGGCCGAAGCGCCTCGGTCCTGGAGGGTGTTCCCGACGAGCAGATGACCCCCATCGAGAGAGCCATCGTAAGTAACAAGCCATCGCCGAATACATTTAATCATCCTGAAGATGGGTCTGAAACTAACCACCGAATTTTCTTTTCCTGCCAACAGAAGGCCAAGGCCAAGTCGACGGCTGTCTGGGATCAGCCTAGGCCAGAGAGACGCCGCCGAATGGAGATGATGAAGGCCAACTGGGATGCTATGACGGAGGAGGAGAAATCTGGCAAGACGATCGATGGGCAGGGACAAGCTGGCTCAGGTCTCTCTGGAGAAGGTGGTGCTGCTCCGCAGCCATCTGTCGAGCATAACTTCGCTGGGGAAGAAAAGGCTGAGCAGCAGGAAGAGGACAACAATGCTGGGGACGTCGATATGGGCTCCGGAGAGGACGAGTCTGAGGCCAGCGCGGTCTCGGACAACGATTTGGAGGAGTGGGTCCCGAGCCATCAAGTTAAGTGTCGTCACTGACCTCAACACACTACACATTATTCCGGATGGCGGCGAAGGGACGTCGTGGATTTGGGATTGAATTTTAGCGTCCAGGTCTGTACAATGGCTGGTTTGTTCACGGCAGAGGCATGGCCGCAATATGTGGATTGGCATCTGGCCTTCATCAAAGGGGGTTGCATAACGCATAATGGCTCATGGCAGATGGATAGCCGTGACACCTGGATTGGTTGCCATTCCGCTCTTGGCAGACAAGTTTGCACAAATGTCCATAATAGATAAAGGCTGTAACACATGAATCGAAGTGTGCCGTTTCTACCAAACTAATTGAGTGCCTTTCAGATACTGCAAGTGAACATCCATTGAGTGATGGGGAGTCAAATGAACGCCAAGACTGACCTGCAAAGCGAGCCCATCTGGTGAATGACAGTATAGTTGTTTATGGGGGCACTCAAGACTGGACGGGCTGGTGATTGGCTGCAACAGCACAGGCTCTTCCAGCATGGAGTGGACAGAGCAACGATGGTGCTACCAGAAACTAACAAGAAGTCAGCTTCTCGACAGATAGGTCTATGCAAGCAGACCAAGAAGACAACGAAATAGACCAAGAAACAAGTACCAGAGTACGAAATAACCGACGATTCAAATTGTAATAGATACCCAGTGGCATTGACACGCAGAATTGTCACCATCTTGCCTGAAGAACCAACCTTTCATGATGCCTACGATAACTTGCATGGCATCACCAGAAGCAAACTCGTCCCAGGTCGTGATCTTCATCCGGAATAATTGGCACGGTCGTGATTTGCCAATGCGCAGATCTTGTTTCTGGGCAGCAGATAGACGGTAGTTGTTTCTCAGCTCTCCTCTCAGATTGCGACAAGTCCAGCTTGCCAGTGTCTTGTCCTACCTTTGCACGAACTGAAAAGATGCCTGGCTGATATCATGTTGGATCAGATGGCATCACCTCATCCGAAAATAAGTCGAAATCCACCGTCCCCCCCCCCCATCTCTTCCTCATCAGAACCAGCCAACCAATCACTTGTCATCAAAAGATACCAGCCCGCACGTAATAAGATCCCTCTAATGAAGCCAAGCTTTGCGGGCAAAAGCTTCGACAGGTCATCCAAGATCGGCTTTCCTCTGGTTGATGTGCTGCCGCCAAGCTTGAAACATGGCAGCCCCACAGCGAGGGCGCTTCTGCAGGGCTCCTAGGCGGTTTCTCCAGGATGGCTGGTTTCAGACTGACAGGTTCGCGACGACGTCTGTGCCAAGAGCCGTCAATGCTTGTTCTGTGCGCCTCTTTCTTTTGTCGCCCGATGTCTATCAACTTTGTCGATTTATTGCATGGCTTATCCACGTTCTGCAAGTTGGCAGGAGCTATGAGTTGGTTGCTCCTGAACCACTATACGCCCCAGCCGGTGGAGAGAATACTCACTATCCACCTGCCGGAAAGCAACTGGCGACTGCAGACAAATGAACAATTTCAAGTACCAAGTCCCTATCTGTCAGGGCTAAACAGCCTCTGATAGAAATTCCGCGCTATGCCCCCGGAGCGACTCATTGGACCGCTCCCCCGCTTCGACTGTGGTCGTTTCGAAGCCCTGCTCTGACGTCGATCATGCCAAGATTGCTGGATGGCTACTGTCGACTGGCTCTCCGTCCGAGTTTCGGTAGGGAACTACGGCCGTTTCTGGTGCTGGCGCTGCCGCCGGGACGTAATGACATGAACAGTACACGTCGTGCTCGTTGGTAGAGGAGGCTGCTCTGGGGTCGTTGGATCGCCGCGAGGTTTGTGTGTTTCTCTCGCAGTCTATTTTGATCCAGCAGGGCCGTGGTATTTTCTAGATGAGTTGAGTTGAATGAACATTCGTGCAACTTATATCTACCAAGCATCCTTCCCTCGTCTTGCTTGAAAAGCTGTTTTCTGTCGCACAATGGGCCACTGCCCCATCTAAAAGAGCCTCCTTTCGTGCTCTGTACCCTCCTTCAAACAACCATTGTTGCTAGGCGGATAGGGGATTCTGGGCCATTACCGTTACTACCACACGAAAGAAAACGTGCTCAAAGGGCCTCAAGTCTGTCTTGGCATAACCAAACTTTTCGAGCACCCTCTCCAGGTTCGGACCACACATCATCAGATTTCCGAATAATGGTGCCACCACCGTTACCCTTGAAGGCCTTGGGGGCTCAGCGGTACTCTCGCTCGCTCATAAGCGGGGCCGTAACGACGGCCGCCTCTCCGCACAGCACCAACTTCCAGCTGAGCTGCCGCTCGCCCTGTACGCCAAGAACCTTTGAAGGGGCAACTCGAAACAACACAGATGGCACTTCATCATCGTCGTGGCTCGCACCACCGAGGTGCTGCTCTTCGATATCCGAAACTTTGGAACCGGCATCCTTGTGTTGTGGAGAAGAGTCTTCAAGGCATAGCGATGATGAGGACGATGCTTCCAGCTTGACGGTGTTCTCCCCTTCAGATAGGACATGGGTTTTATCACCGAGCACGCCTTCGCTGCTGCAGCATGGCGGCCGCAATCAAGAAGGGAAACTGGGCGTGTTGTCGACCATTAATGTCATTCTGGGCAAGACTCTGGGTGTCAGTGCTTACACGGTCCCATCGGCCATATTTGAAGGTGTCGGGTCAGTGGGCATGGCCCTGTCACTATGGATCATTGGCGCCATTATATCTTTCTGCGGCATGGCCGTCTATCTAGATCTCGGCACGGCGATGCCCAAGAGCGGTGGTGAACGCGTCTACCTCGAACGCATATTTCGGAAACCGTACATGTTGGCGACGTTTATGTTCATGTCGTACGCTGTTTTGCTGGGATTCTCGACTCCGAACGCGATAGTGCTGGGGGATTACGTTCTTTACGCCCTGGGCATCCAACGAAATCGATGGAACGTCCGTGCGATTGCTGTTCTGGCCGTGTCAGTACTCTGCTACATCCATGCCCGGCATCCGAAACTCGGTCTCAAGCTTATCAATATCCTTGGCGTGGGGAAGCTGGTCATCCTTGTGATAGTAATCCTGTCTGGGATTGCTGGCGGCTTGATGGGCGTGGGACGTCTAGGCGCAGTATTGGAAGGCAGACGGTTTGACGTACCGTTTTCTGTCGACCCGACTTTGAGCACGGCACAGCGTAACTTTAGCAACATCTGGGCTGGGTCGTCGATGCAGCCCTACGACTATGCAACCGCACTCCTGAAGGTCGTTTACTGTTTCAGGGGCTACAGTACCGCCAACCAAGTGCTCTCCGACGTGAAGAACCCCGTGCGAACCCTTAAGGTCGCCGCACCGGTGGCACTGGGCGTCGCATCTCTCTCCTACCTCGCCATTAACATCGCCTTCTTCCTGGTAGTCGACAAGGCAGACTTCAAATCCTCCGGTATCGTCGTGGCCGGGACTTTCTTCTGCAACGTCTTTGGACAATCGGTGGGAACGCACATCCTACCCCTTTTCGTCGTCATATCCGCAGCAGGCAACATCGCCGCCACGTCGTTTTCCCAAGCGAGAGTAAACGAGGAACTCGCCAAAGACGGCCTTCTCCCCGGCAGCAAATTATGGGCAACCAAGCCCAGCACCGCAGTTTCTCTCGACCAACTGAACGAGCCCTTTAAGAAAACCCGCCTGCCTCTACCAGGCTCTGACACCCCCACAACCCCCTCCCGCGGCCTCCTCCTCCACTGGCTCGTCTCTGCCTCAGTAATCGTGCTCCCTCCCCCAGGCAGAATCTACAACTTCCTCGTCGACATCGGCGGGTATCCTGTGTCGGCTATTTCCGTCGCCGTCAGTCTCGGGCTTTGGTATCTACACGCCACCCCGTCAGAACGCTGGAGCTCCCCACACCCCGCAAACTGCATCAGCATCGTCGTCTTCGCTGCCTCGAATTGCGTACTCCTTGTTTTCCCCTGGATCCCGCCCCAACGCAGTGGTACTGGGGAGCAGGGGCAGGGAGAAGGAGATGGGTTTCCTTCTTATGCGTACCCGGCTACGGCGTTGGCAGTGTTGGGGAGTGGGGCGGTTTATTGGGGGTGGTGGCGGACAAGGGGGAATGGGAGGAGGCCGAGGCAGGCTGCTCAGGATCCTGATGATGATGAAGCTCGGTCTTCTGGGTTGAGGAGGGAAAGTGACAGGTGGGCGAGGAGGAGTGAGCATGGTGCGGACGAGAGGATGAGTATGCTGGTACAGGAGACGACGATGACGCCACCACGACGAGAAGTAGAGGGAGATGCAGCGGATCAAGTGAGGAGGAGGGCGCCTTGTGGTTGTCCTTTGTCTCATTGACTTGGCTTGCTTGTGTGTGTGAGCCAACGTCGAAATCAAAATGTATACTCCATGATAAGGAAGGCATGTACATAAACGGAAGTTAGAATACTATATTCAGAAACAACAAAGACCAATCAGTGCCCTCGTAATCAAATGCGTTAATTCATTTCGTCGTGCCATGTTATCTACTACGAATGCGTTGACGGGGGATACTTCAAAGGCTGTAGACATACATACATAATGTCTACATGCCCAGGCCGAGCCCCAATACTCAAGTAACAGTTGAGCTCTGAAGCAAGTCCCTGCCGCCTCCCCCTACTCTTTACTCTCCTCCTCCACAATCCCCTCCAACAATGCCGTCGTCGTCCCCAAATACGTCACACCCCCACTCCACTTCTTTTCACACCCAACCTCAATCTCCTCTAACTCCAACTTCGCCCCGGACCCAAGGACATACCTACGATGCCACGCCCCAGCAAACATGCCCTGGGGGTCAACCTCGTCCCTGACCTCGCGCCACCGTGTCAGCGCCTCGCCGTACATATCCTCAATCACCTGCCCCTCGGTCTCGAAGTTCTTAGCCCAGTGCGGTTTCCCGCCCATGTCGCGCATCAGCCACTCGAACGCCTCGTAGTACCGCGCCCGACAGGGGGGGTCGGCCATGTAAGGTCTGTACAGCGTCGCGTTGAGGTAGAGGGTTGGTTCGTCGGGGCAGGTCGGGTCAAGGTATGGGCGGGTGTGGGTCTGTACGGAGGATAGGGAGGGGTTAGAGGTATCGCTGACGCGGACCTCGACGGGGGCATGCACGTAGAGCCCCTCGGCGGAGAAGGGGATATTGTGGGGAGCATAATCCGGGTCGTCGGGCGTGAGGTGGTTGAGCCAGGTGCTGAGGCGGCGGAGGGCCTCGGGGCCTTTGTGCAGAGGGATGGCCCACTCGTTGACGAATTGGGAGTACAGACAATTCATGAGCAGGGCGTCGCGGCTCGGCTGGACGGCGGAGGTGGTCGACCCGTTGGGGAAGCCGTATTGCATGCCGAAGACGAACCATTCGACCCATGGGAGAATGCGCGGGACGTACTGCGCGAGGTACAGCAGATTGTGGTAGACGTAGTAGCCCAGCGCGTTGTCGTAGTACGACACGGGGGGCAGGACCAAGGGGGCATCCGTCTTGGACGCGGACCAGGTCACGGCGCGGCGGGTATAGGGGAACCACCAGACGCGGACGAACTCGGCGTGGGTCCAGAGGTCATCGGTCCACCGGTTGAACATGCTCAAGTCGGTGTCGATGACCTGCTTCCAGCTGAGGCTGAAGGCGGGCACGGCGCGAAAGGTAATTTCGGTGATGATGCCCAGGGCGCCGAGCGAAATGAGCGACGCGCGGAACAGCTCCGGGTCCTCATCCGGCGAGCAGTTCCTTGTCGTGCCGTCGGCGAGCGTGATGCGCAGCGACAGGATCGACTCAGATACCAAACCATGACGTAAACTGGACCCGTGCGTGCCCGTCGAGATGGCGCCCGCGATGCTCTGGTGGTTGATACTGCCCAAATTGGGCATGGCCAGGCCCCGTTGGGCTAATTGCTCGCTCAACTGCCACAGCCGGATCCCCGACTGCATGGTGGCGATGCCCGTCTGTTCATCCACGGCCAGGATGCGGTTGTATTTGTCGAGGTTGACGAGCCACGACGACGTGCACGTCAGCGAGCTGGGCGAGTGTCCGCACCCCACCGTTGTGATGCGCCGTCGGCATTTCCGCGCGACGTTGACTACGTGTTCGATCTCCTCGAGCGACTCGGGTTGGATGTACAGCTCGGGAAGCGACGTGAAGGTCTGCGCCCAGGTTGAGTGCACATATTTGGTGCGCATGCGAAATGGAATTGGCACTGAGGATGTGGTCGCGAGGGCCTGCGCGATGGCAGGGTCGAGTGGGAGAGACATAGCGCCGCTATGGGTCGAGATCAAGACGAACGTCGTCTTCACCACGCCAACACCGATAGATATTGCGGTAGTATGCCGAACAATTTGAGACGAGGACGTCTTCGTGGCCCGTTTTATTCGTTTTCTCTTGCGTACAGCAGGAGGGTCCTCTTTCGAGTGGGGCCGTTTATCGCGCCGTCTCGTCGTTGCTTGATGTTTCTAGTGTCCACGTCACGTCGTCAGGCCATATTCGTCTCAAGTGGTTGTGTTGAGAGTCAAGCAACCAACCATCCCGGCAGGCAAGATGCACCTGCAGCCAGGGATATATTGACTTTATCCAAGCCTACATTGCAAACTTGGGTAAGCTCTAGTCCGATTCGAGCAGGGTCCTTAGGAAAACCAACGTGCGGTCAAGGTGGGGAGGTATGGTAGGCGGGCGGAATGAAGGGTTTCGATTCCAGATCAACATTGTGCCCTTCTCGGCTCATTTTTCTTTTGGTCTCGTCATCTCGAGCTAGCGACGATCATAACGTGCTAACTTAGCTGCATGATGTAGATCACCACAAGCCCATTTGATTGGCTGCCGTCAAGATGGAAATGTCACCACTCTTTTCAGACCGCTCGCTGCGCGTTTGTCATTTGGTTGCCTTGAATATCCGATCTGATAAAATCCTGACAACCAATGGCATGAATAGCCGACACCGCAGCGTATTGCCGTGTTCCTTAGGGCTAGTGCGCCATTGTGAGTTCAGTTACCAAATCATGGTGCATTCTTGTACATTTTGATGCTTAGTATTGCAGCTATCGGGGCTGTCTCCCACAGTCGAGCTCTCTCATCAAGCCAAGGCGAGTACCTGCTGCGTGTACCAAAGTCGCCTTCCAGTTAGTAGTTCATATTACAAACTGGCGAGTGAATAACTGCATATACCGCTGCACATCCTTCCCACGACCCCCAACCTGGTATCCATCCATCCAGGCGCCTACCCTCTAATACTCGATCAGCTTAATCTTGCCTCTCAACTCCTCCGGCAACTCCTCCATCTTCACCACCCCCATCTTAACACAGTCGCCCCAAAATAACAGCGCCCGCTCGTGAGCATAAGCCAGGTAATCAAACTCATCCGCACCGCCCGGCTGCTCCTCAGGCGACACGATAGCAGCCGGCTGTGACCCCTTGGCCTCGGCATCCTCAGGCGGCCCGTCTTTCTGCTCCAGCCCCGGCACTTTAGCCTGCATGATGCCCCAAGCAACCCACTGAGCGCTGTTGGCGGTGCGCCACAGCCGCGTTTCCTCGAGCAGTTCCTTAATGCGCTGCTCGACCTGCTCTTCGCGCCGCTTCTCGTCGTCCTTGTACCCGCCCGGCGGAATGCGTGCGTCCAGCATGAAGTCCACGATCGAGCTCGAGCCTGGCGTGGTGGCACCAAGTCCGGGTGTGCCAAGAGGGGTGTCGTGGGGCGTCAGGTTCGGAGTAGAGCCCGCGTGGGGAAATTGAGGCCGGTGCTCTACGTATGCCTTGATGAAGCGGCGTTGTTCCTCCAGCGTAGGGTATCTAGAAGTGTTGCAGGCATACGGTGCAGTGACATTATGGTAGTTGTACGTCCATTCGGTGAAATGGTTTGCAAACTCGTGACCTCTCATGTTGGCAGCCGCATACTCGAAGTCGATGACGATAAGCTGCTTGTGCTCATTTTGGGGACTCATAAGCGGCGATTTCTCGTCGTCAGGTCGGATACGCAGAATGTTTCCATATTGGGTCTGTCATAGTTAGTGCACTTCGTTCTGATGGGGGGCGGGTGTCGTACTCACGTCGTTGTGGGCAAAGACAAGCTGGTCCCGGAGGTTCTTGTGTCCGGCATAGTAATCGTCCAAGTACTTCCGATACTTGTCGAGTGCCTGCTCGAACTTTGCCCATTCTACACCGCAGATGAGACCTCGCTCCTTCCAAGCATCGGCCGGACCTCGAATAGGCCCAAGCCCCCCGGAACGGCCCTTCCTATCCAAATATGTGACGACTTTCGCAGTGTTGTCAAGCCAATGATCCCAGTTCTTGAACACAGCTGGACCCCCATCCTTCTCTTCTTCAAGCAGCTCAATGCCATCATGCAACTCCCTCATACGTTTAGCAATCTGCTTCGAAGTCTCTGGTTCGCGGAGATGTGCTGGTGTCAAGGTAATAGCGTTGAAGAACTGCTCGAAACGACCATTTTCAAAGGTGCCGAGCATCCGAGGACCAATCTTCTTCCGCGACAGGCGCTTAAGCACGTTTAGTTCGTTGTCTCTGTCGATAATGTTCTCGACTTGGGGTCCATACACCCTGAGCAATAACTTGGCCGGCGCCTTCTTGCCTCCTTCCGTGTTGTTTAGCAATTCCTGGGGTGGGGTGACAACGTATACGGCGTTCGTCAAGGCACCGCTCAAACGCTCAATATCAATTGTGTCCCCAGTGTCTAGAGGCACACGTCTCCATCCCTTGATTCTTAGCGTGTGCGCTATCCGAAGCACGTCATTCTTGAATTTGATCCAATCCTCTCGCTCCTTGTCCACTTTCCGGCTTGAAACCGATGTCCCGTCAGCGCCCTCTCCGCTTTTCCCACCAGAATAACTCATGGTCTTGGAGTTATCCAGGACTGCATCACAGCTGGGGACACGGACGTCTCCATCGTGATACTCCGTATCAGACGACGCCGTTCTGTGCAGGTGGTGGGCTCGTTTCTTGTGAGACTTCCGTCCCATGCCCGGCCTATAATGAGGAATCGAGTTAAGCCCCAAAGCGTTCATACTGTCGTCAATGATTCTCTGAAGCCGGTCCAGGGAGACGTCGCTAGACTGGGAATCGATTGAATACCTCCGGTGGTGTCTGGTAAGTTGCTCGACGGCAGAAGGCTCCCCCGGCTCCTCAGGCCTCCCACGCTCCCTCTCCGGCTCAGCGGGCGGCGATTTCCGCTTATGAGAATACACCCGCCGTGTTTTTCGCTGTTGCTTCTTCGTCCGCTCATGCTCAAGCCACTCAGCAACCTGAGATATGAGTCTCTCGCCCATGTGATCAAGTCGGTGGTGATGCGGCTGAGAACTCCCGGAATCTTCCGGCCCCTGACGTGGAGATGGATTGCTAACCTGGCCACTCAGGGCCTCGAGGCTAGTCTGACCCATGAGCGATGTCCTTGACGAGTTGGCCCCTGACAAAGGTGGACGACCACTCAAGCGTTTGGCAATGCCCGCAGAGAACTGCTTCTTCGGCTGGATCTCTTCCGGGGGCTCTGGCTCTGGTTCAGAGATTTGGACCGCTGTATTTCGGTCAGTGAAACTATACTCCAAAGAAAACTATGGTGAAGCATGCACTTGTCTTCCGATGACCGGACGAAGCTTATTCAATGCCTTCCATGCGGTCGAGTGCTTATTGGGGACTATGTTGTATCCTTTCTAATCTTGCCTTGATTGAGCATGTCCCAGGAGAGATCATATCAAGTCTGACTTGGACTCATTTGAGATATCTCTAGTCATTGCCACATTGACGTAAGTCATGGTAACTTCAAGCCCACAATCCCAGAAAACAGTTTCCAAGAAGCTAAGTCCAAATGGGTAACACGGGGAATCCTAGACGCTTGCCCAGCCCAACATGTTGGGTGCAGGCAGGCAACAGCAAACAAAGATAATATGGAAAAAGTGTGACTAACCTTTTGTAGCACTCAACGGGGGCGTGCCGCCGCTGTCATCATCTGCCTTCATAGCAGACCGCAGTGGCAAGCCACCCACGGTAGATATAGAAGTAGGAGACATCTTGACGAGATGATAATAGAGGCAGACAACCGATAAGTACCCTTGATAAACGGTGGTGGTAGTCGACGAAGATGAGAGCGGGGAGTTAGAATACGGAAAGCCAGATTGCGACGACCAGTCGACCCTGGATTGTCGGTCTAGCTATCGTGCGTTATCTCTACACCTCGCATGCGCTGGTGGAGGTTGCGTGGTGAAGATCGGTCCCTCGTACTGATAAGGACAGAACTGAATGAGTGGTGGGAGAGACTGATTTTGGAGAAGGCAACCGAAATAATGGTCCGTGGAAATTCAGGACGAACTGCGGCAGATGTGGGCAAGCTACAGGGTTCAATTTTGTCTTTAGAACTCTAAAAGCTGCTGGCCGTGGGACTCCTCAGATAACCGTTTCCCTAATGTAGAAAGAGGGATAATGTTGGTCTACTCGATGGGTAGAGTCGAATTGCTGTTGCTTCCTCAATTCACATTTCGCGACGTTCATGTGATGAAACTACGAAGTTGGGAGGGGTTGGGTTGTTGCTTCAGGCGTAGCCCGCCACAGTGAGACTGAGACATGGAGGCGCACATGCCAAAAATCAAGAATCACCGGGTGACGTAGCCAAGCGGTCCGAAAACCGTCTCCCAAACCGGAAGTCAGTGGATGACCTCCTTGTCCTACTAGGGCCCGACCACTCGGGCGTTGCATTCGCCTGATGCCCCTAACAGAAAGCTACCTTGTAAAGTCAACGGGCGGAAGTTTGCCAATAAATTTGACGGCTGAAAACGCATGGTAGACATTTAGCTTGCAATTTGATGCATTGACACGTTCCGGTTTCGTCGGCCTTACTGGTCGACAACAACATCAATAGTTGTGGAGCCATTTCACTGTAAACGCCGGTACCTATTGGCTTTACCTCCAACCCTCTCGCTCCAACGCCCAGTTGACAGCTGCAGCCACATCGTCCACAATCATCTTAGGTGGATGCGCCGGCTCACCCCGCGCAGCGCTCCACACTCCCGTCCTAACGAGCACCGACGTCCAGTCCGTCCCATCGGGACTGACAAAGTCGTTAGCCCCGCGAATATCGCTCTCGGGATTGTCTCCCACCATGTAGACCCGACTCAAGGCTCCCAGCTTTTCTATTCCCGACCCTAACAGTTTTGCGCGATGGTTGTTTAGCACACGCTCGGCGTACTGATACGTCTGTCTGTATGGCTTGCCGATTACCGTGCGCTTCAACTCTTTACCTCCGGTGATGTCTCTCCAGATGCCGTACATGGCCGCTTGGAAGGCGCCCTGGCCGAACCTCGGATGGGGATAACTCGCACTCCAAAACAAATCCGGGTTTGAGAAGAAAATAGGCGGCTGGCCGTCTCCCTGCCAGCCCGAATCTGGGAGGTCCGGTTTGCCGTTTTTGGAGGAATAAGTCCCCAGGACACCGTCTCGGGACATGAGTAAATCGCTGATGATCTGAATGTCCAGCGCCCAGTCACGCGGGTCGTTGAAAACGAAAATGGCGTCGATCTTGGGCTGCGAAGTAGGCAGAGGACGAGCCGTCTTAGCATACACCTCCTCCATTAGGGGCTCGAAAGGCCAGATGGTAGGGTGAGCCATGAGGATGTCCGCCGGGGTAATGACGTTCTTGAAGCCGTACTGCTCAGCGATGGCGCGCGACTGGGCCGCGTTGGATCCCGTGACGAGGATGTTCTTGTCTTTCAGCCCGTTGGGGCCGTGGGCAAGTTCCTGGAATGGCGTGTGGGATTGCACAAAATTCTCCGTAGATAGCTCGACGTTGAGCTTGGAGCTCAGGTCGATGACTCGGTCCTCCTCATGCTTGCCGCCGCCGTTAGTAAGCAGGATGAAGGGGATTTTCTTCTCCTGTAGTAATTTGAGTGACTCGGTTGCACCTGGTATGGGCTTTGCTACATGAAGTAGAACGCCGTCGATGCTGAGGCCATGTCAGTTCATGAGGACTGTCTTACACGACCGCAGTCGGAGTGTACTTACTCAAAGGCAAAAGCGAATGGAGGCAGGGTTCCAGGGCTTCTGGTAGTCCTTTCGGTGCTGTAATGACGACGCGATCCACTTCTCGCAACTACTGGACCCCCGTGCCATAACTGGCTTGCAAAGAAAGGTTGAACTTCAATACCGCCGGTTTCGTAATGAGGCGCGGCGGCTGAACTCGAAGGGTTCGAGGCCAGACATGAGCGGGGCCATAGAACGTGGCTGGTCGCGCCGGGTCGCGATATACCCCGGGCCAAATGCAAGGAACCTCTCATAATTTGGGTGCTGATACAAAAATCTTGCTTATCTCATCGTGTTGCAAATTTGTCCTCCCATTGTACAAAAGCGATATGTGGTGAAGGAACAAGGCAACGGTGGTTGTTTTAATGATCCACCAGTACTGTTCCTGTTCCAGGAGATTAGCAATGGAGTCCGGCAGCGCTATCGTTATCGGACAATTCAAACCCGCTGTGAAGTCACGAATATAACCTACAGCCTCAGCCCGATGACATCGAAGCCATGCAGGCAAGCACAGTGATTTATTATATAGTTCATGTGACATGCACTAGACTTTTCACTTTTCGAACAATACCTAAAGGCTTGTGATGTGTGGCCTTCCCCAAATTTCCGAAGTGATACATCTCAACTTCTAGCAAGGACTAGCCAGCCCAGTAACGAAGATCGACATGCACTGATGTGCACCACGAGAAGTAGTATGCTTTTCCGCCGCGACCATTTTTACAAGTCAATGTACATATTAGATGCATCTGAGGAAGCAACCCCTCACTTCTTCAACTGCCCCTTCCAATCCTTTGTATGCTCCCAAATGACCTTAGCCGCCTGCTCCGGACTATGCTGTCGCCCAAGCGCCTCCACAAAATCTCCCTCAGGATCCATAAGATAGAAGTAAATGCTGTGATCGACCAAGTAATCCTGTCCGGGTTTCACATTGCGGGGTGTGCTGAAGTAAACGCGGTACAACTTGCACACCTCCTTGATCTGTTCGTAGGTGCCCGTGAGCCCGACGAAGCCCGGGTGAAACTCAGCCAAGTACTCCTTGAGCACTTTGGGGGTATCGCGCGCGGGGTCGCACGTGATGAAGATGGGGACGACGCTGCCGGGGTGTTTGGCCTCGACTAAGTCGTACATGGTGGCCATCTTGTCGAGTTCTTCAGGGCAGATGTCGGGGCAGTGCGTGAAGCCGAAGTAGACCTGTTTCAATCAAAGAGGCGCATCAGTAACCTGTTGTGCCATGTGTAAAACACCAAGTGACAACCAGACATTCACAGTGCTCACAGTGCTCACAGTGGCTGCATCACGAGACTCATGGGCAAAAGACCAAACTCACCAAAGAATACTTCCCCCTCAAATCCGCACTACTGAACGGCCTCCCCTCTTGATCCACCAGTTCGAAGTTCCCTCCCACCTTCGGCCTCCCCACGCCCTTAGTCGCCTCAGCAATCCGCTTGCGCTGCATGCGCTGCTTCTCGTACTCAAAGTAATACACGAGCCCAACACCAGCAACGATGAACAGCAATCCCGCCTTCCACGAGAACGGGCCCGTTCGGTATCTACTCTTGGCCTCCTCGACTGACTGGGACTTGTAGCGCCGCTGTTCGGGCGGTTGGTGCTTGGATCGGAGGCATTGTTGCGATAAGGTTGCCGCGGGCCGCCGGGAAAGTGTCGAGGTCGAGGTGGTGGAGAGGAATCGGCGGCACTGTCGTCGCGATTGGGTTTGGGCGAAGGATCGCAGGAGAGAGGACGACGGTGCCATTGGCCGCGACATGATTGGTATTCGTAGTTGATCTTCGACGTCAGCTCGCAAATCGAAACTTCTAATTCAGAGTTTCCATCAGGCACACAAACAGGCCATTGAAAGCTGCCTGGCAAGCCACGCGCTAGTGGAAGCTCCAGCCACATCCGCTTCAACGTCATGCCGTCGTTATGCCGTTTTCGCAGCTTCAATCTCGAAAAAGCACCAGGTTCTTCTCGGGTTGCTAAAAAGAGGCACTAGTTATGAATTAAGTAAGTTGGACAGTCAAGCAGATGACAACATTGAAGGAAATTATCAAATGCTGCAACGGGGAGAACTGGAAGTATCACGGCCGGAACTACGAGATAGCTTGTCTGACAATATTACAGTAAATTGTCTTTTCAGCCGTTCCAAAGCGTATAAACGCCATGCTCTGGAATGGCGGTACTCCGGAAAGGGATGGTTTGTCCCAACATTATTATAACTACAAATACAGCGAGACCCAAATGCAGAATGCCGGTCACATGTTTTGTCTGCTTCCACACAAATCTGTCTCGCTCCAAATGCTCCCTCATCGCAAGCCTCGAAAAACCCCGGTCAGAACAGGGTGCAAATATGCACAGTTGAATTGTAGATGCCATACTCCGGCAACTCTCTCTGAATAAAAGGAAACAGAAAATTCCCATGCCGCGCTCGCAGATGCAGGATATGTCACCAACGCTGCCGATGCCGCCATGCCGATCCTTGATCGCCAGACAAAAGAATCAACCTGCCATGCCAATTGGTCTATTTTCATCGTTGCGACCCTTATTACGCCACGGTGAAGGCCCCGGGCATCGAGAAACGGAAGTGTAGCGTAGAGATTTATGCTATCTCTGTCGCAATTTTGGTCGAAGTTGACAATTTTGTCTTCCTCGGATGTAGAGAACGTCGGAATCTAGACCTGAAGAGGTCCCTTAAGAGGACCCATATGATCATATCAGGTTGACAATGGGCAAGACTTGTACCAAAGGTGTTTGTTTCTTCTTTACCCGATCAAACACGACTGATCTGACTTTGGCTAGCACTCGTCCGACTTCTCTCATCGTCCTCCTCAATCACATCACTAAGACGCGTCGGATGATGGTGTCGTGGCAAGGATTCCCAGCCCGGCGCGGTATAGCCTGAGCCTGCGTAGTCAGGCGCCGAAGAATATTGCGGTTGCTGTGCGTGGGCACCGGTACTGGTGGGATGATGCCCGCCTGGCTGCGAAGCCGGAGTCTCGAAGTCTTCTGGTCCAGCGTCAGAATTATCGTCTGAAGCAGGAGCGCGGAAGGGAATTTTGTCTCCGCGGGAATCTCGGGCGAAATTTCCATACGCGTCAATGCTGTACTCACCTTCACTGTAAGCACCCTCGGAGCCATAGCTGCCTTGGTGGTGGACTGATTGCTGGTGGGTGGGATTACCGCCAGATGAAGTAACGACCGGTTGGACAGCGGGCGCTTGCGAGTACTCAGCCCGAGAGGTGGCCGTTTGCTGCGCATGCACATACCCATCTGATTCCGCCTGGCCGTAGGTTCGGTTGTCACGTTGGCTGTTGTGCCGACTGACGCCTTGTGTCATAGGCACAACCTGAACACCTCCGACTATGGTGGGCTGGCCTTGCTGGAGAGACAAAGTACGATCTCGCTCTTCCTGCTCTCGTCGACCGAGCTCCTCCCACGCACGTCGAGCCTCCTCCTTCGAAATGGTCAGCTCCTTGCGCATCTCACTCAACTGCTTCTGGATCCTCGATGACCCCTGCTCGTGTTCGAGAGCTTCGCGAATTGCGTCGGCTCGGCTTCGACGCTCCTCCTCGAGTGCCGACTCCAACATCGCGGTAACTTCTTGATTGCGCTCCATCTCTGCGCGGGTGTCAAAAAACCAACGCTGGAACTTACGTTCCGACGAAGCACGGAGTCGCTGCAGCTCGACGACGGCATGGAAAAGATTGGCGCCTGCCGAAGATAGATCGGTGACTTGGCGGGACAGTTGCTGCGACAACGGGTCGTTGTCGATCTCATCAGTGTTCTGCTGCAAGCGTCGGATCCAGAAGCTGGTCAAGCCTTCCCAATGCGCAGACAATGTCTCCCAACGCTCGAAGGCATGTGGAAACGAGTTTCTACCTCGACTTTCCGCTGTCTGGGGCTCGGATCCTCGCAGTTGTTGCGTTCCTGAAGAGCCTGCTGCTGTTGCGCCTGGAACCGCGGTAGCTGGGACGCCTTGTGCCGAAGTCGTGCGCGTATGGCGCTGTGAAGCTTGCGCTTGGGTATCAGCGGGTGGTCTGGACGAGCCTGGGACACGACCACCAATATCGCTTGTTGCGCGGCCCGGCAACGCGCCAGCGGCAGCGCGTCTTATAGCAGAGGGATCTGCCCCAGGGGGCATAGCACCAGCTCCCGGTACACCAGCGCCAGCAGCGGCGTTTGCACGTTCTTCTCTCCGTCGAGTCTCTTCAAGCATACGTTGCTCTGCTTGTTCTGCCTCGGCATGTTCCCGGTCCAATCGTTCTCGTTCTTCGCGTTGTCTTGCCTCACGCGCTGCCCGTTCTTGCATGATCATCCGGGGACCTCTAATTCCACTGGATGGGGAGCCGATTGGCGCTCGAGCAGTTGTGGGCCTGGATGAACCGCCATTGCCATTCGAAGTGGCAAGGCCGCCCCCTTGCATCAAATCAGCCATCGAGGCAAGTTCCTCAATCGGATCAGAACTCAATTCTTGGGGACCACGTAAAGTTGCTTCAAGCGCATACAAGATAGCGCTATGAGTGTGTTTTGATATGTGGACAGCTAGATGAGGTGTTGGTTGTTTCGGGTCCACGGGTGTGCGGGATGCGTGGTGATATCGAGACGGGGGTTGCGGTGAATTGTCTTCGAGATCTTCACTACTTAGGTCTTGTGACAATTGACGTCTAGCTTGTCGTCGACGCGTTCGCGGTTGTTCACCTTGCTCAGCACCACTCAGAATATATTGTCCTCGTGGTCCAAGAGTGATGGTGACGCGAGCAGGAGCTTGGGCGGGCTGCTGGGACGGTGGTTCAGCCGGCTTCGGACTTGGCGTTGCCGAGAAGCGCGGTGTGCGACGAAGTACTCGATGTCGCGAGGACGTGGTCGATCTCTGCTCGGGTGTCTGGGGTGGTGGAGTTTGGTAAAGAAGGTGATGCTGCTGGCGCTGATATTCTGTTGAGGTGTGTGGTTCGTAAAAGTCGTGACGGTCGTAAGAAGTTTGGGGCTTTAGTTCGGACAACTCTGCTGTCGCGCCGCCTAGCACGCGAGGGGGAGATGGAGCAGACAAGGTGAAAATTCACCACCAGAGTGGTGGAAACCTGGGGAAGGTGCGGTTGTGTCACAAAAGCCGAGGGAAGCTCTCGCAGCCGAGAGGGAATTCCTGGCTTGTGAGGGAACCAGCTCCAGGAATGACCTGTCCAATTTTTGGTGGATCAGCACGCTGGTTGTACAGGTTCAAGGTTACTTGAATACTGCACGAGAGTTGGCAATAGGATAGAAGGAAGAATGAAAAGCTGCAAGGTACTTTAGAGTGTGCGGGTGTTGAGAGTGGTGCTTGGTTGGCTCAGTTGTTGGAAACTCGGAGGCTGGTATCGTGACAACGTGGAAAATGTGGATGGCTGGTGAATTGAGCGTTGACTCGGATGCGAAGTTCAATTGAACAAGCCAGGCGACCATTGACCGTCTGAAACTTTTCAAAAATGATCTATCGCAACATGCGACCGAGTTGAACGGGTTTCCCTGTGGTAAGACTCGAGAAGATGACGATGTTTTCGAAGATTTTGAAGTTATCGTATCGTCCTCTGATGCCCAACTCACCACTGCGGACCCAGCGGTGACGCAGCGCCAGCGCTGCTGCCCACCTCTAGACCCCTGGGCAGCAATCGGGACAGCACAAGTGCGCGAGGAGAGTCTTTTAGTTTCGAAAGATCGAGCGCGGGCATGCTCACATATCAATGGCTCCCAATGTGTAAGTTACCAAGTTGAGAACATTGTGCGTTGAATTGAGAGACTTAAAAGAAATAACTAGTCGAACTGAGGAAGTAACGGTGGGCGGGAGACCGTCATTGGAGGCTTCCCGCACGGTCCTCCATACTGAATACGAAGTACCTTTATTGATCTATCTTGATCTTGATATGTGAAAATGCTAAATTGTCATGAGAAGACGCAATCAGCAGCCTGTTACTCAATGCTGAACAGCAGAAATCACCAGTACTTTCCCAGCTTCTGTTCATCTTTGTTTATGGACCATGCTTCCAGCCCTTCTTGATGAGTTTAATATGGAGCTTACCCCAGCTTTTTTTTCTGGACAGTCCGTTTGCTGCCAGGCTTTGAAGCTTCCCCTTTCCTTGCAAGGAAGCGATGTCTATCAAAGCGAACTTGTTTGCTGATATAACAACTTCATGCAATTCAACAGAAAGCACAAGCCGAAGTCGCCGAGAGCTTTCTCTACTACTACTACTACTACTACTACTACTACTACAACTGAGAATCACAAGCAACAAAATACTATGATGTACAGTGCAGGCCCGACTGATACTTCCTTGTTCGAGTACGACGTCGCAAAAACAGGATGGCCATGGGGGCAAAGATTACATGTGCGTTGGCACCTCTGGTCAATTCTAGTGACGAAACGTTGTCCTGCACCTCTTGTGAGCAGGCCTAAGCGAACCCAATGGGCCGGTCCAATCCATTATCCGGGCCAGTCGGATATTTGGGGGCCATAAGCTGAGCAAGGGTACGGCTGCTCGAATTTCGGTCAAACTGTGGTGTCTCTGGTTTTGAACCTCAATGATCTCGTTCTAATGAGGGCGGCATGTCTTCATGAGCTGCAGGCTCCGGTAGTCAGGAAGGAATTGGTGACAGAAACCACTTCAACTGAGGAAAATCGCGAATCAACACATAAGGCCATGGCGGGAATAGCACAAAGCGTACAAGTTGTGTTACATGACAATCTCAGGTCATGCAGGTGTGAAAGCGACACTGAGCGGATTATTGCAGCTGCCGAGGTGTCTTAGAAAGACGAATCAGCCGTGTTCCTTACAATCTCGACAACTCTAGGACTGGGACATCTTGAGAAAGGATTGAGAACTCGTCGCAATACCCGACGAAGATGAAAAACTTACGCAAGGAGCTAGGCACGATCAAGATCAGACAACCTGGAAGGTTTCCTGGATACGATACGCCCGGGATGACATGCCTGGGATGCCCCGTCTCTCCTTCGACATCTCCAACGCTATGTGCTGAGCCAATGGCCAATGAGAAGCTGTGTCTGGGCGTGAGAAAAAATTAGCTCCGGGAAAGCGTCCGAATGCCAACGTCACGTCTCAAGACATGAGACTACCCAAGACAGCCTCAAATTTGGCCAGTAGGCTTGAACAGAGGCAAAATGCACTCAGCTGTCACATCTAAGCTGGTCATCCGTGGTGGTTGCCGGGAGTGGGAATTCGGTGTCTCCAACTAAGACAAAATAGGATAGCTTCAAAGAATTTCGGCGATTTGGAAGGATAATATAACGATCTGTTCGCTTGTTTCCCACCGGAGCCGTGGCAAACAGCAACCGCACTCCCGAAACTACCCAGCCGAACCGAGCAAGCGCCAGACCGGCTTGCAAGGCCTGCGTAACGACACACCCGCGGGTATCGGAACCGTGCAACTCGATCTTGAGCCATCCCATGTTGAACGAGATTCGGCACGGAAAGCCTCGTACAGGCATGACCACTTCGCCCATCACATACGGAAATGTAAGAAACTTCAGCGGTTATTTAGCCAGTTCCGGGTCTCAATGACCGGACAATTGGTTATGGACAGTGTCCCTCCATAAGCATACTGCCACTCATATGCCTTTTCATCGGCTTCGGATAAGTTGGCATATGGGAGGATGGATGTAGCGGGTCACTCCCGGTTGCACTTTGAAAAACAAATTGCAAATTGTGAGCTGGAGGTTCTCATCACTGACCTTTCTGCTGACATTTGGGATGTTTTACAATCCCCAAGGCTTGAGTAGTGTCAATCTACTGAGAATTGTCAAAGTACGTACTTCTCACTTACATGGAAAGACACGTGTGAACAAGGGACCGTATTTCCGGATGACGAGCCGCCGCAACTTCTCATTGCACCAGGGTTAATCCCTCAGCTCGCAATAGTTACCCCAAACCATCTGTGAGGCTGCATACTCGCCCGTGGAGTAAGTAATAGCTTACCTGCGGACAATGGGGCCGCATTCTACGACCTTGGCTGACTAATGCGATGGCATTAAACGTCCTTGTCGTCGGTTGTTTATCGAAGCACAAATAAGGTAGTAACGCTAAAGAAGTACCTCAGCTTGCCTGTCTCGTGGGGACAGATGGAGAGGGGCCAGAACCCAAGCTGACAGACAGCCTCGTGGCAGCCGCTCCAGGCTATTGTCTACCTACCTTGCCCAAGGCCTATCAGGGCTGAGTAACTTCATTCGCAATCTACAATGACCAAAGTAGTGAGTGACCATCACCGCACATGACCGCAGAAACATTCCGCCTCAGGTTTTGAGAATTTTAGGTTGGCCTCGCAGCGAGGCCTAGAGCGGTCGAAACCCGTTGGCCCATTAGAACGTTCAATTTTCTTGAGGCGTTCTTTTCCCGCATGCGATCCCGCACCTCGGTGTAAGACAGGATCTAGACCGGTCTCTAGTGGACGCACTTCCACCCCCACAAGGTTCCCTTTTGGGATGAGATTCTGTACAGATCAATCTCAATTCATACCAAGGCATCGGACATCGGGTCTTTTTCTGTCGGAATCTGCCGCATTCAGGTGAAACCTCTCTGGCTCGTGACATCAGCTATCGTGATGAGAGCGTTGCTATCGACAATCCCCTAGCAATACCTTCGTCAATAATAAGGCAGTAGGATGGAACTGGTAGGAAACACGGACAGATGTCTGTACCTGGGGATCCATATGACAGAGACACGCTATCGCGACTTCGAGCAGAGCTATCGTTGCACGATCTCTGATCGGTGGAGCAAGCTGTTGGAATGGATAACGCACTAGTCGCAAAGAACCAACCTGCCGCTGCTCAGACTGAAGTTGGTACAAACAAAAATCTGTCTGCCGACTCCCAACCAGACATTGTCCACATGGATGTGGAGTATAGCTCATCACCTGTTCCAACATCCGGCCCACTTTGTTCAACTGAAGGCATGTGTAGAGCCCAAACATGACGGGTGGTTAACCAACCCCCCAAGCGCAGATCTCGTGGCGATTTGGCATATGCGGTCCGTTCCAGGTGCTCTACTTGCCATAATCGCTGTTATCATTGCACGATGCGGCAGCATGGATCCAACGATGATTGGCATTTCCGAGCTCGACTCGGGTATTGCCGACCGAGAGTTTCAGGCATAGCAGAGGTGGCATGCCAGCAACATCGTCAAATGGTCATTGAATCGGAATGAAAATAGCGATCCTCGGAATGAAGTACAGATGTGGGACATAATGAGGCATGGAGGTCTTCTTGCATGTATTGGATCCTCTTGCCATCGACATGGCGATGCCACCTAGCAGGGAGGTCAAGTCTCGAGTGAATACTGCGTTGGGAAGAACGTCAACGAAACTCCTGTGCATAACGAATAGTCAATTCTTGGACGTTGAAATACCTAACGGCTGGATTATGAAAGGCACGGTGTCGTAGCCTATAACGCGGCATCTCTTGTTCAAGAGATGCGTCAGCAAGCGGACTGTAAATCCGCAAGAACGACGAGATCACAAGTTTCTTCCATCATCACTACCGAATCAACCAAGCACTTGAACGGTTCGTTTTCCATGCCTGTCGGCTTTGTCCTTCGTCAAATGGGGGAAAGTGATACCGAGACCATGACTTCGGCTCTGATCGTTACTTGGAATGTACACAAAACGCGCAGGATGCTATAACGCGAAGACATGTGGGTTGATGAGTTGTTATAGGCCAATTGCGATAGCGATGAATGGCGGGGACTGGTCTTCTGAGTTTGGAGTGATGGCATACTGCATACATCCTTCTGCAGCTGATAACCAACTTGCAACGTCCAACGGGTGTATATCCGATGAGTCGACAGCCAACGGTTGACAGCAGCTACGTTAGACAGCATTTTTCTATGGAATGGGGACAAAGTTCAACAAATGATGCATATAACATGTCAAGCAGACGGACCGTTGCATTGCCGTCGGCCATTGTGTTGCTGTGAACAATATATCGGTATACTTTGGTGTTAGATGTTTAACAGAGATGCAACAACTTGTCAACAATGCGCGCTCTCTCTATCTCTCGTATGATGCGGCCGAAGATGCGCAATCTTGCCGCCTGCAGCCGAAAACAACCAACTGAGTGGTCGCATGCGTTTTAGCGGGAAAAGAAAACGTATAAAACACGAGTCTAGAAGTCGTGTAACATTCTGATCCGAACGTTTTACTTAGTTAGAGTGCCTGCATGAGTTGGGATGACAGCTCATACAACAGGCATCCTCCCTGTAGCCCCAGGCAATGAGGCTCGTTTCAGCCTTTCACCCACCCATATCAGCCTACTCTATTTTTAAAAGAAGCGGCGACTAGGATCGCAAGAGGCTCTTTCCAATTCCAGATTGTATATTAGAATGCCATGTGGTGCAGTTTCGAAATTTCGAACGAAAATTTTAAATCCTTCTGGCGCCCGAACGACCGAACCCCCCCGGGGAACCCATCGTGTTAGTCGGGGTTTGTGCGCTCGTTACCCAGGCCCCCGGTGTCCTTGGACCCCTCCAGACCAATATTTATTTTCTAGATCCTCGAGCACACTTTCGACTAGGAGGGCTAGCTTGAGTTTTTCCGTCGGGAGAGATTAAGATGAGTGGCTATGCTGGTTGCTTGTGTAATTGGCCGTGTCGTGCGGGAGGTCTGTCCGCCCCGGATGAAGGGGGAAGGGAGGAGAGCTATCCAATATCGAAATCGCAGGATCAGGTACTGCTGGCTGACTGTAGAAAATCTCTCCATCGTGATCGCGGCCCTGCCCTGTTTTCGGGTTTCGGCCCGTTGGCAAGCCAGGATTGACTCCCGCTTGCCCGCTGCCAGTAACTCCTTTCCCCTCAGCAGGAAAGACAAACAGAACAATCTCTCTAAACTGTATACTCTATTTAGGGTAGATCTTCCCCGTAACCCACGCTAGCTCGGAAGCTACATCCAGTCGGCAGTTGTGTCGATCAGCCGCCCGCGTACACTGGCATAGAGTATGCATACTGTGCAACAGGAACAAGGTCTTAGTTGTGTTGACTATTGGAAAAGCATTGTCATGCACAGTGACATTACCGCATGTGTGTATAGAGTCTACAGATACATTTTTTCCGTCATGATGGCGTCGCTTGTCGGTACCTGTGGGTTACTCTCTGATGTGATGTGTCGAAGCCACAACGACAAGTCTATATTTGTTTTCTTCGGACGTACTCATCAACAACAGCCTGCAGCAGCAGCACCACGAAAATTAATTAGGTTCAGGGACCTTGGCAAGATCCAATGCGTTTAGCTGCATATGTACTCACTCTGCAGCGTTGGCTCCTAGGGATCAGCTTAGTTGCTTTGGTGCTAGCACGAACAGAAACAAGGTCTGTCCGTCTAGCTGGGAGCTTGGGAGCTGAAGCTTTCGTTCTTGTTTCTCTCCAAACGCGTCTCTGGAGATGGAGAGGTCTCGCCTCAGTTCCGCGCGGCGCCACCCCTCCCCACCTTACGTTCCCGAATGATGGAGTGCAGGTGATGAGCGATCCCGTCAGAGAACGATAGCCCCCAAATCAATACAAATCACAACACAGTAAGCCAGACAAAGGCCCGCGTGTCCGTGTGGTGGCTGGAATGAAGAAGACAGAAAACGACTGCCGACACATTCTTTCCGAGCATCCGATCCGTATTCCCTCAACCTAAAGAAGACATGTTGGATGGCGTCTGTTTGTTATTGTTATTCTCGCTGCTCTCTGTCGGACCGCCCGTCTGCTTGCGTGCTTGCCGTCTCATCCACCCGTTGCGTTGCAGCAGCACCCGCCCCCCAGGTGTGTTCAAGAAGTACGAAGTGCGCATTGTCGTCAAAGTGCTTTTGGGCCCCTAGCCGCCACACCAACCTGATGATACCACCGGCGCCATCGTCATATTTTTTCTTGGTCCGTCGTTTGTCCTTTGCATTAGGCTGTTTTTACCAGCTGGGCAGGCTGGGGTGGGGGGAAATTCTTGCCTTGTCGCATTCCGTGGCGTAGTGCGCCGCCCCGGGGACAAGACTAAGCTAAGGATACGAAAGAGGAGGCTTGCACAAGACATTGGAGGGGCCAGACATTGGAATCCCTCGTCCCCCTTGCTGTTATGCATGCACAAACAATTCCCCAACCTGAGCCAGCTAACGTTCCTTGTTACATTAGGCTGGCTTTATTATTCTGTATCTGTATCCTCGTATGTTGTTGCTTGAACCTAAGTATTTTCTCCACTTATTCTAGTCAAGCCTCACGAGCCTCCAGCTCCTTCCCCGGGGCATATATCACAGAGCTCTGCCCTGGATCCTCGTCCAAGTGCTCGACATTCCCGACTATCAATGTATTGGTAGACCACTCATCCTCTTTGGAGTAGTCTTCTATAAATCATCATACCCGTCATTCAGACCCAGATCCAGTGTTCGATCTAGCTCGATCGATTTATTCATCGTGATCATGGACTACATTTCCGCCCTCGAGAGATCTTGTCATCAGAAAGCCGTCATGTGGGCAGAGGCACCGAGAAGCAGAACTAAGCAACAGCCGGCCAGGGCATCCAGCCGACTCAACGGGAGGACCAACAACTTCTCGTATCCCCGGCCCGATGGTCATCCCCCACAACATGAATCGGCCGATAGCCGGTCGTCGTTGACGTCCAATGGCTCCATTCCGGGCATGACCGATGCCTCTGACTCCGAGGTATCTGCGGATGACGATTACCATTATAACACTTCAGCTACCAAGCTTTGGGACAGCTTCTGGCCGACGGGGACAGACAAGGCTGAATCAATACCGAAGCAACAGAATTCTAGTCGAGACTTCTTCACCATTAACTATTCGCCATCTCGATCCCACGAATTGGAAGACGACACCGTCACCATCACAGAGAAAGACCCCCTGGACACAACCACTGCCTATTGGTCATTCGAAACTCCGAGGGCCTCCCCTCCTCGGCCGAAGAACGTTAAGGATACCAAGGACAACCGAAAGTCGAGCTACTCGATATACCCCAAACTCTCACCAACAATTATCTCCACAGCTCCTTTGCCGCCTCGCTCCTCATCACTCTCAATAGAGGCTGCATCGGCACAAACCATTCGGCGCAAGTCGATCAAGGCCACCAAATCCCTGGCTAGCATCCACTCAAGCAAATCAAGTGCCAGTTCACATCATCTCTACCTCGCACCCCCCGCGCCGGAAACCTCCAGCACAACCACAATTTCAAAAGCTAAATCACTCAGCATTGCCCCCTACGGTGACTATCTTCCCGTTCCTGTAGCGGCCCCCCCTCTCCGCCCTTCAACATCAGCGTGCAATACATGTGAGCAGCCGCGGCGCCCATATCCCACAGCCACGCAGCATAACGCCACCGCGCCACTAGCTCCTCTGGCGCAATCCAGCACCACGGATCTCAACAATCACCATCAACGCCTCGTGCGGCCACAACTAGAGCGGTTTGTCTCTGTGTTCGAGACTGACTCGGAGAATGAGTCAGATGGCGAGAGCAGCGGTCTGGCTAAGCGCCTCGCCCGCGGTCTGCACCACAAGAAGAGCGCGAGTGCTGAGAAACTTCGGGGTAGTAGTCGAAGTCGGCCTACGTCGTGTAGTCGCGATGGGAGTGCCGAGGAGTTCAACAACAGTGCGAGTCACAGTCGGAAACGGGGGAGCTCGCTGGGGCGGATGTTGGGATTGAAGAGTCGGTGATGGGATGATTCATCCGATTCACAAACATGCGCAACCACCAACGCCATAACTCACAAACTCACGACATTCACAAGCACACACATCCACTAGCAAGAAGAAAGTTACGCCATTCACTATGTTTTGGGTTACTAGCATTGGTCTATTGAGTACAGCAACAACATTAGGGCAGCACAGCACAGCACAGCACAGCAACGGTGTAAACAGAGAGAGGATCAAATCAGACAGCATTTGCAAAGGGCGATCATATCATCATTACGACGGAACGGGAGAAATCGACGCAAAACAAAGAAAAAAAGTCTCGCTATGGCCTTTATCCTTTTCGGCCCGGACGATAGAAGTATAAAACCAAAAAAGCAATCTAACCAACCTTGCGCATTGACGACAACGGGAACGGGAATGTAGCGCCAGGAGCGAGACAAGAACAACATCAACATGAGCACCAGTCTACAGGATAGAAAAAACAACATGAGAGTTTACGGCACTCCGGATTGCCACATAAAAAATATCGCCACAAGGGGTTTGTTGGTGAATAGAACGACAGCCGTCATCGGATATGGCGCGCCCGTCTTTTTGAGTGCGTCGGCTGTCTTTCACCCTTCTATTTTTTTTTCCGATTCAGGAAATATTATGTACGAGATACGACGAACAATTTTCATCTGTTGAACACGGACACGAGCTTTTGAACGATTATGAGCTAGATGTGTTCTTATTTTATTTTGTACTATATTCACATCGTCGATATGAATATCTTCTCCATTATGTTGACTTTGTATGTCGTTGTTGACCTGGTTCGTGACTGGAATATTTATTGGCTTCAGCCAATCCCGGGTTACGTCTTCGCGTGTAACGGTCGTGGACTGATAGTGTTCTAGATCATTGAAGCAGACGTAACTTACATACCCAAACAATTGACCTCGTTTAGCAAGCCTCAATGTAGACCCTCTCGATCCTCGGTCTGCTCCGACAATCTGGTAGATCATTTGGCAATCGAGTCATTAGCCAGCAACTTGCAAGGAGCAGGGGGGAGAGTTATTTGCTTGCTTATCGGAATTTGCCTCTTGCAGTAGATATCTTCTGCTTGCTTGCTGGCACAACGGAACCTGCAACTTTATGAACCTGGGCAACAGATGGATATTTGCTTGATGAGAACCACTAAGAAGTCGCTGTTGTCTGCCCTTGATTAGAGCTATGACGTTGGTTGAACAGACAGTCTTGTGCAAACCAACCAACCAGTTTGTTTGCTTGGTGGCAAATTGTTGAATCTTCATCGTTTGGATGCTAGGCTACTACCTCTTTTGGCACGCTGAAGACGGCATTGGCCTTCGTATCCCCGGGTCGACCGATCGTTGGAAATCGAGATCCAGGTCCGTCCGTCCGTACTTATTCACGACATACCGCTTGCTCATGGTATCAATTGAAGGTAGGTTCATAGGTTTTTAAGTCATGAGAAAACTCTTGTATGTGGTAGAAGCAAACGAGGAGACCAAACTGTCCTTCCAAGTTCATTATTAAGAAGTAATTGGCAAACCGCCGCAGTAATTACTCTCGTATTATCGTGCTTCTCTGTATTCCATCCCCTCATAACGCCATGCTAACTAACATGCTTTTTCATGCATCGTAAAACCATAAACCATCAAATCCATCAAACTGTATCCAATTTGCCTAACATCGTCTGACCATAAATGCCATGAAGATTCTCGTTCTCGTAAATCTGGTGCAAGACATGACTAATACATGTATAACACCCGTCTACCTCATCATCGAGCTGCTACCCTGGACCACCGGCCTCGAGATGTTGTCGGCATTGTACGGCGCGAATCCACTCTCTTCCCTCTGGGCAAACTTGAGAGCGGCAGCAGCATTCCGGAGCGACCTCAAAACACCATCGTCGCTTACTCCCCGGTTTCTTCTATTCTCGGCACCCCATCGCTTCTTTTCAAGTGTGTACTTGTTGTACCGCTTGATGCCCAATCTTTCCTGCCTGTTGCGACCGGTACCAAAACACCACCGATCCTCCCTGTCGGAGTAAGCGCCCAGTCTCCCCTTGAGGGCCATTTTATCTGGAGCGAACAGGAACGCCTCGTCTGTCCGCAGCTCTTCGTTTGAGCAGAAACTGATGATTTCGGCCAAGCAGGTGACGGCATGAGGAAGGCGGAACTGATCCCTTTTCGGGACGAGGGAGACGACCCCGAGCAGGAACAGAACCAGGAGCGTGAGCACAAAGGCGAGAGCTGGGACGTTGGGATACATGTGCACGATGCCTGATGGGGGCGTTAAGGCCATGAACAGCCCACCGGCCACCACAGGCAACAAGACGAACATAGTTGACAGTAGCGACATGAAGGCCACGCGCCAATGGCCATTCCGGGCTGCTTTCCACGTCACCTCTAATGGATAGCACGCAGCGTAATCCACAAGCAGAGACTTCCTCGCTGTTGCTCCTCTGTCCTGCGAGAGCTCTCCCCACGGCGTCAGAACCCGTAAAGTGAAGTCCAGCGATTGGAACATGAGGAATAGTACCAGGCCGAGCAAAGATGGCACGAATGAGTAAACAAAATCGGCTGCTGAGAAATCTCCTGTAACGGGAGCTGCGCTCAAACCTGGGAGGAACCCATGGCGCAGATCCGTTGATGGGTTGAAAGAAACAACGAAGAGCGCAATAAGCACAATCGACATTGCCACAACCCACATGGTGACCTGGCCATTACGAAGGCACCAAGGCAGGTACCGGTGGCGCACACTGCTGCAGTTAGGCGTAGCACCCAAATCTGCTGCCTGCGCTTCTCCTCGACGGTCCTTCTCGTGTACCGGAGGCCCAAGTTTTTCAATGTCGACTTTCTGTTCGTCCGTTGGCACTCCGATGCCGTACCAGTTCTCAAAAGGTACAGCCCCTGAGGCGTACCACCAGCCAAGCCGTTCGTTGTTTCCCTTGAGCATATGTCTCATGCTGGTCCGCGACGCCACGGTTTCAGTGCCTTGGTAAGGCTGCAATGAGTTGCTTTGGCTCAACAAGAATATGATGTCGGCTAGTGATCTCAGATCCCAGTTCCTTCGCATGCCTGTTCGGCGGTTGTGCCAGAACAGAATGAGGACGCCGATCGATAGCAACAACAGCACATATGTGAATACCAATATCCAAGCCACGCCCTGCACAGTCGACCATCTCCAAGTTCCGTTCACCAGAACCACTGTAAACAGACTGCTCTGTAATGGAATTGTAATGTTCAAAATCCAGGTTACAATGACGGGTATCCAGAAATGCCAAGTGCTAACAAGTTGTGGCCAAAGAAACGACTTGGGGTATAATGGCAAAAACCCAACGTTTCGTCGATGTGGTATATCATCCGAAGCCATTGCCGAAAAGGGGAGAACGCGAAATGCGGTGATAATGATGCACTGGGCATAAATAAGCAAGACTGCAGCGAGGAGTTGCGGCAGGATTCGAAAGACGAAGTAGTCGCCGCTGTATATGGTCGTGAACGCCGTCAGGCCGTTTCGCCGACTCGAGTAGACAGCACAGAACAGAAGAGCCCCAATCATCAGGGTACACAAGAAGGCCAAAAGTAACAATGATGGAACCCGCAGTATCCAAGGCTTGAAAGTCAACGGCTGCGGCTGAAGCTTCCCAAATTCTGGCTGAGGATCCACGCCTGGTCGAAATGATTGCCAACAATCCATCGCTCGAGGATACTTCTCTGGGTTCAAGGGCTTCGAAGATGGCGCCGGGTCCTTGAGCCTCCTGGGTAGCCATTCAGACATATTGTACCAGCTATCTTGTGGCTTCTCTGTTTTTGGCGGGAGAAAAGTGTATGGTGCCGGCAGTCTGATCGAGCCCTGGTCACCCGACATCGACCGTGCCCGTCGTTGCCGCCGCGCAGCAAGTTCTGCCTCCGGACTGATTTCGTCTTGGTTTTCGGGGTTCCCCTCCGTTGGTACTGGTTCCGAATAGAAGCGGCCATGGCCGGGGACAAGAGGGGGCTGGCAATCCGATCTTTGGATGGGCAGCAACGACTGATAAGGAGTGGACTCGGTATGGACTGGAATAGAAACGGGGGCAGGAGGGGCTTGGAAGAGTCCCGGTGTTGCATTCGGCATGAATCGATACATCGGGTTCGGCTCATCACTGCTGGAAGATGGGTTTTTGGAGTCGCCCCGTCCCTCCTGCCCCTCTCGACGTTCGGTCAAAACATCCAAGGCATACTGGATGTACGGGCCCTTGTCGATTCCAGGCGTCACTGAAGCTTCAACTTCACGTATCAGGTCATCTTTGAAATCCATGGCGCCGATGTTGGAGGGTAGGCGCGCGCTATAATTTTTTTCTTGATTGGAGTGATCGAAAGGACGAGTACTCAAAGGCCCGTGGACATGGTGTGTCACCGCTCGTTGGTGGTTGAACAGTCGGTCGGGCCCATATATCTCTGATTCGGACGGCGTCGAGGGAGGTGATGGGGCATCCGCAGGCGAGGTTGCCTGCGAAATAAAGGCTTGCGGTGCGGATGCAGAGGACTGCGCTCGTTCGCCTTGGATTTGCAGCGGTGGAGCGTGGAGGACGGTGACTTGTGATGCGATGGTTGGTGGAGTGGTATTTGGAGTATGAGGTGTTCTTTGGGTTGAATATATTCCTGAGCACATATAATGAATTAGCTGAGATTCGCTCATGAATCATCCGCAATATAGACATACGTTTCTGCTGTTCGACATAGTCAAAGTTGAGGTTTTGACAGTTCATTATGTGGCGGTCACTCTGCTGCGGGCCAACTCCACTTGGACTCGATGGGGCTAGTTGCCAGGACAGCAGTCAGGCTATCATAGATGCAGGTCTTGGAATGTATTACGAAAGACTGCAGGAACGGGACGTGGCTGGAGGCAGCTTTTGTTCTCCATGCAGAACAAGAGGCTGGTTTGCGCGGGTATGAAGACAAGGAAAGAATTGAAAGGTTGGGTTGCCCAACCACCTTGATAAAGCTGCCCATGTCGACTAAACCAAGTGCCGTTTCATCAAAATACCGGAAAATGCAGAGTCATCCTCACACTAAAATCTGGTCAGGTCAGTCAAACCTCGACCGATATTTCTTCTCACGCGGAATCTGCTATACTGCCTTCATGGACACTTGGTTATGATCAATGATGAAACCTAATGCGGGCAGATGAGGGGCAAGCTGGCACTTTCTCGTGAGTGAAATTGGGTGAGCTTCTCCAACTGCTAAGCGGGAGCTTGGGCCATTTCATCTGAAGGCTGGGGTGGCATGTTAAGTGGGGCTTGATGAGAATGGGACATGTGGAACTTACGGCTGAAATCTCCAGCCCTGCATTGATAAAGTTGTGCAATCTCCTAATCTCCTATTACTCAAAGGTAGCGCTCCTTTGGCAATTGATGCTGGGATCAGAAAACCCGTGAGGAACCTACCCTCATGAGGTAGTCATGTTAGTCCCAGAAATGTCATGTCCAGCCTTTTCGCAAGTCACGCCGGATCTGAAATCCCAAGGTTGTGTTGCCTCTCTTTTCATATGACCTTGCGCTCCCTGAGCCGGTCAACTGGTACCTTACATTAGCGCATCGTCCTGATTCCTTGATCCCGGAAGCAAATCGACGACCCCAGCCGGAAACTGATCCACATTGCCTTTACCACGTACTATAGTAGTAGGGTAGCTCGCCGAGTGTGGAGTCGTCATGGAAATACGAAGAATAGCAACCCTGCCCTCGCTGATGCTTACACTTCAGTGCCCCAGTATAGAACTGCAGACTGAATAAGGGAGCGCATGTAGCATATAGTAGCGTGTCTTATTTGTAATGGTAAGCAAGTTGTCAAGATTGCTGAATGCTTTGCCCCATACTTCAAAGGTTTGCCCAATGCTCTATTGTTGTGTCAAATTAATTATTGAATTCACAGTCCCGATTACATATTTGGAATCAAGCAATATCGTCTGGTGAGATATAGAATGGCCACCGAAGCTACTTGACCTCTCGCAGCATGGGTGTAGTGTTCACCTAGGTGAGAGGTGTAAGACTCTGCACTCACAATGGTGATACTAGAGTTGAAGGGGTTGAGATTATCTGCAATAAGTCTTCTGAGGGATATGTGAATGCTGTAATGAACACAACTGTTGTTAGTGACTCACATCTACTAGAAAATGCGTGACCAAGAACAGACTTGTTTGCTTCGGCGTACCTGGGAATAATGCCTGTCCCTTACAATAGTCCAAAGGATTCATGCTTCATGTGGGTGGACTGAGCAAAAGGCAATATATTCGAACTTTAAAGCCCACCAGTCAAGCAAGTACGTCACCTAAAAATAGTGGGCGCGTATAATCACAAATTGCCTTACAGCCCGTGGCCGGTTAGTGTGAGAATTGCGGCGAGAAACAGGATTTAGAGGATAATGACTATGAAGTTAATAATAAAATAATGATTAGCCATGTGAACTACATGGACTTGGAGTGGCAACGTCAACCTAATTCGGAAGCTACAAGTCCTGCCCCGGAAGACTTTAGAAGCAGGAAGACAAGCCGTAGTATGATTGGCTCAGGGTCACCACCTGTGAAACCTGTTGATACGGATACTATTCTTGACGTTTGCACTACTCAGATAGCTGTTATTAATGAGTACATCCAACTCAGTTCCTCGATGATACAAGTGGCACTTCTCCAGCGGTTCTTAGGTCAAGAACTCGATATCTTGAAAATTTCCTCAAGTTGGACCCGACTTACACTGAAACTGAAGTGTTAAGAATCCGGGAAGGCAATGAGGAATCTAGCTGGGTCGGTCTTGTTACCTCTATGTGAAAGTCACTATATGATTCGAGTACCGACATTCATCCTAGCAACCTACCGACAGCCCCATCGCCTGGTCAAGTCAAGAAGAACGTGATCTCGATCGCCATGTGTTCCTGGGCCGAATGTCGAAAATAAATACCACGATGATTCACGACAGTGCCTCACACATTCCAAAATCCCAGTTGCTCCGCCATCTCCAAACTCGCGACACGTTCGTTCCCCTTATTTTGCGTTCGGTTTCTCGGCGAAATTCTCGTGGCGATGGAATGGACGTGCGACGAGGAATAGTAGAATATCAGGGTGGGTTTCATTAGCCCGTCTAAGCCAAATTAATCAACGGAGAGTCAACTCAATGTCATCGGTGCTGAGCCCGATGTCTTACACGGGGCGCTGCTCGCTAACTACCCGCAACGGAAAAGCGGCAATGGTATTCGTTCCCTTGCCTCCCGGATGAGAATGATCAAGATTGACTGGGTGTTTCGACATGGCATGAAAATGGCAATCTGGGAGGATTCTCGGGGGGCTGACAGGGGAACTGGTTGTGATTATAAAGGTTTTAGGTGATCTGGTGTTGGGGGATGATGGATAGACAAGCAAGCAGGCAGACAACAGAGGGAGCAGCTGTAGTTAGAGAGCAGAGCAATTGTAGTTTCATGAGAAGCAGTCCAGGAGAGGTCCTCCTCTAGTCAGCCAAACCCTCACCGTCCTCGTTCTCACTCCTAAGTCAAGATGCTGAGCCACATCGTCCTCGCGGGTGTCATCCCGAGTATTTCCCTGGCAAAGCTATCGTAAGTGATAAATAAACCATGAGAACATTATACTAGAAATTAACACATCAAAGTCCACAGACAATGATGATGGTGATTGTGTCGGACTCTTCTGCAGCCTCCCTCACCACCTTTGCCGTCACAGACGCCGGGATGAACATGGCCAGACCATCAGACAGACTAGCGTCGCTGACCGAGTCAATTACTGAATCCCCCACTGAGTCAGCAACTTCCTCCGAAATGCCAACAAAGACCGATATCTTCGAGGAGTCAAGCACTTCGGAGATCCCGGATATCGTCAGCCGCGAGGTCATATCGACCCTGTCCGACGACTTCCTCTTTTCCAAGCGAGCCATGACGACCCACACAAACGCCGATGAAACCTCCAGCTTCTTCATTGAGTTCAACGCGACCGGCGAGTTCACTACGGCCATCGCGACCGACGCTTAGAATCTGGAGACTGAAACAGTCACTTTCGACGACTTTCCTTTCCCCAAGCGAGCCACGGCTACCGATGTTAGCAGCGGGGAAGACTCCAGTCTTTTTGCTTCGTCTACGGCGTCCGAGGGTCCAGAGTTGCCATTGAAGCGTGAGTTCGAACCCACGGCCTCTGAATCTACCTCTGCCTCTGCCTTTGACACCTCCACCTCCGCCTCCGACGAATCCATCCTCCCCACCAGTACGATGCCCTACTCCTACTCCTCGTCTATCGCCATCTCCATGGAATATTTTTCCCAACCGATTTCCCCCTTGAGGCGAGCCGAACATTGTCTGGAGGGCTGCTACGAAGATGAGGTCAGCAAGTCGATGTTGGAGGTTGCTTCTGCGGCTGCTTCTGCCGCAGCATTCGCCGACACGCCTCAAGTTTTGGACCGTAGCTGGATATTTGTGGAAGTTGGATGGGTGGGACTGGGGGGAGGACATGCTGAATCTGGCTTGAAACGCTGGTGTGGGAAAATGATGTGGCGCGAAGTGCCTCACGGTCGCTGTCTTGATGACTGAATGATGTGATATGAATGACTTGGTTGGGTCTCTCTGGCTCTCGGTGGATTTCCCCAAGAGCTGAACAGGCACGAGTGAACCGGAAAGGGATTAGTAGCAACGACGAGCTCCTCCGGCTCGAAACTGAATGAATGACACACTCGCTTTTTGGATGGAAGCATTACTTTTGCCCCAAATCAAAATCCAACGTTCCTCGTCAATTCCTATGCTCCATCCCCCTTTATGCCTTCAATGCCTCCTCCAAACTCTTCCCCGTCAACCGCTGATAAACGTCTTTGTACCTCTCCGACGTAGCCCTCACCACCTCCTCAGGCACCTCCACATCAGGCACGCCTTTCAACCCCTCCCTAGTCAACCAATTCCTCAAAATCTGCTTATCGAAGCTATCCTGGTCCCTGCCAGGCTGATACGTGTCCGCTGCCCAAAAGCGCGACGAATCCGGCGTCAGCACCTCGTCCACCAGCACAATCTCATCCGTCTCCTCATCGAGCCCAAACTCAAACTTAGTATCCGCAATGATGATGCCCCTTTCGGCCGCGTATTCCTGCCCGGCCTTGAAAATCTTGACCGCCAGCTCCGCAATGCGCCCAGCGTACTTCTCTCCCACCAGCTCCGCCGTGCGGTCCGGGTGCACGTTCTCGTCGTGCTCCCCCGCCGCGGCCTTGGTGCTAGGCGTGAACAGCGCGCCTCCCGGAACCGGATCGCATTCCCGCAGACCGGAGGGCAATTTGACGCCATGCACCGTGCCGGTGCGCTCGTACTCCTTCCATGCGCTGCCCGTCACGTACCCGCGCACGATGGCCTCGATGGGGAAGACCTTGAGCTTGCGGACCTGCATGCCGCGGTTGCGGACGAGTTGCGCCTCGTCTGTTGACAACCGGCCGGCAGGGGTTTCGGAGGCGAGGAAGTGCGTTTTGAGCCCAGGCACCTTGAGCGGGAGCACCTCAAACCAATGGCGCGAAAGCGAGGTGAGGAGGGCGCCCTTGTCGGGCACGCCGTTCTTCATGACGACGTCGTAGGCCGAGATGCGGTCTGAGGCGACGAAGAGGAGAGTCTGCTCGTCGACCTCGAAGACGTCTCGCACTTTGCCTGCGGCAATCTTGGGGAGCGAGGTGAGCGCGATGCTCGTGACGATCTGGTTGGCTGCCATGGCGATGGTGTTGGTATGGGAAGCAATGCAACGGCAGTTGGGCAATCGCTCAAGTAATGGAAATGGACCATAGAACAAGTTACAGGGAATGCTCAACCGCAGTAACTAGATCAATTCTGGCGATTGGGTGAATTTTGCGATATTGAAGACTTGACCAAGAAGTTCAGACAGAATAAGTGGTCGCGATGCCGGCGCAATTAAAACTTTGTTCATCGGAGGAAGTCGGGGCTCAATTTTGACGACAATCAACCAACTTGAAATTTGCGTTCTATATTGTATCTTCCGCGCAACATTACACATTGTCACCAACTTATACAGCGGTAGGATTTGCAATCGGTTACCCGTTGTTGAGATGGATGCCTTCTGAATATTATACTCGCATCCGGCTCAAATTTGCTATCGCGTACTACTACCATCGTCTTTGGGCTACCACTCATCACGAGCGGTATGTAGGGGATCATAATGTCGTACGGGTAGAATAGGGATCGCACAAGAAAAGGAACTACAGGTTAAGGAAGGGTATTGTTGGCTTGCTGCTTGCTACTGTATTTGGGGGACTATGGTACTTGAATAAATGCAAACTTATATGATGCATAACATGATTCCAAGCGTCCAAGACGATAAAAATGATGATAGATTGGACAGCAATGGGGAAAACACTCTGATCGGTTCCTTGCAGCTCAGCTCATTCATCCAGGATGCTGCGCAAGCGACTGGCTGCTATAGCTTAGTCATCCCCAGCCCAGTCTGCCATCAACTGAAGGTATAAAAATGTGGTTATACAGAGACCAGTGAGGCAAGAAGATGATGTTTGAGAGGCTTGGGGGGAGGGAGGGGAGGGATAATCTTGGCTGCGCTGAGGTCAAGCATGTTGGCCCCAGGATGACAACCCTTCGGCAAACAGGATGTCGCCTTCGCGTTCTTTTGGTAAGGGCCATGCTGGCTAGCGTGTCAAGTATTTCCCTATAGATACCTTTCCCAGTTGTCCTCGATGCCCCGGTTGAAAGTGTGAAGAACTATTGGCTGCGCCTGCTGAGCTCGGTAGAGATATATGTCCACGAGAAAGATGAAACTCTCCCATTGCGCCTCCGGTCCACATGCAGAATAGATATTGAGGAGTGGACGATGTTAACCATCATGGTTGGACGCCACTGGCGTACGGCACCCAATATAACCAAGTAGGGCAGTGAACGGCCCGGTAGGGATTGGCTGGACGACCCAGAACAAAAAGGGAGATGTCGACGACAAGTTACTGCTATGGGCCGTCATACATGCTGCTCACTTTAAAGTCATCGAGGTTGTTTTACGTAAAGATGGTGACCCGGAAGTAAGCCAGAAACAACTGTGGTGCAACGTCAGAGTCTGAAGCTGGAAAACGTAGTTGGCATGTCGTCCTGAGCGAGCTTCAAGTTCATGTAATGATCGAGGCACAGCATGAGAGCCAGCGGCAGGGCGCCAGGGTATGGTGAGAGAAGGTGCCTTAACTGGGCGATCCAGGCCATCGTAGAGCGGGTTTGACAAGTCCAGCGTTACGTCATGGATTGGTGCGGCACTGCCAGAAGCTCTGCATCGTGTGATACCCAGCCGAGCAGTGTGATGATTGTAGGACAGACGTTATTGATCGTGTTGGTACAACCCAGGACTCTTCTCTGTTGCGCATGCACGAGCATCAACAATATGGACATTCCAAACATGGTGAAGTTGATCAGTTGCCCGCCAAATGGGCAAGTTTAGCATCTCCTCTTGAAGCGCAACCGAGCGTACATTCTCATGGACCTGTCAAGCTCTAGCTCAACTCCAGACTCGAGATTGCCGGACATGCCCAAGCCACAGACAGCTGCCGATGTGAACAGCCTGCCTACACTGGGTTGTGAAGTTGACAACACAGCAGGGGGGATTTCACGGGAGGCTGCTGCAATGTCACCAAACCGAGGCCAGCCATTCGTCCATGACGAGGAAAAAGAGGGCAAAAACGTATACAACGGACGACAACCTTATTTTCGTCCCAAGTGCGAATGGGAGGAGGGAGATCTGCGAATCCAGACGACAAATGGTTAACAACGTTCTCGTTCGATCTTTGACAGATCTGCCGGAATCGAAGGCCGGTGATACACCTGGCTGGTGGTATAACCATGCATGCTCCATAGATAATAGGACAACTCGCAGTAATGGTGTATCACAGGTTAGTGGTGCATCTCTGGGACGATGGGAACAAAATGTCAAACGCTGCACATATTACTTTGTATCCGTGAGACCAGGAATCCAGCCACGGCAGCCCGCAAAAATAGGACGGATCCTAGCACTTGTCCGTCAGGAGTCATTTTCGAACTGCCAAGCCGATCTCAGACGGGTACATTCCAGGAGAAAAACCAGGAATACATTTTGAAACATCCGAGCACAAGAGCATGGGTAGCTGCCTGTCAACCGTCAAACCATGATGGGCTTGTGTGTTGGCCGTTTGACGAAGGGTGCCGATCCCGGCATTTGCTTGTCGGGCTAGGAATAAAGCGAGACGTCTTGACTACTGAGGCGTGGGAGTTGCCGCATCCTGCCGACGACGTTTTGACCATTTTTGAAGTCAGAAGTATTCGCAAAAGCATACGTGCATGAGGAAAAAACCTGGGGAAGCTCTCAGCCAACACTCGGGACGGCGTGGTCTACGATGATTTGTAAGATCCGGGAATGGGTATTGTTGCAAGATTTGATTTGACAGATTTTATCCATGGAAATCCATCTCAAGTGGTTGCAGCAGCAAGGTGTTTCCGAGACGCCCAGCTGAGGCTGTTATTAAGATCAGACCAAAAGCATTTGGGGTGGCTGCATACCCAAACACAGAAAGAATAGCACAAATGGTTCCAGGCCGACAAAGCTCATGGCCAGAAACGATGCAGGTTGACGAGAAGAAGGTTGCGATCGGGAGGGGTGAGCAGGGCGACCAGAGGTACCGGGAGACATTCCTGATGTACTGGTACTTGGCTGATAGATCCGTTTGCTCTCAAGCCGAATTCGGGAGTTCATTGACCACTCTTTTCAGCATTTAATCGCTACCGACATGCAAGGGCTGCGAGGTTTGTTGGACAGCCAAACAAACATCCAGGTGGAGACGCAGACTTCATATCTCCAAGCGCCGGGCTCGACATGGCCTGGTACAATGGGATTGTTGTTACGTGTGTAGCGGATTATGGACAGTGACCTCGGTCCCTTGCGGGGGTGTAGGAGCACGCATCTCAATCCAGCAGATGCAACGAGGCTATTCTATCTGATGACACACCCAGATGCCGTGATGCAGATTCATGTCGACATCAGCGATTGCTCGGAGTCGTCTGATGTCCGGGGGTTAGATTGATTTTTATTTCTCTACTGACCTTCGAGGAGACATTGAGCCGGATACCGGACGTAGAGCTCGGATCAGCCGAGCGAGCCCAGATCTAACATCCTTGGATTCCCTCGACTATTGAGTCAGGTGTTTAGACCAAGAAAAAAGGGTTGTTCCCGACGATTGATTTATTCGTCAGTGCGTCATCACAGTATCATCTGTTCCGCTTCTGCGTAGGGTAGTGCCGTCATTACAGCAATACGACGCTCAAAGCTTGGAACTGAAATGAGAGTAGCAGAGAGCATCGGTCTCGTTATGAAGACGAAGTAGCTGGAAAACAGCAAATACAGCCCAACTCAGCCGATGGAACAACATTGCCGAAAACGGCAATGGGCAGCATTAGCCGTGTCGCTTCAATCCAGCAGGGCGCTTGCGCTTTGTACCGCACAATGGATTGAGTGGAATGCAGTTGGAACCGTCTACAGTCGATTGCTCCCTGCATGTACGAATCAACCATTGCTTAGCGGAATCGACCCTTGAAAAGCAAAAATGAAAAGACGCAGAAGTAGCCATTCACCATCAAACTTCGCACCACCAAACTCGCGATTCGATGCTTCCGCCCAGTCTTTTCTTGAGAATACTGAAAACCAGACTCGCGCCGATTCCCGCCTGCAGGCGGACCCCAGTCGTAACCGATTTATGCATGTCAGCGCACGACCTCGGACTGTCAGTAGCTGGTACTTGTCAACGCTAGCGTGATACTTGACTCTCCAACTACCTTGTCACCCTATGTCACACGTCGCTGGCGGCCGTCCAAGGGACCCCCCCCCCAACCAGGCCTATCACCACTGGAAGCGACCTCTCCGCAGCGCAGCGCAATCCAAGGGGAGACACTGCAGCTTTCCTGCAATCACTTTCCTCCCATCATCATTGATGTTGTTCGCCACGACAGATTAAGAATCCTCCAACCATCTCATCAAGTCGATATCGAGATCCGCACACTAGCTCTGGAAGCTCTTCCCTGGAGCTGAGGCTTATTGTTTTTCCAGCAAGCGCCGACAAAGCCGACTGGAGCGACCGAGTTGTGCCGTGTCTTGCAACTTCGACATAGGTTTCACTGCTTTCTAGCTGCCACCAAACGCAAAACAACAATCGAGAACCTTTGCTGCGTCTTCCTCAGACGGCTGCTTATCCTGCATCTGCTGCATCTGCAAGGAAACAGCTTATTCCGACACCTGGTCCATTGCTCACCCGGCCTCGACCACGACGAGCGGGTGGCCGCGTGAATTGGACCTGCTGGTCCACCAGCCGTCAAGCTGGATTCGTAAGTACAAACAACCTCCAGCAAATTCACATAGAGTTTTTCGCTACCATGGTCCATTCAAACAATCCAAACACTATTTTAATGTGCCTGCCAGTCTATATTTGACACCCTGTCAATGACTTCCCTCATTCCCGCAAGACTCGTATTCATAGTCAGGTTGCCCAGTCCAAGAGCGCGTCCGCTAACATCATGGGATTCAGCTTCATTCAAGTGGCGGCCTGGACACCGCACCAGAGCCCCAGTCCCAAACCACAACGAAGCAGCTATGGTCATTTCCGCACCTTCTCATCCATTTCACAGCAGTCCACCAAATCGCTCCCGAAGCCGCCATCCATCACAGAGTCATCCGACATGGCGATATCAGGCGAGTTACCAGCGCTCCACCTACCGCCGCAACCAAAACGGATGCCATCCTCTCAGTCGCTCGTAAAAGATGAGGAATTTAGTACGAACCCCGATCCCCGAAGTCGCGCGGCGAGCCTAGTCAACTCAGGCGGCATGGCAACCCCCTTGCAGCATCCAGACTTGGACATCGAGGTTGCCACTTTGAGTACCAAGCTTGTCAACGCTCTTAATCATCAAACCACCCTGGACGACACCCTCGGCTCGACACGGCTCGAACTCGACTCAGCAAGAGAGAAGATACGAGAGCTCGAAGAGCTAGTGGCAAAGCAACAGGAAACCTTGTCCGGCGATGTGTGGATAAAACGAGAAAGCGTCGAGGCAGAGAAGGCCAGACTGCTAGCGCGTATCACCGAGGAGAAGAGGCAACGCGTCGAGGCTGAGAAAGAGAAGAGGAGGATCGAGCAGGAGCTGGAGAACCTCACTACTGCGCTATTTGAGGAAGCGAACAAGATGGTTATCTCGGCAAAAGAAGACGCACATAAAGAACAAGACATACTCCAACGCAAGAACGACCAGCTCAAGGCCCAGTTAGCCGACACTGAAAGCTTGCTGAAATCACAACAAGAGCAACTGACGGAGCTCAAGGTCGTCATGGAGCAGATGACGGCCGAGCGCGACGACCACAGTGGAACGACGCCTTCTTCACCTGGATTCAGCAAGTTTGATTCGAGAGAAGATGACAGCCAAGTTTCGGATAGCGCTTCTCACAGTGGAATCACGGAACCCTTTTCACCGACCTATCCTACCAGTTTTACCCATCTCCTACAACCTGTACTCAGAACCGACCTCGCCTCCTATGATGATTTCTTGACGCTCGTTCACACGTCCAAGAATGCTTCGAGTAGGGTTTCGTCGGGATCTTACAGCGGTCTCAACCCCCTATTGGGCCTTACCAGCGCTGGGTCTAACGCATCAACGACGTCACTCTCGATGATGGGAACCCCAACATCGAGCCTCTCTCCACAGACCCCGAACATGCCAGCATCCACCGTTAGCGCTGGCTCTACCACCTCTTCAGCCCAACTACCGCCTCTCAAGGAAACAAAGTTCTACAAGCGCGTGCTCGCTGAAGATGTTGAGCCAACTTTGCGACTTGACATCGCACCAGGTCTATCCTGGCTAGCTCGTCGATCTGTGATCAATGCCATGACTGAAGGCACGTTGGTTGTGGAGCCTGTCCCAACGAATAGTCCGTTCGCAGCCATTAGCAAACCACAGTTCTACCCATGTTCTCTTTGCGGCGAGAGCCGTAAGGATACGTCACACCTTCGCAACCACCGTTTTCGCACGAGCGAGGCCGATTCAGCCCAACGCTATCCGTTATGCAAGTACTGTCTCGGTCGCGTGCGGTCCACTTGCGACTTCTTGGGGTTTCTGCGTATCGTCAAGGACGGACATTGGCGTGCTGATGACTCGGATGCAGAGCGCGCTGCTTGGGAGGAGAGCGTCCGGTTGAGAGAGCAGATGTTTTGGGGCCGAATCGGAGGAGGAGTCATACCGGCTTCGCAAGCTCCCGTGCATGGCAGTATTATGGAGAAGAGTCCGCGGCCAAGTCAAGAAGTGCGGAGAATATCCATAGACGCCGGAGCGGAGGCTAAGTCCGAGAGGTTGTCTAGCAATTCAACTGAAATCGACGTGCCTGCAACAATGGATGGCATCATTGAAAAGGATGAACCCAAGGAGCCCATAATCACAGACGCGCCGTTGGAGACACAAGCGCCAGAAGCGCCAGCGTCGCAAGAACCCAAAGTAACACTGTCGATTACGAGAAACTCGACACAATCAGTTGAAGTCAGCCCCTTGGAGCCTAACAAGGCCGGCTCTACACAACCACTTGAGGTCAAGTCGCAGGAGGTTGACGTCGACACCTCGACACAATCACTGGAGGTCAAGCCCCAAGAGTCCGACATGGACGGAACTCAAAAACTTTCAATAAGCATTCCCGGCTCATTTGACGCCGAATAATTCACTATCACATACGTACTTACCTAATACCCACCCATCCCTTTAGAGTCACTCTGTGTATAATATTATTTTCTAAAATTGATGATCGAGACCTGGGACTTTTGTCGGGAGGGACACGACGACGGGCATGGGAGCATTGTCGGCGAGGCGTTCAAGGGGTGGATGGGATCATTTTACTGACGCAGGCAGGCAGGGACTTTGGTCGGCTGCGTCGCTCGTGATCTGGGCAGGGACTAGTTTTTGGGATGACCGAGCCTGGAATGGGTAGATAAAGGTCGCTCGGACAAGTAGCGTAGTAAGCTCGGGTATCAAAATACGCTGATGAACAGCAATAAGAAGTCTTAACGCTTCTAGGCCTGGACAAGGTAGTTGGGGTTTATCGCAATGGAATGAGGACTTATTATGGTAACTGTTGCGAGTCCTAGACACACCGGAGGTGTGCTGGGTGCAACGTTCGGGCCAGCTGCCCATAGAGAGCACTTCCGTAGCTGCAGACTCCTGGGAGTTAGTCCCATCATCTTCATCATCATTATCGCCAATACAGCTTTCTTGCCTGCATTGCCCATAATAAATCTGATTGTGGATATGCTTTATGTTTTTATTTATGTTCTTCGGATATACTTCTCTAGACCGCCGTATGTAGGTAGAGCATGAGAGTTGCGAAGTTACCCGCTATGTTGCAAAGCAAGCATGCAGTTATTCCCGGCGTCAACGTCGACATCTAACTGTAATGCACCTCTCCCACCTCGAGTATATAGTATGTGTTTGCAATGACCATGTTTTGGCAATTCGAAAATATTGGATCACAGATAATTCGTCCTTGTGTTGTGTTATTCTTATGATGCTCATCACTGTTTATAATGTCTTGTGTTTCTTTCATGAATGCGTGTTTTGGCAGAGTGAGGTTAGGCCAGCCAGATCTATGAGCAGGACCTTCCTTCTCTGGATCTTATATGCCACTATGGAGTGATTATAGTTCCTGGAGCAAAGCAGCAATCACTTATATGATAGAACATGTAGACAGCCCTACAAGCAAGAGATTATCATCATGATGTTTCGACCTAGCGCTAGTTCAAGAAGGCCCCAGGCGCTTGTGTGCTATCCGCGAAAGGACTACTGGGAGCTAGTTCAGAGCAGAACCCCATTTTTCCATCTATATTTGACCTCGTGCTCGAAAGAGTGAGTTCGACCCGTCGAGGCAACCTCATGCCATGCCAGCCCTCTCCGTATTGTTCGTTGTTTCCATGACTGGTTGCAGAAGACGATGAGAAGGAAGACGGGATACAGAGGTATTCGTAGAGTACTAGATATGTTTTCGAGATGCAAGATTACAATTAGAGAGGGAGGGGTGGTGGGCAGGATTTTTGCTATCCACTACCCCAGAGGACGACTGTCCGTAGATCAGGTCCTAAAACTGCAGACTGGTATATATGTACGAGTTCGTCTCAAGGGACCTACCTAGGTGAGCTGGCATGTCAAATAAAAGTATTATGTATACGCGTATGTATATATTTAGGTATATTTCCCGGAGACGTCCGTCTTCATGTGTTTTCATTACCTGGCACACGTACATGCTATGTGATGCTGTGCCGTTTCATAACCACCACCTAAGAACCGCTGACTATGCAAAGCACATCATCATAAAGCACAAAACATAAAATCATCTGCTCCATAAAAAGCCCTTGCCAAGGCCCCATCTAAATTGAGTTCCAAAGGAACGGTTCAGCCGGCGGGACCGGGGTGGCCGGTGGGTGGACGAGCGGCTCAACCTTTAGTCCCTGCAGCCCAACAAATGCTACCAGAGGTCGAGGTTGAATGCTGCGCACTTTGGCACGACAGTACCCCAATGATGCGCAGCGCAATGCCTGTAGCCTCCTTGCGACCCGCGCTTCCATAGCGTCGTGACCTGAAGAAGAGGTGGTCATCGACGACAATAGCCATTCACCAGATGCCGAGAATACTGTGGACTTCTGCCCCATCCACTGCGGACCGGTGTATGCTCGTGCGAGGATACCCAACCCCATTTTAAAAGCGCCCCTCCTTCTCCTTTATAAGTAGCCGCGCCATCGAAGGCGAGCGGACTTTCAGCTTGCATTCGAAAGGATGTGGGTCCCTGGCATGCCTTCAGATTAGTATGCATATATTAAAACATGCACCGTTTTGCCGGCTCGCCACCGCGGGAAAATGGAGAAAAAAAGGAAAAACCAAGAAAGTGAAATCGTCCAACTTACCCTCCCAACCCAACACTCACACTCGGCTCCGGAATCCTCAACTCCCCATCTTCGCCCCTCACCTGCTCCAGCTCGAACGCTGCCAAGAACGTAGCCAAGAACACATACACACTCGCAAGCGCAAGATGATTCCCGGGGCACTTGCGGCGGCCGAACCCAAAGTTACCCACGGGGTACGGTTCGGCCCGAGGCGGGGCGTAGCGGTCTGGGTCGAAGAGCTGCGGGTCCCGGTACGTCCTCGTGTCGTTATTCATGGCCGTCACGTTGGCAAACACCGTCGTGCCGGCAGGGATAAACATGTTTTCGTAGACGTCGTCTTCGATGCTTCGGTGGGGGATGATAAGGGGGTTGAGGGGAAGGGTGCGCATGGCTTCCTGGATGAAGTTGTCGAGGTAGGGGAGCTTGCCGCGATCTCCGTAAGTCGGGAGGCGTGGGGTCGAAGGCTCGAGGAGGAGGAGGGCGTCGAGCTCGGCGAGCAACTTCTGCTGCACGTGTGGGTATTTCGTTAGGAACATCAGGCAGCACTGGATGGTGGCCCACGTGGTGTTGCCGCCCGCAATGAAGACGGCGCCCGTGGCCCCCTTGAGGTCGGCCGGGGTTATGTCTTGCGGGATCCCCGCCTTCTCGTTTCGTTTGAACTTCTCCCAGTGGGTTTTCATGAAGGAGGGTGCCGCTGTGCCCGCCTCGATGTCCTTCATGTTGGCCTCCCACGGAACGTTCTGTACCGTCTGGATGGCGTTCCGGCTGGCCCTTGCGTGACGGAGTGACGGCGATGGGTTCAGCCAGTTGGGCAAGAAGCGTGCCGGCGGGAACAAGTCGACGATCGAGGAACCTGCCACACCGCCGCTGGTCGTGGCATCGTTGGCATCGAGCGACATTTTGACGTATGGGGAGTCCTTGTTGACAATCTCTTGGCCGAAGGCGATGCGGAAGATGATGCTGGTCGCCATGAGGAGGGTGATCTGTAACCAGTCATCAGGATCCTGCAGGAGAAACCGCACTGCCTTCCGGGCTTCGTGGACTTGAATGGGCCGAAACGTCTTCACGTTGGACTGCGTAAAGGTTTGCTGGAAGAGCGACCGATGGATTTTGAACTGGGGGCCGAATCTCAGGAAGGTCAACGTGAGACCCCATCCCATTCTTGGCGAGTGTCAGCTCGAAGGTAGGAGAAAGTGTTGGTAGCTGACTGGCTTTCTTACAACTCAAACAGTCTGAATCGTGGGCGGTCACTGTAGTTCAGTCCGCGTTTTTCGAGAAGCTCTTTCGCAGCTTCAATACTATTTAGACAGATCACATGCTGACCGAGCACATTCGTGTATATCACATCCGAATCTAAGCCAGTCAGTGTTTTTCATATCAACTTTACCGAAATCGATACGGATCGACTGACCATACTCTTTCCCCAACCGTATATAGTCTTGCTCCGGCCGATCAATACTAACTTGTCCGAAGTTCCCTATGAGAAACTTGCCGGGCGGTCCGGGAGGAAGAGGAAAGGGGGTCTTGTTGAGCGCGAGTTGGGTGTATAACAGGAAGAAAACCGAACCCAAAAAGGCCGCGAGAAACAGAGCCTGAAGGGGGTTTAGGGAGAGAAGCATCTGGACGACGACGGAAAGATGCCACAACATATTGGCGCAAGGTTTACGGTTTCCGGAGGTAAGTGAACGAGGAGAGTTCAACGGCTCCCCCTCCCCCTTCCCGGAGGCTGACAGAAGCATAAATGCATAGCGGATGGAAGCTTGTCAAAGCCAGGCAAGGTATGGCTATCAGTCAGAGAGCGTCAAGCGAATCTTGGGCTGAAATAGAGTTCTGCGGTGACACCCACCGTCGATTCGTTGAATGGACCGCTACAAAGGAGCCCCCACAATTTTACTGGGCTACTCCGCTCCCGCATCAATAAATAGCAGTGCTGCAATAAAGCATCATGGAGAGGTCGCGGAGAATCCAATGGATAATGGCTGAGTGACCATTATGACTACTTTGGGTGTTATTGGGTTGAAATCCCAGACGTCGCCGGGCCCCCAGAGGACCGTCGCTGCTCGGCATGAAGACGAGACAAGCGTGGGTTCCGTCATCGCTGCGGAGAAATAGGATCTGGAGCGAGTGCCCATTCGACAAGCTACCAGCGCGTGTCCTGCGAGGCATGCCGCTGACTGGCCTCAGGCTGCCTGGTTGGTCGGTCACAGATTTGCGATGGGCATCAACCGCCGCTGCAGAGTCGTACAAGCGCACAGCCAAGACGTCGCTGCGAATCACTGCAAGGCTGATCTGGTGTGAAAATACTCTCGGATCGGAGAGAGCTACCAATGATATCGATGCAGAATCCTCATCATTGCAGAATGTGGTCCCAGGATCATACCTAGGTTGCTGAAGAGCTGCACACGGACCCGACGAGCCGACGTACCGGCATGCCCTACGGGGTTGCATGGCATGACAGCGCGACTTGACTTCGCGGCACATGAGTATAAAATGGTGGCCCGTTCAAGCAGTGATCCAAGGAGTTGGGCGTTGTTCCCCTTCAGAAAGGTTGGCAACAGCGACTAGAGACCGCGAGGAGCAATAGGAGCCCCGTACCTCCTCGATTCGTGTGTATAATCGAGATGAGAAGATGCCGCCCAGCATCTCCGGGTTCGGCACGCATATTGTTGCTTCAATGTCGTGATGGAGTCAGCTTCAACTGTGGGCTGACGTGGACGAGTTTGAGCATATGGGTTTGAATTAAAGCTTCCAGCCGATGGCTGCTGGTAACACTGCTTCAGTATTGTTAGCTTGACCTGTTGCGAGACTTGACCAAACGTCTCTTGCGATCCTGTAACGATTTGAATTTCATGTATTACAGAGCATTTGGGGCCCACGAGGGAAACTTTTCTACAATGGGAAAACGATGTCCTCCAGAAGTAGGGGCTTTGCCAATAACCTATCAGTTCTCACATTTGACGTGGTAAAGTACTCATATTCTTGATCTTTTGACCGTCACCAGACGGCAGTTGGGATTCAAGATATGGAGGATTGGTGGCTGCAAGACATTAGGAATGTATAGATGCCTTGAGTCCATGCAGCTGAAAGCTACCGTATGCTCACCTAGCGCCTTTCGCTGCTTTGCTTCTATTTCGTCGCCATGGTCTCAAGTAAGTAGGACCGAACCTGGTACATACATCAAACTTGGTTGACGGCCGGTGCCAAGCATGTCAAATGCCACGATTTTTGAACCCAACTGTAAGAGTGGGTATGTGTCGGCGCTAGCCTGCTTGTGACTCCCACGCTTGTTAACTATTGTCACTGTGACTTCCATGGCACAACCATTCGAGTTCCATCATCCGAGGACATGATCTAAGCTCCATGGTGCGTCCGGGCGTAAAACCCATGAGTTTACGTATCCTGGAATGTTCAGGTTGTGTCTTTCCATTCCTTTGAGTGCAAGGTCTGATGTTCTATTATTCGCTGGGCCTCGTAACGGGCTTCGATGACTGCCAGTACCCCTTGGCACAATTGAGTTCGTCAACATCGAAGAGGACTTCGAGAAAAGCTGCGGAGAATGACTAAACTGCCGAGGTACTTACTGGGTAACGAACTGAACCGACCTTGACACATAGAACGGCGCAGCAGCATCTTGTCGCCATGATCTCCCAATACCTGTGACGCGTCGGCTGACCAACCACAATGCACCATTACAGCTTGACCGACAGCTCAAGCCTGCTCGAGGCTCAATTGCGGCACAGTGCATTCGGCATTAGATGAGGAGGTTCTCGTGTTCATTGCGGGATGCGACGTTGGTAATTTTCGGCCTCTGTCTGGACTTTGCAGTCAACTGCAGGCCCATTGCATGGTGTAATGGTGCAATGGGAACATCAAACTGCCCAGGTGGAGTCCGATGATCTTGTGGACCTTGCTTATCCCGAGCCTTCTCTTCGCCTCTGTCAACGAAGTGCTGGGTCCGCAAAGTACATATCCACCGTTGTTCCTGCGACGGTGGGCCTTTTCCATCAAACCTTCTCCAGACTTTCCCGCTTTGCCCGTTCATCGCACATCGGATGGAGACAACGAAGCTGTGACCACCGCCGAAACCTTCAATTGCAGTCCCGCTGTGCAAGCCGCCACAGTCCACTTTTCGATTTCCACCTCGGATGCCGGCTCGGCTCTAGGCGCACAAGAGCGGCGCCCCGGGACACGGTGGATTGGTCTTATTGTCGCGGCCAGCTAGAGAGTCGGTCCATGGTTACCGACGCACCAGAAACGTTCCAAGCAATTCCAAAGGGGCTCCTCCCCTGAGCTAACGAAGCGCCGAGGTGCTGCTGTGCGACTCCGCCCACTTCGCGCCGCGGCATGATGGATCTGTCACAGACGGATGTCAAGCCCGGTCCTGATAGCCCAGCTGGTCCCATAAAACGGAGAGCCCCCATCGCCTGTCGGAGGTATGCCAATTCCTGTTCCAAGCTTGAATGGGCAATCACTTCGAATCGATGGATTCGTATTGATGATTTTGCAGATGTCGGCGCATGCGCAGCAAATGTTTGCATGAGAACGGAAAGCAACCACCATGCAAATCCTGCTTGGAATCAGGGGTCCCCGAAGAATGGTATTCGCCAGTGCTACCCGGATTTTTACCTCTAGTCCACATTGTGCTCATATTGGAACAGTGTATTTCCTAGTCGAGGAGATTCTGACCATGACCGCCTATTTCGCCATCCCCGCCAAAGATCGGACAAGAAGCCGAGGAGCGAAACTTCCAGAGTTAAGAGGGAGTCTGTCTCGTCTCCAGGAATCCACGATGCGCTTGTCCACGTCAAACCGCCCGCTGCTGTACTGGAGGATGAGTGGGACTTGTTGCCCGAGGTCGACATCGTCAAGGAAGGCGTCGAGGCCTTCTTTCTCCACTTCTTCCAACTAGGGTTCATCCATAAACAGAGATTTCCCAAACAGCTCGAGCAGAACCCCAGCTCTGTCAGTGTCTTTCTCCTGCTGAGTATTCTCAGCATCTCGGCGAGGTTCAACAAGACATTCGAGACACGGTATGGCTCTGGTCAGCGGGCTGTCCAGTTGTTTACGGAGAGGGCTGAGGAGCTAGCCGTCAAGGAGCTCTACCTAACACCTACCCTGGAGAGGTGCCAGGCTTTTTTCCTGCTAAGTATCGCCGAGCTAGGCAATGGCAAAACGAATGCCAGTTATGTAGGTTATTATGTGCCCCTCAAGTTTGTCCACTGCCAGGCTGTTGTACTGGTCTGACCTCTCTAGATCAACATGGGCGTGGCTACAAGAATGGCTGTTTTGATGAGACTTCACAGAGAGGAGACGTATGAAAGGCTGACGCCGAACTCTTCCCCCGAAGAGATTGTTCGTGCAGAGTCTGCCAGGCGAACCTTGGTGAGCGCTTTTCGACAGTATAACTTTTGTTAGAGACGTGGTTCGAGTCGGCCTTGTCATTCAAGGATGGCGGATTTGCCACAGAGTACGAGAACAAGTTAAAGAGTGAGGCTGACGAGACTTGATTCAAGTGGATGCTTCACAGCCAGGACAACCTCCACTCGGGTCCGTATTCACCAGTCGCTTTAGCGACCAGTGACATAACGGCCCTCCTTCCCTCGGATGAAGACGACTTTAAATATGCGAGGCTACCACGAAGCCGTGCCGCGCTCGAAGGCACGCCGCCGGCAGACCGGGATCCGAGTCTCGTCAATCCCCCCAAGAAATCCTTGTTTGCAAGCCTGATGCAGGTGCACCATCTCTGGGGCATTGTTGCCCGCCGCGCCGTCGCCCATGAGAAGAGTTCGAGTCCTGGGGACGTCAACAGCGACTATGCGAAGATGGCTAGACGGCTTCGTGAATTCGAAGACAAATTGCCTTCCGAGCATACATTCGGTAAGAAACTGTGGAAGGGTTACAGACACGATAACGAGGATCTTGTAAGTCGCGCGTCGCATTCGGCTTAGTTTTACAAAGGCTGTGGACAGGCTGACCATCTAGGCATATATTGGCTGTACTGCGTGCACACGCCTTTGCAACATAGTCTTGCGCAAGGCGTACCTTGATGAGTGTGTTCAAGAATGCCTCCAGTGGACCGTTCGTTCTGACCAAAATTTTGCAGGATGATCCGTTCGATCCGCGGAAAGTCTTCGGATCTGGTATATCGAATAATGGCCGGTGAGCTCTTCGAGAATGTCCGCCAGCTTTACGAGCAAGTGGACGCTCAATTCAACGACGATCGTACTGCTGAGGAAAGAGTTGGATCACAGATGGCCGTCAGTGAATAACAGTCTCCATAGCAGTCCCCGTCCAGTCTCCTAACTGTTTACCAGGCTTTCTGTGTTTATAGCTGCGGCCTGCTTGCTACCTATCTTTGCAAGTTTCCACAACGTGTGTTATACAACACCCTCCCGCCCCCCAACCCCTAATACCTTGCTGTGACTTTTAACACTCACCGAATTCATAGTTGACCCACGTTCGGTGACGCCAGGCGGCCACGATGACGTCCAAATCAGGGGTAAGAAAATGTACCAACGGACAGTGGAGATATTGGAAGAAACGAAAACTATTTGGCCACTTGCATCAAGCTGGCTGAAAGGACTAAGAAAGTGGTTCGAGCAGGACCCAAATGCTAACGGGGCGCCTTTCCAAGGGGCTACTATGGACCATGGTGTAAGAAGCCCTGTCTCTGCTAAAATATATAGTCGTGCCACTTACAGTGACTAATAGAAGGATCCCCAACCCTATGCTCTGTTACACCCCACAACGGGCTCATCGAGCTGGCAACGGAAAATGTCCAACTTGTACCCACCTCGGTCAACGCCGCCGTCCTTTGTCGAAAACGCAGCAGCTATGACAGAGAACGGTCCTGCGATGCTTCCTCCTTTGCAGCAAACACAGTCCGGTTATGCGAACCAACCTCCCTCGCTTCCACCTTTGTCACCCTATGTCCATCCCCAGCAACTGCCTAGCCAGCAGGCTCAGCAACAACAAGCTTACCAGGCCAATCAATATCAACTACCACAGTCTTACCAACAACTCCATCGTAAGGCCCAGCAGCAAGACGCCTACCAAGCGCAGCACCTCCAGCAACCACCTCAGCAGTCCCCCCAGCAGCACGAAGGCTTCCACGCTCTCTACCAGGCATCCCAGCATCAGACGCCAATGATACAATCTTACCATCCCCAGACATACATGCAAGATTGCAACCCTATGCCCATTGGAGATGACGGGTACGACTTTCATCTCGAACAAATGATCAGCACACATTGGAACACACCAAACGGTCCGTCAGCGCTTTATGATTACTCAATGGGTGGTGGGCAGCCTCCATTATGAGCTCCCGACCGCATACAACACCGAAAGAAAACTTAGAAGTAAATTTCATGCCGAGTCTCCAACCAACTCCTTGCTACACCAGCGGATCGGGGGCACCCGAAGATCTACACTACGACATGTATTTATAATATATTCTCGATACTGGGAATCGCACTAGTGCGCAATATTTCACTTTGTATATCTGACAGTCATTTCTGGACACCGAGACTTCATCGGGCAGGCCCGATGAAGTATTTTACACGGCAAGATCGTCGGATGGATTACTATTCAGGAGAAACAACTTACAAGATGATCTCGAGGCAGACTTCCCAATTTGTGGCGGCTATCCTAGCGCTCAATCAATATTCGATTCTTTGTCGAAAATGAGAGGCGGTGATCCCTAACTCCAGAACTTTCAAAGAGGGGAATAGGGATTCTGCAAACAAAAGACATAACGAAACAAAAACAAATAGGGTTGCTTCGATGAACTATCCACTTACACATCTAACATACTTGACGGGCATGTTGTGCATTTTTGGGTGATACTCACTTTGTGGTTTCGATTTATATGTGAACCCTGGCCCGTCAAAACATCAAAAGCACTGGGGCAGTCTTCCTGATTGTCTTGCCCCTTGATTATTATTGTAACCCAGAAACCACCACCACTGATTTGAGTCATGTAGGCAACTTCCTCTGTTGATTGCTATTGCCCATATTGCGCTCCAAACGACAACGTCAACTTCATATCTTCATAATGTACTACAAGTCAGCTAGGAAACAGACTATCCATCATCTGAGACGAAAAGGGGTATACGCTCACAAGAAACCGAAGCCCAACAGCATCCCCACTTAATGAAGATATATCATATATGACAGGGGTTCCGCAGCGAGGCATTATACGTGGACACAATGCACCCCAATAGGCAAAATACCCGACAGGCAGGCCGGCCTCTTGATTTGCGGATACCGGTTGACGGGAAAAGTCACCGGTGCGTAGAAGCGGGGTTACACACTAGATTTGTGTATTTTCAAACCGAAGCTCGAGGTATTTAACGTCGCCAAACCCTCGATATCGTATTACTGTGAGTTTAGGCTACTTCACCACTTCACCACCCCTTGCAGGACCATATGTTTGTATACAGGCCCAGGCCTAGTAACCCCCCGTTGATTTTTCCTCATATTATTCTAGTGGCTCGATTTTCTCCTCCACTCTTCATCCCCCAAACAGCTCACTCGGCAAAAATACTATGAACGAAGAAGACTGGATAAAGAAAGGCTTCGCTTCGGAATCCCTGGCCAAGGAGAACCTCGCTACACAAACCTTCTCTTCCCCCTCCAATGATCCCCCACGTATGAAATCTGGCGACTCAGTTGTCGAGCCTGACTCCATACTTGCCCCCGACGGACGCTTCTACCACGGCTACAAAGATGGGAAGTACTTCCTGCCCAACGATGCTGACGAGCAAGATCGGCTCGACTTCCAACACGCGGGCGTGATGCTGCTGCTCGATGGCCGGCTGGCCTGCGCCCCTGTCCGCCAACCGCGGCACGTCATGGACGTAGCGACGGGGACGGGGATATGGGCTTTGGAATTTGCGAGGCAGAACCCGGGGTCTCATGTCATTGGAACGGATCTGAGTAGAATCCAGCCGGACTTGGAGGCCACGGTGCCGAATTGCGAGTTCATCAAGGAGGACGCCGAGGAGGAGTGGATGTATGAGCATAAGTTTGATTATGTGCACCTGCGGTTTGTGGGCAGTTGTTTTCATAGCCATCGAACGGTTTTGAGGCACGCCTTTGATAATATGAACCCGGGAGGGTGGATCGAGTACCAAGATAGCTTGCCGGAGCTGTACCGTCTGGGCGGGAGTGCGGAGGGCTCAGCGGTGAAGAAGTGGTGCGATTTGATGGTGCGAGGTGCTGCGACTATGGGGAGGGACTTGCTCGTGCCTATGCACTACAATAACTGGTTGATTGAGACCGGGTTCGTCGATGTCCATGAGGAAATGATTCCCGCGCCGTTTAACACGTGGCCGGCAGACCCGAAGCTCAAGGAGGTCGGGAAGTATAGCTCACTCAACTGGAGGACCGGGGTTCTCGCTTCCACACGGAGGATTGTCATGACCACGGGGGACATATCTCCAAGTGAGCTTGACCTGTTGGCCAAGGAAGTCAAGGCCGAGATTTTGGACGAAAAGAACCAGATGTTCGCCCCATTTTTCGTTGTTTACGGACGGAAGCCGTTTGATGGCGAGATAGAGAAGTCATCGACATGATGGCCGGTCAGAGAATCAACGATAGATTCGATTTCATTTCTTCGTGGTGTCAAACATTCCAAATTGAGCGATGACGCACCAGAAAGTCTCTGTGAGGCCACAGCCCAGCCAACCTTTCGTCCCATGGCCCAACTCCAAACAATGTACTCAAAACTCTACGGTGAAAATTGTACGGTGCGCAACCATCCTCACGCCCGTGACCGATCATGACGACGAAAGATTGAAAATAGTGGTAATATACTCGATCCGCGTGGCAAAGCTCGAACTGCTAGACGCTATCGACTCCGGATCTTCGCTTCCCGAGGACGAAGTGCCGTCATCGTCACCAACATCGTTATCAGCAGCGGCGTCATTAGCAGCAGCTGCGTCATCAGAATCGCCAGTCTCGCCAGTTTCTTGGTCTGGATTCGTCCTTCGCCTTGTATGCTAAATTCTCATATTTATTCGGCTCTTGATCCGACGTGTTTCAGATGGTATCGTCGTCAACGTCATCATCCGAAGCTACAGAGCTACCAGAATCATCAGCCACATCCGGCTCGATGCTCCCTGGCTGGGGCAACCTTCTCTTGAGGTTGTTCAGATGCTGAAAGTTCAATCCCACTGTCAACAAACAGTGTTCGGTAGCCCTTCGTGACACCAAGCGACATTGGAGCGATACTTGCTTGCCAGTTTCCATGGCCCTTTACGACTACTGGGTTTCTCAGATGGGGACTGAGCAGCTTCTGCCAATTCTCGATGGTAGCCAAGTTGTGGGGAGGGTCAGTTTCTACAGTCAGACTGCTTCCCACCTCAGTCAGTTCTTCGGTTGATGATTATCAGTGCGGGCGACCTCAATGCGCCCAATCTATCGACGTCGCCCAACGAATTAACACTGTTAAATGCCGAGACTACCGCCTCCAAAATAGGCACCCTGTGCAACGCGCTTATGGGTATCGAGATCGATGTCCTGCACGAATCGGTAAACATGGGATGTAGCGATGTGCTCCTAAAACAGTCTCCCAGCCATCGAAGGCATGGTGATTCCCAACTCCCCATACAGTGATATCTAGTTGCCTCGGGAAGGCGAATTCCAGAATCGCATACCGCGTCGTGTTGATGACAACTCTGAAACGAACGGCCCGGATAGAGTTGCCCTCGATCATACGAAGCACATTCCTTCTACGTAGCAGGGATCGAATCGGCTTGGGCGGGTATGTCCATGTCGTAAATTGGCCACTTAGCGTGAATTGAAACGAACGTCCCAAACACTTAACTACATATTCCTCATCAGGTCAAACGTCAACGAATGGAGTCGCTGCGCTTCCCCTGTTTTACGTAGTCCTCCGGAGTCTTCTGTCCATAGAATATGATTTCCTTGCGAGCCCCATATTTTGGAAGCAGTATGAAGAAGTCGGAAGAGTTTGGAAATCGAGATCTCAGGTCACACAGTCAACGATCGACTGATATGTGGATGGACGAGATTTTATCTCCTTCACCGAGGAGATAAAAAAAGCCAGGGTGATCATCCTAAAATGAGAACACTCAGAGCGACTGGAAGAAATCACCCCCAAGCTCGGAAATGTAGGCATGATGAAACCCGAACCACACATGCCTAAGCATATACACTGTGTACACGTCTTTTGACCCTCGAAGTCACTGCAATAAAGAGCAAGCGCAGCGTTGATTGGCTCAGGCCGACATCTGGGCCAAGCCTAGCCGTGATGGTGCCTCAACAATTGCAGTGACAAGCTTGGTAGAGGACTAGGCCGACTCCACCGTAAACTCTTCTATCATCTGCCATTTCGCGATTGGGGCAACAATTGTGACTGGGACAAATTCCATGTAAGTAAAACTGCTGCAGTCGGATGGTGTTGTGGAACAGATAGCCGAGACGTCGGGCTGTGGCGTGAACCTGTCCATCCTCAGTCAGCAGCTGAGCGCTTTGCAAGCGCGAAGCCGGGTTCCTTGTATTTAGTGGATGCGAAGACTCGAATCAAAGAGAAGTCGAGGTTGGCATTGGCTACAGCAAGTATGGTCTCCTACGTTGCCGTGGCCAGCGAGGCGTGTATTTTCCCGATGGTATTCATTTCCTTTTGTGCAGTTCAAAGCTAAGCAACCACAAGGCGAAGACGCCGCACAATGAGGCCCCCCTGCAGAGTCAATGGCGAGAGTGGCCAGACTTCAGCTCAGCTGATGCGGTATGAAGTCGGCGGGAGATGGGCTCTAGTAGAAAGTATAAGCGACGATGATTAGCAATGTTTCCAGCAACAAGTGCTAGGAATGACGAGATTTCTCCACAGATGGCCACAAGAGAAGGCCGGACAAGACCCGGGGTCTACCCAGGCATCACCACTCCTAGCCCCAATGCATTTTGGTTAAACAGGCCGGTGGCCCAGATCCTGGCAGCACCGCATAAGGAGTCCTGACATGACTGGTTCATCAACATGCAGAACTTACAACCCTGGGTCCGGGGATGTGGATTCGGCTCGTGGCTGTCTTTTGAAGGCGGATTTTGTGAAATTCATCCTACTGCGATACAGATCTAGATCAATCTGACTGTGACGAGCCAAATCCCCGGTCCGGTACATGTTCCAAGCGCCATCATTCGCTTGCGAACTTAGAAGTCTACAACGAGAGTTCCCGAAAGGCCACAGCGTACAGTAGCCTACGTCGGCTGGCACCGCATAGTGCTGATGTCCAAGCCCGCAAATTCTTAATATTGAGACGACGTGAGTGAATAAGACGTTAGAATCAGCATGAATAACGCGAAACTGTAAAGTAACGTCGCAATACGTCGGGACGCACGGGTCAGATTGCTTTACAATCGCTGGAGTTGAGTAAAGAGGTGAGCGTAGGAAGCGTCTCACACATCAAAGTCACAATCACCAATTCGCAGGAGGAAGAATTTTAAAATGATTGAAGGTCATGGTCGCATGTAGTGTTACAAGATCACGGTTGCCAGACCCAGTGTGCAACCCTAAAGATGCAACCACGATAACGCCTGCCAGACATGTTCTCCTATTCGTTGACCGCCCCATCCGTGAACACCCGTTGTTGCCCCTTTCTAATAGCCAAGCCTGAGGCGCTTGCTACCTTTGTCGGCGTCCATTTCTCGCTTCCTTTTGGGCGCCGCCAATAATATACTGTTCTGGTTGGTTTGGTTTTCTGTAGAGACGCTTAATGATGCGGGTCGAACCGCGGGGGCCGGCTGTCGGGAGACTATAGTCGCCTCCCTTGTTGCCTCGTGCATTTTCCGTTCTTCGACTCGGATTGCCCACAGGAGCGTGAGCAATACCTCACGCGACGGTAAGCTGGCGCCGTCAGGCCACAATAGCGGGCCACGGTCTTGATCACCCTTGATACCCGGGGATCCATCTGCCGGCCCCTCGACCCGATCATCGCGTCCCTCAGATACCAACCGCAAGAACCCCATCGTCGCATCCTTGAGAGGACGCGCCAGGTTGGGGCTGCTGGTTAATAGTTTCTGAAGAGATTTGATTCTCAGAGTCAAAGAGGCCGTAGCTGGGCTCGAGCTCGTGGGCCATCGAGACGTTTCCTGCCATCGCGCCTGGAGCTGCGCCGGCATTATCGTCACTAAGGAACTGATTGATGTCGAAATACGGTGGTTCGGCGGAAGCGTCACCATCCAGATGATTGTACTCGTAATTGAGGGGGTCGCTGTTAGGGCTAAATTGTGCTTCAGCGATCCAGCTATCAGCTTCAGCGGGTCCCGGCATGCCGAAAGAAGCGTCGAAAAAGCTGTCAAAAGAAGCTGGAGCTGCAGATAGAGCGCCAGCGCCGGTTGCGACCTCTTCTGCGAGGCGGTCCACGACTGCGGCACCTCCACCGACTGACACTGCAGGTCGCACAACATCGCTGCTGGATGTTGTGTCATGTCGGTGGATGTGGACGCCGATGTGTTGGGCTTCACGGGGGCAACCGTCGCCGAGGATGTAATAGGCATAACCTTGACATCAGGGATGGGGGTGAGTTCCGGAGACAGCGACGCGGGATCGACGGTTGGTGCCTGCTCTGGTATGAGGATGAAGTCGTTCATCATGCCGCTCTTAGACTCGGGGTTGGATTGGGAGCCGAAAAGGGGCTGTGATAATGTGATAGGGGTGGGCTGAAGGGCATCCAAGGGTGATGAGCCTCTGGCAGAACCTGACGATCGTCGGAAGCGGTTAAGCTCGTCCATCAGCATCAAGTTCTGCTCCTGCTGGTGAAGCAAGAGATCCTCAAGCTCCTTGTTGCGCTTCTCTAATGCCTCGACCTCTTGTCGCTTTCGCTCGCGCGAAGACTGTGCTGCTCGTCGATTTCGGAGGACACGCTCGACTCGGCGCTGCTCCTTCTCGTCTTCTGTCTTGGCCCGCTTTCTATACTGGGATTAGTCGTGTGTTAAGGGAGTGCTGCCGATAGGGCCATGTCTTACCTTGGAGGTAGGTTGGTCTTGGGCTCTGGGAGGACTTGGCCCCACGACTTGCGCTTCTTTGTCTTCTTCTCCGAGCCCTCGGGTGCCGGTGTGCCGTTATCGTCGCCCGCCGGCGAGTTGATGCCGTCCTCACTGAATGATCGAGGGGTCATGACGCTTTCCATTGGGTTCATGGTGTTGGCGGCCGACGAAGACTCGAATAGTGGATACATGTCCCCGCCGGGAGTCGAAACGAACGACTCGGCGGGCGACTCCTCGAACTTGACTTGTGGAGTCGACATCGAGGTCTTGTTGTCCCAGGACGTCATCTTGGAGACGTGTTGAATGAGCCTTAGGTAGGAGGACTTGTCGGTTTACTGCAACAAGGCAATGCAGGTGGATAGTAGCCCTGCTCGTTTGTGTTGCGGGAAGCCGAGGCGGTGGTATGCCGAGTAGAAGAGGTGCCGTCCTATTTCCTCGCTACAAATACAGTAGTTGGAACATCACCTTTGCCGACGCATGACTCCCATGTGGAAATGATTGAGTTACCTGATGAGTCAAGGTTCAGGCAGCAGGAATTGGGAAAGGACAGAGTGTCTTCTTAGGTGGACGTAGTCTGGTTGTGCTTGCTGGCTTCATCGAAACAGGCTGTGGGATGTGCGAAGCCACGTCTCTTTATCTTGACACGGTTTCCTCAAGTCCGACTTTCTGGCTGCCTGGAATGTAAGGTTTCCAAAGGTAGGCCAACGGAGGGTCGCACTGATTGGCGGATCTGATGGGAGGACGGACCAAGCCCCTGAGTTCCGCCATCCATCCCTGCCATCCTCGACTCGCAATCCCTTCCGTGCCACCCTGGAACAGAGACAAGACAACTCCACTCTCCCTCTGCACCACGAGTCTTGGACTCTGGGCTCTGCTGGTGGTGTACCTGAGATCTACCAGGCTGCAACAGCTGCGCCCGGGCTGGTGGCGATGTTTTGACTGGCTGCTTCCACGGCCTGCGAAGCTACACTATTACCCTTCAGTTTTATTATTAGCACCCGTCAGATCCATCTGTCAGCACGCCATCACCGTACGTGTGTGTGTACGCAGCACTAGTGCGCCGAACCCGATCGCACGAAAACAGCCGGCTAATTGCATTTACAGCCCCTATTAACGAGGAATGCAATCCCAAATACCGCCATCACACTCGAAAATTCGTCAAGGCGCGTCAAGACGCCGTCCAGCATGCAAAATCTCGTTAGTGCAATTGGATGGCATATCACTGCATGCAGCTTTGGCCATCCAAAAGTTGAAGCAACCACATGTGCTCCAAACTGTGCGAGTCTGTGCAAACTATTGTCAAACCCAAGGTTTTGCCTGCAACGATTCCGGACTTGTTGGCATTTCTCGCATGGGAACCCTTGACAGAATGCAAACCCTTATTACGGAACGTGGACGTGGACGCACTATATTCGCAATCCATTGTGTGGGGGGGACCTTTGACAGCCTGTAAATCGTGCTACCGCCACTGTTGAGGATCTCCACTTCCCTGTTGTTGTCGACGACAATTTGATGGGTTTGGGGGCTTGCTACTGTCATCATGTCGGGATACCACTCGCGCATGCCCACGAGCGGTACATGTCCAGACTTCAGGGGCACTTTCGAGGCGGAACACCTGCGATGCATCGTCAAACTCACATCCAAGCCTCCCAACCTTTCGTCGCAAACCCTGGAAAGAGATCGTCAAATTGCGCCATACACGGCCGTCTTCGCGCCGCAATTAGGCGTACAACATGGAACAGCCTTATCCTCAGTTCCTTCAGCCTATCTATAGCCGTCGGCGTGTAAGGTCTATTCTCGTCATCTTATCTTGATGACATTCAGACGACGTCGAAACTTGGCGATCATGCTCCAGCTCGCCCGCCCAGGGTGCTTATGCAAGCCAACGGCGGACTATGAGCTCAGCTGCCGGATGCTGCCTAGTCGATACCATTGTTCAGTTGCTCTTTGGGTAAGTCGCTGACACTGCAATCGAAATTAAACGAACGCCGCAGGATAGGAGACAAGGACACCGATTGACCAGTTGCCGGTACGGGAAGTTCAACTCAGTGGCGAATACCTGTTTATCTTTCACGGAGCCCATTTCAACGGCAGTCTGTTGCCATATTGAAGACAATCAAACATTCAATATCCCTCTTGCTCTCCCCCTTGATTGACATAACCAACTTGATTTCCTTGGACCAAGAAGGGTGGCTGGAATTTTCTTCGGTCTCACTCACGCTGCATCAGCCCAGCCCGCTGACTTGCATCAGCCATCGAAACATGTAATTCGTACCAACCCGAGCTCAAACGAGCTGACGATGGTGCGATAAGCCGGTACGACTCCAGAAGATACCCGGAAGGATCTACCTTCTTGTCCGGCTAAGCGTCAGACAATAAACGCAACGGAATACACAAAAAGTTCTGGAAAGATCCACCGCCGATGGACAGACTGACTCGACGGTTGAAACATTCATCCACCTTTTGCCTCTCCTTCCGCTCCATATTGACACGATATAGTGCCACAAAAAAGGAACGAATGGAGTGAAGCCGGAAAGTCGGGAGGACATACGCAGCTTCCCCGCAAGTGGCAAGTCCCGCCATCCCAATCCATGGACTTTCCGGCCCCGTATCATTGGATCGCTACCGTTCGAACTGAACAATGCAATCCAATTTTTCAGCAGAGGATCTGGAGGCAATTAATACAGTTGTAGAACCAAACCCATGCCAGCTTCGTATGTTGAACTGCTACACCAATGTGGTCAAGTGCTTCCAAATTTGACGGACGCCCACCCCCATCGCGTTGCCGGATATTTGGAAGCTTCGAATTGATGTTGTTCTACGTTGTTCTACAATTTCCAAAGTTCGCGTTATCTCGTTCATCCCTGCCCCTAGCTTGTTAGCAGAGGGTCTTACGAAACCCTTTGTGTCAGGAGTGACAGGTTCCAGAACCCGAGAACCTTGAGTACCCTCATGATTCGACCCGCTTTGGCCGACAAGAAGCAAATTCGTTCGTCGGCTTCACCACATCCTGGGGGTGATCCCCTGCGCACGGACAACTTTAAGGTCTGATCAGCACCTTTTCCCACCGTTTTGAAGTCGTCGACTCGTCATTCAGGGGTTTCTTCTCCGGGAGTTGCAATTGCAGTCGCCCTCCACAAACATTCGCCGTTTGCCATTGTTCTGGTCATGTTGGTTTTACATTGAGACTTTTCACTACTCATGGCTGAGTTTATGCCAAGAGAAAGATTCGATAGTTAGATCGGTATCGACATTTTGGACGGAGGACTCCTCGAGGGCTTCCCTGCGAAGTTTCAACGACCCCAAACTCTGATACCCTGACACGATTTGCATAACGTCAGGTAGGCGAGCCGATTATATGTGATGACATGATCATGGCCGATGTGGGCCTTGTCATAATTCCTTTGGCTTTATGCTAGTGGCAGACAAGCCCTTCAAGATCTCGTCAGACTAGTCAGAGCTTCGCGAGCTGTCAGATATCGCAAATTGAGACGATGTCAAAGTCTAAAATCAAGGTTGGCGTCTAGTGCTACACGGCGCTTCGTTGTTGACCTGGCACATTCCGAGACCTACTATGCTAACAGAGTTCGCGACTTTCATCAGACATCAGATTGATAGGCACTGTTTTATTTACGTCCTGTCAGCTCAATCGGGTCAGGTGCAGGGCTTTTATGTGCCGTCTGGCGGTACCTTTCCAACTATATTGTGGTCATGAGGCTATGGTGGTTGAACGTAGTCGAAAACGCCATACAACCTATCAGCCATGCCAACTCCTTAGCTTCCAGTTCTACCAATCGAACGGCATGGGTAAAGATGGCCTATACACGCCTCAACCAGATTCCTGACATAAAACGTGCTCAATTCATAAGGTTATTTGCTGGCTCCTCATGCCCCATCCCGCAACTCATGGACGTCGGATGGTGCAGGCCTGATGTCGTCTACAGCCTTGGCACAAGGTATTGCAATGCTCCAACTGGCGTCCCCCTTCCCAGGTAACGATATTATTGAGATATTAAGACTCGGAACGGTGAGCAAAATCAGTGGCAGACTGGAGCAAACTGTCAGACCTTATAACTACCAAAAATACCTCATTCTACAACGAGTGGGTCCCTCGTCTTTTGACGGTCAATTTGGTCCAACACAAACCAGTGCGGGTTTACGTCGTATGTTGACCTTGCCCAGGGGCTTCGTCGCGTCATTGATCCGAGTTGTCGAGTGTGCTCATTCACCACAGGAACTCGTTCTCAATTGTCATGTCCGACGAGGTGAATGAGTCGGAGAGGCAGGCACCAAGCATACCAAGCATACCAAGCATAACCGGAGTCGAGAATAACCCATTACCGATCCGGACCCCGTGGTAGCTAACCGAGTTGCACTCCATGTAGAGCTCACCGACTAGTTCGAAAGCGGTAAGAGTCTTATCAAGTCCGGGTAGTGGTAGAGACATGTGAGGGATGGGGTCTTGCCTGGATACTCTGGTTTCTCGGTAGTATGAATCGCCGCTTGGTCTTGCGAGAGTCCGATGGGACCAAAATCTATCTCACCGTATGTTCACGCTTTTGGCAAGCGCATAGGCCACTATATATTATCTAGTTAACCGTTGTGCCGGCGTGTTATCCGACAAATATATGCTTTATTGACTCATGTTACATACAGGTGGGACTGCCATGTTCCCCGTCTTCCTGATTTCCCTTCCTCCCACCTCCAGAGAGATGCCAATCCTTCAGGGTGAAATATACGTATTCGGTAGATCCTCGAGATAACCACTGGGTAGACGTAACCAAATCCAGCTGGGCACTTGTGGCAGTATGTTGAGAGAATTTGTAAGTGTTGGGGGCTCCAGGCACACCGCCTGTGTGTTAGGTGCGGCGCTTGGGCCAATTGCCCCTTCCGTAGCTGCAGCCTTTGGGACTTGGTCCCATCATCATCATCACCAATACAACCCTCTTGCCTGTATTGCCAACAGTAGGATCAGTGGGCAGTTCCCCAATCACATTACATCCTGAACTAATGGTTCAATGAAGATACTTCAACTCAGTTCGATGCCAGAGGTTAGACCATGGCAACTGTGAAATTTGATGACCGGCAGTTCGACATATTCTATCGGAAAGGAAATGATATTAAACTCGCATGCTCCTTTGGAGCCACCTCATTTGTCTCACTGGTCATTTTGTGGACATCATGACAAGCAAGAGCTCGTCTCCCATGAGCGTGTATCCACCACGAACGTGTTGACTCGCATGCACAACCGATTCTTGCTGGCTAGTGCTCCGCGAATATCTCATCAAGTATTGAGCCTCTGGATCCGTAGCCACCCGATCCCGATGGTGCCCAACGTCCTCCATTGTGCTGGCATGCGTCGAGAAAATTGTGGAGAGATTACACTTGTAGTGTTCATTAAAATAGTCACGCTAATTGTTCCCTACTTTACGGCCCTCGAAAGGGATACCAGTGTCTAACACCGGTCTCTTATGGTCGCTGATATACAACAACATATAAAAAATTGCAAACTGGGATTCCAGGCCATGTTGAATGCCACATATCAAGATGTGGATAATACAGGCAAAAGCGCTGTATGGTGATGATGATGAGACTGACTCCCAGGAATCTGCAACTACGAAAAGGTTATCTATAGGAAGCACAAGCGCTGCATCCAGCACACGGCTGGTGAGCCTGGGGCATACAACACGAGACGAAATATTCGACGGACTTTGCGTGGGTAGCAATATTAATCAGAAGTGAGACAGCGGCAAGGCTGTGTGTAAAATGTTCCACATTGGAAATATATCTAGTTAATTCCTCGAAGGTCTTACACCGTAGAGAATGATAAGTACCGATCTCTGATTTCCAATAGTAGAGAATACTGATAATCATAACGGAGTGGTTTGAATATGGAATATGTGTTTGTGTCCGTAGAAATGTCCAATATGGCACTCAGACGTTTGATTGCTATTGACCTTATTATGTGCAAATAGTGTTGTGTTGAACTGAAGTGGTCTCTGTCTAGGAAAAAAAGGCCTAGTGCGAAGGTAGCCGTAAGGGTCTGAGGTACAGAATGATGTGCCTCTTAGCTGCCTATGTTTGAAGGGCTGGTCATCTGAGCATATCAGGGACACTAATACATTAGAGGTTTTGTTATTGAAGATCTAACCATAATCAAATACTATGTTAGACGTCTTAATGAAGCCTTATTATACCATTTGCAGCTAGTCATACAAACACCGCCAATGGCACTATAATTGCGGTATAATCGCGTGTTAAGTCGCCTATTACTATCATCTGAGGAGGTTGCCTTTCGCAGAGCATACGGTATAGTCACTGGTAGAGGAAATTCATGTGGAGGAACAATCTAACGACTGACCCAAGAGAAAATCCAACACACCAATAAACGCTGTGATGACAATCAAGGGTCGGACCAACTTCAACAACATCACTATCCCCCCTTGGATGGTGTTGGACCTTCAAGGCTATTACACCAAAACTACCAGTCTTGGAAGGAAATATATACCACACAAGTCCTGCCTGTGGGACGGGCATCGTTCACTTCTTGGAGGACTCTCCAGAGATCATGACCTTTTCAATACAAGAC